CGAGTTCGCAAGGGTTTGCGCGCGTGGGTGGATGCCGAGGTGTCTTTCGCGGAGGGTTTCAAATGGAACGTCGTATGCATTTGCTGCAGCTCGAAGAGATGGAACTTGGTGGGTAATATATGCTTGAAGGGCTAAAGAAAGTCTTCCCTCAGTTTGAGAGAGCATTGTAGGCAAATATTGTCATATAATAAGAGGAAGAAGCTCGAAGACGCGTTGTGGGCGCGTTTTGACCGGCTCGGTGGTGTGACCGGCTCGGTGGTAGGGTACGTTATGCTCCAGGGATAAAGTGGAGGTCTATCAGGGAATTTGTCCGCCGACTTACGTCATCGCAGGCATCCGAGAGAGCCAGTAACAATTTGTTCTTAAGAACAATACATGGTTGTTACTATCAACGCAAGTCAGACTCAGAGGTCCAGCTGGGAGAGATTCGTATTTCAATTACTGAGCCCGGCACGATAACTGTTGCAACAATTACGACTTTCTCCATTCGTGACTGGAGATAATGGCGTCCGACTCCTCCACCGGCAAGCCAGTCTCAGTTCTGTTCGTCTGCCTCGGGAACATATGTCGTTCACCCATGGCGGAAGGCGTCTTCAGAAATATCACCAATTTTGGCACCTCCTCACAACACCCACTCATCTCCACCATTGACTCCTGCGGCACCGCTGCCTACCACGCCGGCAACCGACCAGATTCACGCACGATGGCCGTGCTGCGCAAGAACGGCCTGACCGACTACAAACATTCGGCGCGGGCAGTGCAGGTACCGCAAGATTTCGAGCGGTTCGATTACATTCTTGCCATGGACGAGTCAAATTACGCAAATCTCCGCGAGATGGCGCGAAGGGCGCAGAAGAGCGGGAAATTGGATGCGGCGGCTGTAGAGAGGGTAAGGATGTTTGGCGAGTTCGGGGGGAAAAACGCGAAGGAGGAGATTGATGATCCATATTATGGAGGACAGTCCGGATTTGAAACGACATATGAGCAGGCGCTCAAATTTGGGCAAGGTCTGTTGAAACATATTGAGGTGGAGGCCGAGGCAAATAAGTAAGCTCATTCAACATCGACTAACGTCAAGCATAGCGAGTTGACATGTCTGGGCGTCTGCAGAGGTTCATCGTCGTTGTGACTCAGCACGTGGTGGTGGGTTGCTGATCCTCGGCGTTGCAGCCGTCGCATGAGTAATCCTAGGTTCGGTGGTGTATGTAGAGATCATGTCCGTGAAAATTTTGGTACCGGTCCTTTAGGCGAATGATCTTGCTCTCAGGAAATATCATGAAACATGTTGAGCTAGTCTCCAGCATAAAGTAAGTGTTCAGCCCGGCTGTCGGAGCATTAGGTCCGGTCGACTGGATCCATGTGAAGCGCTCACATGTCACATGTCGGAGGACTTTTGCTTTCGCACCGAAAGCACGCGTCCCTGTCGCCTTGCATACGGACAACCCACGTTTCTTTGAAAATTCGTCAGGAGTGATTTAACTGATGTAAATAACCCGAGCAGATGCTGCCGCACATTCAGATCTTGCTCTGCATCTTTCCGGAATCAACTTCATCGCCATCGAGGAAAGCACACAGCCAGTCTTGAGCCACCTTTCGCATCGGCGCTGAGAATTCATGGCCAGCAGCAGGATCAATGAAGTCGTGCAAACGAATCTTGAGGTCCCCAGCCCATCCTGTAGGCTGATCGATCGCGCGCTTCAGCCACGACAGAAACCCTTCACCACAGCCGTAAGGCACAAGGCGATCCTTGCCACCGCTGAGACATAGGATCTTCTTACCAGCTAGGGCTTTAGTCAAGACCGGTCGAAGTCGCTTCTGTTCGGCCGCCGATGGGGTCGAGATTAAATCCCGCTTGCCATCGTAAATATCGAGTTCGGCATAGAGCATTCCCGCAGGATCGTATTGCTCGACTGCCGCGAGGAGGCTCTGAGGGAAATCGCTCGAGCCAAGAAAGTTCCGTCCCGGGGGATCGCTTGTGAGAGTAGAGTGGACCTTGCTCCGAATAGCACGATCGGTCATCATAGTGGTGTAATCAGGGCATCCGACGACAATGATCGCACCGACAATCCGCGGATCATTCATGACGGCCACCCACGATGCATGACCTCCAAGGCTGACGCCTCCACATATGTGCTCGTCGATTTTGAAGGGAAGATACATGGGCAGCTGCGTCATCAGTAGAGAAAGGTCCTGCGCGGTGCCAGTGTACGAATTGAACATGTCCTGCCCATGTGTGGCATTTCCCTGCTTCCAAGAGACGTTGTGATCCGCCTCGATCATCCTCGATCCGTGGTTGCGCTGGTCGAAGCAGATACAGATCAGGCCTTTTTGCGTCATGTCTTTCCGTTGCGAGTTCCATGCTTCTAGAAGGCCCGAGGCGGTGTATGCCATGCTATCTTGGGTGTCGCCCCGACCGTGCAGAAGCCATAGACATGTGATACTCTGGGGATGCCGAGCGACTTCTTCCAGGCCGTATATTGTTATAAGGATTCCCCCAATGTTGTGACGCTTCCATGACACTGGCTTGACGTTCGTAAAGGCCTTGTGAGTAGTCGGGACTGGGGAGGAGAATGGTGATTTAGTGGAATCCAGTCGTAGAGCACCTCCCCAGGCGAATGTAGTGTTGAGGGCCATTATTGAAACTGTAGGATACTATGCGCCAACATGCGATGTCCACTACTCGAAAGACGGATATTTGGTGCTGCCCAGGTGATCTTCGTGTTGTCCATCTCGTTGAGCTAGGGTTACGACTGGCGACCTCGGCTGCGAAATAGCAGTTCACTCATCTGCGGAGGGACACAGCGAGCGTGGCATAGAGTCCGTCATGAGGATCGAATCTTGTACAAAGCTTAGTCGGTGCCTTCTGTTCGATCAGCATTTGCTTTGTACCTGTTGCATCTGCTCAAGTTGTACAGAACACGAGAAGCTTCATGTTGGATAAGCATGGCCTCAAAAGAAATGCACACATCCCGGCCGTTCTCTCGATGGCGGACACGACTAATTCTCCGCATGGCCAGGTTTTGGATGCTGGTGGAGATTGTGCCATGCAGCGTTGTTGGAGTCTCCGAGTATTCAAGGTGAGACAACTGATCAAGATGTCGGAAAATATTTCTATCAACTGAACGAACTCGCTGAAAGGGCTAGCAAATATCACAAATACACATCCGTTCCGTCAGAGCAGAGCCTCCTGACGGTCATTGCCATATGAGCGCCCAATCAGCGCATCACTTCTTCTTCGGCCGATGACTCGGATCCCGTCCATGTTTATCTAGCTTCCTCACCGGCGGCGGCACATATTGCCAACCACGTAGCGCCTCCTCGACCAACCCGATCATGTACGCATCGACGTGTCCGCGGCGTTCCTCCTTGACGTGGTCGATGTCGAGCGATTCGACCGGAACATCTTGCATTTCCCCAGCGTCAAGTTCGCTCTGGCTTTGGTCCTCCTTGCGCGCGGCTTGCGCGGCTTGTACATCCTCTTTATCTTCCACGCTCTCGAGGGCTTGCGTCGCCGACTTTTCATTGCCACCAAGGAGTCGCTCAATGGCCGCGTTGACGGCTTCTTCACCTTCGCCATCGCCATCGCCATCGCCATCGTTGTCGTCTTCGTCATTTTGCTGCTCAGTAGTGAAGTGGCCCTCTTGAATGACTGTCTGGTCTAGTAGACTTTTTTGGTTTGCTCGTCGTAGAATGTTCTCTTCCACTGTCTTCTCGCTGACCATCTTGTACACTTCGACGTCGCGAATCTGTCCGATACGATGGGCACGGTCCATGCATTGTCGGTCCATCTGCGGATTCCAATCGAGGTCGTAGAAGATGACAGATGATGCACCCGTAAGGTTGAGCCCGACACCTCCGGCACGAGACGAAAGGATCATGCACTGATATTTACTGTCTGGACGATTAAACTCCGCACAGAAGAGTTGACGACGTTCAATGCCAGTGCTACCATCCAGGCGCAAATAAGGCATGCCCAGCAAATTCAGAAAGCGCTCAAGAATATCGAGAGTGCCAACCATCTGCGTGAAAATGAGACTCCGGGATCCGCGGGCTTGCAAGTCCCGGAGCAAGGTGGTCAGACGCTGTAATTTTCCGGAATCATAGACAAGAAGTCGAGCATCTGGAAATGCGATGGATAGGCGGATCCGAGCTTCATGTGCATAGTCGGCGTCTGCAGGATAATCGGGACTCGATCGGATGGCTTCTTGCATCTTGGGCGGTATCATCATGTTCAAGATTGGGGCAGTGACAGCAGGCGGGACGAACGCAAATCTCACGATGCTGTCTTGGAATCTTGCAGCGTACTTGGAGATGGTGTATATGTCCGTGTCAAGTTGTGTGCTGTGCACAGACTGCAGATCTGCTTGGTGTGCTAATTTCAGCGGTCGACTTCCGAAGTTTGGCCAAGCATGAATGCTCTTGACGATAGGTTGCTGGCGAGTGGCAAATGTGTACGGTTTGGTCGTCCGCACGGTCAAGAGCTCGCGTAGATCGCTTCCATAGACCGGTGCGTCGCGTAACGATACTTCGGTCGCCTGGATGTGAGACTGTAGTCGTTGTAATTCGCGCCTGCGCCTCTGTAATCTGAGGAAAATTCGCGCACCCAACAGAGTTGCAGGGTCAGCATCGGCATCTGCTTCTATCTCGTTCTTCATAGTATCCGCTTCGCGGGTCAAAATGTTGACAGCACTGAGCTTCCTACACTTCTGCACAGTGGCTCTGCGACGACCCTCGTGTACAGATACCATCAGCATTGAAGGTGTCTTCTCGCGCGCGCCAAGTAGCTCTCGAATCAATCGTTCTCGGGCGCCATATCGGTCGATTGGACTTCCATCCATGGCAAAACTGGTCTGAATAGGTCGAGGGTCAAATAGATCCGGATGGTTACAAACGCGCCGGAGACTCAGCAAGACTGCACCAGCCTGGACACCGCTACCTTTGGCCAATGTAGCTTTAATCTCTGCAAGACCCATGTAATCCTGGTACAACTGGCGTTGTCGCTTACTGAGCTTGCAAACCACGACGCTTTCTGTTTTCTTGGGCAGGTCTTTTTCGACTTCATTCTTTTGTCTCCTCAGCAGGAAAGGTCGGAGTGAAACATGGAGATGCTTTACCAAAGTCTGAGCCTCGGCAGAAAGCTTGTCAGCACCGTCTTGAAAGATTTGTTTGACAATTGGCTCCCAATGGCTCAGAAATTCTTCTAGCTCGCCGTGACCAGAGTCGTCATCTTCGTCGCCAGTCCGTAGAAAGGTGAGCAACGCCCACACTTCGTCCAGGTTGTTCTGTAATGGAGTGCCAGTCAACAAGATACGTGCCCTTGAGCGAAGGCGAATAAGAACCTTCCATCGCTGGCTATTGTAATTTCGAATGTTGTGGGCTTCGTCGAGAATCAGATAATGCCACTGGACATTGCGCAGAGAAGAGATGTCTTGCATGGCGATATTGTAACTGGTGACGACCACGTTGTAACCCCGTTTGTCTTTATTGTCGTGATGCGGATCATTCGCCCAGCCACGTCTTTTTAGCTGACGTTCTTCCTGCGTTCCATAATAAGCCAGAACACGGAATCCAGGAAGAAACTTTTGAAACTCGGTTGCCCAGTTGAGAATGACCGATGTTGGCACAATGACGAGATGAGGCTCCCAAACAGCATATTCTTCCGCAACATGGGCCAGAACAGAAATCGTTTGAATTGTCTTTCCAAGACCCATTTCATCTGCAAGAATTCCGTTCGTGCCGTTGCGATATAGTGATGCCAACCAGTTCAGACCGGCATGCTGGTATGATCGAAGGGTACCACGTAATAGACTAGGCAAAGGCACCGCGGGAACCATTGCCTTTCCAGCACCTTCGGTGGGTGTTGCTGTAGCAGGAGCCAATTCCTTGGATTCTCCTTTCTCATCGGCCATGACTTCCTCAGCGGAGTCTGTATCCATGGCAACTCCGGGCTCGATCGATTCCTCGACGACATCTTCGTGCTCGAATTCGGCACCCTCCTGAGCCTGGACAATTCCGGTCTTGAGCTGCTCCTCAGAGACTGATTCGGGACTGGAACGTGCGTCCCCGCCGTTTTCCACGCTGGTCATCGGTGTGGGAAGCGAGCCGTCACGCTCCACAAGCAATTCCTTCGCGCTGAAAAGAGCCAACAACGAATTTTTCATCAAAGAAGACTGTTTCTTATCGACAGCATCAGTACTCTGGGCGTCTTCTTGGCTATCGTCGTCATTCTCCTCGTCCGAACCGCTCATGTCTTCATCAGAATCATAATCCTCGGAGTCCATGTTTGTCGACTCGTCCGATGAAAAATTGTTCTCGGCTTCGACCTCGTCTTGCGTAGGTGAGACAGATCTTGAGGCGACAGCGCGAGTTCTTGCGCGCCGCTCCGGCTTCACCGTTGCGTCGTCGTCGCTACCGCCGCCCGGATCGGATTTGGGGATGGTCTCCACTTTGGTATCTTCTTCATCGTGTTGAACAGCTGGAGTTTCGCCTTGAGTGACAGCATTTGAGTCGGTGTCCCTTCCGGAAGATGATCGATCATCGTCGGACCCATCACTTTCGCCTGAATTGTCCGCGTCATCATCATGCTCAACCTTATCCGGCGGCTCGGCTTGTCGTTGCGCCAAATACGCTGCGAGCGCTTGTTCATCCATATCCCCTTCCTCTTCGTCATCCTCTTTCTCCGAAATGCTCGAGGAATCACTCATATTGGCTTCCTCGTCACCTTCACTTTCCGCTTCAGTGTCACGATCGCTGATTATGTCGCCAGTGCTGTCCTCCTCACCCTCCATATCGCTATCCAGCTCTCCTCGCTGCCTAGCAAGCATCAATTGAGCAGTGTCTAGCTTCTTTCGCAGCAACTCCTGTTTCTTGAGTTTCTCTTGCATTTCCCATCTAATTCGCTTCACCTCTCTGACATGCGCTTCTACCATATCCCACTTTGCTTTCATGTCCGCGACAATTTGTTTCTGAATCATCTTAAAAACGTTGTTCTGCTCTTCAATTATGTCCTCTTCTGTTGGCCCATGCATCGCTCGCCAGTATTCAAGAGCTTCCTGGGCAATCTTTTTCGCAATGATTCGGTGATGTGTTTTCTCGCGGAGCTGCAACTGGCGTAGGTACAAAGCATGTGCAACCAGGTGGTCATGGTGTCCATACTGTGCCTGCAGATCTCTTTGTCGGTCGTCTCGGAACAAGCTGAGTCGCTCCAGGCTCAACACTCCGCCTGATTGAGCTTCTTGTAGCAGCCTTCGCCGCATGGCCCCTTCTTCTATTGCCTTCTCCAATGCGCGTCCGAGGAAGTAATCTGCATCTGGCTGACCTTTATCACTTTCGATGAACGGTTGTTGGAGTTCCCTCAGTTCATACTTCTCCAGCACTTGGTAAAGCGATTGCTGAGGCGGTCTGATCGGCGTCGGTGGGGTTGCTTGGGGATGAGGAGGCTCAATGGCATTCCTCGCAGCATTCAGCCGCAGCTTGATCGTTGGCGTTGGTTTTACGTCCTCATTTGCCTGCGAAGATCTGCCTGTTCGCCTGGACTTTCGATGAGCTTCAGTTGAACGCTCCGGCTGAGATAGCTCTTCCACTGTATTCTCCACATCGCAACGCTTCTGAAGCTTTCGAGATTTGTCTGTGTGAGACGTTGAACAAGATTTCGAGGGCTGAAGTGCGGCAATCTGAGCCTGGAGTGACGCAATTTTGGCATTTGAACTCGAAGGGCGGCCAGGGTGCGATTGGAGAGGCGCAGTGCTGACTGAACTCCGCTTTGGTCGTTTCGGCGTCGATGGTCTCCCACGCTTATCCTTCGACTCCACACTCTTCCCGGCGGCCGATTTATCCTGCCTCTTTTGACCACGAGGGCTTGTGCGCTTCGCTTCCTCACCATGCTCCCGATTTACACGGCCGCTCTTACGCATGCCGTCTATTTGCAAAGTTGTAGGTCCTTCCGCGCCAAACTTCTTCCATGGAGGACTTGACGTTCTCGGCTTCGATGTTTGTGCTCCACTGACGAGTGAACGCTCATCAGTCTCGCTCGACGCTGGGTTTTCTGCGTTGACTCGAGCCGATATACGACGACCATCTGCCGTTTTTAAGGTTGCAACCTTTGCAGTTGGAAATTGCCATGGAGGTGATGCAGGGCGCTTCCGTTTCTTACAGTGTGTTTGCGCTGATGGCTCAGACGTTGACAAGGAATCTCCGGTGAACTCCATATCATCTCTTCCGTCTGTTGCCTCTTTCGTTGGGTCCGTGACATCGTCCGTGGCATCCTCTGGTGCGCCATTTTTCACAATTGGCGAGTCCGGTGGAGAGTTCAACTCCATAGAGGGAAGGAAATCTGAGAAATCATGATTCGAAATGGCCGATAAAGGTGACGAGTCCGAGGCCGTTGTCGCAATGTTACGATTCTCGTCCTTATCGGCATGTGGTGTGCTGTGCGCTTGCGCCTCCGCAGTCGAGTGCACAGTCATTACCAGCGAGCCTCGTCACTAGCCTGTACGTTGTCATCGTCTCAGGCAATGTAGCATAGCATTCCGATATTGTTGAGAATCAGGCGGTGACTAGTCGATGAATTGCGTGTGATGTGTTGAGAACTTTGATGCGCCGAATAAAAGTGATGTAACGCGTCAAATCGACTGGAAGTCGCGTAGGCGAGTGTGTTATTAATGAAAGATTCCGAAGTCCCGCTCTCCAGATGTGAAGCCTATGATGTGGCTGTCCCGTTGTGGTTAGCGCCGTTGTCGACTGCCGCCAAGCCCGTTCACGTTCACGACTGCAGCTCAAGCTTGAGCGACATTGGGGTTTAATGATTATCTTTCGAGGGTGCTTGAGACCGCGAATACTATCACTTTCATAACGTCAAGTAGAGTCTAAGGCTTCTACGAGACAACATGGCCAGCCTCCGATCAGCCATTCGTTTGACGCCTCGCGCGCAGTTCGCACGCTCGTCACCCGCCTTTTGCAACACGCAGCGACGACTTGCTTCAGTCACATCCAGGCCAGCGACAGACGACAAGGCAGCCAGCCAGGCTGAGCAAGCCTCGGAAGATCTCGGAGATGATCCCAACATGGTATGCATGGCTCTTGTTGGACGGAAGTGGATATGAGACAGCGTGAGCGTGGAATGGCAGACAGATGGGAAGGGGAAAGATCAACCGTCCACGGAAGGACAGAGAGGATGCCTGAGCGGCGAGGCTTTTGCTACGAGACCATATTGCTGACAAGGCTGTTTTGCAGAACGGCAACTACCCCGACCCTTCTCTCACATCAGCGCTCCCGATAAAGCGACAACATCGTGATCCTTACGGGGAGTGGTGGGATCCCATTGAGAAGCGAAACTACGGCGAGACTGTTCACGAAGATAACGACATTCTGGGAGTGTTCTCGCCAGATGAATACACTCACTTCAAGCCCGGCTGGGGAGCAGTCCTTTTCGTACGCATAGACGTTAAACCACGACGCAAGCGTGAATATGTCGCTAACTTTTTCAGGGCTCCTTTGTGGCTTCTGTGGGTGTACTTTGTGCTGTTGTGTACCAACTATACCCCGACCAGGTACGTTTCGACGGACATGGCCAAGCAATGCCGTGATCTAATTATTTGATCTCCAGCCTGCGGTTTCACGGACCTTCGAGGGTGGTCTCGATCGTGAGCTAGGTGGCGCACTCGCCGTTCCAGCTCGCGCCTCGGAAGACCAGCCTGCGCCTCTCGATCGCGATGTCGCATGAATATGAAGGCGACCTGCGTGTACCTAATATACAAACACACTGCTCGTGTGATGTATGACCACATATTTGCTTTGTTTGTGTAAAACAGTGGATGCCACCTAAGTGCAGCGGCACTGAGATCAAGAACTCCAGATTGAGCTTGATCGCATAAAGACATATCACAATTTGGAAAACTTGAAAACTCTGATCGGATTTTAGCAGCTGGTCACGGCTCGTCAAGACTATTCTGGGCAACCTGCTCCATATGTCAAGATGGTTCGTCTGCAACTGATAGAAGCGAAGTGATGTTGGCCTTCACATGCAAATTTCATTTTTCGATCGTTATCTTTCTCAATCTCACGACATGACTCGAGCACAAGCCTCTCCCAATGCCGCAAAGACGTGACGAAGAGTGCTACACACTGTAATGGACATCAACACTAAATGAAACGCCATTCCAGGCATTATGTCATCTAATGCGGCTTGTATTTCTGTTCGCACAAGTCAGTGATGAGTTTGGAAAACAAACATCGTTGAAGGAACTCACATCTTCAATCTGTCTCATATTACTCCGATCGATCTGATTGCCAACACCAAGCAACGTTGTGCCCACAGCTCGTGTGGCGCCGATCACAGGTCGCAAGAGTAGTGTTGGAGCATGTCTGGCGACAGCAGCAATGGCATCTCCCGGACTTCGACTATCCATCATCTCGCCTTGCACAGCTATCAGAGCGTCTTTCGCCGTTAAAAGGTCATGCTCCAGCTGTCTTCTGGCCGTTTGTAGTCCAGCCAACACGCCCAATGGTTGGTTCGCGTAAGCTGATACCAATCGTTGCTCGGACTCGTCTTCGCCGGCGGAAATTTCGTGCACGCCACCATCGCTTGAGACGCGACGGATTGTGCTAGGACGAGAAGATGATCCGATAGCGGGTGAGAGATATTGTTCGGCGGTTGTAAGGACTGTCTGAGTACCCAGCGCGACCTTGGCACCGAGACGGGCCAGCTCTGAAGCAGTGGTTTTGCCAAATGTATAGCTTCCCTTCTGGATGCTGCGAACAATGCGGCCATCTTTCCGATACTCCCGAACTGGAATGGCAACGACATCGCGAAATCCTGTGCCAATATTCACAAGACTACGCATGGCCGCTATGCCCGAAAGTACGACAGGCAGCTGGTTACGAATCACGTCTTCCACCCATATGTCGTTCAGCGTGGGATGAATCTTGTCAAAGCCTCGAAGTCCGTATACAATCAGGTGCTTCAGCTGGATATTTGCACCTTCCAATGTGACGATGTTCTTCAGCTCTGAAGTCCGACCAGCCCGAAGACCAACATAATCCAGCTGCTTTGGCTTGTAGTCAAGGCGGAGGTCAACAGTGTCAATTTCAAGTCGCTGGATAAATGGCTCTTCGGAGGGTGGATCGTTCGAGGTAAGTCTAGCGTCCTTGAAGTCGAAGAAGCGATTGATGAAATCGAGTGCATCTTGATCCACGTGCAATCTCAAGGGGAGCACAGAGACATGTAACAGCATCTCTGAGGCCGAATGGCTTTGTAGTGTCTTGACGCTCTGAATGTCAACGTCGAACATTGGTCGAGCAACTTCTCTTGTACGAGGACTGTTATCGATGTGCGTCAAAAACTTGCGCCATGTCGATGTGGGTACTCGATCAAAGATTTCGAAATCCCCTATTCGCAGACTGACGGTATTCACAACATCACCACTCCCGGGCGCAAAAGCCTTGACGTCAGCGGCAACATTTCTCAGCTCAAATGCGATCTTATTCTTTCTGCTTCGACCTAATTTCAGGCGACTGCGCCGAGGTGCGAGACGCGGCTGGCCTGAGGAAGAGTAGTTCGTCGGTCGGGATGTTCCAGACACGGCGACGCTCTCAGTCTCGGTAGCTTGATCATTGATAGCTTTGTTGATAGCCCTTCTCAGGTCTTGGTTCTCATGACCTGCTGTGACGCCAATGTAGATCGAGTTGAACAGAAAATCGCCGATGACTGACTCATCGTCATCTACATGGTTATGTGATTCGCGTCTTCGAGTCTTGCGCTCCTCAGCCTTGAGCTCCACCTGTTCCACTGTGAGCTCAATGTCATCTCGTGTGCGTTGCCAGTCGTAGCCGTCATATAATTGCCATATTAAGTGGGTGTCCCGAACCCGCACCTTCAATGGTACGTTGCTGTTCTTGGTTGTGATATTTGTGGGATGTGGTTTCTCTGCGTCCTCTTGCAGCAGGGACACAGTTTTGTCATCCACACAAGCAAACTGCTGTTTGTCTAGGGCTCGAAGTAAGTGTGTGTCGCTCATGATGTCTTCTGGGATGTCGGGCATCTCAAATGGGTCATCTTCCAGCAAACTTGCGACGGTATCTAAGTGATCGTGCGACACGGTCGAATCATTCCCAAGGTTGTCTCGATCATCATGATCGAAAACATCGCCAATCGGTCCGTATAAGCTCGAAGTCATCTCGGACTCCTCAAAAAGATGCCGAGATTCGACGTCCAATCCGGCAACATCATACAGAAGATCCGAGTCTGCGCTGATGTCGTCGTCAACGTCGAATAAAGTCTCTGGCAGTGCCACGGGCTCTGCATATGGCTCGCCAGTGAATGATGCCATCATATCCTCAATCGTGATCGGCTGTGTCAAATATTTGGCATCCTTGCTAGGCGCTGATGGCGGTGCAAGATCTCCCAAGGTTGCGAACAAGGTTGCGGTAGAATCGGCACAAGTTTCAAGGAGGAATAGCTCCGTCTTCAAGTCAACCTCTACATTTTTCTGTTCCGAATCCAGGTGATCATCTGCGACCTGGACCATAACGACGGCCTTCATGACTGAACCAATCGGTATGTACCCCTGGGATAACAACAGCCACTCGATACTCTGAAGTGTATGTGGAGATTGCTCTGATGCGGAGCTCGGTGGCTGCTCAATCACGATGTCTGTCATGTACAGAGACGCTTTCTTGAGCCTCAGCGTGACCTTAACGACGTCGCCCGGGGGAACGATGGTCGATATGTGGGTGTCATTCAGAACGAAGTATACCTTCGACGTCAGTTTTTGAGGAGTAAGGCCAATGGCTGAGTCATGGATTTGCATGTCAAGGCGCATTTTCTTCTGGCTAGCTGCAGAGAATTCGCTTGTAGTTGTAGACCTGTTCACAGGTTTTCTGGGTGTGTTGGTCATGGAAAAGCTTGCGATTGACTCTGCCATGTTGATAATTAACTGCTCCGCCTCAGGAATTGATTCTGAGCCAATTAATCCCCTGAGCATCGGAACGCTGTACTCTACCGCGAGGTTGAAGAATTTGATCTTCAAAGTTGGTTCCTCTTCATCGCCAAGGAGGCGTGCCATCAAGACGGGCAGGTTTTCAAAAGCCGGGTACAGTACTAGAGTGTGAATCAAATCAGGGCCTCCTACCGGCGATGCTTGTATTTTGCCAATGGCTAATGCAAGAAGAGCCGGCAGACCGACATGAGCCAGATGGGCGTCTTGCAGTACTACTCGAAGAAGACCAAAATCCTGATTTACTGGGAGGCGAACCTCAGTGGTCCTGAGACATACGAGTGCCAACATTCCAGGCCGCTCGTCCTCAGGGAGATACTTGGCAACAGCCGAAAGTCGAGAAAAGTCTTCGCCCAAAGTAGTGAGAACAGGAATGCAGCTCCAAGAACTCAACTTGAGTTTTGTGTCACTGACCACAACTTTGAGAACTGCACCTTTCCGTCGTTGACGCAAGAGAGTGTCGATCAGTATGTCGTTGTCATTGTCATACTTGTCCTTGGAGGGTGTCAGAAGCGACAACAATCGCTCGAGATCTTTGTCCTGAGGACTGTTCTGGAACTCTAATCTTAGGCCAGAGATGTCGGCACAAATTGGCGCTTCGAGAAAGGATTCATTGAAAGGCCCTTCTATCATGATATGACTGAGCGACACGGAAGTTCCGTAATGTCGATGGATGACTTTGAGCGCGGTTGTCCGGAGCGTCAAAGAGCAACGCATTGTTTGCAAGGTTGCATTTATGCCATTGATTCGGCCGTTGAACTTAATTTCATGCGAAACACTCTCGATCTTGTCAACTTTAGTTGCGAAGCGGACGCCTTTTGTCGGACTGGGCTTGATCGTGGGCGCACTCGACATGCTATCTCCAAGGATCGAGCCGCCAAACTCCAGAATGCCACTGAGGCCACCAAAGGAGCCAAATATGTCATCAACAGTAACCAGATCCAAATGCAACATCAAAGATGCGGTTTCCAACTGAACATCAGTGATTGATTTATTGTTGATGCCGCCCCTGTGCTCCGAAACAACGAGATCAAGTATATAGTCGTCGGCAGACAGCTTTCGTGATGCTGTCATGGGTATGATATCGTGCCGGAGGGATAGAAAATCCCGGTCACCGAGCAAAATTTTGAAAGCCTTGATCTGGAGGCTCGTGTCCTCGGTCTTCGTAAAGTGGATCTGTTCACAGATCAGACTGGCTAAAGAGTCGGCGGATGGTCCAGCTCCGGTCCTCTGAATTTGAGGTCGGAGTCGATCACATAACGATACCGCGAGCCGCTCCAGGCCTACCCTGACAGTAATAGCGTTTGTAGATTGGGCATTGATTCCGGGTTCCTTCGTTTCGGAGCTGCTTGACGATTGATTGTCTGGGAAATCTGCGACTACCTTTGTACATAGATTGTACAAGACACGGCTCGATGGGATATCCACACGCAAATTCATTGTACCGATGCCTACACTGAGGGTCGACAGAATTGACTCTAACCCACTGAAGGTTTTGGGAGGCTCTGATTTTCTCTCTGGCATAGAGTACAGAGAGCTAGCTAGGCTTTGTCGTGAACGAGATAGATCTGAATACGCTGAGAAGGCCCCAGGCATCTCTCTGTTAAGGCCCTGAGTCTTGGCCTTTGCATTGTCCGGGACAGGGATAGTGTCTGTAGAGGAAGAGGCTATTTCCGGTTGACGATGATACACTACCAATACTTTGTCAATCGAGAGAAGTTGAAATGAAGATTCTTGCAACTTTCTCGCCGATTCGGATAACGCGGGTGCGAAGTTTGGCGAAGTGGCCCGAGGAGTTTCACAAACGGATGCGACAGGAGTACTCTCGGAGGCCACGCTTTCTGCTGTCTCTCGAATCTGGTATTCTGGAGTTGCCAAGTTCCGCTCGTGTGCTCTTTCATGCAATGAAATGTCGGTATCACTGTCATCGGTGTGCCAGGCTCCTGGAACGACTGCGGTTGTTTTCTCCATGACAGCACTGAGGTATATGCTTTCAGCTTCTTCATGAGTATAATATCGAGACTCCAGCATTTCGTCATTGTCTTGATCATCAGCACTCTCATCGTCATCATTGTTCTCGTGTGTCTCGGATTCGACTTCTGGTGACGGAGGTCGCTGCGAGTCCGACAGTGCTGGAGACTGCGAAAATCTCAGCTGATTACGCAGTCCGTCCCGGCCGACCTTATGCGCATCACGGTCGATCCTGTCTGTAACTTGGATCTCGTCATCAAGATTCGGCCATGACTTTAAGCTTTTCTGCAGCCTTGGCTTTACTCCATCTTGGCTAGGTCCAGGCCATGACTGCATATTCGTGGGGACCCGTGTATTTAGACGGTTTCTGTCTTGGTCGTGCGCATCGTTCCATCTATTGTGGAACTTATGTGAATCGTCAAGGCCGTAAAATTGGTCATAGCCTTGAGTTGGCGAGAGCTGCGCATCGTCGGCATTCAGCATCGAGCTCCACAGATCATCCGCGAGACCATCTGCCCGAATTCTGCGAGAACGCCAACTTTCATTATCGTCACCTGCTTGTATCTCGATCGAACTTTCGATGGTCTCATCAGGAAATTGCATTTGTGAATCGTTCAGCGTTGAGGGATTGGAAGATGCTTCGTGCAAGACAGGAAGATCGTCGACAACACCGGCATGCTCGTTCGTGGACATCTTGCTGCCTTCGGTGTGTATCGAGGAAGATTCATCGTAATGAACAGGTGCGACAGTGAGCATGGCGGAATTATGTTCTTCATTGACCGACATGTGGGTAGGGGCTCTGCTGAGTGTTGGTGAGGTCTGCCGTGAGACAGATGCCAGGCCGATCATGATTGCATCCCTCGCAATGAGATCCAGAGTAATATTGTATGCGGCCACATCTGCTCCCAGAATTCCCGTTCCATGAACTTCACCAACGCGTAGCTGCAGAGCAATCGGGCATCGATCGATGTTGTCTGTACCAATCTCTGCTTCCAGGCGGATTCGTAGGTTCACGATGCGGTATTTTACCCGCTCGAGGACGCCCTCTAGTATCTTCGACAGAAATATAGGAAGACCTCCAGCTACACCAGTGCCCACATCTCCATCATCGTGCTCAGTGTCACTCATGAAAGATTCCTCGATATCCTTCATGTCTTCAACAATTGATGTCTCCATCTCCTTACGCTGCACAAGCGACTCATCTTTGAGGAACGACCTTGCCATCTCTTGTGTGGTGGGCAGGTGGGCGTCTGTTTTCGAAAAGATCGTACCGCCAGGATCGTAAGGTAGTGGTGAGCGCGGTATCCCGTCTGATGTGTGATGTTTCGGGCCTCGACCAGGGCCGGACGCGGACGTCGTTTCGCCATTATGATCTGCCGAACAAACGACAACCTCGATCCCATCAATCTCAAGCTCGACGTTTGGTTGATAACCTTCTCGAACAAAGATCAGCCGAAGCGATAAGAGCCGAGCAGTCTTCAGTTGTAATGATGGCGGCAGCTGGGCCACTTCACTGATACGACGAACGTCGAGCCCGAGATTCTTCAACTCGACCACGCTTCTCTTGCTCCCAAGGGAGATGTCGAAGTTGGCAAGGTCTTTCGCCGTCTCCGCGTCCAGGAAGCCACTCTTCAGCAAACCATACCGGATCGCGTAGGGCAACAAGCGACCCTGCCAATTCCACCACGACATCTTGGAAAGGCCTAGAGGTTTGTGAGACGATGGCCGGACGTCTGTGCTATACAGGAAGGCGAAGACTACACTTTTTAAGAGCAGGAGATGTATCGTGCTAGGCCCGCGTTCATCGCGTGCCAGGAGACGTGACCATCATCGACCGACATAGTACACCAATCAAGCGCATGTCAGTATAAGCTGTAAGATGTGTCTACGGATTTGCGGTGAGATCATCATCGAAAAGGCGAGGCTTCAGAGGGTAGTCACTGTGCAGGTGAGCAAACTAGCCAGGTAGTGGTCACGCAGCAGATACCAGCGACAGTTGACTTTATCAAATATGGTCACGCCCTGACCGAGTTGCGGGGCGTCACTTTGATAGCGCAGCGGGCGTGTGTGGGCTGGGTGATAGTTAGGGTTCCTGGACACTCGGGCTCAACAAGACGAATGACGTGGTGCTACACGTGAACCATTCGATCATCTCACTGTGACAAGTGATCTGTATTGATGCATATCATTCGAACTGGCTTATATATACCTGCTTGTTGTACGAAGGCTTCCGATCGAGATCATAGTCTTGCGCCTCGAGCTGAAGAGAATTATTTCACAAACGCCAAATTCATATCAAGAACTTTCCATCCAAGTGACGAAATAAAGCTCAACAAGCGCAGTTGAGTCTAGTTCACACAGGCCATTAGAGCGGCTAATGTCAATTGAAAATCCAACATAGACATAACAAACTAGACAGCAGCGGAGACAACCTTCACAATTCGACATTGACGGATGACGCCATGGCTTCAGAAGATCTACCAGCTCAAGTCCATGCTCTACAGATAGACGATGATGATAATCAAGAAGAATGGCTTCGCAATGAAGGCGTTCCCTCCTACGATCAACCCTTCATTCAAAAGTATCTTGACGGTCGTGATGCTTTAGTGGCGCAAGAAAAACGACAAAGAAGCGACCATGCATTCCGCGAGACCCTATCGCCAATGGCCGCTGAAGCAGCAGCGATCATTTCCGCCATCCGGTTCGAGGAACAACAGACGCTGTGGAATCCCGCAGCCGAGGACGAGCTGGCCAGATCAGGCAATACTGGAATCTATCCCGGCATGATGTTTACTCTCGCCAAAGGACGTATGGAGCAGAGCAAACTTTGGCAGATCGTCAGGAAAATGCCCAAGGGTGCACTGTTACATTGTCATTTGTCAGCAATGGTCGATCATCGTTGGCTCATGGAACAGGCTCTGAAGACAGAGGGAGTGTGTATCCGAGCCGAGAAAGCACTGCACACAACCGAATCTCGACAGACAGAAGTCTTTCGGTTTGCGTTTGCCAAACCACAATCATATTCCTCCGGACCATCGATATGGTCGTCAGACTACGAGAGCGATAGACTTATCCCTATCGTGCAAGCGGCAGATGCATTTCCTGACGGCGGCAGAGACGCATTCATCACCTGGTTTATCTCGAGAGTCTCGATATCTCCCGAAGAAGCGGTATCACACCATCTCGGACCGAACGCAATATGGGAGAAATTTGTCTCATGCTTTGGGATTTTAGATTCATTGCAAAAGTACGAACCGATTTTCCGTGCTTTCCTGCGGAAGATGTTCGAGCAATTGCACGAAGACGGCGTCAGATGGGTAGACATTCGAACCACCTTCGTGGACACATTCTATAAAACCGGCTGTGAGGAGGCTGACGTCGATCACGAGAACATGCTAGCTTGTCTGGAGGACGAGATCGAATCGTTCAAGTCATCGGAGGCGGGCAAGGGATTTTGGGGTGCTCGCATGATCTGGACCGGTCTCCGAGCCTCAGATCCGCGGAGAATAGTTGAGGACATGAAGAACTGTATAGAGATGAAACTCCTCTTCCCAGATCTCATCGGCGGCTACGATTTCGTCGGTCAAGAGGACATGGGTCGACCTCTTTCCGACATGGTGCCCGAGATTTTCTGGTTTAAGAAGCGGTGCGCAGAAGCAGGAGTGGACATTCCGTTCTTCTTCCACGCCGGTGAGACGCTTGGGGACGGAGACTCTGTCGACGAGAATCTCTTCGACGCCATACTGCTTGGTACTCGACGCATCGGACACGGGTTCTCATTGTACAAGCATCCAATGCTGTGCGATATGGTGAAAGAGAAGCGAATCCTAATTGAAAGCTGCCCAGTAAGCAATGAAATTCTACGGCTGACAGGTAGTATCATGTCACATCCTCTGCCGGCCTTATTGGCCCGCGGCGTCCCGTGCTCTTTATCCAACGACGATCCTTCGATTCTTGGTCAAGGCGCCACCGGAATGACACACGACTTCTGGCAGGCTCTGCAGGGATTTGAGAATCTTGGACTAGAAGGATTGGCTAGCCTGGCCGAAAATAGTGTGCGTTGGGCTAATTTTGAAGACTGCTCTGCCAAGCAGTGGGCGACCGAGATCAAGGAAGGCTCATTTGGGAAGAGCATACGAGCGCAACGGATGAAGGAGTGGGCGCGTGATTTTGAAAAGTTCTGTCAATGGGTGGTATTGGAGTACGGAGCCGACATGGACCTGCTTGACTAGACGTACATTATCGATAAGAAGGTAGACTCTCCAACAGCCAGGTATGGTCGACTAGATTAGCACGCCTTCCATCGTTCTTCGAACGGTGACGGTTTGAGTTCAGCTGTTTGCTGCATACGGCGATGCAGCCCGCAATCTTCCACCAAACACCCAAAGTATGGTAGCTCCTGGGTAGCCGATGATCAATACCAATAAAGCTAGTGCACTATTTCCCCAGCCCCAGCCCAGTCTCTCATACATGGAGGGCGCGAAGAGCGGAAACGTGAAGCCGGTCAAAGCTCTTGCTACAGCTGTTGCGCCGATCGCTGAGGCTGCGTAAACCGGGTACGCATCGATGGTGTATGTCTGCAAGCAGGCCATATTGATGCTGACGCCCATGGCAAAGATCGCGGCCCCGACATTTGGTACGATCCAGTGTAGGCGTGCTTGTGCCGACCAGCCGTAAATGAGGAGGCCGGCCGCAAGGAGGAATGTCGAGACGAACATCAGAGGAACGCGGAATTCGGGAATTGCTTCTTGGTTAATCGATTTTCGTTTCAGACGACGAAAGATTACATCAATCAGGCGTGCACCAATCTGCATGCCGGTGACAGATCCAATCATGATGGAGATGTAGTTTAGTCCGCCAATGCCGGTCGACTCTCCATAGTACTCCCTCCACAGCAGGGGGAACGTTGCCTAAAATTCCGTCAACGCTGGAAGTTCGGTGGATTGACGAGAATTGATTGCAATTGAACACTCACGAGCATGATGTAAATTATTCCATACGTCAGGGCCATGAAAGTTGCAAGAAAAATAACAATGGGCTGCGTGATCAGCAGTATCACAACCCTGACCGAGGCACGCCGCATGACGGCTCCGATACCACGATCTTTGAGCTCGTATTTGGTGTGGAATTTCTCGTTTCCAGTCTCGCGGCGTAATCGTTCGGCTTTCCATCGCAGGATAGTCGGCGCATACGTCTCGGTCAGGGTGAAGAATAGTAAGACTTGAACAGAAACACCAAAGATTGTTATAGCCCAGAACGACCTACAATGAACTTCGTAAGCAGAGTCTAGAAGTCGTTTTCGAGGATGCACCAACCAGCGCCATGTAGTCCTTTCGGTAATCCAGGCTCCCATGAGCGGTCCAAGCGCAGGACCGAGTAAAGGTGCTAAGGTGTATATTGAGACAGCGAGCCCACGTTGCTCTGGCTTCCACAGATCGGACAGAACTCCGCCACCGATAGTTTGAGGGGCACTTGCACCAAGGCCAGCAAGGAAACGGAATGCAAGCATTTGAGATTCATTGTGTGCAAAGCCACAGGCCAGGTTGAAAACCAGAAACCAGCTGTATTAGCATAGGTCAGCACAATGTCGGACTCGAAAATACCTGCAACCGGTAGATATCCGTACATATTTGATACCTGTAACACAATCATACGCCCAAAGATCTCGCTTAGAGGTGCTAGGACGAAGGGCGCAATCGCAAACGCGAGCAAGAAGATAGAGAAGATGAGTTGCGACTGCAGTTGACCGCCTGTGATGTTCAAATCTTTTGCAATGGAAATCTCAGCCGGCGCAATCATCGACGAGACGATCGGGGTCATGAAAGTGACAAGTGAGACAAGTCCTGTCGCCAACCACCGTCGGTGGAACGGCCAATTCTTGGGATTGGACAAGTCCTCGGGGCCATCCCAATCGACCTACTTCTCGTTAGCATGCTGTCTAAACTCATTGTGAGGCAGTCAGATGCTTCACAAACCAGATATAGGTCGGAAATTTCGGAATCCTCATTTTTTCGGTTCGCATATCCCTGCTCAGAAGTCCTGACATCTGCATCAGGAGCACATTGGTCGTTGCCTGACATTGTATGGGCTTTGTCCGACATTGAACAATCGATGGATAATTATCTTGGTGATAAATTTGGAAAAAGCGTCGCAATCAATTTAAGAGGTAGAAGGGGGATAGTGCTCACAGTTTGAAGTCATGATGCCCTAGAACTTTGTACATGAGTGTACCTGATGTTGGCGCCACAACCTTCACATTCTCAGCATCAACAGACTAGGTAGAAGGCGACGTATCAGCGATGTCGGTAGATATGCATCGGCGGGTGAATGGAAGGAAACCATAGACTTGCACACGAAGCCTGTGGCCAGGAAAGGCATACTTGAATTTTGTACGCCGAAGAAGCGGCGATGGCAAGACTACAATGGTCGGACATAAACGGGTTATGCCGGCGACACGGGCACCCAAAGTCCGGCGGCGTGCCGATCATCGGCTGCAGTGCATCTCCCTGCCGACGATGAAAATGCAAAGCACCTGATGACCTTCTCCAAGGTTGGCTTCAATTATTTTGTGAAAGGAACACCCCGGGCCTGCGGCAATGACGGGATTACCGCGATGAATGATGAGTCTTCGTTTGCATCACTGACACCTTTCCATGTTGCGAAATGCTCCGTCTGAGGCGGGCTCGAGGTTGTCCGGCTATCTGAGTATGACTGTATTGTGCCTGGATGAGAACTACCTACCTAGTCAGATAAGGAAATGAAGTGTTTCCAACGGTGTGGTCTGTTGTACTAGAAATGTGCTTTGCGCAGCGGGTGATGGTTCTGTGAGCGACAGTCGATGGCGTCCTGTTCACTTCATCATTGATGCACGACCAGCAACCACTTAACGCAGATCATCGTTGCGCAATTCTTGAAATATCTACTGGACTGTTACCAATCTCTTAAATCAACGAAAGGTGAGCCTGTAAACTGCTTCGATTGTTCGTTCCTCTTGCTTTGTTCACGTGCGCGCATGGACGGGCGCTTCACGCGGCCGCGCGAGTCATGCGTCGGATGACCTCTCCGCTTTCTCGAGCCTCGTACGGATTTCACATGGAGCCCGACTACTATGGCGATTTAGTGATCAACGTGTACAGTATATGATCGACCAGGATCAACACTAGACCGGACTGACTACTGCAATTCTTGTACACCTTTATTCTTACTCTGCACCCGCGACCGATACGTGGGGATAGGCAGCTCACGACGATCACGCCCCAGTAGGACTGGATGTCGCTGGGGTACCCGACTGATTCTGGGCTTCCCTCGAACATGGGGATAGCCCAAGGCGGCGGGCAGGAAATGATGATGGATCACGATGCGACGATGATGATGGATATGGACATTCCTCTCCCGATGGACCTCGATCTCGACCTTGGCGGATCCAACGAGCCACAGATATTCGGTCCGGGACCCCGACCTTTACCCCAACACCCACGACAGCTTGGTGCCTCCGGACCGTCAGGACACACTGGACCACCAGGATTACCACTCGAGCGATCAATGCCAGACAGTCTGGGCAGTGTGCGGACACAGACGCCCAGCGAATCGATCATGCCAGTTGCAGGAGCCGGACCACCTCCAGCCGGGTTTGGCATGGCTCCACCACCTACGTCCAGCACCTTGACGGAATTCACTAAGAGGCGGAATTGGTCACAGCGTATTATCGAGGAAGTGAAAGACTTTCTTCACATTTTGTCGCCAGATGGCAGAATTTTATGGGTATCACCTTCGTGTAAAGCCTTGACAGGACACGACCCTACAGCGATCACTGGAAAATTCATGATCGAATTCATCCACCCGGACGATAGTGGTATATTTTGGCGCGAGTTCAATGAGAGCATAGCCAGCGGGAAGTTCATGCGATTCTTTTACCGGCTCAAGAAAGATGACGCATCTTACGCGATCTTCGAATGCGACGGACATCCTCACATATCTTCTGACGTGACTGGGCGGACAGGCAATCTTGCACAGAATACGCCAGCAGGGTACGGACAAAATCAGCCGCAGGGAGCAACGGCGAATGCAACTGCAACAACGGCAGCCACCGTCACAGACACAAATACAACTGCAACAGCCACCAATTCAATGGGCGGGCTGTGCAGTGGAGTTTTCATGATGGCTCGGCCGTACCCGACGAAGAATGCGGCTCTGCTAGACTCTTTCCTGGAACATAAGATGGAGAATGAGCGCCTCAAAAAGAAAATAGAGGAGCTCAAAAAGGAAGAGGAGGAAGAGGTCGCCGAGCAAGCTAGACTATACCGTAGCAACGTCATCTCGCCGATGCATCCTGCACAATCGCCTATGCGGACTGCTTCGCTGTTCCGCGGCGAAGATTCAATAGCAGAGACGCCTGACTACCAGGGAATGCCTCCGCCCGCCAAGCCATCAGTATCAAATACAGCCCTGACGCAACAAAATCTTAGCTCTGTGATGTCCTCGCAGCGCCCCGACAGCATCGCCGACAAGATGTCGCGATACGAAGCCAACAACACTCATCTCGAAAGCATCGAACTCATGACTGGTCTCCAATACCGGGAAGGCGAGCGAAGTCACGGCATCAGCACAGGCGATCAATCCCCCGCTCTAATCCGCGGTGACGCAGGCATTGCTATTCTTCTTGATCGCGACCGCGACGGCTCGAAGAAAGAGCGGAAGAAGGTCAAGGTCGCCGAGGAGTACGTGTGCTCCGATTGTGGCACACTCGACTCGCCTGAATGGCGTAAAGGTCCCAAGGGTCCGAAGACCCTATGTAATGCATGTGGCTTGCGCTGGGCGAAGAAGGAGAAGAAGCGCTCTGGCGACGATGTCAAAAGCAACCACAGTCCTCCTGGAATGAGTGGCAACTCCGTGTTGGGCGGATCCATGGAGAGGAATCCGTATGGGATCGGCATGTCCGATGCTCATATGTAAACCTGGACGGCAGCTATGTTGATGACTACGACCTACGACGGCGTTGTTGGGGCGGAGAGAGCATTTATGACTTCTTGCACATGGGCGACTTCTTGTGTGGCTAGACTAATCCCTAGTTACCAGGGCTTTTGCGATTAGGACCTGATTTTGGCTCCATATGTGACACGACGAATGAATAGGGGATCGAAAAGGTATTTGGCGTCCTTAGGTGCTCATTGTTGTATTTGGGATTGGTCGGACACCTTTAGAAAACATGACTGCATTTTAACATCTCGGGGCATCGGGAATGATGGCATGACAAACGGGGATTGGCGATGGTGTACAAAAGGACCGGTGCAGGCTAGCAGACCTCATTAGTTGTATACCTCATCGCGTGAGCCCTATGGTATGATTTAAACTCGATCATTGTTTCTTTGCTGTGAGATGAGGTGCAGTAGTCCGGCTCGCTGATCTGCAGTTGCAATCCAGTTCTGCGATTTCGCAGCATAGCCCTCATTTCTAAGCCCCGTTCGTGATCGCTCTATCTGTATGGTGAGAAAGCGTTTGTCCCGGAGGAAGCTCCGAGAGCGGCAGGGAAGGCCGATGCTGCTGAACTGACTCAAATCTGGTTAGAACAGCGAAACCTTCCGTGGACGTACTCCAAACGAGACTGAGCGCTTCATCATCATTTTAACGTTAATACTATCCAATGCGACAAATGACCATCATTTCAACGACTGCCGCCTTTGATCCATGCGCAGAGATTGCATAAGAAATGTTCATGTGTGCCTTTCTGATCTCGCTGAGCATCTCGTCTGACTAATCTGCTCAGTGCACCACCGAAAGCTTTCAAGGTTGTGGACCATGATCCGGCTCTGAGCAAACGCTGGACCCATGCAAGCCCATTGCGCAGAATCAGATGCCCTCATAGAGTTCATGAGCTTGATGTCACTTGGCGTGGAGGTCCGCACAAAGGAAGAATATGGAAACATGTTCGGATAGATTTGCCACCATGCCGCTGAGAATATTTTAAAGAAATGTACATGGTCGCCATTCTAATGGTCTACAGGAGTGCTGTCACTCAGTAAAATGGCGCAATTGACTAACGCTGTGGGAATGCTGATGCTATGTTACGTCGAGACACTTTCTCTGGTTGTCATCTCGCAAACAAGGGCAAACCGTCAGGCTTCAGCGATCGGGTCTCTTGTGCAGATTTCTCATTTCGAGTCTTTTGCGCTCAATGGTCACAATAAGGGTCAGATTAGAGACGACAGAAGTTGTTCGTTGTCTCCCGAGTGATTGCAAAGAATCGGCAGGAATTGTTCGGCCTCGCTGATGGTGGCTATCTCTAACCATTGTTTTACTCGTCCGATGTGACAGCTTTTCATCAATGGCACAAGGCTTCGACATCCCGAGTTTCGCCTGTCTGTGACACGTTTCGACGTCATCGCTCTATTCTCCAAAAGACCACGAATCGCCCATGGATGCCCTGAGCCTCTTCACATGAGGAGAGCGCGAGTCAGGTGGAGATGGCAATATCGTGCGATTCTGCCTTGGCTTCAGTCGCCAAGACGCTGCTCAGAAAGCGCTGTGATGATGATTGTATCGTCTCTAGTCATTCCGCAAGGGCTCAAAATCGCGCAGTTGGTAAAGGCTACCTTCAATCCCAACAAAACCCGCCAGTCGCCGTCACAAGCAGATTGCCAAGGAGTTGTCCCTCATTGAAACAGCCTGAGCTCAAATGCTTGACCAATAGGCTGTCAGCTGATTTCATTTGATGGACCCGACGTTTAGAAGTGTGGCTTGCTCGGGCGTTGATTCCGAAAATCTCCCGGCTCCCATCCAAGGCTACGCGGCTATTCACGTTCTTCTCAAGTATGGAAATACCTACTGGGACACCTGACTGGAATTCGGCGTCTTCCTTGATCCGGACACATGGGTAGTGTCGGGGTAAGCCAAGAGATTGGCGGTGTTATCAGCGGTTGGGAATTTCGAACTCAACGAAAAAGAGCACTGGAGATCGTGCACGATGGGAGATGGGCTATAGATCAGAGGCTCGAGAAGACCGCTCGGATCGGAGCTTGACAAGCCTTGGATACGTGATCGCAAACCTGAAGATGTGGTTCATGTATCGTCATACCATGAGCACGATTGTGCTTACAGACGTGCAAGACTCACTGACTTTCAGTATGTAGAATGCGGCGAAGTCGTTCGGTACAGTAATAACCTTGTTGAAAAGCAAGGATGGTGGCGGCGAGGTAGAGCCTTCAAATGCCTACTACAGCCGCTCTCACGGCGACAGGCCATGCACGATCGTGAGGGTCTTCCCACTTGGGAGAAGATGTAGTCTGGTATCTGTGGATAGACTAGCCGGTCCCGAAAATATCAACCCGCCCTGTCTACCCCAGACTTTGTCCTGCCACGCGATGTCCACGGGGCGTTCGCGCGAGCAACGATCTCGAACGGCGCAGCTCCATTTCGAGACGGACGCCGTGCTTGGCAATGCTATCAGTCGGAAGTCCCGCATTAAAGGAATTCCCGCAGTTAATATCAAAATGCAAGTAGCTCAATTGAAGGTTTCTGCACCTTCCGGGTGCCTATCTCTTCTATGTTTCGATTGCACCATCGCTCGTTGATACGTCTTGCCTTGGTCACTATTGATGGATGGGAGGCTGGTAATGGTACATACCCCGCAATCAAATCGCCCGCTTCAGTCCGGGGACCCCACAAGTTCATGGCTACGACCAAGACCGTCAGCCTTGGCATGTAACACGTCTGGGACGCCTTCACGGAGCTCTGGATCACATCGACTTCGAGAACTGGATTTCAGTACAGCAAATGTGCAACCTTCTTGGAGTTTGTCTTCGTGTTGCGGCGCTCAGTACGAGGCGTTTCCAAGATGCCAACGCTGTTGATCATGCAGCATGGTGAAGATATCACCCCGGTCTGCTCCGTGTGGTGTGCAGAGGCTATTGGGACGATGGAGTCATTTCGAGCGTGCCTTGCTATGTCGCGATGGCAAAAGTAGAGATATAAGATTGGGATAGTCCGCGCGAAGTCATGAGAGAAATCTGTATCGATCAGATTGGTAAATCCCCATCAATCACATTTTCTTGACCTTAAGTTTCATCATTGTTCTTGCTCACCCATCATGGCCACAACCAAGGTTGATGAGAAGACGATCGTCTCTCATACTGAGACCCTCTCTCCCACTCAGACCAATGATGATTTTCTTGAGAAGCTCGACCGACAGCCGACGTTCGATTACTCCGGTGCCCATCGAAAGACGGACCCCAAAGAAATCAGGCTTGTGAAGAAGCTTGACTGGTACATCATGCCGATGTCAGTCTATCGCGTGTTAAGAAGGATTCAATGGTCTTTCCATCTGACGTGTCTCCAGGTTATGGTCTATGTACTGGTTGAACTATCTTGATCGGAATGCCATCGCGCTGGCTCGCTTGAGCAGTCTCGAGAAGGACCTGAACTTGAGCAGCGCGCAATATCAGACCTGCGTCAGCATCCTGTTTGTGGTAAGCATCATAAAAAAGATGACAAAGTTGGCCCCGCATTCAGCTGATCTTCATTTCAGGGCTACATTCTCGGCCAAATTCCATCCAACATGCTCATCACAAGAGTTCGTCCATCATATTATATGGCTGGATGTATGGCGCTTTGGGCTGTTGTCTCCACACTCACAGCTGTCAGCAAAGACTTTACTGGTCTGCTTCTGACGAGATTCTTCCTGGGAGTGACTGAAGCTCCTTATTACCCCGGTGCTCTGTACATCCTCGGAATCTTTTACACCCGGAAAGAGATTGCCACGCGTATCAGTATCTTGTACACCGGAAACATCCTGGCAACTGCATTTGCGGGCTTGATTGCTGCCGGCATCTTCAAGATGGATGGTCTGGCCGGTCTGGCTGGCTGGAGATGGCTGTTCATCATTCAGGGCATCGTGACGTTCATCATCGCCGTTGGATCTGCTTTCATCTTGCCCGATGACCCTCTCCAGACTCGCTGGCTCACCCAGGAGGAGCGTGAGCTTGCCAATGGACGAATTCTTGCAGACACCGTCGGCGCGAAGGGACACACCAGCTCGTGGGCTGGACTCAAGGAAGCCGCCAAAGATCCCAAGATCTGGCTTTTCTCGTTCATGCAACACATGCATCTCGCAGCTAATGGCTTCAAGAACTTCTTCCCTACTGCGGTCAAGACGCTTGGCTTTGACACGACCATCACTCTCGTCCTCACCTGCCCGCCTTACCTAATTGCTGGAATCATCAGTATTGCTTGGTCGTGGAGCTCAGGCCACCACAATGAGCGGACGTGGTAAGTGATGAAATATTGATCAAACTCACGGATACGTCAAAGGCTGACTCAGTATTTGCGCAGGCATATCACAGCTTCAAAGGCAGTCGCCATCTTTGGCTTCGTGCTCGGTGCCGCCACACTCAACACAGGAGCGCGGTATTTTGCAATGTGCGTCTTCGCCATCGGAACATATGCAGTCAACAGCATTATTCTTGGTTGGGTCACGGCGACTTGTGGGCAGACGAAGGAGAAGAAAGCTTCTTCGCTCGCCATCGTGAACACGATCGCGAATGCATCCTTCATCTGGACTCCAGTAAGCATTAACGATTTACATCGACGCCTTCCGGAACGAATCGCTGATCAGTGTCCAGTATCTATGGCCGGTCTCAGACGAGCCGCGTTACGCCATCGCAATGGGCTCAAGTGCAGGGTTTTCACTGGCATGTGCCGCGTCCGCATGGGTCATGAAGATCTGGCTCAAGAAGCTCAACAAGGGAATCCGACAGAATGCAGACGAGAGCATCTTGGCCTTTGCCTATTGAGGAAACTAAAGCTCTGCACAAGGATTTGTCTGCGTTTCCACGCTGTGTGAATGGAGATCGTGCGATATCTGGTAATGATCAAAAGGACTAAATCAGATTGTCGTCGAAGTTGCCCTCATGGATTCCTGGACTGCTCCGTGATGCGCTGTAGTATCGCCTTGATCTCGAACAATTGTCCGGAGAAGGCTCACAGAGTCACGGCGCAGAAACGCTGAAACAATGAAGCAGATGCATCTGTCAAGCTCTTGCAAGCCTTATGGAAGGCTTGATACGTCAGCACTAGCGCTACTAACGCACAACTTCAGCCGATCTGTAGAAGCAGTATCGTTGCAAGTTCAGTGTCGCACCTGACAGCTATTAAACACGCTCCGTGACGTCTTTAGAGTCTGTATTATTTCCTTGATGAACGATTTGTCCTTGAGATTCGCCTTGACGATGCTATAAATTCGTTGCCTCAGTCATGGAAATGGAAAGACCGAGTTCGTATCCGATAGAGCACTCAACGAGGAAATGTGCCAGCTGCATGCTGCCTGCTATGTGAGAAGGTGCGCGCTGTGATGTGCTTTGCTTGATCGTATTTGACATTCCGCTCTTTGATACCGGTTGCTGGAACGATGGAACACAATGCCAGCGAACCCACGAGGAACATCTTGAACCCACAATTCATATTTCGAAGATCACACAGGGGACATTTGGAATGCGCTAGCGATTCATTCTCTTTGTTCCCAGAGATTCAAGGTAATCTGGCTTGGCGCACGCTGTGATTTTCTTTTGCAATGATGCGACAATCTCTCCATCTCAAGGCCTTCGATCGCCCTCACAGGCAAATTCGTCATGCTGGAATCCGCGACGGCTAGCATTACTCAATTTTGAAATTTGATCCGTTGCTCGTACGAGTTTAGACGACGTTCTCTTTGTCACAAGGCGTCAGGCGATGAATATGATGTCAGTGCATTTTGTTGGCGACGAATCGACAACGCCCTTAATCCCTGATGATCCCGCCTCCAAGTCGTGGGCGAGGAGGAACATATCTTCGACGCACATAACAGTCCCTCAATGCTCGACCGTTGCCACTTCTCAGTCTGCACATCACATCTGTACCGAACATTTGCACCGAAGTCGACTGCGGATAGGGCTTCGCGACCGCCGACGGAACTTTCGGACCGTGCATCGCTGTCCAACTCCTTGGCAGCGCCTCCATCGGGAAGCCTCGCCCCGGTTTGGCCTTTGGCGTCTCCTCCTCCGTCATCCGCGGATCTTGGTGTGAATAGTCATCCGTATTCTACACCACTGTTGTCGGACGATTTCGTCAATCAACATCACGGTAAAACCGCTCCTGCCCGACCAGACCGCGAATTCACACTGGTGGGTGTGAGGAATAAGGGATATCCGCTCGTGATGACCAGACGTCTCTGCCAAATTCTACCTCACATGCGTGCAGATCTGATCGAGGATCGCTGATCTATGAGATCGGACAGAACATCTATGCTGCCTCCCTGTACCTTCTTCACCGTCGCCGCTGTGGCCACAACTGTCGCCCCACTACTACATGCCTGCCGCATCAATCTCGAGATGCGCCAGGAATGAGCCAAACATCGAGCAACCCGTCTATTTTCACGCCGCGGTCTGAACGCAAGATATCCCAATCTGTGACGTCGTTGTCCTCGGATACTCTAGCAGTTTCAGCCAAATCGGAGCCTTCTCGCCCTTCGACACCCGTCGCCGAGCGCACACCAGGAGCGCACGCTGATTCAACTGCCGACTCAATCATTCCCAAATCGTCTCCCGCCCCAGCGACGCCTAGCCAAGAGAAAACCCAACCATCGCGATCGATATGGACAACTTTTGTTGACCACAGCTCAACGTCTGGGCCAGCGACAGCTTCACATACCCCGAAACACCGCCGAAGCGTGGGATTTCGCGCGCTCGAACCAACACCACAAGCGACGGAAAGAGCTTCGTTCGGGTCCGTTACGCCGACTGCACCAGCGCCTACGAGCATACTGTCGAAACGCAAACGAGACGGCGATCACAATCTGTTCATTCCAGGCATTGGTCATCGCGGCCCTACGTCGGAGCCCTCTCAGAAACGGCTCCAGTTCCAAGCGCGGCCCAAACATACTCTGAGCGGCACAAACTTTGGGCCCCTACGAAACCTGTTCGAGCCGCTTGATCAACCGACCTCGCCATTATTCTTTAGAAACCATCCTCAATCACGGCCGATTCTGCCGCCGCGCTTCTCGAGCAGCGAGGCGGCGGCGAGAATGTTAAGTACTTCACGCAGTGAAGACAGCCACGTGAAGACGGTGAGCCTGGCTAGAGGGACAATAACCTCCGCGCACCCCAGTTCAGGACCGACCAGCGCCCCTTCGTATCATCGCCACAGCGTAGAGCGCGCCAGCACCGGACGTAGTCACAGCCCCGAGAGTATTGGTAGTAGGGAGTATACCGGAGCGGGGCTGCTTAATTCCACCGGCATCGCGGAATTACTGGAGCAGGATGAGCGGCCAACATTCATCGTAGACCTAGGGGATGGCAGCAATTATGGAGAGCATACGGCGTTACATTTGCTGTTCGCGAATCCGGCACTGCGTTCGTATGATGGCTTGCAGAGCCTCTGTGCAGGCGTATATCCGGATTCAGCCTCGCCCGGTCAGGAATCATTCCTGCAGTTCAAGGTGTGGCTCTTGGGTGCGGCAGTCAATGGTGAAAGCCTCAATGTCTGTCTCCCACCTTTCACCTATGCTAGCCTGACCTGGAACTGTTCCACGGTACGCAGGCGATTGCGGATCATCAGTGGCGTATTTGGGTCCACAAATTCCGCATTGCAAGATTCAACGCGCAACAGCGTTCCACCTCATCAAAGAAAATTGAGTCTCGAGCCATTGCATGAGCCTACAGACTATTTCGGGGGCACCCGTCTTACCACGATTCCTCCGACGTCTGATAGTGCGAGTAGCTTGTCCGCCGAGGTCGTGGCTACTATCGAGCAGGTGCCACCGACAACAACGCCATTTCCTATCCCTTTACTCACCAGCAATGGCGAAATGGACATATCACCTGCCGGTCAAATACAGACGGCAGGACCACAAGATCACAATTCATCAGTATCTAATGGGCCGCAACCAAGTGCATCGCACGCCGATTTTCCTGGAGACTATGTGCATGATGCCGAGCAATACGCACTGAGTCTCTTGCGGACTGAGGAGATGGATGCACCATGTTTTGATTGGACCCGTTTACCTGTCTCCGATAACATGCCAGAGCATATCAAATTCGCACGCAGCATCGACTGGAGTTCTACAAGCCTGGGCCCGATCGAGAACTGGAGTCCTGATCTTCGGCAGATGTGCAATCTCATCATGGCTTCACCGCATCCGGCAGCCATGTACTGGGGCGATGATCTCATTGCAATTTACAATGAAGCTTATGTTGTACTCGCCGGTCAGAAGCACCCTTCTATGATGGGCATGAGCTACCGTGTTGCGTGGGCTGAGATCTGGGACGAAGTTAAAGACGTATTTGCAAATGCTAGAAGCACTGGAGAAGCCACCATGAAAGACGATGATTGTCTCTTCGTTCGACGCAGCGATCTCTTGGAGGAGACCTACTTTTCTTGGTCAATCATTCCAATGGTTGGCAGTGATGGCAGCGTCATGGGTCTCTACAATCCCGCCTTCGAAAAGACAAGACGCAAGATCGCTGAACGACGCATGCTGACACTACGCGAAGTAGGCGAGAGAACTGCCTCCGCGAGAGATGTGAAGGGATTCTGGGCCGAGGTGCTTGCTTCTTTAGCCCTAAATGAATACGACTGCCCTTTCCTCTTACTGTATTCGGTCAGTGACGACAGCGACAGCGACACAAGCAGCATGCATTCCAATTCCACATTTGGATCACGACAATGCTTGTTAGAGGGAGCCTTAGGTGTGCCCGACGATCACCCGGTCGCCCCACGGCAAATTGATTTCAAGGCTGGGCAGGAGGGCTTCGGTCCCATCTTCAGAGAAGTCATGAAGACAAATAAGCCAGTGCTTCTCGGGACTGATGCTCATGAGCTGCCGAAAGAGCTGCTAGCAGGCCTGGAACCTCGCGGCTTTGGTGACCCGCTTAAAGCTGTGCTCGTTTGTCCGATTTATCCCACCACGACGGCGGAAATCGTATTGGGCTTCCTCGTGCTCGGTGTCAATCCTCGACGACCTTACGATGATGATTATAGCTTGTTCGTACAGCTCCTGGCTCGACAACTTGCAACATCTCTGGCATCTGTGGTGCTATTCGAAGAAGAGATTCGCCGAGGACAAAAGGCCGCTCAACTTGCAGCTTTGGATCGCATTGAGCTGTCCGAGCAACTCGCTGCACGGACGCAAGAAGCAATGGAAAGTGAGACAAAATTCACGCGCATGGCTGAGTTTGCCCCAGTCGGCATGTTTATCGCTGGCAGCGACGGCAAAATTACTTTCGCCAATGATACTTGGTATCACATCTCGCGGGTCTCCAAAACATTGCAGGGGCCTGATGAATGGATGGATGCGATCATGGTCGAGGACAAGGCATATGTCTCATCGCTTTGGCATGACCTAGTGATTAGTAAGAAGTCTGTCAATGGCGAATTCAGATTCAAGGCTCCCTGGCACAGTCGGACTGGAATCAAGAGCGACACCTGGGTTCTCTTCTCTTGCTATCCTGAGACGGACGAAACTGGTCGCCTCAAAAGTATATTTGGTGTCATCACAGACATCAGTCAACAGAAATGGGCCGAAGGATTACAAACTCGCAAGATGGAAGAAGCTGTGGAATTGAAGCGCCAGCAGGAAAACTTCATCGATATGACCTCCCACGAGATGCGAAATCCCTTGTCGGCAATTTTACAATGTTCCGACGAGATTGAGCTTTCCTTGAGTCGATTGAAGAACAGCGGCACCACTACAATGTCAGAAGAAGTGCTCGCCGGTTGTCTGGATGCAGCGCAAACCATCAGACTTTGCAGTCAACACCAAAAGAGGATTGTGGACGATATTCTCACTTTGAGCAAACTTGACTCGCAACTCCTGCTTGTGACTCCAGTTGACGCCCGGCCTCTCGATGTCGTCGAACGAGCCTTGAAAATGCACGAAGGTGAGCTACAGGCCAACGATATTCAGATGAAATTTGTCGTCGATATCTCTTTCCGTGAGATGAAACTCGACTGGGTCCGTTTCGACCCCAGTCGAGTTTTGCAGGTGCTCATCAACTTGACGACAAACGCAATCAAATTCACGAGCCCTGAAAGCAAGCGAACCATCACTGTCACGATTGCGGCATCGAAGGTGAAGCCTAGCACGAAAGCTGATGCGCCTGTCAAGTATTTCTCGACCCGCAGCAAAAATAAGGATGCCATGAAAGATTCTGATTGGGGTGAAGGCGAGCTGGTATACATCCTCTTCTCGGTGCGAGATACTGGGCGGGGCTTGAATCCTGAGGAGAAGAAACTACTCTTCATGCGCTTCTCACAGGCTTCACCACGGACACATGTTCAATATGGCGGGTCGGGGTTGGGCTTGTTTATTTCACGCGAGTTGACAGAGCTACAAGGAGGTGAGATTGGCGTCGAGAGTGAGGCTGGGAAAGGTTCCATCTTCAGCTTCTACGTGTCTGCGCGTCGCACATCGACTCCAACGGTCGACACCGACGGCGCTACTGGCCAGAAACGAATCCCGCTCAACTCTGACCAACGGGGCAATAAAACAAATAGCCGTCTTCAATCTGCGGGCACGGATGCCAAGCTCGATGCTGCTGCAATTACTGCTAATATGGTCAAGAAGGTACTCATAGTGGAAGACAACCTTGTGAATCAAAGGGTACTGCAGAAGCAGCTCAAGACATTGGGCGCCGAAGTGCATCTGGCCAATCATGGCGGTGAAGCAATTGAACGGCTCATGCAATCCACTTATTGGAAAGACGACCGCCCTGCCAGTGAAAAGATCGACCTGGGTGTAATTCTAATGGACCAGGAAATGCCAATCATGGATGGTCTGACATGCACACGTCGCATCCGGGAATTTGAGGCACAGGGCAAGCTCACCGGCCACGTGCCCATCATCGCCGTGACTGCAAATGCTCGACCGGAACAAGTGCAGACGGCCATGGATGCCGGAATGGTAAGTTTCTCACAAAATCTCACACCACTCATGATGTAACCCCAATGCTGACGGTAGGATTTCGTAGGATGATGTCGTATCAAAGCCCTTCCGCATTCCCGAACTTCTGCCTAAGATCGAGGAATTACTAGCTCGTTATGCTGCGACATGAGCGTAGACCCTGCGGAGACCGCTCCTGACATACCTGCTGTCGAGGGAGCACACTCCTAACTCATTCTCTCGCGTAGCGCTTGCGCGCCCACTACCCGTCTTTCGGGCCCTCAATTGAGTCACTGGCTCTTGACAGCCAGCCCACTCGGCCGCTAGTGATGCACAACATGGTGCTCAAGATCGAGGCGTCCTGCATGGCTTTGAAACCATCACACGGCCGATGTGCCATGCAGGATCCCGACACTATAGCATTTTGCACGAACACGATACAGTTTGATACGCGCCTGCTCGCTTCCCAGCAAACAGCTGTAGATAAGTCGGCACTGGCCACAGAGGCCGAGTCACCGCCTCGGGATGGGCGCGACAAAGTGCTTGTCAGCCTGCCGAGCTAGACTATTGTGACGGACTATTCGTCTCCCTTTTCAGACCAGTTGTTGGATGAATGCATGTAATGTACCTTACGGCGGGGCTCGATTGCCCTGCTCTTGATGCTTACGAAATTGTTTATGAACATACCTATCTGTACATAACTATGGCCGGTTCATATGTCTCAACACTTACTGCTAGTAAGAATCATCGCCAATCCCTTGTTCGTTCAAGGTATCACCATTCCCGGGGCGACGGGCTACGTCCTCGAGCCTGAAAGCGCTCGAACTAGGCTCCCTGATCAAAAGATCAGATGCGTACCCTTCCACGAATCATCATATGTTCCCTTGTCCTAGCTGAGAACACGGTGTTTGCGGGATGCCACACTGTGCGCGATTCCTTCCGTGACCTTTCTCACTTGGCCCCCACCACCAACTGCGCCACGTCAGGATCTACAATGACGTTACAGACTCCTGACCCACGGACACCAAATGCTTCCCACGGATACCGTGAGCACGGATCGTACAGAACTTGCGGCGCTGGCAGGAAACCCACAGCTTCGGGTCGATCTTTCACGTAATAGACTCGTGCGGCATAGCAGCGATAGGATCGGCCAATGGCGGGATGAAAACTACTGCATCTTTCCTGTCGCTATGTAGTAGATGCTGACGACAAAAATCACGCTGCCCGCTCATGCCACTGTTCCGGCTGTACAGTAGTTTGGGAAACTTTGCAGTGCAGTAGTCTGGCGCCGACATGGATCGTCGCTGGTGAGAAGTTTTTGCGAGAGATAAACTAATGCGGAGGTCGATCGGGCGTGCTTTGGATTAGGTCCCTAGGCTTCACTTTGGATTTTCTTGGGGCAAAATGTAGCGTTCGAGATGTACCATTGCATTGGCGTGCGAGAGTGAAGCGGACAGTGGTTGTTATTGAATTCCCGGGTTTTTCTTTCGCACGATGTACTGAGTGACAGATCTACCTACCCTGCTGTTTGCGATTGTAGAACTTCCAAGGTTTATAGATTCGGCTTGATACACTACGCTTTTCATGTGCGGCCAGCGGGAGACAGAGTCAGGGTGCAAACGCTCACGGAGAAAGAACAACCGTGTTACCGACAGAATCACCCCGCCTACCTAGTTACATATATATCATTCTGATCTTGTTGATAACACCTTGGTTGTCCATTGGATAACCACGATTTCCTGGCAAGATGAACGTGCAGTTCGAGGATATGATGCTCGTCACATGTCGTTCGTACCATGCACTCAACTGACGCAGTTTCCTGCGAGCCGCTCGCCGTCAAGAGTACCGACGTTTTGCGGACCCGGCAAGACATCTGAAGGACGGCAGATGCTGAAACCAAGGCTTCTCACATCAAATGTGAAGTGATGCATGTCACGCGAACGCATGGCGCTGAAACACCTCCCCGTCACCTAAGCGAAGGGATCGACATGACGATGATCCTCGACGGCCAGCAGTGATCCACTGACATCGGATCAGGGCTCTTCCGGGCGGCGGCTACTGCTGCAAGGTGGGTGTGGACAAAGTGGCTTCTTGCAATGTTGCAATAACGTCCACGATGAACGAGTGGTCATGCACACTTATACAGATTGATGTGTGCTACATGTTGACTCCTCCCAGGCGCGATGGTCAGATTCGAATGCTGCGTTTACGACAACAAGTCGTGATCATCTTCCTACCGTTTCGTGGGAAGCGCGGGCCGAGTGGCCGGCTTGTCCACGGGCTCGAGTTTGAGGTACCGACACCTGGAATAGCAGAAGCAAAGCACGCGACGAAGATGATGATGATCGTTACCTTGTGGCATAGGTCAACACAACACATGTCATCTGGAATGGCTTCGGATTCGCTTCACCTCAAGCTCAAGGGGACGGTGTCGTGGGTGTTGGTCGTTATCATATATGGAAGGTGTGGCCGGATATTTCTGGTCCAGACTACAGTCCTTGAAACCAGGACTACCCCAACAGATCATTTATGTTCGGAAGCTCTCGTGCTCGGGCACAATAGACAGACAATCACGAGGAAGAATATTGAGTCAAAGCCTCGGAGGCGAGTTGACCCAAGGATTAGCCCAAAGGATTTAGCGGGCGCAAGGCCGCGAGCCTTTCTGCAGATCTTTACCGCTACTATCCTGACATGCATGTCATATGTAAGGACACGTTTGTAACAGTTCCTCACGGCCAAAGTGACTGATAAAGGTGAATTCCGAGATAGACAGCGACTTACTTTGAGCCCGAAGACATGCGAGCATTGCATTTACACCATTTCTTAGTCATCCTGATGGTCGCACTGTCTTCGGCATCGGTGGGGTCTATCACATTCGGACCCGAAAAAGCTGAACACATCTAAGATTTCCCATAGATCGATCCCGTTAAGCGAAGGGAAGGGAGGGGAGGGCGAGAGAGACAAAGCAGGAGAGAGACCCACCCAGGTTCCACAGTGTTGGTAGCAAATCATGCTGGCCGCGGCGGGCGCCCCGAAGCAAGCCGCATCGTCATTCAGCTGTGCCTCTCTTTCTACCAACTTGGCAATCGCGCCGTGCAATGCAGCATGGTGCAGACAAATTAGACTAAAAAAATGAGCGAAGGATTCGCTCTGTCAATAATGTACCGTTTGTGCGCCTGTAACTGTTCGCTTTCCCACTTGCGCCGTACGACTAGGACTGCATTGCCCCCGGCACAAGCTTTCAGGCTAAACGTGTCGTTCATCGAAATCTCATCCCGCACGTCGGACATGCGGTTCTTTCGTGATGCTGGAAGAGCGGTGAAGCAATTCCGGACGAAAATTTCGGGGGGACACTTACAGTACGGCATGGGGATCAAGAAGTACAGTGAAATCATCTCGGAAGACGATCTCTATCTGGAGATCGGAACGATTGACTGCCCGTCCCGATCTCCCGTTCCCATGCCGCCTCACATCTGATCTGTGCTCTTGTGATTGGCGCGATTCACACGTGAGGGTCCGCATACGTGCAACACGCCCGGATTCAGCTCGAGAATGTGATGAGTGCGAGGAGCCGGTGTCCATCACCGTCCCCCTCGGCAAAAGACAGAGGAGTAACTGTATCAAGCGGGCAAAACTACGCCCGCACGTGGCCCAGTCCTGTCAAACATCGAACTTTTACGCCCGTCCTGGTCCATCACTAGAATTCCTGTATTTTTCACACTAAATTGCTCCGTGTGCCGCTTGCGCGAGTGGGCGTGGCAGCGCGGATCTCTGCCTCTGCCGGTAAAGCGCTTGCATACGGATCATGGCAAGCTATCTCGTTGGACCCGATTTCTTCCACGCTGGACTTATTAGCACATATCCGTGAGGCAAGCTTTGCGCTCGAGAGGTAGATAGATGTGATAGAGTCAAATCGTGACGGTATGTGGGTTTGAGCGCGCAGGATCAAGTCAATCAGGAACTTTGACTCTAGTCCATTCCGTATGGGAAGTTTTAGGCGAAGCCCCATCAGCAGCAGCAGTGACATACTGCTTGCTATTCGCGAGTCATGTTCTGCGAATCCGAGCATGCGGAACGCTTTCATCTGTACGTTCGTCCAAAGGAGGAATCGAATGTATGACTTGTGTGAAAGGCATCGATCGGATGAGCGTCTGCACGCATTCGCTCATGACATGGGTAGATTGCTCTTTCATGCACAACGTCGACTCCCAAAGGCTATGTCTCCGTAATGCTACCGGTCGCCGGACAATGAGCTCTGAGCACAACCCGGACGAGCGTCGCGATTATCATTGTCATGAGGAACAACGCAGAGAATCCCGACGACATGGTCGAAGCTTGCACTGCTGCACGACCGCGCTAGCCTCGTGCGCCGTAACTGAACTAGAGTCGAGTCCCTCCTTGCCTCTCACATATCCCGGCATTGTGCCACTTTTGTGTGTGCCAGCGGTAACAAAGCGGATTAGGAAGGACGCGTGAGCGCGCACACTCCTCCTGTTGCACCAGCGGTCGCAGTTCCCATGGTCAAGATGTGGTGAGACAAAATGCTGCTGTGATCGGCCCTCCATTACCCGGCTCGTCGGGATCGAACCGGGAGAAGGCCGGCCGAGGAGGAAGCCCTTGGCGGGACATCAGCAGGTGGACCTGGCTGATGTAGAGCGGGTAGTTACGTCTTCAGTAGATGTAGTGCCGGCGCTCACGACACCAGAGCCAAGTTCTGTAGCCGCATAGCACCTGTTCTGTGTTAGATGCTGCGGTCCTGTAGGCAGTGTGGGTACCGTACAATGCTCGCGAATCTCGCGGCCATTGGAAACAACCCGCCCTGAGTGTGGTGGATACCGGACAGCTGGCCCAGCGAAATCTACCCTGGCAAGGTGCATGCATGCCCAAGTGCATTGCATGTTGAGCATGCACGCGATCCATCTCAACCTGCCGTAGCTCTTTCTGGCCGTGTGTTACCACTACCCAGAGAAAGCGAGACGATGACCTGCGGCGTGGGATGTGGCTTTTCCCTCTACCCGTGTACACAACAAAGGAATGGGCATGCCTTCCCCTGCTCCCTCCCTATTGACGATTACGGTGTCTTACTTACGTCCACATGCATGTGCGTCTGATACACTCATCGTCGTCACCTAACAGCAGGACTCCGACCCGAGGGAACGGCAATGCTCAAGGAGGTGCGCCCCGGTTTCTCGGAAATTCCAGGCTCTCTGCCACCCATTACCACCACCACCACCAACACGACCGCGCATCATATTGGTATCCGGATGATGAATATGTGTATTGTACCTAGGTACACTCACGTCCCGTAACCTTCCTGCCCCTTGCGAGGCATATGGAGCAATGCAAACAACGCACAAAGAACGTGGCATGCTCTCCTCCTACCGTATCTTCCTTTGTTGCCATCCGGGGTGTAGGTTCGTGCGAGTCGCTCTCACCCGACAGAGGTGATGCGGTGACGGTCGGCGTTTGCTGGGATGGGCCATGTGGTAGATCTGTCCGTGTCCGAGTCGGCGTGTCCCAACTTTCCTCCAAGACAGACCCTGGAGCGTGCAGGGGAAGAGCCCAAAGGAACACAGTGGCGTGTGCCATGCTGCTCTTACCCTGTCTAGTGGATCTTTGACCTTTGAGATCCGCCGGAGAACGAACAATACTTATTATTACATCCAGCTAGGCCGTGTATGCTTTCGGACGAGACTTCTCCGCTGGCCGACGCCGATAGTGATGGTGACACACCTGAAGTAGTGAATGATAGCCGACACTGCTACAGTAGTCGGCGGCAGCAAGCGTGGGCGTCAACAACGGGTAGGTATAATTTTAGAGGCACTTGTGAAGCTCGTTCCAACCACGTTTTCAAGGTCATCTATGCTTCGCTCTCTATTCATCATCATCATCATCATCATCATCATTACTACAAACTCTCGCCGGAGGAGGAAATTGATGGGTAGATTATCGCTATGCTGGTGCCCTCGTCCCATCTCTAGTTCCGCCGCTGTCGCTGACAACCCAGGCCCCCTCGTGCCCTCCTGGACAATTTGATCGTGGAGAGATCCGCCGTCGCCTCCGCGGTTACAGGTTGGGCGCGGGCTCGCTGCGGTCCACGGCTACGGCTGAGATGGACCGACTGGGTTTAAGCCATTGTGTGTGCCTTCATGTGTGTGTGGGCGGGTGGATGGGTGGCCATGGTGTGCGTGTGCGTGTGCGTGTGTGTGTGTGATGTCTATCGTTACCGTCGTCCTCCTGCTGCTATCCTGTGCACTAACTACTACATCGCAAGTCATTGTTAGCATCGTGCATCCCCAGCGCGTGCGTGCAGAGAGAGCGAGGGCCTGCTTGTGAGCGCCTACATACACACACATTGCCGAATTGTGCATACATTCACGGACCGAACGACCTGGCTATTATTACTGTCTCCATCCACCATGTAATAATAATAACAGACCTCGTCCTCGATTTCCACTGCTCTGGGATTCCCTTTTCTCTCGCCAAAGTCCATCGACTCCTGTACAGTACACACAACATAGTCCATGCAGCCAGCACTGCACTGAATTCGTCTGCTCGAGCCTCCAGCACACCGTTTCGCTCTCAGGGCCGCCACACTAAATCCTCGCTCTCGGTGCGCTCACGCTCTGCAGACACCGTCATCACCCATTCCACCACCATTACGACTACCACCCTTGCGCTTTGTTATACACTCGCCACGTCTGACCGATTTCCGGAGAGGCCGCCTAATAAACATTTCTCACAAAACCACTTTTTCCTCGACATTTCTTCTGGTCACACCCGACATACACACCAGTTCGCCACTGCTTACCTTTCAGTTATTCTGAATGTGTGCCGCTCCGCTGGTCATCTCGCCGTTATCTCGAGATCATTACGCGAGAAGTCCGCTCGGCGATGGGCACGTTTCGGCCATGTCTCGGTGGGTCCTCCCTTGCTTCGGTGCGCACCGGCCAGCGTCGCGTTGAAATGAATCGCATGTGCTGCCGAATTCAGATCTGGGAAACGTTTTATGAACAAATGAATGGTCTCGCTGACAACAATATTGGAATGATCGCAGTGTTCCAATTTCATCGCTGTTAACATCAGACTCGGATCTCGTCCAGAGATTCACCGAAAATGGGCGGGAATACTATCGATTTGGAAATGACATGTATCTTTTCCCTTGCGATGATGTATGCGGGATTCTAGTCGAACTTTTGTGGTTCTCGCATTGCTAACCTTTTCTCCGTACAGACTGAGGCCGAGCGACTCGATATCATGCATACTTTAATTTATACGACCGCTCTCAAATCACGGCTGCATCACGCGAGGATGTCGGATCCACGCCGGATTCTGGATGTTGGCTTCGGGACCGGATTCTGGATGATGGAAATGGCCAAGAAGTACCCTCGCGCGGAGATCATTGGTTACGATCTAATTCTTCCCGATGGAAAGCTACCCAAGGCCGGAAACCAATTTCGTTGGCTCGCTCCGGTCGATTACCTGGCTCCGCGGTGGCCGACTGAGGATGGAAGTGTAGATCTGGTGCATTTGGCCCAATTATGTGGCAGCGTCAATGATTGGGCTTCGCTTTACAAGAAAGCGTACAGGTGAGCGAATGTTCGATCTTCTCTATTTACGAGCTTCGCTAATTTCACGGAAGATCACTCCGTGCTACCACTGGACAAATCGAACATATCGAAATTGATTGGACTCCCCGAACCGCTTCCGGACAGCCCATGCCACAGGAGGCCAGCGCCATGTGGCAATGGTGGGAATGGATGAAGCATGCCTCCCGCATGGCCGGCCGATCTATTGTATACCGGGACGATACCGAGGAACTCCTGGAACAGGCCGGTTTCGTGGAAATCCATCACAAGAAGGTCAAAATCCCGCTCTCACTCCACGGCCGGAAGGATCCTCAGGAATATGCCCTGGCACATAATTACCAGTCCGCCATGGCTTATGTCGGCTCGGAATCTTACAAGGCGTTTTGTATGGCGCTCTTCACCCGTTGGCTGCAGTGGCCGCCGGCCCAGGTGAATACTATTTGTGATCAGGTGCTAGCTGTGGCGCACAGCAAAGGCCTGACGCTACATCATGAACTGTGAGTTGCGAGAAATTATCTTTGAGGCATCGGAATCTTTTATTGACTGAAATTCGTTACTAGGCATATTTGGACCGCTCGCAAACCTTTGACTTGAAATTGAAGGAAATCCATCCTACGACATTTATCTTGCCAAATCTGGATTTTCGAATTCCGAACACATCCGTAAAGAATAGGTTGTCGTAAACGGAAGCCACAAACCACCTCAGCCTGAGAAAACTGCGGCTTATCCCTCGACATCAAATCCATTTCCGGTCACTTTCCCTGAACAACGCGCGAACGTCAAGGATATCAGGATGGAGCGTAAAATTCCGGAGTTCAACGTCTCTGCGATCCTTCAAACATTCCATTGCAGCTCGTCCGAGACGGGATCCAGGAACGACCAGACCTCGCCCTGCGATTTCATTATTCCGGCGAATCGCGCATCGGCGCTCAAACGGCAGAGATCATCTTGACACGCGGATTGTCGCGAATCTGATGACGCGAGCTGTGGAGGCTGAAAGAATGGAAACCTGACTGCAACGCCTGGAACCATTTTTGGATGAGCGCATCAGAGTGGAGGTTTCGTTCGTCGATTGTCCAATTCTCGAGCGACAAAGCTGCGCCCACTCGGCCTCACAGATGCTGGACGCATACTCGAATCTGGCATCATGTCGAAGTCAGCACAAATGTTGCAGTCATCGATCTGCGAAATCTGAGTGCAGTCCAACGCGCATGGCAGGGAGGAAATCGCACGGCGGTCCACACCTTGACTGGGAATATGCTTTCAAAAAGTGCTCAGAAAACAAGCTCGAGGCAATTTCGCTTTATAGATGACCGCTATAGAAGTGCTTCCTGGAAGACGCATTCTGACAGGATTCTGGATGACCTGTCCTCGTGCGTCGAGAGTTATGGATTTTGGGCAGTGTAGACGGCATCATGGAAAGTATATTACACGAAATAATGACTGAATGAATCATGACGGAAGTTCGAATGGACTTGACTTTCGCTCTAGAATATCAATGCATTCCCCTTACCATTCCTGCACTTCGCCCTTTTTCGGCTGTTGCACGCGAATGACTTTGTCACAGTTGAGCAGACATAAAGGGTCGAACGCTTGTTTCATCTGTGATAGCAAACATCAGTAATCGAGAAAAATGCAAGCCACGCAGGTCCGGAGTATAGGAGTAATGGACTTCCCAAATTTCAGGGGTTTGCAAACTCACCTTGCGCATCAAATCCACCGTCGTCACGCCGAGCTCATGCGGGAGATAATCCCTCTTCACCAATCCCACGCCATGCTCGCCCGTCGCCGTGCCCTCGAGTTCGATCGCCCTCTTCACCATCCGGTGGACAATCGCCTCCGCAATCTCCGCTTCGCGCTCGTTGTACAAGAGGATAGTGTGGAAATTTCCGTCGCCGACGTGTCCGACGATCGCACCCGTCAGACCGCTTCGGGAGAGATCCGCTTTGGTCTCATCGATGATGTCCGCGAGGCGGGAGATCGGTACTGCAACGTCCGTCGTCCACACGCGGTCGCCAGCGTCTTTCTTCTGCGCCATGACGCTCCAGAGGGCCTCCTTGCGCGCAGACCAGAGTTCCTCGGCTTCGGATTGGTCCCGGGCGAATTCGAAGCTGCGGCTGCCGGTTCGGCGTGCGAGATCTCGTACGATGGCGACGTGTTCTTTCACGCTGGAGGGTGTGCCGGCGAATTTGAAGAAGAGCGTGGGTGCCTCGGCCCAGGAGCGGGAGGTGGTCCCTGAGGCATTGATGCAGCGCATTTGGACGTCGTCGAGGATTTCGATGGCGGCGATTGGCACGCCGGCATTGACGACTTTGAAAACGGTGTCGGCGGCGGCGCGGACGGAGGGAAAGGTTCCGACGGCGACGCTGGTGGTTTGGGGGAGTGGGGTGATTTTGAGGGTGGCTTCCGTGACGAGGCCGAGGGTGCCTTCGGAGCCGATGAATGTTCGGGTGAGGTCGTAGCCGGCGCTGCTCTTGCGTGGCCGTTGGCGCGTTTTAATGATGGTGCCGTCGGCAAGGACGACGGTTAGGGAGAGAACCCAGTCCTTCATTGTGCCGTATCGGTACGCATTTGTGCCGGAGCAACCTGTGCCAACCATGCCGCCGATCATGGCGCCTGGACCTGGGTCGGGAGGGAAGAAGAGGCCAGATTTCGACAACTCCTCATTGAGAAGCTCCCAGCCAACCGCCGGTTGAACCACGACGTCGAGATCGTCCTTGTGTAATTGTAAGATCTTATCCATGCGCGAGAAATCGATACAGATACCTCCTCTCGTCGCTGCGAAGTGACCTTCTAGAGAAGTACCACCGCTGTATGCCGTCACGGGAATCTTTCTCCTATGGCATATCCGCATGATCTCTGACACTTCCTCTGTACTTCCGGGTTTGACAATCATGAATGGCTTGTCCTCCGCCGGACCGCTGTATGTGCTCCATTCGCTGCCGGTATGCGCCTTTAGCTCACTGTCCTGCGTTGAGATATTCTCCTCCCTTACGATCTTTCGAAAGTCGGTCCATGCCGCTTCTAGGTTTGCGGGTGCAGTGTTGTGTTGCGGTGGCTCAGCATTCATGAGCGGGACTGTCGAGGCCGGGTCGATGTCACGGACTTGTTGCTGTCCGTAGACGTAACCCGCTACTGCGCCGACTAACATGACTATTCGCATTACATCAGCCGTGTTGGTGCTTCATCCCAGGAGACATCATCCTGAGCTGCAAGAACAACATACCAAAAGGTAGTACCCATTGACCTCCCCCCGACCTCAGAACATCTCGGTAGACTGCAAATCGGGCCTCATCTTTCTTCTCCCGCTGAATTCGGTCATAGACGCTGTTGTATAATTGACCCTTGAATGATGATTCCTGTGATCCATCTTGTTTATTGGCTTTCTTCTCCGTGGCATAAAGTCGCCTGCTGGCGTATAGACATCGGTGATGGCTGGTGAGGGCTTGGTAATGAGGGCTTGAGCTCGTCAAGCGAGTGGAGAGGCGTCGTGGTATCGCCATCGCGAAGGTGTTATCGTATAGTTAGATTCATCGATTGAATAGAAATCCTGCGCTTATGGTCACTCCACTCAATAATGTATGTCGACACATACCACTCGTGGAATATATCTTCACTCAATGCGCCGGCCCTAGGGATGCGGACATAAACCCTTCACCTCCGAGTGGAAATCCATTCCGCAGCTGCCGCACAGACCAGCCAGGCGTCGCAGCCGCGCTAGTGAATAATCTTGATGAGTAAAAAGCCGCTAGATCCATCATCGCCGAAATCTTGGCGCATCTTAGAACTTTTTTCTTGCTTGCGCCGGAGAGAATCGATTCAAGACCGCCCCATACAGTGCAATTTACTGAATAAGTTGTACTCGCGACTGCAAACCGCCAAAATGTCGCGTGACTATGTTATCGATTCGCAAAAGCGTAAGCGCAAGCACGGTGGCAATAAACCTGCAGATTACGCCATGATGTCCGGAGCTTTACCTTCGCCGAGCACAGAGGCCGAAGATCCTGTTGAGGAAGATATCAAGGCAAGGAAGAAGGTGAAGAAAGAAGACAAGAAGAAGCGTCGGGAAAGCGAAGCTACCAACGGTGACAACGTGACCGGCGCAGACGGTCCAGCTGGAGAAATCAATGGTGATGCCGAACGACCCAAGAAGAAATCAAAGAAGGAGAAGAAGGAGCGCAGGCACGAAGGGGAGGTTGAGAAAGATGAAGCTGCGGTAACGCACGCTGAGGATATGGAGTCTGAGGGAGCCATGAACAAGGAGCTCAAGAAAGTCGCCGCCGCTGCCACTGGGAAAGTTGCAGAAGAGGAGGACGACGACTTTGCAGATTTCGATGAAGAGGCCGAAAACGAGACCTCGGCCGAGCAGGCAATATTCTCAACAAATGCTGAAGTTGAGACGACATCAGACCTACCTTCAAACCTGGGCGTGACACTACCGTCAACTAAAGCCGAACCGCAAAAGTTCACTGAGCTCAATCTTTCAGAGAAGACCATGAAAGCCATTCAGGATATGCCCTTCGACACTATGACTGAGATCCAGCGCCGAGGTATTCCGCCCTTGTTGGCGGGACGTGATGTACTTGGAGCAGCGAAGACTGGATCCGGCAAGACGTTGTCATTCTTGATCCCAGCTGTGGAGATGCTGCATTCGCTACGGTTCAAACCTAGAAACGGAACTGGTGTGATTATTGTGTCACCCACAAGAGAGCTTGCATTACAGATCTTTGGCGTGGCTCGCGAACTTATGGAGCACCACTCTCAGACATTTGGCATTGTGATTGGAGGTGCCAACCGTCGTGCAGAGGCCGAGAAACTTGCAAAGGGAGTCAACTTGATTGTTGCTACACCAGGTCGATTACTGGATCACTTGCAGAATACTCAAGGCTTCGTTTTCAAGAACGTGAAGGCGCTGGTCATCGATGAAGCCGATCGAATTTTAGAAGTCGGATTCGAGGACGAGATGCGTCAGATCATCAAAATATTGCCCAAGGAAGAGCGACAGACGATGCTCTTTTCTGCCACACAAACCACCAAAGTCGAGGATCTTGCAAGGATATCATTGCGACCAGGCCCGCTGTACATCAACGTCGATCATGCTGAGGAGCACAGCACAGTCGCGGGCTTGGAACAAGGCTACACCATTTGCGAAGCTGACATGCGTTTCCGCCTACTGTTCACCTTTTTGAAGAAGCATCCTTTGAAGAAGATCATCGTCTTCTTCAGCAGCTGCAACTGCGTCAAGTATTTTTCCGAGCTACTGAACTACATTGATCTCCCCGTCCTGGACCTCCATGGCAAGCAAAAGCAACAAAAGCGCACCAACACCTTCTTCGAGTTTTGCAACGCCAAAAGCGGTACTTTGATCTGCACAGATGTCGCCGCGCGAGGCCTAGATATCCCTGCGGTAGACTGGATTGTGCAATTCGACCCGCCGGATGACCCGAGAGATTACATCCACCGTGTTGGACGCACAGCACGAGGAGCTAATGCAAAAGGCAAGAGTTTGATGTTCCTGCAGCCGAATGAGGTTGGCTTCTTGAGCCACCTGAAGGAAGCCAAGGTCCCTCTCGTCGAGTTTGAGATTCCACCAAAGAAGATTTTAGACATTCAGAGTCAACTCGAGATGTTAATCGGCAAGAACTTCTATCTCAACAAGGTAAGTCGATCTGACTTGTTTTCTATGTTACTGGCACGAATGCTAATCCGTCTGTAATAGTCTGCCAAGGATGGCTATCGATCATATTTGCAAGCATATGGCTCACACTCGCTACGATCCGTATTCGACATCAACAGCCTCGACTTGAAGAAGGTCGCCAAGGGTTTTGGATTTCCTGTACCTCCCAAAGTCGACATCAACTTGGGCGCCAGCATGAAGAGGCCTGAATCAAGGCGACCGTACGGCAGCCAACCGCGCCAACAAAAGACCATGCAGAGGCGTCGGCCGTAATCTGACAACATCATGTCATGCTTTTAGTGCATGATCACGTCAAGTACACGACAGAGATTGATACATGAATGCTTTGCTGCCAAGAGCGCAACTGCATTTCTAATTCAACGTCAATCACGAGGGAGTTCTGAAACTTTGTGCCATGGTCGCCACCTTGATTGGTGAAGTGCCACGAAACTAGATTCCTGGCACACGGAATGCCGATCTCCTGCCACGCAGTTGCTGAGGTCGCCTCAGAGCTGTGCACAATGGACATCCTCAGATGCCACATGTACACCGAGCAGGGATGCAGGATGCCCGCCTCACCGTATCTCCGTTGTAACGAATAATTGCGCATCACCATAAAAATGGCGTATTGTCAAAGTCGGACCGGTCGCATGACGTGCGCCGTGTCCAAGGCTAGCTCTGCTGATATGTTCCACAGAGACGTCTTGTGGAGCTTGTGTTCTCCACGATCTAAGTCATGAATGGACCTTTCTTTAATGGACGAGCTCCAGCCTGTCATCCTTGACCGGCTCAAGGGGCCGATCGAAATTGCTAAGATCTAATTAATGATAGTGAATGAAAAATGCAGTGTTATCAACATTATTTACTGTCCAGTGAAGAACAACATGAAATCTCAATGAGGCAGCCCAATGCAACGGCCTGCACGCGAAGACGGGTGAGACCCAGCGTCCATGACAACGATCGGGCGATTTGCCTTCCCTTTTCCACATGAGACGTCTCGCATTCGTCAGGCGAAGAAAGGCCCCCAAATCTAAACTACTGACAAGAAGACGCTAGACTACGACTCTACACGACCATCAACAGTATTGTAAAACCTCGAAAATTGCTCGATGTTATGTTCAAACTCTTTTGGCCACCGCTGGGGCAGTGATTGGCCCGTCATTCCATGTAAGCATCCAGGGATGAGATGGGACTTTCAGCTCGTGGGAGCGTGCTAGAATCATTGTGTTACGTCTCTCATTGTTTGCATCACCGCTCACAGTGAAAGGATTTCATAGCGGAGCTTACTTGGTCTCGCAAGGCAAGTGAGAGCGGATAGAAAAGGCATGCCTCGCATCCATGGATCGCTGCGGCAAGCGCATTCACTAATCATTTGACCAAAGCGACCGACAGTACCACTATTGCCTTGTTCTTCTTCTTTCGTGACATACTTGCTTGTCGGTGATTCGAGGAAAGCACAAGCGCGGGTTGCGCACCAAGAACGACTCTCCTCTAGCGATTGAACAATCGATCACGGGTTCTCTTGACGGAAGCTCCTCAAAAGCTTGAGTAACAATCGTGAGACATCGCCAAATCTTTCCTATTACTTTGACCGTTCGCCAATTCCTGCGAAACGCCAATTCTTTGTTCTATAAGCACGATATTGCGCACACACTTTCGGGCAGCTGCAATACGCCAACAGAGCTCGAGGGTATTCATACGTCCACCTGATCATCTACAAGCAATCCAGTAGACACCTTCGAAGTTTAGACTCGCAGGCTCGAAGCAATCCGCTACCGCCAGATTCAAGCACCGATCCACGAGGTCACGCCGTCATCTTCAGTACCAAGAATCGTCCAGGGCCACCTGGGCAGGCTTCAACTAAATACCTGTGCTCCCTACCAGAGCTCGCCACAAGACGGCTCACACCTTCATCACTCGAGAGGGTCGTCCAGGCAGCGGTCATCAAACAAAGAGCTTCTTCCATTCGTGACCACATATAATCGACTCAACTTCCACCCACGTTTCGACCACCATCTACGATATACCTTTGGGCAGAGCATGAGCTCGCAGCAATCTGCACGCTCAACTCACACGCCATTTTCGAATATCTCGCCTTTCGGCGGCAAGCATCGCACTTCAACATACCACGAGTCGGTTCGTGATGTTGACGTCTACGCGTCGCCACAACAGTATTATGGCATATCGCACGCCCCTAGAAAGGTTGCGAAGAGTCGTACCATGTCTGCTGTGAGTACGAATTTCAACTATCAACATCCCAGCACCCTGATATTCGTTTTGAACTGCCATCGTCATGCGTTCCCCTTTTTCAAAGGCACTTGACTAACGCCAAAATGCCAGGTTGACCCTAGCCGAAACCCGATGAATGTGCCATTTCAGCCGACAGGAAGACGAGCGAGCCAAGGTCAGCCCTGCAGCTCATCCTTTCGCGTGAAATATCTCTGACTGTGATGCCATCTAGATGCTAGAGGCGTCAATCATCTACAGTATCTCGTTGATGTCAAAGAAACCTTGAAAGCCCTCCTTGCGCAAGAAGATACAGATCAGAATGTACAGATCACGATAGAGGACCATGGCCCCAAAACTATTCAGCTCCGGACAGCAAATTCGGGTGGATACAAACATTCCGATATTCGTGGCACATACATGCTCAGTAACCTCCTCCAAGAGCTCACGCTCGCCGATTTCTACGGTCGCAAGCAGATCGTTCTTGACGAAGCACGCCTGAATGAGAATCCAGTCAGCCGCATGTCTCGCCTGATCAGAGACCAATTTTGGCCTAACCTCACTCGACGTATCGATGGCAGTAACGTTCTGCAGGTCGCCTTCGATCCAAAAGATTGGACTGCTGATCCACGACCGCGCATCTATATTCCCAAAGGTGCTCCTGAGTATTTTCAATACTACACCCGTATCGCCAGAGAACAGCCAGCTGCTCGTTTGGACGTCCGCTGGCTTAACGAATGTGCAGCCGATGAGTCTGCAGAAGCAGATGACTACGTTCGTGACTTAAATGACGCACCTGGTCTCCTCGCGATCGCTATGGAACGCGTCGCCGACACGCCCAAAGGCGAGCCCGACTTTCGAGGGCTACCTTTCGTGGTCCCAGGAGGTCGTTTCAATGAGCTCTACGGGTGGGACAGCTATATGGCTACACTAGGTCTTCTCATCAATGGACGTGAAGATCTTTGCGAGGCCATGGTGAAGAATTTCTGTTTCAGCATCCGTCACTACGGAAAGATCCTCAACGCAAATCGTACATACTACCTTCGTCGATCTCAGCCACCTTTTCTGACAGACATGTCTTTGAGAGTCTACGATCGAATCAGACACAAGTCAAACAGTCTAGACTTTCTCCGTCAAGCAATCCTTGCCTCTATCAAGGACTACTACAATACTTGGATGTCTGCACCTCGTTTCGACCCGATCTCAGGACTCTCGCGATATCATCCTGGTGGACGAGGAGTCCCACCAGAGACCGAGGCCACTCATTTCCTCCACACTCTCCAACCGTACGCCGACAAGTACGGTCTCAGCTTTACACAATTTGTGCACAGCTACAACCGAGGTCATATTGATGGCCTGAAACCTGAGATGGAGAAGCAATGGGAGGCTGATCAAGCTGAACTGAACGAATATTTCCGTCACGATCGTGCTGTACGAGAGTCCGGACATGACACATCATACCGTTTGGAACGCGTCGCCGCTAATCTCGCCACTGTTGATCTCAACTCTTGTTTGTACAAATACGAGATTGACATCGGCCGCACAATCAGCGCGTTCTTTGGCGACAAACTCGAAATCCCTGCCGAGTGGCATGTCAAAGGGAAACCCACCATCGAGACTTCTTCAACGTGGGACCGTCGTGCCAAGCGTCGTCGCCAGACGATGGAGAAACTCATGTGGGACCCTGAAGAAGGCATGTTCTTCGACTACGACGTCATCCGTAAGCGGCAGACGGGATATGAAAGCGCGACAACTTTCTGGGCCATGTGGGCAGGTGCTTGCACGCCCCATCAAGCTGCCATTATGGTCGAGCGGGCTCTTCCCAAATTCGAAGTCTTCGGTGGTCTCGTTAGTGGGACGGAGAGAAGCCGTGGTAAGATTGACAAACACCGGCCGAATCGTCAGTGGGATTATCCTTTCGGATGGGCTCCTCAGCAGATTCTCGCGTGGACAGGCCTGTTGCGATTTGGATTTGAAGAGGAAGCACAACGCTTGGCTTATCGCTGGATCTACATGTGCACGAAGGCCTTCGTCGACTTCAACGGAGTTGTTGTCGAGAAATACGACGTCACGCAAAAGGTGCATCCACACAAAGTCGAGGCAGAATATGGCAATCAAGGAGGTGACTTCAAGGGAGCTGCGACTGAAGGGTGAGTGCAAGTCCAAAAAATCCGGACATGTTCCTCGAATATCATCTTTGGAATTATGTCGTCTTACTTTCTCTGACTCTCTAATACATAGATTCGGCTGGGTCAATGCTTCCTACGTGTACGGCTTACAGATCGTTAACGCCCATATGAAGCGTGCTCTAGGCGCTGTGACGAGCTGGGAGACATTTCAGAAGATGACGGAGAGCGCCTCTCTGACTGATGAACACAGCTTGGCCGCAGCTCACTTGGCGAACTCATCGATACCTTCCACGACCGCCAGTCATTTCAACATCGGGCCCGTACCGCATCATCATCCAGGTCCCGAGGAACGTCACTCCAGGCCGCACAGCCACTCGGACACTTATGCCCATCCGCATCTTGATGCGCATAAGTAGAGAGTCTTTGAAATCGAAACACTGGGTTGATGAGGAAAAGCGAGAAAAGTGACGACTGTTGGCGATGATTGGATTCTTGTTTATTCCCTTGACCAGGGAGAAGCACATAAACCAGTGCCTTCTGCTACCTGAGTATATTATTCTTTGGTTGGGTCGTTAATCGCATCTTTATCTCTCCATTACAGCATTGCATGCCCTGCGAAATAGGAATAAAGCCGGAATTCCAACCAGTGCTTCCTATCAACCGCGGTCAACAGTGGTCGTCCGTAAATTGCGAACGTGTTCACCTGGGCATACATAGAGGTACTTACATGGGTAGTTCGGCGTTAATTGAGCGCCCGGGTGGTATGTGGACCCTGGTGAGTGAGGCGGAGAAAATCCCCGTCCATATCTACGTCACTGCCAACATCCCTCATACGCGGGGATGACTTTGATGGTCACGTTGGCTGGGCCACTTGCCATGCTGCTCTTCTCGACATGGCCGGGCTACTTCCTCTCGGTCATAAACACGGTCCAGATGCAGACCGAGGGTGATCAAGAATCCTTTGGACGAACGTTTGATGGCGCGGGCTGATTCATCGTTGCGGACGATGATGAAATGGCCGGATGATGAGTCGGAGGCAACCTCAGGATGGATCGTTCGTTCCGACATTATGAATCCGATCCCACCTCAGCGATTGACTACAGGTGAGTAACTGCATGTAGTAAATACAGTCCAGTTGTGCTGCTGTGCACGCAATGATAGTCAGGGGCAGACGGGGTGGTTCGTCAACGGCCGCCCACGTCATCAATGATATCAATGGCTGCCCAGGTGCTGTTTGCATGGCCAAGTGCTGTACGTACTACAGACAACATCGGGATATGATGAATATGGGACGATGTAGAGATACCAGTACAGTACAGTACAGCGCCTGGGGAGTTGTTGGAATGCGCCGTGTTCATCGGTGTGACCACATTTGACTCGGCTAGGACGATTATGTGAGTGTGCGACGGAGGATTTGTACAATTGATGGGCAACGGGCGGGCGTTGTACTGTGGACTGTGAACTGTATACTGCGCAGTACCCTGAGCAGATGGACAACCTTGGAATCCCCACTTCGCTCAGCTCAACCAACCCACCTCACACCAACAGGAAAGACATCCCGTGTATCGTGCACGCGGTCAGTCAGAGGTTGTGAGAGCGCTGGCAGCAACCCAGTCCAGCATACGGCTCACATTTAACTCCTCTTCCATCATCATTGCACTTATGGAATAAATCTTATCAGCAACAATCTTGGAATTCTTTCATCGCCGGTGATCGCCCTGCATGATCTGACGCTGCAGCTGCTACCACTAAATTCTCGCTACTACTGCGCGCCATTCCACACTACTCATCAATCACCATCATCTCCGTCCTCTCTCCTCGTGACAGTGGAGAATTTTCCCCTCTTCGTTTCGACCACGCGCTCCGATCTACAATTCCAGAACCAATAGTCCGTACATATTATATCATCTACCGGCCTTTGTTTGCGCTTCCGACACAAGTCGCGTGTGAGCTCTGCTTCCAAAGCACATTCCGTCCTGTCCACCTGACCAGACATACATCCTCTTTGACACACCGACCGACCGCTTGGAATATATCCGATCTATTGCTCTGCATACTGCCGCATTTCAATCACTACTGGAACAAGATTGGCAATCTCAACCATCATGAGCTCTTCACAACAACCTCAGGTCTTGCCATTGACACAACCTCCAAACTCCACTCGGACCTCAACACCACAACCGCTCTCCCCGCCTCGGCATCCTCACCGCGCCAATCTTGCTTCGCCATCCCGCCTGCGCTCCAGCTCACCGCGCCTACACAGTCCAGCGTCGTCGGAGATCTTTGAGCGCAACGTGCAAGAGTCCGTATCAATCGCCAGCCTCGGAGGTGAAGAACAGGCCGCTCATATTCCGGCGCATGTCGTCACCGAGGATCACATCCCTCCAGCTCTCGAGGCTTCCGCACAAGCCATCACCAGTCAATCGCTGAACCCTGACGAGGTCGAAATCGTCACTTCCTCCTCACATCAACCCGCAGCTACAGCTCTCGAGCACTCAACGTCAAACTTCGGCGCAGATCACCCCTCCTCCATCCACTCGTCGATCCTCGCTCAACGCTCACCGATCGTTCCCGAGGACTCCGCATCCACTCACGACTTTGCAACCAGCCCTCACCAGTCTAGCTTTCTACCTGCACTCACAGCTGTCACGACCAGGACCTCCACCACCGAAGATGACCAGACGGGGCCTTCGGCTGCCAGTACATATGCTTCCCTCGATCCCACGGACGTCCGCCGCCTGAGCTTCATCTCCTTCAAGGACGTCGTACAGAGTGAACACCAACACATCTCCTCCCCACTCGCCTACAGCGGAAGTCTTCGCGACATCGGCAGCCGCGAGAGCCTCCCTCTCAGCCAGTCCCCTCCCCACGATCGCGCCGCCTCACCACTCCGCTCCCCGACTTCCACCACTGCCAGCGGCGTCACCACTCCGCCCACTTATGAGGCCGGCTCGACACCACTCAGCTCCCCCTCACAGCAGGGTTTGGGCATCGCGCAACAACAACACGGTGATCTTACAATTGAGACGATGCGTCAGGCTTTGCGCAAGACCGCCAGCGGTGATTTGGGAGTGAGGAATAACACTGCGAGTGGTGGCTTGAGCCCCGTGGCCGCTCCGGAGGATGGTCCGCTGTCTCTCTCTGAGGCGGTTGCGAGGTAGTCAGATTGTCATTGACAACAAGAGCAAGGCCAATGGAGACTGTCACGACTGGTTGGATGCAGAGGATGGGTGGAAGAGAACGGGACGAGCTGGCACAACATGCATTTGACGATGGGCTAGGTTTGCGCCGGACCGAAACTTAGTCCCCTGCCAGCTAGCCCTTCCTGATGGTATACCTGTCATCTTCCTCTACTCTTTTTGAAAAAACGAGATGTATCGCGATCACCGAGATGTGGAGAGTACGCGCTCCACCTTGGCCGTGGACTCAAACATCACAAGCCCCAGGGAGCGATCCCTTCATACTACACGGGTCGTCGACGACGATCATGAAACGATATATCACGAGCAATGTCGGTGGGAAGAGATCAAGGGAGAGATGCAAATCTTGGGTTTTCAATGAAAGATATTTGTCGAATTGTTCGAATTTCGTTTCTCAGTCATGACCAGCCTTTCTTTCCAGTTTTGTCATCGCTCATCGTCGTCTTTTCCCTGTGCTCTCCCTCTCCTTCTGATATCATTATTGCTGGGAGATGCAAGCGGAATGACGTCCCTGTTCCCGCTTCGGAAACGCCCATGTGCTTCAGATGACACAATCACACGACGATCGGTTTCGTTGATTCGGTACAGATCTTGAGTAAATTTTTGGTTCCCAATTGCTATTCGCGAAGATTATTACCTACTAGGTAAATGGTGTTGGATCTGGAGCAATGAAATGGATAGGCAAACTGTCATGCCTGGATCAATGGGCTTGCAGGTGCGATGTGACGTTAGGGTTAGGGTTGCTTTTCTCCTGCTTACTTCGACCTTGTCTGTTCATTGGACACGACGGTGCATGTGTCAGATGGTTCATTCCAAGGTTAGTACTCGTGGATACCTAAATCTGACAGAATATACAACAGTCCGGGAGTATTTCCAGAATGATGAGAAAGTGGCCTCGTAGCCCTGGAACAGATGTTGAGCCTACACAGATCAAATCCACCAAGATTCGAATGCGCGTCCGACAACTTGACCATCACCATCATCCTCCACGACGAAAACCAACGGTCAGAAAACGATCACGTGCCCCAACCCAGAGCCAGGCCAGACTGTGTCAACAGCCGATAAGATCGATGGGTGGAAACAGCGTGCCCTGCATCGTCGCCTTTTTCTCCGGCGACAGGTCGTGCTATGGAAAGCACAGTAGCTGCATTAGAGCGTGCAGGAGAAATTCTGCAGTCCGCGACGCCAATGCGGTCGTCAGGGGCACGCCGGACGCCTGCCGTCAAGACTGCCGCTTTGCTGATATGACGCTCTGCTTCGACTTGTCGATGTGGGATGGCGGGACTGGCGTCTGATTCGAAGGGATGTGAGGATATCGTGTGATTGCTATGGATTGAGGCTTCTTATCTGGGGCATTGTATTATCATGGATCCCGGGCAGGCAGGTGGATATGTTTCCGGAATCGAGAAGGCCATCTGCTGCGATCGATGACTGCCCCTCACCCGCTCCCTCTCCCCGCACTGTTTGGAATCTTCGTCGTCCTCCCGTCGTGCAGGAGTACGCCCTTACCCTCGTCACTTGAGTGTTGAGCCTGATGGAAGGATCATCTTGCCGCGAAGAATGCACAGGCGTGTGAGGATATAAGTACGTGTAGCATGTGTGAAATATGCGATGGGGATGATGAATCACGACCTTGGCCAAGTCGAGGTCAAATGGAGCCGAAGCGCTTGCGGGTCAGGTCATCGGAGGAATCATCAAACATCACGACGACAATTGACCCAATTGGGTTGGAGGGTTCGAAGGCTGTCATTGCCATCCATTCATGGATGTTTATTGGATGCTTACCTCATCTGACCCTCTTCATCGATCTCATCCTCGCATGCCGTTTGTCAAGGACACCCGCTAGCATCATCGAAACTCCATCAAGAACCCGGACATTTTCGGACATTTCATCTGTATCCCTGATTCCGCGTGATTGTGATATCAAGTTGATCTAACCGTCGTTAGTGTTCTTGCCAGGAGCGAGAAGTGGTGGTTTTGCATGTCAATCATCATCCATCGTGCGACGTCAAGTAATTTCAGAACCTAGGTTCGTCACGTTTGATCGCAATCATCACTCCCGTGGGTCGCTGCTTTCCAGCGGTACCACCAAACGGCTTTGTGTGTGATGAATTTCGGGTTGCACGTCCCTCAAATCTCGTTCGGTAGGGTCCCCCCACCGACAGACTGGCTGTGAATGGTCGGGTGTGCGTGCGCAATGATGACGGACGGTTGGATAGGTAAAGGGTCCACGCCCACAGTCCAGAGCGAACATGCCCGCGGGCAAGGTGGAACATTTCGCCGGTGAGGGAACACGTGCATGATATTCACCATTCACCATTCATAAAAAAAAATCTCCTCCAATTGACCCCGGCCGGTTTCGATCGCACGACAATTATCCCCGACAGAGCGTACTGGAAAGGCGCGACGATTTTGCGCAAGGGTATTAGCTCGGCGGGTCAGATAGTGTCGACCGGCGCAAGTCTTGCCGACGTGACGGCGGCGGTGATGTTAGGGAAAGCCAAAAATCAGCCTGTTGGTGTTTGGGATGAGAGCCGCGAAAACGACCCGCGGCGGGTACCTTGCACGAAGGCCAGCGGGCGGCGGACGCCATGGGAATTGCGTGCGCGAGACGCAGTTATACTGTAAGTGGCAGGCGTGTAAGGTCCCAAAAAGCCACCATGTTCACCTGTAGATACCCGTGTGCCGTGGACAGTGATATTACAGTAGAAGCAGCGGAGGAGGCTCGTGTGATCCCTTTCGCCATTATTGCTAGATCCTGCCTCCTCCGCCTGAGTGTTCCCCCCACTTGGCCTTGTCATCGGCTTGGAAATCCGGCCCTTGTTGCGTGCTTTTTCCGCCGGCCGTTGTGTCTAGAGATCGGGTCCCCCGAAACTCTATTCGGATCATCTGGCGTGATGTCGATGAGATGGGAAGAGAGCATGCTGGATGATGGTGGATCATAGTCTTCTTGCAGGATCTGTAACCATGGCTCGTCGGCGGACTGGCAGTCGTTTGATGCAGGTGTGAATCTGGATGGATGCAGTGTGTGAGAGTACAGAATAGCACAGTAGTCCTGCAGCTGTCGAATGCACCAATGTTGTTAGTGCGATGGTAGTGTGCCCATGGGTAATGTTATGCGTGCATGGAACAAGGAAGATGACCCACTGCGGCAGCCGAACCAGATTGTGAGCTGCTGTAGGAAAGAAATCCTCCTCCTGTCTGCCTTTCTGGCGCCCGGAGCAACGCGCGCCCGCATCGTGAGATTCCCATCGTGAGCTTCATTCGCGGGCGTCGGGCAGATCTGTATTTACTTTGTCACGAAGTAGTGGCATCTCGAATGGGAGAGCACACAGGCGAGCACACGACGGATTTCATAACTACACTGTTGGATGAACTCCAGGCCACACTTTAAAAAATGTCATTCCGCGAAAGGCACCAAAGTGGCCAGCAATCGTGGTCGCTCATCAATGAGCACAATGTGCATCCACATGTTCGCGCGCGCGCACACACACACACGCATTCCAAAACACACACATACACACACACACTCTCTCTCTATCGTCTTTTCCGCCCTCCCTCTGTTCCACACACACCACCACCATAGTCACCACTACCATTGTTACACATGGGCATTGGCCCTCGGCATAAACCAAATTCTTTCTCACGCTCAATTTCTCGGCCCAGAGATGGTAACGGTGAGATTCGAGTTGGAGGGAGAAGAGTATGGGGAGTGTCGAAGCGTCCAGACCCGTAGGTTTGTCCATATACTACTGTACACAACATCCGGTACCGTATACACACACAGCACAAAGAGCAGCGCTACAACAACCCAGTAAAGTCAAAGTATTGTCCTGTCCTCGGGCTGCGTAGGGACAGCCCAGAAGAGAATCGTCTCCATCTCCTGCTCTTCCGTATTCGATTTCGATATCCGCCACAACTCCCGTTTTCGCACTGGTGGCATTCACTACCCACTTGACCCGACTACACACTTGCTACTTATCACCTCGAGCTAGTCGGTAGTTTCGTTACTATCGCATACCCTCCGCACGGCTATTATCACCTACTCCCACCATCATTCTCTTCCAGGTAAATGCTGTACTGCACTGCACACAAACCTGTTCGACGTACTGTACCACCACGTACTACCACCAGCTTCCACCACCTGGTGACATTCGGCTGTCCGCTTGTGGACCTCACTCATTGACAGCATTAGAGGGGTCTCAGGACTTGTCCTGGGAACGTTTCCTCTTTGTATCTTTTCTAGGTACTTGCACGGCGGTACTCGCTGTCATCATTCTGTCGGTGCTTCCTCACCAAAAGCGACAACCGTTCCACGAGTCGCAACATCGCACCGCGTTGCGCATGCTGCAACGGCACCTGTCGCACTCCCTCAGAATCGACATGCGTTGCAGGTAGCCGAATCTTTTACACTCATTGGACAGTTCAGGACACCAAAGCCGTTGACAGTCGCTCTCGGTCGTCCCCACTATCCGCGCGAGCAGCAACATCGGCGGGAGAGACAAGAGCGGGATTGCGTGTTTCGTTTAGCGCATTGGCGGAGCCGCCATGAGCAACACAAACTCGCTGCGAAGGCGGTCGTTGTATGAGCCTGAAATCGTCGCAGTCGAGAAAGAGAAGAAGAGTCGCTGGCCGGGGCGGAGTCAACAGCGCAAGGATCCCTCTGCGTATGATGAATGGCTGATGCAGCAGAAGGCGTCGTCTTCGAAGCCGCAGCAAGCGGAAGTGAGTGATCGTCCCCGACAGACCTCGCTGCCGTCGGATGATCAGCGGCCTGGCCCTCCACTGCGGCATCAAAGCAGTCGCAGCACCACATTCTCCACAGTACGAGCAGTCAGTCCAGAGGGTGAGAATCAACGACCAGCAACGACGCGCGAAGAGTCAGGCTCGTCGCGCCCGTTTACTCCTCGACACAACGAACTCGCGTCCGCTTCAAAGGCTACCAGCAGCCCACGAGGGTCATCCAAGACTCGTCGATTTCTGAAGGAACGTAGCTCCAGCAAGGAGCCTCGATCGAGTCCACCGAGCAGCCGTAATGGGAAATCCAATGACGCCAATGCCGCCTCATCCTTCTTGAGTCGCCGACTGAGTCTTGGTCAACAGCGGACTCGTGCGACGCCCGAGGAATACGACGCCGAACCATTGCCGTCACCCGTCAGCAGCACGCCGCCAGCTAGCCGTCCACGCACCAAAACGATGGAGGAGCGACGACGTGGATCTTCACCAGGCATGCGGGTCCTGCGAGGACGCGGAGCGAGTGTGCACACGTCATCAGCCTCTGTCTCTCATACGGAGGACTCGCACATGGTCGCGACTCCACGGGCAAAGCGCGTGTCCTCGCCATCTCGAGGGAGCGCAACTCGCACTCCATCGCAAGGAGGCGCCGATGTCACCGGCCGGCGATCAGGCTCTCCTCTATCATATGCCGCTGTTGACGACATTGCAACGCTTCCAGTAGCCATGCAAAGGCGCATCGGTCACTTGATGAAGACATTGAGTGGGAAGATGGGAGGGGCGATAGAATTGCGGCGCGACGCGCAGAGCCCTTGGACATCTTGTTACTGTTATATCAACCACAATGCTGGACGCCTGATGTTCGAGTCTGGCACAGCGGGACCACATCAGACACTTATTTCCAATCTGTTTGGAGCGACCACGCAATACAGTGTAGAGAACGAGGAGCTATTGATTGAAGTGCGATCGGCTGATCAGACTGAAGAGGTTCACGTCAAACCAGCCACACAGCAGGAGTTCGATGCATGGTATGCGGCGCTCGCTCATTGGCAATCGCTTGACGTTACCCCTCAACCTAGTTCTGCTGGAGTTGATCCCCGACCAGGATCAGAAATGAGTATATCATCCAATGCAGCCACTAACGACGCCCTACATCATCAACGAAGAGCATCTGCGACGAATACCCGCTCGCGTGCAGGGAGCAATCGCAGCGACCGTCGCAGATCTCTAGCGGCCACAGTGCCAAAGGAGAACCCAGTGATCAAGATCGGAAAGATGATCTATTGGGAGACCTCCGTGGGCTTCGGAAACAGTTCAACAACCTCGCTCGGTCACGGCTCATCGGGTCGATCTGGGAATTACATGATGCAGGCGGCGAGCACCCGCCGCTGGCGAAGAGTCAGCGGTCAATTGAGAGAGAATGGCGAGCTCAAGCTTCATGCTGATGGAGGAGATTCGCTTATTTCGCTTGTACAGCTCAGCCAACTCAGTCGATGTGCCATTCAACGCTTGGACTCGAGTGTTCTTGAGACGGATCATTGCATTGCCATCTACCCACAATACACATCCAGCTACACAAGTGGTCCGTCTAACCTCAACCGGCCGATCCTGCTAAGCCTCGAAAGTCGTGTCTTATACGAGGTCTGGTTTGTACTCTTGCGCGCCTTCACCATGCCTTCGATTTACGGACCGCGACTCGAAGGCCCACAAGGATTAGACAGCAGCGGGTTAGACATGAATCGAGATTTGGAGAACATGATTGCCACCAGCACGTCCTACGCCTTTCGAATGGAACGCAGCCTCAATATTCGGATCATCGAGGCGAAAATGGCCTCACCCACAGTAGGCGTGGATAGCCTCGTCGCGAGTGGAGTAGGGAAGAATCAAGCGTACAACAATGCTGATAAACACGGCTACTACGCTGAAGTGCTCCTTGACGGAGAGACTCGTGGTAAGACCGTCGTCAAGTACGACACAATACATCCGTTATGGCTGGAGAATTTCGAGTTTCAGGACCTGCCGCCAGTTCTCGGAAGTGCCAGCGTTACTTTGCGGCGCCGACCACCGGAGCCAGTACTAGCAAGAGAGCGCGATGTGCGCCAGATGCCGGAGACGTACACCGAGTCGCAAGGTGTTGTGGCCAGCCTGGGATTCGATGTACTTTGTGGCAAGGTTGAGATCCACCTCGATGAGCTGGAGGGCGATCACACTGTCGACCGATGGTGGCCGGCATTCAACGCACAAGGCCAAAAGGTTGGCGATGTGCTCATCAACGCGCGTCCCCAAGAGGGCATCGTCCTGATGGCGCGCGACTATCGTCCTCTTGCGGAAATTCTACACCGCTTCGAGAATAGTCTAACAATTCACATGGCTGATCTCATCCCGAGTGAGACCAAACGCTTATGTGATTGCTTATTAGACATCTTTCAAGCTTCTGGCAAGGCCACCGATTGGATCATGTCTCTGATTGAAGAAGAGATTGACGGAATCAACAAGGAAACGCCCATCACTCGTCTCCGATATGTCAAGCGCGCCGGATCTGACGCCGCCAACGAAGCGCCCATTGGTAGCTACTCTGGTGCTAGCGAGCGGGAAGCAATTGTCCGCGACCTCAACAAGACGGCCACTCTTGAGGCCAACTTGCTCTTCCGGGGCAACACACTCCTAACACGTGCCCTCGACACCCACATGCGTCGGATCGGGAAGGAATGGCTTGACGCATCTCTCACCGAGACTCTATTCGACATCGTCATCAAAGACCTCGACTGCGAAGTAGACCCCAGTCGCGTGTCGCCTTCGGAAGTTTCGACCAACTGGGGCCGCCTCTTGCTTGCCACACAGGATGTCTGGCGAGCTATCATGTCCGCGAGCAGTCGTTGTCCCGTGGAGCTCCGCCTGATCTTCCGTCACATCCGGCACTGCGCTGAGGATCGCTATGGGGACCACCTGCGGACGGTACAGTACAGCAGTATCTCGGGCTTCTTATTCCTCCGATTCTTTGTCCCAGCCGTGCTCAACCCCAACCTCTTTGGACTCATGAAAGGTGGGCGCCGAATCCTTATTGCAGACGAAGGTATCTGGAGGCTAAAGAAAATCTACGCAGGGGACCTCAAACCTCGCACCCGTCGAACGCTGACCCTCATCGCCAAATCCCTCCAGACCATGGCCAACATGGCCACCTTCGGGGCCAAAGAACCGTGGATGGAGCCGATGAATGCCTTTATTGTTCAGCATCGCGATGGATTCAAACGATTTGTTGACGAGGTCTGCCATCTGCCCGAATCCGCCACCTCACATCCAAGCTCGCCCACTTCACCGCCGATGTACCCCGCCGATCTGGTCAGCGTGGAACGTTCGATGAGCTACAATACACCCACGACTATCATGCAGCGCCTTCCGCCTAGCAGCCGAGAGGGCTTCCCGAGTCTGCCGTATCTCGTCGACCAAGCGCGCTCGTATGCCGAGCTGATTCAATTGTGGCTTGAGTCCGTGGAAGCATTATCGCGACCCACCGAGCTGATTGCGATTCCAACGCGATCCCACGCGGACATCCTTAATGCGATTGCTGCTTCGGACGAGTCCTTTGTCACTTTCAACGAACTGTGTGAGAGCCTGAGTGCACGCACGCAGGAATGTCTTGCCCGTGCCGAACGTGCCGAACGGCCGGAGAGCGCCCCAAGCTACAACTTTGAGGAGGTCATCGAGCAGCTTCATCGCACCGCACTTGCCGATAATCGTGATCTGTTTGAGCTCTTGGCGAACAAGATTGCCAACGACCCATCGATCATTCCCAAGGGCGCTACACCTGCCGTTGCAGCCACCATCGCTCAGCTGCGCAGTCAGATGGATGATAATGCTGCCAGTGGCGCCAACACCTCCACGGATGACGAACAACAACAGCAGCAGAGACCATCGACTCAACAGCGACCTTCGCTGTCCTCTCGTCACTATAGTCCGACACCTCCGCGCTCCGCTGCACCTTCCATCATGGAGTCTGCTTCGCGGTACAATGATCGCAGCGCCCACAGCACACGCCCCAGCTCTTCCGCCGCCACCGCAACCCCGAGCAGCAATACCTTCTACAGCAGTAGCATCTTCAACCGCAGCACCATCACCGCCACCTCCCTCCTCAACGGCTCCTCCAATCAGCCTCCCCTCCCTCCCGCATCCGCACCTCCACTCCAACGCCCTTATCCGCTCGTCAAATCCTCCACCTCTCCAGGTCACAGCGCCGCCGCAAGTGTCAGCAACCTCAGCAGCGCCGTCAGCAGCGACACTGAGCCCGGCAGCTCCTCCCACCACAACACGGCCGCCCCCACCGCGCTGCCCTCCTACGAGCGCGAGATCCGCCACCGCGAACGTCGCGAGGCCGCCCGGCTGGAAATCCAACAATCCGTCGAAGCGGCGCGCGTACGCGAACTAGCCAAATCCGCACAGAAGAACGCTTCCGGAGCGAACGGCTCCAGCGGAGGAGGCAGCAACGGAGGCAAAATCCTCGTCGGAAAACTCGTCCCGGGTTTCAAGAAGAAAAAGGAGAAGGAGGCCGCTGCGGCGGCGGCGGCGGCAGCAGCAGCCGCGGAGAAGGAGAAGGAGAACGGCGTTGGCTATTAGGTCCTGGGAGAGGTTAATGGAAAGCAGTGCCTTTGACTTTTTGATCGATTCTCGGGTGGTCATGCTGCGATGGATGTTACTCCGGCCTTACGGCTTTTATTTTTTTTTACTTTTTTATTGACGATGCATGACGACGATTGATGACCGAACGATGATGTTTAGGATCTTGCGGGGGGGTTTTCTTTTGATTTTCCGACGACGGTATGTTTCGGCATGGCACTGGCTCTTTGGCATCTTTGCGATGGTGGCGGTGCTGAAAGTGGGAGGCATGGTGAAAGGAATCTGGTGATTTCGTCTCTCTCAGCGATGTTTATTGCCGGATATGATGTTCGCTTCCAAGGCATGCAGCCCGCTCTTTTGGGAGACGAGTTCTGGTTGTTGCCCGACACTCAGCAGCAGCAGCAGCGTGCCTGCTCGGAAGGCGCTGCGCCACTCTATCTACAACATATTTATACCTCATGATGTATGTAAATGTGTGCATTAGGAAGGGAACGCAGCTCTGTAGACGAAAAAATGTATGTGTATGGAAAGAGAAAGGCAAGAACTCTCAAATCTCATGGATGATGAAGGCACGCCGTCATCGAAAAGGTTGTGCCCAAATCGGTATTTTCGCTAGCAGCACATCCATTTATCTACACAGATGCGGATCGAAGCTCGAGAGAGTGCAGAAGGAAAGATCAACGTTTGATGACGACCCGAACACTGAGAAATGATCTCTGTTCCCACAGACGATTGTTGTCATAAAATGATGACATCGAAGAAAAAAACAATCGTACTTGATGCAACGCTGACAATGAGGCTTGCACTTGCAAATAGGGCCATTCCTCACGATTCCGGAGGATTAATTAGTGCCTCTCTCCTCTCCGCTTGAGGGAAAACACCGCCTGTTCCCCTGGAAAAATCCCTTGCCCTGAAGAAAAAATAATCCTGTTCCGGAGAAAACGGAAAAGTTGGGTCCTCAGGCGTGAGAGGCTCATTTCTTGCCTTTCTTGCCCTTCGCCTTGCCGCCACCGCCCGAAGCATTGGTATCGACGCTCGCGGCGCGAGAGTTGCCATTGGGGGTGCCCTTGACGCCATTCACGGCCTTGTTCTGTACCGGGAGAGACATGTCAGTGGTTTTGTTCATTAAGCGCCAAGTGTGCCATGATCTGAGGAGAAAGGAAAATCATCTCACCTTTGCGGTTCCGATAGAAACGCGGCCTTTCTTTTTCGCAGCTCCGTCCTTGTCTTCCTCTTCCTCTTCCTCCTCCTCGTGTGCGCGTTTGCCGTTCTCCTTGCCGTTCTCTTTGCCGCCTTCCATTTCACGTGTGACAGTAGTGATGAGAGTCGCACCACGTCGACTGAGTTCCTGAGGGGTACGCGAGAGGAAGAACCAGTCGAAGCGGAAGAGTGGGCTCTCACGGATTTCGTCGCGGATCTTCTCGTACAGGCCTTCCGTGTCGAGGCCGTGTTTGTTGAGCATGACCAGCAGGAAACGGTCTTCCTCTTCAGTATAGACCTTCTTGTTCGTGGTGCTGACGGTGTAGTTGAGCTTCAATTGTTGCAGAGGGACCCGGTACATGGCCATTTTCTTCTTGAGCAAATCGCGCTGCTCGATGACCCGAGCGGCTTTCTGCTCGCCATCCTTGATGGCCGCGATGTGCTTTTCATGGTTTGCAATCTCCTTGTAGCGTTTCCAGAATACCTTGGCGTATTCCTTGACTTCTTTGGCATCCTTCGAATCAACTTCAGTCGCGATGCCTTCGTAGTCATTTCGGCCGTATTTGGCGCTGCCGTTGATGAATTGTTGGAAGTCACGTTTGTTCCACTCGCCAAAACCACCTTCGCCAAGCTGCTCCTTCTCTGCGATCTCTTCTTCAGTCAAGGGCTCGGCCTGATCAATGGTACTCTGCTCTAATTCTTGGTCCTGCTGGCGTTGCTCGAGGGTATCCTCATCTCCATCTGCCAACGGTGCTTTGATACCGTTCTCCTTTCTGAACCATGCAGTCTCCCTCTCCTGCAGATCACCGAGCCTAGGAGAGAAGAATTGGTAATCGTGCATGGCCATCTGTCGAGGAGCTCGTGGAACTTTGGGCTTGGGGTCCGGCCGAGGTCCACCAGTCATGAGCGCGTTTCGGTAGTACTTGTCCATTGAATAGGATTGCTCCTTACGCTCACGTTTGGCTGGATTGATCCAGCTGAGACCAATCTCTTTCTTCTTGTTGATGAAACTCTCACCGTTCCACTCATACGCTGCACCGGCCTCGGAGGTGAACTTTTGTAAGTCATCTAGACCAAGTTTCTCGTACTTCGAATTCATCTCTTTGGTGCGCTCCTCACTTCGCTTGAGGATCTCATCAAAACCACCATCTGAGAGGTCCGTCACTTTGGTGCCCTCTTTGGCTTCGAAGATTGTCTCTGCTCCATGCTGAATCATGCCGAGCAATTCATCCTTGGAAGAGTTCTGCTTGGCCTGCTGCTGAGCGCGACCTTGTTGAATGACTAGTTGATCAAGACGAAGTTTCTGAGCTGCACGCTCCAGCACCTTTTCTTCAATGGCGTTCTCTGTGACAAAACGGAAAACCATGACCTGTTTCTTCTGACCGATTCGATGGGCACGATCCATGGCTTGCAAATCGGCCTGTGGGTTCCAATCGGAATCAAAAAGAACCACAATGTCGGCTGTGGTCAAATTGATACCCAGACCACCGGCACGAGTTGTGAGCAAGAACAAGAACTTCTCGGAACCCTCTTTGTTGTAATCGTCAATGGCTGCAATGCGGTCCTCATGCGCCGTGGAACCATCAATACGGCAGTACTGGTAGCCGCGGAATACCGAGTAATCCTCCATGATATCCAACACGCGAGACATTTGAGAGAAAATCAGCACACGACTCCCTTGGGCTTTCATGCGCTTAAGCAGGTTATCGAGCATGACCATTTTGGCAGAGTTGTCAATGAGATGTTCATCGGTCGTGTATGGCGGTCCCGGCTCGGCACCATCGAACAGGTATGGATGGTTGCAGCACTTTCGCAATTGCATGACAATGTTCAACAACCGAGTCTTGCTCTCCTTCTTGCCGTTGGCGCCGTTGACAGCATCGATATCCTTTTCCAGGATGTTCTTGTACCATTTGATTTGCATGTCGCTCATGCCAACGTAGAGGTTGATCTCCTTCTTCGGTAGCAGACTCTTTTCGACATCGGCCTTGACACGACGAAGCAGGAAAGGTCGTAAGACGCGGTGCAATTGTGAAACGACAGTATCCTGATCCGCATCCTGAGCACTAAACCACTGATCAAATGCCTCGGCATCACCAAAGACATCAGGCAGCAGGAAATTCAGCAGAGCCCACAGTTCGTGCAGATTGTTTTGTAATGGTGTTCCGGTGATGAGCAAGCGATTACGCGAGTTGAATATTCGAATAATCTGTGCGAGCGACGATTCTTCGTTCTTGATACGATGTGCCTCGTCAATGATGATGTATTCCCATGCGAACTTCTTGAGATGGCTCTTTTCCCGAAGGATCATCTCATACGACGTGATGCAGACGTCAAATTTTTCGTCCACCAACCGCTCGTTGATCAGCTGGTGACGTTCTTCCTTTGCACCCTGAAGCACAAGCACGTTGATCTCCGGAATCCATCTGGCAAACTCGCGCTTCCAGTTGTCAAGTGTTGACTTGGGCACGACCACGAGATGAGGACCGGTGATTTCTTGAACGAATCGCAGATATCCAATGAAAGAAATGGTTTGTAAGGTCTTCCCCAAACCCATTTCATCAGCGAGAATGCCTGAAATACCATTCTCATGAAGACTGATCAGCCAATTGAGACCAGCCACCTGGTAGTCTCGCATTTGACCTTGGATATAGCTTGGGCTTTCCCGGAAGATTGTCTGTGCCTGTTCGCCTTCTTGTTTGCCCTGTCGAATGAGATCCGCGTCTTCTTCTTTCTCTGTACGTCTCCGCCTCTCTCCTCCCGCACCGCCTTTTCTTTTATTTCCAGCAGCTGTGGTCTCCTCCCCCTGGTCTTGACGGTCGATCTCGGCCATGATGTCGCGAATTTTGGGGTTGGGATTCGTGTCAATAAAGTGACGAAACAGGTCAGTCAAGCCTAACAGGTATCGAAACCGTCGGATTGAATCATCCTCTTTGCTTTCTCCCAAGCGATCATGCTTTTTGCCAATGATGCTTTTCCGCAGTGCATTGCCTTCCCATCTTCGTTTACGACCATCCGGATTTGATGCATCCCCAGCAATACTGTTGACAGTCCCGGTTGGGTTCGACTCGGAATCTGTGTAATCTGGAGTGTCGATGTCCATGTTGTCCGGTAGGCTTGCGTCGCCTGCGCCGAGAGCATTTGATGTGCTCATGGTGGTGATGTGATTGCGATCGTGAAACTCACACGCAAAGGAAGAAGTCGCGCTCAGCAGCTGGCAATGGCTCGACTGCCGGCCAATTATCTTTCGGACGCGTCTTCAGCTCGTTCACCGAGATAGCGAAGAATCCGCGACTGTACAAAAGTCCGTTGCAGTTAGCGATTGCGCTTTAACTGCGAGATGGTGAAGTTGTTGGAAGAGAACGCAGGCAGACGTGTGTGGGGAGTTCATTCCAAGAAAGGACTTCGGCTCATTCATTAACTTAAGGAACATACATAATATCTGCCGCGCGATTCATTCAAGCTCGCGGCGCGCGCAGACGGCCCGTCAGGAATATGACGCGTTTAGCCAATCAAAGGCGTGTCGCCATGAACCACTTGGGCCTGAGGCTTCAGAACCCTAGCACTTGTCTGCGGAGGGCACCCCCGAGAAAATGTTCGGCGATTATTATCACCAATAGTGGCTTTGGAGGGGCAGGCAGGCCTCAGTGTAGCAATAAATTCATGAGTCAGGTAGAATTGAATGATCGAACACACGACACTCTCAGACAACGGCACGTTGATGTGACTACAAAAGATAAACTCGACTCGTGATATAGCGTTGACTGCATGAGAACACAAAATCGTGTGTACAATTGAGATCTCCAGGTTTCCACATCGAAATGGCGGATCTAGCAGTCGTCGATGCCCCGCCTGCTGCCAATGAGGATAAGAAAAACGAACAACAACAAATTGATCCTTACAATGTTTCAGGAGGAGTCGATGAGCACGGAAACGTCAAAGCAATCGATTATGATCGTTTGATCCAGGAATTCGGCGTGCAACCGCTCACAGAAGAGCACCTCAAACGATTCGAGCAAGTGACAGGAAAGCCCGCACATCGGTTGATGAGGAGAAAGTTGTTTTTCTCACATCGGGACTTCGACAAGATTCTGGACGCGTACGAGAAGCATGGCACTTTTATGCTCTACACGGGTCGAGGACCCTCCAGTGGGAGCATGCATCTCGGACACACCGTCCCATTTCTGTTCACCAAGGAATTACAAGAACTATTCGATGTGCCGTTGGTCATCATGTTGACTGATGATGAGAAGTATTTGCACACACGCAATAAGAACAAAGGGACGCAACCCAAGGGTAAGGCACTGGAAGACTTCCTTGCCTTTGCACACGAGAACATGAAAGATATCATTGCCCTGGGTTTCGATCCGAAGAAGACATTCATTTATACCGACTACGAGTATCTTGGAGGCCACTTCTATTGGAACACTTCCGAGTTCGAATCGTTGGTGACGCTCAATCAAGCCACAGGGGCCTTTGGATTCGGCGAGAGCACCAACATTGGGTTGATCGCCTATGGCGCCAAGCAATGTGTTGCAGCATTCCCCTCATCGTATCCCGATCTGTTCGGCTACAAGGATTACCGTCCACCAGAGTTCGACCAAGCGGCGAAACGACGGCACAAGGCGTTATCCAAGATCCCCACCCTCATTCCGTGCGCCATCGACCAGGAGCCATATTTCCGCGTACTGAGAGATCGCTGCGAACGGATGACGGACCCGCATCCCAAGACATGTCTGATCCTCTCCAAGTTTCTCACGGCCTTGCAAGGACCCGGAGGCAAGATGAGCGCATCCGATGAGAACTCGGCGATTTTCATGTCCGACACGCCCGCACAGATCAAAAACAAGATCAACCGCCACGCCTTCTCAGGAGGAAGAGAGTCCCTCGAAGAACATCGCAAACACGGAGGCAATCCCGATGTCGATGTCGCGTATACCTACCTCTCATATTTCTTGGAGGATGATGCAGAGTTGGAAGGAATCGCGCAGAAATACCGAAGCGGGGAGATGCTCACGGGGGAGATGAAGGCCCGTTGCATTCAAGAGCTCCAGGCCTTCGTCAGCGCGTTCCAGGAGAGACGCCAGAAGGTCACATACGAGACCATGCGGGAGTTCACTCGGCCCCGGCTATTGGAGTACAAAGGAAATCCGAACCCGACCCAAGCGAAGTCCGCCCCGTTGGCGGAGAAGGGGAGTGCCGGCGATGAGAAGCCGGCGGCTAGAGAGGATGGCAGGGGCACGAAGGGAGAGCGCAAGGCCGCGAAACTGGCCGAGAAGCTTGCAGCGAAGGAGAAAGAAAGGCTGGCTCTGCGACAGCGGACTGATGCCGGTCAGACCGAGGCCGAGCAGACCGCGCCCGGTCCGACAGGGCCCGAGACACCTACACAGGATCCGTAGAGGAAAAGGAATCAAATGGGATGTCCACACTGATCCCTTGTGGTGTATTCCATCATGCCCTGCTCGTCGTGAATCCGAGTAACGTGTAGCAGGACACGGCACCTCATCGGGAGGAACATCACAGCCACGTAGAGAGCAAAGGGAGGTCTTCCCCAAGCCACCATCGCATGCGACCACAGCAGAGCACAGTACATTACCAATCCTCTCTATGCAATTTCGCCGTACATTTCCCGACCACGTGCCGGAGAAGATATGCCATGTCCAGATCTCGGCGATCAGATAGAGTAAAGATCTCCCATCCCTTGGCATCCGCAGCAGCACAAGGTGAGGAGCTGTCCGCCGGGGCCCGCAAGGCTGAGCTTCGATGGCGAACCACTTTTGACACAGATATATTACACAGCGATCGCCACTGGAGGGGATAGATACAGTACTGTAGCACGTAAGTAGTGAGTCCTTGAGAGTGCGGGAAAGGCGGCATCGCTGTTCCGTCGTGATGATATTCCCTGTATACACAGACACGTGTGCCTGCGGAGATGATGCTGATGAGCATGGCGGTGCTGTTCCGCGTGTGGGCCTGCCCGTATTGTTGATGTGAACCGTGACGCGCAGACATCAGAACCCGGACGGATTTCTTTGCCTGATGCGGTATCGCATCGAGGATGAGTCTGGCCCGGAGGAGATTTCATACTGAGGAATGCTTGGCTCGCGTGATGTTTACGCGGGTGATGTTGTAAGGTTGGGCGCATACAAGCCGTGCTGTGGTCGTGGTGGTGGTAGTGGTGGTGGTGGTGGATGCGGAGGCGTGTATTCATTCATGACGTCGCCGCGATCTTGGGGTAAGATCTTCAGGGAAAGCAAGACGAGGCGAATTTGATTACATGCCCTACTTGCCCTAGATGGAGCACCAGACAGATGCGGTTAACAACAGCGCATCAGATTGGTGGCGGGAGCCCAAGATTTGATGAGATGCCTTTGAATGCTCTATCATTATCCCACATTACTTTATACATGTTGTGCATCGTGTAATGTTGGTACGACTGTCCGCGTCTGCTGCATTGAACATCGAACGGAGGAGAGCCAGGGTGCGATCGTGTCATCGATTGACGTCAAGTGTTACCAACGCTCAGGACGATGTTGTTGTTGTTGTCGTTGGTGGTGGTGGTGGTGGGTGATGCAATTCATCAATCAGCCTGTCCTTCGCTTCCACGTCGATCACTGCGTCGGGGCACAGTCCAGTATGCAGTCAGCCTGCCCTTTTCGACCAGCAACTGGGAGTAATAATGACAGAGGGGGATTGGACCTGGTGCGGGATGTGATTAATAAACAGATACATAGTGCAGGTATATACTGTACATAAAAACGACACACAAGCGATGTGCGTGCAGTGACCTCATCTGACCACACACGTTTTCTCCCGCAGCAAAGTGCACTGCCACCCTGCGAAACCCACCGCTGCATGCAATGGATCCTCTTTCTCGGCTAAAAGACCGATCCTGTTGGAGAAATCTCGTACTGCTAGGTAATGATGGGACGGTTGGCGCCAACACCCAATGTCCCATCGCGCCTCTCATTGGCGCTGTCGCTACCGGCCGCCCTTCAGTCCGTCTTGGCACCCATCCCGCTTCCTCCAGGGCGGTCATCTCAGTCATTTCCCTCTTTCCTCGCCGCGGGAGAAGGTCTTGGCGGACCACGGGAGAGGATGGCGGTGATGACGATGATGATGGCGATGGTGGTGATGCAGGGTACTTTTCTTATTAGGTGCCTACCTAGATCAGTTTGGTCAGTGTGGTGTGGGTGGACACCAGCAAGGCGGAGCAGCAAGGAATTTAATGTGGTGGTGACACACTAGTCAACGACGTTTGTCTCGTGTCACACTTGCTCGCCCCCCGGAAGGAATGCGATGCGGTCATATATACCTTTCCCTTCTTTCCCACTGATCGGTCTGTCGCATATCCCTAGACACTCTCACCACAGTCCAAACATCCTAAGGTGACATATCGCACCTCAAGTTGAACATAATCACCATCGCGTCAAGCGCAAGTCACAATCAGCAACACCACATCAACGCGGCGCGCATAACCTCACATCACACACGCCCATCATGCGTCTACCACAAGCAATCATCTTTCTCCTCACCCTGTTCACCACCGTCCACGCCTTCACGCTACCGTCGCTAGACGACTTCACATCACCGGCGAACGAACTCTTCAAGCGTAAAGGTGGTGGCGGTGGACGAGGAGGCGGATCATCCTCGTCAGGCGGATCATCCTCATCGGGCGGATCATCCTCATCTGGTGGTTCCTCATCAGGAGGCAGCTCGTCCGGCGGGTCGCGCGGAGGTTCCAGCGGCGGAAGCACCGGCAGCAGTGGCGGCAGCACCGGCGGCGGCAGCGGCGTCCGAGGACCCAGCTACGGCGGCGGAGCGTACTACGGCGGCGGTGCCAGAACCCCATACCGCGCAGGCTCTCCTTCCTCCGGCCGCGGCGTCCCCGCCGGCCTCCTCGTCGGCGGAACCGCGGCGCTCTTCATCCTCCCCGGAATCTGGGCCTACAGCGTCTACAACTACCCGTACAGCCGACCGTGGTCGTACTACAACCAGACCGCGAACCGCAACGAGACCAACCCGGTCCAGTGCCTCTGTGAGCAGTACTCGGACTGCGGCTGCGACGAGGACAACACCGACCAGGACTACATCAACGCCGTCGCGAACAACGGCAGCATTGCCCGCGTCGGCGACATCAACGGCACCCAGACGCTCGTCATCAACGGCACGATCCCCAACGACACCGACTCCAGCTCGGCGTCGGGCAGCTCGGCGTCGGGCAGCCCGACCCAGTTCAACGCCGGCCTTCGCCTGCCTGTCGGCGGCGCTGGCGGATGGGCGCTCGTCGCGGGTGCCATCGCGTCTGCTCTGTGGGTGTTGTAGAGGAGGTAAAGAAGAAGAAGACGGACTGAAAGGTTCCTCTCCGCCGAGAGAGCGAGCACGCATCTGCTCAATCGATGTACGACTATTACGATACCCTTTTCTTTCTTTCCCTTGAGACGGGATGATGATGATGACGATGATGAAATTCCTTCTCTCTGTCACCAAATCAAATCATAAGATATCTATTTCCATAGTGAGAAAAAATTGCATATTTCCTCCAATATGGAATCTTCTTTCCAATGTAGCAATTGTTTCACCTACGATCGTATATCCCGGCGAGCACCTCCGCGTGCTCTACAGGTGATACAACAAATGAATCTCTCCCCTCATCATCGCCTCCCAAGCGTACTGTGTATGCCTCCTCCCTCAAACGCTCACAACAACTGCCCCAGCACGGCCCACCCCGTCACCAACTCCCAGGCCTGGATGGTGAAGAGACAACTCCTCTGCCAGAAGCCCCGGAACCTGGTCTTCCCGAAGACGACGAAGAGCACCATATTGCACAGGCCGACGCTGCCCATGACGGACGCGAGCCGCGCGTACGTCTCGTTCCCGTCCGCCCGGCCCGCCAGGATGGCGGAGATGTTGCCGCACGAGAAGGCCGTCATCGCGCCCAGGCTGTGCCACTTGACGCTGCCGTCCGCGTGCTCGCGCTCGCCGCCGGGCACCGCCGCCACCAGCCAGATGCCCGCGCCGTAGGCCAGCGCGGCCGCGGCGCGCGCGGCCGTGATCCCGTCGCGGCGGCCCGTCGCCCACAGGAGGGACAGGTGCCCGATGAGGAACAGGACGGATTTGATCTGGAAGTTGCGCTTCATCGTCCCGGCGCGGGTCGAGTGGGCGGCGCGGTTGTGCGTGCGCTCGTGGAACGGGTACGGCACGGCCAGGTCGCTGGTGAAGTTCGCGATGTAGCTGTAGCTCGGCTTGTAGCCCCTCGTGACGTAGTTCTCGATGACCCAGAAGAGCGGCGGGCTGATGAGGAGGCTGGCGCAGGCGAGGCGCGAGGTGTACGGGTGCAGGGTCGGCTGGAGGAGGGACATTGCGATCGGGAGGGGCGGAGGGGCGGTGGTGGTGAAGTGGGACATCGTGGGCGGTTTCTTGTTACTTTGCAGGAGAGGATGACTGATGGGTTTCGTGTACAGTTGGCAGAGAGGTCTTGAGTCCTTCTTCACGGATCTTGGAAGATGCGAAGGTGCTCGATTCCCTTCTTGGATGGAAATGTATATATCGGTGTCGTCAGGTCCCAGCGAACAATACGATACGAGTCGTCTTCAATGTATTTCTCGAACACAGCCTTCAATCGCCAGTCCCAATTGTATATTTTGATCTGCAAAGAACTGTGTTATACTAGAGAGGACACGAACACACGAAGTCAACAGAAGGGGAGAGTCGATCGCCTCGCAAGTAGCTTATCGATAGCTAGGGTAGCTAGACAAACACGACACGCCTGCATGTATGTATGGGCGCGCGCGCAACCACATTTGGTCTCGAAAGTTGCGCTGCGTCAAACCCCAACTGAGGCAGCCCTGCCGAGGCACACACAGCAGTGCAGTCCCACCAGAAACCAACCAAATCAAGACAATTCCCGCGCCCGCCCGCCAGCCCGATAGAGTTGATTAAGCTTACAGGAAATGTCCCGCGTGTGTGAAAGTTAATCCAGGAACAGCCTTCGAGAGCTGCTGCAGATGCGGAGAAACCACAGAAGAAATCTAGATGTCGGCTCAGGTGTGCAGTGCTTACCACGGTAGACACGACATACATAGTCCATGTTTGGGATTGATATGTGTGGCTTTCCCTTCTTGTTAGTCATTAGCCCGATGTCACAGAGAGTATTTCTGCTTGTATCCATATCATAGTTGATGAAGAGTCGTGGACAGAGAACCGATTTGCAAGATGGAAACTTCCTTGGTGAAAGGACGACGAGCAGGGAAAGGACGGATTGGTTTGTAGATAAAAGATAGAAATAGATGCCACAATTTCCGCACACACAGCGCCATCGCTCTCTAAACTAGGGAAGAAAAATGCAGCAACAACGACAACAATTATGTAGCAACAGTACGCGGCCGGTGCGATGATCCTGTTCCCTTCCTCCTGCGCATGGCAAGTCTTTTGCCCCCCTCGCCTCTCTCTCTTACGGCCCCGAGATGACCGTGGCGGAAAGAGAGACCGCAAGGAGCCGCGCGGGCAGGGAGGGACAGCACCCACCACCATCGCCAAACCAAAAAGCAGACCGAAAAACAATTACAATATGGCTACAATCTAAACTGATCCTCCTCTTCCCCTCCCCGAATCCTCCACTCCACTTTCCACGTCCGGCGGCAAAGTTGGTTGATCTGTACTGAAGTTGCGAGCGAATCGAACGGTGAACGGGCAGTCCGCGCCCAACCGAAAACGCAGAAATCGAACAGGTTGGGTCTTATTCGTCGAACATTCGGCGTCGAGAGAAGGATGTTTTTGCGAGGAAAGAGACAGGACCCAAGGAGAGCGATGAAAAGCCACATCCCCTCCTGCCCCTTCCTCTGATCAATCCCCTCTCACTTGTACCACGACGTCGCCCTCGCCCTCCTCTCCGCGTTTGGTGGACGTTTCCCGACCAATCGGCGAAGATCCTATACCTCGCCGCGGTCCTTGCCTCGTCGTCGGAAAAAGTCCATGACGCGTCGGGTCGCGCTCGAGGAGCCGCCGTGGCCGTGGTCATAGCCCTCGCCGAATTTCCGCTGTTGAGGACGGAGAGATGTCTGGGAGCGGAGGTTGCCGTCGTTGTCTTCGTCGTCGTTGTTGGTGTCGTCGTAGCCATCGTCATCGTAAGATGCGGGCTCGTGGTGGACGCGGGTCGGGTAAGCTGCCCCACCGGCGGATACTGGTGGGTCCTGGTAGAAATGCTCGTGAGCATCGCTGGTGGCGGGGTTGAGTCGGCTTGAGTTGTAGCCCTCGTCCCCTGCGAATGGTCGGCGCTGAGAAGGCGGCGTTGTGCCCCTGAGTGAAGCATCCTGTGCGCCCGGAGTTGCGGGAAGAGCTTTGTCGTACATCGCACGTGTCGGCGCTGCTGCGGATCGACCCTGAACACGGTTTTGCTCGCCATCGTAATGGGCGGGTGCTCCAGAATCAAGAGTACTACCACTGGGACTGCGTGAACCTTTTTGAGGCTGTACACCCTTGCTCGGTGGGCGGCCGTTTCTGGGAGGTTGCTGAGAGACATCGCTTTGCCGTTGACCGTCATCAGTGTTGGATTCGTAGCCTTGTTCTTTTCTGCCTAGGATACTGTTCATGCTGAAGTTACTGGGAAGAAGAGAGAATCGGCGCGACGATCGCCTGCCCTGCACGCTCGAGTCACGCTCGCGACTGGCCTTGCGACTGAAACCAAAGCTCGGCCGGCGGCTATCTGTGGATGGTCGTGATGGCGCATCCTCGGAGGCAATAGGAGCCTTCATGCTGAGTGGAGGGTATCTGCGATCTTTCTTCTCGCTGGGAGGATCTGACAAGCCTGCAGGGTCTTGCTGCGATACTCGTTTGGTAGAGCTGCGATTTAGGAACTTGTCGGTGATGCTGCCCAATGTGCTGCTTCGCTTGTGACCACCGATACGACCAGCCGCGAAGTTCGGAGCTGGGCCCGAGAAATTGTTGCTCACACGAGTTGGTTGCGTCTGACTCGAAGGTCGTTGAGTGGCATCGATACCGCTCTGTTCTCCTGGTGCTGGATTGGCGATGATATATCCAGTATTCGACTTTGGCTGCGAGAAGGACCCTTGCGCATTCGCGTTTGTTTGCTGAGCCACAGAAGGTTGGCTATACGAATTGCCACGAGAAGGAAGACGGGTAGTCCCACCAAGAGCACCACTTGTGTTTGGTCGTGACATTTGTGTCGCCGCTGTCCCACTGTAATTTTGCAGGGCCTCCGATGTCGAACGCTGGTCTCTGCCGCCTCTGGACGGCGGCGGCATGCCTCCATCTTGCCTTCGCTGCGATTGGGAGACCTCAACTGGTCCTTGACCCTCAGGACGCACTCTAGTCTTGCCAACCACGGGAGAAGCTGCTGTAGCACTCGCACCACCCACGCTGTTGTTGCGGCCATTCGAAAATGGCGGTACGTACTCCAGCTGGACAGTATTCCTTTTGTTGTCCCGGTGCTGTTGCTGTTGCTGCCGGCGAATATCACTGGCTTCCTCACCGCCAATACTGGCAGCGGCTGCATGACGTGGCATATTTGACGAGCTTTTCGATTCTGAAGCTGGCATCCGAGTGCTGGGCTCCCTGACCGATGCACTGCGCGAAAGATATGCAACATCCTCTTGCTTTTCAAGGCGTGTAGGAGCGGCTTCACCCTCACTCTTGATGGTGCTGCCGATGAAGCCAACGACGTGGGTATACTCGCTCAACCAGCTGTGTCGAGCCACCTCGAACAAATCCGCTCTCTTTCTTGGATCGGGCACCAGGATGCGCCGAAGAAGATCTCTGGCATGAGGCGTGACATATTCTGGGAAAGTCAGAGGTGTGCTGACAATGTATTTGTACAACAAGTTGATGTTGTCGCCTTCTGGGTTGGCTGGATCGTCGTCGAATGGCAAGTATCCTGCCAGCATGGCATACTGTAAAGAGGCAAAGTCAGAATGGTTCCCGCAATCACCAATAAGATATCTACTCACCAAGATCACACCACAGCTCCACACGTCAACTTTCCGGCCAGTGTAGAGACCATCGCTAACCACGAGCTCTGGCGCTGCATAGCAGGGACTTCCACAAGAAGTCTGCATGAGGTCGCCGCGACGGTATGTCCCTTCCCTACCATCCTTACGAGCAATGATCTTGTCCAACCCTTCTCGCTTGACGTATGACTTGTCGTGCAAATTCCTCTCAATCTCTTCACCGAGCTCATCATTAGGATCGAAAGTGTTTGCAAAACCAAAATCAGTAATGATAATATGCTTATTGCGGTCCAACAGCAAATTCTCCAGCTTCAAGTCACGGTGCACAATACCCTTTTTGTGTAGATAACCAACACCGGATACGAGTTGCGCGAATAAGCGCCGAGCTGCTGGGTCCTTCAGATATCGATGATTGAGGATGTAGTCGAAGAGTTCGCCTCCGGAAGCATACTCCAGAATGATACCCATATGTCTTTCAGTTTCGACGAATTCATGTAGGCGAACAATGTTAGGGTGTTGCAGTTCACGCAAAATGGAGATCTCGCGATATATCTTTGGGAGTCGCGTCGTGTTGCCAGCCAAGCTTTCCTTGCGGATCAGCTTAATAGCAACTTGCACTGTCGAGTCCTTCTTCCAGCCCATCTTGACTTTGCCGAATTCGCCCTCACCAAGAGTCTGTCCAAGGATGTAATCTCCGAATTTGACCTCTTTCCGAGAGACTGGAGCCAGCCTCAGATGTTCCTGACGACTTCTCTGGGGTGCAACAGGAGCAGGCTGGACAGGGCCGCCAGTGGCGTCCAACCCTGGGATGCCAGCAGTGCCTGGCGGTTGTGGCCGGGCCTCGGCCTTGCGCATCTCCTCACGAGCGATATCAGCCTGCGGATCATCCACCACTATGCGGTTGATGATAGCACTGTTTTCTCTAGGCAGCTCTGTACCCACTGGCACCTGTCCCACTGCTGTAGCTGATCTACTCGATGTTGGCACAGGTCGCGTCCGTTGGCTTTTTGCACTTCCTGGCTGTTGATCCTCTCTCGGCGACCGCTGCTCTGCACGCCGGCGATCTGACTCACTCATTCGATCATTTTCACTAGCGTATTCTCCTTGTGACTGTGAGGTTCGCGAATAGTTTCGCGGGTCATTGGCCCGTGTCGAGGTGGTTTGTGTAGCGCCAGAGTGTTGGGAACTCGTCCGAATGGGAAGTGAAGCCTGCGGGAGTGATGTGGGTGTGGTCTGATCGACAGACTGGTAATGATTGGGGCCCGTCGAAGTCTGCTGAGCGCGTGGAGTCGTCATGGTCGCGGACGAGGGGTAATGGGAGTGTTGAGGCGATGCTGCGAACGATGCATTGTCAAAGCTCGTTCGACCTGCGGCTGCTCGACGCGAAGCACTGGGAGACGCTGACGACGCGACGGCGGAAGTAAAGCGGTCGCGCGATGCTGAAGGCTGAACGGATGGCGATTGTTGTTGTGGTTGCTGTTGCTGAGACTGCACTGCAGCTGACGACATGATCTGACAAGACGCGGTGCAAGCTGTACGTGTGTGACGTTGGTCGAGTAAAACGAACCAGATGCACTGCTCTATACGCGCAGTGATAAGTAATTGCTCTTGGTATTCCTGCAGTGAATACAATGAAGACGCGCTCAGCAATGGTACGCCTAGTAGATTCGGAACTCGAGGCGAGTCTTTTCCGGTCCAGTGAAGGACTGTGGTGGTCGGCGGAAGCGGACGCAGCGAGAGCGATTGGACAGCAGCGACGGTGGTGGTGGTGAAAATATGAGAGGTGAGGACCTCGACACCGGCACGCGTTCCCAATCGGCTCGCCCGATCACGTTGGGCGAAGATGGCAGCGACGTCCGAACGGCGATCACGGAAAGACAGAAGGAGGAAGATTCAAGGATGAAGACGAACCTGGCTGTCCAATTGACCGACTGAGGACTGACTGGCTACGTCGTCGTTGACGCGAGCGTGTTTGAGGAAGGCGCTGGGCTCGGGGTGGCACGTTCACCGGGGTTTGTCTCTAGGCCAGTCTGGTGGTGTGTGTGCGCACTATGTGTCGTGGTGGTGGTGGTGGTCAAGGATTGTTTGGTATGGGATTATCCTAGCCGGGCAAGAGAGGGACTTACCGCACCGAATCAAGCCTGCCGCCAGCGAGCTTAGAACAATGCAATTACCTAGGCGTCTATGCACAAGACACATTGGACGGTATGTTCGCATTGGTGGATAACAATAAGTATATTTATTTGCTCTATGCCCAAGACAATGCTTGCGATATCCACAATGCAAAAGCCGCCAAGTATAGGTCGAATGTCATCATGGTACGACGAGGCGGCAGCCACTGCGATACCGACTGATCAACATGAGATAGACCTGATACGAGTAGGGCCTCGGTGCGCGCGAGTGTGTGTGGTGATGGTGTACTTCCTATACGGCCGAACAACCGCCAGGTCTGCCATCGACAGTACCGTGGGAAGTAGCTGCGTGGATGAGATGGCCATCACTTTGTCCTACAGCACGAGTTGCGAGCAATTGTCACTCTTTGCTTCACTGAAAAGTCCTGTCGTGCAGCTGATGAAGAATCTGTATGCCGGCTCAGAGCCGATCTTTGATGGCCGAGCTGAGAGAAATTCATGATGATCATTTGCCGGCCTGTACCCACGTGCAAGGCCAATCTCTCCTGTTGAAACACAGCATGGCGCTTGTCTGATGCTGTACACACAGCACATGCAGTGTTGACGATGGATCCCTTCGACAACTGTCATCACCACCATCTGGGCCACACGACAACATCGTCTAAAGTCGAGTTAATCGACCTCAGCATGCCTGGCTCCCATAGCGGTCTGCCAGCTCGCACTCAGGCAAAAGAAATCGCAGTTCACTGCCCCGATGCGTGCTTACTATTTCTCCATCAGGTACAGTACATGTACCAATGCAGGTGTGTAATTTCCTGTGCGGGCGGGTGGGCTGAACAAATCATTTCTTGCGACAAGGCCCATGCGCTCGCTCGGCCCAACTGCTTGCTCACTTCCGGGGCTCCTTGATGCCCATCTCGGGCGTTTCGGGTTTCAGCCTCCACGAACTCCATGTGGACAATGTCAAGGATGTAGATATAAATATCATACTACATGATATTGGCATGATCCACCTGCTCGTCGAATCACCGCCTGTGAGACAGAAAGTTCTAACCTAGGTATTGTTGCATATCCAGTTTGTGCGGGAGCCGTTACAATTTTTCGACAGGTTATGCCCTGTGGCGCGGTCGCCAAAGGCATTATTACTGCTCGTGCCTTTGTCCTTCAATTTCGCAGATGTGTTTCCTCCTCACATTCCCGTCGGCCAGCGCCAACGTCGTGCGGGACGATGGGGTAGACTGCGGCAAGCCCTCTTGACGAGGCTAACCTAGTTGATCGGTGATCCATGGAACAAAGAATGTCTTGCATATCGCTTCGGGCCGGAGGAAGCCAGGGCAAGGGGAGACCTTGACAGTAGCGATGAAACTACCGCGGCTCTGGCTTCCAACTCCGTTCAGGCACAAAGAGAACCACAATTATAATTGAACCGATGCTTGTCGGATGTCGTCCCGGCTGCCCGATACATCACGATGGCCTTCAAACTTATCAACCTAGCCAGACAGTGTTTATCATTTGCCAAGGGAGAGCAGACTCATATGCGGCAATATGGTTCGTTTCGCGCCATTGCCACGAGAGGGTTTGTCGTGCGCAACGAAGGCGTATGACGATGAATTCATATGACCGTAGTCAATCCCAGCTGCGTGTCTTGGGAAACGTACAGTGGAAACGATATCGCTTGCCGTCGGTAGTGATACCACATGACTACAAACCCCTTCGGTGCAAAAACGCGCGTTATGAAGATCAATGTGCCTTCCGTGTGGTTGTCGCTGCGACAATCACGCATGATGCGGTCTTGACAGAGTGGTTGGTTCACACGTCTTGTGGTGAACTTACGTGCTTTGCTGCAGTGTAGAGGACGTGCAGTCTCAGATCACGTTTCGTATGTATGCCGTCACTGTCTTGACAGAATCTTCGCCCAATCAACGGCTTCATTAACATCCTGATTCTAGCAAGGCGAAAATATGGCAAATTGTAGAAATGGTAATGAAGTCTCGATGTTGAACCAGTAGATTATGTTGTCGCGTGGTTTGCTTGTGAAACTGGCTGTTGCTGCCTCAGGATGGTGGAATTCACGTCACAGGAGGGCAAAGAGGCGCTGAACTGGGGCCAAAAGCGAGCTCCACGCGACATCATAGTAGAGTGCCTTTGGCATCTGCCCGCACTCAATTGTTCAAGTGGCATAGTCGCTGGTTCTTGAGCCTCATCTCATATTCCACTCCACGATAAATATATCACGAACAATGGATCAATCACGGGCCATTAATGGTCTTGCTCCTTTCATAGCCCTCGCAAAGTCTGCAAACTCACCTCGTGCGGCCGCCGACTTGGTGACTCAAGCAACATCAGCAGCCAACACCTACGTATTCGCAGCGCTCCTTGAACAGCCAAACGTAAAGGCGTTGGTTAGCAACGAACAATATGGAAAGTTCCACACATTACTGGAGATCTTTGCATGGGGCACGTTGGAGACATATGAAGGTAGGCTGCAAATGGCGCAGGAGTATCACTCGCGCAGAACTAACGGTATCAATGTGAAGCAACCACTGATCTACCTCCACTTTCGGACGCTCAACTGCAAAAGCTACGGCTGCTCTCATTACTCACAATCGCCTCTCAACGCAAGGAACCACCCTCCTCATCACCATCCTCGGCCTCAAATCTCAGCTACAACTCCCTCTGCACACGCTTGAGGCTGGAGTCCTCCATCGAGCTAGAACAACTCGTCACCGAAGCGATCTACAGCGATCTCGTCGTCGCAACCCTCAACCCCGCCCTTCAAACCGTCGTCATCACATCCGTCGCTCCACTGAGAGATCTCGCTCCGGGCAGCGTCCAATCGATGATCGACGAGCTCGCCGCCTGGAGCAAACGCTGCAGTTCCGTGCTCGCAGATCTCGAGGCGGAGATCCAAAAGGTTAAAGATGAGGCGGAGTTGCGCGCGGGCCGAGAGGCGCGGACAGAGAGACAGGTCAAGGCTGCGATGGATGCGCTAGGCAGAGCTCCTGGCGGTCTCGCGGGTGGTCCGGGTCAAGCTGCTTCGATGGAGGCCAGATTGAGTAATGCGCGTGCGGCGAGGCGGGAACAGGGTCTCTTGCCAAGTGACGATCAAGATGCGATGGATGTCGACGGAGGAGCGGTCTTGTCTGGGGCGGGCAAGAAGAAGAATGGAGGTATCATGGCACAACTTCAAAAGGGCGCTGGACGGTGATGACTATTGCACGATGACACGATGTACGAAATGATGAGCCTCCATGAGTGGCCTTCATGGCATGGGAGACGCATATGGGTGAGGTAAACAATGTGACATTACTCATAACTCCCTATCTGAGTCACTGTGATTTCCCAGGCTGATGAGGTTGATGTCGAACCAACTTGCGTCTATGCCCGCGGCTGCTTTGTACGCATCTGATCGCAAGGCCGATTCAACTGATACAGGATCGTGCGAGGTTTGCGAATTATCGTCGATGACAAGTTCGAAACATGATGCTGAAGCGCTCTCTGGTCTACTCGACACGTGCGCGACCTCCACAGTCTGCTTGGGTGGGGCATGTATATTTCGCGCATCTGCTGTGCAGTTTAAGATTCTCGTATCTGGTGGAAGTTCGGTTGTGGGAGCACTTGACGCCCTAATTTTGGAGGATGGATCGAACTCTTCTGGCGCCGAGTGATGTACATCTGAAATTCTCAACACCTGCTCGACCACCTTGACACGCTTGCGGATCACATCTGAAGCCGAACTAACGTCCAAGGAAATTGGCTGAACTTCTCGACTCCGCTCTTCTGTTGAGATCCGTTCCTCGGTGTTCGGGTCTGTGGTGTGAGTATCGACCCCCTGAGAGTCATCGCTGTTGGTCCGCTTTGTAGCTTTGCGAGCAATCGGAGCCCGTGACAGCATGTATTGATCATGTCTGCAGAGTAAGGGGGTATCATACAGATGCCCGAACATAAAGCTCATCGAGTGGGCCATGGTCCAGCCCTTTTCGTTGACGGTACATGGGAAAATGTCTTTCGGCTTGAAGGCTTTGATGAGTAGGCAGAGCTCATTGTATGAAGAATGTCGGGAGTATGGGAATCTGATGCGCGATGGGAGATTGTTGATGATGAGTGATGAAGCTCCTGCCTGCTCGGCGACAGATTTCTTGCTTTGTTCGCGTTGGGCTTTTCTCATAAGCACGTTTAGGAGATCTTTGGCATCAAGATCATCGGGGAGCTTGTTGTCGTAGTCGTCACGCTCGAGGACCATCGGCGTACTGGACGTGCCGGATATATTTGACAGCATCTGTACAACCATCTGTGCAATCTCTGGGCACTTGGCGAGTTTTCTCTTACAGAGATCGATTAGCTGGGCGATCACGGCACTGTCGATGGTCTCTAGCTCGACACGATTTTGATCCGTATCTCCATTACCACCACCAGCACCGAGCTCAGCCATGTCTCTGCCGTTATGCCTAGATATGATCGGCGTAATCCGAACGAAGTCTTTCATAATCAGTACAGCCCCAACCATATTCATCTGCAAACTTACTTTGGTCCAAGATATCACACCCTGTTCCTGCCTCGCAACTATGTATACGAGCCTGTGTCGCATCAGCTGTCAGGCAACCTACTTGCAGATGATTGCCGCAATACGTCGATATGAGTTTGGCAGCCTCGACAGCTCTGAGTTCTTTACTTTTCGTCAGTGCAAAATAGAGTCCGTACTTGTACTGGTCGACATGAATTCTAGTGTTGAGAAAGCTAGCCATGGCTTGATAGACATCCTCGTAGCCGAATGTCCAGGAGTCGAAGTAATAGATTGTGTCAGACGGGTACTTGGAGAGCTTCTCAAGAAGCTCTCGTGTGCCATCAGCCTTGGACGGAAAGTCGCGATACGGATCAGCCTTCGATGCAAAAGTCGTATCGAGATAGATCGTATCGATCGTCTTCAGTGGACCACCATTAGACGAACAAACGTATGGCAATAAAACGGGATGTCTCGTCAGAGTATCCACCCACCAGGCCTCGGCTCGAATGTCGCCAGTATAGAGGATCGCCTTTCCATCCCCTTCTATCAAAAACATTACAGCACCGATGCAGTGATTGGCATCGAACAATGTCACGCGAATGTTATTACCAGGCGCCAGCTCAATTTCAATTGGCGTCTCCAGAGGCAACGGTTTCAACAATAACTTCAATTTGGTGTAGTCCCGTTTTCGGACCTCGAGTCGACCATTGGCAAAGTTGACGCGGTGGTATCGCTCTTCGAGACGGAGGACGATCTGACGTGTTGCCATAGAACAATAGACGAAGCTGCTGCATGTTTCAAGCCCGACGAGGTGGTCAGAGTGAACATGGCTTAAGAAATTCGCCAATACTGCTCGCACAGATCCAGTTCTGTTGAATTGATCGATTTGTATGTCAGGAAACTCCTGGACGGTGCCGTCGAAAGTCGACATGGCGATGTGGTTGCCAACATGGTGTTTGGTGATGCAGCGAGATCGTAACGCGCGTCGGCTGTGTAATTCGATGAACACGTCAAATCAGCGCCAACACTCCGCAATGCAGTGCAACCTAATCTCTTGATGACGGATTTTGAGTAAATCAAAGCCAGCACGGCCAAGCAACACAAAGTGATTTCAACCCGGCAAATGGATATGAACCTTGGAAGGATGAAATGCATTCTTCACAACCCACCAACCCTAACGAGGCCCCATGCCCGTGGCTCCAACCAGCGGTCAACGTCAGCGGATCTTCCAAGAAGGTTTGGCAAGCTTGGCCGTATTTGAAACACTCTTTTTTCCCTCGCCAATCCTCATTTTCTCATTGCCTCGTCTTCGAAATCTTGGAGGCACGATCGGGTGTAGAGCTGGACTCTACGGATCAACAGCATTTCGACACTGCATGTTCTTGCGACGGCAGAGAAGGACGCAAGGATCATCCGCACACATTGTACCACAACGTACCAGGGTCTTTTCGAGATAGAATTTCCTGTTCGAGACGAGCCACAAACGACTGTTCAAGGTTGAATCGCACGAAGCTTTCCAACATGGCTCCGATGGCATGGCCGAGTCTGAAAAGAATGCTTCGTTTCGTACATCGTCAATTACTGCCATTGAATTTCATCACGATCCATTGGCTTTACTTCCTCTGTACCTGCATCTTAAGCGCGGTCATATTCTGGGGTGCTTCAACCCCTGCAAAAAGTGTCCACTTTACGGATGCTCTCTTCCTGGTCGTGAGCGCCATGACATTGGCCGGTCTGAACACAGTCAATCTCTCAACACTCAACACGTTCCAGCAAGTAATGCTCTTTCTCCTGATATTCATGGGTTCGGCAATTTTCGTTTCTGCATTTGTAGTTCAAGTTCGAAAGGCTGCATTTGAGAAGCGATTTCAAGATATCGTCAACGACAAGAAGAAGAAGCCGTCCCATGTGAGGGTCGGTAATGATTCACAAACGCATGGAGTTCCACATGAATTGCAACAGGAACATGCCCAGCCATCGACAGCTTCAGGCCCCTTGGCTGGTACAGGAAATTCCGCCAATGATCATAAGACATATAGAGACGAGCGCTCTGCCCGTCCGCTATCGTCTGCCGAGGATGACGTGAGAAGTACAGCCGCCATGTCGCTCGCGGTCAGCTTCAGCCCAGAGCTCAATCTTGATAAAGTCAAGTCTCGTCGTAGTAACTATCGAGACAACGAAAGTGTGTTCAGCATGCAAGGTGTCGGCGCCCGACCCACGGCAAGTCTGGACGTAATTCAGACGGCCCGATCTGATGAGCCGGATGCTCTTCGAGAAAGTAGACATTCTTTGTCTTCAGAGAAGGACGATCGAGATTCACAACAACGCTTTGGATTCAGTAATGCATGGATCGGAAGGAACAGCCAATTCCATGGATTGACGGAAGTTGAGCGCGAGCAATTAGGCGGCTATGAATATCGTGCTGTGCAATTCTTAGCATGGCTCGTCCCTGCTTACCTTGTGCTTTTTCAACTGCTTGGTTGCTTGGGCTGTGCAAGTTGGATTGCATACAATCAGCCAGACACTGCTCGAAGCAATGGCCTTGACCCGTGGTGGGTGGGCGCGGTACGTCAACCATCCTATTGGACTAAAGTTTATTGTCTTTACTCATCGTGCATTCTAGTTCAACGCAGTTTCCGCATTCAACAATTCGGGCATGAGCTTACTCGACGCCAATATGGTTGCGTTTCAGAAATCGATCTACCTCCAGATGACCATGGGCTTCCTGATCCTTGCAGGCAATACCGCATATCCCCTGCTACTGCGCCTGTTTGTTTGGTGCATGTATCGAATCGTCCTGAAATTGGGCAAGACTTCCCCTGCCTGGTCAAAACGAGCCGAGACCTTGAGATTTCTACTAGACCATCCACGGCGATGCTACACAAATCTTTTCCCTGCTCAACATACATGGTGGCTCCTGCTCTCAGTCGTCACCCTGAATGGAGTTGACTGGGCTGCATTCGAGATCCTCAACATAGGGAACGACACCATCTATACAGAAGTCCCCTCCACCGGAATTCGCGTCATGAACGGACTATTCCAAGCTTTTGCCGTGCGAAGCGGAGGATTCTATGTCGTGATAATTGCGAAACTACGGATCAGTTTGCAGGTCCTGTACGTTGTCATGATGTATATCTCCGTCTATCCCGTCGTAATTACGATGAGGAATTCAAACGTCTACGAGGAACGGTCACTTGGGATATACGCCGAAGACGAAGCAGAGCGACGCAAGACCCGATCTTCTTCGCGAGGTCTGGGGTTCGTCCGGACCTTGACTGACCACTTGGTGCCTGAGCTCAACGATGGCAAACAGTCCAATGGGCAGTTCGTTCGACAACAACTACGCGCTCAGCTTGCGCACGATGCCTGGACGATCGTGCTCGCACTGTTCCTCATCATGATCATCGAAGGATCCCGATTCTCCGAAGACCCTGCAGTATTCAGCGTGTTCAATTTCCTATTCGAGATTGTGTCTGCTTATGGATGCGTCGGAATTTCAGTTGGTATCCCGACGGCTGATTACAGCTTTTCCGGATCGTGGCATGTTCTGAGCAAGTTGATTTTGTGCGTGGTCATGCTTAGAGGTCGCCATCGAGGGTTACCGGTTGCTATCGATCAAGCGGTGCTTTTGCCAGGAGACCGTAATGCAGAAGCTGAGGAGGACGATGGCCGGATACGGCGCGCAAGGTCGGCCAGTAGAGGTGCTCGCAACGAAATCGCATAGAGTGCTAGATGAATGATATAGAACTAGATTCTCGCTAGTACAGTTCATAGACGCCTGTCACTCATCAGCGACGACAGGCCGCAGAGACGGCGCTGCAGCAACACCATTCGCGCGTATATGGATCGGGAGCGACAATCGTCCATCACGAGAACCACGACAGAAAAGCACGCGTGGACGAAAACTGAACGGCCTTGCACAGCCACATTTCGAGCTCGCCCAGACCCCTGTATATTCGCGCCCGCATGCGAGTTGCGGCACAACCAACTTCTCCATGCACCAAGCACCTGCGTTGACGTAGTGACGCGCTTTCCAAGACTACCTAGGTACTCCTACGTTTTGCCGCTCTCTTTATATTCACGACGACACAATTTTGTGTTTGCCGCGTCCCTCAAACTTTCAACAGATTCGCCTTTCTTTGACACGACGCATCCACGTTGCGCACCGGACTTGAACACCAGCCTTATCGAAATACCCCGCGTGTGTACCAAACAACGTCACTCCCCCACTAGCGAGCGTCATTCGAGACTATGGCGGGACACCACGATCCCAAGCTACTCTTCGCCATCAAGAATATCAAGGCCTACCATATCGAAGATGGGAAAGAGTCCGATCTCACGCCGTCCGGTGGACAAACATTGTCCTTGCTTATGGTCCCGACGAGCTCGCCGTTCGCAGACCTGAGCACAACCATCCCTCAGAACGAGGCACCCGATGAGGACTTTTACCTCCACCTGAATCTGCCACCAGAGCTCGATCTCCCTCTACCAGCTACCACCCAAGTCTACCACCAACCGCCATCAAGCTACTTGATACCCCGATGGGACCGCGCCGCTGAGGCGGGTGCGTTCACCAGGATTGAATTCCCGAGGATTGGATATGGCATTACGCAAGACGACGTCGATACCTTTGAGACAATCCTTGCACAATGCACAGCGTTCCTGGAGCGTGCACGAGCTCCTGTCCCGACATACGCGGGCGAGAAGAGTGCATACAACCCGTCTGATTACGCGCCGGGTGGGAGGTTTGCCACAGACAGCAAGACCGGCAAACAGCATGGAGAGATCGTGCTAATAGACGAGGACAATGGTTCAGTCGTCGGTGAGCTGGATGCTGGAGCTCTCGTTGTTGAGCACCCTTCGCTCCTGGCTGGCTCAAAAGATCCCGTCGAGGTTCAAGTCAGCGCAGACGGTAAACGCATCGACGTTCGCCCCATCTCCGAGGACTACTTGCGCATGGCGAAACATCCAGCCTACAAGGACAGTAGCATCGTCCAAAACGCTGCAGTTGCCTCGCGTTTGATCGTCACGGGGAGTTCATATATCGGAAACATCCTTACGAGCGGAGCGGAAAATTTCTCCAAGACGACCAAGCCGGCTGCTAAGCCTATGGAATTCTCACCTGCCACACACGCTCGTGTCCGCAAGATTAACACGTTCACTACTAACGCAGCACAACTTTCGAGCAAGACGGTGGGCCAAGCAACATCGATCGCGCAGAACATCGCCGCACGTGCCGCGGGACATAAGAAAAACCGCCCGGCGAAAGGCTTTGATGAGAAGGGAAACCCACTTGAGGACGATTCCTATAAGCCAGGTTTCTTGAACAAATCCATGATTGCTTTCAGCACTGTCCTCGATGGTGTGGCTACCAGCGGCAGACATCTCCTTGAGACATCTGGCGCTGCTGCAAGCCACGTTGTCGGCCACCGCTATGGCGACGAAGCAGGTTCCGTCGCAGCTAATCTTGCGGGCGGAGTGAAGAACGTCGGCCTTGTGTACATCGATGTGACGGGTGTGTCACGTCGCGCAGTGATCAAATCGGTTGCCAAGGGTATGGTTGTGGGTCGTGTCCGAGGTGGCGGTGATGTAGTGGTTGGAGGCGGCGATGGCGGTGTTATCCCAGATGAAGACATTAAGAAGGCTGCGAGCGCAACAGGCTCGTCGAGCACACAGGGTGGATTCCACCCTTCTAGCGACCCGTATGAACCCGTCGGTTTTGGCTCTGGAGCTCCGCCAAAGTACCAGGAATTTGGACAAAAGAACTGAGTCTCTTCGGGTCAGGGAACCATAGTGTACAAATGCAGAGATTCGCCGGAATAACACGGCACACGTGCATGAACATTCGAAAAATGCTGCTCGCCTGTATCTCTCTTCCATTGTGAAACACCTCATGATCAAACGCCTACCTGTATCTATCGAATTCTCCAATGCTCAATACATCTGAATCTCAACCAGCGCCCTCCCAACCCCGGCTTCCATCCCCACAACCCCATGATTTTCAACCTCATACGCCACCGCCCCTCTCTCCCGACAGGCCTCCTTCAACCCATCCACCGACCCTCCAACACCGAAATACATCCTTTTCGCCCCGACCATCGCCTTGGCCATCTTGACCCTTCCCAGTAGGAGCGTCAGGATGTCTACAAACGCCGCCGTCGACTCGGGGCTATAGATCGTCTCCGCCGCGAGGACGAGTAAACCCATCTCCGGCGCCGACGGCGGAATCCTCTCCGCGAGGGCAGCGCTCCAGGGGCCGGAGAGGAAATGCAGAGACAGCGATCTCGCGCGAAGGGTTTCGAGGAAGTGGGATTTCAATTCGGGCGTGATTTCCAACTCCCCTTGGCCTCCGCCTCCTCCGTCCTCGTCGGGGATGTTGTGGTCGGGGATGAACTTCTCCGGGGAGACCGTCGTCGCGTAGGTCAGGAGGACGTTGGGGAGGGTGACGAGCCGCAACACCTCTTCGTTGAAATCGGCGAAGGTGAAATTCAGATCCGTCTGGGCGCTCGTGAGGCTGTGCCGCCAGAGGATGAGGGAAGGGAGGGCGGTGCCGGCTCCTAGCTGGGATTGTTCTCCGTCAGCGCATCATCGGCGTTGTCTCCGTGACCGAGACCATCGTTTACCTCGACGACATTATCGCAGCGGATCAACTCATCGATGTCCTTCCGCGGCCCGCGATCGAGCAGGAGACTCGCGAGATCGATCGAGGACTCCCACGTCTTGAAGCCGCCTTCGTAGACTCCCGCTCGAAGGTCGGATTTTTGGAGTTGGTCGATGACATGGTCGTCGCCGGCATCTTCGGCCATCAATTGCACTCGAACATCGAAGAGCTCCCTTCTGGGAATGTGTGCGATTCGACCCAGAGGAGACTCGATTCTGACGGTGCTGTAACTAATGCGTTCGGGGAGGGCTTCGAGCTAATTTGGAAATTGAAGCCTTTGTTAACATCGTGGGAGATTCGGAAAAGGCCATTATCCTTGGCGAGGCCTTTTGTTATTGCTCGCTGGAGCTGGACTACCTACCAAAGCTTCAAGTTTGTGGGCTTTCACGGGCACTGTCGTCGATTCATTTTGTTTTGTCCGAGCAAGATTGGAATCTGTTGCGAGGTGCGAGGGAACGTGATCATCTTCGTCGTTTTCATCATGCGAGAATCCGAATTGAAAGGCCATTTCTACGAGGAGAGTGGGTATATTAGGACTACATTTTTGGCGGACACAATCACGGTCTTGCATAGCGACTGGTGAAAATTAATGTTCCCGTCCTGTACATGTGACGACAGTTGTGCATGCCATTGAACGTTTGATCGTGGACCCTGGATGAGCTGCGGGGCGCATTTGGCTGGCATTTTCCTCTACTCCCTACTAGGTAGTATGTACGAAGGTTGGGCATGCATATTTCTTTACAGCTTCTCGAAGGAGCATCACACGCGGCTGGGTATCCAGATAAATCTCAGTCTGCTGTAGGTGTGGTGTAGAAATGGACTGAATGCGCCTAGAAACGATGCAACCGACCCATGACATTGATGAGAGACGTGGTGAAAGCTGGTCGATGACATACGGGCGGTCAACAGATTGGGCACACAATTGAGGGGTCTTTCGGACATGGACAGCCTATTGTGTGCCTATTGTTTGCCTGTTCTGTGCCTATCGTGCCTATTTTGCCTGTGAGAGACGCCGTCTGGGCAGCTGCCAAGTCTTTTCTGTCGTTGTGTGCACGGGCCATCTGCCGTCACCAAAGATTTTGCCTTCGACGACCTGCCCGCGGCCCATCATAACAAACCTCTCTGCTGCACATTCCACGACTTCAATCCATTCGCTTCACTCGGTTTGAAGCACATCACAAGAGTAAGAATTGCCCGCTCGCGACATGACAGCGCGCGTGAAACTTCAAATGCGATCCTTCCCTCTGACGCATCGGACAGGTTTGACCCCGCAATCATCACCTATAGCACACGACAGCAATCATGGCTGCTCCAGTTCCTACCTTCAAGCTCGTCCTTGTCGGTGACGGTGGTACCGGAAAGGTGTGTTCTCCTTGTGTCGTTTGGAAAGGATGATTCCGCAGACATGAAGTCGTCTGACAGAACATTCCGAATCTCGGCGGTGACCTCAATCGGAGCTAACAAAAATCAACTGCCAGACCACCTTCGTCAAGCGTCACTTGACCGGAGAGTTCGAGAAGAAGTACATCGCCACGCTCGGTGTCGAAGTCCACCCTCTCAAGTTCACCACGGTACGGCGCGCTCCTGCTCCATCCAAACCACATCGCCAATGGCCAAACTAATAATCGAGTAGAACTTGGGTGAGATCCAATTCGATGTCTGGGACACTGCTGGTCAAGAGAAGTTCGGAGGTCTCCGCGATGGATACTACATCAACGGACAGTGCGGTATCATCATGTTCGACGTGACCTCCCGTATCACCTACAAGAACATCCCCAACTGGCACCGTGACTTGGTCCGTGTTTGCGAGAACATCCCGATCGTCTTGACCGGCAACAAGGTCGATGTCAAGGAGCGCAAGGTCAAGGCCAAGACCATCACCTTCCACCGCAAGAAGAACCTCCAGTACTACGACATCTCCGCCAAGTCAAACTACAACTTCGAGAAGCCTTTCCTATGGTTGGCTCGCAAGCTCGTCGGCAACACCACCCTTGTGAGTTGTGGCCAAGACTTGCCCAGAAGGTTGCACATGCTGATTCGTTTCGCAGGAGTTTGTTGCCGCACCCGCTCTTGCCCCGCCGGAAGTCCAGGTTGACCAGGCCACCATGGAGCAGTACCAGAAGGAGCTCGAGGATGCCGCTCACGCTCCTCTTCCTGACGAAGATGACGCCGACCTTTAGAAGATTGGTCGTGTCAATGATGAGAGATGACCCGGCGCGATCCAGGACACGGCGAACGTCTACCGGCCGTCTGAATTGCAAGATGCAAAATTCCAGCCGTGCCGCGCATTGCGCAAAAAGATATTTTGATTGACGACGGGGAAATTATGGATGGACATTCACAACAGCGTGAACGAAGGAAACGGCAGTGGGGACGATTTCGGAAGTCTAGCTCCTCGAATGGCGTCGACCGTCAACTCGCGCGGAGCTCAAAAACCACCAGCTTCGAGGTCTTGTGACGGGAATCTGCCTGATGCGGAAGCGGCTCCGATATGGCTCACGAAACTTTCTTGTTTAGATAGATGAAAAACCAACATGATGATCAAGACTGCGAGATCGCGCGGGACTCAGAACGCTCCGTGATTGATATGAGACCTGTGGATGACAGAAGCGCCGCGTTTTGTCCTCCAATCGGATGACACACTTATCATCGTGAGCAGCAGGACGCGGTGCGATTTAATATTACTACGGGATTAAAATAGCAGCTCATGCAGCAGCCGAGGCATGCCCACCCCACGGCGGGTCGTTGCAACCTTGGAAGTTGTTTTACGAGTCGGTTTTGGTGGACTGTCTCACATCGACAACAAGCCCACCGGAGCTAGTTTCACTTCGAAATGTCGGCATCGGAGTGGCGTGAGGTACTGTAATAAGTGACAAGACTGGGGTGATGATCAGGAGGAAAGCGATCTATAGACTTCACCTTCGTTAACCGATCACATGTTTACGAAGTGAAGTTACTGTCCCGACACGTGTAGATCTGGTGATCGAGTTCCTTGAAATTGACCGAGTTGGAGGTGGTGCGCGTGAGTCAATTGCTGTACATACCATACCGTGCCACTAAATAATAATACTGGATGCGACTCTGTCTCTTTCTCGGCTCCTGCTGCTGCTTTCCTCCAGGGCGGCGATCATCGCAGAGATTTTACCTTTCTCCCTTGCCACGTGGGCGAGTAACGTCTACATATAGTACTATAGTCCTGTCCCGAGCGCGATGCAACGCCCATCATCATCACCATCACGATCATGGTCCCGCCTGGTCTCGCTGTCCATGGATATTTTTGGGAAAGACTGCCTCGGGACTGAGGATTGTAGCCTGGATTCCGCTTGCGATGGTCGACACCTTGGTTCTGCGCCGGCCCTAGACGGTCTCCGTTCTCGGGAGAGGCCATGCGGAGGGAGAGAGAGAGAGAGAGACGGTGGTGGTGCCGTCGACGATGCGATGATCGCCGACAGTGTCCACCCGCATGCCTCATTACCTAGCGTGGAGTGAGTAGTACAGTACAGTACAGTACGGTTGCCGTCCACACTTTGCCCTCCCGGGCCACTCACCACTCACCACTACCATACTGTTCAGTATGTCCTGCGCTATCCACCCGGGACGAGCAATACTTAGGTAGTGTTGTGTGTCGTCTTGGCTGTGGACCTGTCGAATATTGCAGGCCGGGGCTGGCTCATTCATTCATTTCCCAGTAATAATACCTACTACTTCATTCTACATACCTAGTAGTAGTACTGGCTGTACTTTCCTCAGTACATTTTCCCGCCCGCTGATGATTATTTCACAGCAGTATCTCTACCCACAGCATCTCTACCCTACCACGCCTACCTACCTATCTACCAACAGTACCCACCTAGCCTAGGTACCGTCCGCACCCCGACAGCCCTGCTGGAAGGAGACATGGCGTCCGGCTGGCGCTGACACTCGTCGCTTCGTCTTCCATATCCCTCGTGCCCATTCCCGCTCTCGACCTACGCATGTGGCTTACGCTTGACTGGAATTAATTCGGATCGATGAAACCGCCTTCTTCTCTTCCAAGGATCTCCCTTTTTCGATCTTCACTTTCGCTTGTCGCGCCGCGTAGGATCTTCACACGTTCCGTCTGCCGTTCATTCATACACCCAGTGACATCGCCGGCTCGGTCGTTTAGCTTAGCCCTCTCGTCTACCCGCCGTCACGATCCGCTTCTGACTTGGTCCACGACTCCCGGCAGTCCGGCCTCATCGCCGACCCAACGAATCCACTTTGCGCCCGCCCTGGCCCTGGTCCTGGGAAGGATCTCGTACAAAGACGCAGAACCGTCGGTACGTCGTGTTGAATGGCTCCGGCTGCTTTCGCCGCGGCTCACCATCACACTCGATCACTTCCGCGTTTCATGCGCACCTGCTCTCTGAGGTGACCATTCCTGACGTCGTCTTGAACGACACTCGCACACACGCTGCTCGGCCGCCCGATCGTCATCATCGCACATAGATCCAATCGCGTTCTTGCAGAACCCATCGACATACATCCGATCTCGTCTTCAACCCCTTCCTCGACCTCACGCATATGGGCTTCATGCAACAGCGCTTCTGCGTCCTGGCCCCGGCGCCGCCGCGAGCGCCAGCCCCATATGTCCCTCGTGTGACGTTTCTCGACCTCCCGCCGGAACTGCGCATCGAAATCTACAAGCTGGCGCTCAAAAACGTCACCGTCCATGTGCTGCCGATGAATTGCGGCGACAATCGAAAACTGCCCCATGCCCTCACACGAACCTCTCAGCAAGTCCGGCGCGAGGTCCTTCCGTTGATGCACTCGCTCTGCCCGATCTTGTGCAGCATCACCGACTTCAACTTCGACAGCCTGCGCGAATGGATGAGGCGCATCCCACCGGATCAAGAAGCCAATCTCTGCAAGAACCGCACCCTGGTCATTCGATTCTGCACGACCACCGAGCTGCCGAAATCCATCGAAAGCATGCGGAAGTGGTTACAGATGCGTGCGGACCCATACCGCCCACAGCCCCGTTGGCAGTACTCGGGCAGCAAACCGGCCGACAAGGTCTGCAAGGACCTCGCGCGCCGGGCGAATCGCATGAAGGATGCCAGCCGGCAGAAGGAAATGTTTGTCATTTTGGAGTGTCTCGGTGTGCCGAGAGGCAACTCTCCGGGGCGTCCACCACGGGTACGGGGAGCATGATGGCATACGGAAACGCAACCACGAGTCATCGACTGTAGTATCCACATGATGCAATTACGACATAGCTGGGGTCTTGGACCGGGCACAGGAAGGCGAATCGCGAAAAGTCTCCGCCATCGCTAACGATCCCATGAGCATTTCTCAGGCGCGCATTTTCTCATTTTTGGCGGGACCATTCTCGACGCGGGCGCATTTCGGAGAGTTTCGACTTGTGGCGAGACGGGGGAGTTATCACGGCTTTCAGTCTGCTCATTTTCAGCATTTGGGAATACTGTTATAAGGCGTTCAATCCAGCGGGCGGGATAGCATGCAAGGCGTCTGGGTTTATCGCTTCGATTACTTTTTTCCCACTGATGTTGGACACAACGATCATGTTTCCACTCATTGCAATAAGTATATTATTTGGATATGAAATGCCATTGCATTATTTCCACAAGTACATGTGATGACGCTGTAATCTGGCGCGTGCCTGCGTTTGTGCCCTGACGAAGTTCGCGTGTGTACATGATAATTCACTGGCCCGCCATGGAACCTTCTCTGCTTTGCGCCAACTCGCCCAGCACCGTCAATATGCCTTCCAGCGACCAACTCCTCGAAGGCGCTGCGAAAGATGGGTCTATGGACATGTACGCACCACTGGTAGAGGATGCGAAGCTCTTGCGCTGATACAAAACAGTGCCGAATGGCCTCGCGTGCTCGAAGACCTACTGAAACGACTTCACGATGTACGTCGCGAGCGTCATATCCTTCTGGAATGCATGTGTGTCTGACATGGAATCTCCGTCTTTAGATCGTCCACGATGAATTCCCGATACCGATCATGCCAGCGGTGCCGCCGCTCTCGACCTTCCTGGTTCCCTACGTGATCGCCTCGACTCCACCACGGCTTCCCAACGCCCCGTCAGAACGTGACAACGCTCAACCCGAGCAGCACGACAGACTCGTATCCGGCATTCAGGAGGGCAACAAAGAGACGGAGAACGAGGCCCCAGAGAGGGCGGCTTCCGAATCGGGACCCACGATGACACCTTTCGGTTATGAGCTGATGCTGCCATCCCAACAAAACACCACGCCATCAACCCCGACGGGCAACGCACAACCCGGTGCAGACACTCTCCCACGACCTCAGATGCCAGAGGAACTCCAGAGCCTGTATCGCAATTGCCGGCGAACGCTAGAAGACGACTTCTCCCGGCAGCCACCGTACACGGTCCAGCGCCTCGCAGAGATGATCCTCCGGCCTCACCAATACTATCGTCACCTCCCCGCCTATCTCCGCGCACTGGATCGCGTCGTCTCCGTCAGCTCCTCCAGTGCCGAGTTCCCTCTACCCGCCCACATCCTCCCTTCGTCCTCGGGCTTCTTGACGAACGGGGAGGTCCCGCCCATCATGAACGGCACCCTCGCGGAGCGCGAAGGTCTCGGCAGCGACGAGAGCCTCGGCGGCGCGCTCCTGACCCCGATCCCCTGGCTCCAACGCCACCCGTCCGGGGACACGCTCAACCCCCTCTGGCACGGCGACGCCGACGCCCGCGAGTCCGACGAGACGCCCAACGGCGCGGACACCACGTCCTCCCCCGACGACCAACAATTCACGCCCCCGTCCTCGCCCGTCTCCGCCCAGGCCGCCGCCGACCACGCCCTGCGCGAGCAAGGCGGCGTCACCCAAGGCGAGCTCCTCCGGCAGGAGCAACAAGCCGGCATCGTCCCCATCGCGCAGTCGCAACCCCTGCCCCTCCAACAAGCCGTCCACCGGCCCCTGCTCAGCCACGCGACCGCCGTGCACGCCTCGGTCGAGAGCGCCTCCGCGACGAGGACGACGACGACGGGCGACCTGGACGAGATCCCGCACGCCCGCGGCCCGGAGATCATCGGCATGGAGGACACCGGCCCGCAGAGGGCCCCCTCCTCTTCCGCCCCGGGCGACGGCGTGGGGTTAGACATCGACGCCGCGGTCGGCAGGGCGAGGAGCCGCTCGCCCGCCGCCGCGCCCGCGCCGCAGCCGGAGAAGAAGAAGGGGGAGGATGGGGAGGAGGGGAAGGCTCCCGCGGACCCGCGCCCGGATGAGGTCATGGGCGAGGGGGCCGCGGACGGCGCGACAGGGAGTGCGGAGGAGGATGGTGGTGGAGGCGGTGGTGGCCAGGCGGCGGCGGCGGCGGAGGTGAAGAAGGATGCGGATGGGGATACGCCGATCGCGGATGCCGACGATGGAGGAGGAGGAGAGGAGAAGGGGGAGGGGAAGGAGGCTACTGCTGCTGCTGCTGCCGCCGCCGCCACCGCCGCTTCCGCCGAGACTGCTACAGAGTAATGATTGTTCTCTCCGGATAGGGCGGAAAGCGAAAAGAAAAAAAACCAACCCACCGCACCATTCCGAGAATTCCCTCTTCATGCATGTGTCTGTGTGGGACCGCGGTGAAGGACTCCCCCGCACGAAGCAATTCAGGGGTTCTCGAAAAGGAAAAGGAAAATTCAATTCATCATCGTCATCACATCCCCAACAGAAGCCATAGAAAAGCCCCCACCCGTTTCCCGACCACTATAGAAGATAATCCCCGCCCGTCTCCTTGTGGACGACGTCGAACAGCGGCACGCCCGAGAACCAGCCGGCCTGGCTGGAGCCGATGGTGCGGTGGGTGTAGCGGGCCTCGACGTCGCCGATCTCGACGGGCTGCTCGCCGCGGGAGCCGGCGGCGGCCTCGGCCATGAGCTGAGAGTGGCAGCACTTCTCGAGCGAGACGAACCAGAAGACGGCCTCCTCGATCGTGCGCCCCACCGTCAGCAGCCCGTGGTTCTGCAGCAGCGCCGCCTTCCGCCCGCCCAGGCACGCCGCGATGTCCCGGCCCTCCTTGGTCGCCAGCACCACCCCGTTGAACGAGTCGTACACCACGTGGTCGTCGTGGAACGCGCAGGAGTCCTGGGTGAGCGTCTTCAGGGGTCGGCCGAGCGTGCACCTGGGAGGAGGGAGGGGGGGAATGATTCAGCAATCGGAGCTCGGCGGTGGATGGAGGAGGAGGAGCGATGGGATATCTGAATGGACTTACCACGTCCGTCCGTAGATCGAGTGGCTGTGGGCCGCACAGACGACGTCCGGCCGGGCCTCGTGCACGGCGGAGTGGATCATGAACGCGGCGGTGTTCAACAGCCGGCACTCGCCCCCGTCGATCACCTCCCCGCTGTGGTCCACGAGGATCAGATCGGACTTGGTGATGAGCGAGAAGGCCTTGCCGAAGGGGTTCACCCAGAAGGACTTCGGGTCCACCGGGTCCCGCATCGTGATGTGGCCTGCGGGGGAGGGGGATTCGTCAGTCATCATCATCATGCGAGCGGAGACGTGTGAGTCCCTCGTCAAGGTTGATCGGAGATGGGGGACGCACCGGCGACGCCTTCGTCGAAACCGTATTTCCCGAAGATCCGGAAGGCGGCGGCGAGACGGCCCTTGAGGTATTCCCGCTCTTCGTATTTGTCTTCAAACTTGGGCGGGCTGAGGGTGGAGGGATGTGGATCAGCGGGGGATTTCATGGGATCGCGTCGTCGGACAGCAGTCGAGGGGACAGTCGGGCTCACCGCGGGAAGGTCAACTGTTTGCCTTCGGCGATCTTCTTGGCGACGCCGGGCTCGAGAGGAGCGGTCCCGGGGTTGACGGGCACCTCCTCGCCGTTGCTCGCTTTGCCGGTGACGGTGGATTCCGCGTGAGGCGCCATGGCTAGTGGTGATTGATGAGGGTGGAATAGAATGTGAAAGTGGAATACAATGTGATCCGCACGCCGCGCGAGTGAATCGTTTCGTGGAGCTGTGGACGTGATGTTGGCCGAGGAGAGGTTGTTATGTAAGAGATGCGATGATACTGTACCCTGGTATTCGCAGTGGCAAAGCCAGGGTCTCCTCTTTGTCAGTCCATACGATTCATCACGCCCTCCAAACCGACGACGCGCCCGGGTGTGGGCCTAAAACGATCATGGACCTCTGATTTGTCCGGATTACTTTACAAGACGTGGATATACGGATATGACCTAGGTGTCGTACTGTGAGGGTTGGATATAACGGGGGATATACAGTTCATCAGCACATCAGTACATCCAGCACTTGAGCGGACAATATAAATCCCCACCTAGATAGTAGTAGTAGTGATAGTGGTTAGTTGATCAATGCCCCGCTATGGAGGGAATCCATGATGAATGTCACCTGGAGGGGGGGCAGTCATCAATTCAGCATCAATCCAACTCGCTCAGTCATCAATTCAGCATCAATATGACCCGCTCAGTCATCAATTCATCATCAATACCACGCGCCCAGTCATCACCACCACCCACCACCCACCACTCACCACTCACCACTCACCACTCACCACTCACCACTCACCACCACCTGCCATGTCCAACCGCCGAACCTGGGAGGTCTGACTGACCTGTTCCCGCTTATGTACTGTGCTGTACCTGGGCACATAGTTTCTGACCACCGACCATTGCCGTGTAATGTAATAATAATATAATGAATATAACGTAATTGATCATCGAGCCGGCTATATCATCGAGCCGGCCACTTTTCCTTAGCATTGTAAATGAGGTGACTGTAACTATCGTTTATTCAACCATATGCTTAGTTATACATCTGCTATACTAGGATATGATTCAGAAGGAGCATCTCTATCCTGCTAGCAGGTTCGCGAGTTGTGTCTAGCTATTCCGCAGTTTCTATATCGTCGTTGAGATAGAAGTCCTCGTCCAGAACCAGCTTTATCGCGAGTCCTTTTCGATTGTTAAGCACTTAGACCCGCATCTGCGACTGCCTATAATGCTCCAATACTATACTCTATAGATCTGCCTTGCTGGATCTGCTTCCGTTTGCGCGATCTTCTCTTAGTTAATACTGCTAATTGCTCTTCAAGCTCTGTAATCCGTGCAGCTTGAAGTACATTCTGATGGAGCATTAACTTAGCACCTTTTACTAACTGTGAGAACCCTTCCTTAGCTTCGGGTAGAGATCTAAGGAAAGAGCTACTAATAAGCCGTAATTGAGATCCGAATTCATACGAATTGCTTAGTGTTCGGGACTCCTATGCTACTTCCGGTAATAGCTGTCGAGGAGGGGTGTATAAACGTATATTAAGACGATTAATAACTGTTTGCGCGTCTATACGGACTATCGCTATTGCCTCAAAGGCCTTTCGACAGTTCTCTTTCGTAAACACGTCGAAAAACGCGTCCTTAAAGGCTGGAAGGAAGTTCTCTTTGTTAATATGGAATACGCGATTCCGTGCCAAGCCCCTAACACGCTCAGAGTATTTGCTCTTTAGCGGTGAGAAACATACTACGTCGAGAGGCTGGAGGATGTAAGATGAATATGAAGGCATATACAAGGTGAGGATCTTGTTCTCGAGGCAATAGTCCTTAAAGCCTTGGTTCAAATAGCTCTTATAGCCGTCGAGAATAAGTAGCCTATACCCTGCTACTTAACGCGTCCTTGTGTACGCGTCAAAATGCTTTAATTACTCTAAACTAAGGTCATTGTTGGTCCAGCCGTTCTCAGAGACCGAGATTCTGTTACGGTACCCTCCAAGGAGGACGAAGGGTCGTCGACCTCGTCACCGCCGGCTGCACTTGCCCGCAACTACGACTGTCCAAGGCGACTTGGACAGTCGTAGCTGCTGTAACCGGCGGAGTCAGACACGACATGTTATTTCGAAGTGCACAGTAGTTAGTTATTGAATCAACCTTTTCACAGAATACGTCTTGACTATGCAACAGATTCTCTAATCTGAGGGGATATTAGCCTCTCTATACTACGCAGAGATGTAGACGCGCCCTTTGTAGATAATAAAGGGCGGGATTGCATAGCCTGCGGCGCAAATGCTCTGTATGACTGTCACCCATTCGCGGTTGCCTAGTTGAACTAGTATTAGTCTTTTTCGTCTGTCTGAACCTGTAACAACTTTTATTGTCCCGATAATACCTATCTAGAAGCCTGTCTTATCGAAGTTATAGATATTATTATCATAGACACTATACTTGGCTTTTATGTCTATAACTAGCTTCAACTACGCGTTAATAACCTCTAGACCTTCTTAGAGTACTCTCTAACGATCCTTTGCCCGACTAAACGCTATCTTCAGCTTCTCTGAACGCGTAACAAATCTCTTAGGCCAGTATTTGCCGACTGGCTCTTCTCCTCGTATAGCTAGTAGTTTGTTAGCTATATCTGCTACTTCAGAGAGTAGGGGCGCAAATCCTCGCGCGTTAAGGTTAAGGATATATTGCTCAAGCGTCCCCTCTTCTGTTAGGGTCAGGCTCTAACGGTTTGGTACTATAGTCGCGCGAGAGCTAGTTCCTGTAAGTCTGGCAGAGAGTTTCTAATAATGGATATTAAAAGCTGCAGCTGCGCTTCGTTAGCTCCGAAAATAACCAGATTTATAGGCATTGATAGCAAGCTCGATTCTGCCTTCTTAATTAACTGATAACATGTCTTGTTGTTGAGATATTATAAAAGAAAGATGTTGTTTACAATGCCAAGGAAAAGTGGCCGGCTCGATGATATGGCCGGCTCGATGATCAATTACGTTAATACTAATATAATATGATATCGCCCTGGGTATGTACAGTAAACTTGTCTCCCCTCCTCCCCTCCCCACCAGCACCCACCTGCACCCGCCCGATCTCCTCCTCCGCCCGTCCGTCCGCCCATCAGTCATCACTCATCACCCGGGCACTCATCCACCCATCCATCCATCCATCCCTCGCTCCTCACCTGCACCCATCATCCATGACTGCAGCATCACCGCATGTGGCCCAGGTGCCAACGTTCATCAATGCTCGGGCGGGCGGTTCTGTTCTGTTCTGTTCTGATCAGCGAACCCAGCCCACCAGTCCGCCCGCTCTGAATATACCATCGGGAGCGGGGACCCTCATCACCACTGCACAGGACATGTATTATATTCGTGACATGTATCACTGTCCACATATTACATATCCCTGTACACCTTGGGCGGAGTTCCCGCGGTGGGACATTGGTGGTGGTGCAATCGCCAAGGACCTCTTCCCACCCGCCCAATTATTATCTATATCCGTGACATATATCACATACATGTCCCCGGGTAGGTGATCGACGGAGGACTCAAAGCCGCATGCAGAGAGAGCCTGATCAAACTTTCACTCACCCGGCACACTCACGCACGCACGCACGCACGCACGCAGAAAAGCCAGGCGCCTCATCAACAACCTCGTCCTGCAGCAGCTGCATCACCCGCCCCTGCCTGCCCCCCCCGACAGCATAACCCTGGTCGTCGCCTGAATTCTATTGGAAGCGAGGAAAAGACACCACCGCCTGCCGCCTGCAACCTGCAACCTGCACCTGCACCTGGACTGGCACGAACCGCAACGTCGGGTCGACTCTGCTCTTCTGCTGGCAATCACCATCGCCGCCTCTCCCTCGCGAAATGTCCGCCCTTCTCTCTGACGCCTCTCGCAGCCAATCTCGCTCTCTGCATCCCCCCTCCCGACCGCGCCTGCTTGGTCTTTTCGTGACCTCTGCAGTCAGATGCGATCCTAGAGACCCGCCCGACCTTGCGTCATCCTTTCGCTCGCCAACATCCCCTCGACGTCGACCGCACCACCTCCTCACCCGTGCATTTCGGAGGAACCATGTCCGACTTGCTAGCCCTGCTGTCGCAGCAAGCCTCCTCCAGCAGCAGCCTGCGGTCCCGCAAGGCCTTGATCGTCTTGGGCCTGCAGAATGACTTCGTGACATCGGCCGGGAAGCTCCCGATCCCTGACACGGAATTCGTCGATCGGCTCGCAAAGCTCGTCCCCGAGTTCCGCGAATTTGGAGACGTGGTCTGGATCCGGAATATATCCGAGTCCAGTCCACCGTCAAAGACCGCCATGCCCGAAGGGGAGACCGTTGTCCCCGACGGGAACGCGAGCTGTTCCACATCTGCTAGACGGCCCAAGGTAGCCTTGACACTGCATGACCGACTCGGACCTGATACTGATCATCGGAGCAGAAATCGCCTCCGACGGCGGTTGACAGGCTCGACCTGGAGCTGTTCTTAGATTCCTCGGCTGCTGGGCGGCGATGCTGCGTCCGCGATACTCCAGGCGCCCGGTGGGACGATCGCGTGCAGAGTCTGCAACAAGCACACGACCTTCGACTCGATAGCCTGCATTACTCTGCGTTCGCCAAGACATCCCTGCTCTTCACGCTAAGGGCAAAGCTTATCACGGAATTGTATATCTGTGGATGTTTCACCAATGTTTCGATTTATGCCACAGCCATGGATGCCGCACGTTATGGCATTCAGACTACCCTCGTAGAGGACTGTCTTGGCTATCGCCATCGAGACAGGCACGACCTCGCCCTTCAGCAATTGCACGACATCATGCGAGCGCGAGCCGTTCCTGCCTCCCGAGTCATCGAAACCCTCCGCGATCCGTCTACTGCCGAGTCCTGGTCGGATCCAGACGAGGACGGAGACTTTGAAAACGAAGACGGAGACGACACCGATCCGGACGACGAGAGTTCATACGGTGAAGAGAGTTCGGACGATGACAATTGCGAACCTCCCACGAACACCAATGTTCGATCCGGCCTCGGCCCGATCACGGCGGCCGATATTGAAGCCGACAGCGAGGCAAGCGATGATGAGGAATGCATGCCGACAGTAAGTTTATCACTTTTGATTCAGCGACAGCTGCCACGTGGGGTCTGTCTCGGGTACAGAATTGGAGGCTCATGTATCGCAGCTGAACATCGACACGCTTTTGAGCCGAAATCGCCTCGTGCTTCAAACCAGCCAGCTCAGGATCTCATCCCCCAAGCTTCGGAAGCGACAGCTCGAGGTCAACGAGCCGGGTGGGAAAGGCCCCAAGGCACCCACGAGCCGCAATCCGCAGAGAGGTCCCGTTTCCCCACATTCCAGAGAATTCTAGAACTCTCGATTCCATCGCTCTTCCATATCAACGTCCGTTCACCCGAGCACTGGACCAAGGACATCGCCGGCCGCACCGATCGTGTCGCGAGATCCATACTGTCGAAACTTATTTTCGTCAGCTATGAAAAAGTTAATGACAAAAAATTCGACATTGATTTGGTGAGCCAGGAATGGACGCCGCAACCGGGACAGGTCCTCCCGTGTCAGCCCTTTTCGGCCCTGGTCTGGAAGCAGAAAGCCTAGGCTCATGTTTGCACTACAATGTCATCCCAGAAGATCTGGCGTCGAGCATATTCACTGCGTTGAACCAGGAAATTTCCTGGCAGGCCATGCACCACCAGCAGGGTGTTGTCCCACGCCGGGTCTGCTGCCAAGCATCGGTCGATCCTGTCGACGGCAGCTCGCCGATCTATCGGCACCCATCCGATCGGACCATGCCGACAGAACCGTGGACGCCTTTCGTCGATCAGATCCGGACCGTGGCCAGCGGATTGGTCGGACACGAGCTCAACCATGCCCTCATTCAACTCTATCGAAGCGGGAACGACTACATCTCTGAGCACTCCGATAAGACCCTGGACATTGTACCCGACAGCTATATCGTGAACGTGTCGTTCGGGGCACAGCGGACGATGCGACTTCGCACCAAGCGCGCGCCGCGGAACACCGGCGAGGAGAGGCCGGGCGGTCGTGACGCCGCATCTCGGCTACAGCCCGAACCGCGTACGACGTATCGCATTGCGCTCCCGCACAACTCCATGGTCGCGATGACTCTGGAGACCAACGCCCGCTACTTGCACGGCATCAACGCCGACAAGCGGCCCGGCGTCGAACTGGCCGAAGAGGAAACGGCCTTTGACGGGCAGAGGATCAGTCTCACTTTCCGCCGGATCGGGACTTTCCTCGATGCAGACGGGAAGCGCATCTGGGGTCAGGGTGCGACGGGCAAACGGAAAGGAGATGCCCAGGGGGTGATCTGCGGCGACGAGATCGAAAGCCAGAGATTGATCGATGCTTTCGGGAGAGAAAACGTCACGTCGGAGCGGGACTGGGGGCGATGCTATGGGAAGGGAAGTGATGTTTTGCATTTAAAGGGGTGACTCCTGTTTTCGTTGACACCCATCGACATACATCAGCGACTTTTTCGCCTTCTCGCGTCTAAGCTGGCACGGTCCATGGAATCATACAATTCAATAGCGCCCCTGGTCAAATGTGCTTATGAATGACATCAAACACCGGCCGGTCTCACCACGGCCCTCTTCGCAAGCAGCCTGTCCCGATTCCCCATTTCCCACACAATTCCCACCACCGCCTCCCCAGCCAAGGCTCATCGAGCAGCGCCGTCCCCATCCCTCCGCCGCCGCCTCCTCCTCCCCTTCGACCCGCCTCCGTCCAAAATCGCCCTGAAGCCCTCCACGATCGCTGGCCATCGGATCTCCCCGTCAGCAAACTCCTCTCGGAGAAGCCCAGATGGAGGAAAAAGAGGGGGGGGGGGAGAGAGAGAGGGAAAATCCCGTACCGATCATCGCCACCGCGATCAGATACTGCATCATCGACACCACCCACCTCGCCGGCGGGAAGCGCAGGATGGGGTTCCCCCCGTCGTCGCGGACCCGCCCGGCGCCGCGGAGGAAGCGCGCCGTCGCATCGTCGGCGGAGGACGAGGACGGGGGACGTCGATGACGTGGTTCGGACATGGGCGCCCGGATGGTGAGCGCTGGAGCGCGGGCGGGCGTTAGGGTTGGGGCTTACGCCGGCGGCGGGGGGCGCGCGGGGCGGTTGATCGACGCGAGAGAGAGAGAGAGAGTCACGGATCGCCCCGTCGAGGTGTCGAGATGCTTTGTCCCGCCGTGTGAGCGGGTGTCGTCGTTGGAACTGCGCAGAGGATTTCGTAGGGAGAAGAAAGAATTACATCTACAGGAGGGACGGGTACATCGAGGACGAAAGAGCGGGCAGATGCGACCGGTGGATGACGATGCATCGAGGCCTCTCCCTCCCTCTCTCTCTCTCTCCGGCGGCGTGGCGCGGCTCGGCACACCGCGGAGATCTGCCCGCCCGGGCGCGCCCCTCGATGGCCGTCATCAGCCGCTCTCTCCGCGCAAGCTTTCCGGCGTCGTCCCTGCGACCGCACTCCCCTCGCCCTCCGACGAGCTCGTCAGATCTCTGCGACACGGCGGATCCTCTTCCCCTTTGGAGGGACCGGGCGATGGGTGTCCGTTGGGTCCTTTCGGGTTGCGAAGCCCGAGCGATTCTCTAGAGGGGACTGTGTTCCGAGGGCGGATGGAGCTTTCCTTCCTTCACAGAACGAATCGGGAAATTGAACGTGATGGAGTCGCTCCTCGGGCACGATGTCATAGGCAAATCGGTGGGCGGAGGGATGATCCGGATCAATGCATGTTCCGTTCGAGAGTTCGTCCATTTCTCTACATGTGTGATGGAAGTACGCGAGAGGACACGGGTGGCTGGACGGCGAGTATAGAGCAGAAACAAAGCAAGTTGTGTATCCAATAACGAAAGTCTATCGGAGCCATGTCGGCAAAAGAGGGCGAGCCAACCAGTGTCCTCGCCTCACTGAGCCGTGATTCCCTCATCGAATATCAATTCCCAACCAGAGGCGATCTCATCCCCGCCGAATGTAACCATCTATCCCTCATCTAGTCTCCTCCTCCTCATCACCAATTCTCCATCGATGGCAACTGGAGGCCGCCGCTTGGGCTGCGTCTAGCAGTGGTAGACGCCATTGCGGAGGTAGTTGCAGTTGGTGCTGACACCGTCCGCCGACTCGATCTTAGCGTTCGGGCCGGGCTGGGCGAAGTTCATCTCACCGCAGTCGTAGGTGGCGAAGAAGGGCTTGATGGCGCCGTTGAGGAAACCCTGGACGACGTCGACCGCGCCGGCGAGGACAGGGGAGAGCACGCCGGGAGCCTGGTCGATGATGGCGGTGGCCAGGAAGCAGGTGGCCTGGTCGGGGGTGAAGTTGGCCAGGTCGAGGCCGAGGGGGACGAAGTTGCCGACGCCCTGGTTCTGGCCGAGGGGAGTGTCGAGGAGGGTGTCCGCGAGGAGAGAAGCAATGTCGGCGCCGGTGGCGGCGAGCGAATAAGGGGTCTCCCGGGTGAACCACTTGGCCGGGAAGGTCTCGTTCAGGTAGAAGGGGAGGACGTTCTTGGCGTCGGCAATGCCCCCAGCGGTGCCGTTGGGCATGGCGCGGTAGATGAACACACGCTCCGCGGCGGTGACAGCGAGCCATCGGATGCCGGCGTTGAAGCTGGGGTTGTTGTTCTTGGCCTCGTTGTAGACGGTCACGCGCTCCTCCTTCCATGTCTCGAGGTTGAAGAGACCGTTGTACTTCTTGGCGATCTTCTGTACGCGTTGGAAGCGGGGAAGGTTGAAGTTGGCCTGGTTGCCGAGGGCGTAGTCGATACGGGAGATGGAGTTGTCCACCTCGAAGAAGCCGTGCCGGCTGATTCCGAGAGATTGGCCGAGAGTGTTGGGAACACGAGAGTCGGCGCCGCCGATGGAGTACTTCCCGGACGGCAAGTCACCACCGGAGAGCAAGCCGAGGGCAGACAAGAAGACACAAGTGTCGTAGCCGAATCCGAGGGTGATTTGGCACGCGTTGGCGGCCTCGGCGAAGGTGGTAATGCCGTCACGGGAGATGAAACCATGGTTGGCCATGGTGTTCAAGGTCGGGCACATGCCGCGGACGGCGTCGGGGGCCGGCTTGAGGTAGACATGGTTGGCGTCTTCACCAGGGATCTTGCGGAGACCGGTCTTCTGGGGACTATGGGATTTCCATTAGCTACATGCTACCGGTTCGATTGATCCATTCATGCGACTTACACAGGAACATCCAAAGCCTGCAGGATGCCGGTGAACGGCTGAAGGATACCATTGAGAAGACCACCACCGAGCAAGAGGTCGCCGCGCTTGACTTGTTGAGTGTAGTATTCCTCTTGGCGCTTGAAGTGGTTATGCTCCGCCTCGCGCTTAGCGATGTGAGCCTCAACGGCGGTTTCACCCTCGGCGCGGACAGTGTAGAAATGCTCGGCTTCCTTCTTCGAAAGCTGGCCTGCCTCGGCGAGTTGTCCGTACGGGCATGGCGATGCCAAGACGGCTGCCGCCAGTGAGAGAACAGCGAATCCCTTCATTATGATGGACTGTATGATCAAGACGAGGAATTGCGTGAAGAATTGTTGTGATGGAAGTGATTTCTTTCTCGGTGGGCCAAGTTCATGACCTTTATATCCCGAGCTGTCGCGGTCGAATTCGATAGGAATCTGTCACATCTCCGCCATCTTTGACAATCATGGATTGTGCAGAGATGATCGACATTGGTCTTCACCTATTCGGTACGGAAGAACTGCTGAGTTTCCACGCAAGATATCGTTTTGCTTGCTTGTGACAACCATATCGTTACAGATCAAAGGTCTCTCATTCGTCGACATCGTGACACTCAGATAAGGGTCTTCCTGGAATTAGCTTACCGGAAACGTCCAGATGGTTACAAGTGGGCCTCAGATAAGCTTTATCTTGAACAACTTCCCACGATTGAGACTTAAGCTTTCATTGAGGAGAACTTCGCCACGGCATATCTGCTGTTGGATGGCCATCATTAGTGTCGAAATACTGATTGTAAGAAGAACAGGGCAATGGAAGCTTGAAGGCTGCTGCACGATTGTCAAGCCGACCAGTCATGCACCGCCAATCTCCCGCGCCACTGCCGCTCAGTCTAGCGATGCTTGTGTGAATCCCATAAGGATATGCGTCGATTGGACCATCAGTATGTGCATCTCCGAAACCACGCAATTCGCACGATCATCTCTGTCCCTGTCGGTTTCCTGCCGGCTTGCAAAGGCACGGAAACGCAGACCTCATGCTGCGCATTTCGCGCGTGCTAGAACTCAACATTCTTTCAGACCTAGACCTTCCAGGATTGAGATCCATGTAACGACTGACGGGACTTGCCAGCCAACCCTGTTGTGCAATAGAACATTTCCCGGTCCCCTATTGTAGGTCGTGCGACATCAGTGAACCACGATAGGGACTCTGGCGCTAGCAACTAGGCCCATGGAAGGGTAGCCGTTTAGGAGACCTTGAACTCCAACTTATGCTGGCAATAGCACGAGGCAAGGGCGATCATTTTGCGCCATGCTCCTGGGTGAAGCGCTAGTGGCCAGCGCCACCCTGAGAGCAATCCCAAATACGCCCCGAGATGGTTCGGCGAGCCCAGCAAAGATCATCTTCGTATGACCTGCTGCAATGCGAAGGATTGACTTCGCGAGCTCTCTTTACAACAATAGAAGTTGCACAGGTCCGCGTGTGAATTGGACAACAGGAACCTGGGCAGACCTCCTTCGAATCACAGGATGCCTGCATCGTTGACGATCTGTTGAGCAGGTTCCTGGTGTGTACGTGAGCCATCAAGCGTTAGAATGTGCATGAATGCTGCCAGGGCATAGTCTCCCGCAGAGTTCGAAAGTCCAGGTGAGGTTCAATGATTGTGGGGCCGGTTCGTCGGGAGTGATCCTGAGGCGTGCGTAAAGTTTACCTCTGCATGTTCTGTGTCGTCCCGAAGTGGAAAGGTCGACGGATGACTTACAAGGGTTGCATGTTAATTTTTAAAAGATAAGAACACATTGACAAGGTGTTATGCAAACCCAAATCGTCCAGCGCAACCATCAATGCAATATGTATGGTAATCAGCAACCTTTCACGCCCAATCATCAACGATAAGAAAATGATTACTATCTCGCACTAAGGACAAAATAAAACTCTATTTTGAGTAGAGGCTCGACATGATTAGATTCGCTTGCGACGATCAAACACGACTTCTCCGGTCATATTTGCCGCACGCATTGGATCTTCGGCCTTTTGACTTGTGCCTAGTCTCAAGATTTCAAGTCCTCGGGTCTCACATCTGCTGCGACCAGTGGAAGCCTTGCCTTCTCCCCAGTGCCAGAATGACTGCCTGCCCCGTCCGCGAACTATCTCAGCAGCCACGTCCCGCGGTCACATCGTCTGCCAGTGTGTGATCAGTCGTGCAATGAGATATTTGACGCAATGTTTGTCCCTGCTCGAAGAGCTTATCGCAATCGCCGAGCTCCGTCTGCATATGCGAGAAGGTGCGCGAAGACCTGGTATGTGCATTTCCGTCATGCTCATGCGAGATCTTCTCCTCTCCGGAAGATGTCTCTCCCGGTCAGCCTCTTGCGTGGCGAGACAGAACCTTCACGACTGTTGATATCCGGCTACAAACCCATCGTGTTATTGCCTGGCTCTCAACGCAAATCTCTCAAGAGGATTGTGTGTTGAGAATGGCACGACAAAGGTATGTCCAGTACATGCGCAATGAGATACGCAGGTCTCTGCTCTTCGTCAATGACTACTTGTGAACGGCAAAGAGCTAGTCGTGTTGAAATAAACATAGTTCCGACGTTGTCTCCTCATTCCTGCACTTGAGATCACTTGAATGATGTTTTCAATCTCATTTTGTCCTGGAGGACTTGCTATGGCACTAATCTTATCCATCAAGTTCCCCTCGTCAGAAAGTCGCAGCCTGGATGATTTCATTCCGCTTCTCATTAGCAACGATATTCATCATTGATGAACTTTTGAATGTCGCTCCAAGGATACGATTTCACGTACAGTATGCCTGGACGCATGAACGAGGTCTGAAAAGGCCTGAGGCACGAGAGTCACTACGGAAATTGTGCATTGGACAGCGGGGTCACGCTGATGATGCGCCATTGATTCCTCCCCGCCATCGACGTCAGTCAGGCATTGTCACGCCGGATGAAGTACAACAAGTAGATGATATTTTGTCGTCGATTTCACATAATCGATATATTTTCTACATATTACCCAAATATCAATCAATCATGCCTTTGAACCCCACAGCCTTGTTTCCCTCTGCTGACGGTCCGGAGTTCTCGCACTACCCGTCTCGACGATCTGTGGTACACAGCACCCGCGGTATTGTGACCTGCACACAGCCATTGGCAGCACAATGTGGTATCGAGATCTTGCAGAAGGGCGGCAACTGCGCAGATGCCGCCGTTGCAGTTGCTGCCGGACTGAATATGACAGAACCAAGTAGCACGGGCATTGGAGGCGACATGTTCTGTCTGTTCTACGAAGCCAAAACAAAGAAGATCCACTCTTTGAACGGGTCCGGTCGCTCTGGTGCGAAATGTAGTCTAGAACAGATCCGTAATGACCTCGGTCTCAAAGAAGGCGAGTCTGGCAAGATCTTCATGAAGAGTGTTCATGCAGTGTCAGTCCCAGGCGCAGCGGCCGGATGGGTAGATGCTGTGGAGAAGTTCGGAAGTGGAAAAGTGTCATTGGCAGAGGTTCTTGCACCGGCCATTCGTCTTGGAGAAGAAGGATTTCCCGTCAGCGAGTTGACGGCTCTCTGGGTGGGTACTACATTCGATGCCACCGGCTTGCTGATATTGACCGGTATATGATAACAGTGGAAACAATCCGAGGAATTGCTAAAAGCGGCGTCGCCAAACGCCGCCGAGATACTAAAGAAGGATCCCAATGCAAAGGATGGATGTCGCGCACCTCGGGTTGGCGAAATCATGAAGAATCCGGACATGTCCAATACATTTCGCCTCCTTGGCCAAAAAGGCAAGGCTGGCTTCTACCAGGGGTCTGTGGCCGAAGCATTAGTAAAAGTCGTGCAAGATCTAGGAGGACATATTACATTGGAAGATCTTCAGCATCATATGGATCTCGGATCGGAGGACACGGAGGCAATAAAGCTCAACTTCCGCGGACAAGCCACACACAAGAGTCATGGGCAGCATCTCGACGACCCCAGCGAGGACGGTGTCAACCTGTGGGAGCATCCGCCCAATGGACAAGGAGTTGTAGCATTAATGGCTTTGGGGATCATTGAGCAGCTGGAGATCGCTGGCAAGATTCCTCAGTTTGAGCGCAAGGACCACAACAGTGCTGCATATCTGCACGTGGTCGTCGAGGCATTGCGACTTGCTTTTGCCGATGCCAACTGGTGGGTGGCAGACCCCAAACACGCCAAGGTTCCAACTGCTGGATTGATCACTCCTGAGTACCTATCCGAAAGAGCGAAATTGTTCGATTCCGAGAAGGCAAGTCAAGCAGAGACTCAGGGTTCGCCTGCGCACAACCATTCCGACACGGTCTACTTTGCGTGTTCCGACAGCGAGGGCAACGGCATTTCCTTCATCAACAGCAATTACGGCGGATTTGGCACTGGAATCGTGCCAAAGGGCTGCGGCTTCACGCTGCAGAACCGCGCTGCTAATTTTGCGTTGCAGCCAGCTGATCATCCAAATGTAATGGCTCCGAGCAAGAGACCTTATCACACGATTATTCCAGCCATTGTGACAAATGCCCGGGACGGCTCCCTGCATAGCGTTTACGGGGTCATGGGTGGTTTTATGCAGCCACAGGGTCACGTTCAGGTGCTGTTGAATCAGCTCCTATTTGGTCTGTCTCCACAGGCAGCGCTGGATGCTCCACGATTTTGCATTGGTGCAGGCATGCCGGATGCGGGCGACCCAATGGCACGAGTTGTGTACGTTGAGGAGGGTATCTCGGAGGAAGCGGTTGAAGGCTTACGACGCCTAGGCCACAACGCTCAGATAATCAAGGGTCACGCTCGAGGCTTGTTTGGACGCGGACAGATCATTCGCTGGCATGTCGACCCTGTAGAAAAGCAAGGAGTGTGGAGCGCTGGAAGCGATCCTAGGGGTGATGGACACGCGGTGCCCTACTAGTGCGGCGTTGATCATCATGTAACTCCATGTGTATTGTTACGGTCAGAGCTTTAGTCACATCCACAAATTCCTCAGACATAGGACATTGAGAGACGACGCTTTGAGACGGCCATGAAAGCTTGCCCCAACAGACCGTGTCATTGACTTCAGCGTCGCAGATGTATGGGACAGATCCATGCTGCGCCTCAATAGACTCGCGGTGTACCGATGAAAGTATCAGCTCAAGATGGAGCAGCTGTGGGTAAAGGGGAGAATTCGAAGACCCGTTCGACTCTGCTGTCTATCACTTGCAGTGAGCGTCGTGACGTACGAAGTGGCGAAGCTTAAGGTAAGTCGCTTGACAATTTTTCGCGCGACGACAGGTCGGGAACGTTAAGTCCGGAGATGCATGATTCTGGGTCCGGGCCCCTGTAGCCACAGATTCCATGCGGCTGGCTGTCCAGAGAGGCATCGGCTGGGATCTCTTTCAGCATTCAGTCAAATCCCACTGACATTTCGAACAGCAGGATTGGAATGCATCAATCCATCGGCCCTGGCGTATTCGATCGAGTGTCGAAGGGGCTCTTCAATCCGATTCAGAGCCTTCCTCCGGCTCCTTGACTGTATCCTTCAGAGCCTGTTTGTTTGGATTTAGCGATCGTTTGGCAAATGCTTCATTGACTCCAAGATGATCCCATGACGTACCTCCTTCAGCAATCGTTTCAGCTCATCTTGCTTCATGTTCTTCACAAGCACGTGCTCATCATCGATGTCTTCGACTATGAAGTCATGGTTGTGCTCGGTATCGATTTTGATCAAGATGGCTTTGATGGAAGGGTCGCATTCGACCAAAACACCTGCTGGTTTAGCGAAGAGTCTTGTGTGCAGCGTCTATCCCGAGAGCATACCTGCTACAGCACGCGGCATTGCAATCTATGAATTCGCTTTCGACAATGACAGAGAACCGAAATATGTCTGGATGGAGGCAAAGTGAGAACAAATCTACCTGGTCCGATAATTGCGATCGATCACGTGATGCTTTGTTATCAGCTGCACAGCCCAGGCCAACTTCGAGCTCGACGACCTGTTCGCCTCATCATATGTTTTGTACCATGATTATTTGCTCACGCACGCAGTGTTCGATATCACAGTAAGGCATGCGCAAATACGAATAAGAGACTTGACGGCCATGCCGTACTCCTTGGAGCGAATGCGGATAATCACATCATCAATCACCTCCGCCATTCATATGCAATCCACCAAGTTAGCAAATTGAGCGAGAACATTCCTTGTATACAAAAGGTTGAGGGACGGCACTGATTGTCGCCTGTTGCACTGGATTCTCATCGCTTCCGGAGGTGGCTCGCAGAGTGAAGTACTTTGCACAGTCGTGTTGCAGACTATATAATGATGCCTCGTCATTAAAGATCCACGGGATGGAATCGGCTCGCTGACAGCGACGTTATATATGTACCACATGCGCGTTACGACAGAGCTGATCTCGCTGTCCTCCGACGCAAGAAGCGTTAATCAAGATGGTGCGCTCTGAGGTTCGATCCTGCATGAAGAAAATCCTCAGTAGAAGGAAAGCCATGTAGAAGAGACCAAGCAGCCCAGTTCTTTCCGCACGAATCTGCTCATAAAGCAGCTCGAACTGATCGTACACGAGAATTTCACTGCCACGACCTTGGTGAATATGCCCAAAGACATGCAATTTTGGTTTCACGCGCCAAAGCTCGCGGAGGAGGTTCACATCGCCCCACCCTGCAACATCAAGGTGGTAGTGAGGAGCAGCGTGCGTAATCAAGATGTCGATGTCTGTACCGAGCTGATTTGAAAACACATCGCTGCCTTTCTCGTATTGAAAAGCCCAGTTCCCATGCCGTTGAGTACGTGGATCACCATGTATGGATACAGCACGCTTCCCACCCTTGGGTCTTATGCTGAAAGCGCTCCGCTCTAGATATGTGATCGAACCCCACTGCAAGCTCGCTCGATCATGATCGGAGAAACCATGCTCAGAAGACTTTTGTTGATCAAGAACAATATCGTGATTTCCAGCAATCACAACTTTATGAGGATGTGGTTGAGCGTTAAGCCAGTCCAGCTGGGATTGCAACTCTGGCGCAGTCCCATTTTGGGTCAAATCTCCAGCGTGGATCAGTACGTCGCCCTCCGGTATCTCAGGTCGCAAGTTGTGTGTGTCTGATATGCATACCACTGTTATACCGATGTATTTTGTGGGATCCAGCTGGTGATCACGCGCGAGCTTTTGGCGCTGTGTATACAGTGTCCGCGCTAGACTTGGGATCGGACTCTGCAGGAATTGTCGCAACCATGGTGTCTCTTTTCGGTGAAGCAGTGCATCTAACGACATTCCGATGACCCGTGTAGTATTTGCAAAGCTGGATCTCATTTGTTAAGAATGATGGTCCAACATCTCAAGGTTGTTACTTTTCGTCCCGCGCTTCAGGCAACCTCATAATAGCACGACACTGAGGCACACATACAGCAGCCGGCGTCTATCTGCAGCAACAACGCAGGAACGCGCGGGCGTGCTCTTGGACGGCGCATGCATTGCCCAAGAGGAAACATAGTTCATGTCTTCTGGCGCGAAAAGAGCCATTCCTGTTCGCCGTGTCTACTCATCAACCAAGTAATGGTCAGACTCACCGTTGGGCCACAGAGTGTATCCTGAAGGTCGAGCGCCATCTGTGCAACGAACAGGTTTCGCGGAGCTCTGTCAGAACTTTGACGTTGCGGCCAGGCGTTTGCGTGACGTGCACACTGTCGGATGAACGCCGAGACATATCACCGCGGCCTCGAGAGTCACGACTCGACGTCTGCGCGATGCAGTTGTCCACGGCCATACGAGCATCGGAGAACGCTGCTGCGGGACAGTATTGCGGGACAGTTTCGTTCTCGCTTTGATAGCAGCAGCCAATAATCGGCAGGGGCGTGGCGGGCGCAGCAGACCATCCTTTATGTTATATTGTTCCATATTACTATGGCCGAGGCTCCCTAGCCTCGGCAAAACTTTAATTACCCCGGACTTTGGCGCATCTTTGGCGCATCGCCGGTTGTCGCTGATGCCCCTCGTTCTCGTAAATTTAAATTCTGGAGATGAGAGAGAGACATTGGTGGAGAAGAAGCGGACCTGATGGGCTTGATGGGCTGTGCTGATGGGTAAAGTGCCAGGCGGCAGCATTCCTGAAGAAGCATCGTCATCATCAGTCGTTCGCCGCTAGTATGGAGGAGAAGTCGGAATAAGATTGCCATGTAGTTCATTTAGTATAGATTGATTTCCTGTCTCTGCTCTGCTCTGTTCCTTTCGTCCCCATTCACGTTCCTTCGCCCACTTCCTTTCCTGACATTGTATCATCACCATGTCCGCCCTCATCAACCCCGTCCTTACGGGTGCTCTGCTCCTTGCACTCACCGTTGGTCCCGACCAGGTTAGGGACCCGCTTCTTCAGCAGCTCCGCCAGCACATCTCGGGCGAGAACATTGCCCGCCTGATCACTGGCCTCAAAGTCGTCGTCGGATACGGCGCCCTGACTCGCGCGAGTTTGTGGTTCAGCGAGGTCGCACAAAACAACTTCCGCCTCTCTTCGGAAAAGCACCGATATGACTGGCCTAAGGAGATCGCCGTCGTGACTGGCGCCTGCGGCGGTGTCGGCACATTGATCTCGAAAGGACTAGCGAAGAAGGGCATCAAGGTTATCTGCCTCGATATTCGAGACGAGTTCCCTGGTAAGTTTCCAAGCGGTCTCCTCCTGGGTGTCAATGCCGGAACAGGCGGATTCTCGACGACATGCTAACCATAGTGACCATCGCAGCGGACATGGCGGCAATCAAGAACCTTGTCTACTACAAGTGCGACATCACCGACCGCGAGGCGGTTGTCGAGCTCGCCGCACGCATTGCCAAAGAGCATGGACATCCATCAATCTTGGTCAACAACGCCGGTGTCGCCAACGCGGCTCCCATCTTGAAGGTCACAGACAAGCAGCTCAAGCAGCTGTTCGATGTCAACATCATCTCCCACTACTACACCATCCAGGCGTTCATGCCCAACATGATCAAGGAGAACAAGGGTCACATCTTCTCCACCGCCTCGGTTGCGTCCTTCATGGCCGCCCCAGGTCTTGTGCCCTACTCAAACACGAAGGCTTCCGTCCTCGCACTCCACGAGGGTCTCTCATTTGAGACTCGCGCCGTGTGGAAGGCACCCTCCATTAAGTTTTCCATCATTCACCCGACTTTCATCGACACTGCTATGGCTGCGCCATTCAAGACCAACCTCAACGACGCCGGTGCCGGCATCATCACACCCGAGAGCGTGGCGAACGCCGCTGTCAAGCAAATCCTCAGCTGCCGATCCGGTCAGATCATCCTGTCTGGCAACCTGGGAGCCCTGGTCAACGTGCGCAAGTGGCCCAAGTGGATGTACTACGGTGCCTTTTACCTCGGCGACAAGCGCACTTTGGTGAGTATTCTAGAGATGATATCATTCCAATTGATATGTATGCTAACGTACCAACTCTTTCCAGAAAATGTCACCAAAGGAGTTCCTCGAGCCCTTGAAATAGATGAGTGTGGATTCGCACAACGGATACAGACAGTCCAGCGACCGAGAAGACGAGCGTTGGAGCGATATACCCCGATGTTGAATAAAACTACGCACCAGTGCAGAGTCAGGTGGGAAATGTCATTAGATGGCACGCCTACATGGCCTGGCCTCGGAACACATAGAGACATTTCTCAAATGCACTGAATAATGAAAACCCATTAAAAGCTGTTTTACAATCGCCGTAAGTTTGCTCATATGCACAATCCTTGTGGACGACGACAGAAATGCCGTTGCATGGTAGGCACCAAGGAAACGAATTGGGATATTGCAAATGGTGGCATGGTTGGTTGGTGACCAGCATAAACGTTCCTTGACCGGCCACTGCAACACGCAAGATAAGCATGTATCCCGATCGGCTACGATGTATCGGAAACACGACGTTGGCCAGGCATTTCTACGCCAACTTGCATTATCAGCCAAAACGTCGCACCTGCATTTGACCTTTCTGAACACTCTTCGGCGATGAATGAGCCCGCTGTGGAACGTGGTACAGTAAGAGCACATGTCCACATCAACATGGGAGGTCTGGGCTTCGGCAGTGCTAACAAGAACAAAGAAAGGATTCCCTCAACCCGGCGCTGTCATGGATTTCGATGCAGTAGATTCATGCCCGGAAAAGGTACGTGTGGTTGATGTAGATGATGTTGCTTCACTCCAGCGTCACAAGCAACAAGCTATATATGCTATCGAATAAATCGGGCACGTACCCAGGTGGACAGTTGTAAGCCTCCGTCAATGTTTGACGGATCGGATTTAGCGCGTTCCCGGAATAGCGTTCTAACAAGTATTACATACCTAGGTACACAGACAACATGTTTGGATGTGCAACGGCCACAATTAGAATTGTCCCAATTGGCGTGCTTTTCATCCGAACCGAAAGGTTTTTTCCTGCATCACACTGCATACTATTTGGCAGTACACCTGATAGGTGTGCATTCGGCGTCTGCCATGCGCTTCGGCAGAGAGAACGAAATTTGATGCACTGCCGCTCACGTCTGCTGCCCATCAGGAAGCCAACACGGACAACGAGGTCGAATCCGAATCATGTGTGTCTTTGCCCATCACGGGCAACGAGACTTCTTATATACGACAATACCAAAGCGAGGATAGAGACATACATCGTGTCCTGGCCCCTCCCGTTCTCGCCGAGAAAGACAAGTATGGATGTGTACCAAGTTTCACACAGAGCTCACGATACGGGACCATGGTACTAGCCAGCGATCCTTGAATCTTCGTCAGTCTGATACTCCTGACCGCAAGACAATGGAGCGAGGCGTGATCCTATGTTGAAGATGATCCTAGTTCCCGGGCACGGGCATGACGCTGCGGTCGTCGTGGCTTGTACTATGGGAACTCGTCTCAGATGCCCATTTCGTGAATCGCGAGAGCCGGACCTTAGAATTCCCACGCCTGTCACACGACGTGTAATGGCTTGCACTGCTAGTCTGTCCTCGCTTGCTGCCCGCCGGCCGTGCAAGTGTAATTCTGATTTTATCGTCAGCTTCACCACCTATTCCGGTCGTTTCTCCGTTTGTGCATGTCCATGCTCTTCCAGTGGCAACGCCCGGCTTTCTTGTTCTCCGCCATTCTCAATGCCTGAGCGCCTCTGGTTTTGTCGTTACGAGTGCTACACATTACTTGCGTCTGCAAAAATGTCGAGCTCATCTGGTGTGCGTTCGGCCCATTAACGCGAACATGGCACGGTCGTGTCGCGCGCAATGAGCTCCATCAAGACCTTAATGCTCGGACGGGCTATGATTTTGGGACATATCTGCCAGGTTGACACGGCTCAAAGACTGTCATTCAACGGCTGACAAGAAGTCATCTTAATGCAACTTTTCATCCCATGGCTCCTCCGGCTGATGGTACCACAGCAGCGACCCTATGTGAGAGGCGCAACGTGGCATCCCTGATCGATATCTCAGCTGGCTTGCCCAACATCGCTCGAGGTAAAGACGTTCTGATAATCGCCCGCTCCAACATCGCTCTTTTTGAGCCAATATATTCCGTTACTGCTGCAGCTGTTGCTCGACAACCTATAACGACACGCAAGTTGAACGGCGACAGTATTATCGCCGGCGAGATCGACATTTTTTTGCAGCATCGTTCAATAACGGCCGCCCTACTCCAGCCTTGCATACCCTCGCAGCCAGGACGGCAACCCGATCAAGGATTCGGAAGCTGAAACTTCCGCACCGGTTTTGATCCAGCCACATCGGATCGCGAATGGTGGTATTTTCGGTCTCCACCAAGACTACGCCAGTCGTCGATACCCCGAAAATTGTGTCGGCATCGTCCCTGCTCGGCCAATCTTCGCAAATCCTGTTTGTTTTGTGACGGCCTTTGAGATAATCGTCCTGGTTAAGGCAATGCCGCGGCGTGAGCTGTCATGGCCACATCAATAACAACATCACCCAGCAGTCAAGCTACCGACATCACTGGTGCTGATGTTCCCACAACTACGAATGCGATCTCGGTCCTGAACTCAGCAGTGCCGAGTGATGTTGCTGCCTCCATCGCAGCTCAATTCAGCAGCGACGAAGCAGCACGCCATGCAGTCACCACAACCGCTATCAATGCTATCACTTCTGCAGGAGCTGCATCAGCTTTGACCTCCGCAGGAGCAGTCTCCACATTCACCTCGGGAGTGAGCGTGACGAATGCTGGACCTTTGCCAAGCACATTGCTCTCAACAACATCTCAATCCCTTCGCTCTTCAAGTACATCACTGTCAGCCGCGAGCGCAACTACTGCAGCACCCCCTTCAGCGCCTGGCAGGAGTCTTCCCAACAATGCCATCGCTGGTGTAGCGACTGGTATCACAGCTGGAGCTGTCCTTGTAATTTTAGCTGTCGTCTACATCCTTCGTCGACGCCAGCAACGAATGTCAACGAATGCTGCTCTCGGTGGCAAGCGCGGCCCTGGCGCACGAGGGTCGAATGGAGGCAGCATTTATCCGGAGATCGCCTACCTGTACGATCCAGCTGGGAGTGGGTCAGCTAGCTTCATTCAGACCAGCAGTGCAGAGAACTCTCGGACTGCACTCCTTCCCAACAGCGAGACTCGCAGTAGCAGCATCCAAAGTAATTGCCAGTCGAGCGGTACAGACTCCGATGATGGGCCATTAGGTCCAATCGGACCCACGAGTCCTCTCCTCGTGGCTCCACTATCAAGCATCCATCATTTCAACGACCACGACCATGAGCACGATCTCGACACCAGCGATCACACCACGCCCATCACACCAAACACTCCCGTCCTTCCTCCTCCGCCACGCTATCCGAGCCTCCGCATGCCCCGCCTCGTCGCTTCTCCTTCAATACCACTCCCGCCACCTCCACCCGCGCCTCCACCAGCTCCAGAACGCGCCCTCTCCCCACTTTTCTCTCCCACCCAACAGCAATCTCGCCGGGAGTCTTGGACGCGGAACAAAAACGCCTGGACGACGAGTCCCCTCCTCGCCCCGCAAACGAGCGCGAACAACGGCGGCAGTAGCGGTAGCAACAACAGCGCTGGCGGGACCAGCGGTTGGACCGCGCGGGACCCTCAACCGCGGGCCTCTCGCGGACCGTCATGGCTTTCGCCCGCCATCATGTCCGATCTGCAGCCTCGCGCAACACCGCCGCAGCTGCGAGGCACCGCGAGTCATTCGAAGGCCTCTGCTCCTGCGCGGAATCCGTCAGCGAGCAGGCCCTTGACGGCGATTGTGGATGAGGAGAAGAGTAGTCCTTGAAGCAGCAATTGGTTTTGCATGCGAGCCGCAATATTGGTGATGATTTAATTTTTTCTGTGAGCGATCCTCGATGCCGTTGCCTCAATTGGGTGGCGTTGATGGGCCTTTTTCTACTCTAGCGTGGCGTTTGGAGGTACATGTTCATAACGATGACCCGAAGCGCAAGGAAGCTCTCGTCCCATATTGCCGGGAGGGCTTGAGTGACGGGGAAAGTCGTTTCAAGCGCTCTGTTGGCATGTGATAGCGTCATATATTGCGTTACATCTGGGGATCAGGGATGTTCGATCTCGTCTCGCGTTGAATCGATCGACACCACACGAGCTAACGTCAAATTTAATAAACATCATAATTCACATCCGTTGAACTACACCTCTGCCTTTCCCTGAATCCTACGATGATCCATGACCGCTCTGTCGCTAGGAGGAACTGCCTCCAGCGATGAACGATACAAAAATACACACACTCCACCCGATTGCCTCGCGGTCGCGCTTTGCGTCAGACTTGTAAGTGACAATCAGAAATCACAGATCCGCATTCCCTTCTGCGGACACAATCGGCCTTGCCTTACGCATCTCCGCCAATAAGTGTCGATGAGCCCAAGGATCACAGACATGACAAAAGTACTTGATGTCAGGATCCAGTCGTCTCGTCCACGCCGAAAGATTGTCGCCACCGTCTGCTTCTTCGCGTGCCGCCTGTCTTGTCGGACGTGTGCGTGATCCGCTTCGAGCGACCCACGGTACAGCGGCGCCCATACAATCGACGTGCTGCCAGACTCCACATGAGGGCGTTTCGCATGCGATCCAGACGATGTCTGCTTTGGTTTGAGTAGCGCATGATGCGGTGGCAGTCGGAAAGCATGAAGAGTCGTCGGTAACGGCACCACATGCGCAGCGGACGGCGCCGGAAGATTTGAGTTCACGTGGCTTGAAATTTGCGGACGAAAAGAATTCCGGCAGAAGGTCAGGATGACGGGAGTAGTCTTCGTTCTCGGAGGTCTGCTGTTGATGACGAGCTGACAATCGACGGAAATGCTGTGTATTCTCCTCAGACGGTCTCGTGTGCTGAGAAATCAATAACTCGTGACGTCTTGCCGAGGCAGCAATAGCATCTTGCCGGCTCCTTGGAAGACGCGTACCAGTGGCCACTGCATCGATGTATGAAGCTCGAGCCTCAGCTTTCGCGGCGTCTGTTGATCGGTATATCTTGGCCGGCAATCGACTATCCGCTTCCGTGTGACCAGGTACAGCTTTTTCTGAATGGCTGAGACCATCGCCGGCAGATTGAAGCTCAACGGACTGACCCGAGGTCGAAAGGTTTCCAAATTCCTGGGAAATTGTGGGCAGAAACTGTAGTTGCAACTCAGGCTCAGGCTTGACTCTTCCTTTAGTCCATTCGAGAGCTTTTGCTAAGCGGTTGAGGCGTAATTTCTCCTGATGCGACGAATGAAATTTCTTCATTTCCTCTCTTTCGTGTAGTTTACTCTGTTTGCTGACAGAGTTCTCTGTGTTGTGGGTAGGAGATTCGGCTTTTGGCCTTCCTGGGGACATTCGATTAAGGGAATGAACAGCTGCTGGCAGAGTTACCTTCTCGGGTGGGGAGTCGACGCGAGACAAAGAAAATGCGACATGCTTTTTTACGGTCTTGATATCTTTTTTCACATCGGATGGCTCTCCTGCTTTCGGAATTGCACACTTTAAATCCTTCATGGAAGTCTTTTTCTGCTTTCCTAGTGGACAAGGCTGCTTGAGGACACTGGCAGGGAGCTTTAATCGTTGTCGCGATTTTTTCTGTCGTTGTGAAATGTTTCGTTGGCCCTGCCGAGGCTCCACATTGCAGGAGAGTCTTCGAGATCTGCGATAGCTCTTGACTTCAGTCCGTAGTGGCCGATTACAAAGGGATGAAGCATGTGTAAATACTGTATGCATATGTAGTTCGTTCATGTGCGAAGCTGTTGTCGAGGACGAAATGAGTCTTTTCAATCGCGATCGTGGTGCTCGCGAGGTCGGTGATCCTGGTAATAAAGCCTTATCTGCCACTGCGTCGACCGCTTTCTTGCCACCTTGGTAATCGCACGCATCACTGTAATACGTATCATTTTGTACCACGTCTGCATCATCCGAACGGCTCGGCTTTTCCAGGCACGAGCCCAGTGCCGGCGATTTCGCCTTGCAATCGCATGAAGCGTCGTGGACCGGATCTGTTGCTGGTGGCTCGATTGAGGATTTCTGCCAATCCTGCCAATTCTCTGGCATACCAGGCTTCCACTCAATTGGCGGATAGCTAGCATAGCTGTCGATGGTCTCTGTGTTCCTTGTTGTGGGAAATGGCGTGAGTGGCGTAATCTGAGAGCTCAATTCAAGCCTCCTCACGCTCTGTACGGAGAGTTTGTGATGGCCGTGTTGGTCAAAAACTTGTTCGATATCTCGATATACTTTGAAGTGAATGTTGAGAGCATTCCTGTAATCAGGGTGTCTTGAGAGATGTTGGAGACGACGTTGACCATACCGAGTCGAGGTGTAATGATCATTCAGAATCCGTCCACCAAGTTCGAATGCGACGACTTCGGCTTCAGCAGGTATTTCGTCCGACTGACCAGGTGACGACACTAACGCCAGAGGCGGCATCGTTGTCGCCTCGACCATGTCGACGGAAGGATATCTTCGGACGAGGGAGCAAAGAACGAGTGGCCTGGATCGATGAAGCAAAGAGTAATGACGGGCTTCGCTGAGGTCACGCGGAATCAGAGAGGGACAAGCATCGCAAGGTTGAAGAGAAGTTTTGTGACGATCAATGTCAACATCCAAATCGAGGGCTCTTGGGTGCTTGTGTCATCCCCGCTGCCGGGTTTTGTACCACCAACGTGGTGATCTTTAAAACACCCGTCACTTGTGTAGGGCGGGGGCTCAGATTCACGCTTCCTGCTGATACGGTCTCTGTTGACACTGCTTTGAACATAGCTCAAGCAGCAGGCAGGGAAAGTCCGCGGTAGTAGTGATGATGGATGGGTAAGAGTCAGCAACGTAGAACAGGGCCAAGGATAAACAAAGTCTACCTAGTAAGTGCTTTAGCGAGATCAGGTGAAAGGTATTCCGTGCGCTTTGAGCTCATCTACGATTCATCAAGCTGAACGAGCAAAACCCATCCTCACCAACTTCAGAACTTGGTGATTTCAGAACCACGGTATGTCCCTTGCAGAACACGCCCAGTATCACCTTGAAACTCACAGAGAGAATGATCTTCACCATTCGCCTACTGCTTTGCCACATCATCATCCGAAGCTCTCATTTGCCTGATCCTTGAACTCCCGTACAACATTGTCACTGCCATGTCTGCGCATTCTTCCGCCGACGCATTGCAGGAGGGTTGAAAATGCTCACCCAACATCTCGGCAAGCTTGCGATAGGGACGTGCCTAAATTTTGAAGACCTCCACACGACCGAGAATGGGCATAAGACCTTTCTCATTGAAGTCTTCTGAGAATTTCATTCGGGCAGGGTGGAATGGTTGATGAGGGGAAGGAGGTACAACAAAGCCTAGATGCGGTGGAACCAATTCCTCAGGCGCGCGTACTCGTTGCAAGAGAATCTGCCCTGCCCAGGAAGATCTTCATTCAAAATTCAACATCATCACAATTGACGTCGCAATGCAATGCCACGGAATGACTTTTCCACAGTAAATGCGTTCAATGCGCAGGCATTCCACCAGCATGTTACCTGTAGTATGCTTCATACTGTCGTCTGCAGGTGTCTAGCTACCTAGGTATGATGACAAGTGAGCATTTGGTCATGTTATTTCTCCGAGGAAGTCACGCCAGCAAAGGTCAATCAACCTGCCTTGTTGAACACAATACCAATAAGGAAGCTACCAGTGGACTCTATCGTCCTCGAAGACGTGGGACCTCTTGACGTATGACGTTTCTTGTCTTTGTTCGTCAAATCACTCTCTAGAGGTGTATTGAATACTAAAAGAACCTTTCACATGTATGTCAGCCACCGCGATCTGGAGACTGGTCGAATGCCTTCGTCAAGGAGTATCGCGTCGAGCCTGCCGAGACAGTTATCGACATTTCTCTACCGGACAACACTGCTATGCATCTACTTGCTCCTAAGCTTATTCCTGACCTTCTCCAATAAGTCTCTGCTGGATGAAGTTTGTCAATCCCATCTATGGATGCCGAGCACGCTCCAGCAAGCTGACAGCTAAGATGTGCCACTAGGCAAAATACCCCTGGCTCCTAACAGCCGTACATGCAATCGCGACCACGATCGGTTGCTGTGTGGTGTTATTTCGCAGAATCTCGACACTGCAAAGAATGGACCGGAAAGAATACCTCACGATGGTTGGCTTCTCGCTCCTTTTTACACTGAACATCGCCATGTCGAATATCTCATTGGATGCCGTATCGGTAGCATTCCATCAAACGGTGCGCTCTGCGTCTCCCGCGGTCACTATTCTGCTGTATCGGTTGATCGACCTCTGTGGTGGTGCGATTAGCCGTCGCTTCACTTGGACAACCTGCTTGACTACGTTCCCACTGATTTTGGGCATTGCACTTGCCACGAAAGGAGACTTCACTGCCACATCCATGGGTCTCAGCTTGACACTCGCGGGCGTGATACTGGCGTCGATGAAGCAGATCGCCATGGGTATGCTGATGACTGGGCCGTTACAGCTCTCGTCAATAGAGCTTCTGTTGCATCTTTCACCACTCGCAATGGTCTAGTGCCTCGCATTGGGTATGGTGACAGGTGAGGTTCATGATGTGCACGCGGCCTGGCACATAGGAGCTTTGTCTGTATTGAAAATGGGGCCACAATTGTTTTACAACATGTTCGCAGCTGTGCTTCTCAACTTGATCAGCTTTGAAGCGAATCGCATCGTGGGCGCCGTGGCTATGACAGTATGCGGCAATGTCAAACAAGTTCTGACGATCATGGTAGCAGCGTTCTGGCTCAATGTGCAGATCGGATTTCTCGGCACTCTTGGTATTGGCATAACGCTTGCAGGCGCATTTGCGTACAGCTGTGTTGAGGTAACAACCGTCAAGCGGTGGTGAAGCGGACATAGAAATGCGCGGAGCGAGACTTGGGAGCAGGGAAAGACACTGAGGGCCCGTCGAGGTGCCCGCGCAGCTCTCAGCATCTTGGGTACATTTCCGCACGCTCAACGAGCGTTGTAAAGCCCTATTCAGAAGCAGCGCGACATGTCCGAATTTTCGATAATCGGTAAAATAATAATCTGCAGACCATTCACTATTCATAAAATGTCACAATCAGAGATACAAGAGAAGAAACAGCCAAAATCGTTTGAAGCGCTTACGCCTGAGCTGTCAACATGGATTTTGGATTTCACTCAAAGCATGGGTTTTGCCCGGACCACTCCTGTGCAGGCCATGGCGATTCCGCTACTGATGGGCAACAAAGATTTGGTGGTTGAGGTAGGGCGTTTATAACAAAGATTAAAACAACTTGTTTTTTAACCCATTCTTGAAGGCAGTCACAGGAAGCGGCAAGACACTCAGCTTCTTGATTCCACTGGTCGAAAGATTACTCAAGGCTGAAGAGCCTAACAAAAAGGGATACGTTCGATCGATCGTCATCGCACCGACCAAGGAACTTGCAACACAGATTTACGACGTTCTCAAAGGCTTGGTGGAATTCCATTCACATTCAGCTGCAGCATGTCGGCCTCCTACTCCTCCAGAGGACAGCGAGGACGAGGATGCATTGGATGGGTTTGTCAAGCCTGTTGTGTTGACAGGGCCGAGTGTCATTCCACAGCTGTTAGTCGGAGGTCGCACTAAGCTATCAGAAGACACAGCGACGTTCACGACTCTGAACCCAAATGTGTTGGTTGGAACACCAAAGCGACTATTGGAGGTGATACAATCCTCGAAGGTCGTGCTCAAACGGCATTGGTTCGACCTACTCGTTCTTGACGAGGCGGATCGATTACTTGATGCCAATTTCAAAGAGGACCTTCAAAGGATCTTGGACCTCCTACCAAAGGAACGACGAACCGGACTTTTCAGTGCATCAGTCTCCGAAGCGGTCAACGAGCTTGTGAGAGTGGGGATGCGATATCCTTTCAAGATCAGTGCCAAAGTACGCAGTAAGTCCGGTGCACTCGACAAGCGGACGCCGGAGAGCCTGAGGTTGTATCATGTCACATGCAAAGCGTCCGCCAAAATCCCATACCTGCGCAGGATTCTGGCAGCAACTAAAACGGAAAAATGCATACTGTACGTGTCAACGCGTGCTAGTGTTGACTATTGGAATCACGTTCTGCCTTCACTTCTCGATATGGCTGTGTACCCATTACATGGCGACCACAAAGCTCCTATCCGCATGAAAAACTTAAATCGATTTCGAGATTCTGTCGCCCCCGCAATGCTTCTGACAACGGATGTCCTCGCGCGAGGAATCGATATTCCCGATATCGATTTAGTCGTGCAGCTAGATGCTCCAATCCAGCCGAAAGACTTTATCCATCGATGCGGTCGTTCTGGTCGAGCTGGTAAGCGGGGCGTTGCGGTCACATTCCTCAACGAAGGCTGCGAGGAGGATTATGTCAAGTACCTAGATTTGCAGGGAACAAGGCTTGAGCCGTATCCCGATACGCCTGTCCTCCCGCCAGCGGAAATTTCCGATGCGATTACGACGATCCGGAAAACGTTAACGCAGAAGCGTGAACTACACGATCGCTCCCAAAAGGCATTCGTCAGCTGGGTCCAGGCTTACAGTAAAACACTGCCATCAGACATTTTCGATGTGAAGCGACTAGACTGGCCAGAAATCGGGCGCTCGTGGGGATTATTACAATGGCCGAAAATGCCCGAGCTTAAGCGATACTTCCCCACCGCTTCGCAGAATCGCACGTACGAGCTTGATCTCCCTGCAGACTTCCGGCTCGACACCCTCGCGTACACAGACAAGGTGCGGGAGTCCAAACGACAGGAGTATTTAGCGACTATCGCACGTGGTGAACGTCCAGAGCTACCCAAGCGCCTCGGCGGAGCGCTCGCTGAGATGCAACGCAGAAAGGCGAATGCCTGGAGCTCACAGAAAGATGCAAAGGCACTGAAGGAGGCGCGCAGGGAGAAGAAAGTCGTCCGAAGGCAAGCGGAGGGTCATGCGAAGATGAGCGAGTCTGAAAAGCTGAAGGCCGCAGAGCTGAGGGCGCTGATTGAGAAGGTCAGATTGCAGAATGCGACGGCCGAGGAGTCATTTGAAGGATTCGATGATTGAAGGGGACATGCCCAGCCTTATCGGAGCTGGCTTCCGAGCAGCGTTGCAGTCATGCGTCGATGCTTGACAGCGGTAAGCATACCATGTATCAGGAAGTGATGGCGAGCCATATCGTGTTGTAAGATAAGCCTTCTGCAGACGACGTCGCAGTAGAATTAATGAGCCCTATGAAACTGTTATCAATGCTACGGGGTATGGTACCTTTCCTGCGTCGCATCCAGCACGATTGACAATCCACAAACTTCAATGGATGCGATATCAGTAGCTAGGTAGATAGTGAGCTAATTTTACATGTTGTAATGATGTGTCTTATCGATAATGGCTGTCTACAAGCAACATTCATGCATCGCTCTAGGCTACTCTCAGTCGCATGAGGCTGTGTAGCATTTAATCAACTGTGAAGAATAGACAGCTCGCACGCCGCGGATCTTCAAATACCCGTGAAGCTGTGCTTTGCCAAGTCAAGGAATGTTTCCCGCTGGTTTGACACCTGCGCTTGTGAAGAGTCGAACCAGGGAAAACACGACTGCTTCTGGGGTCCTTTGCATGATCTGACGCACCGCAGGCAACCTCAACAGTTTCAATAGAACACGACACTACCGCTGACAGATCTAATTCCAGGACGACTCGTGGCCGTGGATCCGCTCGACAATTACTTCGTAGTCAGTCTTATCGGCGTGATAGTGCAAGGAGGTCTCGGATAAGGATAGCGCAATGAGGGCTCGGCACCGCTTGGCGGGCCGCCTCGGATCATCTCGCGTGGCGAATGCGACCTCTGAAACTTGATCGGAACGGTGTTTGAAGGGCCGGTCGGTCTGGCTACAGGTAATGATTGTGAAGAGAGCGGCAGACGATAGGTAGAGAGCAAGGTTTGAAGTAGTGCGTTGGTCGTTGAGAGAAATCGGTGCCTCAAATGGGTGCGCAATTGCATCCTTGGTCGGAAATGAGTGGTAATCTCGCACCAGTGTGTACACTCATTTTTGTACCATGTCCTTTTTCCTGCGTAGGCGCTATTTCCCGCGCAGACACACATTCCTCTACATGTCACTATCACATGCGCATTGCGCCGCAGGCTGGGGTAAAGAGCAGGGCTACATACTTCTTCCACCTGCCCGCGAGCGCGCACACATGCGGCTCTTGTCGTCCTTCGATTACTGCCTCTCTTCGAATGCAAAGTCGGCTGTGTATTCCTTCTCTACTCATTGTGCACATCGACTAAGTATTTTCTATCCACAAGCGACATGGTCATCATAAGCTCTGCCTGGAAAGCCGCACGATGATTGTCGCGCCGCGATAAGACGTTCCTTGAATGCGCAGCGTTCACACGGCTCGGAAGATATTTCCACGACCTGCGCTGCTTTCACGATCCGAGGGAATAGTGGCGCCTTCTTCACGACAAATTCGATACCCCAGAGACTCCAATGCTCGAACTCGACACTCTGAGCAGATATGCAAAGCATGATGCTCATGAGCCGCCAATTATGGGGCGATGCTCCGCCGCCGCCGCGGTCCAGGATGGATAATTGGCCGACCCTGCTATTCTCTTGGTGGGCCACATCGTGCTGCGCAGTCATTATCATCCTGAGGGTGACTGGACGAAAGATTCGAAGCGACACACTCTTTCGGGAGGACAAAATAATGTTGCTGGCTTTGCTTCCGCTGTTTGCTCGCATGGTTCTGGTCCATTTCATCCTCCTCTATGGGACCAACAACATTCAGACCGAGGGCAACACCTTCACTGATATCCAGATTGAGCATCGCGTCTTGGGCGCCAAACTAGTTCTTGCTGCACGCATCTCGTATGCCATGTTCATCTGGTTATGCAAGCTGACGGTGTCGGAATTCTTGAAGCGCATCACGTTGCGAATCTGGCGCCGGAGCTATGAGCTGACTCTACACGGGATTCGGATCTTCCTCCTCTTGACCTTCATTGCTGTTGTGATCTCTACTCTCACCGAGTGTCAACCTTTTGAGGCTTACTGGCAAGTCATCCCGGATCCGGGTCCGCGCTGCCGACAAGGCTACGGCTTCTTGTTGACGATGTCAGTCTGCGACATCATCTCCGACATCCTGCTGATCGCCTTTCCGATCCCGGTCGTGCTGAATTCTGGTCAAATATGGAAGAGGAAGCTTCAGATGGGAGCGCTGTTCAGCCTATCGGTCATCATGATCGCAGTGACTGCTACTAGGGTGCCAATGGTCATCGAGAAGAATGGGCTGCAGCAATATCGCTCGATGTGGGCTTCGTGTGAGATTCTCGCTTCCGCAGCCGTCTCCAACGCAGTCATCCTGGGCTCTTTTGTCAGGGGCAAGGGCACCAAACGAAACAAATACCGAACAACAGACATGGCCGACAGCATCGAGCGTGCACCTACACGGCGACCGACTGTCGCCACATTACACCCTGGCGACAGCGATGAGGATCTGTTTCGTGATCTCGGGTACCGTGTGCCTGAGCATTTGCGCGAGCATGCAGAGGATGAGACTATGACCTCCTCAGTTGCATCAAACACCACACGTACGGAGCGATTCGCTCACGACGAAGGCGCTGATAGCGGGACGACCTGCGGAGGCAGTGATAGTATGGACAGTCACTTCGGACCCAAAGGTGAGGTCTCGCCTCTCGCCGATCTTGAGAGTCGTCGGGTCGATTTCTTCGATGTTGGCAATCTCCTCGACCGTCCAACCCAACGTCCACAAAATAGCCCAGCCTCGACCTCTATACCTCTCGAGAGGCTAGAGCCGGCTCTGAGCGCATCCGCTCATCTCGAAACTCGCGGAGCAAGCTCGTGGGCATTCCTGCAGGACATGGGCGGCATACTTCACGCCGATCATCGCAGCCATTTCTTTCCCTCGCGTCACTCCTCACCACATCGTCCGACTGGCCCGCCACCCACTGGTGTTCCCATCCCGAGATTGGAACGGCATGAGACACAGATTTCCCTGCAAGATGTCGGTGGCCTCCTGCGGCAAACCCACGAACGAGAGCCAGACGACTCTGGCGGTCTAAGGGACGAGCACCAACCAGGTTGATAGAAGAGACTACGCATACAGCTATTAATCTCATCACCAAAAACTTGGTCAGCGACACGATTTGGACCCACGGCCCACTCGGCGTCATGCCGACTGCTTGTGTCGTGTTGTCATCTCGGAACTCTAACGAGACTGCTGCTATCTCGAGCTCTGCGGACGAACCGACACATGAGAACATGAAGTTCTACGACACTGCGATTCATCAGAGATTGTCAACTGCGTGTGTGCATGCTAGTCAGCCAAGAACCTCACTCCGATGCCTAGCACCACAATCTACATGTCGACATCAAACCACTCACTTTACGAAACCCCAACCTAGCCATCTTCACTGCAATTAACTTCGGAACAATTGGCTAGTTTGGGCTTTCATAAGGTGCCACTGCATCCCCAAGACGACGAATGCGCGTCTTTCCATTCGACGAGACTACTCGCAACGATCCTTTGCTCGTATAGATTTTCCATCACCCATGAAACGGCGGCGTGCGCTGGCTCACTCGATGGTGCGTGACCTGTGGGCACGGGCCCGCGTGAGCATCGTGAACTTTCTTGACCGCTCCCCTCTCTCGGCGCTGCTGCCGTCGTCCCCATCTGGGCGACCGCCCAGGTGGTCCGGTCTGCCCTGACGTCATCACGAGTGAGACGAGGGCACATGCGCCGCGCAGGGAGGCGATCCGTTCGGGACAGTCTGATTTCGATCCCTTGGTATCGTGACATTCGGATCTACTGTACGCCGCTCGCTCCGAGCCAGAGCCGTGGGACAGGAGCAACGTTCGAAAGGGTTCAGCTGGAGGATCGGCGCAGACGCATAGGAGAGCCGAGATTGCGAGACCCAGAATCAGTGATATTCTTCGAATGCCATCATTACCCCGGAATTGAGCCACGCTCGTCCTGATGGATGTCCTACGGTTAGATAGCCGAAATGAACAGATCCGGTCACAACGATTGATCGACAATTGACAGATAAGATTCGATTCAATGGACAATCGGTATTGATTTTGCCTTGTATGTACTCGAGAAAACGCGCGCACCAAAAACCCGCGATGAAGCGTGTGTGCGAGAGGGGGTATCAATAACTTTAGCAGAAAGAATTTCAAACAGATAGCCGCCCGGATGATTCCTTTCCGTCATTTCCCCAAACAGACATAACAGCGATATAAGAAAAAAAAAGTGACGAAAAGAAAAGGAAGCGAAGAAAAAGTCGTCGCCGATCGGTCGAGAAAGCGCACCCTGTTTGTGCAAAAAAGTCCGCGCTGCATCGGGTTTCGTATAAGGTCGCAAAAGTGCGTCCACTGTGTAAGCTCTGGCGCATTGCGAGGAGAAAAAAGCGGCCTCGGTCGAGATCGACATGTTCAACCAGTGAATGTCGACGGACCTAGAGAAGATTTCCCGCAGGAAAGTCGAAAGGAGAATCGTTGTATGAATGGGTCATTCGGTTGCGTGAAGTGTTCAAGCGGACTTTTCGGCTGAGAGGGTCGATTCGCTTGCGTCGGTTAGGGTAGTGAGCAGGCGATCGCGTATATCATCGCTCGATTGTGCGACGTCCTTGTCCGTGTCGTCTCCGTCAATGGTACATGAGGTTCTTCTGGGAGCGGACTTCTCGGCAGCGAAGTCACATCGTTTCTCCTCGACGACCATGAACAGACTGACGATGGCGCCAGCCACAGCGACCATTGCATTCACCCACCAGGGGAGGCCAAGAGTGTTGATTGACAAACCGGCGGATTGCACGAGACCTGAAAGTGTCGGTCCAATAGCTCGCGCGCCACTAGCTGCAGCTCCGGCTGCGCCATTCAGTGTGCCCAAGACCTTGCTGGAAGGCGCCGCATTTGCCAGCATGATACTGCTGGAGGGAAAAGCAAAGGCCTGCGAAGTCACCTTCCAGATCAAGAGGATGTAGACAGCAGGAAGCTTGAGCGCATCGGGCAAGAGCGTGACGTAGGGCACCACGAAGTAGAGGAAAGGGTAAAATAGGACCGCGCATCGGTAGGACCAGAGACTGCCGATTCGCTTGTTGACCCAGGGGAAGACGACAATGGTAATGACCATCTGGATGATTCCTTGGACTGAGAGGATGCCGCCGATGGTCTTTGTTGGCAGAGCGAAACCGCCCATAAATTGGAATGGCAGGTGTGATGGAATATCTGATTTCGGGAGACTCAGGAGCACAGGGAGAAGCTGCTCGGCTGAGATAGTGTGGCTGTGGAGATGTGTTAGTGCACTACCCGAAACAATTATGAGAACGGAATTTCTTACAATGCCAGAATGCCGAACCCGAGGATGTTCAGCATCACCTGCTTCGTGAAGGCTCTGGAAACCCCCCTTTTCGCCTTGACGAGCTGCTCGGCTCTGCTGAGCGCTTCCTCGACATCGATCTTGTCGTTCTTCGATTCGAGCAGCATAAGCGAAGGCCGTGGCGTCGCTTCGAGTGACCTGTATGCAGGTAGAGCTGGTGAAGGCGCATTGCTTGTGTAATCAGGGAGATCATCGTCCGTCAACGGGAAAGTCTCACTTGCAGACTCGGCCATCTCGTCCGCCAGGAGAGACTGATCTTTTTCGTTCGACAGGCCATCTCGGCGGTAGTCCTTGTAGAAGCATCGGATGATCGAATCGCCGATTTCGAGTCCCAGATCTCGGCGATCCTTCTTGTCTTCATGCGTTTCTTCCATGAAAAGGAATCCGACGATCAAGCAGAAAACGACCACGCCGGTGCAAACCAGATTAGTCAGCAAATAAGGGAATTTGTCGAAAATGGTTCCAGGTTGGAAAGTCGAAGGGTAGTTTCGAACAGGGTCGGCCAACGCGCCTCCCAGACCAGAGCCAATGAAAGAACCCAAACACCACACTGTCGGCATGACAGCGAAAGCGCGCGCTTGATGTGCCTTGACCTTGACGACCTCGTTGACGGTCGTCTGCAAGACGCCAATGTTGCCGTTCAAGGCGCCGCCAAGCGCACGAGCGAAGAGTGCGACCGCCAAATTGGGCGCGAATCCGAAAATGATCATGCTGACACCAGTTCCAGCGAGTCCAGTGAGCAAGACCGGCTTGCGTCCAATGCGGTCACTGAGGTTGCCCCAAAATCCAGCGCCGACGCATTCTGCAGCCGCAAAGACGGAAGTGACCAGGCCTGCGAATAGAGCTATCCGGTTGGCGTCGGAAGTGATGTGGAAGGACTCGATCATGAAGTAGACATAAGGAAAAATCGACATAAATGCAATTGGCTCACATATCCGACAGATGCCTGGAGAGTTGTCAGCATTGAAGGTGAAAGATGATGAACCTGCCACAAGCAACGTACCCAAGACTAGTAGTTGTCTTATTGGGAACGCTGTGGAAGCTGTGCCATCGTGTGCATTTGATGGTGCCATGACACCAATTGGTCAGGAATGACACGGTCGATCAGGACAAAGTTCGGCCACTCGGACCGTCGTCTTTGTTTGGCAAGCGCTCGAGGGTAAGCAAGTGTTGGAGTTGACTACAAGATGTCGTTGACTTCGCTCGATGTGAGAAAAGAACGGTGCTGAGTGTGGTCCTTAAAGATGTCGTGAGTAGATGTCGTGAGCGTGACGAACAGAGGTGAGGTGAGGTGATGGTCAAGGCAAGTTGATATGACTGTTGGTGTTTGTCAGGTTGTAAGGTGGACAGCAACAACGGAGATGTCGACGACACGTCAAGATATATGTAACGGTAGTTGAGTGAGAGTCAGAGTGACATGACCAGTGGCAATGGGTGATGATGGATGTCGGATAAGGACAAGAAAAAAGGCGGGTGAGATTGTGTTTAAACTCTCGCACCATGCACGCAAGTACATACACACACACCCATTCATTCACTCACACACACGCGTGGTGTGTTCCGATGCGACGATACCTTTGGCCGCGACTAAAGTAGATTCGGGCATCCACTTTCACACTTGGGATGTCATGGCAGGTCCGGCAAGAGCGGCGGGCAGTTGCGAATAAACTCTCCCGACAGTAGCGGCCGTGAACCTCCCTGCCCAAAAAGGTGGTGACGGATGGAGGGTGCACGAGCAACGATGGTACAGTACAGGACAGAACAGTACAGTACATACACACTACACACTACAGTCCTTCAAGTCCTGGACAAATCTACACGAAACAGTACAGCCCAGGTACACATATACATCCGATGACGAGGGGGATCGGGGGAAGACGATACCCGCGGGGGATGATTGCCGCTGCGGCTTCTGCTGATGTTGTGATGAGGATGACGGTGATGGCGATGACCCACACACGACGGGCTGTACATTTGTTTGTCAACTCCACATCAAGCGCAAGCCATGCGGACAAGCCCTTGTACCGTAACAACAGGTCGGTGCAAGTTAGTAATAATGCACAGTCCTGCAGTGACTTCGAAACATGTATGTGGTGTGGGCAGGGGTCCTGTGCGACTCGAGCGGACTGGACAGTACCTGTATACATCACGGTCGCGAATGCCAGACCTCCCCGGTCTCCCCGTCGGTGAGGAGTTTCGCGTTCATTGGGTCGCCTTTTTCCCTCCTTCGTGCGGACTCTTCTCCTGGTCATGCCCATGGATGGATCGGGTTGGATTGGTCTGTGTGCCCAAGTGAGCGTGTGCCTTCCGTTCCAACGATGCGCGCGCTAAAGGATTTCCGGTGCCGTGGAGCAGTCAGGCGATCAAAAGAGCCGAAGCGACGGTTTGGAATGAAATAATGACACCAACGACATGGGAGGGCCGGAGGAGAGGTTGCAGGAAGATGGACAAACCCGCCGTCACAGGCAGAGATCACGGTCGTTTCAGTACCGCACTGGCTAGATGCGATAGTGCAGTGTTCCACCCAATCACGACCACACAAACACAAACACGACTGTTTTTTTTTCCATCCGAGATGCCTGCTCACGCTACGATGCGCACTACGAGGGCGACGTGCGAAGATTTCCTTGCCCCTGGATCCGGCACCCACAGTCAAGCGTCGAACTCGACCAAAGAACAGCGGGATGGCGCGGGCGGCAGCACGGCAGGGCGGGCGGATGGGCGGATGGACAGAGACAGGCAGACGGGTAGACCCCGGGAGGAAGGCACAGGAGCCTTCATCAGGCCTTGGTGTGGGTCTCCAATTGCCGGCCTTGTGCCGATAGGATTGGTGCTGACCGAAATGCCAATTGTTTGTGATGGTGAATGAGCGATAGGAATTGGGCTTGGGGGAAGGCGGCGCGGAGGTACGGGACGGACACTAGAGAACTCGAGACAATGTGGTGACAGACACTCCGGTGGCAGATCCAGGAACGAGGGGAGAGGAGGTGGAAGAAAAAGGCGTCGTTGGCCGTCAAAGACAGGCCGGCGTCAGGCCCGTAGACCGAAGTCCGCGCTAATGGCATCGAATTTTAAACCTTACCTCGAGCCTCATCCTCGCCATTGGCGAAGCAGGCGTCGTTAGGGCGCTGCCGAACCGCCCGCAGTAGAGATTTTAGGCCCGTTTCCTGTGATGATCGTAACGGTCAATGAGCCCAACTGTAAACTGGTGTGCCTGCGATGCCGAGGGTCTGGTTCACCGACGTAGGTATGCGCATCCAGTTGCAATCACCCAAGCACAGTGCATTTGGCATTTTGCGACTGTCATCATTCGCGTCCGACTCCAGCCGAGCCGCCTCCTGTTGGCATTGTGGCGTGGGCGGAACCAGGAGCCGGAGCTCCCCGGCAGAGGAGTATCTCTATTCAGCCTGCGACCACTCTATCCGGACACACACAGTACGAGAGCTGGCGAGCCCGTGAGGTCCTGAGAACGGCATCGGAAAAGGCATGGGGATAAGGCGGCTCCAGGTGTGCTGAAAATCGTGCGCACAGTGAAATCCATGGATCAATTTGCCCGACCACGGACAAGCAACGTTGCCCTGAACCACACTCTGCAATCTAAGCGCGAGATTTCGTTCGCCCAAAACAGATCTTCTCGACTCGCTTCACTCCTCGGGCCTGACTTCGAATTAGCATGCGTCGCATAGTTAATTTGCGAGGGCAGTCCGGTCGCGAAGGATCACGGCTACTCTACACCTCTGCGTACGTGGTCATCCTCGAGAAGCTCTCAATATCACCTGGAGCGTCACAACTACGGCCTGTGTGACAAACCGTGCATTTCCCACTTGCGAGATGTGCGTGGGTATGAAGAATGTCGCCATGCGGTCCTTTCGCGGGGAACCACCCAATCCAGAAAGATCTCTTTGTGACGATTGCTGACCGATAAATGCTCCGGTGTGATCGCACGATAACCCGCGCGCATGCATCTGATGCACGTTCGACTTCATCGCAAGGCCCGCGGGATGTCAGCGCACATCTAGGATCCTATAACCCTGTAGCCGTCGCGACCTCCCAGGGTGCGATCGTGAGATGCCTGAAGTCGTCGACTTTGTCGACGCCCTGATGCAGCACTCATGCGCCGCTTACCAGAAAGGGCAGGGAATGCATCACGGCGCATCCGCGCTGCACGTACATGATGCACGTCCGTCCGCGGCTCGATGTAGTATGGGGTGCATTACATCCCCATCGTGCCCATGTGTGCTGGAGAGACAGTAGCTATCGATCTCAGCCCTATTCTTTTCAGGCATCACAGCAGTAGGCGGTGCAGGACGGGCACAGAGGAGGAAAATCCATGCAAGGCGCGTGCGATCGTCGGATCCAAGCGCGCCTGATGCGAGTTTTCGGACCAGCAGCGATGACGCCCGCAGACGCGGATTGCAAACTTCTAACAATCTATAGATATGCCAATGCTCTGATCAATACAGCAGGTCTATTCGGACATTGGGGGGGCAGCGGCTCGTCGTCGCATTAGATGTCTGGACATTCGGCAGCGAACGATGAACCATATCGCGTGCATTCACAGGTGAGCCGCAGAGCGCTGAGGAAGTCAACGGGGATTAACGCTGACCAACAATCACTAGCACGACAAGCCGCGTATTGCGGGTCTCCTTCTCGTCTCGGCATGCTCGAGGCAACATGAGCGTAGTCCGCGAGCGAACGAAACGCAATATATGAATAGATTGATGTGCCTCGGGCGCGCGTGATAGGGATGACATGCGAGGCAAGTCGCCTGTGGGTAAGCCCCGTGATCTGTCCGTCTCCATCAACAGAGAGTGTCAAAGAGCGGTCAGCAGCGGTGTGCATAATAACGATAAGGCGATACGAAGAAAGATTTGTAAAGAGAAAGAAAAAAGGTGTGGGAGGCAAGCGGCCTCTCGAACAGCGTCTGCAGGGTGTGATCCTGAGGATCCATGGATGATAATAATAATGTTGATGATGATGATGATGATGATGATGACGATGCTGCTGGTGATGATGTTGCGAATGGAGAGGGGGAAGTTGCAACCCATCTCACTCCCGTCACCACCTGGGCACCGCGAGGAAGGGTGACACGGGTGAGCACGGCAAGGGACGCTATCGACGCAGAGGCACAAGCTAGCGCCCATCGCTCACCCAATGCCTCGGGATCTGACAAAAGCCATCATCGGGCAGTACTGTCGTGTAGTGTAGGCTGTAGCTGTGGACCGCCCAGCACCGCCCTCATAGTCCCGTCGTCAAGTGTGACTGTACCCTGCTGGGCAACTTTTTCCGCGGTGGTGATGAGGGTGACGGCGCTGGTCAAGGGGCAGCCACGCACCGGCGGCAGCCTCCTCCCCGGCAAATCTAAACACACCTGCACCAACTGAAAACTCGTTGTGCGCCACCCAAAGGACCGGTCCGCTGGGCACTTTCCGCGCTCCATTCACATCACTGGATTGTTCAATGCGTCCGTCGTCAACATCATCAGCCTTATTAGCGCCCGTACAGTAGTTCAACAGGAGATGTTGTTCCTGCCCGTGGACGGCACTGACTATTATCACTCTGCTGTCTACGCGTTCCTGTGGTGCATCAATTCAAGCCACCGCTCTATCCTCTACCGCCTCCTTGCCCCGTCGCCCTGTGTTATCATCGTTGTGCGCCGCACCACCGCCTCGTGTTGCCGCCACCAATTCATTTGCCAGTCTTGCGAGACATTGAGCATCGAACAGCTATGCGTGGCTCAATGCACTTGGCTCAATGCACATGACTTCGGCACTGAAAGCTGACCATCTCGTCACACCGACTCGAATCCCTTTCCAAAACCTCCTCCACGATGCGCCGTATGTACAGCATATGCAATCGGAACACTCCGCGCATCGATTGGCAGCACGGGGGCAGTCACAGCCCGCATCCTGCACGCCACCACTCCACGCGGATCAGTAACATTCCGATGCTGCCAACTCGTAATGGACGGCAAGGCGCATCCATGCGCTCTCGCGTGGGTGAGATCGATGCTTGTCTCTACTGGCTGGGACTGTCTATAACGTGGATCTGGTGAAGTAGACGTTTCGGAGAAGACCAGCATGGACGAGTGACGAATTCCGGCCTACACATCCATGCCGTCTGTATGTCCGTCACACCTGACTGAAATTCATGACTAGCCAACTTCGTCGAGTGACATAGGGTAGCGTATCGAATATGCCAGACTTGGACGCTCTTCGCCGGGTTGATCGATGGATAGCGACACTCTCTCTCCCAACCGCAGCCAATCTCGATCCTCTCATCAAGCGTTGGTAAACACACTGCCCAGGTGAGCAGGACGGAGGCAATGATCGACCCCGCGCGAGGTCCGTGAAGGTTATGATTGCAGGGACAAGCTGTGGCACCCAAAGCGATCTAGCCAGCGGATCAACGGCCCGACCGAGTTGGTGGTGGCACCATCGGACGCCTTTTGGTCCTGTCACACCGGAGAACGGCTTTCGGTCGCCAATTCCTCGCTGCGAGGCTAGTGCGATTGACGATAAACCGACGACAAATCGTGTTCCCTGCTGCGTCAAATCTGTCCAGATCGATCCTGCCATCAGGACTGGACACCTGCATAATGTACACGATCTCCTAGACTGCTGCATTCTCGGCTGAGCTTCAATATGTGCGCGCCGGGGAGCTGGTTCGAAGTGTGGTTGGCGTAGTGCTCCACTGCCTTGTCATCCCACGCACTGACTCCTATCCTAGTTGGAATAGTAATGTGCTACAGTTCGTACCAATCGCATCCCTCTGCCACTAGAAGTCCAGCGCCCTTCAAGTGCCGAGCGACTGGGTCGCCGTCCCAAGACGGGCGTTGCAAAGGAAAACGCTGGAACGCTTCGTAAAGGATACGACCAAACGTCATTTCCTCCATCATCATGCAAGTCATCTCCCTGCTGCGAGACACTACCCACACACATATACTTTCATGGCCACTCCTCGTACCCTGAAGGCGTGGAATTCAGATGAAGATCGCCGCGCGTTGTGGAATGTGGGCTGTGACTTCCATGGTTCTGGTCAGGATACTGTGGGCGATGCCAATGTCCCTGCTCAAGAGGGTCGTCCCGTGGTGTTCTGAATTCGCTCCTTCCTCAGGCATCTTACTTTACATCTTACCGCCTCTTGCTTTGAGATATCTCAAGTCGCCTGACATTGCTGAATCTTTGAGACCATCGATAGAGTCATTCTCATTCGACAAAATGACTGCCGCCCAGTTGTGTTTCGGCATGTTTGTATTCAGGAAGGTCGGCACAAAATATCTTTGCCAACCCGGTGCACTTCATAACCCTAATGATGTCGCTGTATCATGACCCTGAAAGCTCTTGCGAGACGTGCATGCCACATAATAAACTTACAACCTACTCGCTATAGAAAACATCGTCGACCTTGAATACAGGTACACGGATCCTATAGACCGATCGACAATGATCCATGAGGAGGTCCAGGGGTCGTCCGCTGGTAGATGCCCTGCCGTGAACAACACAGAATCTCTACCGGCCTGTGGCAGATTTCGCTCGGATGAATTTGGGTTGATGGCCACTTTCGTTATGGACCTACATGGTGTATGGACCAACCAGCAGTGACTCGTGCAATGTCTATGATGTGACTGCTGTGATGAGCCCCGTCTGAACTCGCAGGCACCATGGTCTACTGATGAGGCAGTTGCGTAGAAGTCGGCTGTTTCCGATGATGCGCGTGCGTTCGTTTCAAGGCAAAAGATTCGTCCGAACGTCAGCAAATTGGCGTACATGGGAGTTCGTATGGCTGACAACAAGGAGGTAAGAACCACTTTTGGAACGTGCACAACGTCCAATTGCCCGTTGACAAATCATTGCAGAACATTGGCCCTCAGCGCCGTAGTGGAAGCCGTACGTGGACATCATCCGGGGATGCAACTAGATTTCCGGCTGGCCCACGACAGTTGCATGCATCAAATATCCTACAATACCATGGTATCGCAACTCCGAGCCGAACTCCGACTGGCGTCCAACAGCACTCCTACGCCCCAAGTTGCCGCCGGGCAGATTCACCCTTGAAGATTCGCAAGACCCGAGAGAATCTGAGGCACGCCGTCCTCTGCTCTGACGTCCTGCCGACATGCGAGCAGGTACTACAGCATGCATCGAAGAGTCTCGGCAGTGCTTCTGGGAGCAACATAGCAGGCGTGGAGATGCATAAACGCTCGCGCGACTCCTGGTCAGGTCCGCCAATGATCGATTCCGGATTGTCAACGCCACAACAGTATTCCGTTCAGAGCATCAGACCATTGTCACCTACTATCGTAGCTTCTACAGAAAGCAGAGTGCGGAGGCAGAAGTCAATCAGTCAGCGCGTCCTCACGAGAGTCAAAGAAGGATTCAGTGCTCGCACAAAAGCGACGGCAGATTCAAATCGAGCGACAGATCCTGAGGTGACACTTCTGCGACGGCTTTCGGCGAAGGCTAAGCAGACTCTTACCGGTGACGCTAGCATTCGAAGTTACGAGGATATTGCAGGTCTTGCTGAGAGCTCAGATGACGCAGACTTTGCAAGATCTGATGCGCCCACAGAAGGACAAGCTCCTTCGAACTCGGACATACCTAGCTATTATTACATGACGCGGAGCTCCAGCATCATGACCTCTTCGTCCCGGACCAGGTCGTCCTCAGATAGACTCGCCTCTCCAAGCACCCCGTCGTCGTTTTCGAGCAGTCCCTTGTCGGATTCGGAACCAACTCCGAAGCCAACCAATCGGCAGCAAAAGCGCGACAGTCACGGCACAGATGCAACATTATCCGTAGGCATCCCTCACATGAGCTTGAACATATCGGCAAGCCTCGACTCTATCGATACCACAAGCGCGGGGCATGTATGGGTTTCTATAGAAGCTAGCGTCACCACGTCTCCAGTAGCTCTGAGAACTAGTCGATACGAAGGATACAATATACAGCCACCACAGAAGTCCTTGGATGCCGTCGTCTTGCTGTCCTCAGATTGGGCTTACGGAGCCGGGATTATTGCGAAGGAGTGCCTCTTCCAACTCTTCTCACACCTGGACATACCTGAAGATAGGCTTGCCGTCATCTATTATCACTCGCACCTGCCTGTTGATGATCACATGAACCTGCCCTGCACGGTGGCACACCCATTCGGAAGTCCGGACTTTGCTTACTGCTGCGAGCAGCTTGAGCCGTATCTGCATGATGTTGCGATACATGCTCCTCAAACATGCGGGCCAGCTTTGCATCATGCGTTGAACGACCTGGCCAGTCGTGACTTGCAGCATGACTCATTAGAGACGTTTGTCGTCGCCCGGGACCCCAGTGCTCTTGCTGACGCCTTGCTCGAGACTAAAGGTTGGCCAGCGCATCAGATCAGGATAGGTCTGCATAACTCCCGGTTTGTACCAGCTCATCCGGCTCGGTACTCGAATGATTGGAGGATACATCTCCGCACTTTACAAGATGTTCGTCCATATGTCTTCGACGAACTATTTGGAGGCTTGCGTCGTCGGGACTGCTGGGACTCCATCTCCAGTCTCCACTTATGCTGCAGGCCCCTGTCAGACTGTACTGTCATCGAGACCATCGGACAGAAAGTCCTCAAGAACCTGCGCCCGGGCCAGTCAAGTCAATTATTTGTGAACCTATACGTCCCACAGCTGAACATAGAGCTGAGACAGCCTATAGAAGATTCCGAGATGGGTGCGATTTATGCCGAGGTGGAAAGTATGTTGGGAATCTTGACGACGGACGTACTACGGGTTGAGGCAGAGTATCGACATCCCATCCTTCCGTCAGAAAACATCATTCGTCTGCAGCACACCTTCAGCGTCAAAAGACCTCAGAGCGGATCGGTATGGTTGTCAGGGGCCGCTCAGCCAAATGAGAACGTGCGTGTCCCGGGCGCGTTAGCGCATTTCATTGCTACTCACTACATGCCAAGCCATGGTCTGAAAATGATCAATCGATGGCTTCCGCCATCGGCCCCATTTGCAAGGGATGTACAACAAGCTCGGGAATATCTGGAAAGTCTGATAGCACGGCAGAGGTACGCCGTGGAGACACAATTCCCGCATGTTACTATACATGAAACCGGTGAAATAAACCAGGATTACAACGGCATATATGACCGACAAAGGACGCCGAGCTTGACGCACATGGAAAACACAGTCCCGCCATACTGTGAACTTTCGGAGACGTCGCCGACGGACCCCTCTTCAAGGCGTCCACTGCCAGCATTGCCGGCGGAGGCACACCCAGACAAGCAAGAAGGTCCGGCGCGCGAAGCCCGCGATTCTGCGCGGGAGGTTTGGGATCAGCGCATCCGACGCAAGTCGCTTTCCTCGCAGCAGATGATGCGACTGACCTCGGACGTGCAGCAGATGGAAGCGAGCGACGATCACCTGCGGGTGCTGCATAATAAGGCGTTGACAAACAAACGCAGTATCGGGGTCGAGACACTAAGGGCTTGGCAGATGGAGCGAGCGGCAGATAGGAATGCCGCTGACGACCAGAGAAGTCCACCCTGGCTGTGAGAAACAAAGCATGTACAACTCCGGGGCTGTGGGAGAAAGTATGTACAATTTCCGGCTGCAGCTATGTGTAATCCATGCATGTCAGACGATACGTGATGATATTTGTTTGTCTTCAAGTCACAGGAAACCTTGTGGAGGCGGCTGCATAGCGCTGATCATGTGCATTTTCGACACGATGTCCGTCGTAGGATCCATCCGGGCCACCGTCTGTCACTTGCAAAGCTTCGGGAGCTATCCTGATCCAACGGCGGAGCTGCCGAGAATGCCTCTAAGCCGGGATGCTGGAGTCGAGACACATGAAATGTGCTGATCAATTTGTAAGGTCCATTGCCCTGTGGCGTGTGTCGGGTGTGAGTGGTGCAGCTTCTAGCAAGCGGGGAAGCATCCGGGTCTGCAGCATGCGAGCATCGCCTCATGCAACATGCATAATGTATGAAACGCGCTTGGTTTTGTGGTGCAAATAAGCTCACGGCATGTCATGATATGTGCCGGCGGACAGTCCGAGACCAGTTCTTGACTTTACGGGCCGCGGCGCTATAGAAATTCCGATGTGCTGCTCAGCCTTCTTGTGGCGCCTTGTACAATTGACATCGGTCTTTTGATCGGATCGATATGTTCTACTTCGTCTCGTCGCATTTCCGAGAGGACCGCAAGATCTTGAGTGACGTGTGGGTGTACTGGATGTCAGCACCAGAGTCATTTGATGTATGGGACCGGTGAGCCCGCAACATGTCATCAACATGGTCCCACATGTATTACTGCATGCGTGGCACCACTCATGTCTTGCGTTTGATCACATCCATGCCGTCCGGCAAGTATCGTCGCAGCACTTCCGGAACGATCACGGAACGTGATTGCTCGTCCCAGTGAGTTTCGAGCAAACAAGCCAGCACTCGAGGGACAGCCAGTGCGGTACCATTGACAGTATGTGGCCACTCCAATTTTCCTGCACTGGTACCCTTGATTCGAGTGGCCAGGCGACGGGACTGGTAATCTGTACAGATGGAAGCCGATGTGACCTCGCCGTAGCCATCGTTGATCGTGGTGCGGGAGGGGAAGAACGCTTCAATGTCCACCTTTCGATTCGCACTGGCTCCCAAATCAGCAGACGGCATCTCAAGCACATTTGCGTGCAATCCCAGAGATTGCAGGATCTCCTTTTGTATCTCAATCATCTCGCTGAAAACGTGATCCGCAGGCAAAGCATCTGTATCAAAATCTCCAAAGCGGTCGCCATTGTTGTCTGGCTGTGGAAGCGTCCAAGCGAACATCTCAACTTTTGTGAACTCGTGCACGCGATACAATCCTTTGGTGTCAACTCCTCGGGCACCAGCTTCGGCACGATAGCATCTCGAGGCACCTATGTATTTCAAAGGCAGATCGCTTGCCTGTAAGATTTTGTTGGCCTGTGATCCAGCGAACGGGATCTCAGCGGTGCCTGTCAGAACCAAACTTGATTTCTCGGGACCGCTGTCAGAATCAGCTTGAGCGATGTGGTAGATCTGTGTCTCGCCATTCTGATCTCGCGGCATGAAGCCACAGGCGCTCGCGATGTGCGAGTACACCAGAGAGGGGGGCGTCATGATTTTCCAGCCTCGTTTCATGGCGACCGAGAGAGTGTATTGAACCAGCGCCTGCTCCAACAAAGCGCCCTCGTTCTGAAGGAAATACCAGCCCCATCCACTTGTCGTCGCGCTGGCTTCGAAGTCAAGGATTCCTAGCTCTTTTCCAATTTCGACATGACTCTTGCCAGGTGTACCTGCGGCGATGCCCGGCAGCTGTCCAACGGTTTCCAAAAGCTTCGGGTTTTTGCCAACAGGTGTGTTCAAGCAGCTGAGGTTTGGGAGCTCTAGCGCAAGCTGTTCAATCTCTTCCGTCCATTGTTTCTCTTTGCTCTCAATCTCGGCCAGCTGGGCCTTGATATCTCGCGCCTCCGCGATCCTACCATTTGAAGTCTCCTCATCCTCTGTTCCGCTGTCGGGCCGTCGACTGAGTGCCTTTCCGAGTGCATTGCTACGCTTCCTCAGGTCAATCGATTCGCGCTGTTGATGGATCAAGCGCTCGTGAAGCTCAAGAATCTTCCATCCATTTCGTGCGAAAGGCGTGTAATTGCGATCCTTACAATTCTGCTCGTACAATCCTGGGTTCTGGCGAATGTGCTTCAGGTTCAGTGTAGGCTTTGGCGCAAAAGACGGCCTCGAGAATTCTCGTCTGCAGCTTGCATGGTTCCTGATGATTGAGATGTTGCGAACATTCACATTGGTGAAATACCACTTCATGGTAATGACGCGCGCAGTTCTGTCGATTTGATGCAATGTCACGCTGCTTAGAGCTTGCAGACGAGCCTCGGGGTCTAAATTCGTGCCGGAAATCTTTCCGCGTCACGCTTTTGCGCGCAGTCACGAGGCGCACATTGGGTAACCCGTGTGCCCAAAAGAACGCATCCCAACAACATGGGATATAATTTTGCATAGTATTACAAAGAGTGAGTCATCGATGATTATATCATGACCACTACAACGAGATCTCGTTTGCGATCTTGCGATATCCAGGCTGATCCAGGTCTTTGGGGTACAAATCAGATAATGATACATTTCGACAATGCAGCGATGTTTGCGTTATGTACAGGAGCTGCACCTCTTGATGACCCTGTGGCCTCGTGCCTCTACCACTGAAACCTCATTTAGATAGTCTTGTTGTAATGATCGCCCTCTCCTTGCCTCTCGGGCATGGCTTCGGAGGTCTTGCGGTCTTCATCCTCGAGGACTTCAAGCCGTGCTGCCTGAGTCTTGTCTTCAATAGCGATGATGTCCTGCTCCAAGGACATTGCATCTGCATCAACCTGCCCGTTGGCGGCGTGGTCCATATCGGCAACTCCGCCAGTGGCATCCGCGTCGACGTTCTTGACATCATCATCGTCATCTGCATTCAACTCCTCTTTCTCGGCAGCCGCGTCCTTCTCGACAGCTTCGCCTCCTTTCGAGGCAGCTTCATATCCGGTTTGCTTTGGGTCACTGTGATTGATGAGAGGTGGCTCCTCATTGAATAGCCGTAGTAGCATGGCCCGTCGATCTTCTTTAGGCAGCATCAGGTTGAGACTGTACATGCTGCGCCATAATGGAAGGGTGATATGTTCTCTGAAGCCATCCTCGCTGTCTTCCGGAGCAAGATCAGCCCTCAGCACGCAACATCCCATGCCAATGTCGCGGACTTGCTCGCCGATCTCGTTGAGATCTTTCCATCCGCCTGTTTCGTTTCCATCCTCGTCTTTGTAAGTCGAGATCTTCGGGAACATCTCGACCAGCAGCTTTCGAAGAGTTCTGCGCTTTGACATGCGAACGACGCGGCTATCGCCGACCCAACCTTCAATGATGGGCAGACCCTCAGTCTGGATGCGCCATCTACAAATATCTTGTCCTTGTGCGTCTTGTTTCATGAACATCTTGACACCGGCGTGCACGAACTTCATTCCTCGCTTCTCGTTGGTAGTAAGGATGTCCTTCACCAACTGTGACGAGTAGTAAATACCCTTGACGGGGTCGCCAGCTGGGTTCCTGACAAGGAATCGATCGCGAGGAAATGAGGAGTGGAGTTCGTAGAATTTGTAAATCGATTCTAGATCGGGATGCGTGGCCGATAAGAATTTGAAGGCTTCTTCTTGCACTGACTCGTCGCCTCGCTTCCTGCGAGTCACTGTCGCCTGCGCAATTTCGGGGGGGACAGGCTGTGCTGTGGCCGCTCCAACATCATCCGCTCCTTGGGATGCGATGGTGTCATCTGAATCGCCGACAATGCCAGCACCAGGGACATTGCCGCTAGCCTCAACTGCGTCGGTTACTGCAGGAGGAAGTGGCCAATGTTCGCGTCTCGTTGCATTTGCTTCCAAGGAAGCCTCAGATATGTCGTCGGCGAGCTTCGCCTTCTTCACTGGCAGCTCGTCATTCGGTTCATCCACGGCACTTCGCTTCGTTGTTGACGTTTCGAGAGGCTCTGCAGGTTCATTGGAGCGCTGCGCTGCCGAAGCATCACTGTTGGGAAGTTCAGGCACAGTTCTTGGTTCTTCTGCCTTGCCACTTGCGATGTCTTCCAGGAGCTCCGTGAATGCAGTCGATTGTGGTTCGGGTTTGGTGAATGTCCAATTCTTGTTGCCCGACTTGCTCTCAGGCTCAGGCTTGGCACGAATATCGCCGAGCTTCTCGAGCGCGGTGATGAAGAAGCCACCAGTATCCTGTTGGTGAGGATAGACGCGCATACAGTGCTCCAGGGGAATTTCCTCTTCTACCTCTGGCGGAAACATGCCAGGGACAACTTTACTGTCCTCGCCTTCGAATTGCACAGCCTCAGCCCAAGATTCGTAGATCTGACCGCCACGGCTCATGATGCTCCAGTCCCTCAGACCAGGCTTGCGAAGCAACCCAGGAAGCTGATCGGCGCAGTCCAGCAGCTTAACCTTCGCGACACCACCGCATCGCTCAATCGCCGAGGAGACCACGGCCTCGTTCTCCATGGGGTTAAGACTGCATGTGCTATAAACGACTCTGCCGCCAACCTTTAGCATTTGCAACGCGCGAACGAGGATCCTGACTTGAGTGGTATAAAGTCCCAAGCCGTTTTGAGGGGTCCAGTCTTTCCAGATGTTCGGATTCTTTCGGCATGTTCCGTCACCACTGCAGGGAACATCTGCAAGAATGCGATCAAACTTCAGATACTTTCCCTGTTTATTCAGGCCCTGCGAACCCGCTGGCAGCTCGATGGATGGGAACATGGTAGCGTCGTGGTTCATCACGATCATGTTCGGGGAATTCAATCGCTTGACCTGATGGACCAGCATTTGGGCTCGGCGATAGTTCACATCGTTCGCGACGAGCATTCCAGTCGCGCGCCCACTATCTTCGCCGAGATCGGGATTCCCATTCGCCGCTGGAGCTCCTGTTTTGGCACGTTCGATGGCCTGTTTGACGCGATCCTCTTCTCCAGCATGGATTAGCTCGATCAGCTGAGCGCTTTTGCTGCCCGGGGCTGCGCACAAATCTAGGACCGAGTGATGGGGTTGCACATCCAGCAACAATGGCGGAATCATGCTGACTTGCTCCTGTCGACTGATGTTGCCAACACCCGTCTCACTGACGAGAAATCGCTGGAACTCCTTGAAAGGCCCATACTTGCGCACGACATTCTTGGGGGTAGTCATACTGTAGGCCAATCCCTCCGGATACCACGGCATGGCTGTCGGAAGCTCGACTGGACGTCCTTCATGCGTAATCTCTTTGATCATAGGGAAAAAGCGAGTAACCAGGTTTTCGCGCACGCTCAAGGCATGACCTTTGGAGCCAGTGAAGCGGAACGAGTTGGGCAATTCCGTTCGAAGAGCAGCCCAGAAGGCAGCGCGCTCAGTTTCATCTGGGAGCAGGCCAATAGTGTTGTAGTATCTTTCAAACTTCTCGTTGCGTTTGTCAATGTTCTGGAACGAAACACGATTGTCTGGTTGAAAATTCCGTTGACCTCCACCTCTGCCACCACGACCGCCGCCACCACGGCCGCGTCCTTTACCGCGGCCGCCACCGCCGCGAGAATTATGGCCTCCTCGAGCCATGCTGGACGTTGTTCGATAAATTGATCTTGACAGATTCATTGGCTGAAAGTTTCAAAATCTCAAAAATACGTTGGCTCTCGACATGGTTAGCGCGAAGCAGGGAAGCAGCTTTGCGTCGACCCCATCATGCTCTGCGTTAATAACAGAACGTGCCTCTCGTGCTGCATCGATTGCCACTACGCACGCATTCATGATTCGTAGGCTCAGGCTCGAACTAGACTGTGGATGTTCGAAAGGACAATGCTCAATCTCTACAGTACTATGGTACGTAAGGCTGGGTTTAGAGGAAGACTGAATCCGACATCATAATTTCATATACATGCCAGTCGTCTGAGGCTGTGACAATTTCTCATCTTTGGTCGTTTTAGCTAGGGCATGCGATCGGCACAACGCCGTCCGGTGTCGATGGGAGTATTGCAATGAATCATCATATCAGAACACCAGCCTGCGCAGGATGTACAGACACCAGCCATGTGCACATAGAATCTCACGATTCGCTCGAGTTCTTCGACTTGCCGAACTCTTTACCACTCCAAGATCTGATCGCTGTGACGTCCCATCTCTTGAGGGCGATGCTGAGTTCATCTTCGGCTACACAATCCGTAATGACGACCGTCACGCAAAAGCTCATCACCATCGGCTGGCCATACCTTAGGCAACACTATAGTACCGTAGGGACCATATTTAAGATCGCGTAAATCGCTGCGACAAAGCCTCGCGATTCGCACCACGACCAGTTCGATTGGTCGCCGAAAAAAAGATCTCGTCCACGTGTTGGCCCACGAGGGACGGGATTTGCGGTAATCATGGTTAAAATGATCAATTCAAAAAGACGAGAGATTTCCCACTGATCTGGCAGTCACCGTTCTCTCAAATCTGACATTCATCCTCCAAGACTACCAAGTGCATCGTCGAGATGGTTGGTACAAAGATCTGTTCGCTTTTCGCCCTGGCGACTGTTATCCTGTCGTCTACCTGTGATGCAAGGGCCTGGCACTTCAACATCAACGTTCAGCGCTACCAGACCTACGATAATGAGACATACGCCTGCAGCAATAAGATCAGTCATGAATCACGCAAGTTGAAAGGCAATCACATCAAATGCTTCGCTTTCAAAGATGGAGGTGCTTGGAATGCCATGACGTATAGGTGGCACAAGCACTTCTGGATGCTACCTGTTGATTACTTCAGGCATCCTTCGTCTTACGGTATGCAGCGCAGAATCTCGTGGTCCAACGGTGCGGACTGACTCCTCGTGGGCAGGCTATTGCACAATCGCGGTATTTGAGAGCAGTGATTGCACGGGAGAGGCCATCGGCCTTATTCAAAATGTAAGAGAAATACCATTGCTCGTATGAGGCCCATCCTGACGCTCTCCAGGCCAACTCAGACTGGCAGTGGAGCAAATGCCACGGTGGATATTCGACTTCGGATGGCTACAGTGCCAGCGCCAAAAGCCTCGCCATGGACTGCTGCCCTTTCGGGAAGTGTACCGATCAGCAGACATTCAAAGACCGATATGGCGGTCGCATCTAACGACTCGGCGGTGATACCGATATCGAGAGAAGCATGCAATTAGGGTGACTCATGATTGTATTGCGATACGGACTGTTCAAATGCACGCGAGGCACAAGTCTCCAAGCAGAGTGCAAGGTTACGGGAGTACATTCGAGACGTCATGAATTTAACCCAAGCGTCTCGTGGAATTGGACAATGATATATTTGATAACTCCTGCAATCATACCAACTTTCGAAGCTCCTGGTCCTCAACCCGCGTGCTGATGATGATGGTGATGATGATCCAGCAAAGGACACTAGTACCGTGCCATTCGCTCATCAGTGACGGCAGCGCGACGGCAGTGAAGTGCAACCGGGACTGACGCAATTTCCCCGCAGAGATTGGCGGGCATTGGAACTACTGTCCAGTGTAATTGTTCATTGGTGTCTTTGAGCCTGCCTGGTTTCCAAGGTTATTTTACATCAGCGTACAATTGGCGGATGGGCTCGAGGCTTTCTGTATTAGTTCCTGTACTTGGTGCGCCTGAAGATGTATACATGGACGCGGCGGGCTGCCCACAGTACGGCGCGGACGTAGAGAGTTACCTCGATTTGCATTATGGAATGTCACGAATGTCTAGGTAGACGAGACACGGTTGGCCCGGAAAAGAGGCGCCGCCAGTGATCGCTTGTGCCGAATGAGGGTAGCGGGGCCGAGCAGGACTATACCTGATCAAGGCCCCCCAGTGCTGTTGCGGTGAGTTGATTCGTCGCAATCCTGTCGAACGGTGCAGTATGGAGTCCACGTTGCTACTCGGTACCTGCTAGAACGGCTCTGCACCATGCGCTGCGGATAACCAGCCTTCCTATGGCGTCCCTTCTCTGCCCTGTTGTTGTCCTTCTGGGCAAGCAGCTTGTCATCGATTGTGGTTGACGATATGGAAAGCCGGCTTCACCGTGTACTGTATCTAACCGTGAGTATGTCTTCCTCGATCATGCACGACAGCGACTACAGGCCTTTACGATGGCATGTCGGTCAAATTGGTTCAAATGGTGTGAAGAAGCAATCAATGGCCCCATCATCGCGGATTCAAGGCGCAAAGTATTTTAGACTCAAAGGCTCAAAGCGAGGATTGGACGAAACAACGGCAAAGTCCGTCAATTGAATAACCGCGGAATAAGGTAAGCAAGAAGTATCGTCCATTGCGCTCCAGGCATGACCAACATTCGAGCCCACCAACCTCCCGACCCTCTCTCTCTCTCTGATCACTCTGTCTCTACACGGGCACTTTCGCTCTGTCTATCTGTCTCTCGCTCTGAGTGTGAGTGTGTCTCTCTCTATCTCTCTTCTGACCCTTCATCTCACCGGCCTGATCCAGGATAGCCCTGAAAGAACAGTAGCCACATAGGGCTCCCGCTGCGCATCGTCCACCTCTAGCGCTCGCTTTCTACCCTTCTCAGTCAATCGTCCTATTCATATGCCCACTGGACAACACCCACCCACACACATCGCCAGGGTTGCCGTACCTAGATAGCACACCACCATTCGTCCTTCTCTGGAATTGATGCGAGCTTTTATCCTTTCCTTTCCTAGAATCTTACATGCTTCTTGATTGCGGACTTCACTACTTCTGTGATCTCGCTTCCCTTCCCCACACTCACCTTCCTTGACACTTACGGTTCACATGCTGAAGAGAACGCATTGATCGCCGTTGCGAACCATTCATACCATCTCGACAACAAGGCTCGTTGCTTGACCGTTCGCGACCACTTTCCCCAATACGAAGTTCTCATTCCACATCGCCACCGCTTCAAGACCACAGCCTGCTCGTCAATTGAAGCAATAACCTTTCATTCCTCAATTTCGATCATCTTGCATCTATATTAACACTATCGATTTCCGGTTATCTGCGAACTGGTTTGTTATCTTGCCCACCGCCATGGCTGCCACTAACAGCTTTTACACTTCCTCTCCCACCGTATTCATGCAGCCTGCCTCGTCAGATCAATATTTCGCCAGCAGCCATTATGTTGATCAGAATGGTCAAGCAATACGCCCATCCGAACCGTCATCCAGTACTCATACCAGTCGCTCTGCCACACTCACATCAACAACACCTCTAGCTGAGACCCCTGGGTCTATAGCCGGGAAAAAGCGATCTCGTGGCGACAATCCCGATGGCGAAGACGATGCGCAATCGCTACTACCAGAACAAAGCGATGTGCGAAGCGTCTTCGAATTGGGCCACATCAAAAGACCCTCAATCGCGAGTCGCAAATCGCAACGAGTCGACTCGGACGCATCAAGTAACGATCATCTCGCGCAGCTCGTGCTCCCGGCACAAATGCGCGACGTCACGACCGAGCCGCTGGTCGACAAAGCAACGCGCGAGCTCGGCGTAAGCTGGGCGCGCATGGACTCCTCCGAGGCGCGTCAGATCAGCCAGGCTGCATATACCAAATGGATCCAGAATCATTACTCTAACCTTAAGGATGTCGCTATCTGGTTCGAGTATGGCAGCGAGGAAATCCCGGCGTACCTCGTCAGGGCTCTGAACGCATACAATGGTCAACAGGAATTTTACATCTTTTCCAATGACCTTACCGAGGCAAGGCTCGTTACCCGAGAGCCAGAGGACTTGATCTCGCGCCTCAGCATGATGCCTGCGCTTCATTTGGCTGCGCCAGGAGGTCAGATTCATGCGAAGCTTGACACGGCTGGTGGCGCTGAGGACTCGGTCACGTCCTCACCCTACAGTGCCTCCAAGGTGGAGGAGTACTCGTCTTTCTGCGCGGCTCATGCTATGGAGATGGACTGAGCCATCCCGGTCACATCGTGTCCGAGCTCGCAAATTGCACTTTGCAACATTGCAACGGTTTTCATGACAATGTTTTCGAATTTTCTGCAACCCTTTCAGGTCTTGATTCGTGTGTCGCGACGCTGCTCGAAAGATTTCAATATCATGACTCGGCAGTCAAATGTCGTTCCAAAAGTCCGTACGCATTAATGTATACATTTTTGAACATCAATGTGATAATGTGCGTTCACATCACTGCTAGTAATTTGACATTTCTAACAAACCAGAAATCGAAGCTTGGGTGAGAGACGGGGTGAAGTGCAGGTGAAGCTTGTGCTAGACTCTTAGTTGTGCTTGCATACCTAGGTGTACTGTAATACCTCAAACACAAACACAGGCGCGAACTACACTTTGAGCCGCGCTACGATCACTACATCGTATTGGCCGCCCTGGAGGTAGGAGTAATTAAATGAATAGTACCAACCTAGGTATCTAATTGCCAAATGCCTAAATTACCGTCGAGTCGATACCCCCTCCACGTGGTTGATGCAGGTCTTGGCGTAGCTTCCGCTCATGACATCCCCGAGCTCCAGACATGTTTGCGGATCGTCATAGCGAGCCTGCGTCCGTTCACATTCCTCCAAACAACATCAATCGCAACCATGGCCGAGGGAATGCTTTACAACGTCACAGGCGGATACATTGAGGGTATCGTCCGTGGCTATCGTAATGCGCTGCTCACGAACCAGAACTACGGAAATCTGACGCAATGCGAAACGATTGACGGTATGTGACAACCCGCCGCCGGAGTGGACCACACCGACCGGAAGCGCGATCTTTTTGAGCTGAACATCCTTTGCTGACATGCGTGCCATAGATGTTAAACTGCAACTCGGTCCTTCATATGGCGACTACCTCGCCAGCCTCCCACCCAACCCTTCCACATCCGCTCTCGCCGACAAGACGATGGACAAGCTCGTCGCCGAATTCCGCTACATTCAGGCCAACGCCACAGGAAGTCTGTCCAAATTCATGGAGTACCTCACATATGCCTACATGATCGACAACGTCGCGCTACTCATCACGGGAACGCTTCACGAACGAGATACCAAAGAGTTGCTGGAGCGCTGCCACCCGCTTGGCTGGTTTGAGACAATGCCGGTTTTGTGCGTGGCGACCAATATTGAAGAGCTGTACAACTCGGTGTTGATAGAGACACCGCTGGCGCCCTACTTCAAGGGCTCTCTGAGCCACCAGGATCTCGATGAACTGAATATTGAAATCATCCGCAACACCCTTTACAAGAACTACCTCGAGGATTTCTACAGATTTGTGAATGAGGAAGCCGGCATTGCAGGCACGCCAACACAGGAGGTCATGCGTGAGGTTCTCGAATTTGAGGCGGACAGAAGAAGCATCAACATCACACTCAATTCATTCGGCACCGAGCTGTCGAAGCAGGATCGCAAGAAGTTGTACCCCAGCTTCGGCCGTCTACATCCCGAGGGTACGCTCATGCTGAGCCGTGCCGACGATGCCGAGGGTGTGCGGATAGCTGTGGATGGCGTGATTGACTACCGAACGATGCTGGATCAGACGGGTATGGGTGGCAACAGCACAAGCGGCGGGATGGGCAATGAGGAAGGCAAGAGTCTGGAGGATCTCTTCTACCGAAAGGAGATGGAGATTGCCAAACTGGCCTTCACATATCAGTTCACTCATGCCGTCGTGTACGCGTGGGTGAAGCTGCGAGAGCAGGTGAGTTTCCATCCGGCTGGACTTTTACGTCCGGTCCCAATAGCTTCACGTTCCAAGCATATTACTAATTTACACAATACAGGAAATCCGCAATATCACCTGGATATCCGAATGCATCGCACAGAACCAAAAGGATCGGGTAAACAATTATATCAGTGTGTTTTAAAATGCGGCGAGGGAGGCATCCAAGAAAATGACCATTCCTGTAATCTTTCAAGTCCCCGGAGTTTTGGCGTCATTCATTTGAGAGTGCATATCTAGAAAGAAGCAGAAAAAATGATTCATTCATGTCAAACGTCTCTCCGTGGTGGAACTTTTTTCCGTCTGTGCGACGCCACTCTCCCCCAAACTGAACAAAGAATAATCATGTCTGTAGGCAGTGTTTATGGAACATCGTTGGTCTGTTTGAGCTTCTCCTCCATGTGGAGCGACTTGCGCAACACTTAATGAATATTTACATCTCTTTACGATCAATGCTGCCTGCCATAGTCGATGACCAGGCCCGCTCATGCTTTCTTCACTCACTTCTCTACATTTGCAGAAAACACTTAAGCTCTTGCAAAATATCGTCACGCTGCCGGTCATGGTTGCTGTTGAGAAAGGCTTTTGGTGTGAACAGCGCACGGCATTCCTGCGCGGTCGATCTCTTGACCAAGCCACGTTGCTGCACAACGGCAAAAGCCAAGCTTACCCACTCGCGTTTCTGCTTCTGCATGCGTCGAAGCCTGACGGTGTCGAGATCCACAGTTGCCAGGCCAGAATCACGACGTGCTTCCCACTGGGGCATTCTGCGCAGAGCTTGTTCGAGTTGGTCCAGTGTTCGGTCGTGGCCTTGCCCACGGGTTGGCTGCTCGGCGATGCCATGCCTTCGACCGTGTTTGCGCGTCCGTCTCGGTGGCATTCTCGTGCTACGGTTCGCTGAGCCAGCATTCACTGTCAAACCCATGATCAGATCTACGATGTCTCGTTCCCTACTTTGTAGACGTTCGTCGTCGAGCAACTGCAACGCGTCATTTCGGAGTCTGTTTATCTCTGGCCGTCTGAGCTTCTGCCGGCAGAGCGCCGATGTGAAGTTTTCCATCAATACGTCTGACACATCGACCCCAGCATCGTGAGCTCGCGCCATGTTGAAGCGGACAGTTCTGAATGAAACCGACACGTGAGGGTCGTATCTTCCCAGAATGGTCCTTGGTGTTGGCTCACAATATTTTGGCGGTTTTGGAACTTTGAGAAGCATGACTATCAGTCACAGTTAGTGCTGATGAAACGGCATCAGTCTTCGTCAAAGATCGATTCATACCGTGCTCGGGGAGGTATCGATGGGGAAGCCAACTTGTCTGATAATTGTACTCGAAATACTTGAAGGCATCGACGAGATTGCCCCAAACACAGTACGCCAGGAACTTCCGCTCTGGAAAGGTGACATGCTCACGCCGCCATAATTTCGCAGCAACTCTGTCTACTTCTTCGTCCATGACTTGCAAAAGATCAGTGCGGTACGGCGTTCCGTCGAACCATGCTTCGAGCTCGGGGTCGTAGCGATCTGCCATTCTTGGGAGCGTGACAGGCAGGCGCACATCGTGGAAGCTTGGTATAATCTATGCTCATGGTCAACCAGGAATCACGCGAAACTCATAAGTATTGAACTGTGGCTGACTCCTTCGATATATCGGGCCGGCCTCGTGTAGCCCTTGAAAAAGTGAAGGTAAGCAGCTAGGACATCTGGCTGGTTGATGACTTCAGTCCAATCAGGACAGTGTCTCGCGAGATTTGAATTTGTCGATAGAAACAAATCGATTTCTTTCAGAAAAGAAATAGAAACATTCCGGTCTCGTAGGTAGGCATAGGTCCTGGCATCTGCATCTCGGTAAAAGCTGCGAAAGGACTAGGACCGTCAAATGAAGTAAGCGATCAACTTCACAGCAACACGGACCGGTTTCAGCCTACTTGCGAGCCTCTGATAGAGGCTCCGGCCGCCGGCACGAGATGAGGCAAAGGGTCTCCTGCGCCAAAATTGAAGCCGTTGTAGGCATCCGCATCGAACCCTCGTGACATGAGCGCAATTGCGAACGTGACACACCCGCGAGGAGGATGCCTGTGGAAGATAAAGCGCTGTGGGGTCGAGAGACGAAGCCCGCAAAGGATCGGAGTCGAGTGACGACTGCCAGAGCTGTTTCGGGATTTCGTGAGTCCGGAATGTCGACAATAGAACGAGACAAGCACTCCTACCTTCTCCGCGAATCTGATGGGACAACAGATGTTGCGCAAGAGAATCTGCCCAAGTGTGAAGTGGAGCAATTGATGTGTAGTAGTGTTCGAAAAAACAGCTAGAGCTGAACTTGGAAAGTGAATACAACTTTCTTTCCTAGGTACCCACGTGTCTGCCTACCTACCCGCCTGCCTACTCGGTAAAGTATTTCACTCGTAATGGAGACATACCTACCTAGGTAGGTACCTAGAGTGTAGGTAACATTCCAAGGTTGATATACGACTGGTAGGCACCCGCGTGACTTCCGTGCAGCTGCCATATGTTCGACCAAATGTTCGGCAAGAGCGCAATACAACTTCCGCTAAATACCATATAGGCCGATTCGACCTAAGCATCTCGATCTGTCTGTCTCGAGATGAGATCTTCTAACATGCTAGATACCTAGCTCTTGGGTCTGGATGTCGTCTTTTACATAATGCGTAGACGTCTTTGACAGTTGATGCCTGAATCATGGTATGATGGAGGTAGCGATGTTGGTTCTTAGCCCACCTCTGGAGATCAAGGGCCACCACCACAACTCTGACGTAAAGTCTGTCCTCCGCGCACATCGCTTGCGCTCATATTAACGCCGTGCAAATCGTGTTGGTCGCTCCGAAGAGATCAATCCCCAGTGTCGAGTTCCAAATCCAGCTGTACTCCGTTGCTCACACCATAGTCTTCGAGGGTCAAGATGTCCTTGAACGGCCTCTCACCTTGTCGCTTTAGCATTATCTCATGCGGCTGCCGACCTATGTGCGCTGCAACCATAGCTTTGAATGCCTTGACACTGTCACTTGCGAAACAGGGGATTGCAGCCTTGGTACCTAATCTATCATTGATGTTGACGATGATCATTGGCTCCCCTGACGGTGGCTGTGGCGGAGGAGGGGCTGAGTTATTATCCTTCTCCTTCTTTGCCTTGTCCTGCGTATCCTTGGCGTCCTTCCCAGATCGCTCTTGCCGCTGAGGCCGTTCACGGTCCAGGAATTTGTCCCGACCACCATCGTGAGGCCGAGAGTCGTAGTTTCTCTCGCGACCGGAATCACGATCTCGATGCCGTTTGTAATCGTCCCTGTCCTGCCTATGCCGGCCAGAGTCCCTTTCATCATTCCAGCTTCTTCGAGACGCAGGGCCATCCCGATCGCGACGGTCATCGAAGTGATCGCGGCGATAATCGTTGCGTCGAGGCGAGCGGTCTCTATAACCTCGCTCGAGATGATCACTGTTGCGATTCCGGGCGTCGTCACTTCGAGGTTGTTTCTCTTTCCATTTGAAACCACCGGATAATTTCGCATGTGTGCTTCGGGGCTCACCACGCTCCGGTGAGGCCGACCGGGCTCGGGATGGTTTGTCGTCCATGCGGCAAGGCGCGGAAGATCTTCTCGATGTGCGGCTGTAATGCAACAATATCGTGAGTCTCCGCAGCGGGTCGGGAAATATCAAGCAGAGAGAGCTTGTGGAAGTTCACATGGGCGAGTACTGAAAGCTATGCGGCGCTTATCGGATGGTGGACAAATTTAGCTGGTGCCTGATGCGCTTCAGCCGCCCTCCTGTACCCAGGTGGATGTCCATATAATGTTACACCATTGATGTGATCACCACGAGTAAAATATATCAAGTTTGTGAAATTGTCACGGCATAATAATGAGCAAGAATTAAAGTGAAGCTAACTACGCAGCTCGACGATATCTTGATCGTTTTTGTCTCCCTTGGTCATTGACTTCTGTGGCTGACAAGTCAAATTCAGATAATGCACGCTCGATCTCAGCTTGTGGACCTGGAGCGGCAGATCGCACGATGGATAAGTGAGCGTGGTTGCTGGCAGTCGGACGTTTATAAAGGACGGTCCGAACTGTATCCAAAGCATGGTTACATTTTGTCATCATTCTTACATATCGTCACTCGGGTGCAAATTTGCTGAGTGTGAGAAGCGCTACGCACCTGGGCAGTCTCGTGAAAGTCCTACATCTCCAACGCTTTTCTCAGAACCCTTCGTCATAATGCGTTCATCGCATTAATGCATGAGTCGCCAAGCATTTCCATCTCCAGGCCATGTCGCTTTGACACTGGCGCTGCCACAGCTTCGATGGGCTGATGCGATACTGCAACAATCTGTCGGCGCTTTTGCGACCATATATTTTGCTAACAGTACGCATGTCGTCGACACGGTGCCTAGCACGTCTGGGTATGCCGGTCCTATCTTGCATGCTTAGCTTCGATGCCAAAGCTTTAGCTTGTCAGGCTCAAGCGCACTGACGTGCTGCACTTTCAGGTCTTTAATCGACGCCGACTTTACACCACCGCGACTGGTCTCGCATGGCAATCGGCCCGACCGATCGCATCGAGCCCTGGAGTATCGACGCTAATCGCTCGCAGAAGTCCTATGGTTGTCGTGCGACGATCGGATGGAGGATGGATCAGATGGAGAGGAGCAGTGCTCACGAATGGAAGTATGTATCTCCTGTTTCCAGGAGTCTCAGACAGCGTTCACTTCGGTGCCAGCTCTGAGACGGATACAAGCGCACATGGCTTGACAGGGGCATCCAAGAGATAAGGCGAAGGCTTCAGCACAGGCTGATCTGTCACGGGATGCAGCGCATCCCAGCATTTGGTGAGGACTTCTTCGATCCAATAGTCGGCCTCGGCCTTGAGTTTCATTTGTCGTTTGGCCATTTTGCTTCGCTTTAGCTTCATCATAGGTTGCTTGCCAAGTGGGAGCAGGATGTTGCAGGCGTCGGAAACTTCACCGTTGACCGCTGGTGAAGTAGGCTGGGACAGGAGACCATCGATACGATAAACTTGTTGTATCAAATCCTCAACGCCATCGAGAGTAGCGTTGGCTTTGTCATGAAGCCGGTCGAAGAAGTCGTTGCCGAATAGTTCGTCTTTGGCGAGCGCGTGTCTAAGCCGGGCCGAGAAGAAAATCAGATTTGGCAAACACAATGCCTCGTTTCCGTCGGAATGGTGCGCATCGCTCAGTAAACACGCCGCATAAAGCAGCCGCACATTGAACTCTGACTCGAAAGAGTGATTTGCAACACACGCCGGACAGCCGCGAGTAGAACACCAATCTTGTTCTTGCTTAGAGGACAAGAAGCATTGTAGCCATATGAAAGCAGCTCGCGCGTCCCCGACGTATGCGAATTCGAGGTCCTCGGGTCTTGACGCCTTTGTCGCTTGAGTAGCCACTCGAACAGCCTTGTCGAACAGTTCCACTACAGGCACGAGTAGAGCATGTAAGATATCCCGAACCATAAGCCAATGTGCTTGAGTATCATGATCGTAGGTGGAGTGATTTGCGCAAAATCTACGAGCATGGTCAGCGGCGAATTCAACACAAAGAATTATTCCTAGGTACTTGCGACGTACCCATAGTCGAAATTGTCAGACAGATGCCTCCTCAGAAAGTTGAAGCCCTCTGATTGAGATAACAATTGCACATCCTCTGCACGGAGCAGGCAGAGTGCTGTCGGGGACAGCATCGTGGTGGTGATGGGAATTATGTCGACAGTGGGACTCTCCAGTGTGGGAAAGTCAACGTCTGTGAACGACCAAAGACCGATGGCCCTCTGCAGTATATATTGGCTGTCGAGGCGCGGGCGGGGGATTGCGGCGTCGTCAGCAAGATCAGATGTGAAGCGTCTCGTTGTATCACGATTGTCGAAAGGTTGTGTCAGTTTCTCATACAACACGGAGGTCGTTAGTGGAGATTGCGGTAGCTCTTTTTAGACGATGGGAATCGGGATCTGGTATGCGATCGCTTCAAACACTCCAGCAAAATGCGGCAGGTATAATGCCCGGGAGCGGACCAAGTTGGGCAAATGCGTCAACTTTCGAAAAGTACAAGGTAGAAGTACATGAGAGCGCTCGTTCGAGGTGACTAGAGTGGGCATAATCTTGGTTCTATACTACCTAAGGGAATCACTACCAAGCGCATTAACACTTTACTTAGGTGCGTAGCACCCGGCCTGTGCGAACATCACAACAAAATCCACACCTTACATAGTAATAGCAAAAAACAGGGCCCTGCTTCCAGGCAAGGGTGTCGGATGCAGGAACGGTCGTGCATTCTTCACGCTCGATGCCGATCCGAAGCCTGACGAATGCTGCGGCTAAAAATGATGATTAGAGACGAGGCGGCGTGCGAGGCCAAAGTGGAGTCGCTCATACATGTACAGTAGCGGCATCTGCTCAGGTCAGCTGGCCTTGCCCGTTGTCAGATCGCCAACGGCTTTCGTGGGGCGGCGGGGGCCAGCATCTGCCGCCGAGGAACTGATCGGTGTTGGTCTGCTGTGCAGGAGTAGAATCACTGCACGGCACCGTACAACAAACACACCGCGAGTACATGTTGCCTGATGACTGGTTGACGTGACATTTGGGCTGCATGGCTTTGGGCCTCGAGCGGAGAGCGTGCAGCAAATCCGGGTGGTGCATTTTCTGCCACGACGCCCGCGCCGGCTGGAATACGCCGTCGTGGCTGTCAAAGATGTTCGGTCCAGAGTGACGGCCTACGTGAACTCTAATGACTGATGGCTCCCTGTTTCCGACGATTATGTCTACGGCCGCGGGTGGTTTGACAGTAGCCCATGAGACAGGGTCCAGATGCATCTACCGCCGCTTGTTGTGATAAAACTTTCAATCATTAATTAGACAGGCTTCCGGCAACGAGACAAGATCATGTCCAGACCTCATTTCATGTCTCACAATGAAACCAACCTCGGGCTGCAGACGCCATGATCGACAACATTCGAACAACGGCGAGAAGTTGGTGCGCAACTGCAGCATGGTCAGCGCGCCACATGTAATGACCCTGAGAATCCAATAGCCGCCTTGGGATACGACTGAAGTTAAACCTAGTTACAATTGCCGCAGTTGACCGCAGAACAACTTGCATTTAGTAATATCCTTTCGTAACGCGAATTAAACGACTCCTCATGCCGGCACACCAAAGCCAGTCGGCCAGTCAGGCCATAAATTACACGGACGGAGGTCAGAAAGCCATGCGACATTCCTCAGATGATGCATTCTATAAATCGGGCAAACCGAGCGGCCAGTTTACTCCAATGTAAGTATTACCGTTTGGGGTCCGACCCGGAGTCTCAGGCGTCGCTGCAGTAGGTAGTCTTTGCTCTCCTGTATTTGTAACAAGAATGCGCCCACGGTCCTGCCAGTAGACCTGTGGCGGGAATTTTGTCGGCGTAGTCCTTGGTTAGTCCCTCCGCTCATTAGCCCAACTGTTCACGTGGACATAATTTTCGGGCATGGTCGGTTCCTCGGGAGATCGGACAAGAAAAACGACTCACATGGGACAGATGCGAGATTTTGTTCCGCAGGCAAGGCAGGCATGATCATTGCTAGCTTTGAATCTCTCGAGCGTGCTGGTCACAAGACATTCTGAATGGCTAGGTCCTGTAGGTAGGTACTCTTCATACAGTTGAAATTGCCGACCCTCTTCGCGCACTTTGCCGAACCTGGAAGCTCATTTGCTCCTATTGCGGCAGTTAACAGTCCTCATGCACAATGGCAGAACAGTGGTGAGGAGAGGATGCTCTTGCTGAACACAAATTTATGTGGCTTGTCAAATCTGGTCGTGTCGGCGAAAGACCGTATGCACAGTCTCAATGTTGTCTGCCTCGGTTGTCACCTGACGCGAATGCACAGTAAATTCCAAGGTTGTTGTCGAAGCCTCCGGGGCTCCCTTCAGGACTGGACTGAGATGCTACATGGGTACATTTCGCACACAGTTCCGAAGCGCCGACTAAAATCCAATGAGACTGGGAAGGACGACCTTAGGACCCTCGAATGGTTCTTCCCACTTGTACAGGGTAGTGCCATGAATGCCCTCGCGATTTGAGAACCACAGAAGCTTGAGATCTTGATGAATGTAGCTTGATGAGGCAAATCCGCACTTGTCATCTTGCTTTAGGGAACGTGAGAGCATCTCCATTCCGCCCGCGTTTGTGGCTTCCGAATATTTATCGGGGCATGCTTGTGCGAAATGAACATCACACGCTACACAACTACATAATCACAAAGCCTTCCAAGGTTGGTCTCATCTTTTGCTCGCTCATTGGCTCAATAGACTTCAGAATCTTTCACTAAGCAATATTGCATCTTAACTCGAAATAAATCAAGGCGAACCATTCATGAAAACGACCAGGTAACAGCTTCAAGTCCAGTGAAGCCCAATCGCACAAAATACGCCGGCAAATGCAAGGCTCACCAGTCCTTGTGTGTTCCAAGGTTGGCTAGTCTTTGTCTTCCAAATTTTTGAATGGCGGTAGCAAATGGTTCGTGCATTCGTGCATTCAGGCGAAATTTATGCCTGTCGTCGTTGGCTAGGAGATGCACTTTGCATTCAAACCCAGAATGCGGTTCTTTTTCAGCAGCTGGTACATCAAAGACACGATTAACCGGGGCATTGCCCAGGTGGTCCGCCGTTGTCAAACTGTAGTCACGCACGTTATAGGCACAGTGGACGACTCCAATGTCGCTTCAAATGCTCAACGGACGGCGATGGAGCCTCAAGGCCTGACATATAAACTTGTGGGTCATAAGTCCGGAAAGAATATTCACACTCAGGTCGGCGATAGACAGAGCACTCAAAGCCTAGAACGGCTACAACATCCATGCGCTGGAGTACATTAATCCAGTGAATCCAAGGAGCGCGGTCTTGAGTCCGATCTTCATCTCGAAGCACCTACTTTGCTGCGATCTCACACGCCGCCCTCATTACTTGAAAATGCTTGCAGCACTCATCGTGCGAAGCAGCACTGATCGTGAAAAGGATGTAGAAGCGTGCAGACTCCCTTGGCATTCTCCCCGGGCGAGTCGGTGGTATTGCTGAGGTCAGCAAATTAGATAACCCATTGAACCTACCCACCCATGATGCATGTTGTTCGTTTCCAGACACAATAGGATTCGAAACTCCGGCATGTGCAGTTCGAGTACTTGTACTGTGCGGTGCTACCTAGGTATGCTACAGAGTGATGATCCTCCAAAGGTGCAATGCACTCGATGATGTACCTACTCGTTTGGGACAAGTCGACTTTTGCACATGTTTGTGGGGGGAACTATGACATCTTTCTCACATGCGCGGAAGCTGGAGGCTGGAGCTCAGAGATATTTGCCGACTTCGGCATGTGTTTTCCGCATCGCCGTGTGCTGAACCGCAGCTAACCTTGGTAGTGGGCTCCTCTCGGGTGACGTTGACACTCATTGGTAATCACTCATAACAAAGCAAGGTTTGTAACCGACTTGTTCGTTCACTGTTTTTCGACATTCTCCAATTGTCGCCATAGCCATCATGGTTTCAACTACCGTGCGCCATTCTGTCTGCTCGACTCTACGAGCGGGCGCGGTCTCAACTTCGACACAGCGCATGCAGCGACCTTTCAGCACGTCCGTCCGACGATTAAAAGAGATTCAAGATGCCTACATTATCTCTGCAGTCCGAACTCCGACAGCGACCTTCAACGGATCCTTCACGACCGTCTCGGCGCCAGAACTCGGCGCGACTGCCATCAGGGAAGCCGTGGCCCGCTCGTCGGTGCCCAAAGAGAAGATCACAAGCGTCTACATGGGCAATGTGATGCAGGCATCAGTGGGACAAGCGCCCGCAAGGCAGGCGTCGATATTTGCTGGTTTGGATCCCTCTGTAGAGGCTACGACCATCAACAAGGTGTGTGCATCAGGCATGAAGGCTGTGGCCATCGCAGCCCAGCAAATTGAACTAGGTCAAGAAGAAGCACTCGTAGCAGGTGGTATGGAGAACATGAGCCGTGTACCATACTACCTTGCTCGAGCATCACAATTGCCGCCCTTCGGTAACATCACAGCCGATGATGGCTTGATCAAGGATGGTTTATGGGATGTTTACAACCAAATTCACATGGGCAATTGCGCAGAGAATACCGTCAAAAAGTACGGCATCACCCGAGAGGAGCAAGACGAGTATGCCATCTCAAGTTTCAAAAAGGCGCAGGAGGCCTGGAAGCAGGGTCTTTTCAAGGATGAGGTTGTACCAGTCACAGTGAAGAGCAAGAAAGGCGATGTTATCATCTCGGAGGACGAGGGCTATAACAAGCTTAAGCCGGAGAAGGTGGCAACTTTGAAGCCCGCATTCGACCGCTCCGGAAGCGGTACTGTCACAGCCGCAAACAGTTCTTCAATGAACGACGGCGCTTCAGCGCTTGTAATTGTCAACCGAGAGCTCGCCAAAACGTACGGCGGCAACAAGCGTGTGCTTGCAAAGATCGTTGCTTACGCGGATGCTGCGATCGATCCTATCGACTTTCCTGTTGCACCGGCCAAGGTCGTGCCCATCGTATTGAAGAAAGCAGGAATCACTGCCGACCAGGTCAAGATTTGGGAATTCAACGAGGCATTCGCGGCTGTCATCAAGGCCAATGGCAAGGTGAGCACAAAACCATTCTTATTATAATGTAAGATTGAGCTAATATATGGCATAGATTTTGGGGCTTAGTGGCGAGAACATAAACCCACGTGGTGGTGCTATATCTTTGGGTCACGCACTAGGCAGCTCTGGATCAAGGATTTTGGTGACATTGCTCCATCAACTCAAGAAGGGAGAATACGGCTGTGCTGCCATCTGCAATGGGGGCGGAGCGGCCAGCGGTATGGTGGTCCAGATGGTCGATGCTGAAGACTTATGAACGATTTATGAATAACTCAGTTGTATGTGCACATAGAGCGAAAACATTATGAACATTTGCCAGGTGGACTAGAGTACGCAACGACATTATGAGTGATCTTTGTGGACGCGACAGCATCTGTCAGCTTGCGCTCGCGGACCTGTGCACTATTCTGAAGTTGGTATTGTCGCTCGAGTGAAGTATCGTGATGACCGTTTATGGTTGTCCAGCAACCAGGGCGTTGCGTGCAGGTGCCTGGAGGGTAATTGTTGTTGCGCACGTGACAAACAAACCTCAAGTGGAGCTTGCAACATTATTAGATAATCTGGGGCTGGTCGTGCACAGGGTGCCCTATGATTGATTGTGTTGTGGAGGCGCATACTCGACATGCCGCTAATCGCACATCAACACTCGTTACACAGCTCTCAAATTCCCATATTGCAGGCTACGGAGTCAACACAAACTCCATATCCGGATCCTCACGATACATAACGACCTGCTCGGCGGAGGGTCGTCCAGTCAAAAGGTGTGCAGGGTGGTGACATCCTCAGCACACCGCTGCCACATAATCCCAGAGCCCCACCATTCACACAAAAAGACAACATGGCGGAACCCAAGACAATCAAGGTCGTGTGTCGATTCCGACCGCAGAACAAGATCGAGTTGGCTGCTGGCAGTGAACAGGTCGTGGAGTTCAAAGGCGACGATACCTGTGCAATCACATCCAAGGACGCCAATGGCTCATTCACGTTCGATCGTGTTTTCCCCACCAATACTCCTCAACATGATGTATTCGACTACTCGATCCGCAGCACAGTCGACGATGTGCTGGCAGGATACAACGGAACGGTTTTTGCCTACGGTCAGACGGGTTCGGGTAAAACGTTTACTATGATGGGTGCCGATATAGGAGACGAAGCAACAAAGGGTATTATCCCTCGTATCGTGGAGCAGATTTTCACCAGCATTATGCAGAGCGACGGAAGCATCGAGTTTACGGTGAAGGTCAGCTACATGGAGATCTACATGGAGAAGATCCGGGACTTGCTGGTGCCTCAAAATGACAACCTGCCGATTCACGAGGACAAACAACGTGGTGTATATGTCAAGGGCCTCGGCGAGTTCTACGTGGGCTCTGTTGGAGAAGTGTATCAAGTGTTGGAAAGAGGTGGTCAATCAAGAGCTGTCGCGGCTACAAACATGAACCAGGAATCGTCTCGCTCGCATTCCATTTTCGTGATCGAGGTAACACAGAAGAATGTCGAGTCCGGTTCAGCTCGGTCAGGTCGTCTGTTTCTCGTCGATCTGGCAGGTTCAGAAAAGGTCGGCAAGACTGGTGCCAGTGGCCAAACATTGGAAGAAGCCAAGAAGATCAACAAGTCTCTCTCGGCGCTCGGCATGGTCATCAATGCACTATCCGACGGCAAGAGCAGCCACATCCCATACAGAGACAGTAAGCTCACCCGCATCCTTCAGGAGTCCCTCGGCGGTAACTCCCGAACTACGCTCATCATCAATTGTTCGCCTTCGTCTTACAATGATGACGAGACAATGTCCACGCTTCGATTTGGTGAGCGCGCCAAGACCATCAAGCAGAAGGCCAAGGTCAACGAGGAACTGTCTCCTGCGCAATTGAAGGCACTGCTCAAGAAGGCACAATCCCAGGTGACGACATTCGAGTCGTATATCCACTCGCTTGAAAGCGAGGTGGGCAACTGGCGGAAGGGAGAGCAGGTGCCAAAAGAACAATGGACTCCAGCCCTGGTCGATGGCCCCAAGTTACAGTCCCACACCCCTGCGAGATCAGCCACGCCAACAAGCCGCCTGAAGCAAGAGGTCCCCGGGACGCCTCGGACAGAAAGTCGACTCGAGCTCGAACGTTCCAGTACACCCAGTTTGGGGCTGGAGAAAGATGAGAAGGACGAGTTCCTCAAACGTGAGAATGAGCTTCAGGATCAACTTGCCGAGAAAGAAAGCAGCTTAGCGGCTGCCGAGCAGGCTCTACAAGTTGCTCGCAGCGAGCTCCGGGAACTTCGGGAAGCACACACACTATCTGTCCGGAATCACGAGCAATCGCGGAGCGAAACGGAGTCATTGCGTATGCAAGTGGAGAAGATTGAGTTTGAGACCAAAGAAGCGGCAATCACCATGGATTCACTCAAAGAAGCCAACACTGAACTCACACAGGAGCTCGATGATGTTAAGCACCAGCTGCTGGACGCTAAGATGTCTGCCAAGGAATCATCGGCAATCCTTGACGAGAAGGAAAGACTCAAACGGGAGCGGATGGCACAGATGATGGCAGGCTTCGATCTGGGCGAGGGAATCATGTCCTCGAGCGAGCTCCAAGTGCGCGAAGTCGTGCAGCAGGTCGAGAGTCTCTTCGACATTGCTAAAGGTGGGGCGGCGGTCAACGCGGAAGAGTTACGTGCTTTGAAAGAGAAACTGCTTGAGATACAGACCCTCGTACGGCAGGCAGACATCAGCTCGAATGGCCACATCGACAGCACGCATAGCGATCTCCTCGAACAGAAGCTTGCACAGACCCGCAAGGAGTATCAAGAACTACTTCAGCGGAACTTGTCTGAGAGCGACATCGAAGAGGTCAAGCAGAAATTACAAGAGGCTATGGCTGCCCAGCAGAACGGTGGCAATACCACAGGCGAGCTTCAGGAGTCCCTGGCGCGACAACAAGACGAGAGCGCTCGCCTACGAACCGAGCTGGAGAACCTCAGACAACAAAATGCGAAGGGTCCTAACGGAGCCAGCCTGAACAAGCAGCTCGCCGATTTTGACAACATGAAAAAGTCGCTCATGCGCGATTTGCAAGATCGATGTGAGCGTGTCATTGAGCTAGAGATTAATTTAGACAGCACGCGTGAACAGTACAACTCAATCCTACGGAGCAGCAATTCAAAGCAGCAGCAAAAGAAGCTCGCATTTTTGGAAAGGAACTTGGAGCAACTCACCATGGTGCAAAGACAGCTTGTTGAGCAGAACGCTCAACTGAAGAAGGAGGTTGCTATAGCAGAAAGAAAATTGGTCGCTCGTGGCGAGCGCATTCGCGGTCTCGAAGGACTGGTCCAGGAAAGTCAGGAAAAGCTGATGATGGCCAACCACAAGTATGTCGCCAGCCCTCACATGTGCTCCGCCGAAAACCTTTACTGACAAAATTTCTAGATTTGAAAGTCAGCTCATGGCTGTCAAGGAACGATTGGAGGCTGCCAAGGTTGGATCAACGAGAGGTCTTGGGCCCAACTCACCAGCTGGCGGAAACTTCGGTAACAACTCTTTTGGACGCATCGCGAAGCCCCTACGCGGTGGAGGCGGAAGTGGCACAGACGGTGTCCAACCTATGGTACCCACGTTTGCTGGCTTGCAGCAGGCCAACCAGGATGGACCCACTAACAAGCGGAGTAGCTGGTTCTTTAACCAGAGGGCATAAACTCCGTGTTTGACGAGGTATATGCACTTCTCATTGTTTTCTACGATAGATGACTTCATGGCGGAAGGCAACTGGATCACGACTGCACATTTGAGATGCAGAGCTTGCACAATACCCATTTCTGCGGCGCGTGCACATGCTTTGCATTATTGAAACATGACAATCTATGGCAACAAGTGACCTAACGGCTGCTCTAAATTGTGTTCATTGGCTAGGCCTGAGATCCATGACTGAATATTTCGGGTCCTTCGTGACACTCTCTCGTATTTGGACCTGTGAGCTCCAGCGTCTTCGTCCTCATGCAAAGACGGGGCTTTGGGGTTGTTGTGACACCAAACTTTATGCGCAAATCGTAACACATCGAACGTCGAGATATTGGAACATACAGAACGAACGTATCACTACGAGAACGTCAGATATCAAAACTTGGGTTTTCTGAAAAGAGTATCAGTATACCTGAGCACCTGCATCCATGGATCCTCCTGTACAGCTTAGGGTTGGGGTAAGCTCCTTGACGTTGCCCAATGCGTTCCAGTATTATTAATAATTCTTAATAACCCATGACGGGCTTCAGACCAGGCGTGTCCTACTCGTGCATGCGTACCGAGTCTTGATCCTCTGCTCCCTACAGCCCGGGAACATCAGAGCAGTCGGCGCGACTCGACGATCATTATGCATTATCGACAGCTTCTGTCCGCAACCATTTGCGCGCTGTTGGCAACCTGCAATGCGGTCGGCGCAACACATACCTCGAATTGGGCAGTCCTGGTCAGCACATCGCGATTCTGGTTCAACTACCGTCATCTAGCAAACACCTTGAGCTTGTATCGAACTGTCAAGCGTCTCGGAATTCCGGACAGCCAGATCATCCTTATGCTGCCAGATGACATGGCATGCAATCCACGGAACGCGTTTCCTGGGAGTGTCTTCAATGACAAAAGCCGGCAGTTGGATGTGTACGACGACAAGGGGACGAGCGAGAACTTGGCTGGAATGGGCGGTATAGAGGTGGATTACCGAGGAAACGAAGTCACTGTAGAGAACTTCATACGACTCCTGACAGATCGCTGGCCTGCTTCACATCCTACATCAAAACGACTCATGACCGATGACCGATCGAATATCCTTATTTACATGACTGGTCATGGCGGCAACGAATTTTTGAAATTTCAGGATGCTGAGGAGATCAGCTCTTTCGACTTGGCAGACGCCTTTGCGCAAATGTGGGAGAAGAAACGATATCACGAGCTGCTGTTCATGATTGATACCTGTCAGGCAAACACCATGTACACAGCTTTCTATACGCCAAACATCATCGCCACCGGGAGCAGCGCGAAGGACCAGAGCAGCTACAGTCACCACGCGGATCAGGATGTAGGCGTGGCCGTAATCGACCGATGGACCTATTACAACCTCGAATTTCTCGAAACAAAACTGAACAGCACTTCTGCGGATGTTCGACTAGGCGAGCTCTTCGATTTCTACACTTTCGATCGAGTGCACAGTGATGCCGGAATTCGCTACGACCTCTTTCCTGGTGGTGAACAGGCAGCGCGAGACAGACGCGTGCTGGACTTCTTCGGCAGCGTACAGAGTGTCGAAGTGGACACGTCGCAGAGCGAAAGTGATTGGAAGGAAGATCTGAAGGCTCTAGGACGAATTCTGGAGAGGCAAGAGGCGGAAATGGAGGAATCGAATGACACGACAATTGTTGAGGAGAAACCCCGATGGAAAACCAAACGGCGTGCATCTGAAGCTCCCGTCAAACATGAAGACCGAAGGCCACAGCTGCTCGACATGGCTCAGCACAAGGATGACTTTATACAGAAGATCATTGGGCTTGTCTCGCTGGTCATGCTCGCCGTAGCTTGGCTGGCTTCCACTCGATTAGGAAGAAGTCCTTGACGGGCAATGTCGCGAATGCTGTACACCTAAGGTTAGGGCAAAAACCATATTGGCTTAACGATCCTGCCGATTCCACCAGAATGCAGGACCGCCCGGCATGCGCGGCGTGCTGAACCGATTTCCATCTCGCTGGTCTTGATACAAGATATGGCGAGTGTTTCACTGGAAGAGATTCAATCGGATTTGAGTACAGGAAAATTGCAGCTCAATCCTGTCGCGATGGGACAATGTTTTTAAATGGTCATGTTCATTCATAAGTCCGACCCCAAATCCTCCTAGCCGCTCACGCCGCTCCCGGGCTTGACCCCGCTCAGGATTACTGCCCACTCTGGCGGGTTAGTGAAAGCTTACAAATGACGGAACAGATAGTCGACAGCATTTGGGTGCAGAAAGATACTTAGATGGTCTCAGAGAGCAGAAGTGTGTCGGATTTTCCAAGAACATCACTGGAGACACAGCGCTGTGGGGACATTCTTCGACAACAGCGCTATCGCCATCATGACCTCGCCTGCTGGACGCGCCACGGAGTCTCCAGGCCCTCGCTCAAGCGCCGCTATCATTCTGGGTCGGCAGCTGAAGCAGATGCAAAGCGATAAAGACATACCCGGTATCAGCTGTGGTCTTGTGGACAATAACATATTCGAGTGGGAAGTCATGCTTATGCTCAGTGACGAGCAAGACAGTCTATATGGAGGTGAGTCGGCGATGCAAGAGAAGCTAAAAACGTATACACCTGTGAAGTCGAGGGTGCTGTGTCGTACTAAATATCAACAACTTGCATACTGACACTCATGTGTGGTAGGAGGCATCTTCAGGACGCGGATGATCTTCCCAAGCACTTACCCGCATCTTCCGCCCAAAATGAAATTCGAGACACCGATCTTCCACCCCAATGTCTACCCGAACGGCGAGGTCTGCATTAGCATATTACATCCACCTGAGGAAGACCAGTACGGCTATGAGTCTGCCTCAGAGCGGTGGTCACCCGTGCAAACGCCGGAGACAATTCTCCTATCAGTAATCAGTATGCTGGGCAGCCCGAATGATGAATCTCCAGCTAATATTGAGGCCGGTAAACTTTGGCGGACGGATCAGAAGGAGTTCAAGAGGCGTGTAAGGAAGTGTGTACGGGATAGCCAAGAGAACGCATGGGAATAGACGACCGGTCCCAACAGCTTATACATGTGAAGATCAACCCGACTTTCACGGGATCCAAATATGCATCCCGCATGGACGAACGCGCCAGGCTCTCGCATCCTGTTATGTGCTCAGCAGAATCTGTTTTCCATTACGAAAGACCCTGCATTTCCAATTCCGCCCGCTACTATCGCCCGCCTGAAGCCCAAAATTTGTCAAGGTGTTCTTGCCGCACCTCGAATGCCCAATGGTGACAAGTCTGGTGCATGACTGGGCTCACTTCTGGTGCATCCTCATTGGCGCCGTCATCGAAAACCTCGCGAACACCGAGCTGCATATATTTCTTCAACAGCATCCTGCGCCACCGACCGGTTTCTCCAACGCATTTTTTCCATCGACTAACTTGCCGTTCATCGTCATCGCACCGTCGTCCTTGGAAGAAGCGCGAATACCACTGGAACCAGCCTCGCACATCATATTCGTGGCGGATCCACCCGCTGGCTTCCCATTCTTCGATGCTTTGGCCACAGGCGACTTTATATTTGTTCACATCGGCATTGTATTCTGGATTGGTGAGGAATGTTTCCGCGTTCAGGTCTGCAATCCACTGGTTTGGTAACTCCTGCCAATCATTTTCGATAATAATGCCTAGCCTTCTAGATCGTAGAGGCCGGAAATAAGAGCCGCCGAAGCAACCTTCTCTCAGCATTTCCTCTGGCGATTTGTTCGGCGCGAAGTCGGGATAGTCTTCGAAATGGAAGACTTGCTCTTCGTCTCGGGTTGGTAGAGGGGCTTGTGGCGTCCAGTCTGTCCACGATCGTTTGATACTATCAATGTCTTGAAGTAGGACGGTGGCTTCGATATTGCGATCCGCAGGGTTACTTTGTCGGGTCTTTGCCTGTTGTTTGCTTGCCGCTTTTGGACGACCTGTCGCTCTCCGATCACGATCATCTTCACTATAGACCGGCTTTGCAGGCGCTGCAGCGATTCTCGCGGAGCTGCGCGAAGGAACGTTTGGTACCGCAAGCTTTCGCTTCTTATTGAGGGGCTTGTTCTTGGTGGTATGAGGGACTACGGACGCGATGTTGAGTTCTGCTAAGAGCCTTTTGTTTCGCGTAATTCTTTCTTGCCGTAGGATTTCATACTCGTTCATCTTGCTTTTCGTGACGAAGTCACGCGCATGAACTTCGACGATTGTTGGCACTCTTGCAGCTCTGTGCAGTATTCCTGGAATCGCGCGCGTCGTGACTCCAGTGACATCATAATCGTTCACGCCGTGCACGCCTGTCTCGCGCTTACAAAACACAGCTGCTACTCGCATCTAATGACCCCCGGGCGGAACAAAGATTTATGTTCTTCATCGTCATCTTACAGTAACAAATACTGAACCATACATCTACGTATAACATTATCAGTTTAGAACTATGAGAATATCTTAATATTCGAGACCTCAGCGCTTGTTCGAACCGTCGATATTGGTATCGCGCGTGCAGAATGCTGACTAAATGCCCATCACACCGAGCCACCTGGGCACCTATTTGTCCCGCGCTGCCATCATCATCGTGCGCGGCTGCAGACCGACAATCTTTGGGTACTGCACACGCATCTGGGTGAGCGATTGCAACTGGAGGACATCATGCAAAACAGTGACAGCGCGATCGCCGAGGTACTGTACACTCCATTTGAGCCGCACGCCATCGGACGGAGTGGACGCACGTTACAGGTGGCGATCACGATACCCATCACGTGTCGTTTTCCCTTCCCCGTCCGCGTCAATTGCGGCGAGGGGGACCCCGCGCACTTGCCCATCATAGTGCTACAGTTCGGCGAACCTTCGTGGTGATTGCAGTATTCGGAGCCCGTGGCCCATCTTGCATCTTGTTATCTCGAACAACACTTCCATAGCACCGCAATCAAATTCCAACAACACTTGATCCACGCGCTTGTCCGCCTGATTCCAGGTCAACTTACTTGCGTATCTCTCCAGCAACGACAGCTTGCTACCGCGAAGTGGTCCCAAACCGATCACCATGTCGACGGCTGCCCGTAGGCGCTTGATGCGCGACTTCAAGCGAATGCAAACCGACCCCCCGGCAGGTGTCAGTGCAAGTCCCATTGCAGACAATGTCATGACATGGTACGATTTGAAATGCGATCGAGCTCCCGAGTATCTTGCTGAGACAGTGGCCCGTACAGGAATGCTGTGATCATTGGGCCTAGCGACACGCCCTTTGAAGATGGGACCTTTCGCCTAGTCATGCATTTCGAAGAACAATATCCCAACAAGCCGCCGGGCGTTAAATTTATCAGCCAAATGTTTCATCCCAATGTCTACGCAACAGGGGAGCTTTGCTTGGATATTTTGCAAAATCGATGGAGTCCGACCTATGATGTGGCGGCGATATTGACCAGCATTCAAAGGTATGAATCGATTGAGGGACTGTACCATCGTGGCTTGGTGGCGCATGCGGCGAGTGGCACCGGCTGACTGTCGGAAAAATGCAGTCTACTAAATGATCCGAACACGTCAAGTCCAGCAAATGTCGAGGCTAGTAATCTGTACAAAGACAACCGAAAGGAATATACGAAACGCGTGCGAGAGACGGTTGAAAAGAGCTGGGAGGACTGAAAAGCTTTTGAACAACGAGTATTCAAAACACAGAATGCCGACGAACACTGGGCACTTCTTGTGAACAGCATTGGCAGCAAGCAGGTGACGCGCCACATCTGCGCCATCAAGCTGCGGGTCACGACATCATTGAGCGAGACGTTGGGGCTTCTACGTGTTGCTCCGAATCGAAGTGCAGGAGAAGCTAATGCGCTCCGTTCGAACTACCTCGTCTCGCGCTGTACGCACCGACGAGGAGCTTTTCGCTGCATCTACAGTATGCATAATCTCTCCGGCTCGTACGAGCTCCGCAGATCGGGTTGATGGGATTTCGGGCCAAGTCTGCACGAGACAGCACATGTGGGTCCCTATACATCTTGCAAGCCGTGTAGATCCTAGTTTGACACGAAATCCAGCCATTTTTACGAATATATCTATATCTCATGCCTGGTGCGAACTCGGACGATTTGCGAAAGTTCTGCCAGCTCTCAGAAGAGTTGCCAAGTCTGACGACGAGCATCCACGTGGAAGCGCTGTTCAACTCGTGGAATAGTCCTGAGTGTGCGTAGATGAGATGATCCTGTCGGATTGTGTAGAGCGAAGGTAGGAGTATGTCGTCCAGGAAATCCCTCAGGATGGGTTGCATTGTCTGGTCTTCACATCAATCGCTGTCGTCTATTCGCGATATGTCGGTGGCCTCGTGCCGTCTCAACATTCAGCTGAAAGTCGATATCTGGTAGACCAATTTTACGACCACTGGACAACAAATGCCGCTTTGACCGAGCCATACAAAAATAGGGGCATAAAGCCGAAACTTGTCACAGGCGTAGGACAGGAATTCGGTGTTGCACCGCTAGGTCAGAACCCGCATTTCTGTTCCAAGAAAATGTCTTCTAGAGATATCACACGCGGTCGTCATTGAGCCGGCCACGAAAAAGCTTCATCTTCAACGTACCCAGCACTTCTGCGGATTGGTGTCTGCGGCTCTGGATAGTACACTACCTGTACCAATTTTGCATTGGTCTTTGGTCACTCTTATCAGAACGTGATAAGCTGACACGCACTTGTGGTTCGGCCTCGCGACTCGGCGTTTCTGTAAGATGTCCAAACTTGTCTGCGTCGTCACTACCGGATGTTTGCCGGGTCTCACCTCCTCAACTCGATCGATCCACACCTGGGAATTTATCGTTCCAATCACCTCAGCACAACTACCTGGAGTGATACGCTTTGGATGATTGTCACTGCATTGCACATCACTTTGGATCCTCTCGAACATCCCGCCGCACGCAATACAGCTCTTTGCTGAGCCTTTGCTCTGTGATACCAACGCTATGCATGTCGTTCTTTCCCTCCTGCTTGGGCATATTTGCCTGTGCGCCAGAGCAGCATTTGTCATGGAATCCTCGCATAACACCATGACGAAGACGCCGAGCTACAACTGGGCGCTTGACAATGGCTCACAGGGCTCGTATCCAACTCACCGCTACATTACTGAGGACAGCATTACTTCTCCAGTCGTGAACTTCGCGACTTGGCATCCTGATTGCGAAAATGATCTATACACGTTAATCACACCCCGAGGAGCAGCAGTAGTACGAGCTGCACCGATGTTATTGGATCAGCGCGGGAATCTGGTTTGGACAAGATCCTTCAACAACAAATATGGTGGACAAGCCTATGGGCTAGATGTGCAAACATATCAGGGACAGGAATACCTCACCTTCTGGATTGGAGATGATCGTGTCAAAGGCCACGGATCGGGATCATATTACATGGTGGGCATGAATGCACTGGAACAGAAGTTTGTCTCGCTCCCTACATGCTGACGCCAATACAGTTAGACACATCCTATAACATAGCATACGAAATCGAGGCACTTAACGATCTCGATGCAGATTTACACGAATTCCACATTACGCCCGAAGGCACGGCCTTGTTGACGATCTATCAGGTCATCGAATATCATTCTCGGGATCTGCATAAATCTTCATCAGCAAACCAACTCGAGCCACTATTCATCTGGGACTGTTTGTTTCAAGAGATCACGATCAAATCACGAGAGCTGATATTCCAGTGGCGGGCATCCGATCATGTTGCTCTTACCGACAGCTATCGTGAAGTTGTTGGTGGCTCTCAAGAAGATCCGTACGACTATTTCCATATGAACAGTATCGAGAAGGATCACCATGGAAATTACCTCATCTCTGCCCGCTATCCACAAAGCATCTACTATGTTGACGGAAAGAGTGGAGATATCATCTGGGTCTTGGGAGGGAAAGGGAATATTTTCTCCGATTTGAGCGAGGGCTCCGCGATCAGCTTTGCGTGGCAGCACGACGCACGACTACACGCACTAGATGCTATTCCCGAGATCTATCAGCCAATTGGGGAGCGCAAAGGTGTCGAAGTCGTGTTGATCAGCATGTTCGATAATGCTGCGGAAGACTATCGATACGACTATGGTGTTGGCTACTCAAGGGGGTTGTTGCTCGAGTTGACATTTCCAGAAATATCTCATCGAGAAACAACCCAGCGACATCCGCAACGTTATTCTGCCTCAAATTATGATGAAACTGCTGACGTGAATCTGCAAAAGATTGCAGATATCAACGGGACAAATCAAGCTCACACTGTACGAGTGATTCAGTCTTATGCGAATCCTCAACTGATACGCTCCTCATCACAGGGGTCGATGCAAGTGATCCCAAGGACAAGGACCGGCAACGCAAGCGTAATAGTTGGCTATGGTTTGAACGCGGCTTGGACTGAATTCAATACTGACGGTGCTGTGATCTGTGACGTGCACTTCGCAGCTCGGACTACCTGGGAGAGCGGTGATGTACAGAGCTATCGCACGCGAAAGGCATCATGGGTTGGGCGCCCCAAATCCACGCCAGCGGTCGCGATCACGGATGATGGCATGTGGCTCTATGTCTCTTGGAATGGTGCTACTGAAGTCAACCAATGGGTGCTGCAAGCTTCAGTCGGCTATGCCAGTAACGAGGTTTGGAACGAAGTACATCGCCTACCGAAATCGAGCTTCGAGACGGCTTTCGGCTTGACGACTCACTCAGACCACGATCGATACTTTCGTATTGTCGCGCTGGACCGCAGCGGACAACCTCTGGACCATGGAACCAGTCGAGTGTTGGATCGTCAAGCCAAGGAAATGGCCAGCGCTGTTCTAACAGGCCTCACGTCCGATAAAGTCGCGGGTTTTGAGACTTTGGTCATCTCAATCTCGGTGCTCACCCTCGGTGTTTGCATCTTCCTGGCGTGGTATTCAGCAGGACCTCATGCGAGCAATCATCATTACGGGAGAGACAGCCCCGGTGTTCTTATGTGGCAGAAGGGTGTGGCTTACGCGCGATTGCGAGCCGGCTCTGGATAATAAAATGGGTCGTTGACGGCCGATGACAGGCACGAACGCTGACGCCTTCTTTCCAGTCTTTGTCATATGACAGTGTGCGAACACAGTATGCACGGTGTGAGAAGAAAGAGGTTGCGTCAGTTTTATCTTTTGCGATCAATGGAGCTTTCAGCCTGTCACATACAGCCTCAGAATTGAACTTCATGCGGTGTCGTTGTAATCACAGTCAACTAAGATGTTCCAGGACTTCTGAAGCATCAAGTGTAGCTAGATGAAGTGAGGTGCTGCAGTTGGTGGATGGGCCTGGTCTTACAACCCTAAATTTGTCCACTACCTAGGTACAGGTGCTTCGCCATCTCCAAAAGTTCGTTCCAGCTTCAGCGTGTCAATTGCATAGTCGTCGGCGTACACCTTCACCCTGAATTTTCAGCCGGGCGTGGTCGAGAATGCTGACAACACGAAGGCCGACGCCAACAACAGTGGCCTTCACAGTATCCACAGCGTCACCCAAGAACACAGTGGCAGCGATCGCACCAAGCTACTTTTTCATCGCTCTGCGTATCCTGCTCGGTCTGTATGTCTGCACGGCATTGCTATTCGAGGGTGCAGCAGCTTTCCCTGGATTCGTCGTCGTCCGAATTGCAGCGACATTTTGTCAAGAATCTTTTGGATTGTCCAACGGCTATCAGATAGCGCAGCAACTTTCCAACAATTTGCATGTCGCATGGCGATTGGTGCTCTGCGCTGGCCTGGGCTGGATTGTCTTACGACGTGGTTATACTGAGGAATCACTACTGGTCGTGCGAGGACTCGGTGTCCAAACGAGCTCTACTGGTTCGACGTGGTTGGCAACAACTTCCACTCGATTTATTCCCACCAGTGCAATTCAAGACATATTGATTCACGAAGCCTTCAAGGGCTTCGAGGTACGATTTTATATGGCCATTGTGGTCGCTGGTGGCGAAGATGCCGTTGTCGTGTTCCCTGTAAGCTCTCAAGTCACGTTGCTTGCGAAAGGAGCATACTGATCACATAACGGCGCAGAAAATCATGCCAGGACGCGAAGTCTTGGAAAAGGTGTGGAGAGGAGCGAAGGCGTGTCTTTATGAGCCAAAGACCTGAGACTTTCGCAAACATTAATTGTTCTTCGGATTTAATCCTAGAGTTCTGTTCCCTCTGGAGTCGGACCTTTCGAGTCAAGTTTCTTACCCTTCCGTGTCGCGTATCGCGCGTTAACGACGTCCGGCTCTTCCATGCAAGCACGCTGCGTGATGGGAATATAAGTGCCTACAGTTCTGGAGGCCTCGCCGCCATCGAAAATTCTGTCACTCCGGTCCCCGATAACGTTGTTTGATCCGATCGATGCTGGCTGTCGACGACGATCCTGCATCGCAACTGCACCCATCAATCCCCAGGCCAGAACTTCGTCGATGCGACGCTTTCGCCAAAGAGCCCACAGATCGTCCATCAGCACGTCACGACGCTGTCTCGTATTGAGCACCGAGTCCTTAGACTGTAGAATCTGGATCTGTCCGTTGTCTGCGCTGTCATTGTAAATCCATTCCATGGCATTTTCAAAGCTAGGGACCACTGTTGCAGGATCCGATGCATAGTCGCCGTTCGCAGCCTCTTCGCGAGCAGGAAAAATGCAATCCCAAAGAACCAGAGGCACGTCGCTAGCCATCTCATATAACGGCTTTGCTGGTGTGCGGGAGATGTCTAGGAGCGTATCCACGATAGCTGGCGCTTCGAAGCCTTGGCCAACCAGGAATAGTACAGCCACCAAGTGCCGGACCTGGTGCCACAGAAAGGCACTACCTCGGACCTCGAAGTAGTATAATTCAGGCGGTGCCAGGCCTCGCGGTTCTGCGCCACTGCTCTTCTCTATTGAGTCTCCATGAACCCGATGGATTCCGGCGTGAAATATGCGGCGCTGGAAATTGGTTATCTGTTTACTTGGATCGACTTTGCAGAAGTTTCTAAAATCATGAAGTCCTTCATATTTTTTGGCTGCTGCTCCCATGGCCTCAATGTCCAACCAACCCTCATCCGTGGTCTGGCCGGCCTGGAGCTTGTCATGTTCCGACCTCCGCTCAGGCATTGGGTAGAATGCGGGATTAGTGAAGAAATACCTATACCGCCTCTCTCTACAGTCGAACCTGGCGGAGAAGTCTGGCGGCGGACGCGCGCACCACGCAAGCATGCGGATGTCTGGCGGCAGTACCTTGTTCAGCATCTGAACATATGGGATCTCGTCGCGCACATCATCAAATGGTACCATGGCGGAAGTGGACTCGACATCGGTCTCTGCTGAGTCTAGCCCAGTCTGAAGATCGCTCTCCACTCCCGCGACATCATCAGGAGCATTCGCTTCGCTCTGCCGCAGTGCAGCTGGATTTCGTGGTTTCGGCCGATTGCTTCGCACCCGAATGCCTATGACTTGTCCAAAAGCACTCACACCACGATCTGTGCGTCCACATTTGCTATAATCGCAGCCATCCCATGTCACCTCATCTTCCCTTTGTCCGACCTTTCGTGTTGGGAAGATAAGGCGGGTCTTGTGCAGCGCCCGCCAAACCTCCTCTTCGATCGTTGGCAGAGGTGTGGTATTGTTGGTGTGGTGCTCGAAGCCATTGTAGTTGCCGCCTAGATAGGCGAATTTCAATGCAATCAAGCGCGTCGTGTACCTGCTCGGGTCGAACTGCTTCGGCGCCTTTCTTGGCTTCTTCCGCGGAGGATCATGAGAAGTTGAAGAGCTTGTGGGCCCATTTGTAATCTTCCTGACTTGGTCGTTCTTTGCACGAAGCTGGACTTCAAGCTCCGACACACGCTGGATAAGGTCGGCGTGACTCCAAGATGTGTAGTCTGGAGGAGACGTCATTGGTGTTGTTCGAATTGTTGTTGTCACTATAGCTCTGTGCTTTGGAAACACGAGATGCAGTGTTCGTGATGCAGAAATGATTCGCAAACTGCAATGAGCTCCGATCAGCATAACATATGGCTGTTTCATAGCCTTGCCATTCTACAGTGTTTATATGTATAAACTTTTTCCCGAGCGAATGACGCGGGAGTTCTCTAACCCATCACGTGACTAGTTCGTTGCATCAGAGGAGGTCATCGCAGTGCTTCAAAGTCAATTTTGCATTTGCAAGCGACTCATGCAAATTGCGTCAAGCGATATGATGACGGCGGAGAGAAGCGTAGATGACACGAAATGCTCAATACGCGCGGCTTGGAGTCAGGCCGCTGATCTGCTTGCGTCGAAATGAAATGAAATGAAATGAAATGCACGTGTCCAAGGTTGCCCCTACGCATTGTCGGTTTTATGGAGAGTAACCACCACTAGGAGCACAGATGGTTATACGATTACGAGTTCCATCGCGGAATCCTAGTGACGGGTTCGTTGGAGCGCTGGTGGTGGTTCCAGCTCAATATCTTCAGGTAGCAGAATTTCATGTCCACTCCCGTTTCTGACCCGATGACTGATAATGCAGCCGATTGCTGCAATGACAGCCACCAGCCACCAGGCTAATTGTCCGATACCCTTCTCAACACTTACACCATACCAATAAGCTGCAATCATAGGCCCAAGGGTCCGAAATGCTGCGGAATCAGCACTGCCCAACCCATGCACAGTGCCAAGCACACTGGGATGCGGCGAAGCATTGTTTAAAAGGATGATCGCTGCAGGCATTGTGAACGTGCGCGCCGAAACTTGCAATACCAATACCGAGCTGATGCCAGCCCAAACGAGAAGGCCGCTTGCTGATGCAGGCGGAGCATCGCGTGAAGGTATGGAGGAGAGGAATGGCGTCAAAAAATATGCCACGGGGAAAAGGGGCAGCGACCAACGGAAGCAACGCAGCAGACCAAATCGCTGAGTGACTGAAGGGTACAAAAGTAGTTGCAATGCACCCCCAACGAAGCCTAGAATTGCCATTGAGTTCCCAATCAAGATGGGAGAAAAGCCGAGTCCAGATGACCTGGTCACATCAGTCCTCCAGTGCAGACTAGCGTTTCGCCCCTGGCTTCGTTCTTCATTCACAAAGTCAGCATTACTCAGTCGGGGTCCTGCAAGGAAAAGAGTCCATAGATTGGCAAACGCTCCCAGATGAAAGTCGAAGATGGCAATGCTAAGCAGTGTCCAGATCAGATTTGGCGTCCAGATCTGGAAAAACGACATCCTTGGAGTCACGCCGTCCAACTTTGCATGGCTCGACTGTACTTCATTCTCGTCATGATCATCCGAGTTGGCCAGGAGACCTTCATTTTGATGCACGACAGATGAAGCATGCCGATCGCCCATCTTGAATCTTGTGGTCAAAAGTTTGTAGCAGGTGCGCGCAACCTGGAAAGGACTAAAAACCACCATGTTCATAGGTTGTTTGGCCTTCAATGTCTCATGCAAGCCGGAATGAACAAGGACTGCCTCTGTGAACAACAGCGCTGTGCTCAACAAGTTGGCCAGAGCGAATGGGTACTGCCTCATCCACGTCAATCCATCATCGCCACCCAGGAGGCTATGTGGACCAAACAGGGAGGACATATTGGTATATGGATAAATCAACAGGCTAGTAAATACGGGACCGGCAACATTGGCGAAATTGAAGGCCACGGGAAAGAATAGGAATGCTCGAGAATGCCAGGGTTTCGGTATGCACTCAGCGACCAATGTCCGCGCTGACCCGACAGTGCCATTGATCGCACCAGTGAGCAGCCGCCATGCCACTGCTTGCTGAAAATTACTGCTGAAGCCAAGACCGGCGCAGCCAATGCCCGTTCCGATGAGACCAATGTTAAGCACAGTCTTTCTCCCGAATGCAGGGTGGTCGGCTACTCTGCCCCAAATAATGCTTGTGATGATCTGCGCGGCTGTGAAGGAGCCTTGGAGAATACCTGCTTGATATGCAATCGTTGCCTGCGAAAGGCTCGGATCGAAGCTCTGCAATTGGTGGACCATAAAAGTTTGCAGTGCTGCCTGCTGAAAGAAGTCCACGAATCGCGAAAGTGCCAAGATGAATAGTTGGTCTTTATTGGGTAAATTTTTGAATGTTGGAATTTGTGATTCTGTTGGTCCAACACTTTCGACGTGATCTTGATTCCTGGTGTTCTCCATCATAAAAAGGAGCCTGTTGTAATGGCGCCGTTTCAAAGGGTGGGCAGTTGCGCAATCGTCGCTTGGTAATCAGCCTCCAAGTATTAGAAGGTTCCTGATGTGTGACCGTCAAAGGTGGAACGATAATTGTTCGAATGCATTGTGAGAGACTACGTTGAAGGATCCCTTGTTGGCAGGATCGACCTGCAACGAGCACAAAGAGCGGCGCGGTGACTCAGGCGCATCTTTCATGATTGCAACGATTATGACATTGTTGGGGCGCCATCCTCAACAAGATTCAAGCTGTCCACAGGTGTCAGCGAGGTCCATCAGAGCCCTAGAGTCATTAAAGGATAAGAATCGCATGCGCATGTTGTGATCACTTATCTGAGCGACGTCATGCTTACAACGTCCAGACTCCAACAAATTCGGGGCCTGCCATGAGGTACGAGATCTGTTATTTCAGTACCTAGTGTGTTCCCAAGCATTACGCAATTTGTATGCACACGTTATTGCGCACAATCGCCGCCTCACGTCTGTGTACCAATGAATATGACGAGAACGTGAAGCATAGTAAGTTTCAGGCATTGTCAGCGGCTTCAGACGCGGTGGCACGCAAATGTACAGTATGTACATACGCAAATCGGCTTGGACACTCCCGGAGACGGGCTTGAATGGCGACCTAGTCTGCGAGAACACACACAGGCATGAATCTATCCAGGTTCGTATGACACGTCTGATCACCTGAGACACACACAGCCAATCCCAATATCATGGCATAAAATAATTAGTAGTCGTGAAATATTTCATAAGGAGATATCGATCTGAGCGCTGTCCAACAATTGATAATAACAGTGATGCTGGCCACATGCAATCCGCCGCCAATGAAAGGAATGCCATGTATAGTGCGTGCATGATGATCATTTCGAGCGAGAAGAAGAAGGATGAGCTATTGAAAGACTCGACAAGAATCTCCAACAGATATGCGTCACGTCAACGCTTCGGCTAGTAAGGCATCACAACACCCGCAAGATGTCGCCGAAGAGCAAATTCACAGTTATGCCCGCTCCGAGCACAACTGCGATCAAGGTGATTCCCAATACTGCCATCCGTAACAAGACATTCATTAGCTGCGCGCGATTACGCCGTCGGCACCGTTCGACGAATCCGTCCGTGTCGTTCACATGCGGGAACTTGGTTTTGATGGGCATAGGCACTTGAAGGAAGTCGCACAGAGGCTGCCAGCCTTGACCCATTCGATACTCGAGCAGATTTTCCTTTGGTACCATCGCACGCACTTCTTCGTAATGCTCCCGGAAACGTCGCTTGCCATTCTTTTCGAAGTCGCCTTCCCAAAAGACGTCCCAGAACTCTGCAAACTCGTGTGTCAGTTAGAGGAAATTTTTGACACGTCATGAACAGGGTGGCAAAGCACTGGAAATCATCGGCTGATAGAGGCCAGCCGCCCAATCGAACTTTGAGATCATTTCCAGCTCCGGATCGGTAGCACGCCAATGAACGGTCCTCAGGGTACTAGCGTGCCAGCTATCGACATCCCTCGTTGTCAGTATGACTTTGGCGTCAGGATAGGCTTCGATCAGCTCTCGAGCAAAGGCTACTGCAGGCCAGTCGCAGATGGCTTGACAATGTCCAGTGAGTTGGTCCCATTGCTCACGACCAAATCTACCCTTGCCATCAAACTTGGCCGCCAGTGCATCCGACCACATCAGACAATCTGGTGGGTTCTCCACAGCTGCTGACAGCATGTGATAGCAGTCGTCGAAGCCAATCTCCTTGAGCGCGTTTCGAAGCGATGCAGTGCCGGTCCTTCCCAAGCCCAACGCCAGTATCTTCATGGGCACCACGCGGCTACATTCTCGTCGATTGATATCGGTGTCAGAGGTGAATAGATCCGTGGCCGGCTTTGGCGTGTACGATTGAAACGCCATAGTTTGGTCGTGTTGCCGACGAGCAGGGCTCTGCAGAGAACGAGGAAATACGTAGCGAAAAGCGAACCGATTCCATCATTGGCGAAGGTATGAGCTCTTTGTGAGATATCACGGCAACCATGATGGAGATCGTGCGGCAATCGCGATCGCCTGTAGTATGAATCGCCGGAAATGTCGCATAGAGCAACTGCGCCTTCAGTCATCGTTCTTGGCTGATGACGATGCGGTGATCGTAGTGAGGCGACTTCCGGTGCAAGTTCATCACTCCAGCTTGTTTGAACCTTGAATTTGTCTGATGGACGTACGCGTTGCTCACGCCAAGCATCTTGCGGCGTATTGGAAATGGGTTCGACCTGCGTGTCACACTCTAATCGCTGCCAAGTCTTACAGCTCCATGAAAGTTCCGTGGAGATATCCGTGGATCGCCGGAGGTGGTGCTGTGATTAGAATCTATATTCTACGCGACGGTCAATATCAATGAATATCAAGTTTTAGGTAGATTGCATGAATATTAATCCGCCCTTTCGAAGAAGTAGATGGGAGCTGTCCGTAGCCCCGTTGTGCTTGAGTATGTTATTTTCCGAAGGCTGTAGTAGCAGTGATGATATTCACAAGCCACCTGGGCACATGGGAATGCCCAAAACCGTGAAGCAAACAGCCTGAGTCTTATTCAGTACGACATCCATCTTGCACGACTCTCTGCTTGATATAACGCGTCGAACGCGCCTCACGCCACGTCATGGCTCTGCTCGAGAGTTTGAAATGGGTTCATGGTGACCGCTACCCCTTACTTACCTAGGTACACACCGAATCGTGTTTCCACGCAACAGAGCATTTCGGCGTAGAGGGAAGCCTTCACAGCCATAAATCGGCCAACTTCGCCGCCAAAGGGCAAAGTGCCTATTTTAAGGTGAACCCTTCGCTCTCGTCGATAGCTCTCCACAGCTTCTCTTCCAATTGCTCACGCCGCTCGTAATGCCACAGTACGAGCATGTTGAAACAAGTCCGAGCAATGGGGAACCGCATACGCGCCTCTTCGCCACCACCTCCCCATCCATCACCCCCAGCAACAATGCGCAAGACCAGACTCGTGGCACCCAAGGCCGGAATCCGGTCACTCCCAGTGACGAATGTCAGCAGCAGCCTTTGCTTCTCCGACGACGCCTCACGGAAGATTTCCCAGAACCACATGACGACCGGTACGCTCTCCGCAGGATCTGCGATAATCCGATGTGGCTCATCAGGTTCCTTCCAGTTTTCATGGATCGCGACGCCACGAAGCAAGTCTACGTCCAGCATTTCCTCACTCCCGCGCACGAGCATCTCGATCTCCTCTGCACGGAAGAGCGAGAGGGCGTTGCCAGCGCACACTGTGAAGAAACCGCGCTTGAAAGGCTCGAATTGCCGTGCAACTGCGCCGTCGAGTAGATATCGCACGTACGTGTCGACAAACTCATGGCGATTGGCGTTGGTCACGGGTATGTTTTCTCCATTCGGCTTGAGCGGCACCGTCACGACCGTTCCAAAACGGTCTCGAGACGCCACGAAATCCCAGCAGTACGTGGATTCGACGTCGCCTTCGAAATTCAGGAGCTGTTGCAGTCCTGCCGCCAACATGGGTCGAAATTCGGCGAGGTCAGCCAACGTGTAAACCATCTGAACCTTGGTAGCCGCCATGATCGGAGATGTCAATGCCGAATTATTCGCCATCGGAGCTGCTGAAAGTAGTTTGCGAAACACAAAGGACGGAAGAGCAACATCGAGGATGGTGCTGTTGTATATCGCGAGTCCGAGTAGAGCACCCACAAGGTAGTACTGGTCCGAAGTCTCGAAGGAGTTGGAATTAAAGTAGCATACGTTAGAGTCCTCGTCGTAGATGAACATGCCGTGGTTTGGGTCGAATATGTCGCGCACCAGCATGAGAAACCACTCCTTGCGAGGTCCGCCAGCATCGACACCCTCTTCGCCAGTGAAGTGCACGCGGAGTCCCTTCTTCAATTCCTCCTGGCCCGCGCCCACAGCCTCGCTAATTTGTCGCAGGCTATCGTCCACAATACACTCTCTGCGTATGCGGAGGTGGAAGTGGCCATCCATAACTCGCTGCCGCACAACCTGGTCGAAGTACGCCTCGCGAGCTTTTATCTCCATTTGACGACGAGCGTCATACTCCAGAATTTTGATCTTGGTGCCCATAGAAAGAAACAAAGGGTATTGACAAAAAGCAAACTTGTCCCGCTTGGCTTCCCAGATTCTGTAATCGGCAATCATGTCGTAAAAGTCCAGCAATGTGTTGTAAAATGTTGAGGTGTGCAGAAGCTGTCCGCTCTTGCGCCCTCGGCCAGCCGAATGCGCGGTGGATTTAGATGCATTCGGCTCGGAGCGGTTTGACATACCGCGAGGTTGGTCGTGCCAAATATTGTTTGCTGCAAATAGAAGAGACATGACTTTTGCTGCGGCTTTGAGTTGCCAGTCGTCGGCCCAGTGAGGTTCTTGCTCCCCGTTCTCGCCACGTTTCTTCGACATTGGTCCGCTGAGGCCCATGGCGGTGAGCAATTGAGCAGACGTGTTTGATGCAGAGCCAGAAAGATCTGGGATGAGCCCACCATCATCGATGCTGCTTCCACGATGCGCCATTCTACTTCCATGAGATATACGATGTGTTACAAAAAGCGCGACCAGGTCGACAATCTTGACTAAATGAGGCTCCTCAAGATACGCAAACCACCCTATGAAGTATCTGTGGCAGATTTCTGGTGCGTTGGCCAAAATACCAAAGGTCCGCTTGAATATCCCGCTATGTGGAAGGGTTTCTAAGCCCTTGGATCGACCCGGCGTCTTGTTAGGATATTTGAGGTTGTCGGAGCCGTGCTGTCCTTCATCAGATTGCCGCTTGGGGCGACTGTCGTAAGGCGAGAGAGGACTGTTCACGCGGTGCTGCGACTGATGCAAGGAGGGATTGGAAAGCAGGATGAACAAGAATCTTGTCTCCTCAGCTTCCTTCATTGGGCGAGAGGGCCTCTTCAGAATGTTCTCCGTGATTTTCAGTAGTGCGCGCAGTGTGTGCTCTTTAGCTGCCAAGAGATCTTGGTCAATTTCGTTGGCATTCTGCTCGCCATCCAGTCCAGTCTTGGATGAGCCTGGGAACTCGGCACCGATGCCGTCGACTTTGGTGCGCCATGACATTCCAGCAGCGTGGATCAGACCGTACCATGCATTCAGCTCCTGCCAATTGATGTTAGGCGATCTGGACGAAACTGCTCTTCGTGCATGATCGCCGGATCTTCTTGAATTTGATTCCCCTTCATGACGTCGGCGTTCTGTCCGTCCTGTCCACCAACTGCCATTCTCTCCGATATCTCCTAGCAAGAGAGTCTTGGCATCAAGTTCTGACAAGCCACCCGTCAGAGAGTGTTTCACCTCAGGGACGGGGGCTGGAGGCGGCTTGGGAATGTTGCTTTCGCTACGTGTGCGGCCAATAAATGCAGGTCGATGGGTATGGAACGACTTATTCAAGCATTGATATTCTCCGAAGGTAGCGACCAAGTAGTCTTCCAGAGGTTTGAAAATGGTTTTGACCCGATCATATTGGTTTCGATCATCAGAAACCTCGGCGTATGGTCTACGGGCTACACTGTGGCGTTGCTGGAGTAGTGGGGTCCCGTGCGGAGGGCCACTCCTAGGATGCAACATATTTGACAGCGGTCGCGATGCAACAATTGCAGGTGGCGGCGGCGGAGGCTCTCTCGTGGGTAAAGGAGGCTCATGCTGAGCGTCACGGGATTGCATGGGTGTTGTAGCAAGTTCTTGCGCAGGCGAGCTGTCGCCTCTCTGTTCTTCGTCGGTAGTGATTGTCAATAGTGCATGGTCCGGTGCGCTGCGTTCCAGGTATTCAGTTGGAAGAGAATCAGGTGTGGAAACATTGCTGCCATCATGCAAGGACGCGTCGTGAGGCTTGTTGGGGTGTCGAAGACTCAGCCCAACCGTGTCTCTTCTTGGAGATGCAGCACGTCGCGTATCAGGAACAGTATCCCCTTGCGGACGGCATCGAGCCTTCAAATATGCGACTACACAGTGATCGATAATCGAACGTGTCCGTTCGAGGGAAATCACTGCTGGTGGTCCAGTCACAGAGGACTTTGCGTCGGAGCGTCCAGGCACATGTTTACGTTGCCGACCGTCGGGCTGATCTTCATACGGAACCAGGTCATTGACGGTCAGACAACACATGCATCGAAACTTTGATAGACCGCTGGGCACCTTCACACGGCTATTGCAGCACATGCATCGTCTGGGAATCTTGTCATCCCCGTCGGGCTTGGTCTTGCGACTACTATACGGTGTGTGATCGTCGACATCTGGTAGCAAATCGTCCTCAAAATGGGCCTCTGTCTCTTCGAACCTCAGGTCTCGATTGCTTTTTTTGCGGCTAAACAACTTAGGCAGAGGATTACTCGACGAACGGTTGTGAGAGACTTGCTTGATGTTCGGAGTGTTGGCCAGACTGGGCGATCGGGCATCCCCGTCGCGTTGGGTTTGAGGCCGCTGGGTGGCGGGCGGCAGAACGCGTGACGACAGTCTGTCATGGCCGTTGACGTTCATATCATGTTGCGTCGGCTTGCCGCCTGAATTATTGCTGCCATCATTGGTGTTGCTGCTCCCAAAAGGTGTGCGCGACGATGATGACCACGGCGTATGAGGCATCTGAGAATCACAAGAGGGCTCATGAGCGCTCAAAGGAATGACTGGTCCGATGAACGAAGCCAGGCCGTTGCTGGTGGTGACTGGGTACCATGTCAAGAATGATAGACAAGTGGAACTGGTCTACATTTGCGTGCAGTAATTCAATAAAGGACGCCTGCATAATAAGAGCGATGTCGTTTTCATGGGAGCCTTCCCACCACCTTGTGAGGATGATTCCTACTCGTATTTGGCAGGAACGGGCTTAACGAAGCATGCTACCAACTCCAGCTGCAGGACAAGCCCTGTGGATCATGCTCCTGTCCACGGGTACCGCAGAAACAATGGTAAACAGTCAGATGTCTCCAAGCTGAGCCAATTTGTGACCTCGCATGGAGCGATCACACGACATCTCTAAAGTGACTCGGTCAGTAATTGAGCTATGTGCTGCTCTGTTATATTTTATACGTCAAGATCCTTCTGCATGGAATACAGTGTAACAATCGTGGTATTTAGGCCGCGGTCTCTATCAATTTTACGCGCCCGATGACTGAGGCCCTACAAAATTTAAAACGAGCTGGAAGCTGTCGTCACGAGGGGCATCGCAACTTCGGGTCCGAGATTTTTAGCATACGCGGTACGCCATTGTGCACTTTTGACGATCTCACCTGTTGCAATTGAACGCTCGAGGCACGCTCGTATTCTCGGCCCGACAGCCGGTGACTTTATGATCACCGCCATACCGCCATTCCGTCCGCGGTCGTGGTTTTAACATGCGTTGCTTCGCCGTGTGATGGATTCGTTAGATGGCGCGAAATTCAACACGTTTTTGACATTCATTGGTTTCATTTCTCGGATAACCGATCTGCCAGAAAAATGGACTTGATCTACGGTGGTTCGATCTTTTGTCCCTATGTAACCATGCAAGAGCGCTCGCAGAAACAACCCAGCCACAACTCCTGCGCGACTGCGCGACAAATCCGAAGTGTAACAACCATGAGATTTCTGCCCACAAGATGCAGAGCATCTACCGGTATCGCCAGAGCGACAAAGTGTTGTTGCGCTTCCAGGTGTGACGACGACCAGCAGTGGTGTTGTTGTAGCGGTGACCCTTGTTCAAACCTCTGCTCTTCTTGCCAGTCGAAGTGAGGCCGCGAGACTCGCGGTGCTTGTGAACGGGGTTGACGATCCAGTTGATGCGCGGGTCCTTTCGGATAGCCTTGTGCTGAGGGTCGACAAGGATTACCTCGTAGTATTTGTAAGTGCTGTCCTGGTTGATCCAGTAGCTGTTGAGGACTCGCAAGTTGGCGCAGCGGCGACCAACACGCTCCTCGGCGGTGGAGGCGAGAGAACGTTGGTATTTGAGAGAGTTCACACCCTGGTTGGTGGGTTTACCTGCAAAACATGTCAGATGCTGTCCGATTATTTGTATCCGCCCTATACCACATACCAAAAGTGGCACCCTTGGCCACAGGCTTCTTGCGACCTCCACGGCGCACACGCACACGGTAGATGACATAACCCTGCTTGGCCTTGTATCCGAGGCGGCGTGCCTTGTCCGGTCGGGATGGGCGCGATGCGCGGTGGACAACGTTGAGTTGACGGAGCTAAATTGAAAGTACTCTCAGCAATGTTCAACGAGTACAGTCAAGGCATAGGCACTCTCTGCACTTCATGCCGCTCATCAGGAGCCTAGGGTGCGTACCTCCCAGCATCGAACGCGGAGCAAGAAGCGGATGACATCCGACTGCTTCTTCTTTTGCAACTCCTCGAGATACTTGTGAGCACCCATCTGGGACAAATATCAGCATGCTGTCGTGGTGACCAAATTTCACAAGAATGCGCGACTGTCATTGCAGACCATGCATCTGATTGCGATCCTTAGTCGTACCTTGAATTGTTGGTTGCTTGTTGTGGTGTGAGTGTCTGGAATCTGTTCGACAATCTGTTTATGATTTCCTTCAAAATCCCATTGACTGACTCGCGAGGTGCGCTGCCAAGACTTCGCTGGATCACGTGACTATGACTTGTAGAGGCACGTAGCCTGAAATTCTTGTGCGGAACTCTCCGCGAGGAATCATGCCACAAAACGGACCTGGGCAGCCACGGTCTGCACCGCTGCTAATCGCTTGCTCTCTACCAACAGTCGTACGCGTAAATGGATCCCGAAATATACTCGATCCTGGATCAATGAGGAGGACTGCTGGATTACAATATCGCCGATACGTTATTTCCGTGACAGCGACACCACATGCAGATTGAACAGCCCTCTCGAAGTGCTACAACATTGCGATCCATCATTGACAGATCATCGCTATTTGACCCGTGAAAAGCGGGTGATCGTGACGTTGGGACGACATCGCGGGCGTGAAAACACGACCGTTACCATTGCTCTACATGTACAGCAATTTACTGCTCGACGCGGGTGATCTACGCGGGCAAACTGTGGGTCTGATCGCAGTCATCGGTAAAAGAGGCTTGCAGATAGAGTTGTCATCGAAGGATTGACCAACCGGTTCTCCTCTCTCAACTCTTGCCCTTCTCTAGGGAATGAAGTCATATGGCCTGTGGACGATACACTGGTAATTTCCATGATTTAGGAAGGGTGGTCCGTGGTTGTTTCTGATTGCGATGGGGAGCGGGAACACACCCAATCGTGTGTGTGTCAATCCTGGTCATAACAGAGCTTTTGAGGGCCTGTCATTATGAAATGCAAAAGGTACCCGTGCCTGCCAGGCTGCCACGATCGACTGGACCTGCTGTTACAGATGGTGCGGGCGAACCACCGAGAAAAAAAGGGCCGGGAGACAGAAAGCGGTGATGATTGCGACAACCGATGACAGAACCCGCCGCTAAAACGCAACGGTCGTGATCGCTCGCCCTGAAGGTAATGAATTGGGGCAGTGGGAATGGAGAGGAAGGCGCGAACGCACGAACGGTTGGCAGCGGGGTCGGAATATCCGGGGGGGGCGTGAACTTCACCTCGGATCGGAGGGCCAGCCTAATCTTGTGTGGGACAGTGCAGTCTCCCAGTATGCGCTTGGTGCTGCTAGGCCGCGAGCAGACCGGCCTCTACGCCCGATCAATCACCCAGGAACTGCTACAAACGCGCTGCCATCATAGTGCTGTACATCTGTGATCGATGGAAAACGTGAGACCGCGTCCGTGTCTATGGACAAGTTCTTGTAGAAACTTCTGCGCATGCCCTCGATTCAACCTTGCCACAACCTTTGAGCTCTCTGCCTACCTCCGTTGAGAATCACCTCAATATCCATTCTACATGTCTTGCGCTCGATCTCGTTGCTTCCCACTCAAGCTTCGAAGTCTAGAGGTTAAGCAAACGCCGCGGGACTAGCGACCTGGACATTTACATTGACAACTGCAATCGCCCATTCTGATACTCACCGATCATAGAGATCCTCTTCCACTCCTACCTCGCTAGGGTCATCAAGCAGTCTACTGCTATTAAGGCCGGAGCAAATGGTGTACCGTGGGAAGCCCAGTGCAGGATGTGAAAACTGTCGCAAAGCCAAGAAGCGCTGCGGCCTAGAATTGCCTGCCTGCACCAGATGTGTGAAATTACGCAAGGTTTGTGCGGGCTATCGCGACACCACTCAGCTCCAAATTCAGGATGAGAGCGAGGCTGTTCGACGTAAGGCAAATCGGACGAGACGAAGGAGCCCCTCATCGACAAAGCCAAACGCGGCTCCAGAGAGCGGACATACATCAACAACACTGCCGAACAACCAACTCCCTGGTGAACAATCTTTCAAAGCCGAGATCAAGGCCGAAACGCCCAGCCTGGCTCTAACAACACAGGCTATCCCGACCCAGGCTTTACAAAGGACCCGAGCGCCCAGTGCTGCCGGTCCGTCTTCATGGCTACGACCTCCTGCGCCGGTCCCATCAGGGGTCGACGAATTGGCCGTCAACTATTTCTTCGATCAATTCACGGCATCGAGCGGACACTGGACTTTCTTGCGCGATGCTGACATGACCATCATGAAGGATCCCCTGCTTGACGTTTCCATGCGAGCCTGCGGCATGGCGGCCTTGCACAATGTCAGAGGTGTCGTGATGGGTCGAGAGTATGCGAGATCTGTGTACGGGCAAGCGATCGGTCTGCTCAACACGGCTTTGCGCGATCCAAAGATGTGTCGGCTTGACTCCACGCTCATCTCTGTGGCAATGCTGGGATATTACGAAAACCTTGTTTGCGACAGCATGGACTCGGTCCGATCCTGGAAGGCTCACATAAGCGGCGCAACGCAGTTGCTGCATCTGCGCGGCAAAGCCCAATTCAAATCGAGTGTGGGCAGGATGCTATATCGTGAGATACGCACGCAGGTGCTGATTAGTTGCATCTGGGACCAGCAAGAGCCTCCAGCGTTCATTCTGGAGTGGGAGACCGAGCTACAAAAGCAGAGCTCGCTTTCCGGACAGGCAATCGCACCACCGGATCGTTTGGCAGTGATTAGCTTCGATTTCGCCACGCTCCTTTTCCAAATCCGATCACAAACCATCTCCAACGAGACCGCTCTGCACGAAGCTGCAGACATACAGATGCGCATGATTCAGTGGTCAATGAGCACCATGTCTTACGGCGAAGCATGGCGATTCAATGATCTTGCGGTGCCCGAGTCTCCACACGTGTGGAATGGCACAGTCCATGCATACAATAGCCTTCCCGCTGCTGGAGTCTGGAACACGTATCGCATCCTTCGGATCATGCTCACCCGGACGCAGGAAGACCTTTGCAAAATGAATGGAATGGGTGGCGAAGCATTGCGGATGAGGGTCACGAATTTCCGTGCCGTACGCCGACAGATGACTGACGAGATCTGTGGTGGCATACCTAGTCAGCTTGGCCATGCGGCGCCGGGGCTCAACTCACAGTGTGTTTTGATCACTGCGTACGCATCCATCTGGCCTCTATTCTTCGCCAGTGTCTGTGCGTTGGAGCGTGTAGGATATGATGCATGGGACGGCTGCCTGCAGGTGGATCAAACCCACGCGCCCGATGATAATAACTCAATGGGAGCAGCCCAGGTCGCCTGGCTAATAGGAAGAATCGGATACATTGGCAATCATGTCGGGCTGCGATGGGCAAATGGATTCGCACAGGTATTGAGAGGCGACGCGAAAGTCAACTCTCGAATGCTCAACCGGTAGGTTTCACAAATCGTCCTGCTGAACGCGCACAGTGTGGAGATGCTAACATACCGCAGCGATAACCGTCGACTTGAAAAACTAGTGTTGAGGCCCACTACAGCTGCAGATCATAGCGCGGAACCTTCCTCGGCCTCTTCACACAACTTGATAGCACATCCTTCGATCGAGGACGGTAATTCGGAGTTCCCCTGATCACAGCCTCGCCACCTTACAAATTTTGCGGTCGGGATCGGAACCAGTTTGTGCGCATGTGTCTGTGTATGCACAACACAACTCGCAGAACAGGCGCATCATGACATATCGGCCATCTAGATCTGGGTGAATCGCAAATATGGCTTCACCTCGCGCACCTGACCGAACTTCTTCTTCGCGTCCTCGGTGCTCACGGTAGGCGGCACAATAACATCATCGCCCACTTGCCAATCGATCGGGGTGGTGACGCCCTTCTTGTCGCCCGTCTGCAAACTGTCAATCACGCGCAAAACTTCGGAAGTGTTGCGGCCGGTGGAAGCTGGGTACATCATTGTCAAGCGAATCTTCTTGGCGGGATCGATGATGAAGACGGAGCGAATGGTGAAGGCAATACCCTTCTCATCAATGTTCTGCAGGTCCTGCTGGTCGACCATGTCGTACAAGAAGGCGACCTTGCGGTCCGCATCGGCAATGATGGGGAATTGGAGGTCAGTTTGGGAGAGCTCGTTGATGTCGGCGATCCATCGCTCATGACTCTCCAGACCATTTGCGCTCTACGGTAGCGAATAAAAGCCATTGTCAGCCTTCATCTGCATCCTCAGAGGCATGTGTGGCCTCCTCAGGGAGGCGCAAGGGTCACATACCAGACCAATCATCTTAACTTGTCTCTTCTCAAACTCATCTTTCAACTTGGCAAACGCACCCAGCTCGGTGGTGCAGACCGGAGTGAAGTCGGCAGGGTGGGAGAACAGCACTGCCCACGAGCCTCCGAGCCATTGATGAAAGTCAATGTCGCCATGGGTCGTCTTGGCCTGAAAGTTGGGCGCCACGGATCCCAGTCGCAGACGCGGCTGCTCGGTCGCGAGAAAACGGCGGAAGATGGGTGACGAAGCTTGTCGAGCGATGAAGCTGCTCGGGCGGGCAGTGTCGGACAGTCGACTAACGTGGCGAGCGGCGCGCAGCGCACTGATGGAATGACGGACGGCAGACATGATATTTTGGTACTTTGATAGCTCGAATCAATGCCTAGGACGACAGTGGTAAAGTGTGTGGATCGGAGGATTCGTCAGCACCAGATTACCTACAACGGTCTACTGGTTGGATGCGTGGAGTTGTTCAATGGCCGTTTTGCTCCGATCATTTACTGTAGATCAGATGCAATGCTCTTTAGAAAGATGAAATCGGATGAATTCGTGAGGAGCTTCGAGGTGGGATTCGATTCCAATGGTGTCAAGCGAGGGCGCCTGCAGCATGGCGTCATTTTTTCTTGATCGAAATCATCATACAAATCCTTACTTGTTAGGCTCAACAGTCGCCGAGCAACGTCAAACACAAAACTTTATGCGATTGACAATTTTGTGCTGTACGGGAGATCTCAATCACGCAGCTGTATTTAAATTGTGTGATAGAGCACACCTGGGTAGCATTCGCGCATGTCCAACATCGCCAGCATGTAGTAGGTAGAGATATCGCACGTTCCCCACAACATCAACTGGCGTACACAGTCGAGCACTTGAGCACCACCCAGAATAATAATCAATCAAAGTTGATCTCTGATGAGATCCATGCCAACCTTGGAAGGTTCCTTTGCTGACTGTGCTAACGCATCACCTCGCGCCTGGAATTTCACCTGCCGGACTGGCGAAGGAACATCGTCGGAAACAACATCGTGAGCCCCAAAATGATGGCCACGATAGCTCGCATTTCAGCAATATTATGGGCGTCAGCTACAGCAATCCGCACGATGGTAATGAATGCGATCCGCCGCCGCGCGGCCTCGGCTGTTGTTGCGGCTTTTCAGAAACGTGGACTGAAATGTACCTGCAACCTGCAGGAGGTTAGTGGTGGTCTTTCAAGATGCCCTGAAAGGCTCGAGCTTGGAAGGATGACGGCGTTCTCAGACGAGAATCCTGCAACAACCCCTGGGGCGTTGAATACAACCGCCCACGTTTTCTTAATCGACGAAGCTCTTTCGGAAGGTCGGTGGCGGACTGGCCGACGATGAGAATCGATCATGTGCACACCAAAGCGGCCGCCCACGTCTGACCCCTCGGACACCATTATCCCTTCAGTGCCCTTGTTGTGGACTGTCTGCACCATCCATCAGCATGTAGGGAGAGCGCTGGATTGTACGCGTGTCGCATTCGATACGAGCTTGTGAATCTCGGTCCCACCGAACACATGCGCACTTCTCACCTTAGCGGAAACTAGATGACCCACAGTAGCGTGAGTTGAGAGGGATTAATCATGAGATTAGTACAGATCGCAAACTGGAACAAGGTTCTCATCACTCGAGCGAGATGGGTGACATTCACCGGAGACATGTAAAACCTTGGAAAGTCACACAATTGTTTGGTATCGTCGAAACGTTAGAAACAACGGCAGGTGGGTGAGTCTGTGGAACCCTGTCGTGCATCGTGTGACACACTTGGGTTGTTCTCGAGCGCACAAGTCCGGTCTGCGGTCTCAGCTCATCTTCTCCTCAACGTCGTCATCATCACAGCTTCGACCACCGGTCTCAACATTCTGGAATCCCAACGCGTGCTTGATCGTCGGACTCATGTTGGACTGCGATCGCGCCGTCGCCTTGTCCGCCGACTTGTCTGTGTACGAACACACGTACCACCGTAGCATGGCATCTTGCGGGTGTTTCTCCGAGCGGACGATTTGATCTCACGATTATGTTTTAACAGAACCACATCATTATCTTCGTCATCACGACTTCATGAATTGTACCGGGTCCGCACATGCAGCACTGAAATGATAAGCCAAGGCAGACTCTGAGTCGTGTTCCGCACACAGCTGCAGATATTCAGTATGCGCCTTGCCTGCGAGGCTCGCAACCAACCACCTACAGTATCATCGATGACAACCATCTCCTCGTTTCATTCAAGGACTATATTGCAGTCAGCAACGTGACAGGCGCACAACTTTGAGCCCGTTGACTGTGTGACGACAACCTTGCTTTGGCGATCTCACAGTAACACCAGCATGCGCGATATCAAGACGACTAGAAGCAATGGTTACACTAACGATACTATCTGATGATGGGAGTATAGTCGGACCAGGCACGATGCATACGTGAGGCACTAACGAAAAGCTTCTGTTTCATACCAAGCTCCGACTAACGAAACCCGTGGGCGCATGCGGGAACGATGGGCTTGGCCAAGATCAGCCGATGGATCATCAATGGTCGGCGGCTGCCCAGGTGGCTGGCTCATCTACACCGATGAATGTGCGAGCCTGCCGCATGACCGCCCTTGTCTCTCATTCTCACATGGGAAGTACTGTAAGATCATTGTCTTCGTAGCAGCGTCAGCAGCACTGGTACAGGAATTTGCACCGACCGCCGCACCATGTCGTGTCTTGCTGGTCCGGAACTCAGCCTATTCACATTCCTTTTCCCCCCTCCTCCTCTCCCGTTGCGCTAGAATTTCCACAACCGTTCGCTCTTTTTGCGTCGATCTGTCGCGCAGCGTCTGAGCATGTTGTCAGCATGGTGGGATTCGTGTGACTGTCGCACGGGTGCGTGTGTGACAGTGAAATGTATCGCCAACATGCACTTGGCTTGTCTACGATTTGTATGTGTGTGCGTGTGTGGTCGTAGTCCCGGCGCGAATGGTGGTGATGGTGGTGGTGGAAGAGGTGGTGGTGGAAGTGGTGTGGATGAGCATGTCGGGGGCTGATGAGGGCTGTTCCTGGATTTGACCCGTGTGTGAGTGCGGGCGGAAAACCCGCCTCAGGGGTCTCTTTGGAAGAGGAAGTAAGAGGTACCTGGCATACATGTACTGTGTGGTATAATTTTAGCGTGTGGTGGTTGATACAATGGGGTGATTCTGTGTTTGATGCGGTATGGGACTGTGGGACGTCCCTAGGTACTCTCCGTTCACGAGAGTTGTCCGATCATGTACAGTGATCATATACAGGCCTATAGCACACATTTGATCGCTATCTAGATCCTAATGTAGCCCAACCTGTGGCACCCACAGCACCATCGGAACCCGGCTTCGCTCCTCGGCCATCGCCATATGATCCGTTCCAACCTTGGAATTCATCCTACCATCAGCACTAGCAACACCGATGACTAGCACCACTACCGCCTCTAACTTAGAAGGGTCAATCAAGAACACTTACCTAGGGCAATAGGGCAACAGACAGTACTAATCGCCGCTGCCACCTGGGCACTCGCATCGTTCTCATCATCTTCCTCCGCGTGCGTGCACAGGCTGCCCGCTATATTCATGCTGACCTCATTCCTTTCCAGAAGGAATCGGTTGTTGTATTTATAGAAGATTTATCATCGAGGACAGCTGGAGATCAAGGCACAGACGACGAACACTGTCGCTTCGTCTCTACTGATATCCACATCTACATCCGCAACTACAACTACATATATATCCAGGGGAGTCGCCGAAGAGGCCTCGAAGCCGACCTGTTGCGACAAGCTCATATACAACGCCTGCAGAACCAATTGAATTCAATCGCTAGCATGACGATCATGCGATCCATCACAATGGCAGCATGGCTCCTTCTGGCCGCTGGCTCTTCCACAGCCGCCCAGCTTGGGGCGCGACAGAAGGCCGCTCAACCTGATATCGAAGGAGAAGCCAACGCGGCTGCTGCACCGCAACCTACGGGTCCTTGCGAATACTTTCATGCGCCAGGATTTGACGACGCGAATGCGACTCATCACATCACATCTTCTGGCATTCCTCGATACTATGGCGTGTATGTCCCACCTGGATATGATCACAAGACCAGCACGCAGTGGCCTCTGATCTTCGACTTTCACGGACGCGGTGCCACTCCACGGGAGCAATACGAGAACTCACAGTACTACCTGAATACTCGCGGCCGAAATTATGTCGTCGTGTATCCTCAAGGCTATGAAGTCTCCTGGCAGGGAGCAAGCTACACCAACGACAGTGTCAACGACCTGCAGTTCGTCACTGACCTGCTAGCTAAGATCCAATCGCATTACTGCATCGACCCCAACCGGATCTACGCTTCCGGCAAGAGCAACGGAGGTGGCTTCGTTGATACCTTGGCCTGCTCTGATGAAGGGGATCCATTTGCCGCCTTTGCCATGGCCGCGCCTGCGCTCTATACCGACAACAGCCTTGGCAGCTGTACTAAGAAGCGAGCCGTTCTCGAGGCACACGGAACCATTGACAAGATAATCCCCTACACAGGCGGACCTGGCAACGGCGGTGAACTTCCAGACATTGACGAATGGGTCAGCTGGTGGGGTAAACGCACCTGCGGCGCCAGCGCCCGGACGCATAACTCCTCAGACCTGGGTGGATACACGGCGACGTCAATTACATGCGATCGCAAATCAGGTGCCGACCTCAACAACATCATCTTGCACTACAAGGTCACCCGCACTGGACACTGCTGGCCTAGCATCACAGGCCACAATTACGATGCGCTCAATCAGCCGGCCCACAGCTGCCGGACACCGATTCTGGACTTCACTGATCGGGTCATGGACTTTTTCGATTCATGGAACGCTCAAACCAAGCCATGAGAGTTGCCCTGCGAAGATGGGTCATGGACATGCATCATAGTGTGTATCTCCATCGACTTCGGTTACACTCTGCATTTTGATAGACGACGGCGTTTTTGGGAAGGTCTGAATTCATCATTGGTTACTTTTCCCCCTCACAGATCCAATCCTTGAGGTTCATGTACCGGGCTCTTCGAAGCCCCCATTAGATTAGATGTCAAAGACAGCACCCACACGGCGCGCTTCCAAGGAATGCAATCCACAATAACGTGATTCCCCAAGAACAACAAAAAAAAAGACACACTGCCATCTGCACTCCGCATCACGTTCATTCCCGTCGTTGTTCTCCCGCGCATGATTTTTCGTCGAGTGAACTTTTCAAATCATCTTTTTATTCTCTATCCTACCCGGATCCGAGCGCGCGGGTCCCTTGAGCCGCAACAGGCCACTCCGTTGTAGCGTCACCCAGTCCGTCAGCCAGGCCGGTAGCAGCCAGCCTATCCACCACAGCAGCAACGTGATGTAACCATTGATGATGTACGCCGGCGTTGGCTCCTTGTACAGGTCGCGCACCATGTCCTCTGCTACCTGGAACCATTGATGGTCTGACTCGGCCGAGATTAGGCTAAGCATGGATTCCACTGCGTCGTCTTCGATGTAGCGGTAAGGAGAGGCCTCTGATAAGCCAAAGCGCATGTCTTCCGTCGTTCGCCGGGCGGGTTTGGCTTTTGCAGGGCCGGTAATTAGAGTTATCACCTTTCAGAGAACCGAATTATTTAGTTTATGCGGATCGCTACCGAAGCCGTTAAGTTGTTCTCACCTTGATCTCAAAAGGAGCCAACTCAAGGCGCATTGTGTCGCTCAGGCTGCGAAGTGCTGCTTGTGAGCTGGCGTAGATCCCCGTGAACTGTAATCTCAGGTTAACGAAATTCTCTGTGATCGTCAAGTCGACATTTGTTCAGGACCGTCGTGCTTACCGGATCGGTCAGGCCGCTAACGCCTGCGATGGTGATATGGTTGATGATGATTCCCTTTGCGGCTCGCAGCATGGGAAACAAGGCTTGTGTGATGGCCAGAGTGCCCCAGACGTTGACGTCGAATTGGTTTCTTGCATCTTTGATATGCGCATCGATCAGAGGCATATAGTATCCACATCCGGCAAGATCTGAGATACCATCATTAGTACCCCCAACCGAGTGAAATCGCAATTGCCAACGTCGATCTGATTTTGGAAGAGATGCAGATTCGTCGGACATTCCCACATACTTATTAAGATGTCCAATTTGCCTTCTGTGAGTTGTTGGACGTGCTCAACGGCAGCCTCAATCGATCGTGCCGACGTGGTGTCAAGTCCCAGACGAACCAGGAAGCCATCAGTGCTGCCCTTCAGTGGCTTCGTAAAAGACAGGGGCTCGTCGTCAAAGGACGCTGCAATGACATTGAAGCCGCGCGCGAGGAATGCAACAGAGGTGGCCTCGCCCAGTCCGCCATCATTAGCTCCCGTGACCAGAATCCATTTGTCGAGAGGTCGTGATTCCATGAAGGAAACAGAAGAGGTGCGTATGCTGTAATAATAGCGAAAGTCGTGATCTACAAGGGAAATATTTATTGTTCGATTCGGATAGAGCCACAAGGCTAGCCTCAACCTGCGGTCGGGATTATGCAGATGGCTTTTTCTCTAAATGCTGCTCCTGCGGCATGGCCCTTGCAATTCCGGTCTTTCGGGACGATGCGTCGGACAAATAGAACACACTCGGAATAACTCATCGTCCCAGACAAAGCAACTCACAACATCTATTTTACGTTGTGCACACACGCGGTGAGCGGTGGCGAGACTGCACGCGACCCCGCAAAAACGGTCATGTCGTTCGATCTACTGGAGAAGCGCCTGCTGTGGAATGCACATGTCAACGGTGCACTGACACAAATTTGCCAGGTTATCCAGACTCATCGTTCAGAACATTTTCGATCTGCTTTCTGTGGTGAACGACTCTCATGATCTCCGATATTGCCAAATATGCAAGTTCAAGCAAAGTCGTTCAACTATGTCTCGATAACAATAATATCACGTATGCATCCGCACTATCGGTTCATGCCATTTTGCCTTTATTCGTGTTAGGGTTGATATAGGGTTGGGGTAGTTTGGGCATCATTACATCCGAAACGAACATAGGCAGGAATGTTTTCATATTTCGATTCGTGTAAATGATTTGTTCCAGTGTTCCTTTGACTCGATCGGTCCCCGCGAGCGCCCTTAACGCCGGACTGCTTCTGGATGAGTTTCTTCGACAGCCAACTAAAAACCCGAAAAGAGGTCACGATCATGGCTCGCACCAAGCAAGTCGCAGAAGGAAGCAACGGTCCTTTAACCCTGGATTCTTTTACGCTTGCCAACTTGGGCAGAGAAACCAGTCTTGATCGCTGTGACCGAACGACGAGAACCGCATGAGTTGCAGGTGACGAAGTAAAGACGGTTTTCTCCCTTGTTGAGCTCGGTGTCGGGAGAACGGCAAGTTTTGCATGTGACATATTCGACTGTAAATAACAAATGATTAGCAATTGTACGGTTGAGATCACCATTGCAGCCAGGGAACAAGTCGGTAGAAAACTCACCAATGTATCGTCTCAACACGTTTTCGATCTGCTTCTGTTGGAAACGACCCTTGATGACCAGTCGTCTGCTTCCGTCGACGGAACCGCTGGTACCCAATTCGGCGAACAAGAAGGAAGTGACGTGCTCGTCCGTCCGCTTCATCCTCTTGCAAATGTCGGCAATGTTCGCAAAGATGGTCTTCTTGTTTCCTTCACGCAGGCATTGCGGAGGAGGGATCTTGTAGCTCTTGCCTCCTGAGCTGGCCAGATCAGGATGTGAATCGTGAAGAAGCAGGAAGAATCGGGACAGTAGGCTCTCATAATTGTAGTTCTTAACCTCATCATGTGCCCAGATGCCGGTGCCGCCGTGAACATCGCCGTCTTGCACGCCCGTCACCGCCTCCTCTTCGTCTTTGCCTTCCTCGCCATCCTTGTCGTCCGCAACACCGGCCTCTGCAAGCTGCTTCTCGAAATCATCCTCTGTGGTCTTCGCCTTCTTCTTCTTCTTCTTTTTGAGGGCTGAGAGGTCGACCTCTCCGTCGTCGGCCACAGCCTCTTCCTCATCACCCTCCTTCTTCACCGACTTCTTCTTCTTTTTCTTAGCAAGTCCCTCGAACATGGCTGTGACTTCGTCGACCTCCTTGTCGCCGGTAGCGCCAGTCTCGCCCTGTGCCTCGGTGGTGTCCTTCTCGCCATTGGCGACTTCGGTGGCATCGACATCGTCTCCGCCGTCGGCAAAGGCGACTGATTTGCGTGGTTTGTCTGCCATAATTGCGGTGTCGTTATTATTCTCGAACGTTTCGGTTCAAGAGAATCAGGCGTCTGTGGAGGTCAACCAATAGATTGTCCGGGGGAATAGTGGCGGCGTTGATGTGCTTGCCCCTCTGAGTCATGCCCGAGCACACGCGCATGGGGGAATTTCGAATGTGACGCACCGATACACTGATTGAACGGCCACTCCCGAAAGTCTGGAGTTTGACGTGTGGCTTAGCTAAGCTTCGTCACCTGGATCGGAGCTTTCCAAGTTCATTCGATGGACGTTTACGCCAGCATCACGACACGAGAGAGGGACATAAGTTGAACGAAGCTGGTAGAATCGACATTGCCCGGAATTATAACGAAGCCCTTCTGGAAAGACCATTGAAACAACCTAGACCGCTCGCCGAAACCACGCCTTACCTCACACAATCATGTCCGAACCATCGTCATCATATGCGTACATCCCACCGCACAACCCGGACGACGACGAAGCGGACGAGATCGACTCACTACCATCATCATCCGCCGGCTCTAGCACACCGACATCACCCAGCGATGAGGGCGAATCAGACGCGGAGCGCGAATGGCGTGAAAGTCTACAGCAATTAGAGCTTATGCTCACCATGGTCCTGGTACCCTATCTCGGCAAATACTTTGGCAGGAAGTGCGCATACTGGGGTAAGTGGTTGGGAGTGGCATACCGCGTAGTTGCTATATAGAATGCACATACTGATGATGAATCTTGTCAGGCTGGGCCAAGTATATGGAATGGCAGTTTCCCGTGTCGATCGAGGTCACCAGCCCGACCGCATTCAAAGCCGCCGGACTTGTCCAGGCAGCTGCATCAATCTGAGCCATCTGTGCCTGATACCATGAGATCCGGCGGCAATGAATATTGGTTCGTGAAATCATTGCATCGTCGTTGGATCAAGCCCTTTCGAGCAGTGAGCTATATTAGGGACAAAGAAACCCCGTTACGGACAAAGACGACATAGAGTTCGCGAGCTCAATGATTGCTCACCACGCAATGGCAATGGAGGTCGGATGACAGTACGAGACGGATGGCCGCCCGTCGAGGATGATGGAACTGCGGCACCGAATGTTTGCGGTACATTTGGTGATATCGATCTGCGACACATTCCCTATTCATGGTTCAGTGGCTCAGCAGCAGTGGCTGGCGAAAGGCAGCAACCATCCTCACAACGCTGCGCACACTGGGTTGGATATCAAATACTGACTGCTAGGTCTGAGGCTGGCGTGTTCGGCGTGGGAACAGCCATTCAAAATTCAGCCACACAACGGACGGGGGGCGTCTACCTCACATTAGCGAGCGAAAGATAGGATACCCGAGATTACGGGAAACTCGTCATCGCGTCACGGCGTGATTGATGGTTGTGAAAGAATTTACTCATATTTTCAAGAAATGACAAAACGATATATATGAGATAGAATTCGAGCTCACCGCGTCCACGATGCCTAATCTATAAAAAGCCACAACGAAATCAAATCGCTGCTGCGTGCTGAGCCATGTACAACGAGAATTGCGCCGGATTCCTCGTCTGCATGTAGACAGCACCAGGACCTTATGTAAAATGTCAGCGAATAACGGTCTAAACGCCGAGCTCAGCAATCTGCTGGGAAAAACCAAACTCTTACCTGTGAATTTGCAGACAAGACCTTCGCCAGCACTCATGTTGCTGATGATGCCTCCGCTGGCGACGCGCTCCATGACGTAATTGCAGTTCCATGCAACCAGATGTCCATTGTCGATGATGTACTTCTCGCCTTCGCGGAGCTGTGGGAGAGTCAATGAGATCAGCGTTTATTCATGTATTCGCACGCTTGCGATCAAGAGAGGCACGGCTCTCCTACAACGGCTCTTTAAACTTACATCCTTGCGAAGAATGGCACCCATACTCTGAAGCCAACACAGGCCAGTACCGCTCAATCTGTACACGAAAAGGCCTTCGCCGGAGAACATGGCCTTGCTGAGAGTCTGCGATTGGTAGTCTTTGTTGACGCCCGACGTCGAAGCCATATAGGCGTCCCGACCAATGGTCCAGGTCTCGCTTCCGTTGAGGTGAATGGTAGTGATATCTCCAAGCGCGAACGGTGCCAGGAGCAGCTCGCCAGGTCCAGTGTAGTTGCTGTGTGTCATCTCACCACGTGCAAGGAGCTTCTTCATGCTAAACTTGAAGTTACCTTTGAGCGTAATGGTCGGTGACATGGCAATCATGAGACCTGGTCGCACGGTCAAAGGTGCACCCATGGCAAGTTGAATGGTGACAATGGTGTTGGTATCGCGATGGCTGATTCGGTAGCTGCCGCCATTGAAAGTGCCCACATCGTCGGGGCTGACAGTACCGGCGCCAGAGAAGCTGCTTGTTGGGGCGCCAAAACCAGGCGTTGGAGGTGCGCGAGCGAGTGCTTGAGCATAGTGTTCGGCATATTCGTCTAGCTCCTCCTCTTCCGGAAAGCCCTGCTTCTCTTGTGGGTATGGTGCATCTGGAGGACCGGGATAGAGAGGAAGCGGTTTGCTTTCGACGACAGCCGCGCCTGAGGTGCTGGCACTCGGCGCGCTTTCACCACTGGGAGGAGGCGCAAATGCCGGAGGAGGCGCAAAGGTGGGCGGAGGTGCAAATTGTTGTTGCTGTTGACCAGGCGGTGGCGCAAACTGTTCAGGCTTCTGTCCAGGTGGAGGTGCGAAGGTTTGCTGTGGTTGCTGAGTCGGCGGAGGCGCGAACTGCTGCTGTTCTGGAGTCACTTGTTAACAGTTGTATATGTGCTGCGAAGGCTGGTCCAAACATGCCTTGGGTTGCAGGAGGAGCTACAGCGAAGGTCAGCTGGGGGTCCGGAGAGGCCGACATCATGAACAGTACTTACGTGGGAAGAATTGAGGCTGATTTGAAGTCATGGTTGCGATGTGTGGCGGCACGATCAATCGAGCAGGAGCACTGAAGGATGAGGATGATCAATGAAGCACGAAACTTTACGGCGCAGCAACTCGAGAGCTCAAGGAAATGTAAAGTCAAATAGAAGATGCCCCGCGTCTGGCCGCGAAGGGTTTCGGAGGAGATGAAGATGAGGATCACCGAAGCGGAAGGAGGGAGCGAATGTACAACTTATATTGTCCAGGTGGTCTGCTATTAGGACAGAATAGATAGAGCAAGTACATAGACGGGTCAACCAATGCAGGGCGCTGCAGCGTGTGAATACTGTAATGTAGCTCGTTCAGGCGGCGGGAGGCATGTGAAGCTTTCTTAACCTGCAGGTCTGGCCGCATTTTGGTGACCAATGCGAATTGGTCTGCGTGGCCATGGTGTGTTTCAGCTGGACAAGCGACTAAGGGCGACAGATGACGGCCAAGGCGGCGCATGCAAACGTTCATTCGTATGTTCTAGTGGTGAAGTGGACGAGATGCGACGAATGAACGAAGGAAGCAATTCGGAAGGTGAGTGTGATGAGGTGGAGTGGTTGGCCCCGGCAGAGATTAGTTCGGCGGCTATTGGCTTGTGTGGACGGACTCCAAGGTTTGGGTCACGGCGCTTGAAATGAAAGGGACGCATATACTCCAGCTACTACTAGGTATCTACCTAGGTACAGGTCTACCGTAGGTACGGGCGCGCTGTACCAGGAACACTGTGGATGAGTACTGTTCGGTGGATGATGAGAGAAACAAGCGAAATGATCGTCTCTCTCCCTCGAGGCTTTCTACTAAGCTCCGTCACCATCACCATTATTCATTAATATCCGTTGCGATGGACATTTTGGCCATGGTTCACACAGCGGCTTCGGACTTCATGTATCGTGCAGCACATAGACCGATACCTGTTGTATGGAAGTCAGTTACGTCCTGAACATGGCTATCTTAATTTGCAGCAGAGATGACGAGACTGCTTATTAGACAAGGTAACTCACCGCGCGAAGAGTATTGATAATGATTGTCCATCTTCTCATTGTGGCAGGATTTACGGCACGCGCGCATGTCTTGGTATCTCGACACGTGCTGGGTCAATAATTTCGCAAGCAGTGCGTGGCCCCTTCTGCCCATGCAACTTTGGAAACCTTCCAAGACTGGAAGTCATCTTCTTCGCCATTGCCTGTGAATCGTTGCTCGTGATTTTGAGCTTCTGCAGGTGCGACCGCAGAATATGTCATTACTCAGGCTGCTCAGGTGTGTTGCAAACCTGAGGATATGGCGCAATACACTTATCATTATCATGTGCCGCTCCCCCAAACAACCCCGGGGCCGCTCGCGTGTTTGTGGTCGTATTTACGCCTGGGCACCTGCATGTAGCATTTGCTGCACCACGGTAGATTGTACACTGCACTACCTGCTATTTTCGAGATGATATCGGAGTAGAACCATGACTGTAACCACGGCCTGAAGCATCCATCGGCAGTGGTCAACCACGACTAGACGATAAGAATGGTCGACTATAAAAGGCCTCCGCTTATATATGCACGATATGATATTCAATTGCATACAGCAGGGATCTGATTCTGAAAGCAGCTTGAATGCCAATATTTGCTCTCTTGAGCACCTCCCCCAGTTCTGACTTCCGTTCGATGTAGCCCTGTAGTGCATCAATTCTTTGAGGGATACACTCCAGGGTTTCGATCGTCATTGCCAAGTGGGTCCCATTGGTACATTTACATTCGAATGATTTGTTTTAGTCCCGTGTTCTGTACACAAAAGCTGACGGATATGCATGTCGGTGTCTAGTAATGTCTCCAGTCCGCTAACCCGTTTGGGTCACCGCAGGCCCTCCGCGAACACGGGCGGCCTTACGTGCTTTATGGTCCGAATGCCCACGAGCTTTTCTTTCCAACAATCCAACAACTTCACCATTACCCATTGGCAGAGGATAGTAGAGCGTTCGATGCTCACTCAGTCTCTCAGTCCTTTCGTTTATTTCGATATCAACACTTCAGCGTGAACAACAAAATCTACAATCGACCGCTCGCAACCCTCTACTTCGAACCAGCAACTCCCCATCGTCAGCCCTAATCTGAGTCACACAGCCAGCTCATCAGCCCGCTGCTGCGCCTCAATCAAACGTCAAGAATACAGAACTCGTTTCGACGAAGAGGAATCGATTTCCTCCTGTAGAACGATTCTCCGTTTCCCCCAAACCGTGACAACGATCCAAACCGGCGGCTTCGTTGCAATGTCGGTCCCGCAAGACTTCCTCTCTGTCAGCATGGGCACTGTGCCCTCTTACTTCATCTACCGGGATGTCGCTCCTGGCGAACCCTTCGACCCGACTTCTTCTCCCAAATTCTACCCTGCAAAGGACTCCGACGAACTTTTCGACGCTCTGAGAGCCAAGTACCCGCATGTCCCGAACCACGCCGATCGGATGCGCGATGCCATGATCGATTTCCTGCTCGAAGAGCGGGCTGCTGGATCATATCAAACATCTCCCGCCCTGACCATCGACCCAAGCACTGTTAGCTGGACGTCGGCCTCTTCCGAAACCATGTCATCATTTTACAACAGCCCCGATCAGTTCGCTATGCTGACTCCGGCCTCCTTTGACCAATCACCGCTGCCCGAGGCGCCTGTTGCAGACCGATCCGCCTCCGTCTCAGGCCCGGCCGACAGGAGCCCTCCTTCTCTCAATGCAATGACTGGAGTTTTCAGCATCACTGCCGGCACGCAGCCTAAGCAACGGACACGACGAAAGATGACCGAAGCCGAGAAGATCGACTACCGAAATCGACGCATCGCCAAGGCTTGCGATAAATGTGCAAAACGCAAGCGCAAGTGCCACCATGGCCAGAATGCTGAGGTCCCCGCTACCGCGGCAGTAGCATCCTGCCGCAAGGTACTCAAGTCTCCACGACAGGGAGGCAATAAGTCAAAATCGGCGTCTACCATACAGCTAGTTCCATCCATGCTCGCAGATCAGACTTCACTGTTTGGATTCGGAGATCTTGAAATGGCAGATCTGCTCGACATGAACGGACTAGACAACTTTGGTCTTGAAGTCAAGCCGGACGACTTTGTGTTCGACGCCTTTGTGCACACTTCTCACTTTGCAAACTTTGGAGACCAGAACCTGCAGGCTGTCAACAATAGCGCAGACATCTCCTTGCAAAACCTTGCACCCCATCGTCTTCGTGCATCTAGCACCATGGTGGAAGACTTCGAGCTGTACAGCCCCGCTAGCAATTCAGGCGGCGAAGACGGATGGACAACTTGCACGAACCCGACCACACTCAACTTTGGATCACTGGACGGTGGACAACAGTTCGCTGCCCAGACTTCATCCTCTCACCATTCACGACAAATAAACCAATTTGCTTTACAAAGCGCGTCACTTCAATCGACAACACAAGCCACAAATGGCGCCGATAGTATAGGCCCATTCCACGCGCATCAACCACAAGCTGCACCTGCGGAACTCTCGAGCGCACGCGGGTGCCCTCGATTAGGGAACAATTCACTACAAACCGCCGCACCCAACGATGATGCTGTTGTGGCTATGAGAACCAATGATCAGCAGATCATGGATCCACCTCTGCCACATGGTACACAAGGACATGGAATTTTTGCCATAGACCAGAAGGCTCACAACAAAGGCGTCTGCGCCACGTTCGATGCCCATGGTCTACTGAAATCGTCAGACATACCCGCGCTACGCCCAGATCACACGATGAATCGCGCGCGCACTGTCGGCCGTTCTGCGACGCAAGAAGTCTCCGGCATGCAAGCATTCACTGTACCCGCAGTCAATGCGTACGAGCCTTCGGGCTTAGAGCATCGCGCACACCAAGTACCATCCCTTGATGCTGCCGTCCACGCTTATGCTGACCTTCAACACCACATGGTGCCATTCCAGCGAAGTCGGACAGTAGTAAACGAGAATGTCGATACGAACACGCTCTCCAGTCCAGGATCAGGCCACATTCATGCTGCTAATTCAGCGAGAGTCGCCGCTTTGGGTGCTCATGCATCCAGGGCGTTGATAACCTCGTATGGCTCGTGCATACAGCCATCATACCTTCAACTTGGTGAAATTGCAACAAGCCACACGAGCGTTTCATCGAGCACATCGCACCTTTCCTGGACCCAATCCCAGCAGCAAGATAGCCACGAGCCAGTTGTCAATGCTGCTGACTGCCGATCGAGCTATGAGAGGCAAACCACTTCAGCAGCCGGTCAAGCGATTCTTACATCCCACGATGACCGAGTCACGAGTGGATCGGGAATACAATCACAGCGACAAGATGAGAAGAACGGATCTGTGGTCTCTGCTTTACTCTCGCCTCAAAGCGTCAGCTTGATCTCCTGCGTCCTGATCTCACTCTTGATCCTATCGATGCTCTGCCTCGACAAACACTTGGTCATGCTGCTTGTGTTCGCTTCGATCAGCCACGTTGAAACCTTCGACAAACTGGCGACATCACCAGACAACATCTCGCATATCAAAGAGAAACACACAGTGCCGTTCCCCAAAGACTGCGCATCGCGCCCGTCGATTTGGACTCGTCCTGAATTGATAGTGTGTCGTGTGGGAACAGTGTTCGGAGATCTGAGCAGAGCGGCACGTGCACAACTCTCGCCACTCTCGTGTACGAGTGCAAGGCTCAGTTTCGAACGCATGAGGTGAACGGTCAGTTTGCGGATAAAAAGAGTTTTCCCCTTGTGGAAAGATGTGTCCGAGGACTTCCCTTTCGTCACACGCCGTCGTTATTTAGTATTTTGAGTGGATGAGGTTTGGCAGCATTTGAGATAGCATTTCCTTCCCGTCTCCAAAAAGTACCAAATGTTTTTTTTTCAATCAACCATTACGTCTTCCTCCTTGCTTATATGCATGCATGTGCGTCATAATGCCGATCGACCTGCGATGGACTGTACGCCCTTGGCGCGTGTGATAAACATAAAACTGAAGCGCTCTCATGAGCAGTGTTGCGAATGAATCGCTCGCAATCAATTCCAAATGAAACAAAGTGCATAGTCCAAGTGAAAAGCCCCAACATCTAGACCTTCTCATCCTCGGCCAGCGCCTTCTGTACCCTCGCACGAAGCTCCGCAACACCAACCGCCGCATTCCTCGCGACGACCACACCTTTTACCTCTGCCGTCCGGACAATCCGCACGAATCCCGGCGCAATATCATTGGCTATGAGACCCAGACACTGCTCCACTTCGGCGGCGTTGATCGGGTTGCGCAGGCTCTGCTGGAGCTGCGATGTTGCGGCGGACAGACTGAGGCTGTACCGACCGCCCTTGTTGGCGCTGGCGAGCAACGTGAGGACTCGGGAGACGTCCTCGACGCGATGCAGGGCGGCGCGACGCTCGAGAATGGCTTTGCTCGGACCGCTGGGGAGACTGGCGAGGAGAGTCTGCTTGGCGAGAATGCGGTCGAGGAGTGCAGTGCTCCGGTCTTGTGTGCCGACTGTGGTAGATGACGTGCCATTTGCAAGATGAGCAGCTGCTGTAGCTTGTGCAGCTGCTAAAGGCGTGCTGGTGGGACCGGCTCTGAGGTCGGCGAGGCGCTGCTGCCCACGGCTGAACAGGGGCGCAGCATTTTTTGCTGACTCATTGATTTTGATAGGCGCAAGAGAGATTTGAGCAAGGAATGCCTTTCCATCACGGTTCTCCTTGCCAGTGGAGGATTCAAACTGCCTCCACTCCTTCTTCAAAGTCTCCTCAAAGATTGCGCTGAGCTCCACTTCATCGATGTAAGAGGTCATGCGTTTCGTCGTAGCCGCACGCTGTTGTATCCTTACAACCTGTATACCTGCTCTGCCGAAATCCTCGAGCACAAATACTGATCCTGCCCTGGCCTCTAAAGCCAGGATTCGTTGCAGATCAATCAAGGTGACGTTCCGCTTTTTCCAATGGCTGGTGGTGGTCGGGAGAAGTTGGCGCACTTCCACTGGTAGTGTCGATCCATCGTGTGCATAATGTATTGATAATGCCGCGAGGAATGCCGTGTATAAATCCTTCAGTTGTTCGAGCTCCTCTGGCAATGAGTCTTGGTTCTCTACCAGCCGACAATTCAGATTGAGTTTATCGAATAAAGCTAAGGCGCCTCGTGATGGTGTTGACGATAGAGTAGAATGTTCCTGTCGCAAGCGCTTTCCTCGAGGTGTCGCCGGTGGTGTTTGTGCTCGTTCAATTTCGCTGGCAGTCGTTTTGTCCTCAGAGATGCAAGGGTGCTCGCGCTTCCGCTTGATTGAAGGTGATACTGCCAGCGGAGCAACAACACATACTTCCAATGTCTTTCTCTTTTTGGCGCTGCCCTCGTCTCCACGAACCTTGCTGACTTTGGCGAATGATGTGATCGCAGTCTGCGCCTTCGCAGACTGCTGCTCACCAGCTGCACGTTTGCGCTTCTGCGGAGCCATTGTAACGATATGGGCGATAATTAATGTATATGTTTCAAGTGCTGAGACTTTGGCGGAAATGTGGTGTAGTGATGATGTGATAACGGTTTCCAATGTTTACACTACGTAACAAGCGAGAAAGCGGATCGTCGTTCAGAGAAAGCTCGGACGTTTTCGACGCGTCGCGTGTGACACTTCAAATTGATTTCATTGATTTCGCGACGCGACGCGACGTGGGGCCATTGACGAACTCGTGCGCGGCAACAATGAATTCCTCAACACCGGGTCATCTCACTGTGGCTGGAGATTTTGCTGTCGAGTAACAATAAACGTGTACGAGCAAGGCCATTTGCACACCAAGCCTTGGGAAAGAATCAGGAGATGATCTGACATTTCGTGCAAATTGCGGTGTTCTTTGCATTTGCGGTTCCGAACAGGAGGTCGAAAGCAGCGGATGTCGATGAAACCACATGTTCTCATGAATACGGGCAACATTGCTTATTGACAGAGCATTGCATACACACATATCTTGTTTTTAACAACTGTGTGCAACAGACCACGACTGCGCATACAGCTGCACGTGCAGATTTGAAGCACTCAACGATCTTTGAGGTTGCTTTACAGCACGCAACCTTCGCAGCGCCTGAGGTAACATTTTCACGTCACATTCGCGGCTCCCCCTCGATCATGCCCCTGCCTCGGACTGCACCTATGTCTCAAGAATCTTGGAGTTTGAACCTCTTGGACAGAGAACCAACCATGTCCCTGCTCCCTGTGGCGTACAAATCCAGAGAAGAAATGTACAGCCCTGCGTTGCGATGTTTGAACAAGGCAGCGGGTCGCTGTTGTGCAATCGGCAGAGGATGAAAGAACCATCGTGTTTTCAATCAATGATCGCTCTCCTCTTCTGCGTGACCAGGAACACATGTGCAGCACAATGCATGCTCGCTTTTCACGGTTGATTGATCGCGGGCGATCGTGACGATCAAGTACAGCACCTTCGAAAACGTCTCCGGAAAACCACGTGCGTGATCGCTCGGCCCATGAGATCGATGTGAGATCATCGAAGGAGTTGTAACAGTACTCCATCGAGGATTCGTGCTGTGCAGCGCGTTCATGCAGACAGACACCCAGTCATTGTTTAGAGAAGCAAACATAAAAATCTTTTCTTTAAGTATTTATTATGCACTGGGCACTCTCGCGCGATGCGGACCGATGGTGCGCAGACCATAGCAGATAACGGGAAACAACCTTGGCTCAACAAGCGGGGATTATGCTCGTCGCAGGTCATCTATAATTTCCAATCCAGCCATTTTGTTGATGTGGGAGATTTGACATGAGGACACTCATCCACCGACGGGAATCCCGAAGGAACATGGACATTGGCAGACACGGCAACGTCATGCATGCACCCATCTGGGTTGGTGTTGAAAAGCATCACAATTCAGAAGGGACGAAACGCAACGAGGTGCAGGTGCGCACTGTTGTGATGGCGCACAGGCAGTTCCGCATTGCGCGCGAGAGATGCAGAGAGAAGAGAGAGTTTCGGAGCGGGCAGGCAGTGGCATCCACGGATCCATGGATGCCCAGGTGGTTTCGAGAATTTTGTCGCTGTCATCATCCCTATCAGTCGTCGAATGACCAGCCAATCCGTGCGAGGCCTGGCGCACGTTGGTGGAAATAACCTTGAATTGTTACACCTCTGCCTGCAGATGGGCCAGCCTTGGTCCGATAATCATCACTAAAAGAATAAGCAGAGCCATCGTTTGACGCACTCATCTTGCGACCAGTCAATCTTCTCTTTATCGGGCTGGACGGGACCTGACTTAGTTATCATCGTGCACGATGATTCACACTTTCCCGCAGCTGTCACCACCACCACCACCCTCATCAGTATACCTGCTGCCCGAGTGTTCTGGTCTCGGTGGTGGCCCGTTGTCTTCGATGCAAAACGGCTTAATCGTTTTGGCGGCATCAGCGCATCGCCCGCCGCCCGCCCCACGACGCCCTCGCACCTGATCTGCCGGCCGGCATCTCCGTTCGCCCCCCTTCCTTCGCGCGCATACTTTATTGTTTGAGATGTCCTGCGCACCTCTCCTACGCACCTAGGTGTGTATGTGCGCATGTTGACTCGCTATGTTACATGTGCGCGCGCTACCCACAGGCCTGTGGTCTGTGACTCTGTGATATCATCTTACTTGCCTAGGGCGTGCTACTACTGTACTGCGGTGCTCCTCCATATCCTTTCTCCCTCAGATCCGTCGGCAACCTCAGTACTCCCCGATACCATGTCTCACAGTATATTGCCAATGGCTTGCTCTCCCTCCCTCATCCTCGGGTTCAACGCTTGATCGTTGAGGATCAATATCGTTTGGCTGGCGGAGATATATCGGCCTTCTTCCTCGAAATCTACTCCGATCTTGGACGGCTTTACGACCCGAGTACTTCCCCAGTCGACTTCTCTCGAGCACCCATTTGCGCCTTAGCTATCGGCATACCGGACAATGGCCAGCATAGTATGGTCGCCAGGTCCTTCCACGCCTCCCCGCAAAGAGACAAATGATCACCGTCGCTCTGGAAAATTCCGCCCTCTGCCTCTTCGTGTCCGCACATATTCCGTAGCGGGCAATTCGAGCCCCGGACGCGACGACCATCGCGATGCCAATCATCCTCGAAACAAATCTACCTCGAATGCACTGGATGTCGGGCAACTCAGTCCCAGCGTGAACGCCCGCATGGTTCCGCATCCACATGTAAACGACCTTGACCTAGATAGTTCAGTAGATGGAAAGAATGTCACACTGGCGCCCAGCCCGAACTTCAAGTCTGCCAACCCGTCTCCGCCATTGACGCCCCAATCGACGAAAAGCCCGGAACCTAGCAACGATGAGCACGCCGATGTCATCCATTACGATTTCAGCAAGATCGACTATGAACTGGAACGAGCAAAAGTTCTTGGATCTGGTCTCTGGAGCACTGTGTATCTCGCTCAGCCTAAATCCAGCATTGCCATCGATTATGACTCACCGCCCAGCACTCCCCGTCAGACAAGGGGCCCTTCAGCGCCGAGCCTGTTCGCCGTCAAGCAGCCTAGCCGCAGCGATGCGAGACATGTGTTCATTCAAGAAGCTCGTGTTCTCAGCCGGATTCAAACGCGAGAGAACGCCAGTCAATTCGTGGTTACATTCTATGGTATGGACCAGCGAAACGGCAATCTGATTTTTGAAGCTGTCATTGGCGGCAGTCTGGAGAATCTCGCCGCGCGACTTAAGCAAATGACAGAAGTGGCTCGGCATGTCGAGCTCATTGCCACATTCCCGGGTATAGCTGTAGATCTTGTCAACGGGCTCTCGTTTCTGCATGCCGAGGGAGTCGTGCATGCCGATATCAAATCCGCCAACATCTTGCTGGACATGTATGAGCAGTTCGGACAGACCCGACCCGTGATACGTGCGCGATACATCGACTTCTCTGCGGCATTTATGCCCGCGTACGGCGACTCCGACGCGAACGCTGGCGGCACTTGGGACTTTTTGGCGCCAGAGCAGCTGCGTGTTACGCGCCAAGATTTGAGTACACCGACGCCTGCTAGTGACGTATGGAGCTTGGGTTTGACGTTGCTTGCCATCATTGTCGGTGGCTCGCCCTACGAGGCGGCTTGTAACGGCAATGTCTTTATGCTCAGAGAGGCCATCAAGGCTGGCGACCCGTTAGGATTTGCCCGGATGGATCCGGTGTCCCGTAAGCGGCTGCTTGCATGTCAAGATTTTGTTGACTGTTGTCGTTTAGCACTGAAGAAAGATCGAGAGAATCGTGTGACCGCTGAGGAGTGGGCTGCGTGGTTGGAAGCACAGCAGCTCGAGATGTGATGGCTGAGATTGGCCTATGCTCTTGAGAATCTGAGGCGACAAGGTACTCGTGCGATGGACTAGACCGAACGTCAATCGCGATCGGGAACAAGTCTATTCGACAATCGGGTCCCTATTTGGAAAGAATGAATACCCAGGCTGTGAAATGACAAGATGAAGTCCCCTCAGCGCAGAGCATCCAGCCATGCTGGCCCGCTCCGTAACTCAGTGGTTGCACACTTCTGTAGTCGTCGTCCAGGTCCAGACTGAGAATGGGTTGACAACTTTCGGCGCAAGGTTTAGGCCACAAGTACTGAAGATCGATGACCTCAGTGGCTCGGACCATCTTCGGAACCATCGGAGAGGGTTGAGTGTACGGGACTGCTAGACTTCGCGTTATCTTTGTCGTTGTTGCTGGCAATGACCCGTGTGCACCATGAGCACCAACTGCGGTTGGTTCCGACATGCTCACGACCCAGAAACTTTTCCGTCACCCGCTCATCTTCATATTCCTTCACGATAGCCCCGACGGGAACTATTTTTCGAACCTTTTTCTTCACCTTGCCTCCAATCCCGACAATTTCTTGAGTCGAGTAACTGCACCCGACCCATCGATGACCCTGCATCTCGGCTTTCGCGAGCTCCTCCTCCAATGCGGCTAGTTCAGATGCGTCGCACTCGACGTCCTTCTCGACCATGCGTGCTGCAAGGCAATCAGACATCCAGCCACACTCTACTCCTTCATTTCCCTCTCCTAGTCCAGCGCCGAAGCCGCCACAGGCGGAATATCTCGTACGCCAAGCCCAACCGCGGATATAGGTTGTATCTGCAGGCCGTAGGGCGTGCCCACACGGCTGGCAGATCCACACGATCGTTTCACAGGTACAAGGTTGACGGATGTAGCTCAACGAAGTATTCTCCTCGTCGTCACTGAGGCGAGTTAGTACTGGTCAACAGATAAAATCCCGAAGTCGTATACCTTGACCCAGTTCCGACCTTTGTAGTCTTGGTGCTTGTGAGTGCGTTCAATGGTGCTTTCATACATGTTCGACAAAGTCGTCGATGTCTTCCTCTGACGACTGTTGTGGTAGGCGTTTTGATTATGCAGTTCTACAGGCACGGTGAGCATTGACAATAAGCATGTGCCGTCCTAGTCGCGATGTGTCAAGGCATACCCTGCAGACCACCCGACCGCATCGACGGCAGTCTCCCACCATGTCCCTGGCACAGATCCCATTTCTTCCGCTCGTGATGCGTTCGATTCTAGCACCTCCGCCACCATGTGTCGTCCAGGTGTCTGGTTCGGCTTGCAATAATTCGTCACGCCGCTGTTTGGACCAAGGCTCCTCGTTGCTGCAGTGGAGCGTCCGTGCTATCAACATCTGCCGATATTGCAAGAGGTTTGCTCGAACCTGTCGACATGTTCTTGAAAGCTCGTAGAGAGAGTTCAGGTCGAGATATGTTGCTAGCTGATATGCAATTCTGGAAGAGGTAGCTAGATAAGCATCATATTGGTCTTCTCAGGCTGACTCGAGATATATGGATTCACAGCATGTAGATCTCTTCATCCATTTTAATGTAAGAAGAAGGGACGAAGGCGCGTGACTTACGGATAACACGACAATGCTGCCGAAAACTGATTGATATTAGGGTTCGACCTCTCACCTGCAGCTGAGAGCTCATCATCAAACACCTCCGCTCCGTTCACAATCGTCTCCAAGTCGAGCAATCTGACCATGTTGGACGAGATGAACGTAGAGACTCGAACGGTAGCCAGGCTGTGCGGTTGTGACAATCGCGTAAGAATCACGGACTTGGTCTATTCACAGGCACAGAGGTTGGCGAAGTCAGGGTCCGAGAGCTCTACAATCTGGAAAGGCGGTGCCGGCGGTCGTCGGACAACGGTGACCGGATCTGTGTGTCGTTTTTAAGCACCCATTTCTTCTCTGATCCAGCCTGAGAGAATGCTGGGACTCCTACATACAATTTGCACTCTTCAAATCGGTCGAAATTGGTGGTTAGGCGCAAACACTGTACCTTGGAATGATGAGCGGTTCATTGATGATGATGTCTCGCGGGGTATTCATGGAGTCAAAGCCAAAGGGGAGACCCGCGGGCGCGCGTCATCGTCTTTTTCTTGTTGCCTCAAGGGAATCCCATCGATATCCCGAAACGTGGACGAGATGGACTTCCTCGCAATTCAGGCATTCAACAAGTCAACAGTCGCTCAATCAACTCCGATAATAATGATTTGTTGTCCATAACACCATGTGGCCGATTGTTTCGGGAGGGACATTGCGCACGAGACGGATGACCCTGAGCGGATCTGCACACGCGAGCAAGAGACAACTACCCACGTCGCTTGTGTGACAGCAACACCAACAAGCTGCTTACCTACCTAGGTAGGTAGCCAAACACGTCCATCGACTCAAGATATAGACCTCTCGCCCATGCTCGCCGAGATCGGAAGTTCGCGTTGGTCGGACATGTTCGGAACGAAACATAGATAATGAAGTTGATCGCCTTGTAGTGATCGCTCTATAAAGTATGCCGCAGGGGCATCCCTCTTCGTGAATGACTCTCTCTGTGCCGCCGTCGTGGACACAGGAGAATCCCGCATATGATGTACTGTAGTAATGTCATATTTGGAATTACGCTTCTCAATGGGAATCGATGTGTTGTGCACTTAGACAGAATACGCCGCGCGGACATGATGCGGCGCGGATACAACAATGAGCAAATCATGAATCATGAATCGCCCTTGAACATTATGTGACACCGAAAGAAGATGAACAAGCTGTTGGTGGTCAGTGCCAGGCCGCAGAAATGCGCCGGCCGCTAAATCTGGCTCCCCCAGTTGCGTTCGCTTGTCTCACCTTTCCGAGTTTCCATGCACACCTGCACTTGGGCACCTACATCATGCGCTATGGAGACGTAGGATTACCTCTCCAGCTTGTAGGTACTGTACCTACCACCTACCTACCTACCTAGTAGCAGGTAGTCGAGGGCTCTGCATTTCCATTCCCAACTATGGCTTGGCGTGTGCCAGAAGGAGCATAATCTCGCAAATATTTCGACTAACCGCATCGAGGTGACAGAAACAGCAATTATCACGCTTTAGGGCTCTAAACAGTCCATTGTCGATTATCATACTCCGACATCTATAGACTAGAGTAGTAGCTAGAGCACACAGATTTCCGACATGCTAGGATGTGGTAAGAAGGACTGGTTAGACGAACACCGTCAGTTCTGCAGTATGCCGCGCCTCATTCTCGGGTCAGCTCGAGCGAGGACGCTGCGCACCGTCCCCTACGTGCACTCGTGGCCGCTGCTCGGTCAGGGCAGACCCTGGCAGTGGCCTGTCAGCCATTTCCGACCAAACTCGTGAACAGAGTCGTGAGTGTACAAAGTACACAGAGCAAATTGACAATCTCACACACGACTGCGGGAGGTAGGCTTCGAAAGCGCACAGTAGCCTTTACCCGCATCGCACCGCATTATGGCCATGAGACCGGACCCGTCATACAGGCTACTTGCGGGTGCATGGCACCGGAAATAGCGTCTGATTTACTATCTCGTGGTGAAATGCGAGGATGAGCAGCGCTCACGCACTAGCAGGTTGACTAGCGCTCCATGCCATGGAAGTTGGATATTGACTATCTCGCGTAGACATGGAAGCACTTGACGTTCATGTCGACGGATGCGAGACTCATACCAGGGCTCCATGAGATCCACGATTGGTCTTTGTCTATTGTCGCCAGACCTGTAGATGACGATGTTCTACGAAGCAGGTGTCCGCAACGCAAAAAGACACTTCGAGGACCCCTGCGCGCATCATTTCTCTGGTGATCCTTTGTAAACTCTCGTAATATTACATACGGCTCGCATGTATAGATCGATCACTTGGTCTGTCATATAAGGTGAGGGTATGGATCAGACTGGTCTTGGTCTGAAGGCCTTTATTATTAGGACCGCGTGAGAGCCACCAATCCTGGACCCGAAAATAGATTTTGGCAAGGGCGGTGTTGGTCCGCCTAAGCCGAAAGGAGGCTGACGGCATTTTGCGAAACACGCCTTTTCCTCCGCACGGCTTCCTTCCCGTCCGCTAGTGGAGGTCCATGTGCGAAACACACCACTGATGACTGCATCTCACAGGACTAGACAACCTACACGCAGACACACCTCATCGCTGTAGGACAGCGGCGGAGTCAGAAAGGCCCTTCACACTCATCTCATTGTTCCCTCACATTGTATCTCTCCGTCGTCGAGGAGGATCGTCTAAGTTTGGCACAATCGTCCCGGCCGCATGGATGAGTGCGATTCGTCACGCCGTCATGGCCCGGAATAGTTGTGATGATGATCTCCTCTTTTGCTCGACTGGCCACGCTTCGCCGCCACCACCATTGTGGCTCCTCTCTCAATGGAGTGCGCCTAGATGCCGCATATTCGTCCGTCGACATGTAGATACTCATTTCTCCACCCCTGTGGAAATCATCGCTCTTTGCCCAGACTCCTGTCCTCTACCGTCAGGACTAGGCTCGGGTTTCACTGTCGTCATCTGACCGTAAGCCGTGGCTCTCTCGCTACATTCATGAATCGATCGTCCTTCCTGGTCGCACCAATATTGTCACATCTACACAGTCACGCCGCCCGCTAAGGTTGGCGCAGCAGTATTCCTCTTCAACACCAGCCAATACACGCTCGCGTATTCAGTCCACCACATCAAATCGTGCGGTTTACGGCACTTCGCCCACTTGGCTGCGGCTCGTCACTTATCTCGCTTGCGGCCAAAGCTTACCCAGGCCTCCAAGAAACTTGTAACTGCGATCCATTCGACAATTAGAGCCATATATCTGCATCGTCGACCCATCATGGACCCCAAAGCTCCCGAGTCCGTCGACGACCGCGCTTTCCGCCGAGATTATACTACGCCTAGTGGAAATCGTAAACGTTCTCGCCAACCTTCAGTTCAATCCTCGAAGAGTCCCAGGCCCGATTTAACATCGTCTCCCATTCCCTCGGGTAGATCACGAGTAGACCAGACCTCCCTCCGACCTGGGTCCGCTGTCCATGCCGGCGAAATGAACCTTTCTCCCACTCCATCCGAAGCGGCCAGTGGAAGCGTCGTCAAGTATACGCGCACTGGCCGGGTTAGTAAAGCGACCAAAGGGCAACGGGTTCACCATTGTGATGAATGTGGAAAGGTAAGTCGTTACTTCTGCGCGACTCGGGATTTTACACGATAGCCGATATGTGCCCAGCACGAGCGAAATCCTTCCAGATACATCATGGTGATCTCCATTGTCCGAGGCTTCGTGTCAACACATTGACTCTGACTGATCATCTTATAGACCTACACACGTGCAGAACATCTAAGGTGGGCCCTTCGTAAAGCCGATGCGCAAAAGTATCGTTACTGACATCTATCAGACGACATCAGCAAAACCACAACCCAGGCGCCTACCCATGCAATTTTCCAGGCTGCCGGCGTGCTTTCTACAGAGAAGATCTTCTCGCGCGCCACCGGGTACGACAGTAAGTGACTTCATGTTGCCCCGGTCAAGTTCTGCTCCTCGTTGACTTAGGTGCGTGTTTAGCAACGATTCTGAAAACCAGTCAAGTCGCCGCAACTCCATAGATAGCCAAGGCTCAGCACAAAGCATCGTCGAATCTACCCATGCTCAAGTGTCAACTTCAGCCGTGCCACCTGCAGCATTCGCGCCTTCAATGCTATCGGCAGAACCGCAACATGCTGTTGTCGCCAGCAATGGGCAGCGACCGACTCCAACAAGGTAAGCTTATCTTCACGAACCACGTCACGGTCGTATATGCGGTTATGCATTCGTACCCTGCGTCCCGTCTTTCAGTCGTCGACTTCCCGGGATGGCCCAATTGCTACAATGGCCTGCGCATGATTGCCTCGAGATATAATAGTCCCAAACATCGTCCACTGACGCTCATCGCTCTCAGCTACAAACGAATGATACCACCCAACGAACTCCAAAATTCTGTGCGACCACTACTTGTTGGTGATGAAGGGTTTGGTATGGAACCAAATATCGATATTACGTCATCTCCTTATGCGGTATCGGTTTCTGGCAGCATGCCGATGCCCTTCGATCATGTTGCAGGAAATGATTACCAGGCACCACTCTCCGATCGGACGTGGGCTCCTGAATTTCTGTGGGAGGGCTATGGCCAGCCAGGCCGATCCTCTCAATCGTCCATCTCCTCCGGATCAACGGCCCTACTGCAGAGGCAGGGTAGACATCCGCAGAATCGCCCTTATAACACTCTTTGCATCGATGTGGACTACAACCAGGACAATTCAGCGGCTATTGGATATGGCAATCAGCTAACATACAGCACTCCATTTCAACCAGTACAAATGTTTGCGGCAGCAGCTCGTGACCGGTTGGAGCTCACGGCGCTCACCATACCTGGGACTGACCTCGATCTCAACCTCGACTTCCTCGTGGCTCCGACACAACAAAGATATGTCGCAGCCTATTGGGCAGACATCCATCCCCTATTCCCGGTGCTGCATCGTGACAAGTTTGAGTCCTCGCCTCCGTCACCATTGCTTAAGACTGCTGTGATGGCTTTGGGTGCACAGTCGCTTGGAGAAATCAAGGATAGCCTCGACTCGAGGATCCTTCACGAACGATGTGTCAAGGTTTTACGAAGGGTGAGTGTTGCACAATTGAGCAGTATCGATGCAGCAGATTGCTAATCTGACTCTCCAGCGTGCGAGCCAACAGTATCAACCAAATCGTATCTGTGATTTGCAGGCCACTGTACTAGTTGAGATCTACTCTGTCTTCAAAGCGAGACAATTATCCGCTCAATTCTCAAGGAGCTTCGAGCAAGTCTACAATCAGGTATGCAGATTGCTCTCAATGATCGTTACATCTGCGCAAGAGGTTGACTTTGCAATAGCTTATTAACGATCCGGAAACATCTATGCGATCGTACCCGACATTTAACACAGCCGGCTACATCGACTATTACGGACCAGTAGCACCTCTTTACTCAAGCAATCTAGATGTGCAGTGCAAGCAACGTCTGCTCCTAGCCTGTCAATTGCTTGACCTTCAACAAACTGCGCTGTTCGGCAGGCAACCACTCAATGATGTGCTGGCCGCGTTCTGCAACATTCCTCTTACCGAATCACAGTCATCGTGGGACGCTCTACCAAACACGTTCGCGGACTCTACTGCGGATCTATCTGATCCCCAAAACGGGACCATTTGCGACCTTTTGCGCAGCGCTTCTTCCTTGGAAGCACCATCAATGAAGCCATACGACAGCTTCATTTCCTCAATGATGATTGCAACCATCATTAGACCGTCTTTGGGCGTGCACCTCGGCGGCTGCTTCCTCGAGGACGATGACAGTATATCGTCGCCTCTCCTTCACGCCATCGAGCAAAATCCTCGGTCCGAGATGGCGTATCATACGGCAATGCTTTGCAAGAATGCGCCGATCCGCGATATTCTGGCAGTTGCAGGAGAAAGTTGGATCATGACCGAAAAGCTAAGCTCACAGGCCGAATTTACCGCAGCTCAGATAGTTGTTCGTAACTGGGCAAGCGAGAGTTCGGCTGCGGCTGCACAAAGGAACACCTTAGCACATGCCTTTGCGATTCTCCGCGTTCATCACAAGCATCCCAAAGTTGGTCTACTCTACCGCGACTGGGCCATCTATCTCGCGGCAATCACCGTTTGGGTAAAGTCCTACGCCACAAATCACAATCATCGTGCAGCGAAGCGCGTCAAGATGAATTCAAAACAGACTTCCGGACCAACCGGTAGCCACGACTCCGACTCGGCCATCGCAAGTATTCTGAAGCACGGATTCGAAGGGCTGAAGTCATGGTCCGAAACTCAGAAGATTCTTCATTGGACGAAAGCTCGATTGGACAGGGTCGACATGCCGCATAGTAGCGGGTTGATCAGCCTCGCGAAAGACGTGCTCGAGAAGTTAAGCATCAGAGGGAATGAGCCGCATTGGTTTTAGACAGACACATATTGGATTATTGCGCGTGGGACGCCATTTTCGCGAGTTCATACTTATTATATATCATGTTGTTAGAAATCTGGTGCTTTGATGCCGGTGATAATTATTTCCAATTCTAGAACGCATGTTCAAAGTCACTTTCGTATACCTGCTGAGAAATGCGCACCCTTGTGATGTGATGAGGCAGTCATCAGGGTCGTGTTGTCCCGCCAAATGGAGTCAAACGTCACGTGCTAACACCACCATAGAACGTCATCGAATACTTGTGAGACCGCGATTGCCCCAAATGGGCTCAGGGCCTGAGCCACTCTCCAGCAAGAGTCATTAATTGCCGCCCTTTGTAGGACACCGTCTAGACTTCTACTCTATACACTCCCACAGCTTACACCTATTTCAGCAACACTGCCAGAACGATCATACTCAACCTTCATCCAATAAGATTTACTATCCAGCACACAAACAAAATGTCGGAAGATTGGGAATCAGTCACCAAGATCGGAAGCAAGGTCCGCGGACCAGGCACAGCTACACGTGAGACGACGATCAAGGGAAAAAGCGCTCTCAACGCAGCTGCCCGAAGCGGTGCCATCATCGGCACTGAGAAGAAGTTCGCCGCAGCAAACGTAAGTGTCCCACTCTTCTTCCGAGCACAATGATCCATTGCGGGGTCCTGTCAGTCAGAGAACAATATTGGCGTCGCGTCTACATCTCCAGGTCTTCCACGGTCGGATCCATAAAAGCACTTGCTAATTCCTCATGTGCATCTTTCCAGACCAGCAGCAACCCCGAAGGCCAGCGTCTCACCAAAGTCGACCGGGCAGACGGCCCCGTTGCGACAAAGAAGGTCCCCGAAGAGGTTTCCAAGGCCTTGACCCAGGCCCGGAATAACATGAAGAACCAGAAGGGTGCGACCATGACACAGAAGGACTTGGCATCAAAAGCCAACGTCGACGTGGCTTACGTCGCCGCGCTAGAGCGCACCGGTGCGGATTTTCCGCCCATGGACGCGCTGCTCAAGCTGCAGAAGGCTGCAAATGTCCGATTGACGGGAACAAACATTGGCGAGCCTATGCTTGGCCCAAAGAAGAAGTAGAATGCTAGTGGAAGAGGCGGAGAGGTGGACACTGCCTCTTTGGAGATACACGAAAATGTTCTTTTCTTGAAATTAGCAATCAGCGGGAAAGACAGCGATGACATGAGAAGACTCTGGGAGTTCTAGGCCGCTGTATCTTGCGAATCACATTAACGAAGAAATGGAAAATTATGTTAGATGGACTAGTACATCCACCTGGGCACGTCATGGATTTTGCTTATTAGTCTTCGCAGATCCGATCGTGGTGCAAGCTAGTCTTCGTAGATCCGATCGTGGTGCAAGTAAACTCGGCGATTGGCATCACTACAGTGGCATGGACAATTTGCAAACTCCGTCTCCATGCTGTATATCGAATCACACAATGCAACGTCTTGTTGGGTATATAGTAACGAATGAACACCCTCCTGCGATGTTCGTCCATGCTCTCCCCATGGCAGGAGTTCCAAACATGAACGACATACGCAATGCAAAGTAATCACGCTTCATGCTGCCAAGAAAACGAAAAATGCCACCAGCCTACCAGTTCCCGCAACCCATGCTAGTGAGCACCCAGAACACCATTCCATGATAACAAACATCAAGCGTCGCATCGTCTCAGTCGCGTTTCATCATACGTGACGACCGCGCTTGCCGCCTCTACTCGAGTGCGGACTCCCGCCCGAGCCGGCGCCACCACTTGCTCCGTCTTTGCGATCTGTGCCTTCGCCAAATCCGGAGATGTCGAAGAAGTCAGAGTATGGTAGTTTACGCTTGCTACCTGCGCCGTTTCCGAGGTTAAAGTTTAATGTCGAAGGTCGTGTGTCTGTCCTCTTGCTGTGGTTTGTGTGCCGATTAGGCCGCGATGATCGTGGGGCCTGCCGTACGATATCTGCGCCAGAAGGTATCGATGATTGAGCAAAGATGGGAGTCGATCCAGAAGTTGTGTCGAGTTCCATGCCTGGCGAAGAAGCGTTCCTTTCGTGGTTGCTGGGAAATGCGTGTTGTGAAACGAATGTGAAATCCCCTCTGGGCGGACTGTGCTGGATCTCTATGGTTTGTACTTGAGGCGGCTCAGAAACCACTCTTCGTCGCAACGAGTCTTGGTCTTCCGAACTTGCTTGTCTTGCTGCTTCCGGGCTGGAGCAAGTCTCTTCCTCTTTCTCTTCGTCCTTGTTGTTCGATGCACGTTCGTCACCATCGTCGTCGGTCGTTGAACGAGCTGCGCTGGCTGCTTGTTGAGGAAGTCCGCCACTGCCGTCGAGGTTTTGTGTAGCCCATTGCCGTACCCGCCATCCTTCACCATCCATCAACCCCAAATTCTCCCGGTCCAAAAACGTCAAGATATCTTCCAAGGCATCCTGATAACCAGCTGTCCGTGCTCGTCGCTGAGCCTGATCGGCGGCTTTGTATAAGTTGGTGACGGATAAAGCGGCTTGCTTAAAGTCGGGCAGTAGATCTACTGTTCGATCATTTTGTTGGCGAGAGGTCTGTGGGAGTGATGTGGAAAGGTGCCGCATGGAATCCATAGCTGGGCTGCCACTGTCGGTTGTCCGCCACCCCGAAATCTTGAAAGCTGTCTCACGCTGAGTGTCGTTACTGCTGTGTCCGTAGCTGTGACCGCGGTCGCCGGTCCCGCATGTGGGAGGACTGGAAAGGTTGACGAGATGCTGTCGATAATATCTAGTAGTGTAGCAGGAACGGTAGCATCATGTCAGGTCGGCTGCTCGCTCGGTGGACAGGCTCTTTGCAGACTCGCATCACTCACACGCACCGCTCCCATTTGACCAATTGATGACCTAGCGCCGCGGACGGGATGGCCCGGGCGCCGACCACAGGACACTGTTTCCCGCTGTCCCATCAATTTGGGCTGCCACGAGTGTCCTACGCGAGCCACGTTTATTACTCCCTCTACTGCCGTCTCTCATTCTCTTACCCACCTGCAATATCACTGCCCAGGTGTATTATCATTGCCCTCTTGCGCCATGCCCAGGTGGTGCTGCGCAGTACACGTAGAGGACGCAAACCCCATTCTTGATTCCATCTGCTGCGGGGTTCGAGGTGCTCATCATGTCACGTGGATGTGCATGGAAGAAACCGGATCGACAGCATATCCATCCACACCAACCTTGGAAGGTACCTTCAAACATACACCCTTGCGGGGCGAACGAGAAATGTTACCGAAATTCACACACACAAACGAGTATTGCTATAAACAAAGCGTCCGTGGTATTCAAAGCTGGAGGGTTTGACCATTATTTGGTGATAGATGTTTTGCATTACCAACTCCTTTGCGTTGTTCTGTTTGCTCCTGCCTTTCGATTACGATGATGAAGTGGGCGATGCTCTGCTCAATACCGTAATGACCCTCCGTAGTGTACCAACGTTTGTGACGTTGCTTCCAAGCCCTGTCCCGTGCGTACTGGTACGGGTTTCCCACCCCGCGCAGTGATGACAGGACTCTGCAGTACCCAATTACGGACGTGCTGCTTATGTGGGTCGGGCAGGCGATGACATATGAAAAACACGATGGCACTTGGAGGCGGTGGTTGGTGACGAACGCGGCCGCATTGTGCTCTGCGCAAAGGTTATAACGCAATGCTGTAACTGTTCATGAAGTAGCGACATTCAGATATAACATAAATTACTGTACTCATATTGCAAACCAACCCACATAGCATTTGAGCACTGAGAGATCACGCTCTGCACTTATTGCACCACTCGGACCATTTGTATCCGAGCCATTTCAATATCAAATTCCCTACCTTTCCGCGGGATTCTCGAAAAAAGAGGACCTATCGCACGGGTGCATCAACGACCGACTTGTGGATCACTCGCAATCTTCATCGACCCATATCGCTGCGCTTGTCGAAGTGGCTGCCTGTCATGGCGTCGGTCACTTCGTTAGACGCTGATATGCGCAATCTGCGAATGTCCCGGTACACACCACAGGCAGCGAATGAAGCCCGGAATTGGATCGAGTCCACTCTCAACACACAGCTACCAACCGGCAATCTCCTTGCAGATCTGAAGGATGGTGTCCTTTTGTGTCAGCTCGCCAACCTCGCCATCCAACCGCAACATGCTCCGATCAAATGGAAGAAGAGCGCAATGCCGTTCATTCAGATGGAGAACATCAGCCACTTTCTCCGGGCCTGCGAACTGGCGCCTCTGAGTCTACCGGCTCACGATCGGTTCCTCACTGTCGACCTCTTCGAAGCCAAAGATGCTGCGCAAGTACTGCAATGCTTGGGAGCCTTCAGCCGACAAGCGAATCGCATAAATCCTTCAAGCTTCCCCACCACGATTGGACCCAAAAAAGTCGGTGCGACGGCGCCGATGAGTCCGCCGATGACTTCTTCCGTCACAGGATCATCAACAGGGAACGCGCCCACTCAAGTCTCATCACCCCCCGTTAGCAGCTGGAGCAAGCGTACAGAGGAGGGCTCTACTGCGCCAGCTTGGAACATTCACCAGTATGGGTACATGGGAGGGGCTTCGCAGGGTAACCAAGGCATCACGTTTGGCGGCCGGCGACAGATCACGAGCCAAGCTCCCGACGTGCCTAGTCTGGCTGAGAAAGAGAAGCTGCGCCGAGGAAAAGAAGCGGAGGCGCTACGACAGCAGCAACAGGACGTGGAGCAGGAGGAGCATGAACGGATCACCGCCGCCGAGAACGAGGAGAAGGCGAGGCTAGATGAGGCGCAAAGATGGGAGGCGGAGGCGTTGCGCCAACGGGAAGAGGAACGAACGCGGATCGAGCAGCAGAAACGTCAATGGGAGGAAGAAGAGCGGAGATGGAAAGAAGACGAAGAAGCTAGGCAACGCGAAGAGGTGAAAGCTGGTTCTAGTTCAAATGGATCTCACTCAATACTGCGAGGTCAGACAATGAGCCAGTACCGCGCCGAGCAAGCGAGTCTGACGATCGAATCACCGGAACAAAAGCGTGTGCGCGAACTAGAAAAGGAATTGGAGGAAGCGAGAGAGAGGGAACGACAGTATCAAGCAGAGCGCGAAGAGAGACTGCGCAAAGATACAACCGGGCAGAAGCAACCTGAGACTGCTGAAGCCAAGATCGTGCAGTCGCAAAGTGAGGGCGACTGGACAGGCGACGAGCGTGATGCATCGAGGCAGCAGTTGCAGAGTGCAAGGGACACAACACCGGTAAAACCTCCAGGCATTGGTAGCACAAGACCTCTTCCTACGAAACCGGAGACTCCATCTCGGTCGTTGCTCACGGACCCGCCTGCCACGAAGCCTGCGAGTACACCTGTAACGCCGCCATCCATACCGGCACGAAATCCGCAACTTTCGTCGTTCACTTCCAATAGAACGTCTAATCGGTCTATTTTCGCCAGATCGCGCCCGGTCCCTAGCGTCGCCGACAACATGTCTACTTCGGGAGCGAGCACACCCAACAGGACTGAGCAATTCCTTGAATCCAATAACGCGCCGGCCGTCGCTGCTCCACGCATCTCGGCGTCGAATGAAGCAGGCGACTCGAGTCTCGAACAGGCACGCGATCGCGATGCGCGGGTCGCCTCGCAAGAAAAGACGAAAGCCGGTGCGTGGGCCAGCAAGTCCCTGCTGGAAAGAGAGATGGAGCGAGAACGTGAGCGGCAGCGTGAGTGGGAGACCAACCAGCAAGCCCAGAAAGAAGTGCCTCGCGACACAACCCAAGGCACAGGACAGGGCCAGACCTGGGACGTTAACCAGTATGGATACCTTGGCGGCGATAGTATGAATCGTGGTAGTGGGGTCGGAAGCGGTATCAATATCGGAGGCAGGAGGCAGATCATCGGGCCTCGACCAAAGCCATAGCGGACGATCTGTTCCTTTGCTAGATGGGGTCCATTAATGAAAGCTTCAGCTTCCACACTCGTGCATTTTACCGCTGTGTTGTATTTTTGTCCGCAAGTCTTCGATGTTGATTGATCCAAATGCATGATTTGTATGTGTCACTCGATCCTGGGTACCTCGCCCGATTTGTTTCCATGCGGCAACGAGGCGTTCGGCTTTCCTCTTTAGCCCCATCTCCCAACCTTGTCATTCTCTGCGATGCAATTGTATGTTCTAGTTCGTCAATCGGTAAACACCCATGGCCACCAAGATTGCGGAGATTCCGAAGATGCCGCCCTTTCGTGCGCCCATGCCGAACCTGGACTTTGCTTTGAGGATTTCGTGTTTCTGTTTTTGAAGCTGAGACATTCCGGATGCATAGCTGTAGATGCCGAGTCCCGTGAATGCGGCCGAGCCTGAATTCGATGGAAATGTTAATACTGGCCGATCTGATTGATGACGATCGGAATGATGCAATGTACGAACCCATGAGTCTGCATGGCAGGCAGTCGTAGTCTTTGGCCTGATCGCTGAGCGCATCCCTCACCGGGATGGGTTTTGATATATCATCAATAGGACTGAGAGCCATTGTAGCTGATCGTCGTGATGTGCTATTCGGCACTGAAGGACTGCGCGGCTCTCAGATTCATATTTCCCAGGGTAAAGTGATTGCTCGGCTTACTTGCTTTCCTGGCACGGCAGCCATGTGGTATGCCGCGTCGCGTAATCACGTGATGCTTCGAGGAAGTTCAACGTTTACATGACGTGAAATATGCACATAACAAGCTCCAGGGCAGCAAGAGAGTCCTCGCAGTGATGGAAGATCACGATATCTCGCTAGGAAATCCCAGCATCATTCAAAAGTCTAGTCATGGCCTTGGGTTTGGCCTTGCAATGACCTTGGTGGGCCAGACCAGAGGCACTCATAAGAGCATTCGACCCGCCATTGAGACTTCTTTCACTTTCCTCCCAGTTTCGGTTGTCAGCTCTGAATCATCCCGCATGTGCAAGCGGACGCCATGAGGTCACGCCTGCAAAAAATTTGATGTCGACATCAAGCTAATGAACAAGCGAGTGTCCACTGCTTGATGATGATGCAGTGGGCCGGCCGAATACGCGAATTCAAAGAAATGCAAGGCGTCTCTTCTGCACCTGTCAATCAAGCGCCTTTTTTTGCCCTCCCCCGGATGATGATCTGGCAGTCTTCCCGCCGCCGTGTGTGTTACACAAACGGTCAGAAGCTCACACCCCACAATTCTACAAGACATCAGCCCTCACTCTGACTTTACCTTCGTGCCTGCATTGAGCGTCTCTCGGTACTTTGGTATCCTTCACACAAAATTCCCGAGATTCAAGAGAAGTTTCCCTTCAGCCCTGGCATTTGAGACAGATGAAGGGTCACTCCTCCCGACCATGGATGTCACTCGCAGGCGAGATCGGCCTCCCACGCCGGCGAAAAAGCGGCACATTGCAGCACGCCTGACCCCCATCACCTCGCCTCATTTGTCCCAAGGTCTCCTAGCAGCGAAGCTTAAGCTACCATTAATAAAACAGGCCCACTCTGCCTAGACACTCGATCTGGGTGCAATACGTATGTATCAAACTGAGCGCCAGCGTGGGTCCCACATGTCCACCCGATCCTCGGACGGCGAGATTGCTTGCAGACCAGCGTGCAGCATTCCCCGCGTGTGAGGTGCTCGTGCAACACGTCCAATGACCCTGAAAGTGAAGTTTTGAAAAATGATTTCATATGTTCCCGCACGATGCCACTCTTTCCTATCTTCTCCTCCTTGACTCCTCTAATATCAAAATATTCTTAAACGAAAATGACGGCTTCAAACGATCGCACAAACGGCGCCACCAACGGCCATGCCAATGGCCACGCGAATGGAGAGCAGAAGGAGGAAATTGTTCTGACCAAAGTCTCGGAATTTCCCCTCAGCACCAATGGCCTTGAAGAATTAGCCACCTTTATCGATACAGACGCTGGACTCGCACTGGTCTCGAAAGTCGACCTTCCCGCTGGATCGCACTTTGCCTACCTCACAAGCCACGTTCCGCAAGAGAAGCCGATCTGGCGAACGATCCAAACTTCCAAGAACACTCACACGGACCCTCGAAGTGCGCTTTTGTACATGAACCACTCATGCCAACCGTCTGTCGAGGTCCATGTATTCTCGCCCGATGAGAACGGCAAATACCCATCAGCGCCACCAGACGGCGGTGCTCCCAAAAGCGACATCTCTAAGCTCCTCACAGAGCACGGTCTTGCCGGCGAAGTCAAGATTGCGCGGGACCGTGACATTAAAAAGGGTGACCACTTGACGTTCTTCTACCCTAGCACTGAGTGGGCCATGGACCGTCCATTCGACTGTCTCTGCGGAGCTCCTGAAGGTGTTTGCCTGAGCTCTGTTCAGGGTTCCAAGTACATTCCGAACGACAGGATTGGCCAGTGGTTCGTCAACGACCACATCCTCTCGCTCAAGAAGGCATCGCAGTGATTGTATTGCGTCGTTGGTGATTCACGAAAAGTGAAGAACACCTCGACTTCAACACCAACAGTGGAACACCAACCAGCGGTGGGACGCGCTGTGGGTGCCCAGGACCACAGTGCATAACGGCAGTCAAAGATAAAACTTACACGATAAAAGCAAATGATGACTCAGTCTTTTCAACCTTCAACAGGATGTAGGAGAAAAAGGAAATGATTGTAAACTGGTTCTGTGTCATATCTCATTCCCTTGGAAACCAACACAAAGATGTAGTAAATGAATGGCGCGCCTTACGTCCTCAGGCTTCGTCAGTAGACAGACTTGCACAATATTGCCCTTTCCGGGTTGGTGTCTCTTAGACTTGTTTATGCACTGGCGGTGACTGCAGCGCGCTTCACGTCCAGACGACGGAAACCTCCCTCCTCGGCGACAACCTGTTGCAATGCTACCATGCGCTTCTGGTCACCAGTCGGGTCGGCCTGGTCACCTTCACCTTCCCACTCCAAGAACTCGTTGGTGTAGTTCGGCACGAAACCCTCGGGCAAGCAGCCCAGACGCTTGCCGTAGCGGGTGACCTTCTCCCAGTCACGCGCGACGTTCTTGAGGTCTTTGGAGAAGTAGGCGAATGATCGCTCAAAGATCTTGCGGTTCAGCTCGGTGTCCATGGCGGGCTTGAAGTCGACGTACTCCGCCCAGGCCTGTTCGGGAGAGGCCAGGACGAAGTCCGTCGCTTTCTTAACCGCGCGCATGAATGAGCGGACCTTCTCTGGGTTTTGGGAGATGAAGGTCTCGTTGCCGATGTAGAGGATGGAGCAGAAGCAGCAGCAGCCCAGCTCTGCGAGCTCGTCAATGCGAAGCATCTGGACGTCATTCTTTGGGCGTCCCTGGGACGCAAGCCATTCTGCAAGCTCCACCATCTGGACGTTCTCGAGACCAATGCCGGCATCAATCTCGCCCTTGATGATGGCCTTGGACACATTCATACCGCAGCGGATCTGTCATGATCTTAGTGAAAGTTCTGGGCTACCGTACCACGCTGACTTACTGCAGTGTAATCCGTGGGCGCCATTCCGTAGTGAGAAGTAAGCTCGTCGATTTGGATCTTGCCAAACTCTCCGACATAGCCGATCTTCTTGCCCTTCAAGGTGCGGAAATCGGTGGTGATACCGCTGTCCTTGAGGTAAACGACACCAGTGAAAGGCTCGTCGAGCAGCGAACCAATCGACAGGATCGGGAAGTCACGAGCTTTGGCCTACTCCTTGTCAGATTCACCCATCGAAGAGGCCAAACTAGACGATTCTTACAGCAAGCGTGTGAATCATGGCTTTGTAGCCAAGATCTACCTTCTGTGTTCCGATGATCTCGGTCACGTCCTGTCATTCATAAATATCAGTCGACTAGAAAGCACCATATGATACCAAACCTCGGCGCCTACACTTGGGTCGTTGGGCTCCAAGATGGCAACTTTGATACCCTCATCTTGGAAGTATCCCCTGGCTTGAGCGAGGTATAGAGGGGCGTGGTATGGCGTCGCGTGCCTCGTATGAAGTCAGCATTATTCCTATTCGATGTCGGCTCTACAGGCCCCACCAGTTCGTCAAGAAGGTGATCTTGTCGGTCGACATGGTGGGTGCGGAACTGCCAACGTCAATTGCTCATATTCATAACATGGTAGGGGGTGAGAAGGCATGTCCCTGCGCAGGAATTACGCTCTGATCAGGTTCAAACGGTGTTTCTCAGCCCAGTAGCCGCCATTGCTTCAGTTCGGATCGAAGGAAGCAGGCCAGATACATGGACACCCGTCATGCAGTACTCTAATGCTTTCCATTGGTACCTTGATCGCCAGAACGAGATTCCCTCCTTGCAGACATGTTCCTTGCTCGGTCGTCCCTACCCGTAATTGAATTGTGGAATAGGGTAGTGAGTCGAAATTTGTATTCGGATGTCTTCTGGTAATACGTTATCGAAGAAAAGTCAATACTTTTTGACTCTAATTGCCTTTCTATAATGAGAATATATATGTGTATATGAAGACCTTTGGCGGGGTACGAAAAGAGCTCAATGGAAACATTCTGGCGGGAGAGTTCTCCACTTATCGTCGTGCTAAACATTTACGTCTATCGAATCTTATCATTGGGAGGTCATTGTCTGCATTTTTGCCTCTTTGGGGTGAGGTGTACCTAGATGGCCATTGAATATTTAAGTAGGTAGCTTTGAGGAAACTGGCTTGGCTGCCCACCAGACACCTGCCAGAGCTACCCAACAGCTTCGATGCAGGGTCCGCGCCTAAGCTTGCCCGTGATGACCCCGTAATGAATGGACGAACTGCAAAGAGAATACGCAGGTGTGACTCAAATATGCACAGTGTTAATTGCAGTAAGGAGCGGGTTTTCGGACCAAGTAATTCCTGGCCGAACGACCCGTGACTCCGAAGCTGGACTGGACAAGTCCGACATGACCTTGTAACGTAACGACTGAATCATTTGGACATGATCTATCTGTGTACATAGCCAAACTTTTACAATAGGGTCGCACGTCACAGCCGATGAAAGCCTTCGAACCTTCAGCTGAAAGCACTCGATTTCAATGATCGAAAGTAGATGTTCGGAGTTCGGAGTCCGGCACTAGAACTTCTTTCCTCATATTCTCTCCTGGGTTATACCTTACTTCCCATGACCGCTTGTCTGCTGAATTCGTACAGAGGTGTTATCCCAGTCCAGAGCTTGAATTGATAGACTCCTTGTCCAACTAGAGCCTCAAGCCCAGGAACGATAGCCCATCCAGCGCTGGCAGCAAGCGTCACCAAAGGCGTCACTGCAGGTTTGTAGGCCATTTCCAGCAGGATTCTCTTTCTGGGCGCTGTCACTGCATCGCTCTGTTGACTGGTGCTACCATGAAACACTGCCCCAAGGACTTTCTCCATGATAGGATCAATTGGTGCGTCGCCAGGGATCGTTCCAATGGACACCGAAGGAAGCTGATATGGTACGAGTCCTTTCACATCCGCCTCACTGGAAAGGATCCGAATGTCGTAATTAGATGGGAAACTCGCGCCGAGCGAGGTCAGCTTAGAAGGGTTCCTGCCGACTAGAAATAGTGGCGAGTATCCCATCGACTTCAGCGCAAAGAGAGCCGCGCGAGCAGTTCCACCACCGCCAACAACGAGAGCGGACTCTGGAGTGCCAGATAAAGTTGTTTGAGCGCCAGCATTGCGTAGAGAGAGTACCATCCCTTGCCAGTCAGTGTTGTATCCGATGAGGACGGTCTTTCCGCCGAGCCCTCTGGAAGGGACAATTGTGTTCACCGCCCCGATGGTCTTCGCTGCATCATCAACGGAGTCGATAAGATCCATGAAGTCCAACTTTAGCGGGATGGTGACGCTGGCGCCTCCGAAGTTTGGTGACCTAATGAAATCAACTTCTTGACTCGCATTGTCAGACTCACGTAAAATATATGAGTGCGGTAGGCCGGTGGCTTGGAAGAGCGCATTGTGTAGGGCCGGGCTGCGGCTTGACTGAATCGGCTTGCCAAACAAACAGAAGGTCTTAGGAGATATCTCGCCAACCAAGCTGAGGACTTTTCTGATGTCGGCCGCCGAGATTTGTCCAGGGGCTGCAGTAAATGGCAGCGATGGATGAGAGACGGGCGTCATGAAGCCATTCGTGACGCGGCTCATTTTTCCGAATTCGCCCATGTTCATCGCAATGACCGGAACATCGGAGCGCTCTTCTGCCGCCCACCTCTTAAAATTCTTGAGATCATCATTGTCAATGGTCGAGCGAGCAACACCGATCAGTTTGACGATGTCGCCATACTCGCGTGCTGCATCGTAGTGCGGTACCCATTCTGCCCCGCTGTCTTGCCAGGACAGCTCTCCCTTGGGGTCGTGATGGGACGCAATAATGGCTGAAGCTCTGCGACGATCAAGGATGAATTTCTTCAGCTCGGTGTCCGAAGTAAGCTCAACGTCGATGAATTCGAACCCCATTTTGAGTGCGACAGCGTACAACTGCTTCGCACCATCTTTATCTTGGTCTGGAAAGCGGCCGCCCTGTGAAACAGTGCGAAGTGTGAAGATAAGTGGTAATGAAGTTGAAGCGCGAAGCAAAGTGATTTGTTGAGTTAAGTGTTCTGGGGTGGGCAAGCCAATCGCCGATGACCCATCCACAAGAAGATCAGCACGGAGCTCGATGGCATCTACGCCAACAGTGATTTCTTTGAGCAAAGGCAAGATCTTTTCGATGGTTGGTGATGTCAAGGAAAGAAAGAAAGAATGTTGTTTTGCTCGGATACCCTCCAGTACCTCGCTCCGACCAAAAGCTGTGTCGAGGAATCGAGCGAAGGTATCCAGAGGATTGGTCCATGCAGAAGGCACAGTATTCAGATCGATAGTCTGGGAATGGAAATGCAAATTGCTGCACTCTTCAAACCAGGGTCGTCGGCGGAGGTAGACACCCATCATGTCTTCCACATACGCTGGTCGTGTCTTGTCAATCTGTAAGAATTCCATGACGCTCTCGATGTCGCGGCTTATATGTAGCACTGTTCCGTCTTTGTGCCAGTCTTTCAGAAGCTGGCGCGCTTCAGGTGTTTCCACGATGCCGCCTCCAGTAGCAAATATATGCCCTGTTGGCTTCTCTTTCATCAAGCGTTTGAGGAGGTTCACTTCACGTCTCCTGAATCCCTCCCAATCATTGTCCTTCAGCATTTCCGGGATTTTCATGCCCTCTGATGCTTCTAACTCATCGTCCATGTCGATGAATGGCCACCCCAGGGTACCCGAAGCCCATCGTCCTGCTGTGGTCTTACCAGCTCCGCGCATGCCGATAATGAAGATTGATTTATTTGAAATTGCATTTCTTGCAGTGTGTCGGCCGCCTGCGACAGTGTTGCCTGAGGCTGGAACATTGTCCACCTCGATACCCTCGAGATCAACACCAAAAGTCTGGTGCATCTGGTCCCACCAGCCAGGCCAAGTCTTGCCAGTGCATTCGCGTTCCAAGATCAATGTCTGCTTTGGCGCAACCACACCTAGTACACCAAAGCTCATGGCCACACGGTGATCGTCGTAACAATCGATACCTATGCTCGCAGCACCAAGTTGCACGCCGCGGCCGTCAATCTCGATTCCATCCTCCAATTCTCGGCATACCACACCGAACTTGGCAAGCTCATCATGCATAGCTTTAATGCGATTACATTCTTTTTGTCTCTGGTTAGCAATACCAGTGATACGAGTGGTGGCACCTTTTTCATTGGGTTTCGCAACAGCAGCAAGCACCGACGCTGTAAGAAAGGCGTCCGTCATGGGCTCCATGTCGATTTGTGGGAGCGGCTTAAGCTCTCCCACTGGTGGTCCCGTCACTGTTGTGCTGGTCTTGGTTTGTGTGATAGTACAACCCATCGGCTCAAGGACATCGACTGCGAAGCGAGCATCACCCTGAAGTGAAGCCGAGCCAATGTTCGGGATAGTGCAGGTGGTTCCGGTGATGGCTGCAATCGCAAGAGGATAGGTGGCACTGCTTGCATCACTCTCCACCTCGTACACCGAAGGGTTGGCGTAGTTCTGCTTTGGTACATGATAGACGTTCGGCTCAGACCCGTCCCTGGTAACAGTGACTCCAAAGTCAGCCATCATGGCAAGTGTCATATCAATGTACGGCTGGCTGATGACCTTGCCGCCAACGAGTCGGAGAGTCACCGGATTTTTCGCATAAGGGGCGCACATAAGGATGGAGGAGACGTATTGGGAGGACACCTTGGCGGTGAGCTCGATGACACCACCCTCAAATCCACCAGCAGCTGCGATACGCAGAGGAAGGCTCTGGCTTCCCGGCTTTCCGACGTACTCGATGTCTACGCCATTGGACCGCAAAGCATCAACAAGTGGGCCTTGAGGTCGCTCTTGCATCCGAGCATTGCCTGTGAGGACGGTATGCGATGCGGCCGGACTTGCTTGAGCAAGAGATACAGCCGTGGTGAGAAATCGTGAGGCGGTACCCGCGTTGCCGATGTAGACTTCAGTAGTGGAAGCTTTCAGGGCTCCACCGTTTCCTTTGACTACCAACACACGACCCTCATCTTCCCATGAGTAGGATGCACCACCAAGCTGACCAAGGGCAGAAAGCATGAACTGCGTGTCATCTGAGTGAAGCAAGTTGCTGATCTTGCAAGTACCTTGGCCCAACGCAGCTAGAAGGAGGACTCGATTCGAAATGCTTTTGCTCCCGGGTGGTTTGCATGTGGCTCTCAACGATGGCGCTACTCCTGGCTTGACCTGAATCGCGGGACAGAGAACAATGCGGATGTATTTATCCACAATCGCGGTCGCCTTGGGCTCGTAACATCTGCCAATTGCGGCCAACATCACAATTTTCTTCGTCGAACCGGCATTTTTTTTGTCTACCGCCATTCTGCGAAGCAGTTCGTCCACTGGGCACTGAGTGGATGTTAGAGAGGTGATCAGCTTGTCGTCTACGGATACGGGAAGCCCATAGCTAGCGATGCACTTCGTCAGACGAGCGACAGCACCTGGTGGGAGCATTCCGAGGTGACGTGCTAACTCTGCTTCTTTAACCATGCCGACAGCAACGCATTCGCCGTGGAGAACTTCCGGTGTCCATAGTGCCTCATATGCGTGGCCAATAGAATGTCCAAAGTTTAATAGATTCCTTAGCCCACCTTCTCTTTCATCTGCGCTGACCACTTCCGCCTTGACACGAGCACTTCCGAGCACAATTCTCTTGAAGATATCCTCGATGCCCTTGAATCGACCCGCTCCAGGGGGCTTAGACAAAGCTTCCATAATCGCCTCAGCATTGGCTTCTAATCTCTCGAATTCACTCTCATCCCAGATAGCAGCGGTTTTGACCACCTCAGCCATGCCATTGCACACTTGGCGCTTGTTGAGGGTCTCAAGGAAGGCGAGGTCGATGTAGATACGCTCGGGCTGCCAGAAGCTGCCAATGAGATTTTTGCCCAATGGGGTGTCAATGGCTGTCTTTCCGCCAATGCTGCTGTCGACCATTGCGAGTAGGCTCGTCGGGATCTGGCAAAATCGTACTCCGCGCATGTAGGTAGCGGCCACGAATCCTATGAGGTCTCCAATGACACCACCTCCCAGCGCTAGTATGACTGTGTCGCGGGTACATCCTCGCAACAAGAGCCAATCTTCGATATCGTTTTTCGTCTTTCGACTTTTCGAACGTTCACCCGGTCGGATGCGGTCATAAATCAGCAAGCGTGCTTGTTGTGCAGATTTTCCGAGTCTCTCCCGCTCGGCTTCGAATTGTTGTTTGAAGAATGGAACGTAATCAAATTTTGCGAGATTGCTGTCACAAATAAGAACATATGTTGAGCTGACAATGTTGGCTAGCAGATCGCGCACAACATAATTGCGCCAAAGGCCATAGTCGACGATTATGCTCTCCTTGCCTAGGATTGGCACTTTGATGGCTCCGTGCGAACCGTTTGTTGACTGCATTTTAACCGCACCTGGACGTGGTTGCGATATCGAGGTGACTCGACCAGTTTCCTACATGCTCTTAAGATGGGGAAACAGTCACAAATTTCCCGGCTATATACAGTAGCTGTTCTCAATGGCTGGACCTAAATGACGGGGGTGAAGCGGGGCAAAATGACCGACTACGAAACTCCGGAAAGTCTACCCTGACGGAAATGGCGGTGGTCCGAAGAGAGACGCGGGAACTTTGGTTCGCATGCACTGTGCATATTCTTCGGGAGCGCCGTTTGCTTGTTCGCGCCGACGTCGATAGCAGAATGACAGCACGAGAGCGACAACCTACAGATATGCATCACAATTGGCGATCCGCGGGTCTGCAGAACTTTACTCAATAAACACGGGCGGCACATGAATCGGAACATGACCTGAGTCTGGGTATCGCGGTGACGCGTGAATTTTGGGGATACGAATGTTTTGGTGAGAACTATGAACCCGGGCGAGATTTTTCATCAACCCACCGAAGCCACCAGTGCAGGGCTTTCCCCTACAGCGATGAAGCTACAGGTATCTTTCCCTCGTAAGCGCCGGTATGCTCCAAGGCTCAAAGTAAAGAAGATGAAGGTGAATTCTGCCAATGTCATGCGCGTGAGATCGAGTGTAAGCTCACTAAGCAGTACCCTCGGCCCAGCCCTGGTTGCCAGTCTCAGCTGGCGCACTGCTGGCAGCCCAGTCCGCACCAGTCTCAGCCTCCCATGACTGTCCAGGCTGGCCGCTTGCATTTCCGCTGGCAGCAGCAAAGGCACTGGTGGGGGCATTGCCGACCTCCCATTCGCTGTTGAAACCACCATCGACAGGACCAGCACCGGCCTCATCGGCGCCGGGAACCTTGGCCTCCTCTTGACCGGCAGCGTCCTTGTTCTCTTCGGCCTCAGGGTCGCGGTAGAAGTACAAGTCAGTCATAACATCCCACTCGGCCTCGCGGCTTGCGAGGGTTCCGCGAAGACGAAGGACCTCACGAGCCAACATCCACCAGATGAGACCAATGGCGTGGCGACCCTTGTTGTTGGTAGGGATGGCAACGTCGACGAACTCCGTAGGGCTGTCAGTGTCGCAGAGAGCGATGACGGGGATGTTGACATAAGAAGCTTCCTTGATGGCCTGGGCGTCGGTGCGGGGGTCGGTGACGATGATCAAGCGGGGCTCCTTGAAAGAGCGAGTGATGTAGTTGGTGAAGTTACCGGGAGTGAAACGACCAGCAATAGGCGAGGCACCAGTGTGGGCGGCAAACTTCAACACGGCACGCTGACCGTAAGGACGAGCGGAAATAACAGCAATGTCGGCCGGGTTGTCAATTGCGACAATGATACGAGCGGCCAGAAGAATCTTCTCCCTATTTTCTTTATTAATTTTACAAATTGCGAGCAAATTGACCATCACGCGATCTTACCAGGTCTTGCCAATGTTGATGATGTTGATACCATCAGGCCTGGTCTTCCACAGGTATGGCTCCATGTGAACTTGGATGTTCTTGGCTCCGATGTGGCACTGCGCGGCGAGCAGCATCTCGATATCTTGCGCCGTAGCGTCGAAGATGGAGGGCAAGTTCTTGGAAGCCATGATTGCGTTCTTTTGCAATTGTGTTGTCGCAAAAGATTGAAAGCTCGCGAAGATTTTGATTAATTGTTATCACGAATTCCACAACTATTCGCGGAATTCGCTGCGTGGGTGTGCATGACTCGTGCGAATGCCAAGATCAAGCCCGCCAACACAGAAGTCCCCAAGCAAGCCCAAAGGGGATGTGAAGTCCGCAACAGTCTTGGACAATCGACGCCTATGAAACGTTCCGTTGTTTCCCATTCACCAGGATCTAGTGCCATCAATATTGGTCGCGAACTCAGAGACCATGTCGCCACGTTTGGCCAGATTGTCGCAGCTTTGGAGGAATATAGGTCACCACGAAACCTCGGCGTCGGTCACGCACATCTGGGCTTGTGCACCGACGGCATCATGCGCACAATTCCGTCTGGCTTCTTCGGCTTCAGAGCGCCATCAATATCGTGATCCTTATGCAGTGGCCCAAGCGAAAGCTCGCAAGGCTGCAAACCAATCTCGGCAGGAAATCCTGAGGAAAGAACGCTCCGAAGCTGCGGGACATCCAGTCCGTGGCATTGCGACTCCATTAGTAAAGTCCTTCGACTTCGGAACTCCGTTGGACGCTTCAGAAGCACTGGGCGCCGAGCAAGAAGACCAACCGAACGACCTTGGGCCTACCAACGAGTATCGTAATGACAGTGATGAACATCTCAAATTCTTGATCACAAAGTCGGATCTTTCGGAAGGACTTCGACGTAGCGAAATCCTTGCTGGAGAAGGAAATACCAGCGCAAGCGCAAAGCTGCTGAATAGTCAAGAACTGGAGGAACAGGAGAATTTGCGAAAGGAGGCCAAGGCGACGGCGGCAGAAGCGTTGCGACGGATTGCCAGCATCTCTATGGGTACGAGCAAGGATCGGTTAAGGGCGAATACACAACGGTGCATAGACATATTCGGCAGACACAATACCGATCAACAACTACCGACTCGTCCTCAGGCACCTGGACAAACACTAGCTGACGGCTCACTTCCAAAAATGGAGCGTGCTGGTCCAGACACTGGCAGCAGCGAAGTCCAAATCGCCATCCTTACTGCCAAGATTCGCTCTCTTGCGTTCTATTTGGACAATCGAGCGAGAAACAAAGACAAGATGAACAAGCGTAACCTTCGACTTCTTGTTCATCGAAGGGCCAAACTCATGAAATACATGCGTCGGAAGGAGCGAGGTGGTCCCAGGTGGCAGAACCTGATCAATTCGCTTGGTCTCACCGAAGCCACATGGAAGGGCGAAATCGTCATGTGAGAGCATCGTCTCTGCTTGTAATATATCTGCAACATCATGGTTGGCGCTCGAGGCCGTGCGACGCTTTCCGGGAAACTTATATTTTGTACTTCTATGTACAGTACACATCTCTCAACAGCATCACTCACGTCTACATTGGTTGAAACTCGTGTTTGTTCTCCTCCTCGGCATTACTGTGGCATTTCACACGCTTATGGATGGTATGTGGGGTCTTCCGATTATATGAGACTGCTTAGATATAAACATGGACAAGTCTAATCATCCGATGATCCGTGAGCAGCTTGGCGAGCGAGATCACGATACTCTACTCAAGAGCTTCCCGGGGTCTGCTTCAATATTTATCCAAGAGAACGTGAGTTTCTTACCCCCGGATGATCGGCGTCACCCGTCACACCCGCCCGCGTAATGCAGCGTGACGATTTTACATACCTAGGTAGGGCATAGCTCGTACCCGATCATCTTGCGCTGAAAAGATTCGAGGAAGCCCATGCGCAGAGAAGCCGCTGTGCGTGACATTCTAATACGGCATATCGGGGTCTTCGGACCATGTGTTTCTCCTCCAGTGCTGCTCGTTCTCGACCTTCCAAGGTTGTCTTCACCACACATGCGTGAACTCACAGTATTTGCGAGGTAAAGCCGGGACTGCCGGTCTTCCGCGCCTTGCTACGGCACTTTAGTGCGTGACGTGCGTGAGCATGCACCTTGATGTGCGACGTGCAGCTCAAAGCTCCATCCATCCGGCGGCCAAAAATCGAAATTGTGACGTCGCGAAATTCGCTCCACAAGGCACGTTTTTCCAGAGCACTCACAGATGCTTGATGTATATATCTCACAGTAGCCCGTCAATGTAGGATGCGCTAGCATAAGCAATTCGCAGATCACCTGCGTCTTTGACTCCCACAGATTGGTCAACATGCTGAACCCAATTGCCGCCTGTCTTGTCTTGTTGCTCTCTGCTACTTCGGTTACAGCACACAATTATGGGAACGTGAGCTCCAGCATTGTACCGACGGTGACAGTTAAGAATGGGTCATACTATGGACGCTACGATCCCTCTTACGGGACTGAGAATTTCTTGGGAATGCCATTTGCTCAGCCACCAGTGGGCAACTTTCGCTTCCGAGTGCCACAGTCGTTGAACACATCCTGGAGTGGGGTGCGCAATGCCACAGAATTTGGATATGAATGCATCGGCTATGGAGGTGATACCGTAGCTGCGGGCAACAGAGTCTCGGAAGATTGCTTGACGATTAATGTAATCAAGACTCATGGCAGCGGCAATGACTTACCGGTTGTGGTAAGTTATCAGCAACTATCGCCCCAGCGTCCTTGGCTTCGCTCACAGGATTCGACAGGTCTGGATTCATGGTGGTGGACTCGTGATGGGAGGTGCAGCTGATCCACGTAAGATCTACAGCCGGATTTGCTTCGTTCGAAAGCTCATGGCTGACGCATCACAGGCTACAATCAATCGTTCATGGTTCAACAGGCTGCACTCGCAGGGACGCCTATCCTAGCGGTCTCGATCAATTACCGACTCAGCGCATGGGGCTTCATCTATGGCAAGGAGTTTCAGGAGAGTGGCAACACCAACCTGGGCTTTCGCGACCAGCGTTTGGCACTTCACTGGGTGGGCTACACCCTTTCCGAGATTTATCGCTTCGGCTAACAAAAAGACAGATACAAGAGAACATTGCGGCGTTTGGTGGGGACCCAAACAAGGTAAGTAGCGAGCTTCGCTCATCGGTGATCCGCGTAAAACAAGGGGCAAGCGCATATCGCGAGGGACTTTATGTATGCTGACCTTGGGCAGGTGACCATTATGGGCGAGAGCGCTGGGGGTTGGTCCGTTGGTGTCCAGCTTCTAGCATACAACGGCCGAGACGACAAACTCTTCGCTAGAGCGATCTCAGAATCAGGTAGCATCGGATTTGTGGCGCCTTATGGAACGTTTGAATCTTGGGCACCAATCATTGCGAACATCTCGGCCGGTGTGGGATGCCAAAATTCGACACATCTCCTAGATTGTCTTCGCGCGGTGCCGGTTCAACAACTGAACGCCGTGATCAACAGCACGGCTACCGTAGGCGCGGTGTATTTTGCTAACATTGATGGCGATTTGGTGACCAAAGCGGCGGCAACCCAATTGCAAGAAGGCAACTTTGTCCGCGTTCCTTTTCTTCTGGGGACGAACACCGACGAAGGTATGTAAATTTAGGATCAGCCAATCAAGCCTCGAGAAAGCTGGGTGTCTGACTTCGCGCTCACCAGGGACTTCATTTGGACCTAAAGGTGTCAATACCTCGGAACAGTTTCTTGCCTATGCGAGGAGTGGAACCAGAGCACTTCTGCTGGACAATACAACCGCCAATGACATCGCCATCCTGTACCCAGATATACCTGCCATCGGAATTCCAGCTACGATCAAAGGTCGTGCCAGCTCGAGCTTAGGATTGCAATTCAAGCGCACTGCCGCGGTTGCTGGCGATCTTATCATGCAAGCACCCCGGCGCCTGATGTCGGAGGCTTGGGCGCGCTTCAACACTACCGCATATACCTATCGATTCAATGTTGTGGTGAGCAATGTTAACAGCAGTCAGACATGACTTGAGCTAACGGTCGAAAGGTCAATGGTGTCCCGTATACCTCTGGGAGTCCACATTTCCAGGAGGTTGCTTTTGTCTTCTACAAGTACGTCGTCTTCAAGTATGCTCTTGTCTGTAGCACACTCTTACTGACCATGATCATCATAGTACAATGGGACTCGGCTATCCCGCGACCGGCGTCCCAAACCCGTTGGGAGGTCCACATGCCGAAACCTATCGAAGAATCTCGCGACTGATGCTTCGAATGTGGATTTCTTTTGTTGTCTTTGCGGATCCGAATTACGGGCTCGACAATGTTGTGGAGCCGTGGCCCCAGTACACACTCGATGCTCCACAGAATTACGTGTTTGAGCAGAATATGACCTCTCACGCGGAGGACGACGTTTGGCGAGCGGCAGCCATTTACTACGTCAATCGGCTCGCGGTTGCTCGCAGGGGCAGGAACTGCACCGGCATCGCTGCTTGTGGGTCTTGAGTGCCCGGACTCTTGCTCACGAGCTCTTTGGTATCGTCATGCTTCCAATGTAATCAGGCAGATGATCAATCGTTTTTTTCCGCAGCGCCTTCCCCTTTTGAGGCAACACATGTCGATACTGTTGTGAGTCCATGCTTGCCTATCGTCATTTCTGGTTTGATCCTTCCCTCACCCGACCAACAGCGGCATTCCTTAGACAGCTGGGGACTCTCGCCTGCGGGAGGAGCGGATGTTCCAGATGCGTGCCTTCTCCATTGCCTTTTGACAGTCTTCACCAAAATGTAACAAACCTTGCGATTCAAAGTTACCTAGCTGTAAAGATCTCATTTCCGCAGAGCTTCGGGGCGTGAGATCTCCAGCGATACCACTCGTTGTCTCCTGGACTTCCACGTGACAAATTCGATATCATCACAGGCGAGGATCAGCTTTCAGAGATTATGGACAACGCGGTCGTGGTTCTCTGCATAATCGTCGGTGCTGGTCTTAGCGTTCTTCTGGCATATTCTGCGACACACATGTTCTTTCGTCAAGGTCCCGAAATCGATGATATCGCCCTCAAAAAGCGGCGGGCTCAAATCCAATATATGCGCGAAGTTCGCATGCGGAATCACAAATTTATCGCCGCAACATGTGGTGATACCCCGATCACGGTACGTGCATTTCTGTCGGGCCCCGTGGATGCGTGAACTTTATAATGACCAGAGGTCGCAGTTGCATCCACCATCAGACGATCGATCCAGTTTGTCGTACTGATATAGCCCGCAAGTCTGGATCACACTAGGCGGAGAAAGATAGTAGGTAAATATTGCATCGCTCGAATGCTACGTGTTAACCTGAAAGGCATGTGCTGATCGCATGAGGGAAAAGGGCATCTCTGCGGGATATCATCCGTTGTCATATACGGTGAGCTCCTGATGTGTGGTTGACTGGCTTCACTCAATTCGCTTCGCGGTCCTGTCCGGAACAAGGAGGGCGGAGAGCGCAATGTCGGAAGCTTGCGTGCTTCCCCTGTTGGAAATTGAAACTGAATAAACGCGGGTGGTCCGAAGCAATGAAGCTGGAGGTGACGGAATAAGTGCAAGGTCAAATCTAGCATATAAGGTTCTTGTAGATGCGCCAGCTGAAGGTGCATTCTGACCCAACGAATTGAGCGCATGTAGGAGATTGCGCAGCCCTAAGGGACAATGCCGCATCGGCAATGATGTAACTGCATGCGCGCCTGCCGGCCCGTTCAATATATTGGCAGCCCTGGAGTAATGGCTTCGGAGCTAACAGCTCATAAAGCCTGCTTGCGGGAGGCAGTGATATACGATAGGAACTTGTCCGACGTGCATCCAATCGGCAGAGCTCAGTCAAGACGGTTCCCACACGAATCCCGACTGCATGACTGAGATGTTACGATGTTCGTGATCATATACTTCATCTGAGCCGCAGGACCACTCAGGGGCGAGCCTGCCTCTGCATCAATTCCTCCCGCCGAGACCATTTTCCTCACGCGAACGGGGCAAACGCATATCATGGCTACGACACCGGCATTGGGACGCGAGGATTTGCCTGGTTCCACTGTGGTCGGAACAGAGAGCCCGAGCACAAATCTGAGCAAAAATGTTCACTTCCAAGGACGCGAGCAGCCGCTGTCAGGTCAAGAGTCGACGAACTCGCCAACTACTAGATCACGGAGTCAGAATGTCAATGAAGGCACACTAGAAGGCACTGAGACCCCGCCAGCTAAAGAGAAGCAGGGCTATCTTTTGAACAAACTTAAGGCTCTCGCATCCTCTTCTTCACCCACCAGCCATGTTCGGTCGACGAGCACAGCCACTACCACAGCGCCTGAAACGGCGAACTCAATCACATCTCCAGCTGAGGGACAACCACCGATTGAGCCTAGCGAGAACATGTTCTCAGCAGAGCTGGACGAAGACGCCGACGAGGATGATTCTGAAGATGACGAGCCCGTGCGCGAGATACAACAGCGAAAGAAACGCAAGAGCAGGAGGCCGAGACATGACAAAGAAGGGAATGATTCGGTGCAATCAACGCCAAGAGCGTCACGGTTTGCTTCCTTCATACGCGACCACCCAAGATCAGGCTCAAACAATCGACCAGCACCAGCGCGACGAGCTACATTCGATGATCTGCCTACCTCAGGTAGAGCCGGAGGGGTGTCGGAAGATGAGGGCCGCGACAGAATCCGCAACGCCCTGCGCAAAGGACTGGAAGGAGCAAGGGGTTTGAGCTATGTAGCGCGAAAGACCGCCGACGGAGAGAACACTGACGGTAAACGACCGGGCAACCTCCGACGTATCACGGGCCTCGGAGGTCTAGATCAGACAAATTCTCCTCATCGTCCTAGACCTGATCGCAACAACAACTCTAGCGTCCAGAAATGGCGACAAGTAAAGGCGGGACTGCGCATGCTTGGTCAGCGTAAAAAGGATGAGCGAATGCAGGTCGATCACCAGAAATCAGCACAATTGATGGCAGAATTGCTAGCTGGGGCTCCCGCAGCATTGATCTTCGCCAGCATGTTCCAGCGGGACGAGCATCACCACCGCAAGGTACCAGTTCTTCTGGAGCAACTCAATATCAGTATACCTGACGTCCAGAGTCGGACCGACAAGAAAGGAGATCGTGACTACATCTATGTGATTGATCTTGAATACGGAAATGGCCCATCTCGGATGAAATGGACAGTACATCGCTCCGTAAACGACTTCGTCAACTTACATCTGAAATACAAGGCGCAGGGAGCAACGGACAAAGTCCGTCACCTCCGCGGTGATGACAAAAGCAAGGCTAAGATCCCTCGCTTTCCGAAGAGTGTCATACCCTTCGCTCGGGGTGTACGAGGTCTTTTTGAAAAGGTCGAGGACGAAGAGGACGAGCAAGACGCCGACGGTGCAGCAACCGATGGCGAAACAACGCCAGGCCCTGCCACAACTTCGAACAACAACTCAATAAGAAACGGCCCCGAGAGGCCAAAAGGGCACAAGCGGCGCAAGTCATCGTTTGCACCTGTCTCGCGTATGAATACTGGTGATCTCACAGGTGCGGATGCGGAAGATTTGACAGCCCGGCAAAAACAACAGTATGCCGAGCGATCACGTCAAAAGCTAGAGACATACCTCCAACAAATGATCCGATGGCTCATTTTCCGAGCAGACAGTACTCGTCTATGCAAATTCCTCGAGATCTCCGCAATGGCAATTCGCCTTTCAGCAGAGGGCGGCTACCAGGGGAAGCAGGGACTGCTTCAGATTGCCTCCCGGAGACATCGCGAGCTTCGAAGGAAGACATTCGAATCTCTCGGTGTGAAGGCTTTCAAGGAGCGTCACAAACGTCGGTGGTTCCTTGTGCGCCACAGCTATATCGTCTGCGTTGACGGGCCAGAGTCCCTTCATCCCTACGACGTCTTCCTTGTCGACTCAGACTTTGCAGTCGAGAAGCGTAATCACCGCATGATCGATCAAGAGGCAGACGGCAAATTAGCAAAGGACTCTGCCGATACAGGGGCTCAGCCAAAGAAGGCCCATTTGATCAGACTGTACAACTCAGAGCGTTCATTGAAACTCTATGCTCGGAACGAAAAGCAATACAATCAATTTGTGGACTCGTTGAAATTCATGATGTCGAACACAATCTGGGCTCAAAAACAACGCTTCGGAAGTTATGCCCCAGTCCGCAACAATGTATGGGCACGCTGGCTCGTCGATGGCCGCGATTTCATGTGGCAGGTCTCACGAGCCATAGACAATGCCAAAGACTTTATCTACATCCATGATTGGTGGCTGAGTCCTGAACTATACATGCGAAGGCCAGCTGCGATCAGTCAGAAGTGGCGTCTTGATCGTTTGCTTCAGCGCAAGGCCCAACAGGGCGTCAAAATCTTTGTTATCATTTACCGAAACATTGAGTCTGCCATCCCAATCGACTCTGAATATACCAAATGGAGCTTGCTTGACTTGCACGAGAACATTTGCATCCAGCGGTCGCCCAATCAATTTCGGCAGAACCAATTCTTCTGGGCCCATCACGAAAAGCTTGTGGTCGTTGACAATATGATGGCTTTCGTCGGCGGTATCGATCTTTGCTTCGGCAGATGGGACGATCCTTGTCACTCCCTCACCGATGACAAGCTCACCGGCTTTGAGGCTGATCACGATAACCCTCGCGATGCTGAACATTGCCAAGTCTGGCCTGGAAAAGACTACTCGAATCCTCGAGTCCAGGACTTTTATGCACTCGACCGGCCGTACGAGGAAATGTACGATCGGACCAAAGTGCCGCGAATGCCGTGGCATGATATCTCTATGCAAATGGTCGGGCAGTCTGCGCGCGATGTCGGTCGTCATTTTGTACAGCGCTGGAACTATGTTCTTCGATCTCGCGTTCCTTCCAGACCAACGCCGGTACTGATGCCGCCCCCCGAATTTGAGCAAGAAGAACTCGATCGCCTGGGCATGACTGGAACATGTCAAGTTCAAGTCTTGCGTTCATGTTCACCATGGTCTATCGGCACACCAAACAAAGTGGAGCACAGTATCATGAATGCATATTGCGCCCTCATCGAAGGCTCAGATCATTTCGTCTACATCGAGAATCAATTCTACGTCTCAAGTTGTACCGTCGAAGGCACAACGATCCACAACAAGATCGGAGATGCCATTGTTAATCGCGCAATACAAGCGCATAGAAATCGGGAGGCATGGCAAGCCTGTCTGATCATTCCACTCATGCCAGGCTTCCAGAACAGTGTCGACTCTCAAGACGGCACGAGTGTGCGTTTGATCATGCAGTGCCAATATCGAAGTATCTGCCGCGGTGACACGTCGATCTTTGGACGTCTTCGTGCACAAGGCATTGAACCTGAAGACTACGTTCGCTTCTACTCTTTACGCCAATGGGGCAAGATTGGTCCACGAAAGTCACTTACAACCGAGCAACTGTATATTCATGCCAAGTGTATGATTGTGGACGACAGACATGCCATAATTGGATCCGCAAACATCAACGAACGCTCTATGCTTGGCTCCAGAGATTCAGAGGTTGCTACCATTGTGACTGACACTAGAATGATCCCCAGCTTCATGGGCGGTCGACCATACGATGTAGGCGAATTCCCTCACACTTTGCGCAAGCGTTTGATGCGCGAACATCTAGGTATTGATGTCGATGCAATCTACCGACGCGAGCAAGGTGCTGCTGAGCGTGAGGAGCAGGATGCGGAGATGTCGCGAATATACGAAACCGATAGATTTGAACCCTCCAAGGAGTATTTCGAGACACCGCCGACAACTCCTCCTGCACATGAATCACATTCGAGCTTTGCTGGTCCTTCCACATTGAAGCCGCAGAGTGGTGCTAATGCGAACGATGCGGTTTGGTCGGAAGAGGATCAGCTCGAAGAGATCTCTCATGAAAACAGACTGGATTATCAGCGCGACCTCGATGTTGCTGGCTACGGGATTGATAACATGAAACTGGTCGTCGATCACGGCGAGGACGCGTACAGAGACTCCTACATTGATCAGCGCGGCCGTGAGGTACTCTTGAGACAAGACGCACCAGAAGTTGACCGCATAAAGATGCTGGAAAAGAAAGAAGCTGCACAAGTCGACATGGCTGCGCGGAAAAGTGAGCTCCCAGCTCAGCCTCCATGGCCCTTGGGTCGTTTGGACACATATCACCTTGGCCTGCCCAATCGCTCTCAGCTCCCAGAGCTTCCGCCCCTCGATGATACCGACATTGGAGGTCCAACTTTGACCCGCGGCATGTCACAAGCCTCGAAGAAAGTTATGAATCCTCTGATCACATCTCTCAGGCGACCAGATGTCCACGAGGATTGTATGACCGACCCAATTGTGGATGGCTTTTACCAAGACGTATGGCACAAGGTTGCAGAAAATAACACGAAGCTCTTCCGACAAGTCTTTCGCTGTCAGCCCGATTCTGAAGTTCTGGACTGGAGGACTTACCACAAGTTTAATGAATACAATGAACGTTTCATGCAGGCGCAGGGCTTGGGAGTATCACAGCAGGGAGTAAACAAGGATGCTCCTGCACAGTCAGGCCCACCCGGCTTCGCAGAAGCGGTCGCTAAAAGCGCGGCTATTAATGCGCAAAAGGCATTGGACAAGTCTTCGAAGTTGCGTCCCGAGAGCAAGAACTCAGAGGGAGCCCCGACGACCGGCGAGGAACTGAACGAAAAGGACGGGCTCAACCCCGGCATGCCTGGATCGCCAGAGACACGTGCTTCAAGTGTTCGCACTGCTCTTCCTTCGCCATATCAGGGTCCAGTGGACGATAGAGACAGAGAGAAGCAGGAAGAACAACTCGATGAGAAATCGGCACTTAGAGGAGATGGCACGATAGGCCGCGGACGCACCGTCCAATACACTGACACAAATTTGAGTAGCCATGAAGCTCAGGCATCTGCGCAGACCGCCAACAGCTCCACACTACATCCGAGCGCTTCCCAAAAGCGCCGTCGCCGAGCCAACACCAAAGGCAGCATGAAAGGCGTGCCTGAAGAAGTACTCGGTAGAGACGAGGCCGAAGAATTGCTCAAGCTTACACAAGGGTCCCTGGTCCTGTGGCCTTATGATTGGTGAGTTTCATGCCTACGGCTGGACAAAGTAGAGATACGTATGCTGACAAACTGCTTCTAGGCTGGAGAAGGAAGAAAGGGGAGGGAACTGGCTGTACAACATCGACCAATTGGCCCCTCTCGAAATCTACGATTAATAGGCTCGCGTTTGCAAGTCTCATTTGGATCATCATTAACTTGGATGTCACGAAAGTCACCTATGGACTACATTGTTTTCTCGGGATTCAAGAATAAATTCATATTTTGAGTCGCAAAACTCTATATTCGGATTCGTCAGTCTCATGGTATGGGTATTATTGATCATCGCGCTCATCTGAGCCCTTCGTTGTTTTTGTGCTACTTCATTATTCAGCAATAACCTCTACTCATCCGGGCCGCCAAGAAGGTCAGCAATATGGCGCATATGCTTCGTTGCATACTGCTGACGGCTGGAGTCTGTATGTGTGTATGCAGTCGTCGCGGCCGGCAAAGTGTCGCACACATTCGGATTGAACTTGTAGTGCGACATGAAGCCCGCCTGTAATAATCTCTTGAGAGTATTCATGCGATGGAGCTTCCACCACTTGTCCACTGTGACCTTCCCACCGCTGTTATTGATGGCAACCCTCATACGAGAACCCATTTCATTGCCTTGATCGTCTAGCGCCGTGGAGTAGGCGGGTCCGCGCCGTGGATCCTCAACGGAGCGGAGGACATCTGCGATTGTGCCTTGCAGTGACTTCCGCTCTCTTTTTGAGACGCTCTTGGCGGACTGTTTAGTCAAGCCGTGGAGGACGCTTGCAGCGCGATGGGCTTGATGGTCTAGCCCGTGACTTCTTGGCTTGCTGTCCTCAGCTTGGTCGTCCTCTTCGTCATCTGAATCTGTGACGGCATAGCTCAACTCAACCAGCAATGCGATGTTCTCGGCAGCAGCGCAGACGACTTCGCTTGAGGCGCTTTCGAGCTGATCGGTGAAAATTTCGATCGCGGTGTCTGCCGATGATGGTAGTTCGTCGAATTGTGTTGCCAGAAAGCCCCACTCCTCCGCCGCTGCCACGACGACTTCGGCGTTGTCTTCTTCGCCGATCGTCATTCCGTCACTTGAGATGATATCCAAGAAGAAGTCCATGGTCTCCCCGGTCTCGTCGATTGAGCAATTACTGTAATATTTTAAAATGCTTAGAGTTCGAATTGCAGCAACCTTTGCGTCAGCAAATTGGCCGTCCTCGATAGCACTCTTCACCACGTCAAACACTGTTGTATAAACCTCATCTGTAGGTTCCGTCACCATGATCAGGCATATCGTTCTGAGCGCGAGCTCGATCTCTCGTGAGGTCTCGCCAGATTTGATGCTCTTTGATAATGATGGCAGAAGCTGATTCACTCGAGATTGAAGTTCTTCCTGTGCGTAATGGTGGGTGATCAGGTTTGAAAGGGCGTTCAGGACCTCTTCCCGACCCTCCACTGAACTGTGCTTTCGATCGCAAATGGCTTCGATGCGCTCATTGAGATCCGCCGTCCACACATCGGCGGGAACGCTCGCTACCAATTTGCCCACGTCATTGAGGCTATTACTACTGTAGTCTCCTTCATCGTCGGAGACGTTCCGACTTGTGACCGCGGATGCTACTCGGGACAGCGCGGGCGTTGTAGTGCCACTGCCTGCCTGGATATTCCGCTGCTTCTTTCGTGAGGTGGTTTTGCCAGATTCCAGGATGGCCTGCTTGCGAAGATCGTGCATACCTAGGTAGTTATGCTATCCGCTGCTCACACAGAGGAAGTTGATACGGTTTGTCTTTTGTCTCCGTACTGAGCTGCCAGGTTCAAGAACCTTGAGGCAAGAACGAAAAGGGCAACCGTCGTACTGAGCGAAGTAACCTGACTTTATCTAGACCAACAGAACAAGAGCCAGACGATAGACTGTTGGTGTAGCAGGAGTATAATATTTATGGAACTGGTTGATCGCAAAGCTTCGTCACACCGTGAAGTGATCAAAGAGTAATTGTTGCGAGTTCAGTGTGCGGACAGATTCCAGTCCGCCTTCACGTTCGTTCAGAGGTGCCTATGAAATGAGAGGAATCGCGTGACGTCATCTTCGTTGGCTCAATTCTCGGTTGCATTACATACTGTGAAAGATCTATTTCCCAGCTTCGATTGAATTGAATCTGGCTCTGCGAAGAGTGAAGCCATAGATATCTCGCGCCTCGACTTCACTGCTCACCTGGGCGGTACAGGCATAAAAGGAGCAAATGCCCATGATCCAGTTTTCTTCACGCGCTCGTTGAGGGAAGGTTTGTTCGATCATTGCAGATCAGCGAAGCAAACAGAAGACACTTCAAGACTGCTCTGTGACTCGGTGCGGCGACTACAATGGCCCATCTTGAAAACATGGACCGGTGCTTTGAAAGTGAAGGGAGCGGAAGTGTGAGTTAAGCGTCCAACTTGTCATTATCATATGCAACCCCTTGAAATCAACACGAAGCAACAGCGCGAAGCGATGGCAAAGCACAGCGACAACAGACTGTCCATCGCATTGGGAGAAAGACGCTACAAGCATGATAGTCTCGTACATGTTGCGAGAGGTATTGCTGATCGATTAGATCTTGCTCCAACCATAAAGTTCGGCCAATGCGAAAAACATTTGACCAAGATGAGCATTGAAGAAGGCGAAGATTTGTGTATAGGTGCAGAACGTTCAATGTTGCTCTGTAAAAGACAAGTGCTTGCCATCCAGGGCAAATATTCAGGTCAGGGAACGTTTCGGATGGGCGAGTAGGAAGGTACTGCCGCATTGCTGTCGTTGAGCAATGTTACAGGCATTCGAGTAACACGTGCTGAATGCTGTGTGTCTACGATTATCTGAGCCTCTTGCTTTCACTCTAGTGCCTTGATTCTTGACAACAGTGTGCGGTCACACACACCATGTCCTCAACATGCCTGCCGCCATGGCCGTCTCATAGTTGACACTCATTCGAACTCGCTCAATCGTCACCACTGTACGCACTCCTTTAGCTTCACCAAGATTGATATACCAAGGAAGCCGAATATATCCAGCTCAAGACACTCTATGACCGATTCATAGAAGTCAGCCAAGAGTTGGAGGAGCACGACATTCAAACAGTGACCACCGACGTTGCTCGCAACCTGATCGAAAAGGTCTGCCTTGAAACTTGTCGCAAATTTAGCAATCTACGGCTGGCTGCCGAATTCAAGATTGAAATTCATGAGTAGCCCCTTCCCCCAGATGCGAATACAAAGAGGGTGGCCATTCTTGAGCTGGGCCTGCCTGTCAATTGCGCGTTTGAGAGGGCGACTCCGGGCACGCAGGTCGCCTGCGACGGTTTCATTAAATAAGATGCCTCTAGGACAATAGGCGGAGGCTCAGGCCTCGACAAGAGCCTAATCGAATGCCTCAAAAAGTAGATGGCTCAAGTCCAACGTCAAGGCAAAGATATTGCAAAGACGAATGTTGGCGCTATGCTGGAGGGCCGAATTTTAGAACGCAGTAAGTTCAAGCGAGGAGAGCAAGGTTAATGCAGCGTTTCATCGAGAGTACATTTGAAGCGTGGTGTATTCGTTGGCTGCGCATTTGCTTAGATGATCGGCAATAACTAACGCGGGGCACGGGGGTTCCGGACACACGGGGGTTCCGGACACGATTCTTGAATGCGTTGCATTCAAGAATGAATATCTTGATCAATAATTTATGTATAGTCTTCAAAATGAAGGATATAATACATCAATGCTATCTCTTATGCTGTACAAGTTCTGGCTGTATGAGCTGTTGATCTGCATTTGCTACACCTCGCTGTCCGCTTGGCAGGCCTTGGCATCTCCTCTATTATTTGTGCTTCTACCTCCTCTGTGTCTACTAAGCGTTGTATTGCTTGGACTGACAAAGCATCATCTGCTGGGATTGACTTCCTTTTCCTTGATTTGCGTATGTGCGTTGCAGCATTAGCTGCTTCTAGATCTGTAACTCGTGATTGAAGAAGAGCTGCTGAAGTTGCAATCATTTGAGCTCCTTTAGAAAGTTGATTTAAGGCTTCGAATATTGGAGTTAGTGAACTGCTCTGATGCCTCTCAAGCCTCCGTTTGATCAATGTAGCTTGTTGATCAACTTCTTGAGTAGTCTTTGGGGTCTTTGTACACCATGAACCTTGTGAAAGAGGCCGCGGAGGTGATGGAAATATCGGGTCCAACGTGGACAACACTACTTCAGGGTCGAAGGGGTGCAAACCAGAGCCTCTGAAGCCTGCTCGGATGTTGTTCGATGTTATCGCATCGATATATGCTGCGTAGAGCGTTGCCATGAAGGTGCTCTTGTCGATATGGAAGATATGGTTGCGAATCAAGCCTTGAGTCCGTTTTGAGAAGGCTTGCTTCAAAGGGCCAAAACAACCAACATCAAGCGGCTGCAGCATATGCGACGTATGAGACGGCATCCACAAAAGGACAATGTTGTTATCTTTGCAAAAAGAAGTGAACTCTGGTGTCGTATGGCTCCCATGGTTGTCTAAAATCAGCAGCCGCTTGCTACCAATTGTCTTCGACTTTGTGTGTTTAGCGAAGTGATGGATCCATTGTAGTCCAATTTGATCGTTTGTCCAACCTCGTGGACTTGCTGTAAACATCCACGTTGCAGGCAAGCCTTCGCAGACCCATCCATAGTTGACTTCTTTGCCTTTGAAGATGATAAAAGGCGGTATAGCTGATCCGTCTGCACAAGCTCCTTGGATCACTGTGACCCATTCAGTACCTGTAGGTTTAATCTGCTTTGGCCGACCTTGCTTCTCAACAGAAGTGACTACTTTGGAAGTAGATATTTGTCCTAGTTGAAAGCCAGTCTCATCGAAGTTGTACATGTCTCCAGGCAAGATGCCATACTTGTTGATTGTGTTGCGTACCAGGGCGAACCAGCTTTCAATGACTTCCGGAGTCTCACACAATCTTCTTTGGCACTCGTAAGTCCTTCCTAGTTTGATTGTCAGGGCAGGAGTACGCTTTATGAATGTCCTAGCCCAATTTTGGCCGACTGGTGGAGTTCCTTTGGCTTGGCAGATAGAATTGGCCATTGATCGTACCAGGTTTGTGGTTGGCGATAATCCTTGAGAATCTAGCTTCAAGATGTCTTTTAGAAGTACCTCTTCTTCTATAGGACTGAGTTTCATCTTCGGTGGTACATAATCTTCTCGCGAAGGAGTTCCTTTCATCCTATCGTATAGCGTTGATTTCGGAACTCCATAAGCTTTAGCAGCAGCTGTGATTGAACTGCACGTATTTGACTTCAAAGCAGATAAAGCAAGCAAGACACTGCCTTCATTTGGACTTATTCGGACGCGTTTTGACGATGCCATAACGCGTTGAAGTCAACGTAGTAAGATTCATGAAGCTCGCGTCCGGAACCCCCGTGTGTCCGGAACCCCCGTGCCCCGCGTTACGTCGATAGTATGATAGTGTCAAATGGAAGGAAACGATGAGACATCACCGAGGCAGACCAACCTTGCGCGTGAGTGCGCACGTGGTGCGCCTCGAAGTGCTTGAAAGGGACTCGCTGGAGCGACATGGGAGTGATTGACTGGCAGGTCATGTCTCCAGCAGTTGCGCCGTTGAGAATGGATTGATGGATGGAGATCGAATGGCCTCATCTCATCGATTGTTCCCCGGGCCGTTTGCAATTCCCAAGCCCGCCCGGGCGCCGCAAATTCGTCTCCGATGTGTATAGTCCGCCCTGAGGTATTACGTCATTTATTATCAGACCAGCATCATCAAATTGCACCTCATCAAGGCGAGCCAGTATGCTCTTGTAGACCATTGTTAATCCACAAACCGTGCTCACGACTCCTAAACCAATGCTACGTTCTCTACTCGCCAGCATCCTCTTTGTGGTCTTCATTGCAAACCTGGCCCACGCTCAACATCAACATCATCATCAGCAACCACTTACCATGTCCAAATCATTGAATGGTACATCTGCGGATCGCTTATACGACATGGTAATCCATGATACTGATTGACGATCGAACAGTTTTTAAGCAGCCTTTGGCTTTGCACTCGACTTCCCCAGTGACCGGTTTCCTTCGAAATGGCTACTGCGAGGTTCCCGCCTCTGACCACGGCAACCACGCTATTGCCGCTGAAGTAACCGACGAATTCCTTGAGTTCAGCGTAAGCTCCTTCCAATGAGCTCGAGGCCAACGCGACCCGGGATGCATCTAACGCTGAATCCCACAGGCACAACGCGGTAACGACCTCCGCGTCATCCCCGGCATGAAGGCCGGGTGCAAATGGTGCCTGTGCACCTCCCGATGGCTCGAGGCATTCAATGCCCGCAAGAGCGAACCCGCCGGCGACAAGATCGTGCCCAAGGTTTTCTTGAACGCGACCAACGAGAAGGCGCTGGGCAAAATCAACCTCGAGGACCTCAAGGCCTTTGCAGCTGACAAGGAGTAAAGCAATCTCCCACCCGGATTCTTGGGGCGGCAAAGCCCTGATCGGCTTGCTCAAAATGAGAGCTCCAGGTCTGATCTCAGAGACTGGATTCCAATATAACGACTTGTTCCAAGGGCATGCGCTCAGATGTAACCATATTAACGAATAATGATGGAGCAAATGTGTTTGTGTGACGAATGGATATGATCATCGGCTTGATTCGGCTTAACACTGTGCCCCCACGGTGTACGGCCTGCACAGATATGCATACACTAGCATGCTCGTGATACTTTGTTTATTGAGCGAAGAAAGCGAGAGCAACGATGATGTGGAAATGCAATTGATGATGGTATATTGCTTGATTTTTAAGGTTGCAAGAAATCTCTCCGTAAGTTGATTAAAGCCGCCGCGCCACCAGTCTTCCGCGCCGTATCATCAAGTAGCACCTCGGTGGTCGCGTAGAGTGTCTCCAATACTGCATCGGACGGTTTACCAAGCGAAACTATGATCGCGCATGATTAGCAACAAACCCAACAGCGCGCATGAGGATGAGATGACCAAAAGAGACTTACCCAGTATCGCGCCATTGACCTCCTCCGCGATCTGCGCGCGGCCGCTGACATCGAATAGATGTGATACTGGACTTTCTGCATAACTGTGGTAGGCCATGACCGAGAAAATATCGTTGAGATGTTTTTGATTTTGTGGCTTTGGGTCGTTGCCGAATTCTTGTCGTAGTTCCTGTCCATATAATATTGATGCCGTGAGTAAATCGGCGCCTTTTAGCTTTGAGTTTCGAGGTGGCAGTTCTTGTGATATCTCCATATGATCGTCGTCTTTGATAAGAGGATCAGATGTCTCGCGTTGAAATTGGTCGTCCAGCTCCATCTGCGTGTCTGATTCGTCCTCGTCGTCCTCATCTTCCTTTCCATCGTCGTCTTCGCCGTCTTCATCATCACCCTCCTCTTCCTCCTCCTCATCCTCTTCTTCATCGTCTTCATCGTCCTCTGCATCCACCACATCGTGATCCTTATCTTCATCATCCTCATCGTCTTCTTCGCTATCGTCCCTCATGCCACCATCATGACCGTCACTGCCAAAGGAGCCACCTCTTTTCGTCGCAGTGACTGGCGACGACTCCATGATCCCCTGGTCCATTGATCGTTTCATCATTTCGATGAATTTCCGACAGCGGAGGCGAAAGTAGACGTCTCTATTCTGCCCCGTCTCCAGCACGTGGGGGTAGTATGATGTCGTGTATTTGAGAGCCCGATCAACATCACCATCAAGAATGCTCCTCCGTATGCGCTGTCGTTGGATTGCGTGAATGTCGTCTTCTTCGTTGCTCAGCTGGTATGGTTGCTTGCCGCTCAATGGATAATCTGCGGTATTCACCTCCTTAGAGAAGACCTTCGCGGTTTCTATGTATCCATCATGAGCAAGGTATTGCCCTACAAGGGTCTTGATCAGTGTGTCCTCATCATCGGGAGGATTCAATGCCGAAACGTCGGTTTTGCTAATCTCATTCATTGCAGCCTGCTTGTCTTCGAGCATCATGCTATCGATGTCGAAAACAAACGGCTGACGACCGAAGTTTACTCGAAGGTGTTCGTTGGCCTTTTTCAAACCCACCGTGGGGTATAAGTTGCTCGCTTTGATGCCGTGGAATGCATCTCCTGGGGCGCACGTTGTGTCAATTTCGCAGTGATTTCGGAAGGACTCTGTGGTCTTACCTAAGTGAACACCATTCTTGGTGAAGAAAGCAACACCCGTCCGGAAGTTTACGCCACATCCGATAACATCCTCCCTGTTGAACCTGGGACCGAATGTCTTTCCCTGTGAGGTGGCCGCACAAGCAATTCCATCGTCTCCGTGATAGCCCCAAGATTCCGCCTCCCAACCCGGCGCCCGGGAGAGACTCGCCTTGGGGCTGCAAAAGCCTATGCCTATACAACTTAAGTCTTTCGTTCGCGACAGGACAGTTATCTCGAAATAAAAGATGCCGCATGCTTTTGGCATGGGAAAGTTCGCCCGGACTGCGGCAGCCTCATCTTGACTTTTCGCTCCCCCGGCGAACTTGACTTCGGTACCATCCGCTGTGATGGCCAATCCCTGCTGCTTGTCTGCGTTGTTCCAGCGGCTAGGAAGAGGAGCGAGATTTTCGTCGATGGCCAAGTGGGAAGGGAGCCGTTCAACAACATCTTGAACAACTCGTCGGTGTACGTGGGATGTACCACATGTCTTGCTCAAGTTCACACTGCTTGAACTTGTAGAATGTGGTATGTGTCGCCCTGCCACGCTTCGATTCCCTTGCTCTTGATCGTGAACGTCCGAGGTAATGCAGGTTTTCCGCAGCCGCTCCATGTATCGTGAGTGTCGAAGATATGATGGGACGAAGAATGTGCCATAGTCGTCAGGACCCACACCATATCGACTAGCATCATTCGCCCAGTTGGTATTTGCTCCACCGCTGGTGATGGACCTCCTCCTACTTCCGGTGTACCCACTGGCCATCATACTCTCCGAATCCATATCACCGGATGGATATTCTGATTGTCCGCGCGAAGCCTGTCTCAAGTGTGACGTTGACGCTGTCCGTTGGCTCGATGTTGCTGCAGCACCACCATATGGCGGGCGTCGAGGTGATGACAATGCGCCTGAATGCGGCAAGAGTGGTTGACCTGAGCGATGACCAGACATCTGCTCTTAGCTTGCAAAGTGGTCTCGTGCTCTCCGGCGCTGCGCTATCAGCAGGAACGAAGCGGCGAAAGACGTGAGTCGATGTCTTTACAGTATTACGGAATGGTGATAAGCAGGCAACGGGTTAGCGGCTCGCCTATTGTCTTAGATGCTGCAATATCGCGCAACCTCTGTTACATGATGCATTCGCAATGTCAAACTACATTCACTTTTGGCAGTATCTGTCCACGCGGTGCAAAGACGATTCCGGAGGTTCGTTTGTCCTTTAAGGTGGTCGTAGGAACATGGCACACGCGATGCGGTGCTCAACGCGGCGGGGAAGTGCGCATGCGCTTCGCGTTCGGCGTCCGTTCAATTGAGAATGAGCAGGATGGCCCGGCACATCGTCTCCGAGGCTCTCACAGACGACCAAGTTTCGTGCGAGAATAATGAAAAGGACGATTATAGCAAAGTGGTTAAGAATAGAACAGGAGACATCGTCGTTGATTAAGTATTCAAAGAAGCAGTCCGTTCATGTATATTCCTGCGTTCAATTCTGCCTAGTAAGCTTGAGCTTATTAACCTTGTGCGCTCTGGCTCACTCAGATATGATCTCCGATAAATCAACCCGTCCACGGATACGTCGATATCCGCATGAAAACAATGACAAGGCCACCTATCTAGCCATCGCCATCCATCAGTTTGACTCCCAACGCCTCGCTAAATGCTAATCATCGTTAAATAGTAGTACAACGCATCGTATAATAGTGGTCACACAATAAACATCAACTCGGATCTCCCAATCAGTGCCCATGTTTGAGGACAGCTCTAGTGAACTGCTGAGGTCATGCCATAGACGTTCTCGTGTCTTCAGGCGCATCGACCAAGATCTCAATGTGGAAGAGGGTGAGGTTGCGTTTCGTAGACTCCTCGGCTGCTTTTAGGCAGGGATTGGTGCAGGCGAGCTCTCGAGTCCATTCATGGTCACGTCTTGGGGCTCAGCAGCACCTTGGCTTCTTTCACTGGCGACAGCACTGCTTTCTTGGGTCGGCTTGATCTCGCTTGAGCCGGCACTATCACTCTTGACATCACCGTTGAATCCGGTGTCGCGTGGAGGTGCTTTCCAAGTGTTCATGCCCCAAGTTGTGCCGGTGAAGGACTTCAGGACGAGCCCTTTACGCTCCCATCTGCGGCAAGGCTTGCCAGTACGATCCAGTGCACGAAGACCGGCATTGATCGGACCCATGTGGGCCTTTGGACCAAGCTTGTGTGCTGCATTTGCGGCAGATCCAGTCATCACCACGCCTTTGTCGGGACCCCTGTAAATCAAACCATTAGCTTTGATACGTGATGTCATGATAGCGTATCGGATGCCTGAGATGTTACAGCACTGCCGGTTGGATGTTGTCCACTGACGAACTGGATATTGATACGTACAATCTTGGCTTCTTCTTGGGACCTGGTTTGCTTCGTTCTTTGGGTAGAGCGAATGGGTCTATCGAAGGCGGAGCGCGCTTGCGACCGGCTATGGCACCTCCCTTCTTTTTCTTTCCATCGCCATCAGGCGGCGCTAATGAGTTGTTCTCGCTCGCTTCAGTTCCAGTCGCAGGCACGGGCGTCGCATTGGAGTCATTGGCGTCCTCATCGGTAACTTGTATTGATGGCGACGGATCGGGTTTGACGGACGACTTCGGCACATCTACATCTGCGCTATCGGAAGGGAATTGAGAAAGACTGTCTGGCGAAAGATGCAGTATGATTATGCGGGTCTTCTTGGCATGTTTGGCTGTTGGCTTGGAACTGCTCGCCATGGCGGGCAGAATTCAAGATGGCCGGAATGTCGTGTTCGCAATTTCTTGGGATGACAGCGATGTTGTCTCGGTATCAATTGATGTCGGTGGTGAAGTGAAGCCGTCGGCACTCGGATTGTCGTGGGCGCCTGTGCGGTGTGACGCTTGATTGCGACGGGCGGTGATGACCAAGTCTTCGACTTACGGCGCAAGCGACATGCGAGAGGGTCGTGCAGGGACAGCAAAATGTGGTTTACGGCGAATATGGGGAGTTGGTGATGATGCCGATTGCAGAAGAGGTACGACGATGTTATGGGGTGATGACATGTAAGAGGAGGAGTGAAGCCAAGGGAGGCTTGCGGCGTTGTTGGACATCGTGCTGGACCATAGCCTGTGTAGGCATACGGTAGGTTTCGTCTCCCTCTCGTTGCCAGTCGCGCGTGCGCGATGAGATGGGGCAATTTGAACGGGGTTGATCCGGGCTTTCTCGCTCTACGCTCCCAGCCCTGGAGGCTTTGCGCTCCTGTGCTTCGTCAGATTCGATCTGGGGCTTGGGGCTGCGATGTGAATTTAGCGCGGTATATCACGTGCTTGCCTGGACGCCTCATTCCTCACGATTAATCCCTCGGGCTATGCACAGGAACATCGTCATTCATCACTTCCGAGGCTTCATTCAACATTGATGATAGTCATCTGCATACTGTAGTAGTGCGACAATGCCCCTGTCCGCTATTCTCCCTCGATGTCATCATATACATATAACCGTCGTGCGCACACAATATAGATCATGCCAGCCGAACTTTACGAATCATGTCAATCTCGGCACGCAGGTAGGTGAGTTCCGCCATTCTAAATCCGAAACAGCCAAAGATACGTGGAGACGCAGCAAGCCGGAGCTTGTGGACACCTGCATGACCGATGCCATCTCTTTAGGGTCGACCTGGCAGATTGGGGTAGATTTGGGCTCCATACTTAGGGTTGTTGAGCTGATGACAGTGAAGATGACCCGGGAACGACAACCCAACCTCTCCGATGAGGTTTGGGTTGTACATTTTCTCGCGAATCTTGAGCATTTATCACCGTACAGCTGAACAGATCATAGAGGCCGCACGTAATGCCATATCTGCATCGACGCAGTCCAGGGTACGCCTGGGTCCTCGTGCTCGCCTGCGTTACCTTGCGACCATGCTGATAGAACGCGCTGGAATCTGTTCGACTATCCCTCAACGCTGAACTACCGCATCCGCTCTTGTCAATGCCGTATGCATCTTTATGTTATGTTGCACTGTCCTGGCAGTCTTACCTCCTCCGATCGTCAAGCAGATTGCAAGAATGCCTACAGTCACGGGCGACAAGATGTGCATCTTGCCAGACGAAGTCGTGCTTCTCATATTTTCATGTAAGATTGTCCCGGGTCGATGGACACATCGAAAATAAATTCATGCTGATCGGAATAAACCTGGTAGTCCTCGATGTGACATCTCTCGTGTGCATGCAATATGTGGCGGCGCGTTATACATTCTTGGCTAGAGACGCCTCGCTCTGGAAAGTAGTATGCTACGAGAATTCACGGACCGAGAAGTTGCGGCGACAGCTACAGCTACTCCGTGAACAGGACGCGGAGCTGGTGAGGTTACGGAATGCAATGGCCGAGCTGCCCAGCCAATCTTCATCCCAACCTGATATGACATCGACGGCAGAACGGCTCACATCAGTGACCGAGCCTGTCAAGGATCATTCATCAAAAGTGTTGCGCGCTCGTGCACTCGCAAGTTGGGAACCTGCTTATCCATCCGAGGCGATTGATTACTACGAAGAGTATATACACCGTTGCGCGCCCCTGGCAATTGGGTGGTTGAAGCTCCCGAAATTACCAAACAGGGACCGATCATTGACTCGGGAAGCCACCGGCGTCGGCATGTTAGGCGGCCAATCCGCCTTCGATAGTTCTCATGTGATCTCACCACTTGATGATGGTAGTATTTGCATCTGGGACATTTCGGCGCGGTCCACCTTCTCTCTGGGTGGCAAGGGTGAAATCATAGCGCGGAGCAAGCCTGGGTTGCTGTCAGGACACGCTCCTCAAAATGATGGCGTCATGACAGACACTGGCGCTGTTGAATGTGTTTCCATCGAAAACAGCTCTCGGGTGGGCTATTTTGCTGTTCAGAATCTGCTTCATGAGGTGGATCTGGTGACCTTGGGTATACGCTCAACTAAAAACTATCCATTCCCAATCACGGCACTGTCAGAAGCTAGCTCCGACGGGTCCGTCGCTATTGGGACCAACATGACCATTCACCTCAACGATGCCCGCGACCGAGCATTTGCAGGCTCAACGACGAATCACAATGTTGAGTTGATCAGTGGAAGTGCCCGCACGTACGCGACACTGCCACAGCCGGGTCCACTCTCGATCCTCAACCACGCCGAGGGAGCACAAGATCAAAGCTCAATGTGGGTTGCCGGACGTTTCACATCCCTCCTGGAGTACGATCGAAGATTCTTTCCGCGCCTTCGAAGGACGATCTTCAGTGGCGCACGAATTGCTAGCTTAGCACAGATTGCTCACCCATTCCTAGGCCGTGATCTTGACTTGATGCGCAATCCAAGTACAACCGCGGCTATGCTTCAGGAGGCGCGCAGTCAGCCTGGCCGAACGATACTTGCAGCCGCGGAATACAAGGGTAAAGGCTCGCTCGAGCTGTATGGCTTGCCCGATGCCCGCTTCTACCATAATCGTCAAACAGCTTCCTCAAGTAAATTGCTTTCTGTGGCTGCTCATGGTGGCCGAGTCGTATTCAGCGACGGTAATGGCAATGTGAAGTGGGTAGAACGTGATGGCTATTCGCACGTCAGGACTTTCAACATCAACAGTGACATCGTACATGGTGCCACAAGTGAAGTTGTGGCTGGTGACTCACAACCAGCCGGGATCTGGTCAGGATCAGGATCCGAGCTGCCAGGCCAAGGCGACATCATCCAAAAGCTGATGGCCACCAACGCATCTGCAGCTGTCCATCTTGACAGAGGGCGTCGCGACATCAACCGGAGAGACCTACTGCTGTGGACAGGCGACGGTCGTTTGGGCCTGCTTGGCTTCGGCCGAGAAGATCCTCTGGGAGATAATGCTTGGCACGATGCTATAGAAGTGCAAGCCCGCTCCATCGAAGAGAGGGCCAAGGAAGATGCTGAACGACAGTACGGATTGGCCATGCGAAGAGCGTTGGAGCGAAACGCCGACGAAGTTCGATTCGTCCGTGGTCTTGGGATGATGTGATGTAATTTTGAATTCCGCGAAGGAAGAGTCCGTCCAGCAGGACTAGGTTTGCTGTCCAGGGGTGATTGGTCGTCGTCATCATTCCGCTGCAGCGAGCGGCACATCATGACTCGAGCTCGGCACCCGCTTCTCCTCGAGCACATTTGCAGCAGCCGCCTTGACCGCAGGATCGTTGCGAACAGTGTTCTGTACTAGCCACTCCTTGAGGCTCGAGCGCAGGACATTGGCGGAAGATGGCTCTCCTACGAACGGCATGAGCTCCATACTGAGTAGGCGCCCTAACTCAGCCTCCGCGGCGTTGGTCAAAACATTGATATGGTTCAAACGTTGAGCCATGATCGCAGGACCGGTTTCTTCCAGATTTTGCTTTTGTGGATCGCGAAGTAGCGGATCCAATTGTGACAGTGCAATGAAAAACGTCAACGTCAACTTGCGCAACAAAGAGATGAGCTGAAACGGCAGATAAGGGAGTCGTAGGCCAGTCATCGTGAGGAACGGATTCAGAGCATTAGCCAGCAACCACGGCGAGGTAGGTCTGGAGACAATGTAGAGCTCTGCGACGAAGAGCGCCGCCATGGTGAGGTAACGCCAGAACATTGCAGCTCGCAGATAGCCGGCCACGGCCAACAGAACGAGTGCGCCAGCGCTGCTGGCATAGAATCCAGCAATGTTCATCACACCCACAGAGACAAAGTCACGCGCGGTTTTGCTATTCTGCCAAGTGAAAATGCTGGGTCCAAAGCGATCGTAGGCGAATCGCTTAGCCGGATCGACCAATACGTCTCGAGCGAATTTCATGTTCACATACAAAGCCTCCATTTTGGCTTTGTGTGGCTCGGCAACCTTGTCTGGATGCATTTGCACCGTGCTAAATTCAAATGTCAGAAACCCATCGCATGTGAAAAGGGGTTGCAGCTTGCTGAAATATGATGACTTACAGTCTTCGAAAGCGCGATTGCAGTGCCTTATCCTCGACATCATGCGGGACACCCAGAAGGTTGTAAAGATCCGACGTTTCTAACAGCTGATGATCGGTTTCATATACCGTGTACGCAAGATAGGCGACGATGACGAGGATTTGGATACGTCTCCGATCGCGAACATAACGAAGCGAACCAGGTGCTGGCTTAGGTTCTCCTGCGCGGATGAACACGGCATACAGTGCTGCTTGCACATAGCCCGTGACAAGCTGTGAAACACGAGGTCAGCCTGCGTACGAAAGGAGGACGTATCTTGCTCCTTACGCTAGGCAAAAAATACCAGCCGGCAATGGAAAGCAGATTGGATGACATTGTCGGATTCGGTCGCGGGATGGCGATCAGTTCTTGGAAAGCGCCAGAGAGACAATGGATTGCAGAGGCCCTGACGAGACGGACACGAGCTGCAAGTTTCACAACGTTTCCCTGAGCCGAATTTCCTTGACGTTACTGTAAAATGTGAGGTGCATTTACGAAACCAGTTCCCTCGAAATAATCTGACGTTCGTCGTGCTGGTGCGTGTATAGCCACGGCGTTGATCAACCACTTGCACTCCGTACACGGGTCGTTTGGAACGGAAAGTCGAACAAAGATGCGTGTCGTTTTAGGCGCGGCTGTACCTGGATGGTTCCTGGGAACGATTCGGCCCATCAATTGCTACGGGCTCTTTCGGCCTCCAGATTGTCAAAATTCGTGTTCGGGCCAACTCCTTTGACGCATGGCTTGCGAGGTTTGCACAAGTGAGCCCTGATGCGATGAGCCTACTGGCTGTAGTCGCTTTCTATACATAAGAAATCTTTGAGAAGCGCCTGCAACATTGCAAGATACGGTGCGATGACAGAGTGCGCTTGCCGGTGATTCAAGTGAGTTGCCTGCAATATTCGAAGCAATCACCTGAAGTCTTTCGCCATGGCGAGAGTACACGCCAAAGAAAAGGCTCAGGTAAGGCAGCAATAAAAATCTGTGAAGCATCCTCGCTGACCAAAGGGCATGTAGCTTGTGTCGCGCGCAAACCAAGGACAAAGCAGCTCGCCATTTGTGCAAACGACCAAATCTCTCTACCTATCCGTCTCGCCATGCGCAGCACACTTTCCAATTGAAGGATTGTGCGCCGAGCATATATCTCCGCTGCTCTTGACATATTATCCTCCTTTCGAAGGCGTGGTTTTGTCGTATTCGAATCCCAGAATTTCTGAACACCCGAACGAAAAGCAAGCAAACAACAACGACGAGGTTCGGACAGTATTCTCGCGTAGTATCGACGAATATGGTGTCACCTATGTCTGGTTGAGCGCTGAATTCCTCATCTTCCAACCAAGGCGAGGCACGCTTCTCGAGGGATATGTCACACTGCAGAATGAGAGCATTCTGGGGCTACTTTGCTACAACTATTTTAATGCAGGCATCCAGGCGGAGAAGCTCGCCAAGGACTGGACGTGGGATGGCGAGGCATTTGTAGATGCATCGGGGAAGAAAGTTGACGGCAAACTCACTTTCAAGGTGGAGGATTTCGAAGCCAGTGGGACCGAGAGCATCCAGATCTCTGGCACTCTTTTATACTGAGCCGTGTATAGCTGCCCTCGACTATGAGATGATACCCACGAAAGACTCTAAATTAATGGAAGTGTGATTTTATTGTATTTGCAAAGTGAGATCGCTGAAGTCGGAGCTTGACGCAGAATGACTCGACGTCCAAATTTTAAAAATACCTACCTATCCAAGGTATGCTCACCAATTTATGGTATAGACTAGATTTTGTGCAGAACTCCCGCAGACCAATAATGTATAGTTCATGACATTACCTACCTACTAGGTAGGTAGGTACTCTTATCGTAGAGCACAGCCTGGCGTACCTGGATATGCTGAGCGAGAACGGCAGTTTCGAAGCTCGGGGTTAGGGCTCGTCATTTTGGTGTCTGCGGTTGGTAGTCAAGCGCAGCTCTTGCGAAAAGTAAATTGCACACAAACTTGACGACAACGAGAACACTGACTCAAAGCAGACGGCATTGCGAATCATTGCTTGTCATCAATCTCGCGTACTCGACATGACCTTCAAGCTCACCTGAAAAGCGTACGACATGCGTCTGCGATTACGCGTCCGTCGCAATGAGCTCCCCACGATATCCGTAGTTTGGCCGGTTGATGATCTCAATTTGAGACAGACAATATCTCAATTTCTTGTAGCCGTGAATGAGCGCATTCCATTGGAATGCGATTCTTGGGGGCTTGAGGACTACTCAGTCACCATCGCTGACTTCGAGGTCTTTCACTACGACGTCATATCTGCAGTTTGCAAAGACGAAGATGAAGTCGTCATTCGACCTTTGTCTTTCGCGGAGGTAAGGGCGAGAACTCTAGCCGGAAGAGCGCAAATCACGCCAGACGGTAGACACCTAGTCGATGGTGTTGCATTCGGTCGACCATTGCTGAAACGACCAGCGCGACCAGACGTGACTATTCCGCCACGAAAACGTCAGCGAGTAGAGGATGACAACGATACTGGAACAGAACGTCACGATGAGCTTGTGCCGTTCGGTGACATCGCGGACGAGTATGATGAAGAGGACGAGGATGATGAGGAAGACGAAGATTTCGAGTTAGGTGAATCGGAGCACGATGAAGAGGAAGATCAATCTGAGGACGAGGATGAGCAAGAACATGGATCTCAAAGCGGTAGTAGCAAACTGCAAAGAAACGCCCCTCGTACCACTACAGGAAATGCGACCGAAATCAGAGTAGGATCCTCTACACGGCAACAACAACGCGCCGCGCTTCGATCTTCGGGAAGTGATCGGAGAAGCTCAATACCATTGAGTGTCACGTTCGCCTACGACTCTGAATCGAACGGCGGACTGGAGTCAGCTGCAAAGAATTTGAAGACCTTATCCTCCGTGGATGAGACTGATGGCGAGTCAGAATCTGACAGCTCAGATGACTCCTCGATTAGTGAATCTGATGATTCTACCTCTGATTCAAGGTCGGACTCAGAGGACAGCAGTGATGATTCCACGAATGGCGCATCCTCTCATTTGCCCCCCTCTACCCATATCGCAAACCCCAACACTAAGCACAGGTTGCAAACGAAAGTCAATCAAGGCAACAATCCAGCTGCTGCCGCTGCGGCAAGCAGTGCTCTTACAGACAGAAAGTCGGAGTCGCACATCAAACAACTGAAGCCTGTGACAGGTGTACCATACCAAGGTTCCCCAGCCACAAAGAATCGCAACCAAAGACGAACCGAGTCTAAGAGGCTCGCGTTTCTGAAAAAGACGAACAGACTGCCCAAAGATGCGACACTTGAGGACATGCGCGTTCACTCTGCACAACATGGTCACATATCTGATGACATTGCAAATTTTCAGCGGCCTAGCAAGTCGGCGGCAGAGAACATTGATGGCTCCCTAAGCAGAGGACCTGATCTGGCAGAAGAACTTGAGCGTCGCCGTCAGAAGTTGCTCAACGATCTCGCATCAGGCGGCATTGACGTCTCGGAGGATGCCGAGTCGTCTAAGAAAGCTTCTCGTGCGGATGCCAAGGGTAGTTTTACGGACAGGCAGGAAGCCTCACCAGTGACAGCTGCTCTCACAATTGTCGACCCCACATCAGACCACGCAGCCACCGGCCGACGCCGGGCTACCCTCAACGTGTCTAGCACTGACCGAATGATATTCGCTTCTCTTGGACTGCGGGTTCCCAAGAGTGCAGAAGAGAGACAGAAGTTGCAAGAAAAACTCGACAGATCTACTACTCGACCAGTCTTGGACAACGTGCGCGACGAGTCTGTCTCCGCGCGAGTGGATCAAGTTTCACAAGAGCCAGACCTCTGGCGCCGGAGGATAAGCCTCTCCGCCGTCGAGTGTTGTGATGAAGGCGTCGTCCTCTCCGCGCCGCCATTTCCATTCCAGCAGCGCTGGGACCCACAATACCAGGTCAAAAAGAAGCGCAATAGCAATCTCTACAGTGAAACACGATCAAAAAAGCGGAAAGGGATCAAGAACGCATATATCGAGTCCTATGACAAGTACAACACTGACGGCAATGGAGACGCGCTCAATTACGATGATAATGATGAGTCTGCCGTGGACGAATATTGGGAGGACGGCGCACTACTCGATGGAGAAAGAGGTTATGATGACCAGCAGCAAGCCGAACTGGATCCCAGCGTGAATAAATTTCCAGACCTACCAGCTGATCTTAATTCACTTCCAACCCATACAGAGGCGAGAGCAGTTCACGGCGATACCATTGTTTTCACAGAGCTTGCCTGCAATGCGGCAACAAACTGGCAGCCACGTATGGTAACGCGTACTGCGCTGCTCAATGGGAAGGACGGCAACGACTGGCTGATCCAGCTTGCTCCTCGCGACTTGCCTCCTAAGAAGTACGACGAAGACGGCAATCGTGTCTACGAAAAGTTTGAGACGATGGAGGATGAGGATGGCGACGACGACGATGGGCGAAGGACCTTGAGCTGGGCCGAAATGCTTGATCCGAGATTGTTGCTGCCAGCGGTAGCGGCTGTGACTGTGGAACCCTGATGCGATGCATCAACCACTCCGCGCTCGTAGCCAATGGCCGAAAAAGAGACATCACAATTGAGACTCATGAGAGGCATAGCTGTACATTATCATATTCTTTTAGCTGAAAGCGCCTTGTACCATTTTACGGATTCCACCGAGCCATCGCAGCCCTGAGTTGCGGTCCACGCCGCTGGTGCATATACCAAGACATGCGCACCGAAGCCGAGCAGACTCGCCAGAGATTGCCCGAGAGAAGTAGATGTATAGGGAGGAGTTCTGCTGAGGTAACCAAGGTATGACTCGATGTACTTACAGCCATGGTGGTGAACCGTCACAGATGATCATCGGTATGTACGAGCAAAGCTTTCGACGCATATAGCATATTGCCATCACATTCCATTCCCAGAAGATTGCCCAAGGCGCCAGGCCTACACCTCGCCGTTTGCGTCGAAACTCCAAAAATATACAAGTAATCATAAGCCCTAATCATGATAGTTCCATGCCTTCGTCGCTTCCATCCATATCTGCTTCAGTGTCGTCCATATCACCGTCCATTGTCGTGCCACTCATGCTCCCAAGTCGTCCTCTTTTCCGTCCATTACCCCAAGGAAGACCTATTCCACTCCCGATCCTGGCTCCGCCCAGGCCGCCCAGTACTTCAAGTTCGTCACCACCGACAATGCGACCTTCGACGTCCACACCTCTGCTCAGCTCGATCATGGCAGATTTCTTCAGGCGTGAATAGCCCTCTGTTCTCACAACTCTGCCGAAATGTGTCATGCAGAAGCTAGCTGCACGTCGTTTGAGCCAGTCCTCCTGTGCAGTACTCGCCCGATCGAAAATGAGAGCTGCATGTTGGACATCTATATCTCGCTGCAGACGATTCACGCATAGCTGGCGAAGACGAGGCATGTCGTAGAGGTTGCTCATAACTAACATGTTTGCGACATCTTCCAAAGTTGGGCCAGGTATGGTGCTGTCCTCTGCCGAGGAGCTTGATATTGAATCCGTGTAAAGATAATATAGGAAAGCGCGCACTGCTGAGTAGGGCTCAGGAATATACATGCGTCGTGTGTGGAATTCAGACATTTGAGCACTGTAAAGACGAGCAAAATGTGGCCAACGTGCGCTGAGTATTAATCTGTGCACATGTATAGGTTGTGACGTGTGCGGGTTCGGCTCCGATACCGAGCTAGGGTAATTGGGCGAGGATGGATCTTCGTCCGAACCCGATTCCGAATCGCAATTCTCATCTCGTAGCGCAGTAACGGTGAAATCGGTACCAGAGCCTGTCTCGGGAGGCTGATTGAACGTTCTGCCAAGATCTGCTCCGATCGCTGAAAGGTGTGACGACGTATGGCTGTCTGAAGTGGGCATCTTCGCCTCGATCCGCGCCTCTGCGCTCATCTTGTTGCCGAGCAATCCGAATTTACGCAAATCGATGGGTAGAACATCGCTCAGATACTCCTCCGAATCACCATTAGCAAGACCATGGCCTTCACGAGGACAGCCGAGAAGCCATGCGTGGGTACCGTCGGCATCGAGACAACAGTAATGCCATCTGTAATCAGGACTGAACAAATCTTTGCCATCTGCAAGCTTTTGCCAGCGGAGTGAGTCCAGATCGAGTGCGGAGAGGGAGGTTTCCAGGGGAATATTTGTTGAGGCGGTTACGAAATCTAGCATGCAGCCCGAACTGAACACGTGGAAATGAGTGCCCACATTTTGCATAGGAAGGTTTGGAGAGGATATGAACTTCACACTGCTGATTGCTCCGGGAGCGATGGGCGGTGCTCTTTGGATTTGAGTTGCGGAATTTGATTGGACGCTGCTCGTATTGGCAGCGTAGTGCCCGGATCCAAAGATCGATGCTGGCGGCGTCGAATGCTGGAAGCTTGAGAAACGATCGCTGAGTGACCTGGCGTCCTCGACACCGTAAATTGGTTCACCTTCAAACAGAGGCGAGCCTCTGAAGTCCAGCCACCACATCTCACTTGTTCTTTCAGTCTCATCATTCATCCCACCACTCACCCAGATCTTACCGCCCCATACCCAACTGGAGTGGTCGTAGCGGGGGACAAACCGCCATGTTCGGCTCCAGGTCCATGTCTTCAGGTCGAGAAAGCAGATGTCATCAAGCACTGCATTGTTGTCGGTCCCGCTCAGCCCACCGCAAATGAACAATTTATCATCGTGGATCACGGCTGCGTGTCTGGCCCGGCCACGCGGCATGGGCCCGGTGATTTCGGGTTGCGTCCAGTGAGCAGTATTGATGTCAAATATGACGACTTCTGACAGATGAGTGCGATGCTCATTCTCGCCTCCGAAGACTAAAAGTTTATCGCCCTGCCAGAGACAAGCGGTATGGCCCATCCTCACTCCTGGTATATCTCCATAGTTGTCCACCAGGCTCCATTGCCGTGCGGTGAGATTCAATTTCAAAACATGATTGTAGACCTCGTCCGTCACTCGATCGAAGCCGCCGAACGCGTATATCAAGTCTTTTCCGACATATGTCACTGATGCGTTTATGAGGCACGCCGGGCGCTGACCAACAGTTGTAATGATCTTTGGTTTATATGGAGAGCCTGTCCGCCGCTTGCTACTCTTTACAGGAGAACCCGACATCACAAATGTATTGTTTGAGGCACTCGACACCCGCGCCGAGGTCGCCATGGGAGTGCGTACGGAGGATCCTGCACTGGGAGAAGAAATGGAGGTGTAGGAGGGCGGCAGGTTGAGGGACGGTACCGACTGGCGTGCCATCAATGGCGACAACTATCCGATCGGGGATCTTGCCATGGGAGAATTGGAGTGGAGCTCACTGTCGCCGAAACACGGCAATGTCACGTCGCCGGGACGATGATACAAAGACCTTGCGTATTGGCACAGCGACGAAGAAAAGCTTGAGTGAATGAGTGGTGCGTTTCCAATGTGAAGGTCCAGGCGTCAGAGGTGGAGTCGTACGTTGTTGCGGCGATCAACCTTGCGGACGTGCCAGGCCTTGGCGGCGTTTGCAGTTGCCGCGGGACTACCCGTCCCCCGTCATGGTAGCCGCAACAACGAAGAAGTGTGGGGATCTGACGTCTGACGCAGGCACACTTGTCCCGCGGAGAGTCCACCGTGCGGTTGCTGGGCCAGCGTCACTAGTGGTATTTGCACTTCAAAATGGTCGACATGACCGCGAGATTCACATCTTTTTGTTCCCTTTCTTCACCCACAATCTACAATCTACTAGCTCAAACATACTCTCAAAGCCTCTCGGCTTCTCTGCTCCAATTCCATCAACGGCATACTGCAAATCATTCGCAACCTTACTAACCGGATCCCTTCACTGGGCCATCTACAGCATTTTCGACGACGACCAACCAACCCAATTTAAGCGGATATGGCAACTGCATCAGTATATACACCAATCAAATCTCGCCGTGATGGCATCTTCTCCACACGCCTCGCTGGTGGTCGTATTCCTCTGACTCCCTCACCAAAGACGCCTCGCACTCAGGCTGTCCGGGAGCAGACAGAAAGCATCCACCATGGCAACGTGAACTTGCTCTCAAAGTTCTCGCGATCGGTATCCAAGACCAATGTGCGCGACTCTCCTAAGTCCAACATTGCCAGCCGAGCGACACAGTCGCCGCGAAGACTCGACCACATCACAAGCGAGTACACACTCGCCGGAACTGGTCCCCGGCCGAGCACCGCAACCTCCACAAAGAACACACCTTCAAGGTCAAGAAGCGGTCGCTCAGGCTCGGTCCACCGCACACCCAAGCGGAACCAGAGCAAGGTCTACTACAATGCTGCTGATCGGTTTATTCCAAACCGTGACGCCAGCGAGGCCATTTCTACTTCCGGGGCCGCTCTCAGACTCGACAACGAGCGCACTCCCGGACGTCGGCCCAAGTCAAGCGCGAACGATGGGTCGGTAGCTCTTGCATCGAGCATTACCAACGCGTTTGACCTTGGCCGACCACAATCCTCCTCGGACATTGTATCTTCTCTCAACTTCGACAACCTCAACCTGGACGATAACGAGGACGAGCCACAGGCGAAGCGCAGCCCTAACACCCTTGCCTACCAGCAATCAGTTGCTGAGGCTTGCGGTGTCAGCATGAAGCAACGTATCCTTGCCTTCAAGCCTGCTGCTCCTGAGTCCTCCCGCCCTATCGACCTCCGATCACAATACAACCGCCCTCTCAAGCCTGCCGCGGCCTCTGCTTCCCAATTCCGCCGCCGTGTCCTCACTGCCCCAGAGCGAGTTCTTGACGCTCCTGGTCTTGTTGACGACTACTACCTCAACCTTCTTGACTGGTCATCTGGAAACCAGGTCGCCATTGGTCTCGAGCGCAACGTGTACGTCTGGTCCGCTGAGTCCGGCTCCGTCGCTAGCCTTCTCGAGTGCCCCGAGGACACCTACATCTCCTCCGTCAAGTGGAGCGCAGACGGTGCCTACGTTGCTGCTGGCCTTGGCACAGGTGAAGTTCAAATTTGGGATGTCGAAGACGGTACCAAGCTCCGCTCTATGTACGGCCACGACACCCGTGTCAGCGCTATGGGCTGGAACAAGCACATTCTTTCCACCGGCGCCCGCTCCGGCCTTGTCTACAACCATGATGTCCGCATCGCCCAGCACAAGGTTGCTGAGCTCGTCTCGCACACCTCCGAGGTCTGCGGTCTCGAATGGCGCGCCGATGGCGCTCAGCTCGCGACTGGTGGCAACGACAACCTCGTCACCATCTGGGATGCCCGTCAATTGACTGCACCTAAGTTCCAGAAGACCAACCACAAGGCTGCGGTCAAGGCTCTGGCCTGGTGCCCATGGCAATCAAACCTCCTCGCCACCGGCGGAGGCTCCCACGACCGACAAATCCACTTCTGGAACACGACATCTGGCGCACGTGTCAACAGCATCGACACCGGCAGCCAGGTGACTTCTCTTCGATGGAGCTTGGGCTACAAGGAGATCGTGTCATCATCTGGATTCCCCGACAACAGCCTGTCGATCTGGAGCTACCCTACCTTGGTCAAGAACATCGAGATCCCAGCCCACGAGTCGCGTGTTTTGCACTCAGCACTTTCCCCCGACGGTCAAATGCTCGCCACTGCGGCTGCTGACGAGTCGCTCAAGTTCTGGAAGATCTTCGAGAAGAAACCTGGCTCTAGCAGCATGATCTCTGGCAGCGCCAGCACTGCCAAGGCTAGCCTGACCAAGGCGACCACGATCCGATGAGTGCCCCGATCGAGTGCTTGCTACGTCTTTCTTGTCATTATTCCATGGTTTGCGATTCACGTGACTTCATCTCTGTCATTTTGGACGATAAGGTCCATGATCATGGCCTGCGTATGATTTTACGGATATTGGCAAAGGGGGAGTTGGATTTTGCGACCAGCTTGTTTTGCCGGCGTTTATGATTTTCGAGTTGAGGGCTTCACTGCGTCCAGCAGGCATCTAATGCGTGCTTCCCGTTTATGCACCGCAATGTTTTTGGATCATGATCGATCGTTTCTAGGGACCAGGTTGGCCCCATCGGAAGAGATGCAATACAATTATTCTGATTTTTCGCGTGCTTTAAGCTGCTTTCTACCATCGCTTCTCCACAAGTGCTACATGATCATGTTCACTAAATGTATGAATGTAAGCATCTGACGTTCCTGTAGTTGACCGCTATCATTGGGTCATTCAGAACCTATGCGGGACACATTACCACAATATGAGCATGAAGTTTGATGTCTTGGGCAGAACAACCAACAGTGCACATTTCTTCACCGTTACATTTCTTCACCGTTCCTACAGAGCGGCCATGTACTTCCTGGACTCATCTCTTCGCCCTGGCCAGAGCGACATGCGTCACCAAATTCGCGTGCTCTCCAGGTTCACGGTATGTGGCAATCGGGTTGAGCCATTAGCCACTTGGGTCTCAATTGCTCGACCCGAGAGGAGCAGCGTTTGACCATTCACTTCGGGTCGTTCCTTCGATAGTTGGTCGCGTTAAAGACAAGCCTGTTCAGCAACAAGTGTTGTAAAGCCAAGGCATAACCTCCACCGCAAGAAAGTTGGAAGATACCTATTGGCTGTATGTTGCCGCGGTGGTAGGGAATGTCGGCGGGTGACCTTCACCTCACCGTAGTTGATTGTGCGAGACATTCAAAATTGCACGTAATGCCAACCCAGCAAGGCACATATGACAATGTCTTACTCCGCATGTGAAAGGCTTTGCCGTTGAGTCCCTGGTGAGCGGTTGCCGGATTTCTTGGTGAAGTTCAGTCCAAGCTCGTTATCCCGAGTCTCCCGGTTATTAGCTCATGCCATACGTGGCACGGTACTATGATCCACGAGGAGCTGATAATGAGCTCTTTTACAGAAACATAAAATGTCTGCAGACTGCCATTTCTGTTAGTTTGATAAGTTCGGACGACACCAAGAGTGGAAAACCTTCTTGACTGGTAACCCTGAAGATAGCCCAAACCCTTAGAAAAGTGGACGTTGGGCGGGCACACCTGTATACAGCTGAGGCATCAGCCGAATTGGACGGGGCCCTCAGATGACTAATTCCATGGGAGTCATTTCTGATGACTAATTTGACATTCCTTGAGGTACCCACCTTGGTAGGTATGTCGTGGATGTGGTTCGAAGTCGACTTCTTCCTTTAGATACGAGCCTTTTAGGTAGAGAGGACGTAGAATCGATGCCTATCGCCTTATAGCACGTGCGATGTATCGAATTGTAGCAGGTAGAGAAAGTAGAGTAGAACAACAGCTTCTTTGTGAAGCTGTCGGACCGACGCCCCGATCCCTGTCCTGTCCCTCCCTAGGTAGGCTACTTATCTGGAGCGGAACAATTCGAAGTCTCCGCATTTCCACACGTGGGACAGACATTACAACGACAGCGGTCTGATGGTCAAAATTACAGCCGTTTCCTCTTCCCCATCGGCATCCCACATTCGCGACGACCTGTCTACGCGCACATGAACAAATCCGTCTGAAGTTTGCTGGCATCGGGTCGTGCTCTCACTGTTGCTTCCTACTATCCTCCGCTTGATAACAATCGCACGCACTTGCGTAGTCCTTCGGAGCCAAGTGCCTCTACTGTGGGCTTACAATAGCACTCTCTTCGCACTTGCGGGGTCCCCACCAAAATCACTACAACAATCACGACAAACTTTGGTTCTTACGCCTCGATATGGAGAAAGCACCATGAGCAGTTCGTTAGATCTCCTGGAGGATTGAACTTCGGCTTCTCGTCGGCAACAGCTTGAGTGTCCGAAATCCGTGAAATTTTCACAAGCATGTAGTGGCCAAAGTTCCGAGGTCGCTTCATGTCATGCCCGTGAAGAAGAGCTGCTGGTGTGTAGCCAAGCATGAACGACTCCGCTCCCTCTCGATACGGCTTGAATGCGAGCAGAGTACCGAGAGAAATCGCCGTGCCGCGGTCCTCGCAATGCTGTAGATTCGTTCCCACTGTACTTGAGTTGCTAGCACATAGGCTCTGTCATGTGTACATAGCGAATGCGAGAGACGCACTACGTGCATATGCACACCAAACGAGTTCGAATGAAAGGCACAGGCAACGTTGTCACCACGCAGCCAACACGGGTTTCTAAAATTTGATGTGCTGAACAGACATCCACATCATGGGTGTGCAAAAGGCTCATCAACCGATCTACGGACCATTGCACCATCGTCGTGGTGTGTGATGACTGGCGTCCGTTGTTCGATGACAATGATAGCGCGATGCATGGCAAGGCACAACAATAGAACTCTCGTCGATGCCGCACTTCGCCTGCCTCTGTCGACCATTCTCACAAGCCTGCTTAGGTATGCCATCGGAGGTCAGAGAATCTCCAAGCGATCGAGGTCGAGCTAGAGCAATATCCTGCGCCGCTTGACGGCGTTTTGTTGGACTTTTTCCGAGGGCGATATGGTCTAGGCTTGCATTCCGATTAGGGCGCGCCACACAATTGCGCACACAGGAAGATGATGCGATACAAACGACGGCGATTTGGCAAGAAGGTCAAGATGCTGGTCGACTCCGTAGGCAGGGGTTTCCAGAATTGTTCGTCACTGGGTCATGTCTACCATACCAGGAATATTGCAATGGGACAGATCAGAAAGGCCATAACATGAGGGGAACTGAAGCACCCTACTCCAAGCGTGCTAAACCAGCACGCTTCTACCAATAAGCAAGGCTCATTTATTGTGAGTCCGTCGTTGTTGGCAGCCAAGATCACCAGAATCCAGCGATGATGATGACGACGACGACATGAACATACGCAAGGGCTCGCATTCACTGCTCAGCATCACGATCGCAAAGCAGACGCATTCGAGAGCTGGGGTCTCGCAGAAAGTTTTCTCCATTACATGTGCCACACCTGTGCCGTCGTCAGCAACATAACAGGACGATCCGAATGAAATATGGCACAGTGTTTGAACAAGCTTGTGTGGCGTTCGTTGTCTGCCCGATTCAGCCTAGCTGCTGCTAATTACGAACATCAATGCTGAGAAGGGCTAGAAAGTCGTGCTGGGTTGGTTTCACCATGATAACCTCGCCACGACAACGCTATTCGAAAGTTTCACCATGCTAACCTTAAGATGACAACGACATTCGAAGCCTGAGGTTGCTGAAATTTCCTTCTGTCGGGGTTATTCTAAGCAGGTGGACGTCCCACCTTAACGATGCGGCGTCGGGCTGAGTCGTGAGACTTGTACTGCACTATACGCGAACACCAAACCCAACCCCTCCGAATTTTAGCTCGCCGCTAACCCAGGAACAGATGCATTCGGCTCAGGAATAATGCATGCCAGTAACTACTATCCTCATGCAACGATGCTGATGCGAGGCACTACTCTGATTGACATGGATGGTTGTGTTAGAGGCGCAGCTGATGGTCGTCGAGATCAGCGGTGTCGTGGTGCTGCGGCGCAGACGTCCGATGGCATCGTCTCCTCGCCCTGCGACTTCATGTATATATGAGTCGACGATGCGCTGTTCACAAGTTTTGAAAACAATTCAGTCTTGAGATCATCCTCATTCATCATCTCAAGCAGATCAATTCTTTGTGACTGCCTGCGATTGCTACTATTCATTCATACATCAAAAGCTTGTCAACTCATCATCTGTTGATTTTCAATCACAGTCGCGATGCATTCATCCATCCTCTTCCTTGCTCTGCTAGGAACGGCTTCTGCAGTTCGCCCTGTGAAGCGGAGCGTAGCGATCGGCAGTCCGTCTGATTCTCGACCGAGCCCGACAACAACGATCATCCAACCTCCTCCAGCACTTGCGACCAGCACGAGGTCACCGGCGGCTTTCACGAATTCTCCGACAACATCTGTCACTCAGCCTGCTCGCGGCCCAAGCACGTTTCAGGATAAGCCTCCCGTTATCAAGACGTCATCAAACGTGAGCAACAACAGCAGCGGAGGTGTTGTCCAGCCCACAACCAAGAAAGTTACCTCTGCATCGGCTACTCAGAAGACCAGAACAAATGTTCCGAACCCAAGCAACTCCGCGAACAAGCCTGCCTTGACCTCCACGAACAGCTCCGCGAACAAGCCTGCTTTGACCTCCATGAACAGCTCCGCGAACAAGCCTGCCTTGACGTCAACGAATAGCTCTGCAAACAAGCCTACCTTGACTTCTGTGAGCAATACTACAAAGAACCCTGTCTCAATTTCCGTCAACAAGCCCGCCACCAAATCTGTCGTAAGCTCGAGCAAAACTTCGAGCAAGCCTGCTAGCCTTACAGCCAAGCCGGTCAAGCCGAGTGGAACTTCTGGTCCTCGCCCGAGCAACAACAACACCCGGTCCGCTAGCAAGCCTGTCAAATCTGCGAGCAAGCCGAACTCCACAACGCGAGTCACGAGAACCTCGGTGGTTGCCGTCACTGTTACTAAGCCCATTCCGCACTCTGTGAAGACCACGGCGAAATCCGTCAGCTCTGCAAGCGAGCCTGTATCTAGGACTCGGATCACCAGGACCTCAGTCACTGCTATCACCGTTACCAGACCCATCCCACAATCTGTGACTACCACGACCAAGCCTGTCCCACAAACCGTCGCTCCTATCAGTGGTCAGCCTACTGACGAGACCGTCACATACACTGTCACATACACTGTCACCCCCACCGCTGCTCAAATCACCGCCGACCCCGTCACCGTCACCGTCACTCCTACCGTTGATGGCACCACCGCCGACCCCGTCACAGTTACTGTCGCACCCACCAGTGTTCTAACAACTGCAGAGACGGTTACATACACAGTTACATACACTGTAATCCCGACTAGTGTTGCCGAGCCTGTCACAATCACAGTTATTCCTACCGGTCACGGGAACACATTAGACCCTGTCACGGTCACAGTCACTCCCACCGTTCATGGTACTGCTGCCAACCCGGTCACAGTTACTACTACTCCCGCCGGCCACGTCACAACCGCCGACCCCGTCACACTCACTATCACTCCCGCTAGCAATGGAATCACCGCCGACCCCGTCACATTCACTGTGACTGCTACTGCCGGCGGAAACACTGTCGAGACGGTCACGTACACTGCCACTCCCGCCACCGCCGAACCTACCACCGCGCCTGACTTTGAGACTCCATCGACAGGCGGCGCTGGTCCTAGCCCAGCTCAACAGACCTCAACGGTAACTGTGCCTGGTGGATTCAACCCGGCTCAACAAGGCTCAACAGTCACCGTGACTGGTGGATTTAGCCCGGCTCAACAGACCTCAACAGTCACTGTGCCTGGTGGATTCAGCCCCGCAGGCAATACTTGCCCGGCCCCGACCACCGTGACCGTAACCGAGGTTGCCACCGCCACCTTCTGCCCGAACGCTGATCCGTCCGTGCCGTACGCGACCGTGACCGAGGTGACCACAGCGTACGTGTACCTGGCCACCGATTCATCCGAGCCATACCCGACTGTAATCATCGACCCGTCCGTGACATACGTGACTGAGATCGCCGACCCGTCCGTACCGTACGCGACCGAGACCGTCACCCATCTCTTGGGCAATGGCCAAACGACCACCATAATCATCAGCTATGCCACTGCAACACAAACAGTCTCGGTCTTCAAGACGGCTCACGTTCCGCAGGTCACTGCCAAGTCCACCCAATCTGTTACGAGCAGACCGAGCCGTGCTACCAAGTCCGCCAGCCGTGTCAGCAAAACCCGCATCAGCAAAGCCAGCAAGACCCCAACCGCCAGCGCTCATTGAGCTCGTCCCAGAACGTACACATCCGTTTCGCGAAACATCTCGAGATGAACATAGATTATGACTGTTTTTGTTTGATGGCACCATGTTTGCGAAGGATATAGATAGAGATGCGAGCTGTTTTTGTTTTGTCATTTGTCGAGTAAATATGATTTTGTTGCAATAAAAGACCATTTCAAAAAATTTCTGTGCGCTGTATGTTGATTCACTTGTCTGAATTCGCCATTAGAGGAGAAGGGGCGAGTAGTATAAATGCATGGGAACGAAATTTGTTGATGAGCACACATTGACGGTCGTGCCTCTGTCATGTGGGCACCTGCATACATGATGGTGCTATTCGATAGATTCGATGACAAGAGCAACGTGGAGCAAACAAGAAGGGAGTGAAGATGAGAGGTTGATGTGTTAGTCATCAGTCAGATTATGTTTTGATTAGTCATCAGGAAAATCACGTATCGATTAGTAATCGAACTTCTGCATAACAGATGGATCCGGTGCCTGCCAAGCCGGCTTTTCATTACCGCTTGAGCAAGTTTAGAAACTGTCCAGGTGCTGGCGATGTTTTCGCTTCAAAATTGTCCCACCCGTCGTAACGTCCGGACAGAAGGGCCCATGTAGAAGGGCGCGACCATCACACGTTATGTTTCGAGCAAGATATCCCATCCATTAAGCCCCTCGATGCAGAGATTGCCCTGCTTAGAAATAAATCTTGGTAGAATTTGTCTCAATTGATGCGCACGTCGAGCGTAATTTTTCGTCAAAGGCCTAGCGCTGCTACTGCTACGCAACTTCGCCTTTTCATTACTACATCTCGTCCGAGACGAAGTCCGAATGCGTGGGGTCGTTGAGCGGCATGGAGTGCATGTATACATATATCGTCCAGGCCCAGAACGACACAAACTTCCTTAGAGGTCGATAGACTCCAACACCACGACCTGGTGGCCAATCAATTTTCTTTGCGTTATTTTCGCCTTGTCGGGTCTGACGTGACCAACAAGACACCCGAGTAGTCCTGGTCAACTGCCACGAGCTGTCCCTGCAGAACTTTCCAAGCAGTGGGATGAGCATACCGACATCTGGAAAATGTCTTCCATGCCCACCACCAAGCTCAGGGTCCCTGGACGGAGGAGGCTCTGAGCACGCCGAGAAGAAATCTAGTGGAGTCGCCACTCCGATAGAAGCTGATACAGAAAAATCGCCCATCGGATCGTCTACGCCACCGTCGCGAAATGGCGATGAGCGGATTGAAGTCACCTACCCTGAGGGCGGCTTGCAGGCTTGGTTGGTCGTGTTCGGCTCCTTCTGTGGCCTGTTCACCATCTCCGGTATCCTGAATGCCATCGGTGTCTATCAAGCGTATCTCCTGGAGCATCAACTTTCCAATTATTCCGAGAGCGATGTGGGATGGATCGTGAGTCTCTACGTCTTCCTCTCGTTCGGCGCCGGAGTCCAGATTGGTCCAGTGTTCGACGCTCATGGTCCGCGGCTCTTGCTCACTGGTGGAGCCGTCCTTACCTTGCTCTGCCTGTTCCTCCTGGGGAGCTGTACGCAGTACTGGCACTTCATCATAGTGTTGGGCGTGATTGGAGGCTTTGGAACGGCGCTGATCTTCACACCAACGATTGCTGCGATCGGTCACTATTTTAATAAGAAACGCGGCACTGCTACTGGCATCGCGTCATGTGGCGGTGCTCTGGGAGGTATTGTGTTCCCATTGGTGCAACAGGCACTTTTCTCCAAAGTTGGCTGGGCGTGGACGACGCGGATTCAGGGCTTCATCAGTCTGGTGCTGTTCGTCATCTGCATCGCACTGGTACGCTCTAGGCTGCCCAAAGTCCCCGGCAAAAGCGTCAAGATCGACTTCTTCATCCTCGGTCGACTGAACTTCTTCCTCGTCACGGTCGGCACATACTTCCTGGAATGGGGCCTCTTCGTCCCCATCTCGTACCTCACCATCTACTCTCTCAATTCAGGAGCCATGAGCTCAGCATTCGCCTACCAAATCATTGCCATCTTCAACGCAGGCTCGGTGTTGGGCCGCTGGGCCCCTGGTGTCATTGCCGATTATGCAGGCCGCTTCAACACCATGATCGTCGCTACGATCCTCTGCGTAGGATCGACAGTTGCGCTGTGGCTCCCTGCAACGATCCTTTCCACATTGCCCGACGTGGCGGAGGGAGCCCATCAAAGCGCGATTTTCGGTCTGACGGTGACATACGCCGTTGTAATGGGTTTCGCATCTGGCTCGAACATCAGTTTGACGCCCGTCTGTGTTGGCATGCAGTGCGACACTGAAGACTACGGCCGGTACTATGCGACTTGCTATTTGATCGTCGCCTTTGGAACGCTCACAGGCGTCCCAATCGCAGGAGCATTGGTCACGGCATGTAATGACCAGTACTGGGGTGTGGTCATATTCACGGCGCTATGTTACGCCTTTGCTTTGGCAGCATTTACTGCAGTCAGAGTAAGGGAGGTAGGCTGGAAACTTACCGCGATGTATTAGGCCAGATTCGAATCTATTCCATTTGATGAATGTCACATCACGCATTGCAATAGACGAAGTGGTCACGATGATTAGCTTTGTCATGTGTCCACAATCAAACAATAAAGGCATTAAATTTGAAAGTATTATTATCAAGAACAGTACAATCAAAACAGTACATCATCCTACACCGACACACCAAGGCAGACCGAGTCGTGTAGTTCAATCATGATAATCGCACACAACAAGACGCCTGTCCTTACGAGATTAGGAGACGCATTTCCCTCATTGCCCTTTAACGCCATACTCGTGAGATGGATCAACGAGGTCGGAGGGATTCGGTCAATAGGCATATGTAAAACCAAAGAAGACGCGCTTCAAGCGATCATAGCATCGTTTCGCATCTCTCGAGTAGCGTTTTATTCACGAATTGTGTCCCACCTTCGTGAGATTCCCTTGTTACCCGCGCGCGGTCCCGCGGATGACACGGAGCTGCTGTGGAGGTGGTTGGACTGGCGACTCGCCTGTAGACTCTGTCTGACGATGGCTTCGGCAGCTGCAGCCGCAGCCAGGCGCTCCTTTTGTCGGCTGCGGTCTTTGAGATACCTCTCTGCCTCGGGTCGCATGCGCAGGATTCGCAGAATCATGTCGTCGCTGGGATCGGCTTGTGCTTCTTTGCGCTTTTCTTCTTTCACTTGGCGCATCGTGCCTAGATTACGCTGGAACAGAATAGACTTGCTGCGACGCATTCCTAGAGGAGGAAGGTTTTGAAGGCTAAAAGAGCCTGCAGGAGCAGACATTCGATTAGCTCGAGCGACGGTCTCTTGCTGACGGCTCGCGGTTGCGCTGGCCATTGCTTCCGAAGTGCGGATGAGGTTGTCGCTAGATTCGAAATAGAAGAAGTTGAGATTTTGCAAGTCGTGGTATTTGGGAGATTTGAGGATGTCCATGGGCACGCCTTCAGCGACTTTGTTCTCGTGGTCATAGGCGTGGAAGAAGTCAAAGAGAATCTGTCAGGCCCCAAATTAGCTCTAGTCTAAGCATGCAGATGCTATCGATTGACTTACCTGCAGCCATTTGTACACAATATCAACTTCTTGCTGGCTCAAGGGCTTTTGTGACGAGGGTTTGTCACTCAACGGCGGAACAAGAAGACTTTCGATAGTGACCAGAGCCTCCTTCCATAGTCGCGTCATGACCATTATCATCGCACCGTCTGTCAGCGTTTGCTTCATGATGGCAAAGTTGTCGTCAAAGTACTGCAACAAAGGCTTGAGTGCGTTTCCTGCAGCCTCTGGGCTGATCGGCTGTATAGGTTGAGGCTGGACGGACATCGGCCGACCAGAGACTTGACCAGATACTTTCGAGAAGTACCCTCGCATGCTATTTATCGATACTCCGCCAATGGTTGCGCCAGCAGTCAGTGCTTTCAGAGTCCGCCGTGACAGACATTGTTGAATATACGCCGACAATTTGTCCGTTACCCTGCGCGTCATGTCTCTTTGTGTCCGCTTCAATGTGCGGAACGCCTTGCCGAAGTGGAACTGGATGTCATCGCGCTCGCCCTCCATACTGACGCGAACAAGCACACGTCCTTGTGTGTCAAGGTCAAGCCAGTATTCTCGAGGGAGGTAGTCGTTGAAGTGCGTTGGGTCGAGCTTGAGACTTGTTCGCCCAAGACAGTCGTGATCACCGATAGCATCCCAGTCCCACACAGTCGCAATGATGTTTAGAGCGCCAGTCGCCATGATGTCCACCGTTTCGTCCCATCGAGGACTAAGACTTTGGTACACTGTTTTTGTTTTTGCTAAACGCTTCTGATACTCGTCACCCAATACAACATAAGGATCACTCAACCCATTGATGTCTCCTGCTTTGAGGTCTTCTGCCTCGATGATCTTGATAGTAAATGTGTTCTTGCTCTCAGCACGACGTTTGAGGCTTGGAGGAGGGGTGGGCTCATGCTTCTGAATGGCGGCGACGCAAGCATCTACGTTCATCTCGTGCTCAACTTTGTCGAGCTGTAATGTTGCGTACTCAACATCATTGATTTTGACGAAGCTTTCAGGCCAGAACTGGAAGGGCTCAATCTTATTGGCGGAGGCGGCACCCGTCGTCCAATCTCGCGCTGCTGCGATCCATTTATCACGCGAGGATTGCTGAGCCCGAGCTTCCTGTTCCGGTGTCTGACGGTCCATCTCCAGAATGAATTTCTTCTCCAGCAGCTCACAATATTTCATAACTCCTTTGCTCACCGACTTGCTGATAGCTGTCATGAATTTTGCATACTGGAGGTCATCATCCCAGCTAAGCTGGATGATTTGATCAATGCTTTGATTGAATATCCTGAACACGTCCACGGCACTTTGTGAATGTCGCTCATCGTCTGTTGGTGAGTCCCCACGCTCCCGAGCGTGAGGGTCCTGCCGTGTTTGGAAGTCATCGTGTGTTACAGCGCCCTCGATCCAATCTTGCAGCTTGGAGTCTGTCATGGCGATCCAGCGCCATACAAATTCTTGCAAATGCCCTTCGACGTGAAATCCGAACTCACGGCCGGGAAGCGCTTGGTTAGAGACTTTGCGAATCTCGACAAGCTCTTTGTACATTTCGAAGCCATCTTGAACAGGGACCTCCTCACCTCTAGCCTGGCATAATTCGAGAATGCGTGTGATGAGCTCTTTAGCATCGCCCGCGTAAGAAGGAAGCATCTCCTCAACTAGAACTGTCAGTGGATTGACACCCATGACCGTCGGGTTCTGTCGGTAGCGCTTCTGAATTTTCTGACAGAGTGCGGTCACAGCTTGGCCGAGCTTGATGACATTGTAAAACTCCCAGCTCTGTGAATCGTCAGGAACGATGCTGGCAAGCATCTCGCTGTACTTCCCCTTGGCACGGACTCTCAATTGGTCAGTCATGAGGCGAGCAAAAGCGTCCACCTCATCCTGCTGTTGCGTGAACATCGGATCTGCATATATATGGTTCTCAAGGATGTACATCACGCTGCCAATACTCGGCGGCTTAGCATCGTAACAATGCTGAAAAATCTCGTACAGTTCACGAAGCATGGCGTCGTGCACGCTGTTGAGTACTGATTGCATGAGGGCGAAATCAGCTAGAGTCCACCTGTGTCTGTCGATCATCGAGGATGATGTGGGCGTAGCGACTGTTTTGCCTGAGACTTTCTTGATGTCCGTGGGAGGTTCCTTGGCGTACATGAATGCGGCATCGACAGTGTCAAGTGTAGCTTGCTGATACTGAAATCTTTCTCGCACGACGTCGAGCAGTAGCACAGTCCGTGAGAAGCCAGGAATGCGCCACCTCAGTGCGAGCTCATTCAAGAGATCCTGTGTCTGTCGTGATAATAGCTTTGCTGCAGGTGAAGCCTCTAAGGCTTGCAGCTCCTCGTCCTGCAGATCGTGGATCAGAGATTCTTTAAGCACTGCTCGGTAGTACATCCTGACGTCAGGTGGAATAAATGTGAAGTCAGCACGCCCTCCATCAATTGAACCACTGTGGGAATCGCGAGGGGAGTTGTCGCCGAGACTAAGTCCGCTCATGTCGACAGGTTGATCGAATCCATACACGGACTCCTGGTTCGCAGTTGAATCTGACAACGATCTTGCAACATCGCCGTAAGCGCTGTTGCTGTGGCCTTGTGGTGTTTTGAGTATGGACACACCTGAGGAAGAGCCTTTCGCCAGAGACGGATCTGATTGTATCAGTGCCAGCATCATCTGACTCAAATCCTGGAATTCGCCCTTGCGCCATATCTCAAATGACTCGTCCAAGTCGAAATCATCTTTCGACAGTGTCGCCCGGGTATCTAGCATCATGTTCGTTTGATAGTCCTTGAGATCTTTTAGAGCCGCCCTTTCTGTCCATTGATCGCGTCGCGCATCGATATCTTGCTGTGCTTGCGCGGTAGGGATCGAGAAAATGCGGCAAACACGAATAACCAGCGGCATGTCCTTCACATCATACGATCGTGGGACCTCCACTTCGATACTCGTGCCGCCCTGACCACCGCCTCTCTGACTTGAATCCGCGAGATCCTGGTCGTGCTGCAGCAGCTTCGTCTCCAGCGTCTTTAGCCTGCTGCTTAATTCTGGTCGTTCCCTCGTCCAATCGTTGGTGGCCAATGTGCTACTGATCAGGCGGACGAACAGTGCGACGTGCCGGTCGACCATCAATTTCCATGCATCGTCCTCTGAATTCTTGCCCTTCTGAAGTTCACTTGTGGCCTTGGAAAAGAAAATGAGCAACAAATCCTCCGGCCGACGATCCTTCTCCATGCTCTTGCGGAATGTTGGGTTCTTGAACTCGTTCAAGAACGTGGCGAACGTACGTTTGATCAGGGGATCGTTGTATTCTGGCATCTTTTCCTGGCCCACCAAAACGCCCGTAATGCGTTTGTCCAAAGCGGCCATAAATCCATGCGGAAAACGAGTGCTCTTGCTATCCCGGATCAGACTGAAGTCTTTGACCATGTCGTTGATCGAGCTTGTGGATCGTTGGATCGGTTTCGACGTATTGGCGACATGCTGAACCCGTTTCTGCCGTGGTTGCAGCAGATATGATAGATATGCAGCTCTGAGAGCGTAGGAGTAGGCTTCCTCTGAAGGAACGACACGCTTCGAATAGGACATGTTGCGTCGAACGGATTGTCGGTTTCCTCGCGAGTCGGCGCGAGCGCTGTGCATTGAGGAATGCGCCGAGGAGCGCTTCATGGTGAATGACGGACGTCACCCGTCACCGGGCGGGCGTTACTTGTGCGACCAACAATGAGAGGGACTTCAAGGCGGCGGAGGGGTCCAAGGTGGTCATGCAGTCGTCCAAGAAAGTGTTGGCCTATCGAACGCAGTGTGATGATGGCGTCGGGAAGATGACCGCCGGGTGCAACTTGGGAAGTACGCACGATAATCCAGGACTACGGAATGTTCAGGTGTGACTGGAGGGCATGTCGACCCGGGCAGCTACAGTTCAGTACCAACGAATGTCGATTGCACATGTCCCGCCGCCGCTGTAGGGTTGAAAGAGTGACGAAACCATCGTTATTGCTACAGAGATATTTCATCACCAGGGCTGCATGCATTAGACAGGTTGTTTTATTATTACTCTACAGTATTATTGCTATTGATTGGTAGGGGCGGAAGAGGGGGGCGAGTCGGCCGAACGACCATCACAACCGCCGCCCGACCGTTCGCCCGCGAGTGGGCTGTGGGCTGTGTCTAAGTTTTATTAGAACAGTCGCATTGCTGCCCAGTGATGCCATCCCCCTTGGCCTTGGAATCTTGGAACGCAGCACCAGTCAGCCATGCAGGATGGCCGTTCGTAGCGGAATTCAATTCCCTCGAGGCTTCACAATGTCTTTGATTTCCAAGGTTATTATTATTATTGTCATACTGTTTGATGATGCTATCTCATTAGATACCTTTTCTATCTTAAATTGACCATGGTGTCCCGCCTCGAAGTCACTTTTCCGCACTACCTAGGTGTGTACAACGATTGCAGCAATGTATTGTCGCAAGGGGATGGCGGTTGGGAAGACGTCAAAAGAGTCACCCTTCGAGGATCGTCATCGGGTTCGTCGCGTCCGCTACAGAATGATCGTCACCCGTTTTGAGCATAAAGGCGGGTTGCAAATACATTCCGATACGAATACGACACCGCACACTTTCACGTTCCTACAGTATCCGCAGTCCTTCGCGTACAGTACCAAGTGGTTGAACGAGAGACGCATTGAAGCTCATGCTGCATATAATGTACGAAATGCGATATCGTTTGAGCAAATAGTAGCAATGTCCGCCGTATACGAGCGGTATAGAAGGATAACCTTCGCTTCTTCTACATCGTATGTACTGTGTGTACATTCAGAGCTCAACTCGGTCGAATGGATGGCGAACCACGGAGCGACAAAACCGCAATGGGGACTTCTGTTCCCGTCTTCACTGCCAGTTCCGCACCTGAGATCTTCGGATTCCACAGGGGAGTTTTACAGATTCGTCCCGCAAATCGCGCATGACCGTGAGTGCCCGGACATGCAGTGTATACTGTAATATGTTTCTGGTCGCCAGCCTCGGCGACGCTCGGGGGTTTCACGCGATCGAGTGCCAGAAAGGAGGAGCCGAAGATGTTCACTAAATGTACATGAGAGCACGCGACGCGTTTACTTAGCGCGAGGTTCTCCCATCCCAGGTTACCAAACAACTACGAGACATTCACATGCAACACACCACACGTGGAGATGCCGATTCTAGCCCCATCCATAGATCTTGATGCAGGCCACTGTAGAGAGACATCACCACTGGTCAAACCTCGAACAGTGTCTCTGCCAAGTGCGCATCGCTCCACCCTACATAAGCATCGCACAATTCCCCTGCGATGGATTGATCAGCCTTCATGACAGTCGGTCAGGATCCTTCAAAGTCAGAGCAGTCGTTGTGTCTCGGTTCCTTGCAAGGTTCCAGTCCTGATAACGAAGCAGCGCCCGAAGCGATCAAAACCACGATTTGCCATACAGTGACTGCATCTCATTTTGCCAAGATCCCCCCGATTATTGCTGACGATGGGCATTTCTGGGTAAGTGATGATTAAACAGTCGGTGTTTCATACCGCCTCAATTCTCTAACGGAGCCTCAGGTTCTGCGATCTGGTTGGCGAGGGCACAGTTTGTCGCATCGCTGACCTTGCAGCTGCGCACTATGCACAGCACAAAAGGCCACTGCGAGTCGCTGTTGACGAGGCGGGATGGCGTTTCACCAATCTGACGCCGGCACAGATCGAGAAGATTCGTCAGGGCGAGCCTGCTGCCAATCCTATGGAGAAAGTGATTCTATGGCGAATACTGGCTTTGCTACGTCTGAACATTCAGTTGCTCTTTGTTTCCGATGGCTTACGAAAGCCGGGGAAGACGAGGCGCAAGGGTGTGTGAGGAGGCAAGATGGACGATGATTTGACCCGGCTTTTGCACAAGTTATTCGATTTACTCCAAGTCCCACATCACCAAGCACCTGGCGAAGCTGAAGCCGAATGCGCATTACTCCAACGTTTGGGCGTCGTGGACGCTGTTTGGAGCGACGATGGCGATTGCTTCATGTTCGGCTGTCAAATGCTGATCAAAGCACACAAGCAAGATGGCAAGCGCGTCAACGATCAGGTGAGGGTGTACAAAGCTGTGGAGATTCGAGAAAGCCTGAACTTTGATGCAGACTCAGTAATGTGGAGAGCATCATTGCAAGCAGCTCTGCAAGCACAAGGAAAGGGCATCGTGGTCCCGGACACATTTCCGCCTTGGAAGGCGCTCCTTGGATATAAAGATCCAGCTGTGAGCACACAGGAGCAAGCTTTCAATCTGCGCGGCCTTCGCGGAGGCTGGGAGAAAGAAGTCAACCTGCCAAAATTGCGAACTGAGCTGTGACAACGATACAATTTTCAAACTCGTGAGTTCCTGAAACATATCGCGCCGATATTGTTGGTAAAAGCACTCGTGCGCTGCAGGACCCCAGAGCAGCGCAATGCAAACACGAGGCTTGATGTTGCGTCGAAAGCTACCTCCCAATCGTCCGAGAGAAATGTTTCGTTCAATCCGTTGCCTTTATTACCCACGTGGATATCAGCTTGATGCCAGAAGACGAAAACTGGTCAAAATTTGAGAAGAAAGGAACTCCCTACGATCCCCTACAGAAGATTGAATGCATAATTCTGGAGTGCATTCTCCTGAATGGACTTCCTCAGGGCACACTTGATGTTGTTGCGCCGACTAAAAGGAAGTCAAAGAATATCAAAGTAAAGGAAGAGGCCGTCACAGCCCTGGAGTCATCGATTCTAGATCTCTCGCGCAAAGCCGCCAACCGTATTCAGAATGATGACACTCCGACTTCCGTCACATCGTCGAAGAGACAAGATGCGGTGATGGTCGGCCATCGTGATGTGATCAATCCTCTGTCTAAAAAACAGTGCTGTGGATCAAAAGCACCACGTCCCGACGCGGTGCTTCCATTAACGCCATCGCGTCCAACATTTAGGCGATTGCAGCTGCCGGACTACAACCGACATCATCACCCAGACACATCGCCATCCTCTGTTACAAAGCCGTTGGGTACAGTCATTGGACGAGAGCCGGACCTCACGCGCGGCCCAAAGCGACCACTGGCCAACGTAGACTGCACCATTGTCGATCTCACGCAACGGTCAAGCGATGGGCTCAGCAACAAGGTGCATGGACCAAACTCCCAGTGCCCACCATGTGCACAGAGTAGGAAGATCGAGATCCAGAAATCACCAGTCATCTCCCCCCCCCCCCCCCCCCCCCCCCAATTGTGATAGATCTCACGTAGTCTTTAATGCCACACTAAAATTCGTAAATTCTACGAACGGAAGTCAGTTAAACCATCAGAACCACAAGCAAAGGGCGTCCGAGAATGCAGAGGTGGACGTCACGATAGCATCTATTGATCAGCTTGACGCTCCTGTTGCACTTGCGCCCTAGATCCCTGCAAGCCGTAAGAGGTGCATGAGTTCGCATACGGCATTGCTTGTTGGGGGCGAGTCCAGATCGGCACAATCACATGTCAAGATATGGGATGTGCCGCTTCACGAACCCTAACGACCTCACCGACCGGCTTTGGTTGCTCAATATTCGAGCTATTCTTCTGCGACCGCACAAACGCGTACCTGATCGTCGTTGAAAGGGAGCATAAAGCGCTTCATTACTTGCAGTCAGCAGGCGCCTAGAGTCGACACAAACTATGCCAACATTGTTCTCAAATCACGCAGCACACAAGCACATTCCTCCCTGACTTCAATACGACACGCTTCATGTCTCGCGCCGATCGCTAGCTTTGCATGGTCTTATGATCTCGTTTTGTAGTACCACATTTCACCTCAGCAATCTATTCACAACATCTGGGAGAGTACCTTCGTGATCGAGGCTTTCGCCACTCAAACTACGTGTCTACGTACATCAGCTTTGCAGTGCCACCAGCCCTTCCTGCAGCAAAAGATTCGTCGCCTTCTCGATGTCCGACGCCGAATCGCCTTCCGGGAACCAACAGGCAAAGCCGCGGCTGACTGAGGAGGAAAAGCGCCAGAATCACATAGCTAGTGAGAAAAAGCGTCGCGATGCCATCCGCGCCGGTTTCGACTCCCTCTGCGACATTGTGCCGACCATGAAAGGCCAAGGTCGCAGCGAGGCGGTAGTGCTGGGCAAGACTGTTGAGTTCGTGGAACTCCAGCTTGCCTTTCAGGAATCGCTAAAAGAGATCGCGTTGAGCAACGGCTGGTCAGAGGACAAGTTCAAGCAGTTCTACCTTGATGCTGAGAAGGAGTCCAAGGAAAAGCAGAAGACAACGGCGGCAGGTCAGGCACGTGCCGCTGCGAATGCGTGAGGATTTTGGACGCACTATCTTTCCGGGTTCGGACTCGGATCAATTGCGCACACAGTCTCTGCAGTGCGCGCGGATCGGATGATCATGCCCATCACGTCATCGCGACGTACGATGACTCGGATTAGCTACCCATGATGCCGATTGTGGCTGGAAGCCAGTCACATACACTTCGAGGAGCCCAGGTGAGGCACCTTGCCTCCCATAGCACATTCGCAGCCAGCACGGGTCGCGCAAGAGCATTCCAACAATGGTATGTTTCGGTATTCACGATCGCACCCTCACAGGACAGATCACACCATCGTTGCAGCCCATAATTTTGAGCAACGGGTCAAGTAGGTGGACGCAAAGGACTACCTCACATCATGTTCGTCGAACAGATTTGTGATCTATCGTACAATGTTCGTATGAACTTCATTCAAAACCCGCAAATTCCTCCTCGCTCTCGCTCTCGGCCTCGGCTGCAGACTTGCGATGTTGACTACCAGCGATGGCGCCCTTGCGCTTGTTTTCTTCTCGCCTGATGTAGCCTGCCTTGGTACTGATTCTAGCCTGCCGCGCTGACTTCGGGTCTTTGACGCTTCCACGCGCAGTGCGTGATTCCACGCCATGCTTTCGTAGATCCCGTTTCGCTTTCTTGCTCAGGCTGGGCAGGGCGTCGAGCAGCCACTGGTCGACACCATGTCTCTCGCCACCTTCGCCACCGTCTGCGCTTCGCTTTTGCGCCGCAGCAACCAAATTAGCGATTGGTTTGAGGTAAGGAATGTCCTCCTTTGTATAGAGTGTGACTGCGACGCCGCCTTGCCGACCAGCACGGCCAGTACGGCCCACTCGGTGTACATAGGCTGCGCTCGAGGTCGGAATGTCGTAATTTACGACACCGTTGACGCCCCGAAAGTCAACGCCTCGCGATAGTAGATCTGTTGTGATCAGAACCCAGATCTCACCTTTGCGGAACCGCGTCATCACGCCGTCGCGGACAAGGTCGGAGAGATCGGAATGGAGCACCGCTATGCGGCTTATGCCTCCGGCTTCTGCAGGTATATCATATCTCAGCTCGGAATGCAGGGCAGCAGCTCTTTCGATAGTCTGCGTAAAGACCAGGAAAGGCGGTAACAAGGGAGGCCCTGTTTCGGCAGAGGTCGTCGTCGGGTGCAACAGTTGACGCAGGCCCATGAGCTTCCCCTGTTCCGAAGCAGCATAGACCAGACGGTGCTCAACATTCGGCAGTGCTGAGTCCTTTAGTCCTACAACCAATCTGACCAATGGCTTTCCAGTCAAAGGCTGCTTTGTTTCTACCGATAGTGATGCAAGTCGCCTTTCAATCGTAGAGAGCGCAAGCTGCTCGATGTTGCTGCCCATAGTGGCGGACCACAGGCTCACGCGAAGATCCTCGCCGCCGATAGAGTTCCATATAGAAAGGGTCTGGTCCCGAAATAACGGGTCAAGTAGAACGTCCGCTTCGTCCATAATAAGTTGACTTACATGCGTGAGAGTGGTCGCATCTTGTGTGACAGCCTCTTTGCATATACCAGCCAATACGCCGGGTGTCGAGACAAGGATGTCGGCTTTGACCACAGTGGCGTCGTGTTGTTCGCCTTCGTCAGAGTCGTGAGCATTGTCGTCTGGAACTATGGCACGCTCCTGGGCCAGTCGCATCCCCTTCTTGACCATGACTACTCTGACTCCAGTGTCTATGCAAAGCTTTTTTGCTTCGTTGACGATCTGAGCTGCCAGCTCTTTGGTTGGAGCAAGTACCATTGCCGAAGCAACGCGCTTGCGCTCCTTCTCAGCGGCCTTCCGCTTGACTATGTTGTGTATTAGAGGGATCATGAATGCCAATGTTTTGCCACTTCCAGTGGGAGCCACAGAGAGTAGATCTACCTGCGACACATTCAGAGTATCTGACTCAACAGCAGGCAGAAAGTTGGTGGGAGTATCAAGCAGAATGGGAAGTGCGCCGAGTTGTACTTCGGTAGGAAGAGTGTAGCCTTCATTTGCGATATTCTGTGCTAATCTGCTCGAGAGCGAAAAGCGAGTACGTAGCTCACTGAACTCCTGCAAAGGCTGCGGAAACAAGGAGGGTTTGTCCACTTTTCCTGTTGCATTGAGATTTGCTCGCTGTCCTTTCCGACGATGCTTTTTCTGCACAACAGGTGCATTGAGCCAAGCTACCTTCAGTTTGTGCCGTTTCATGATACCCTTTATCTGCTCAAGAGGAACTTCCGGCGCCATCTGCAGCACAATGGAGTCATCCTCGCCGTGTTCCTGAGCTGCCGCGTTCACGGTGTTGTCGTTGATAGACAGTCCATTTCTACTAGCCGCCTTAAACGAGCTATCCAGTCCTCCATCGCTGAAAAAATTTAGGGGGTCGTTGCTCTCGGGCGCCTTGAGCGATCGCTTCCTCTTTCGCGAAGATATTGGAGGCACATCTTGTGAATTAGGTGTTGAAATATGCTGGACCGAAAGAGCAGGGCCACTGGATGGCGTGATCGTTCGTCTCTCTCGGCCTGCCTGTGAGTTGTTTGAGAGTTTCGTCGACCGCGAAAGAAGCCTGAATGTGTCCATCTTTGCTACATTCTGTTCCGCGCAGGTCAAACTCTCAAAATTATTTCCAGCGACCAAAAAGCGAGCACGTTCCACCATTCCGTCACAGTCGGCAGACTTAGCCCAAGCCGAAAGCAGTGGGACGCGATCCGGAGCTCGGCTCTTCCCGCGCCTTTCCGAACAGCTTCCTCCAACCTCCCAAAAAATCCAAGAACACGCGATTCCACGACCGCTAATTACATGCGCTGACCATTGCACGGCAACATCAAAATACACATCACCGCAGCCATGTCATCTCCTTCGCTAGCACGTCTGGCGATCCGGCAATCAAAGACTCTCGTGCAGCGACGGGCTGCCTCTACCACTACCGAGGCTGCCAATGCTGCGTCTTCAGGAGCCGCGAAGGCCACGGAAGCTGTTCAAAACACTGCTGCAAAGGCGCAACAGGGCCTCTCGAAGGTGACTAGCAGCGCAAGCTCTACCGTGAGCAACGCCGCTACCGCCGCTGCAAACACTGCTCAAAATGCCGGCGGTCGCGTTGGCCAGGTTGTCTCTTTCGTTCAAGGTTAGAAGGGATGCTTGCAATGGCCAACTTATCAATCACTGACTGAAATTGTCTGAGCAGGTCTTATCCCTCCGACCATCTACTACGCAAAAGTTGGTGGTGAGCTTGCAAAGCTCATCTACACTGGTCGCGGCATGCAGCCACCGTAAGAACTCCTGCCAAACGGGGCAGCCATTCAATGTGACACCATACTGACCTACATACAGAACCCTCCAATCTGTTCAGTCTTACCTGACACCGCTCCAAAACGCTCTGCGCAACCCGTCCTCGCTCACTTCACCCGCAGCACAGAAGGCTGCTCAGTCCGCCGCTCAGACTGCCGCGCACACCGCCGAGGCCGCTGCTGCCAACCCACAATCATTTATTGCCCGATTAAGAGAGGGTGACCACGGTGCCCTTTTGACCGTCGGTGTCGTTGCCGCTGAGACTCTTGGTTTCTTCTCCGTTGGTGAGATCATCGGTCGTTTTAACATTGTCGGCTACCGCGGTCAGCCTCCCCACGGAGATCACTAGATGGTCCTCGGGACTCGGGACTCGGGATATCGATTCACACGGTCCAAATGGAAAATGCACAGCAGGAGCGAGGACAACTAATCCTCATTGTACGGTAGTAGCGGAGAGGAGAGGAGCTCTTGCTGTATCATCGGCCGGCCAGAGATTGTGCTCGGACAATGCACAGACGCTTTGTAACATCGTGCATGCTTTCTACCATTTCCTACGTCTACAAATCTTTTCCGCCCAATTTCTTCTTGATCAAAAATAGAATTCGCTCTGTAACGAGATACAACATGCAATGTCAGAATGGAGTGTCTAGAATTTTCGAGTCGAGACCGAAACTTAGATCTAGTCACAAATGCCCCCTACTGCACTTCGAGCTAACCCCAATAATCATTGTTCCCATCTATCAGAATCGTGGCAAATCCTCAGAATTACTTCGCCCAACTTAAAAGCCAAAGCTATCTAACAAAGAATTTGCCTCGGGCTCCTTGAACTGTGTTGGTGGTGGTTTCTTCACAACATCGGATGGCGGCACGACTTTGTCCTTTTTAGCTTTCAGCTTTAAGAGCAGCTCTGCGGCTTTGGCTTTACGCGCGGCCTGATCGTCCTCAGCAGACACGATAGCGTTCGGCGGCTGCGAGAATGCATCCAACAGCGAGGACGAATCTGTCGCCGATGTTGGTACTGCCACAGACGCAGCTGTTGCCTCCGGAGATTTGATATGATCATCAACGCCATTGGCGCCAAGATTCTGCCTATGGGATGTAGCAGCCACCGTTGAAGGACGCGCGAATTCCCAACCCGCTACGAGCCCCAAGGATAATGACCACAAACCCATTCTCTGCAGAACTCTGGCTGACCTGAGCACAGCTTGATACTCGTAGTCGCTTGGCGTGCTCCGCACTTGCTTGTAAAGAGTCATGACATCGGGATGATCTTGCTGCCAACGCTTCTTGCTCTGACCGGTTGATAAAGGTGCCACCAGAACATCGGCGGCCTCTTTTCGCTGGTTGAGCACAGAATGGCACCAGCTGGAAAGCCACCTATTCCCTTCTTGCTGCGCCATGGGCAGCAATCGACTCTCGATCAGCTGTTTCAACACATCTGATCCATCACCGCAATAGAGTCTAGCGACGGCGATGGCCAGCGCGATGTCCTCGCATTGACCTGCAAGCGCATTGACGGCTGACTGAGGGTCATCTGCAAGCAAGAAAAAGGTAGCAGAATATTCAAACCGTCTCTTACCCATTAAAGCATAAGCATTCTTCCTTGCAGCCGTTCGAGCATCTGCTTGGCTGAAATCACGCTTGAGGAAATTCAAGGTGGACTTCTGCTCTTTGTGCCAAGTTGCGATTCTCCACAGGCTGACCAATGTGGGTTTCTTGCGTAGAGCGAGAAAATATAGTGAGGCATCGATGGGATCTGCCGGCTGCTGAGATTTGTATGCTGATTGTGCCACCTGCTCGACAACCTGCCCGAGAGTTGCATGGTCGGTGAGCCAGGACAATAGGCCTAGATTGCGGACAATCGGCCACGTCAATTTATTATCGTAGTGTAGTACGAGAATGTCAAGCAGAGGTTGCTGTGTATTGCTTTGATGTACTGTCGCGATGGTTTGCCAGTCTATTACTGGGGGTTGAGGAGGAGGAGGAGGAGGAGGAGGAGGAGGAGGAGATGATGATGTGGATTCTGCGGAATTGTCGGGGTTTGATCGTTGCAGCTGCCATTTCCATTCGAAGAGAAAATGTACAGCATTCCGGTCTAAAGCATTGACATGTTGCCTCAAGTAGGCCATAGTGTTGATGAAGGTTTGGAGGTCCTGCTGCTCGGCTCTTGTAATATATGGAAGCTCTTTTTCGGCGAGAAGGTCACGAAGATCGTCGAATACGTCTTCGCTTAGCACAAGCGTGGAAGTTGGCTTGCGGTATGCTTGTGTCACGAACGTCTCTTTGATATCAAGTCTGAGTTCATCACCACTACTCCAGAATTTGAGTTTGGTCGCCAATTCGATCAGTATGTCGGCCACAAAGTGAAAATCTCCGCGTCGAAGTAATGTCGAGAGATAAAGGGGACTCCATTGTGGAAGGGTTGCTTGCAGTAAATGAGCAGTGTGATGCAAATCCACAGCGGCTGCTTCGCTTGTAGCGGCTCTTATCCTCTCTTGTGAATCCTGAGGGAGCTCTGCAGAGATCACATCGGTGTTGACGAAGAATAAATTGTTCCCAGCTGTGAATGCAAGTTGGAATCGTGATGCCCAAGCCAGATCTTCGATCTTCAGTCCCTTGTTTGCGATGGATATTGTTTTCGCAATCATCCACGATGAAAAGTCTGAAGAGCTTGGGGCGTATTGACGTCGCACCAAGATCTCTATTTTGTGTGCATATCCGACTGCAATGATAGGGATGTCTTCTTCTCCGTTATATATGACCAGCGAGGAGACTTCTTCGTCCGTCTGTTGCTTAAATTCTACGTAGCTATCGTTGGCGTTTAGAACCCTCAGCTCCTTGCTCTCGCTTGCGGCCAATGCAATTATGGAATCACTGGCAGCAAAAGCGGAGATATGGTCGACACCGGTTGCGAATTTGACAGCGTCTTGAGGGAGGGAATGTATGCCATCGGCGTTGAGCACTTTTCGATAAAGTCCATCTCGGGAGATGCTAGCGATATCTAGTGTCTTCGTGGGCGTTGTACTCCGTAGTGGTAGGATGAAATGTTCTGCAAGCCTTTCCGATTTTTCGCCGCCATTTACTTCCAACGAACACTTCGAGTCAATCGTGCCTGCCCATCTCCTTACAGTCCATTGAGTCAACGGTCCAGGGACGGTCTGGACAAAGAAGCCAGTCACCATCTTCGCATTCGATTCCGTTACATGTATGACGCCGGCTCCCCTATCAGTCGCGTGCGCGGCTACGGCGATTTGTCGGCCTTCTTTGTCCCAGATGGCGTACTCGGAAGCGTGTACGGTCAGCAGCATATCGCACCTTTCCAGAAACGTGGCGTCTATGATTGTAGACTGTGCCGTCACACGAGTGACACAATCCCAAACACCCCACGAAGACACTACCCATCTGGCAGCATCGCGATCAGCGCGAGTCACAACAGAATTTGGGGTGCTCTGTATTCCGTCTATCCTGCGGTCGTGACCGCACCACTTTCCGCGGAGCTGAAGCCGTTCTGATCCTGTCGCTGAAGGAGACATGAATGTCTCGATGCCGCCTTCCCACCAGGTGATGCTCCCATGTTTGGATATCTCGTGGCATAACAGCTGCAGTCGATCATGTTGAAACCAGTTGGTAAACATCATGGGGACGCCTTTCATCAGCTTGATCGGTAAGCCCTCTGCGTGCGCAATATGGTATGGCTGATCGAATCTTGCTTCCTGTGATCGACGCTTGTGGCCGATACTTTGGATCCCCCAAGCAGACATGTGCCCTTGTCCGTCGAGTGTGACGATGATGTCTGGCGTTTGCGACGCAATTTCTTTCAGATGCTCAATTGAATGACTTGCTTCGTTGCTTTGTGGAAGACCGATGGACGCATTGACTGCTGCGCTAAATTGATTTGAAGGTATGAAGAACATATAACGTGGTGTTATCGTAGCAGAGCTCGACAGGCTTGGTGATTGAGGTATTGCAGAGACGAGATTGATAGCCGTGAAGAGCTTTAGGATATCTGAATCATGCGTGCCACCAGTACGCCATATTCGCAAGACTCCATCAACTGCAAGTGTGTACAGAACCTCTGGGTTTTCATCATGCCTCCAGCTCAGACCACTGCTTCTTCGCTCTTCCAAGCCATCCTCCAGTGGACGCCAACTTATGTGAGTGACAATGGCCGGATGAGGTAGATATGTGTAGTCGAACAATCCTTCTTCAAATGACAATCGACGCCAAATCTTCACCAACCGATCGTAAGATGCACATGTTGCAATGAGCGTCGCACTTGGGCTGAATTCGGCAAATAGAACAGGCGACGCTACAAGTATGGCCCACATCGGATGTCGTGTCTCGACGCGACCTCCACAGAGGGCGACATTTGCAGATGAGCTGACCCGCGAGGAGGGCAAGCTCGAAAAAAGAGACAGCGCATGAGTGCCACCGACCAAGACTTCGCCATCATCGCCCCAGCAGAGCCACTGCGCTGTATCACCTGCATCTTCGCGTTTCAATAGCAACGATGTCTCCCACCAAACCCGTGACCATCCTTCTATTTCAGGCTTCAATACGAAGACTTCGTCCCTGGTAGCGACTACGAGTCGTCCATTATCACTTTCTGCTATCACAGACAGCAGAGTGCTCTTGAACGGGACAGCTTGGACGAGGGTGTTCGGAGAAGAGAGGATGTTGAGTTGTGAGCCGGCAAGGTATGCGATGTAACGCGATTGGCGATAGGTAAAGCTGCTCAGGGATTGCAAACACACGGCGGGAGTGCCTGGGAAGGTTTGTGACGAGGTCTGTGACATGCCTGGCGAGGCCGCAGGCATTGTGAGACGTGTATATCAACCTCGCTCGCGATGCATGAGTGACATATTCCGTGTGTCCAAATAATCGTCGTCAATGAAATCGGGGCTGTCGGGTGATAGGCATTATCTCCGTTTTAGGTGCTGCAGTCGTATGCAGTCCCGGCAGCTGAAGCTTTCGTGCCGACGCGCGCGTCGTCACACCTGCATGACGGATTTTATTAGATGTGGGAGCACACCTGCACTTAGCTGTACGCACACCTGCCAGCTTGAGACGGAATTCGCATACTTGTGCATCTCCAGTATCGCAAAAACTCTCGGAAATACGTGCAGCATCACGATGATCGGCTTTCAAAAAGCGCTTGAATATTATTACATCTCTCCAGCTGTATAGAAAGGCCTCCACCTAGTATCGATCAAAAACACGCAAACAAACAATCGCGGGACCAGAAAGGCAAAGCTCTCAGGCCATACCAACAGATTGGACAAGCCTTCCCCAAACCCAAAACGCCGAAACAGCCAATGCTGGCCTGAAAGAACCTAATGCTCTCGAAAATAAACTTGCTGCGTATTGCGAACAGAGTTGTGGAACCCAAACGCCAGTACTCCAACTTTTCCGCTGCCAAAGGTCGAGTCGCAATGTTGCAATGAGGCTCACGGTAGAGAACAAAATGTAGGAGATCAACGCGGCAGGCGATTGGCCCAGCCGTGAGTAGAACTGCATGGCATGCCACCAGGTGAAAAGATGGTCTCGAACGAGAAGCACGATGGTCATTGTCGATGATAAAGTGATCAACCAAGAGTGCAAGTGATTCCCGATGTGAGGAACATATCGCTTGGTGGGTGTCATTCCAGAAGCATGATATGAATCGGGATCAAGAGTGTCGTCAATCGTGACGTTGTAGAAGGGAAAAAAAGTGTGTGAAAGCAAAGCAGTCGTATCGTCATCATCAGCGTTGATCGTGAAGGTCGTAAGCAGGGAGCTGGTCGTCATCCAGAGCCGGCGAATCCTGCGCGTAGTCGAACATTTCGGATTTGCCTCCGTCAGGCACAGCGCTGCCGTAACGCGGCAATCGAATCATACGCATTCGATCGTCTTCATCGGCGCCAGCTCTGCTGCCCCATGTGGTCTGTATTGAAAAGGCGGTCAGCGATCACGAACTTGGTCTCCCGGCTCCGACAAGCGCGCTGGCGCGGGGAAGAAGCCGGAGCGGTAAATTCCCTCGTGCGGACTCACCTCGCTCAATGTGAAGAGACCATATAATTTGATCAGGCCATGAAAATATCCGAACGAGATATAAACAGGAATAAAAACAACGTCCACAGGGTATCGCAAGAAATGTCCCCACAGCTTGACGGTCTTACTGAAGACGAAAGTCCACGTGAACAAAAATACCCACAGCTGGACCCGATTTTCGTGCGGCCAGGATGTCGATGCCTGATACCAGGCGCTGAAAACAAACACATCGTATACAAAGGCCCAGGCGGTAATGGTGGTCTGCAGCACAGAGTACGTGCTCCAAGGTTGCGTCCTAAATAGCACACCATTCAGTTAGCATGTTGTTCATGTCCTGTGATCGCTCGGCCGCAATGCAACGTCCATCTCTCCTCGTGCAGCGCTTGCCCCTCCATCGAGGGTCAATGCTCGAGCGAGAAATCTCCGCTTTGGCTTCTCGCTGCCGAATCGCATCCACTTACCACCAGTAATGTCGTTCCACGAACATGCTCGTCAGATTGCTCCGCCAATTGCTTCGCACCCAGCGCAAGCATTGGCTGAGGTATTTTGGGCTGTCTTCCAGTGTTGTCAAAACCTCGGCTTCGCGGTGGTACTGCATGGTAATCTTCCATTTGTGCGAGTACACCCAGCGCGTGATGAAATTATCATCATCGGCGTTGAGCTGGCATGACCGCCAGACTTCATTTGCGAAACCGTGCGTGAAGGCAGGGTCCTGCAGAATGCAGCTCCGATAGGCCACTGTGCGACCAGAAAGACATGGCAGGCCACCGTCGATGTGCAGACAGGCTGAACAGTCGAAATTGCGTCGCTCCAGGTAAGCAGCTCCGAGGAAGCTCCATACATTCTTGAGAATCGTCGGAGATCCCTCAGGCCTTCGCAATCGCTGTGAAGTCCCGACTCCACCCATTCGATCATCCTCGAAAGGTGCCAGGATCCACGGCAACACCTTGGTTGGCCAAATAACATCATCATCAACGAAGATGGTGATGCGTGTGGTCACCTCGGGGATGGCACGGCACATCTGCCTCCGTTTGTTGGCTTTCCCAACACTCAGAATGCGGATCTTCTTGCGAGAGATCTGATTTGCCAGCTGGCTGAGCCTTTCCACGTTCGCGTCTACCGTCACCAGGAGAATCTCGTGAGGATCGGACTGAACGCAGCTGCGTAGCGTCCTCGCCAATTCATCTCCCCCTGTGGCAATGGTTGGCAGAATGATGGTGACATCTTGTGAGGAATATGACGGCTCGTCCGGGATGGGGATCGGTCGAAACGTCCAATGTGAGATACAGTTGACAATCAAACGGATGTAGCGAAATAACCTGTTGATAAGGCGTCAGAACATGCAGGTGTCAAAATCGGCATTGGATGTTCGATAGCATGTCTTGACTAGCGAGAAGGGCAGTTGTCCAATCTCCATATCCGACATTGCGAACGGAGCCGATCTGGCGATCTGAGACTTACCAAGCAAAAATGGCAACATGGAGCCAGGTGATCATATTGCAACGCTGGGAACGAGTGTGACGCCAGAGGGTTCAATAGAGCAGAACTGACAATAGATGGACTCGAATGGTGGGCTCAACGTGAAGCATGCATGAAACCAAATTGAAAACAAAGATCGCTTTCGACAGAGAAGAAACTGTCGCTGAGAGCACTTGCAATCTTTAATCGACATGATGGGCGACGTGGAAAGATATATAGGCATGGAACTTGGCTCGAACGAGAATGAGCACTCATGCATGACATTTTCGAGGGTTTTCCTCGGTTGCGACTTGTCATGCGAGCGCTTAGTGTCCGCTGCACGCCGGGCTTTGTTTTATTAGATTCTTTGTGGTACTGTACGACGGGCAATTCGGTCGGTGGCTAAGTCAGAATGAGGTAGGTAGAGGCAGGGGCGATAGCAATGCCCATGTGGACTTTTCACCACCTGTACTGCACTGCACTGCACTGCACCCTCATGCCTTTTGCTTGCTCGCATGGACCCTCCTCTTGTTGGCTTTCCCGCCCATGATCCATGCTCCACCACCACCATCACCATCACCACCATCTTCTTTCTCCGACGACACCACCACCACCATCACCACCACTAGATACTGCTCTCGTCGTCACTCTCTCACCGGACCTCCATAGTGGAGCGCATAATGGCTTTTTGGATTGCGTGTAACAACAAAAGAGGCCCAGCAAGGCAGCTTCTTAGTCCTCAACGATTGCACAAAGTCTGGTAGCGCATTGCGCCGATTGCGAACCCGCAAGACTACGCCTTCTATCCGCATCTGTACTGTTGTGCAATGACAATAGGCCCTTCATTTCCTCTCCCATCAATGGAAAAAACACAGTGCATTGTCCTTCCCGAGACGATCACTCCTGCTGTGGTACCTGCCTGACGTGGACATGGACGGGACTCAGAAACACATCTCTTTTGTTCGATGGTCTGACCCGGACCAGAATGTGGGAAGCAAAGCTCCATGATCTTTTGTGCCGCATCCACCACCGTCTGCACGTCGTTCAGGACTCCTGTCAAGATAGCTACGTACCAGACCAGGAAACCCAGAACGATCATGATGATCCACATCTGAACAGCTATTGTGGATTCATTATGCCGGTCAGCATATACGAGCATGCCTGATGGTTGCTGGTATAGTTGCCTGATCGGTCGCGATATGGGGTCGCTTTCGGCGCAACGAAGTTGGTGGTCTCTCTCATCAATGTGCATTCGAACCAATCTTGAAAACGAGCACATGGCAAAAGTTGGAACGGACTGCGTGTGTGTGCACGGCCAGACGGAACTGTCCTTTGTCACGAGTGATACCATTCCCAACAACGGTCCGGCCATGTGCGTGCCCAGCGAAACACTCTCCACCACGATAAGCACTAAACCCTAACAACCAAGATCTCTTGCCGTCGGCCGGAGAGTCAGACGACCAAGCTACTGCACTACACTTGCCACAGCAACGTATTCGTATTGATCATGGCCTGCCGATTTCACTGAGTAAGGCCGACGGTTTGTTGGTAGTTCTCGCATCATGAACGCATCTGAGGCGCGCTGAGACGAGCCGGCCTCGACCCTACTCGAATCGGCGACTACGAAATAGATTGCGACGACCAGAACCGCAAAGGACGGCACAAGCAGGATGCAAGGGTGGCACATAGCGCAATCGAACGCACGCAAGGCAACGCCCTGGAGGCTTGGAGTAGCGTGCTCTAGCCTCGACGTGGTTAAGGGTATGTAAAGCATGTATGTAAAGCATATGTGTTAGCAACGCAGGCTATGGATCCCTTCGGTGGATATCGTACAGGAAGATGAACAGAGGTGCATGAAGATATGACAGAGGTAAATTTGTACTTGTCATGGCCACAGACTAATACTGCATTATCGGGTCATCTTTTCGCAATGGACACAGGTTTGGACGAGGGCCAGCTACTGTGCCCGTGTGTGCATCCATCCTACACACGTCCATCCAGCCATCCACGAGAAGGTGATTATCTCTGCGTTCTGGCTGATCGCAAGCGATCTGCTGATGATTGCAAGACGGAGCTAGATTCATCACCGGTGGGTTTTCGTACCATAGATGGACCAATCTGACGCGGGCCAACGGCGGGCGTTTGCTTCTGGTGGGCCTTTTCTGGTCTTCTCTGTCAGCATTCGCTCAAATTGCCCTGGGCCTCACGGTCGGTCGGTTATTAGGTTTGGTAACACCATTCCAACGCCAGAAGATAGTACAGTCATAATATTAATGACGCCGAGTCGCAGACGGTCATTCCACAGCAAATGTGACGAAAGGACGAGGGCTGTGAGATATGGACCAACTGCGTCACCTCCAGCTATGGCGACTACGCACGCGCGCGCTCTCATGGGAGGCTATCTATTCTAGGTGGAACGATCGATCAGTCAATCACGATGCCCCATCCAAAGGACACTTGAAAGCTCGGCGGTAAAATCCGCGCACGCACCAATGTTTTCTGTATGGTAACATTTTTATTATTATTGTTCTTATTATTATTATTGTGATCACATCGTTATTATCCGCATTTGGTATCCTCTTACGCCGGGTAATCATGATCATCGTACAATTCTGTGCAAGCTCGATGATGATAATGATTATTACAAGAGGGCTGCCAAAATGTGCGCGTTGGTCATCGCCCGCCCGCCCGCTTGCACACACATACACAAACATGGGCATACTGTCTTAGAGAAAATACACACATACCTAGTTTAGGCACAGGATACACACATGCTGGTCTCTCGCTCTGTCTTCAGCTCCTATCATCATTCAAACAGTACGGTACAGTACAGTGCAGTACAGTACATAGGTATCTGAGGTGTCTTTCTTTTCCTGCACGTCTTCATCGCACCTGCACAAGTCCTCCTCTTGGCACCGACGGAGACTGCTGCACACCACACATGCATGTACATACCCTCATCGTCAGCCAGCGACGCTCGCTCAACCTCACACACCACCGACGCGCGCCTGCAATTTTTTTTACGCAGTCCTGCTTACTAGGTACTCGCGTATATAATCAATCACGATGATGGTGTTGCTCATCATGCGTGAACCTCAGACACCACATAGTTTTGTCTTCCCTTACCCACGAGAGAGACAACCCTGAAGCAGTCAGTGCAACCGAGGCCATCGGCTCGCATCCACGATACCAATACCATGCTTTCTTAGTGCCATCGAACCACGCTGGCCCGGCCGAGCTTGTTGCGAGTATGTCGCCGACGCCGATGCCGACATTGCCCGTTGCGCCCGCCACTCACTGCTCGTCTGGGTGGAACTGCAGTACATGGCATGTGTGTGCAACCATGGTACGAAGATTGCACGGCACCTGCGTACACGTTGTGGCTGAATGGACCATGTGCGCTGAATGCTGCAGCAATCCATTTGGAAGGAGAAGGCGAGTCTGGAAAGTCGTCGTCGAGCCCGTTCGAGGTGGCCCGATGGAAAGCGCGCAATTCTTGGTGTCTCCTCCGATCCCGCCGTCCTACGCTCACACATTCGGCGGGCATGGAGGGGTGGACGATTGCTTATTCGGCCTAGTGATGTCGGATCAAACTGGGGTAGCTCGACGCCGGACCCACACATTGGACTACTGAATGACGACTTTTAGCGCTTCTCGCCTATCGCGAACGTCTGCACTGACGACGCTGGAAAAGCTTCTATGCCACCCTCTGCAGACATGCATGTGCCTCGCCCATTTCTTTTGCCGTGGTCGTCGTGCTCGCCGAGTCGCGGGCAGGAGCTCTATGTTCGGCGGATTGGCGCCCATTCCTGCTGACGAGACCCGATCTAGCTTGTGCAAGCAATGTGGCACGCGACGGCGATGTGTCAGACATGGCGCGACAGCGACGTCGTCGGACTTTCAGAGGGGAAAAAAACAACCAACGGGTTCCACCCGCACCTCATTGCCCAGGCGCTACAGAGACGGCGAGACCCTGACCGAGCGAAGTTGGTGGAGCCCCGGCCAAAACATGCATGCTGCAACTCGGGCGCGCTCGACAGGCGTTGTGCCAAAGTGTTGAGAGGAGACACGCATCTATTGCGTAAACCGGCGCCATCGTGTTTTCTTTCGCACGCAGCTGGCCACAGATACTCCGATAATGAGTGCTTCTAGGTTTGCACCACGGGCTTTTTGCTTTTGCCGTTTGGCCTCCTTCTACCTTGCTTCGGTTTCGCCTGGTTTTTTTTCCCCGGTCGCGCCTGACGTCGTTTCGCATTGCCCTCTGTACAATCTGCAGCACCGGACTGCGACGGACGCACGCACAACACATAGTCATGACCTAGCTTCGATTCGTCGCCCTCATATCGGCACGAGGCTTGTCATGACAACACATTCCGAGCAACGGAAGTAGAGAGCAGAATCAGGACCATCTCCGCCTGCACTCGCTGCATGGCTTTGAAATTGTTGGGCTCTGCATAGACCAGGTTTAGTCCGTCACACACACGACTTTTCTATACGATATTCCTCCACTCGCGCTACTCGCACTTATTACGGTGATCGCGCTGGTGGACGTGCGTTCTGCTGCATAATTTGCAGAAGCCTCAGCTGCTTAGCGCCGATCGAGCGGAGCAAATGCCAGCACTGAGCATTTCTGCAAATGAAGCCACTGCGAGGATGATGATCATAACCTGCCGAAGGCGGCAGGGGAACTGCTTCCGCGGCTCTTGTGACACTGCGCACTCGAAAGTGCCCGCCTGCAAAGAAAACAACAGTCGTTCTCGACCTCCGTGGCTGCAGTCCCTCTTGTGAGAGAGTAAGCCTCGGATGCCGATCATCCTCCACCGACAGCACTTGATCATCCTTGCAACGATTTGCATCCCTCGGCCGACAAGTTTTGCCCTCGTGCTTCTCTGTCCGCTGATGGCGCGTGCTCCATTTCTTGCATCTCATCCCGGAAGGTACTGACGACGAGGTAGCCACCGCAACGCTGCAGGTACGAATCCCGCTGCTCGTCGGCTTCATCTCCCCAAGCGCAGATCCGCCGGCACGCTCGCACTACAAGCCTGTCCGACCACTGCGCTGCGCTAGTGAATCTTGAGGAGTAAGACGTGGATTATCTCGAGCCGTGGAGATTGTCGTATTCCAGCCATTGCGCCATGGACCCCTCCATGTGCGAGCTCTGACGCCTGGATGATCTCTTGCTACCGTCCTTTCTGACAAGTCAATCGCTTTTCAAGGGTTCACGAATCGCCGTGTCACTATGATGTTTCACAATTATCGCTCAGGCAAGATTACCTCGACCATGTAGGCTGGATCAAGTCAATCTCGGTTGGTATAGCATGAACGGCTGCGATCCGAGTTCACGATGACGCGCGTTTTGAAGTCGTCGACGACAAGGAGGTGGGCACCCAGATTGACAGGAGTGGCATCGTCGTCATGCACGGCGCTGGTGCTTCAATGACATCCGAAAACTTTACATGCATGGGAGCACAATGTTTGAGACCCTGTCCATGATCGATCAATGATCAAAGAATCAATGTTCTTGTGCCCTGTGCACCCTTTGAAAGTCAAACCACCCTGTCCTGGGGCACGAATATAGCGGCATTCTGATCAACATCCATGCTCTCGACAAAAGGTTATCCGCCCTGCATACTGTGTTCGTAAACGCATGTCTAGATTCATGCAAGGTCGGAAACTAGTAGCTGGTCCTCTCTTGCAATGCCCTTGCGTTCACAACAGGTTTCACAGAGCACAACAAGCTCCGAGCAGCGGGTCCTTAAATTTGTGGGTGTTACCTTAGCAGGCGGTTGACAAGGCCTTGTGGAATGTGGTGATGACGGGAGTGACGATGGCATGTCAAACATTGATGGATTGCAACTCCCGCCTTGTGCGAGGTCAAAGAGAAATTGTCCTCTTGCAATCCAATGAAAAGATTTCAACTTCATTCCAAAATCCGCCTCCGTATAACATCTGTGTACCGGAGTGGAAAGATTTGTTCTAAGAAATTCATGGGTCGAGGTGATCCACTTTCCCGTTTCACATCCCCTTTGATCCTTCTCCGAGCACATGTGCGATGACACTAATCCACAATCCCGGCGAGCGAAAATTATCGCGGCATGACGACCCGCGAACTGAGGAAAAGAGATGAGGAGGCCAAGACCTCTTCCAACGCGTCATCATTCCAATGAATGAATCACAAGAGATGAGTTGCCTATTCCGAACAAACCCCTCTTCCCCTTGAGAAATATTTGCAAAAGGAATTTCATGACGTTCGTGTGAACACAACACCTTCTGAGAATGAACATTTTCACGACCATATTCGTCCGAATATGATGTTTTCTCAACGTGGAACAATCACGAGCGTCTCTTGAGCGCAACTTTGGCACCGTTGAGGCTCGTACAGGTGAGCGTGAGCCATTCCTGCCAATCGTTAGGATCCCGGCTTTCGATCTCACTGAACGTCTGCGCCATGCGGACGATGGTATATCCAGCCTCGGTGAGCGCGAATTGCTGTCCGAGACAAATCCGTGCACCTCCATTGAAAGGGAGAAATTCCCAGCCCGTCCGCAAGCCCTTCCTGCCAGTGACGGGATCGTCAAGCCATCGCTCGGGTTTGAACTCCTCTGCATCTTCGCCGTAGAGGTCCTTCCGCCTATGCATGGCGTATACGCTCCCTACACGAGTTTGATGTCAGTGACTTACTTCCATGGGGCTTTGGTTCATCGATCAGGTGAGTGTGACTTACACGCAACGATTGACCCCTTGGGCATGAAAAGAGGAGCAAGGCCATCCGGGCCGCCACCCAGTGGCAGGGTAGTATCCTCCGTCGCTTGACGGCTGTTGAGCGGTACGACCGGATGTACGCGAAGAGATTCGTTCATGAGTGCACGTAGATACTTGAGGTCCCGGAGCTGTTCAAAGGTTGGCTTCTCACCTCCCAGCTGCGCGACATCTGCTTGAAGCCGAGCCCAGACATCAGGACGTTTGGCCAGGACAAACCAGAGATTCGTGAGGAGCGAAGCGGTGGTGTCGCGACCGGCAAGCAAGATGTTGAGAAGCTCGCTGCGGATGCGCACACGATCGGATGTCTGGCTTACGAGTTCATCGATGAAGACGTAGCGTTCGGGATCGGATTGGCCAGATTTCTCCTTCGCTAGGCCCTTGTCCACGAAGTAATCGACAAAGTCGTGGACCAGCTTGGCATCTTGCTGGAATCGCTTGTTCGCTGGGAAGTATTTGGCCCACTTGCCCCATCGTGCACTGTTAGCGATGTACTCCTGGCTGTGGGTGAACGCATCGGTGAAGCCAGCGCCAGTGCCTTTCACCAGCGTTTCGACAGACTCGCCGAACAGGAACTCCGTCGCCGAATCGATGGTGAGGCGGAAAAAGAGCTCCGACAGATCGACGGTTTGTCCGTCAGCCGGGATCGCTGCGATCAAGTGGGAAACGTGTTTCTCATATGTGTCAATGTTTCCGATTTGCGTTCTGGCAAAGTTCGGGCGGAGCATCTCGCGTGAATGCTGCCATGCGGCCCCGTCGGTGGTGAAGATACCCTCTCCCAGAAGCGGGTGGAAGGCAGTCTTCCTGCGCTCTCCGAGGCTCCACTTCTTGAAATCGATTGCTTGGATGGTCTTCAGGTTCTCAGGCTCGATGGTTTGGTGAAGGTGTCGGCCGAGGACAACCAGCTGGAAGGTTCTGAATTTGGTCTCTTGGAAACGTCGATTCGTTTTCTCGAGCAAAGTGTGATTCTTGAGGTGTCCCATGTTCTTGAAGAATAGATCAAGGCCATAGATGCGATCCCATGATGGGACCCAAGGCGCTGGCAGACAGCCCTTCTCTCTCATGAAAGCCTGCCGTTTCCTCCATTGCACAAATGCAGTCAGTACTTTAAAAGCAGCATAAACGGCCACGAGAGCCAAAACCAACTCCACAACTTTTGGGACACGGTGTGATGATTGCAGCAACGCCATGGTCAGAATCACCTAGCAGGACTGCTGGTTCCGTGCAATGTTCGCTCTGCGAGTTCGTCAGGTATATGATCCGAACTAAGCGCTCAATGACTACAGGATTGATGTGAGAGAAAGGAGTGATCCCTTAAGTAGGACTAATCATTCGGCTGCCTGATCTATATGCAACACACAGCATCCATATGCGACAACATCGAACGTCGGAGATCGGGGCATCAATTCTTCCGTGGCTCCGACGCGGCATGATCACGCCGACAGTTCGGCAACGACTCGTTAGGGTTGTCGACGCTCGTCTCGGCATTCATGTAATGTAAAGGTGTATGGTGTATGTAAAGGTATCCAGGGCTCTTGGGAGGTGCACCAAAAGAGTAGTCAATGTTCTGATTTGATGACCTACTGTATACTCTCGCGCCCTGTCCTTTCGCAGTTCGCTAGCGATATGATGATGCGATCAGCCACACTCTCACGCATGAAGTTTTACTTGCGCCCACATCCTTGGTTCAGCGAGACTTTCCAACATTCTTGGGCGACAGGAACGTCGGTCATGCTCGTAGACCACGCATGGAGAAGGTACCCGCATGATTAATGTCGATTTTGGGCATCGAAAGCACATGCATTGCTTCCAATGCTAGTGAGCTGAGGAGTTGATCTCACTGCGGTCTTTCATCATGGTACTGTACGAACCAAACCTATGGCCCAAACATCTACCACGTGCTCCCTTGATTTACAGTGGAGACAGCGAAAAGTGTCGGAGAAAGAGTAATATTCGCCGTGCTGATTTTCTGCATACACGTGAAGTTAGACTGGTCATACGATCAGGTTTTGCAGTTCGATGCTGCGCCTCCTCCACCACCACCAGCTCGAACTTGGTGCGACAGCGCATCAAAGAGGAACATATTTTCGCCCTATGACTCAAATCAACTGATAAAGGATGGAGTGGTCTATCGTGTTGATCAGAGAATGCCTGCATGAGAAGCTTTTTTCCAAGAGAATTGTGCGGTTACACTGATATGGAATTTTCGGCTTCAGTTGGGCGTCGTTTGTCTATACGAGCGACCGAAGGGCTGTCACCCGGGGCAATAGCTGGTGTTGTCATAGGCAGTGTCTTTGCCTCTCTGTTGATTCTTGGCATCGCATACACTCTTCTTGTATGTCTTGACAGTCAACCTATCTATCTAAGGCCACCCCGCTCCAAGTTGAGCGCTCAAGACCGCCTCGAGCCAGAGCGTGCGCAGGATCAAGCGCAGGAGCGAGGGAGGGCGCGAGCACGAGACGAAACCACCCAGCAAGAGCGAAGGAAATCGCTCGGCGACTAGAAGCCGAAGCAAAACAGCATGTATGGTGTTCCAGATATGAGCAGAATGGACGTCTGAAATATCTAGCGTTAATCGCCGTGGAAGCCAAGTATGAGCTCTGGGAGATGCCCGACCGACACGGGTGTTTCTCTCACAAGATCACCTGGCCATGGTCAATCGATCAGGAAAGAAGTGCGCCACCCCTGTCAACAAAAGACGATTCCTCGAGACAGAATCTCAAGTTCATAAATATTGGACGAACAAACAAGACATCTGAAGGGGTTGCGCGACGATACCAAGAGATTACGTCTTCCCTCGGGAACGACGGCCTTAGCTGGAGCGAGTGTCATGAGTTCCTGCGGCAATTCACAAGTGACATCATAAATTCATGGGGAGACTCAGAGTTTCGCGAAGATCTCGAGGCCCAAAATCTCGAGACTGGTGCCGAGGCGCCGACGTGGGACGTCATCATTGCCAACCGGAAACTTTGCGAACGGATCAAAGCTGAGCGGATCGAAGCCGAACGGATCGAAGCCGAGCGAATTGAATCTAAGCGGATCGAAGCCGAGCGCCTCGAACGGAGAGTCCACGAGCGTAGCAAGAGCTATTCCGCTCCCAGGCTCGATGCTGGGCCTACCTATGGCTATAGCGACGTAGGCGATCATTACTTCGGGGGCAGGTTTGACTCTGGCGGAAAAGGTGGTGATAGCGGAGGAGGTCGTGATAGTGGAGGAGGTCGTGATAGCGGAGGAGGTCGTGATAGTGGAGGAGATCGTGATAGCGGAGGAGGTGGTGATAGCGGAGGAGGGTGGTGATTAACTATGGTGGTGATTAACTATGGTGGTGATGATACGGGCGGCCATGTCTCCAGCTATTGTTCGTTGTTCCGCAGACCTGGGACTGTCATTGGCGAACAGCGCGGAATCTCGCAATCGTGGAGACGATGGCGCTCCGCCCTCTCGTCTTCTATCCACATCATTCAGCGCATACACCGGTGCTGTCAGCGCTCCAAGTGTTAATGAAGAATCTGCAAAAGGCGTGGAAGAAGAATTTCAATACCTGATCATATAGCGACTCTTGTGCGACACATGAACGTGACCCACCCCGTGCTGTAGAGAGCCTGAATGTCGGAGCGTTACTCCTACTTTCATTCTGGTTGTTCTGGTCGGCCATATATCGACGTCGTAAGTTCTTCAAAGACCAGGGATTCCTGTGTAGTTCATTACGCTATGTTTGACTAGTTACCTGCGCAACGTCTTCGCAGTCCTGGTGTGCAGAAAAGGCCATGAGCTGGTTCCTTCGCATCACGTGGAAAAGTGTCCCAGACATACGGCATTTGATCAAAACATCCATGAATATGTATTTGACGACCTCGCTTAAGTTCACGGATCATCATCTCCAAGCAAGTTCGCAGATCGTAGCATCTGGTTTCGGAATTGATCGCCATTCGTGATCAGAGGATCATGGTTTGCTGTCGACTGCTCCGCCACGCCCAGAGACTTGGCACAATTGCGCAGCGAAAGGAAGGTACTCTGCGTCAGGTTACGTGACTGATATCCATGCACCAGTCGTCAAGAACGCAGACATATATCCGCGTCTGAACATCAATTGTTCAAATTCTGCCACCATGTGGAGATAAGCTGTGCCTTTGTGTGCCGAGATGGAGGCTCCTCCAGGCTCACCCTTCGGACGACGATTGTCGAAACGGGAGTCTACTCGACTGAACGCGGGAGTTATAGCTGTCATTATTATAGCAGGCATCATCGTCGGCTGCATTGCCCTCTCCATGCTTCTGAGTTGCCGACACAGAGTTTATGAGAAGATGAAGAAGTTCCGAAAAACCTCCCCGTGGGAGAAAAGAAAGCGGAAGAAACTCGAGGCTGAACGTATTCGTCAGCGAGATCTGCAAAGGGAGCGATTGGTCGCCGAGGCGCAGCAAGTGGCATTACGAGAGCGAGACACCAAATCGGAATCCACAGTATGGTTTTCTCGCCTCGTGCACGACGGATGGCCGAGACATCTAGCGCTCGTCACGGCTGGGGCCAAGTATGAGTTGTGGAAGATTTCTGATGACAAGCAAGGGAAGTACGCCTACAAGATGACGCAACCGTGGTCCATCGGCCTCGAAGAATTCGATGCCTCCAACTCTCAATCCTCAATCAATAAGCCCTCGGTGGACGGATATCACATGGCGCACATCGGCTCGACATTCATGACTCCCGCGCAAATCGACCAGGCATGCGAAGCGATCGTCTCCGGATTCGAGACGAGCGAATTCGGCTGGAAGAACTGCCAAGAATTTCTAAAGCAGTTCATGAACCGGGTACTGGTGACCGCCAAGACTAAGGACACGGCCTGGATCATCGAGTACACCAAGGTCGAGCAATTTGAAACCGACGTGGCTTTTATCCTGCCGCCGGACGATTTCATCGCGGCTGTTGTTGCGCGCCGGGCAGATGAACAGCGCAAAGTCGCTGCTGCGGCTTCGACGAGCAAGACCTCTTATATTTCCGGATCGACGAGCGGTGCGAGCGGCTCATTCGGACATGGATATAGCGGGTTCAGCCACATTTCGACGAGTAGTGCGAGCCATGGATTTGGCGACAGTGGCATGAGCAGTTCGGACTTTGGCGGAGGTGGATGTTCGAGCAGTAGTTGGTGATTCTTAGCATTACTCCAGGCTTTTGTGAGAGAACGATATCGCGAAATTCTTTTGCGCCGCGACCCACAAGTGATTTGATGAGTCTTGTCGTTCTCCCAACCTCGTCAAGATCCTTCCTGTCAAGATCTCAGTGGCTGCGTGCGCCACTGTCACGAAAGTCGTTGGCGACGTGAATAGGTAGCAAGACGGTCCGTTCCGTATTCATCAATCCCGATGCAACGCATGCAAAAAGGGAGGATGCCCAGGTGTCGCACGTTCGTATGTTCACACCAGATGAAGGTTTGGCAGCCTTCGGGATCACAGTGGAGGAGATAAATACTATGACTTCATGTCCGAAAAACTATTTCTCCGCGTGACGGAGCGTTGTGATCACTTTGCAGAGTGGCATGGCCAATCTCTCACCCAAATACTAGCCGTTGGAGCTACATTCGGATGCGAGCGATATATCAGCGACTAATCAAATCAGACGCGTGCACGCCCGTCTTTGAACGAAGCCAAACCCCTTATCATACACATGAGCCGCGCTTTCACATGTCGCTCACAATGAGCATCGTCTGGAGTTCGAGCGAGCGATATCGTCAAGGTAGCTCATGGTGCCGATTTCGTTGTGATGCAGAGAATGGGATACGCTCACGCCGGCATGGCAAAGCAGTAGGTTTGCCGTGGTGTTCGACTCTCAAAAATCTTCTGATGGCGTAGCCGGCTGCTAAGGGATAGCATATTGCATCGACTAATTTCATCTGCTCGTTCTCCTGGCCGGCATCTGTCGCCGATGCCATCGATGGGCTTGCCAGCGATGGCCAGACCACTCAATTTATCTCGGCGAGTGCCGACAAAGACTGCCAGCGACTTGATGCGCCGACTTATCGTCCTCATTGAACAAGCATCACATGCCTCAGCCCACAACAGCCATGTTATGCCGACCCATCAGATGTCGTGACGATCCGATCGACGTGATACTGAACATGGTCGCCAGTTCGCCGATAGCTGCGTGTCGCCATGTCGGCAACGAATTGTGACCGGTGGTGACGCTGATGTGTGATGGATTGTACCTGCACGCATCGGGCGGCGAACACGACCTCTAGCTATTCCGACCATCGCTGACATGTTGTACTTTACGATATTCCTCTTCAAGTTGACGCTGCATCTCGAAGTCTAGTTGTCGCTCTCGTTTGATGCGCTGTTGTTCCATATCGCGAATGACGCCCTCATGCATAGCCTGGACGATGTCAGTGGTTGTGATCACCGAGACCCGTTCGTCAACCCACCGCTTGATCAGACTTCTGTTGCCGGTGCACGAAAAATACAATGCCGACAGTAGCCAGCGCTGTTGATGCAAGCGTGAGTTTTGCAGCGGTAGACATGTTGGCGGTAAATAATGCCCAGATTGATGATAATGCCAGAAGTCGGGAGTCAATGGATACTTGCTCCGGGCTCCCAGCTTGAACGCGGCTCAATTATTTTTGGCGCGCAAATGCCAGACGGTCGAACGTCACGCACGGGCCACGGGAGCTTTGAGCTGCGGACTTGCGTCAACGTCAACGCATTGTGAGAGTTAGATGTTCCTGGTACAATAAAGTGCACTACACAAAATTGAACAAGACAACAACATGGTACGTTTACTCAGGCAGTATGTACGAATATTGAACTAATCTCCTTATAGGCTGCCCAAAACTCAGCCGGTATTCAGACGCTGCTTGACGTACGACCACCCAAATGACCGACCTGAATACCCGCAGGTGATTGACTAGGAAGACAGGCGGAGCGAGATGCGCAGAAGATTGTGCAGAAAGGTGCGGAAGCTGTTTACAGGATATGGAGATGCGATGGAGTAGCTAACATTATTCAGCCCGAGAGTGTATGTCAGCAGACTACCAGACACCCTCCCCGAGCGACTACTGACCATACTCAGACCGGACCAAACGGGTAAAGGACGCTCGTACCGAAGCACAAAAAGAGATCGAGGAATACCGGGAAAAGAAGGAGAAGGAATTCAAGGAATACGAATCAAAGGTATGCTGGAGCCGTCGATGTCACCAATTAAGTGAGGTGCAAAACTTACTTCGATGATAGCACACTTCAGGCAACAAGAAGGCGGAGGAAGACGCCGACAAGGACACAGAGAAGAAGCTGGAAGAAATCAAGCAGATTGGTAGCAAGACTGGCCCAAAGGTGGTCGAGCAACTATTGAAGGCGGTCATGGACGTGCAACCACGAGTACCCGACCGAGTCTCACAGCCTGTTGCATAATCGGTTCGTCAAGAGGGAAAAACTCTCCCTTTGCGCGAATGATGGAGCTCTTTGGCGCTTACCGCAAGATATCGTACATCGATAGTGGCGAGTTTGTGAGCTGATCTAGAGCCGCGTTTAATGCATTGCACGAGTTTATGCAGAAGCCTACGAATACATTCATCACTGCCATTATCCCAGCCGTTTCTCATCAAAGACCTTCTTTAGCTAGCATGTCTTCGAAGTTTTCGTTAGGAAAGGAGAGAACTGAGGACCGAGAAATTCGAGACGTACCTGCGATGCTAAGATAAAATGCGATTGCGTTGAAACTAAATCTCGTAAGCATGTAACTTTCCAATACTCGCGATCTGTCTTACTTTCGCTTGCGGCCAGTAATTCTCCAGATAAACCACCGCAGTCGATTTGTCCAGTTGATCAAATCTAGATGGCTGACGTGGTTCAAGGTTCCCTTGTACGTCCCCCAGCGGCTGCTGTCCACACTCACTAGACCATCGTTGGGACCTTCGAACCTCTGTATGATGCCGTGCGAGTTCCGGAATATCGAGGTGATTCGAGGTCGCACGCTTGCACCGTAACTGTAATACTTGACGCTTTCTAAATCGGGTGTGCGCGGATTGAACGACTTCGCCATATATTCTTGTGTCAATTGCTGGAAAGCTCCCGTCTCGAACCCAAAGTACTCGAGCGCTTTGTAAAGTTTGGGAACATTAAGGGGCCCGATGCGGTTGAAAATGTGGTCTGCGTAGGACGAGCCGCGATGAGGTGTCGCAACCGTGGTCAACGACAGCACCCGGACGTTTGGGGGCTTGAGACGTGAGATCATGTACCGAGAGTCAAGCCCGCTGTGTTGATGTGCACGTTAGCCTAACGCCGGCGACAATGTTCTTACATCGAACGTACCCCTACAGAAAGGTTAGCTTCAGCATGGCATTCGTCTCGGTGTATCAACGAACCATGCTATGCCTATACAAAGATCAGCAAATGAACCGGCGCAAAGATGTTTGACGAGGCGGCTTACGCTATCACATTGACAGCTTTGCCATTCGCTTTGGTCTCAATGACCTCGGCGAGTCTAGCTGCTCTTTGTTCAATACTCCCGGATGGCGGAACCGATGCAGTGATGACTTCTACACCCTTTGCCGTTAAGGCTTGGGTTATGCCATACCAGTACTCGATTCCGGGAAGGATCTTGCCAGCCAGGCGGAGCTCATCGAATCCGAGTAAGCCATGGGCCAGAATTATGGGATTCTTGGGTACATCATACTTCGGCCGCAAAGCAGCGAAATCATCTTCGATCAGATGTTCGATCTCATCCAACCGTGGATCTTGCAGCTTCTCTCTTGCCGCACAGGCGATGTGAAACCCGACATTTTTTGCAAACACGTGTGCGGGATTAGCCTTGAACGTGAGTGGTCGGACGTACGCTGTTCGAAACAGCGCGCGCATCCTCGATCACAGTATGTCAGTAGGAGGATGTACTGGAAGCATTCAGGCTACATGAATTTCAGCATGCCTTGCGTCATCTTGTTGTCGCAACGATATCAAGTTCTCTTGTCCGAGCTAGGGCGGATTTCCTTGCGACGGTCGATCCCGCAACGGCAGAGATGCACCCGTGGACTGTATGAACCACCTGGGCACTGCCATGAACCAATAGCCCAAGCCGAATTGAATATCTTTCAATGTGCCAGTGTGTCTGGGAAATCTGGCGATCTATTAGGGTCTCAACATGAATAGACATCATCGCTGATAGCAAGATGGGAGACCCGTCCATCGAAATCAGAGCATGCCCTCATCCTCGCTCGGCACCTCTCGCGTCACGTAATTCTATAGTCCCAGAAGATTTCTACGAATACGATAAGATGCATTGCAGGTTATTTGCGAAAGAAAATAGACGGGCTCTTGTTACTGCGATTTTTCAGATTGAGGGTCTTACCACTGCTGTGCCGTGAATATACGAGACCACAGACTGTCGCATGATTGTAGACCACACCCGGACAACGGACCTGCTATCGCTGCGAAGTCTTAGAAGGGAAAGTGGGCACGCGATCATCGATCAGGCGGTGACTCGGCCCAGCTCCGGGAGGAGAGAGGATCACGTCAACCCTGGAGCCGCACCATCTCTAGTGAGAGGACACGCCATTTCGTCGAGGTCGAAATATGACAGGATCATCACGACCATCCATGGTACGGGTGTGGACGGGCCGATCATCGTGTTTGCTTCGTGTGTGGGGCGTGACGCCTATGAGAGGGTTCGAATTGCTTGGGAGCATCTGTATAATGATTCCAACAGCATCGGGAATAAGGCATTCCGTGCTTCGAACTGATGAGGACAGCGGTCGACTGGAGAGTTTGAGAGAGATCGTCGTGATGCAGCGACCAGTGATGATCGATGCTGCAATCCACACGCGAAAACGATTCGGGTAACACGTGCGGAGATCCGTTGTCGACGGGCTGGTGATCTGCACGAGAGAAATTGATAGTGTGGCCGCCGCCGCTGTGAACGGATGCACAACGTACGATAGCACGTGAATAGCCCGAACAGATTATTGTGCACATCGGAAACAGCGTGCCGTGTCTATCTGCTACTGTCCTTCACAAGGTATGCTCCATCGTCGGCATGTCTTCGGAAGATTCAGCGAGCCCTCTGTGCGTGCAGTGGGATCGACATTTGTTTTATGTCGAGGTTGTTCCAGTGGTCATCGCGAAGGGATAATTGCCACCAAGCCCACCTCTGTTGTTCCATCGTGTAGGCCCGGGGTGTACGAGAGAAATTGCAAGAAAGGGTGGGCGAGGAGGGTTTTCTTTGTTGATCGTGATGTGAGCCGCATTACGTCTGAGTAGATCTGCCTCGCAAGATGGTGATATGCCTGAGCACAAAGCCGTTTCTCAACCCGCGGTCATGCTTTACCTGTGTGGGCATGGTCGACCGGTAGCACCGACTGTGTAGATTCCTGGCCTTAGGTGCTGTTCTAGGGCTGTGGTCAGTCACCACGACCAGCCAGTATATCGTCGGCCCCGGGGGTGATGTAATTGGTAAGATTCATGAATCATGATTGCGGCACGCACTGGTGTGTGGTGCAGCTGTGGGACACTGTGGGAGGGAGAGATTCGATGGACTCTTGACTGTTGGCGCTTATTACACAGTCCCGCGACCTTGCATCAACCTCGACCAGATCAGCGCTTGTCAAGGACACTCCTCTGCTTGGTGTTCCGACCATTCATACCTTCCACCTAGACATCTTCCTTGATGAGGAGGAAGAAAGGTGACAGACAGTGGTGAGCACACTGTTTGTACTGTTTTCACAGATTCCGTCGACGTCAGCCAGTCGTTGGTCCGTACATTACCTACCCGCTCAGAGGGACGTGACCATTCTTCTGTCCGTTATCGTCTGCATGGGGGAAGCTTCCGACCGTTGTGTGGTTGGTTCTTACGTCGAATTGCGCCTGGCCCTTGGTTGAGGAGCAGCGCTTGACGATCTAGCTGGTGCCCACTCACGCCACTTCACTGTGCTCGCCCACCCTCTTTGACCTCCACCGCGCGGGTACAGTACAGTGAGTACACAGGGCTCTCACAAAACTTTCGCCCGTCTTAATGAAGCATGGCAACGGCCGACCTCCAGGGCTAGCTGGGTGCATTTCGGCTCCATGACGGTACCGACATGTAGTGCGGGCAGGCTCGAAGGGCATGCATGAACCCATCCTGGTGTAGTCTGGCGCCCCTTGCTTCTCGAATAATGATAACATGTTCCACCATCGCTCGTCACTACGGGTATACATATGCTGTCTGCGTGTTCCGTCTCTGAATTCGATACAGTCGTTGCATTGCAACTGCATCAGGATCGTGTCGCCGCGGCTCCATCGTGATCAAGATCCACGATCAGAGTGCGCCACGATACTTCCACCTCTGCTGCTGTGAGCGCCACAATTGAGACAGACTGTCTCACCGCCTCGTGGGAACGCATACATCCACCAGAGAACGAATCGCTTGCTGTCCTTGCCAGAGCATAGCCCTATCAGAGTATGGCGCATCAAGTCACATCCAATTGCACACCCTCCATCCAAGAGCCAGCACCGCGAGTCGCCTCAAATCAACCGTTCTCTCCTGCTCCGTCTGACCATAACTCGTCCGCCAGCGAGGAAGAATTTGCACAGAATCAAACACTTTCAAGGCCAAAATTACAAAGCAGAAAGAGCAGTGGAAGCATGATTGTCACACGCAATTCTCCCACGGTGATCTCCGATCAGGAATACGACGAGGATGATGTGCGGAGCATGTCGCCGCGCAGAAACAGCACCGAGGTGGATCGACTCAGTGAGGCCGCCCGCCAGGACTTGCGCGACCAAGCTAGAGTTTTACAGATGAGCCTACAGGACATCGTGGACAAGATAGAAAGAGTCAAAACAGAGCAGGAAAAGCTCGAGGCGGGAAACAAATTTCTCCAATCGTATGCTTGCTACTAGGCTGTGCAGCAGTCGTTGGATAGATTTTCGACTGCGGAATGCTAATGCGTGCATACAGATACATCGGTGAGCTCATGCAGACCTCCAAGATCACTGCCGCGCCATCAAGAACGAAGGGCAAAGGCCGGAGTGGAAAGTGATGATATTCGCCGCAATGACATGATTTGTATCAATACGATGGGAGTTTGACGGCGTTCGCTTTTTTCGATACCATCTAAAGCAAGGACACGCTTCGGGTTTGTTGCACACTGGGAGTTCACGGCGGACAGGCACCGGCGTATCACGGACATGAACACCGTTCATGCAAGGCGGATCAACCATCTTTTTGAGGTAGCTTCTTGCTCATGCATGCCTTTTGGCCGAGAATTCACTCGGCTTTTACCAGGCTTATGTCCTCCACAGAGCGGCGAGGACATTGTTGTTTGCACTCAGAATTCAAGCCAGCTATATTTACGAAGTGCTTGGCGCAGCTCGACTGTGTTGGGTGAAACGCGTCCGTGGTGAGCATACTGCATCGCTAGGTATGATCATACCTGAAACATTACGAGGAGCCGCCATTAATGGAGCACGCGATGGCAAGCATGATTGCTGCTGGTTCATTTTTGCATCGTTCAACATAACTGGATCCTAGACCACGCCCAGAACGCACCTACCGTTCCAATTCGTTAAGAATCTTGACGAACAAGGAAGGAAACCACCGGGCGTGCAATCGCACGATCGAAGACGACAATCGGCAGCTCTGAGTGTATTGATTGCCATGACACACCGAAACGTCGGTATCATGAGCGGCCCCAAACTTCCGATAGGTTCACCTGTAGTCTGACGCTGTCTGCGATATGGCGACTGATTACTAACGAAACATACCACGTTCTCAGCAGTCCATTCTGGACTTCCCATCATAATCTAATGATTTCGAAAAACTAAATGTGACTCCGATCATTTGTGAGAGCCAATGCAGGTCCAACGATCGTCCTTTGATAGTGCGGAGCACAGAAGAGCTTTATTTACAATTACGACTGAGGTTACGAGCACCTTCATGTCTGTCGAAAACCAGTGCAGAGGCGGCGTGCAGTGACAATCGTGATATTCCACTCCTGAATCCCTTTCCAGGAAACCCGAATTTGGAGGTGTATATGTGTAACACATCAGCATGCGCAGGGGTGTCATAAATTGGTGGAGATCACGTGCTCGTGGGAGTCGCGTTATGACAAGCGTCACTTGCGAAGATCGCCGCGCCCGGGTTACGACTCCAGAAATTCTGTTGCTAGTCCGCGATTGCTTGCTACCATAATATTCCGCGTGGACGCATCTCCCACTTCCATGACGGTGTTTCTCGCATTCAACAACGAATGGCATCCTGACTGCCCTCACGAATAACACGTCCTAACGGAGTGCTGACTAGACTTCGCCTGCAATCCCGTCTCCGCGACCTGCAAATCTGAACAGGACAGCGACCTATCGTTCATCACCATCATCAAGCGATCGCTGGCGCTCGCTTCACGATGTTCGGAAACAAGCGGGCAGGTGGCTTCGGCGGCGATGAGGAAAGATATGGTGGTGAAGGTGTGAAAGAGCAGGATGGTGAGAAGCCACAGCATGCCACAGCCGCGCAAATGGCGAAGAGAAAGTAGGTCGAATCTTTCCATCGCGCGATATCACGGACGCTTCGCTCGGGGGATGCACAACGCCGCGCAACACGCGCGCATCCGGCGAAAAGACGGCGAGCACGGTGCAAACTCCAAGGGAGCTGGAGCTTCAAATTGACGGCCTGCCTATTTACCTCTCGCCCTGTCTGAAGCGCCTTTTGCTCCATGCATGGAGTGCAGCATGCAGCTTCTCAGACTTCTCATGTTTGCTGGGCTTCGCAGCAATCTCTGCCCCGATGAGTTCGCGCGGATGTGTCTCAGGAGCTCGTCCCATTGCTACATGCAAGCAATGACGCGATCAATCGATGTCGACACACATCAGACTGTTTTGTAGCTGTGAATGAAGCTGACCATGTACCTCTCTAGGATTGCCTCAGTCAAACCTCGGAGGACGCGTAGCGAGTCGCCTGCGGTATTTGGAAACAACGCGAGCAGTTTCAGTCAATCGTCTATGACACCTCCACCGGCGAGCTTCACATTTGGCGAAACCAACACAACGAACGTTTTCAATCAAAATGCCCAAAAGCAGAGTAATGGTCCACAAGAGAATGGGACAAATATGTTCGGCCAGAATAACACATCGTTCAGCTCTACATTTGGTGCCGGTGGTCAACAGAATGGATTCACACCTCCCACATCGACAGTTTTCAATTTTGCATCGACTCAAAACGGCCCGAGCTTCGGTGCTGCTCAGAATGCACCATCACCGGCTCCAGCGAGCGTCAATCCCTTTTCCAGCTTTGGAAACAATAATGCCACAGTGTCTACAGGATTTCCTGCGCAGCCAGCGGCACCGAGTAATCCATTTTCTGGCTTTGGGTTCCAATCATCATCCACGCAAAACGATAAGCAGGGCGAGAAACCTAGCAATGGTCTCACGTTCGGAGCCTCGAACACATTTGGCCAGTCAGGGTCGCAACCGTCCACTACAAACATGTTCGGTTCCATCGAACAAAATGCGCAGTCGACGACTCAGACACCAGCATCGAACAGCAACGCAAGCGCATTTGGTGGGGCTTCTTCGTTCTCGCAGGCATCTAATGGAAACATGTTCGGTGGCATCAATAAGACGTCACAGTCGGACAGCGAAACGCCCAAGGCCTTTGGTTCGACCTCGAGTATCTTTGGTAGTAACAGCACTGCAGCTTCGAATCTACCCAAGACCAACTTGTTCGCTCAGGCCGATCAAGCGATGGCGTCGCAAGCCACACCGTCTGCTTCACAGAATGCTCTTTCGACTTTCGGCCAGGCGAAAGAATCTTCTAAACCAGCAACGAATGGGTCGAATGGGATGTTTGGTGCCAAAGCAGCAGAATCCACGCCTTCTTTTGGAGGAAACATGTTCAGTAGCGCTCAGACGACCAAGATACCTACCAATGATTCCAACGCGAACGATGGTCTGACGCCCTCGCAGCCAAAGACAAGCAACATTTTCGGAGGAAGTGTCGCAGACAATTCACAGACAGCTTCGACTGCGTCCCTTTTCGCACCTAAACCTGCTGGATTTACATCGTTTGGCCAGTCCGCCATTGCGCCAACAAAGACTGCTACAAATACGAATGGGCAGAATGGGCAGACTCCATTTGGCGGCGCGCAAGGATTTAACTCGACCCCAAAATCAGCCGCAAGCACACCTTTCACGTCCGCCACACCGTCCTTGTTCGCACAGAAGCCAAGCGGAGAGGCGACAGCTGTTGCAGAGGCACCAAAGTCTCTGTTCGATCGGATTGACCCGGAAAAGACTCGGGCATTGAAGGATTCGCAAGCGAAAACTTCGGCTGAAGCGAGCAAAACCAGCTTGACCTCTGGATGGGCGGCGTCGAGTAATGGTCAGAGCTCGCTTTTCAAACCTGCAACAACACCCTCATTCAGCCTTGGAGCAAGTGCTGCATCACCGGCAGCTCAAAATACAACAACACCACGTCAAAATGCCACAAGCAGCACACTGTTCAATGCTACTGGAACATCGAACAAAGCCGACTCCAGCACATCACTTCTCGGTGGGACAAACAAGTCTGCTGAGCAACCCAAATCTGCGGCAGCAAAAGCGTCCGACTCTACTCCTCAGGAGACAGCATTCCGCAGTCTCAACCAAGGCTTTCTCATGAAACTACAAACCCTTGATCGCAGCAGCGATTGGACGTCGTTCATGGACCATTATACATCCTACGCAGCGAGTATACGGAAAAATATAAATGCAACAGCTCAAACTCCAAGAGCCGGGGCAGGCAAGGCTGACCTCTTCAGCAAAGCATCAAGCACAGTCCCGCCAGCAAGAAAGCGACCAGCCGATGCCGGCGGACCTGCTGCTAACCCAGCTCCATCCGCCACGGACAAGCGAAGCAGAACTGGTGAGACGGCGTATCCAAAGCTGCCCGAGAATTCGAGTAGCACCTCACGGTTGTTTGCAGCTGCACTCGAGAAGCCGAAGACGCCTGCATCATCTCAGTCTAACTCTGCGAAGCCGACCTTTGCTGGATTTCAGTCGACTTCCTCCAATGCAGCCGTCGCAACGCCAAGCACGGCTCAAAAGAACGGTGGATTTGCTCCCTCATTTTCTACCCCGGCTGCCGACAACAGCACATCAACTGCTGCTCCAAAGTTTGGTGGATTCACTCCGAATGCCGCTAGTAAGGCAAATTCGACCACCCCGGCGACGGCACAGAAGACAGGTGGCTTTGTGCCGAATTTTGGCGCCACTGGTGCCGCACCGGGGAACTTCATGGCCGCGTTTGGCAAAAGCGCGGAGCAGGCAGAAAAGGAGGCGAAGGAGAAACGAAAGGCTGAAGATTACGATAGCGAGGAAGAAACTTTGGAAGACTGGGAGAAGCGGGACGCAGCTGAGCAAGCAGCAAAGAAAGCCGCCTTGGCCAAGTCCGCACAGACTGCCAAATCGTTCACAATCGCTCCTACTACGACAAGCAAGACGACTGAAGCGCCGAAATTTAGCTTTGCATCGTCGACACCTACTCAAAAGACTACTACGTCTGAAGCACCCGCGACCAGCAACACGAAGTCAGCGGGCAACATCTTCGGCTTTCTTTCCGAGCCAAAGCAGAATGACGCGTCCACTACACCCAAGACGGGTGGTCTCTTCGGAGCGTCTTCTTCGACATCTCTCTTTTCTACTAACCCTGGAGCGGCCGATGCTACGACTCCGGCGCGGAAATTTGCCTTTGGCCAATCAACATCAGGAGCAAACACGCCCGTCACCGCCGCACCGACCCCGAGCACCAACACAAAAGCGGAAGATAACAACAGCGACGGCGATGCTGAAGAGGAAGCACATGAGCCGCCCGCCGATCTATCAGCTCTTTTGCCTGAGGAGAAGGAGAATCAGGATGTGCTTTTCGAGTTGCCACAAGAGCGCAAATGCCGTACTTATGCTGTGGAGACGAACAAGGAGGGCAAGAAGGCGCCGGTATCGAAGGGTATTGGAAAACCGTACCTTCTGAAGAGCAAGATCACCGGCCGGTCGAGGATCCTTTTCAAGATCGACACCGGCAAAGCTGTGATGAACTACGACGTCGTCAAGGGCGGAAAGTATGGCGTCACGAAGAAGACCGTCCACGGACCGTTCCTCGATCATATTCATTCCAAGGAGCCAAAGCTGACGCAGTTCCAGCTGGCATTTTCCAGCGAAGAATACGCCAATCAGCTGTTGAAGATGTTGGAGGAGTCCGCATGATTGAAATCTGCTGCCCCTTTACCTCTACCTTTTTCTTCTCTCTTCTTCTACAGATCATCCCTTTTTGCATGCAAATAAAGTAAATGTATCACATAGTACAAGAGCGCTCTTGTTATTGCATCTCACCATGTAGCATTATTTCCCTAATTTGCATGGTGGCGGCCATGGCTGTGGCTCGCGAATTCTTTTCCCTCAGAGGTGCGGCTCCACATCAAAATTGTGCTCGTGTTGATGAATCGAGTTTACCGCCAAGGTCTTCCTGGCCATTGATCCGAACCTGGGAAGTTTTCGGACGCAATTACAATGTTGCGTACGTCTTTCACAAGTCAGACACGATGGACATGCATGGACTTTGGCTGATCTTCGGCTGGTATACTGTATATAGTAGGCTGAAGTCAAACAACCGGATTCAGCCTAAAGAATAGCGATACGAGACGGTCAGCCCACCTTCCACGAGTATTGCGCTCAACGTCCATCGACCAATGTTTTAGCCTCCATTGCGAGGCCCGACAGGTCGATTCATCTGTATTTAATCGGGATATCTGCGCGGAATTTACCGATTGTGCACTGCACGTTCGAGGGGCTAGATGAAGGTGTACACGCCCGCATGACGTCCACCGGTTTCAAGCTTGAGCAATGATGCTGCTGTAGCTCTAGAGCGCATATCTCCTATGCCAAAGAGAGAGCTTCATCAACCTGCATATAGTGTGCTGTATACTGGGTGTCCCAGGAGTCGTGATAGCTATATTAATCTCTGATATCGTGGGTTGCTTCATTTCAGGACTACGTATTAAGATTGATCAAGCACATCCGCCCACCGCGTCTTGTATTCTACAGATCGAACTGAGGATTAGTCAGATAGCCTTGATCAATTCACCCAACATGTCGTTCAACACCGAACTCAACACCAGCAGAGGAGCTCAAGCCTCGCCACCTCCCCAAGGAATCTACGTACCAGTGCCCACATTCTTCGCTGCAGAGGGAACTGCTGAGTATGATCCCATTTCTCCACCATTAGATCTCAAGACGCAATCGGAGCACTCGTTGTTCCTCGCCAAAGGTGGCATCAAAGGTCTGGTCATACTGGGCAGCACCGGCGAGGCCATCTTCGTCCGCAATGAGGAGCGATCTAGATTGATCAGCAGCCAGAGGAAGGCATTGGATGATGCCGGCTACGCTGATCGACCGATCATCGCCGGCACTGCAACACAGAACATCGATGACACGCTCGATCTGATCAAGGCGGACAAGGAAGCCGGTGCCGTGTACTCTATGGTTCTCGGACCAGGTTATTTCGCTCCTTCTACCAGCCAGAGAGGTATTCAGAAATGGTTCGAAGCGGTCGCGGATAAGGCAGTGCTGCCCATTCTCATGTACGTCCCACTCATGTCAAGCTCAAAACGGCGGCAAAGATCATTTCACTGACGAAGTCGATTTGACCCACAGCTATCACTACCCGGGCGTCACCAACAACCTCTACATCTCACCCGCGACCTTCGAGAAGCTGGCCGGCCACCCCAACATCGTCGGCACCAAGCTCTCGCACGGCATCATCGACGACCAGACGCTCATCGCCGCCTCGCCGCGGATCGACCACGAGCACTTCTACGTCTTCACCGGCCTCGGCCAGAACCTCCTGCCCGTGCTGACCATCGGCGGCGTCGCGGCGATCGATGCGCTGGCGGGGATCTTCCCCCGCGTCGTGGTGAGGCTGTATCGTCTGTTCCACGACAGCACCGCCAAGGGCACGACGAAGCAGGACATTGAGGAGATGCGCGAGTTGCAGTACCGGATCTGTGAGGGGGAGAAGATCGTGGCGCGGTGGGGTGTCGTCGGGACGAAGGAGGCGCTGGCTCGCGTGTGGTCGCTGGGGGATGGGAAGGGCGGTCGGTTGCCCCTGGCGGGGGGGTTCGAGGATGGGGATGAGGAGTGGAAGAAGTGGGCGAAGACTTTTGAAGGCTTGAAGCAGTTGGAGGAGGAATTTCAGAAGTCGGAGTAGGGACAATGGTGGAGAAGATTGCGTTGGGGAATTCCTTAAGCTAACGACAGTGGTAGTATGAGGAGATTTCTTGTCATGCGCTGTGGTCGTGTTATGAGAACACGACCTCCCAACAAGAACCTGTATCAAGGCTGAACGTTGTGGTGATTTGTGCACGCTTCGATCACATAATGATAATATTCGTATGGTCTGGCAGTACACAGTACAGTACAGTATTATACGAATCATGCCGAGGTCTGGCCAATGACAGGGTCCATTACAACGACGAGTCGTGCTGGAGCTGTAAGTGCTATCGATAAGAGAATGCGCTCCGTTCGTCCAGCCGTCCAAACTACATCACCTCATCCGGCTCCCAGACCCTCACATTGTCAATACCACCAACCTTAAAAAAAACCACGATGCGCGGAATCCAAGTCAAACAGTACGTCAAGGGCCCGCGGGAACTCAGCGTCTCGGACATTGAGGATCCCACCCCGGCGGCGGACCAATATGTCATCGCCGTCAAGGCCTGCGCCACCAACTTCTTCGATTTGCTGTGAGTCCGATGATCGTGAGGCGATCCTCTGTTTTCCGAAAGGAGAAAGAAAGAACGAGCTGACCCGACACCGCAGCCAAATAAGCGGTAAAATGAACCCTCCCCACCCCGTTCAACCGATCACGGGGACTCCTCCCAAGGCGATCGATGCTGATACATGACGTCCTCCCAGGCAAGTACCAATGGCAGCCCCCTCTCCCCTGGACGTCCGGGGCGGAATTCTCCGGCGTCGTGCTCTCCACCCCGGCCTCCTCCCGGAACCCCAGATTCTCCGTCGGCGACCGCGTCTTCGGCAGCGGCCAGGGCGCGTACGCCTACAAGGTCTGCGCCGTGGAGTCGGCGCTGCAGCCCGTGCCGGCCGGGTGGAGCTTCTACGAGGCCGCGGGCCTCTTCGTCACCATGCCGACGTCCTACGCCGCGCTGACCCTCCGCGCGAACATCAAGAAGGGCGACTGGGTGCTCGTGCACGCGGCGGCCGGCGGCGTGGGCCTGGCCGCGGTGCAGATCGCCAAGGCCTTCGGCGCGACGGTGATCGCGACGGCCGGGACCCCACACAAGCTCGAGGTGGCGAAGCGGTTCGGGGCGGACTACGGCGTCGACTACACGGACCCGAAGTGGCCGGCGGTGGTGTCGGCGCTGACGCCGGGGAAGCGCGGCGTGGACATCGTGTACGACCCCGTGGGGCTGATCGAGCCGAGCACGAAGTGCACGGCGTGGAACGGCCGGCTGGTGGTCGTGGGCTTCGCGGGCGGGCCGATCGAGAAGCTGGCGACCAACCGCATCCTGCTGAAGAACATCGCCGTCACGGGCGTGCACTGGGGCGCCTACGCCAAGAACGAGCCCGCCCGCGTCGCCGAGGTCTGGGCCGACCTGCAGCGCCTCATGGAGAAGAAGGTCCTCCGCTCCACGAATTACGAGGACAAGAAATATGTCGGCCTCGAGGCCGTGCCCGAGGCCCTCGAGGCGCTGGGCGCGCGCGCCACGTGGGGGAAGGTGGTGGTGGATCTGCCCGAGGTGAAGGAGAGTAAGCTGTGAGGGAGGGGAGGTCGGCGCGAGGGTGGAGGAGGAGGAGGAGGGGTGTGGCGAGGGGTGGAGAAGGTCGATCGGATGAGACTTCACGTCGCTATGTGCTCCCTTCCCGCTGTATGAGTCGAGGTCGTCGGAATGGATATGTACACTCTCCTGAAAGGTCTTCTGATAGAAATACAACCACCCCGAATCTGTCTCGACTGGGCGACTCTGGCTATGAAGGGACGGACGGACGGACGGACGGTAGGCCCCACACATGTGTTACGATGACGGCTCGCGAATCTCTTCCGGGCAGACACAGAGTTGCGGCCACCAGGCGAGGCGGATGAACGGATGGACATCACTCGAGGTAGGCGGTTACCGATTTCGTGAGATGGGAGAAGGATCTGAACGTTTTGTGTATTCACACCAGAGATTCCGGGCGGCGTCGTCGTGAGGCGCGCCACGGATCTCTTCTTCTTCTTCTTCCTCCCAAATTACGAAGCTATCTATATATCATACAAGATCCGAAACCGCAAGAGCTGCCGCCCCGATGACGGACGTTCATCGCCGTCACGAGTAATCGCTGTCTTGCGGATGGCAGGCGTAGAGTAACGGGAGGGGTGTGCTCGATGATTCATGCACGGCCACCCCAGGTTTGGAGAGGCCCCTTGGCCCAAATCTATCCATTCCCTGGACATAAACAAAAATGTCTCCACGTGAAGGGTAGAAGAAAATAAAAATAAACTCCCACGAGCGCCTTCGCTAACCCCAAAAGAAAATCAAAAGCAAAAAACCCCCGGGAATTTCGTCATTCGTGAAAAAGTGAAGCGTCGCGTCGCGGAGAAACTCGTCGCGGCGGTGGACACACACAAGTCGAGGCCTGGTTCACGCCTTGCGCTTGTGCACGCGATCTTTGCGTAGCCGTATCGACTTGCTGACGCAGGCGCCTCCGCCGATCGAAGCCTTGAGCTCCATCGAGCGGCGGTACTCCAGGCGAGGTCGGCGTTGCGGTGCGGCGCCGACCGCGGCCGATCGATGCGATGGATCCGGGTCGAAGAAGCCGCAGCTGTCGTAGCCTTCGTCGTCGTCGTCGCCGCCGTCGTCGTGACGGAGCGCGGCGGAGGCGGGGCCCGGCGCGGCGATGGAACATTGCTCCTGGCAGTCGACCATGCGGGCGACCAGGGCGGCGATGTCCCGGTGGTGAGAGGTCGAGCAGAGGAGGCGGCTGTTGGATTGTCGGCGGGCGCGGTGGTTGGAGGATCGGGCGGACGGTCGGGGAGCCGAGGAGGATGTGGGTCGCGATGAGGACGATCCGTAAGAGGAAGAAGAGGTCGGTGGAGGATCCAACTGCCAGCCGGCGTCTTCGTCGGGGTTGCCCGCGTAGGCGTCACAGGCATCGTAGCAGATCTGCGCGTCGGCGCGCAGTCGTGATCGTCCCAGGCAAGAGGCCAAGTCGGTCATGGTGAATTGGGGCGTAGGGTAGGCCGTGATGGGGCTGCATGGTGAGACGCTCCGTGATAGATCGCCGGCGGAGGAGGGTGATTGTGAGGAGGATGAGATGCTCGAGTCGAGGGAGCCCGAACGGGTCGCGAACGAGAAGTTGTCGTCGAACATGATGTGATGATGGTGGATGAGTACGGTTGCGCAAAGAGTATCTCCGATAGCAGGCGTGCAGAAGTGTGTTGTGTGATGAGTAATCGCGGAGGTGAAGGATGTCCGTCCTGAGCGACGGGGTGATGTGCGTGTCTTATGGACCTTCGAGGCTGGTGGGAGGATGGGATCGTCTTTGGATGTCAAAGAAGAAGAAGAAGAAGACGTTTGGTGTGAAGTGTCGGCCACATGCGCATCCACGTGCACGAGCGAGAGAGAGCGTTGGCGGGTGGGAAGATGTTACAACGGTCGGCAACCAAAGAATGGAAGACGGAGCGGAACGGTTGAGTCGGGATGGAGAGAGTGAGAGAGAGAGATAGTGGGAGATCGAGGAAGTCAGACCGAAACGGGCGACGGGACCGTCAACGTATTTATTGTTCTGGAAACATCATGGACGGTTGAGGGAAGGAAGGAGGATCACTCGGGGTGTGTGTGTGTGTGTCTGTGTGTAGACGATATGGCGTGTGTGTGTGTGCGGGCGGTAGAGAGAACAGAGAGATGGGGAGAGAGATGGTGTGGGTGGATGGACGGACATGCACGTCAACGGAAGAGCAGGGCCGATCGGCACTTTCTGCACTGGAAACTCCATCGTCATCGGCAGACTGTAGTAATAAGTTAATCACTACTGTACCTAAGGTGATGGACAAGACCACCGGTACATTTCCTAGCTAGTGGTGAGGGAGATTGGGACGGACATGGGGTGAGAAGCAGAAGATGATGATGATAGACCACCGACAGCAACGAATGATTCTAGGTCCACCCACAACAGTCCGTCCTGTACTGTACTGTATGTAAAGTTTGGTGGATGAGAATTCGATCTCGACGGCGATGGGGTGGTGGTGCCAAAAGGTACCCAGCCAGCCAGCCAGACAGACAGACCGACCGAAAGTCAAAGCCAGAGAGCCCGAAGCCAGAGCCGCCACCACCACCACCGCAATCACCACCGACAAATGCTACAGTCCTCCTGTACATGACATGACATAACATGACATGACATGACATGACATGGCATGCGACGGGTGGTATTGCACACATAGGCATGGTTCATAGCACTGCTGCATGTCACTCACCACGATAATAATCCGAGGAGAGAGGCACCAGGCGGCGAGCGAAAGATGGTCGTCCGACGGACAGACACGTTCTCGGCGGGTGATGGTAATGGTGATGGATGGCACTGGATGGTGGATGGATGGATGGATGGATACTAGGTAGGATGGAACGGGCGGGCCAATTCTTCTTCTTCCTCTTCCTCCCTCCGTTCGGGAATCGAACAATCGGCGCGAAGAAGATGCATGGAACACCGCTAAATAAACCTGTCTGTACACTACAACTACGACTGCATGTACGCTACAACTACAACTACAACTACACGACACGACACTACCGCCGCCACTACAACTACACTACCGCCACTACAGGAGGACTGTCGAGAGACCTAGAAGGATGGGTGCCCCCAGGTGGTGACACTACTCCGCTTCTAGAAAAGACACGAGTCAGGTGTATATCTCATCTAGTGGGTGGTGATAAACAAGTGAGGGTTTCTTTCCCTTGGATTCACCGAGACATGATGATTGGCATTATTATTGTTCTTATTATTCTCCGCCGAGCGTCTGCCAATCTGGCGATGATCATGACCACGGTTACGATGGGGATCGATACCCGCCTCTATACCGTACAGGAGGGGTATTGGCCGGTGATCCAGTACACAGACCGATCCATCATCATCTCTATTCCACCCATATGTCAGAAACCTAGGTATGACAGACATTCGACATTTTATTATTATCCTGGTAGTGGTGGCGGGATGTTCGGTGGCGGTGGAATGGACCGCAGTCCAGCCAGGCACGTGTCGAGGCTGAACCGGCACCCCCCCCGGTCAACCAAATCTCCACCCCCGAAATCCCCTCCGCCTCCAGGTTCTCTCCATGTTGGGTCGATGGGGAGGGAGAAGAGCCCAGGTGGGGAATATCCCAGGCGCGACACTCATCGGTGTGAGCTGAGCATATCCATGGATGGGTTTCGATGGTCCGGGTGTCTGTGTCTTCAAATTCGGGGCCCCTCCAGGGCTGTCATCATCGGTCACCGCGCCTGTTCTCCTCTCCCGCCCCCGATTCGGCGGTTGATTGACCGTCCAGTCCAGTCCAGTCCAGTCCGACCGTTGCAGCCGCCACCACCACCACCCACTCCTCTCTCCAATCTGCCGTCCTTCTTCTTCTTCTGCTTCTTCTTCTTCCCCCCTTCTGGACCCTTCGAGATGGGGCGACTTCCGACGGGCGGGCAGGCAGGCAGGCAGGCAGGCAGAACCTCGTGCTGGCTCCCCCATCCGAACGAACGAACGATTTGGGAGGCGCCATCTGGGCACACGCCGTCGTTCATCTCTCCCCTCTCCAATCTTTCCTCCTCTCTCTCCCTCTCTCTCTCTCTGCCTGGGTACGTACACTAAGCAGTACATGGATCTCAACGATCTGATGGTCACCACCAAGTTTTCGCCCCCGGACGCACGCGCGCCCATGAGATCGATCTTCTAGAAGCCCAAATCTCGCGCCACTACTACTGTACTACTTCTGATCATTACTTCTTTCGAACACCAGACACACCCACGCGCATCGTTCATCCCCCATGCCGAGTCACTTTTTTCTAGCGTACACGATCTCTCATCAGCAATGCATGTACTGTGAGAAATGGTATCCAGTAGTCGTGATGATAATATCATTTTTACTATTGTATTTACTGTATTATGTTGCGGACGTCCTGCGATCGCCAACAATTCCCAGATCGGTCCGGGATGCGATGTCCCCGCCGTCGACGCTCACAGCCTCTTGGCACCGCGCGCCACAGGTTTTCCCCGGTGGATTCCAAGACTGTCTTTACTTTCTATCCTTCAGAATCCGTTCCCGTCGTTCTTGTATTTCACCGAAACCCTGCGGCTTGCATGTGAAGAGACAAGTGAACAGTAATGACGAGAGCATAGGCATCACGTCAGAGGAGGGAGAGAGAGAGAGAGGATGCGACGCCTCGGGGCGGTTACATGAAACGTCCGCCTGTTCCTCGGTCCCTGCTTCCACCCTCTCTCTCTCTCTCTCCTCTCTCTCTCTGCGACTGTGCCTCTTTTCTTTTTCGCATGATTGCCTGCCCTCCCATCCCGTGATGACAGATGTTTCGGACTAGAAGGAATATATGTATCTATTTTTGATACCTGCGGTGGTGGTGTGTATGAGGGATGCTCCATCATACGGGCATGGGCATGGGCATGGGCATGGGCAAGTCGCGATCCGAGGGGGGAACAGGCGTTGGAGGGGATGACGACGATGGCCCCCCGATGATGATCGATGGTAGTTGGTGGTGGTGGTGAACCCTTCCGGTCTCACGGTTGTGCTGCAGTTGCGTTACGTGCGAGTCCCTTTCCTCTCTCTCTCTCTCTTTCTCTCTGCAAATCGTGATGCGCACCTGCATATGTCATGCTGGATACTGCATATACGACAAGATACACACATCGGGATGATGACCGAACCGCATACCCTGCTCCCCGATCCCTCTCCCTCTCCCTCTCCCTCCCTCCAGCGACGTCATTCGGCGTTTGGTTTGGTTTGTTTGTTTTTCGGCCAAAGGTTTGTGCGCGGGTGTACATGCTGTAGCTTTCTCGGTCAGACTACTGCTGCACACGTGAAGAGGACATGAAGCTCCACTGGGGTCTGTATCATAGTCCTGTGGGTCATGGTGGTGGTATATGGATGGGAGTAGTTTGCATCGGGATTCTGCTGCTGAATCCACCGTGAGGTTCCGAGGTTTACATGTATTGGGTACCGTCATCACTCTCGGCAGAGGAAGAGGGAGCATGCACGAGTCAGGTCGGTGCGGCTCTCCTTCTCTGTCTTTCTCTCTCTCTGCAGGTGTGTCTCTCTCTGTTCTCTCACATGTCTGGGCATACCTATGAACCCAGGTAAGCAACCGCTGTTCACCGGGCTTCTTCACAACCAACCCCAGATGGAGAAGGCAGAACCCTAACACGGCTTCTCTCCAGTCCAGGGCTTCTCTCCATGCCTAGTAAGTGTTATTATTAGGTATTATCAGGTATTATTAGGTGTCGTTGTTATTATTCACCACTTCTCCCGGTTGGTCTGCTGCATCCACAGTATTAAGTATCACATGTTCAATGTCCACCTGCACCATCGTTGTGATTGTTCAAGGTTGTTATGATCAGTTGGTCATTTACGTGGACGTTCTTCGGCATGACCTGAAAGAGGAACAGGCTCTCCCGACCTCGTCTCTCAGCGAATGGGGTTCTTTTGGTCTTCATGAGGACGGGGACACCCAGGCCATGATTTCCATTTCCATCTCCACCTCCATCTCCATCGTTTTGCAGTTTGCAAAGGCAGACCGCAACACGGCGATTCAATCCGGCCATGACTAGTAGCACTCACTTGTCGTGCGCGTCTGTCGATCGACAAAGCTTTGCCGCCGTCCACCGTACCTCTCTTCATCCGCGAGCCCTCACGGCCAGCTGCAGCTCCTTCCATCCGGATAAATTCAATGGCTGAATTGCTGTCTCTCTCTCTCTCTCTCTCTCTCTGCTGCCAGATCTGCGCAACGATACCACGGCAGTTCGGAGGTTCAGCTCGCACCAATACAATCCCTCAGACAGTGGTACGGCTCTACGCAATGAGGGTTGGCTCCCTGAACCGTCGCCATGTTCCCAGATGATCCGCGTACAGTATATATTCCGTTCTTGTACTTCATCACTCCATTGACAACCAGAGTCCTTCAACCATTTCTCCCTCGAATCAATCCCAATCGATCTCCGTTCCAAGTCCAACAGTAATTCGAGCTCGTTTCAACCCAAATCCAAGTCATGCCGGCGTCCACAGCCAATATCTCGTCGTCTCAACTGGCCTCCACAGCCATCACATCCAAGCCAAACATCGGGGTCTACACGAACCCTGCTCATGATCTATGGGTCGGTGAGGCATTGCCGACCCAAGAGGATGTCGTCAGCGGTGAAAAGCTTCAACCGGGCGAGGTGACCGTCGCCATCAAGAGCACCGGCATTTGCGGGTTCGTCAAAACCGTGATCGTCGTCCATGTTCCCTCCTAGCCTCAGATCGAGGAGGTCCCAACTTTCCAAACAAACCCTCCCTTCAAAACCTCCCTTGGCTGACCCCTCCGACCACCCCTTCCAGATCCGACGTCCACTTCTGGCACGCCGGCTGCATCGGCCCCATGATCGTCACCGACGCGCACATCCTCGGCCACGAGTCCGCCGGGGTGATCGTGGCCAAACACCCGTCCGTCACCACCCACGAGCTGGGCGACCGCGTGGCCATCGAGCCCAACATCATCTGCAACGCGTGCGAGCCCTGCCTGACGGGCCGCTACAACGGCTGCGAGCGGGTCCTGTTCCGCTCCACCCCGCCCGTGCCGGGCCTGCTGCGGCGCTACGTCAACCACCCGGCGGCGTGGTGCCACCGCATCGGCGCCATGCGCTTCGAGGACGGCGCCCTCCTCGAGCCGCTCTCCGTCGCCCTCGCGGGCGTGCAGCGCGCCCGCATCACCCTCGGCGACCCCGTGCTCATCTGCGGCGCCGGGCCCATCGGCCTCGTCACCCTCGCCTGCGCCCGGGCCGCGGGCGCCGAGCCCGTCGTCATCACGGACCTGGACCCGGGCCGCCTGGCGTTCGCGGAGGGCTTCTGCCCCGGCGTGCGCACGCACCGGGTCGACCCGACGCACTCGCCGGAGCAGTTCGCCGGGGCGGTGGTGCGGCTGGCCGGCGGCGTGGAGCCCGCGGTGGCGATGGAGTGCACCGGGGCGGAGTCCAGCATCGCGGGCGCCATCCAGGCGGCGCGGTTCGGCGGCAAGGTCTTCGTCATCGGCGTCGGCCGGCCGGAGATCCGCGTCCCCTTCATGCGCCTGAGCACGCGCGAGGTCGACCTGCAGTTCCAGTACCGCTACTGCAACACCTGGCCCCGGGCCATCCGCCTGCTGAACGGCGGCGTCCTGGACCTGTCCAAGCTGGTCACGCATCGCTTCCGGCTGGAGGACGCGGTCGAGGCGTTCAAGGTCGCGGCGGATGCGAAGCAGGGCGGCATCAAGGTCATGATCCAAAGTTTGGAGGAGGGCGAGCAGTGAACGTTAGGCAGGGATCTCGTTTCTCGGGTCTTTCGCCTTTTCCATGGAGGTGCGCTTCGCGGTTCTTTTCCAACCGGGAGGGTCGGATTCGATCCATGCCGGTAATAATCTACCTTTCTGACTACGCGTCTGCCTCCGAAAAGGATTCGTGATCATGCACCATACGTGTATACCTTCGATTGGAAGGACCACCTGCAAATTCATCACGAGGACGGGCACGCACGTGAAAGGCAGCACATAATCGATTCTCTTATGTTAATCCTCCGCTGCGAGATGATTGCTGTGACGACAGTTGTAAACCGCTATTCCCTCGCTCTCATGATCGTCGTTGAGCATCATTCCCCTCATCCTCGTCTAAAATAGTCTCTTTCCATCGCTTCACCCAAGTCTCGCTCAACTCGAGTTCGTCAACAGATACTCGATCGCGCCTTGTACGCTGCCCCCGCTCCTCCGCAGAGCCTGCACATTCCGGTCGAATTCGAAGAAGCCCATGTCGTTCAATTGCCGCAGTTGCTCTGCGTATCGCTCTTCCGGCGGCCGGTTGTCCGGCGGGGCTTGTGACTCGGGCGCGCCTCCGAATGCCGCAAATGGGTTGAAACCGCTTTCGCCACCGGCACCGGCACCGCCGCCGCCGTTGAACATCTGGGCCATCTGTTGCATCATCTGCGGGTTTTGCATCATCTGTTGGGCCATCTGCTGCATGGGGTTGGGCTGGCCTGGTTGTGAGGGGTTTCCGAAGAGGCTTCCAAAGGGGTTCGCCGCCGTGGCCGGGTTGGTGTTTGCTGTAGGATTCGCACCGGCGGCGCCGCCGGCTGCACCGGGGAAGATCGCGGCAAATGGGTTGGCCGGAGCTGCACCTGTCGCTCCAGTCGTGGTGTTTTGCACGCCCGCAGGTGGCGCCGGAGTCGTATCTGTCGCTCCTGGCATCGGGAAGTTGTTTGCCCCACCGGCTCCGCCGAGTCCACCTCCGCCGATCGCCCGCTCCATCTGCATCTGCATTCTGATCATCTCGGGGTTCAACATCAACCGACGCATCTCGGGATTTTCGATCACCGCGCGCATCTGAGGGTTGTTGCGGATCATCGGGTTGTTGCGGAGCATGTCGATGACTGCTGGGTTGTTCATCGCCTCGTTCATCTGCTGCGCGAAGTTGGGATCGTCCAGCAGCTGGAGCATCTGCTCTGGGTTCGGAGGTGCGCCCATACCTCCATCGGCTCCGAAACTGTCGGCACCAGGCAGTCCGTGGAAACCGGCATATCGAGCGCCGGTCAACTGTGCCAGAGGGTTGCCCGCGCCTTGTCCTGCGGCAATGTTGGTCGGCACGTGGGACGCTGGCTGGCCAGCACCGGGAGGGACGGCGGCGCCACCTTGGTTTGCAGGGTTCTGTCGTTGATTGCTCTCCGCACCGCGCACCAAATGTACAGTGTTCCCATCCTTGATCTTGCATGCGCCCACCGTGTCGGCATCCTTCAGCACTCGTCCGCTGTAGATGAGACGTTGCCGCTCCGCAGGTATGCTGGCATATTCTTCGGTGGACAGTTTCTGTTTGAGGTCGCCGACAGTGGTGGTGACTGGAACGGTGAGGACGAATTTCGCATCAGATGAGGACTTGACGTTGAACGTGACTTGCTTGTCGCTCTCGTCGATGTTGCCGGCGGCAGTATCCTCATCAGCCATGATCGCGGTGTTTTGTTGATATTTTCTGGAAGTTGTGTGGACGTGTCGCGGTTGTCAAGACTTTATCGTTTCGAGAAACGATCGTATGGTGATGACCAAGAAAGTCAATATCATGTGCATATAGTGAGTGATTGGCGCCTGCCCGCACTCGACGAAGTGGCCCACGACAGGCTATGACGCAGTGCATGGCTCGCGTCAATCCGGGGGCTTCGGCCAGAATCTATCGAAGAGAGGGGCACCGAAAGACTGAAACAACCCGCCCGGGCGGTATGTATGTAGGTCACACATATCATCAACTCATTGCACGGCGAAATGTTTTGATCGGAATGAGAAAAAATAATTACATTGTGGAATTCACGCAAACAACATTCTATTCGTTCAATGTCATCTACCAATTCAGCAAACCTCCCCAACCATTAGCCATTTCTCTCGCCAACGCGTCTCGCAGAAGTGCAACGACGCGCGCGTCCCCAGCAGTAATGCCGTAGAGGTCTACAAGGCCTTTTCGCCAGTCCCAAGCTCTATTCAGTTGTATCCGTGTCTGCCCATTTTGATCATGCAGCATGATAGACCGCGAAGCGATCATATCCCAACTGCCACTTGCACTGAGATCTGCTGTGGCATTCTTGGCATTCGTGGAACCCGACTCGCTGTTTCCCTGATACGCCGTAAGACTGGCAGCCAACAAGCTGTCGGCATTCTCGTGAACGCGAGCAGGCGCGGCGGCGTAATCCTCCACAATCCCAAGAAGCGTAAAGATCTGGCTCTCTGTGAAGATGCGCTTATCTTGACCGAGGAATGGAAGTGCTTCGCCGAAAAGCACCAAAAGTCCTTCGACCGAAACCACAGATTCTGCTTCGTGGTCGAATAGACCTCCAGGGATGCAATCCGCCGCGCTTTTGATCACACCGAACAATGCAGTAGCTGCCTGGCGTCGTCGTTCCAATGGTCTGAGGGTTCGTGTGTTTCTAGAATATGCTTTCACGCCCTGCACATCCTGATCACGCAGTTCGTAGAAGCGTCGCAAAGTGGCATAACCACTGAATTGTGAAGAGAGTAGAGTCGCGGCTTCAAGATCAAGCCGGGCAAGTTCTCGAAGCGCTGGGCGATCGCGGCTGAGTAAAGATTCGAGTTTCGCATCAATAGTTTCTGCCGATGGCAACGGCGCAGAGTGCAGAAGACATAAGGATGTCAGCAATTCGAGCGTCCTTCGCACCTTTCCAACTGCGTGAGCGCGTGCATAGTAGAACAGTGTTGCGCCATATTGCTGCAATTCGTCTGCGGCGAGCTCGTCGGCATAACGCTACATTTCATCGTCAGCAATGACATTCAATACCAGTAAGGCGCGGCTACCGAAGATGAATTACCTCGGCGATATCAGCGCGTTGTGTGTCCAGGCCAAAGTCATCACAAACAGCAAGAATCTTGTCGACGCTTTGGTCGTCCGATAGTGGTACCTGATCGAGTAAGGCTTTCATTTGCTTGGTTGATCCGGCGGAATCATCTTGACGGCTCAGGACAGCCACTGCTAATTCCCAGCCTTCCTTGTTATGAATCTGTGGAAAGTGTAAGCATGTATTCGTGGTCAGGTGGAAATAAATGCATACCTTGGTTTTCCGGGCAAGGAGGTCCGCATACTCTCCAAATATTTGATCCCTGTCAATATCCTGCGGACCTGGCTTTCGAGGGCCATGTGAGAGAACTAAAAGGTCTTCTTCGGAGAAGCCTTGCCCCAACAGTTGGCCACGGCTTCGGGGTCGCGCAAGAGGCAGCCAGCCCCCAATCGACGCGAGCTCAACGATTGACGTGGCAATAGGCATACTGAGCGTTCGCAGAATTGAAATAACACTGCCGACGCTCTCCTCCAAAATGCAAGCAAGCCCGACCTCGACAATCTCCATTGTGTTAACGGCGAATACGTTTTCTGAAGGGTCTGCCGTCACTTTGATGAAGGCATCAGTGAGTCGTGAACGGTACGCGGGAAGTGGCGAAACATCGACTTCTCGAGGCTTCTGAGCTACGTGTCTGTGTTGCATGCTCTTGCTCAACCCCTGATCATGAGCTGCATCGTCGGAGCCATCCCACCATATCGTCAAATATAAGGTAGCTTCCAACCAGTCTTGAGACGTGAGGAGTACGTCGTCTATCGAGCCAAGCAGCAACTTATACAGCAAGGAAAGATTTTCGTAGATGGTCCAGGGTACACGACTCTCGGCACGCCTGCTGGCGGTCGACAAACTCATGACAGATTCGCCAGCACTTTGCTCAAACATGTTCCTTTCGGACCGAGATTGATCCATATCGCTCTCAGCAAAGCTCGTGAGTTTGTCCAAAGCCAGCTTGACACGTTGGCGGAATGCAGTCCAACTAGCATTCGTCACTTCCCAATCTGAATATTGCACTGCAGGGCAAGATTCAATCACATCAGCTGCGTATGAAGTGACCTCCTCTGTAGCTTGCAATTGCGACCCTGTATAGCCATCTTCCACGGAGCCGTCGTCAGCAGCTGTGTATGCGTTCTCCCACCCCGCATCTCTCAGCAAGCGGATCACGCGGTCGAGTTTACCACGCATTGCTGAGCCAAAGACAAGGTCCCAAAATGACTCATGGGCGGAAGGAGAAGGACGAAAGAGATGTACAGAGTCATAGTCGTCCGGAAAAGGAAGATGATATGTGTTCAGCCATCTGAGCAGCGCTTCGGGGATCGGGACTCCTCGCTCTGCCCTTGCAGCGTCCCTCTTACGTCCTGCCTGGGTCTGTGTCCTGCTCCTGGTTACAGCATGAGGAAAGTGTAGTTGCAAGAGCAATGATGCAAGGTAATTGGCTTTTGTGAATGCATCGTCGGAAGCGGGCCCTAGAGTCCCTGGTTTTGTTCTCGCATCGCTTTGACGTGCTAGTAGCTCAGACAAAGCCGCACATCGATCCGTGAGACCATCCACGGTCAGGTTGTTCTGTGTTCGTGCCGCGTCGTTGAGGGACGCCGTAAACCTCTCAATGCTGATGATGATCTCGTCGTCTTCAGTCAATTGTGCAGGCTTGCTGCGGCCGACAATCCCCGCCGCGATTGCGCCCATCTCTCCTTCGCTACGAATCGTTCCATCACGACTTCTCTTTAAGCCGCGCGGACTTGCCCGACTTGCGGCCATCGAGCTGAGGAAGGCATTCGGCCGGGGCAAAGACGGCATGTCTTGATCTTCCTCGTCGTCCATATCGGCGTCCGCGTCGTCATCATAGTCGGCGTCATCGTCGAAATTTGGCGCAGTATAACCTCGTTGTGAGCCAAAGGTATTGTTAGAAGGGTTGTAGGAGCTATTGAAGTTCATGCGAGGCGGCGGGCCTGATGGTGTTGTTGATTTGTCGGTAAGCCATGTCGGAGGTGGACCAGCTGGAGTAGTTGATGGTTGCGACTGAAGCGAACGCGAATTCGGCGTACTAGGGAGACGAAATGACATGGTGATGTTGACGATGGTTGTCGCTCCGATGTGTTCACATGCGAACAATAATTCAACAATCTCCAGTCGCGCGACGTGAGCTTGACGGACACTCCCGCAGACGCGACTGCGATCCCTTTGGTTCGTTCGTCACTTTTGGCGCCTCAGGCAGCTTTCAGATACTACGAGCAGTTCACCAACGAGGAAAGTAGGATTTGATAGAGTATGACCATATCGTATTTACATGTAACGAAGCTCTATTGACGAGTTTACCACGTCAAACCAATACTCGCTGCGTGCTGTCTCGAAGTGTAGCACGTGGATGGGCTGCAAATCATAGTCTGCCGTTCACCTGCTACTTTGCGTTCAACGAAGACATCCAAATGACAGCATATATCGAGCCAGACTTAAACCGACATTCAATGTGTCAAGGAACGCCATCAAGTCTAACCATTGCCGGCGTTACAGCCCACCTGGGTGCGCTTGAAACCAGGGACCTATGCAACTACATACCAGCGAGAGATCACTATCTGTATCGATTTATTATGTTAGCATATCTGAAGGTATTGATCTAATGAGATCCTCGCCAGGTTTATCATGCGTTCTGTCAGGGTAATGAGAAGATTGTAAGACTGGCATTTAAGCATGTCCAACCAGGTATGACGGTTGAACGATCTTATGGCCCCAGCGTTTGTCATCAAAAGAAAGCATTGATAGTCGAATCAACGAAAGGGACTTACCACGAAAGATGGTTGTTATGCCTGGGCCGGAGATAGTCGTGCGCTCGGCTGCTCTTGAACCTGCGAGTGCGTTCGAGGTCTACATTTTAACGTTTGAAAGCAGGAGAGCATATGATCCGCAATGCAACACATCGAACGTAGGGTCGATCGCCATTAGTATGCGGATTTGGACGACGACAGATCATCGCATCAATCGCTCCCAGGCTGTGGCATGTCGAAGCAGCAAGTGTCATTGGATGTTCCGCTCGGTAAGCATATGGATCGTGATGGTGTTCTGCGCCGACCCTTAGGTCGAAAAATCTCCATTGCCGAAGACGTGCAGCGAAGCTATACCGCCACTTCTGCTGAAGGTGTCATTGGTTCCCTTTGACCTGTTTGCCTACCATGATCTGTCACGCATTTGTCACGGTCAATCGTTATGTGAGAAAGTCGTGCAGTGTTGTGCGGGAAAGCCACCCGCTGAAGGTTCATACTGTAGATCTTCTCGAGTCCTCTGAAAGGGACGACTGCCTGGGATGATAGATCTGTCATTCCTGTAAGAACCAGATCGGCCTTGATCGCGATCACTGCAATTTGCATCGCAATGGTCGTGGCAGGTATCGTTCATCAGAGCCGTCCACTATAGACCAGACCCTTGAACAGCTGTCAAACATGTCGATAACGCTTGTGTACCACGATATAATAGCACACGAAGACTGCCGTGGAGAGGGCTCTTAGGCGGAGGAGCCTTAGGCGGGTGAGATTGCGGGCACTGCCGAAAGATGCTGGGATCAGGAAATCGAGGTACTGGAGCATCGGAGACAGCGGCACATGTCGATTGACGATGGGACGAAAAGGCGATTGCGTAGTATGGCGCGGCAGATCGAACGGCGCGCCGCGACGATTTCGCGTCTGCGGAGTTCGAATGCGATCCTGACACGAAGATCTCAACCCGCGTGTATGAGACGACGCTGTCGCACTTCATCTCAGCCCGTCAAGTCGTCTCGGCCCTTGAGAGCAGCATGGCTTTAATGCGTGTACCTTTGCTTGAGTTGAACATGCGAGGCATGCAGCATTGGTGTGGCAGCATTTGGCCGAGTCTGTGGAGAACGCGCGTTCGGTGGTTCGTGAAGTCCCCTCGGATGTTCAATTCCGGCGAATCCTACAAACGTTGAGTACCAGCACAAGTCTTGCGAGGGACGACCGCGCGACAAAGCAACGCAATGGCCCACGAATGCGTGCTCTCACGGCATCGTCTTTACGCATCACGTGTAGCATCATCTGAAAGAGCCCGGTCTTGCTGCAAATTTTATTGTCAGCGCGATCCAAGTATCGTCGGAATGCGCGATGCTACAAGCGGATGATGCATCACGGGACACGAGCGAGGACGGCAAGGAGGGTGCTATATTCGTCGCCCTTGCATACGAGATTCATGCGCGAATCGCGCCAGACAACCAGGCGAAATCGGGTACGGCTCCATTTGCACAATCATCCGGCGGCGCGCAGGCGGGCGATTTCGGTTGGGAGAAAAATGCTCGCCGGCCGTGCCCAGGTGGAGAGCGAAAGAGCGAAAAAGGAAAAAATTTCCATGCAGGCCGGTGGAAAACATTAACACGTGTGAGTGGAAGCATCTGGGCAGCAGCAATAGTCGCATGCATGCTGCAACAGCCAGGAGGAAGATTTTAGTAGCGTCTTCTGCAGCCCTGGAGTGGGCGGCGTGCGGGCGGGCCAGTCGGGCGATGTTGGTTGGACGGGGACCATGTAAATTCTCCTGCTCCGACCGCCAATGACCTGCGCGATTGGTGATTTGGTTGGTGCGGCTCGAATACGGTCCGGTACCAAAACGCCCTCCACCTTGAGCAGTGACGTTGATTCCACATTTTGCCGCGACAGTCAAGACCTTCCCACGCAAGCGCATACATGCAGCTACCAAACGTGCCCGCATGCTCACGCCCTCCCTCCTAATAGTCATGATGAGCGCGCCGACCACTCTTCGGTCTCATTTCCATTCTTCCTCGACCATGGTCCGGTCAACGACCGAATGCAGGATATAACGTCCCGCTTCTGTCCCATTTCGACGCAGCAGCATTCTGGCTTTCAATTTCATGGAAATGCAGGTCCCTCCCGGAATTGTTCGTCGTAAACAAGAATAATACAGTAATACCGCCTCGACCGCTATTGTCCGTGAACGCCAACTTCTTCCTCAAGCGCCTCATGTTTTGACACCTGAGTGGCATCCGTGGACAGCTGCATTTGTCGCGGAGTACAGGCAGACCCTCACACAACCTCAAGACACACACCTCGACACAGGCAATATGCCTCAGACCATCTGGGAAAGGTTCCGGATCGGCAATGGGTTCGCTTCTGACAAGAGGGCCTCGCAATCATTGGGAAAGCTCGACGTCTCGGGAAACAGGCTGAGCACTCGTTTGGGAGATGAGGCCTTCTGGCCCACCACTTTGGACAAGGAAGGTGACAAAGCGGCCAGGATATTGCGCTCCTTCTGCAGTAAGTCATGTCATAGCTGTGTACATGGTTTCTGCTGCCAATCTAACCTTCAATCACCCAGAGGATGGATTTCACGACGAGAAGAGTTCCCCGACGCAGGAAAGCACGCCACCGAAGCAGAAAGTGTTGCAGAGACTACCAGAAAGAGTTGTGAAGGATGCTAAGGCACTGGCAATCTTTACCACTGTGCGTACAGGGGTCTGGAAAACTGGATCAGGTGGCTCAGGAGTCCTTGTAGCTCGCCTGCCAGACGGCTCATGGTCGCCTCCCTCAGGTATCCTGATTCACACTACCGGTCTAGGATTTATTGTCGGAGTAGACGTGTATGACTGCATCGTCGTCATTAATAGCAAACAGGCCTTCGATGCATTCACGCAACCTCGATGCACATTAGGCGCAGAAATGCAGATCAGACCTGGCCCACTCGACGTAGAGGATGCATCCAAGCCAGCAGACCCAGTGACTCCAAGCGGTGTGTATACGTACACCAAGAGTCGCGGGTTCAACGCCAAAATCCAGATAGATGGGAGCGTCATCATGGAGCGTGCGGACGAAAATGAACGTTTCTACGGCGAAGCCCTGTCTTCGATCGACATACTCAACGGAAAGACCCAACATCACATCGACCAGTTACATAAACTCGCCGAAACTCTCAAGGCGGCCGAGGGGAGCCAGAGTTTCGATGTCGAATCAGTCCCAAAGGAGGCTCCCCCAAGTGAATACGACATTGAGCACGCCGAAACTTTCGGCGTTCCCGACAAGGATGATCCTGACCCTTATGGTGTGCTCGCTTTGGAAAAAGAAGGGATGAGCCTGAAAGAGGCTGGCAACGGAAAGCGGGCCAGCTGGGAGCAGTTCCAGTTCAATCCGAGCCCGACTAGCCCCATACATACAATATATGCACGCCAGAGCTCGGATAATATGCGACCCGTCAGTCAAAGGACTAGCTGGCGCGTAAGCGGCCTCAGTAATGGACCCAAAACGCCAAGTTCGCTGCGCATCAGCCCTGAACGAGCGCCCTCCGTCACCATGTCAGACATGTCTACTCAGACGGACTTTCCTCAAGAGGCTCTGCCTTCTCCTACCGTACGCAGCGTTCGAAGCAGTCGCGGTGATCGCAGCAGTAAAAGCAGTCTGGTCAGCAGCGTCCGCAGTGCAATGCCGGACGTCCCAGAGCACAAGGTTCTCGAACCATTCGAACGGCGCGAGCCCGAGAGTGCTAGCCACATCAATGGCTACACAACGCCTCCATCGACACCTCCGACGCTGGCCACTATCCCTCCGTTGCCGCTCGAGGCAGAACAGAGCTCTCTCGAGCCGACAGTCGTCGAGGAGGTGGTTTCTCAGCTTGAAGTCGTGGGCGATGAGGACGAACCGGAGACGAAACAGGAAACATTCGAACAGCATGAAGGACCCGCCGAGGACGAAGACGATGCAGACGAGGAAGATGAAGACGAGGAGGATGAGGAAGAAGCGATCGTCATTATCGAGGCACCAGTCGTGCATTCGTTCCAGCAAGCGCAGCTGGCTTCAGCACAAGTGGTTTCTGTCGCGAAACGCTTGCCGCCAGTGATCCCTCCTCGTAACCCCAGTCGCAACAAGCTATCTATCTCCACGCCTGCGCCAGTGACTCAGACGTCGCCTTCCGATGCTGAGGTATCATCTCCAGCTGCCAAAAGCCCTTCTGTGATCGAAGAGCATGATTCCAATGATCTGGAAAGGCAAGATGAAAGTATGCCGGTTCTCACAGGCACGCACGACGTTAAGATCGATTCAAACGAGCCGGCGCCGATCGTCTAGAAAGCTCATCACAAAACCGGGCACCTCGAGGACCCACATGATTACCACAATCACATAACACCATCACGATATCATCATGAACATGATAAACACTCACGAGTACAATGAATTGAAGGATGACGCACCGGCTGTCACCAAGTTTGGGAAGCGAATGAAATGATTTTGAGTCAGGCAAATCGCCGACTTTTGTTCTTGGAGTAAAATATTCCTCTTCTCATGTACATCACCTAGATACCAACGTATTTTCCGATAGAACTTTCCACTTTGCGACCGTCGTCGACATGGAGAAAGAAAATCATTGGTATGAAGGCCACAGGAAAACGACGTCGGCTTGTAGCCAATTGTGTTTTCATTTGGTCTTGTGCGATTCCCTGTATGCTGCCGCTCGATCTTTCGTAATACTATTATTGGCATGTGCCTTCATGTGTGCGCCATTTACGCGACGTTGCGAGATCGAGCGAGGTGCACCACTGGCTGTGAAGCGATCTTGTGCGCCGTCGACAACGACGTGAGGCATCGCGACCTCTTCGCAAATCCAATTGGCAACCAACGATGCTGCGGTCAGTTTCAGTGATAATTTGGAATTTTACACAGAGATGAACATTGGCGTGCCGGAGATATAAATGTAGATCATTATCTCGAGATCGTTGACATAACATGTGAGGCAAACAACCACAGCGGCAAGCATTGGTTGGCCAATATTGCACGAATTTTGGGATTCCCCCCAGCACCCACCCTGTTGCTATTTGTAGGATTTCCGACATGCATGTACATGGTACATGTGCCAAATTCCATGCGCGAAGATCAATGTGGTACACATGTGATATGTTCCGATCTCGAATAGTGAATACTGCATAATGATATTCCATATTCGGAGTCCATTCTGAGGTTCGGCACGAAGACTTTATCAAGTGGAGTGTGGAATCGATCATGACGTTCCTTCACAGCCCTGGATTGTTCACACCCTGGCATACCTATCTAGGTAGGCATGGATCATCACCAAGGTATCTGGGTGTTTATGCACCTCACACCCTGGAAATACCCATGGACCGACGATAGATGACAAACTTTGTCAAGAATTACAAAGATAGTATGATGCATGAGAGAAAAATGATGGCAGAGGTATTCTTCAGTTGACTCATTATCTCCTATGGCTATCACGGCTATCACGACTATCTCGATGTCGCTCGCGATCCGATGGGCGGCGACGGTCGTCGCGGTAATCGTCCGAACGTCGGTGATCTCTTCTGTCGTCTGCGTACCGATCTGAACGTCGTTTTGGACTGCGACTACGAGACCGCTGTCTTCTAGAATCACTCGGACGGTCGGCGGGCCGGGCGTCGTCGCTCCGAGATTTGTCCTTTTTATCGAACACATAGTCGTAATGGCGTCGGCGGTCACGATCAGAACCGCTGTCGCGGTATTGCTGCCGCTTTTCTAACCCATCAATACCGCCAAAGCCACCACGATATCTCGCAGTCTTCGACTTAGTGTTGCTACGCCACTCGGCGGAGATTTTGGAAACGCTCTGAGAGAAGTCCACATGGATGCGATGGTCATCAATCAAAACGCCCTGCATTTTGAAGTATGCCCGCTCACAGTCTTCTTTTGTGGCAAATTCGATGAAAGCGTACTGCAAACTATCGCCGGTCTTCTTGTCACGGATGACCTCGCATGAGAGGATCTTGCCAAAGCGGGAGAAGATGAGTTCGAGGTCTTCGTCTTGCGTGACAGGATTCAATTTACACACGAAGAGGATCTGCTCGGGGGGTGTGACATCGGCGAATGGTAAATCGCCAATCAACTCAAGCGTGAGTGCCTGAGCTCTTGCTTCACGCTCCCTCCGGATCTGCTCCAATTTCTCCGGATCTGTGTTTTCTGCCAGAACCTCATCGTGCGCGATGCGTACCGTGGCACGTTGCTCCGCAGAGGGTACAGGACTTCCAGGTGGGTCTACCATGCCTGACGGATCAGGATAAGGGTCGTCTAGGACGACGGTATGTAAAATGCGAATATCCTGGAGAGGTCGGCCACTTTGGTCGACAAAGGCTGTGTTTATCTTTTCAAGCGCATCAAATCCCTCGACCACCTCGCCAAAAATCGCTGCCTTGCCATCTAACTGATCGATATTGTCCCCAAGTGTGATGATGAATTGACTGCTTGCGAGCCTGTCGTCGGGATTTGATTTGGAGACCGTAGTTGCCATGCTCAATGTACCACGCTCGCCATGCTTCCTCTTTCTGGAGAATTCTGGTTGAAATGTAGCGTTTTGCGCTCTGCTTGGACGCTTGGTGGTTCCATCAGGCAAGCCCCAGATCGAGCAGCCTCCATCGCTGTCTTTAGATTCGGGTCCTATTGGATCGCCGCTTTGGAACGAGAAGTTCGCCTGGACATTGTAGATGGGCGAATAGTTGTAATATTTGATCTTGCAGAGTTTCAGGAAACTACGGACACCACGACGCGACTTAGCAATATGATCAGCCTTAATTGACGATGAGAGGTGTGGAATGAATGTCAAGCAAGATCCTACTTACTTCTCACAGCATCGCGGTGCATCATTGATGTAGAGATCGACGGTGATATCACCTGCAGAGGTTTCCAGCAGCACTGACATGGTGCGGGATGTGTCGCGCCAGGGTCACTCGCCCGTCCATCAGATGCTGGACGTTATGCTGGTGGTGAGGCGAAGCTGTCGATAAAGTCGCGATGATGACGCGATATCAGCTGATGATTGGAAGCTGCCCAGGCGGGAAACGATAATTCCAAATTATTTTATTCTGTTGCGACAGCGGACGGGGCCGGGAAGTTCGGCGTGGGCGATGCCTAATGACTGTTGAGGGGCACAGCAGCCGGCGACAAACACACATCACCTGGCACATGCAGTCCTCCTGTTGCTCCTGCATAACGATGTTTCAGTAAGTACTCCAGTTGTAGATGGTGTTCCTCGCCTCATCGCTGCTCTTTCTTTGGCACACCTGGACAAGCGCCACTGCTCCCCAAACAACATTTTATTTGTAGCCTCGGGACTGATCAGACGAAGCTACTTGCCCTATATCGTACAGGTCGATTTGCATTCCATCCTCCACCAACGCGACGTCTACCATCAGACCGGATCGAGTGGGTGTCGCCATCTCGCACGAGCAGCTACATCATCCGTCCACTATATTTTGAGCGGGACCATGACTCTCCCATCTATGTGCCGCTCAAGATCATCGTCGCTTGCTGCACCGCCACATCGGAGCATGTTCCGTTGGCGCTTCGGAAGATTTTGGCATGACGTTGATTTGTGTTGACTAGGTAGACGGACAACGCAAGGGCATGCTGCTCCAAAAATGGCTTCCAGTTTGGCGGTAAGTGCCCGGATCTGGAGCGATACCGAGATCCCAGGCGCTCGCACAATCACTCGGACATCTCGTTTGGCTTATCGAGACGTCACGACTGCACACGCAAACAGCTTCGAACAACCATCGAAGAGCAATACATCCCGAGCCCGTCGCAATGTCACGTATCGTTAGAGTTTCTCTCGTTTTAGCAGGCCGTGGCATAAGATTTCATCTCGCTTGTCCACCCGTAGCGAGCGCGCACTATAACGCCGAGCACGTCCATGTCCATCTGCTTGTATGTGCGGCGCCACGATTTTGTGCCCACATAATCACCACAATCGTCAGAGCTCAGCATGCAGCCGGCAGTCAGTTCATCTGATCGGCATTTGCAGAAGACTCGCCGATAATATCACATAATAGACGCTCGTCTTTGTTTAGAAATGCGGCAAACAAAGACATACTGTCCCTAGGCAGGTACCTACCTAGGTAGGTCGTGAGGAATTTGGAATTTGGAATTTGCACCTTGCGTCTTCTCCACCAATAACAGCCACAAGCGATGAGCCTCTAACCCCGAGTTGACTGCGCGGATAATAACCTGCATGAATCCAACAGAGACAACATCCAGCGACATGCTTTTCCGACCTCCCATAATCATGTGCTCGCTGTTCCTGGGCAACCTTTGTCTTGATTCCTTGCAAAGGTCTTGTCATCTTTTTTGTCACGAGGGCCAAATTGCTGACGTTCGGTTGGGCGTTGAGGAACATCATGGCTAAATTGGCCTTGGACAAGACTTCGTGCGGCATCTGCAGATTGCTGGCGCGGCAGTGTTTCAGACCGCAGGCATCGTTGCGGCCCTCTTCCTCCGAAGCTACAAGACGATGGACTTGATATGTGGCGATGATGCCCGGATCGACATGCATATGCGGGTGTACAGTAACCCAGTCACTGCATATGCGATGGACTTGTCCATTCTCCAACAACTTGAACCACAAGTTGCGCGCTTGTTGGCGAACCATCTCGTCAATCCTGCATGCCATTCTAAAGCATATTGTGCTGTGCTAGCTCAACAGTGTCGCTGTGCAACACGTTTTTACACGCTTGGTCTCTTCACGGGTACGAGCATAGTAATCAAAATGGAAGTGACAATTGCTTGCATGCAGCCCGGGGTCTTCCTTGTCTCTACACTCATCAGACCTGCTTGCATACTAGGCCGCTGTCGTCAGTCGGTATAACACGCCAGCACTACCGTCATCACATTTCGCTTGAGAGACTACTTATTGAGCCCACTCCCTCGCTCATCGACGACCATTGATCTCATCGTTGTCATCGCTTTGTTAGTCCAGGGTTTCACAACACGGTCTACGTGCCAACTTCTCTTTACACACATCCGCCTTGACAATCGTTTACCTTCTTAACGACAGGGAATTGTTTCATCAACTTCTTCGTCTGAACCCAACTCGCCCGCAAGCCGCAGATCAATTATCCATGTGCTTGCAGCAATCCATATTGGGACATTATCCTACCAGGTCTGTTCTCTTTCCGGATGCTCAAGTGGAACTATCATCACAAAGAAGAAAGGGGAATCACAACAGAGCTAATATGAAGGCTCCCAAGAACAATGGCAGCATGTCGGCAGGCCGACATGCGAGCAATCGGGCATCATCACAGCGTGGTTCACCGAACGAACACTTGAGTCGTTTTATCGGCAATGGAAGTCGACGAGGGTGTGGCAAGATCAGCAAGAAGACGCAATCGGATTCAGAGCGAAAGCGCAACAGCCTCGCTGTGAGTGACTATGGTACAAAGCTGTCCATATGCGATGACTGACGCTGCATGTTTAGTGTGCTCGCTGCCGTAAGCGCAAAATCAGATGCTCGGGGCATCATCTCGATGATAATCCCTGCGACGCATGCAAAGCAGCCGGCACTGAAGTCGCATCTGAGTGCGTGTTTATCCGTGTATGTCTCGACAATTTCCTCGCACCATACTCTTATACTGACCCATCTGTAGGTAAACGCACAAGAACTCCAGGACCTCGATGTTAAATCAAGGTCACTGCATAAAGAAGCGTTCTTGCCATCGGCTGAAACTCCAGATACATTCCCACTTGAGTCTAGCCATCGCATTCTTGACAAGCACGCCTCGCAATACTGCTTCGAAGAAAGACGACCCAGCCTTGTCTCCCGTAACACCACCAACTTCAACAACCAAGATCACACAACATCGCTGGATCCGTCGCTGCTGGCGGCATCTCTCACCTCATTCGAGTCTCTGGAAGGTTTTGAAACATGGAACATGGCCTCATCTTTGCCACCGCTCCCGAATCACGACGCAACAAACCTGCAATACGTAATGGCATACACCGAACCAGCGATTACCGTACACCCCAATTTTGAGATGTCACCGAATTTCCCACGCATTGACAGCAAGCCACTACCAGAACGTCCCATATCAACAACAGGCACTAATTACCAGACAGACGCAAGCTGTGATAGGCTGGAAAGCATGCAAAACGGCTTGTACGGCACCAAGTTGGGAATTGATGGCGGTGCTAATCTGTGCCCATCGCATTACCAACCGATGACACCTCAGAGCTGTGCAATTGACCCCAGTGGTAGCGTTCAAAGTCTTATGCCAACATGGCGGACTGCGCCAACAGATCGAACCTACCTACGAGAGGATGCCAGCAGTACCATTGGTCGCTTGCCATCGACACCCAGCACGAGTTATGGAAGTTTACCCATCTCTTCCGCGCCGAGTCCAGCGAGCATTCAAAGCTCGCGCCGCCATTCTATGCAACCCACCTCAGTGATGCCCAAGCAGCATTTGACAATTGGGTATAACATGAATGACCAAGATTCGGCTATGGGCGAAACTTTCTCGATGAGCTCTTACATACCTGAGCAGAGTCTACATGCATTTGCACAAGGCTACGGCGCTGCTCAACAGGCTGCACATCGGCGCAGAAGCCTCGATGACCACGTACCACAACAGCAACCGTGGGACTACGACTTATGTGCTCAAGGCACATACAATGCCTACGCTCGAGATCTTCAGTTCATGACGCCTTCTCCTTGCATGTCGTTTTGCCTATGAGGCACACCACACCATATTCGTCGATGCAGCACACGAACAGAACCTGAGCGACGCAACATACAACCGCCTGGCGGCACACGAGTCGGAGTGGCCGAACTGTGAGCGCCTTTGGGGACTACTCTTGACAGCGCGAACAAAAAGAGAGTGGGTTTGCAAGCCTCCCCATAGCTAGATGACATCTTTGTCGGTGCAATAAGCTGTTATTTTTTCACACGCAGACTGCAGGAAAAGTGGAGAGCGCGAGCGCGCGAGCGATGGGGAGAGCGGTACCTTTCATCATGACCATGACGAATAATGACTTCGATGACCTAAAAAGCAACAAATTTGACCTGCAATCACCTCACGGAGAGCCGTCCAATGGAATGACCGGTGAATGACTGTTGATGAAGGGATGGTCTCGCCGCGCGCCGACACAAATGAGCAGCGGCATGACGTGCTTCCATTTGCGCAGATGCCTACTTGACAGAGTCTTCCCGTGGTGGGACGTTGAGTCGTGCTGGAAAGTAAGGCAGCACCAAGCAGATGCAAGTGGTCTATAATAATTTCTGCAAGCTCCCGCGCGCGTACATGTCACAAATGTGCCACAGCCACAGATGATGGACCTCCTTCTCATTTCTGCCAAATGAGTCGACCGTTTGGGTTTAACGAAGAAGATGAATCGAACGAAGTATTAGCATAGACAGGTTGACAGCTGTGAGAATCAAATCGCACTTGCGTTGTGCATTTCTGAACATGAGCAAATCCCACTTATCGCTTGATGGACCCTCTCGTGATAAATGTCATCAGGAAACACTCTATCGGCATCGCCGAGACCTTCGTAGCATCATTTTCCTTTTCCGTCCACGGGCATTGTTCGCCGGTCGATCGTGTACGCCGGTTGTACGCCTCAAGCCCGGAAGCTGGGCTAGGAAAGGGTTGCGACAGGCGCTGCCACTCTTCTTCACGACATATTGGGCAACACAGGGCATCCGCCGTACTTGCTCAATGCCCTCCCCTCAGTTTGTGCTCCGTCCTCATCCAATTGCTCCATCTCACCATCTGCAGATGCCCCTCACCGCTCAGTCAACGAAACGATGAGTGCTGTCGCACGAACGGCTGTACATCACTGATTGGTGCCCTCACTGCTGTAGCTACCATCAGCACCTGCGTCGCCATCGCCTTCACCATCTACCAGCGGTACGATCCGAAAGTCCACAAAGGCCACGCCGTCGCCGGCGCCATTGGTTTCAATCTCAACAAGAAACTGTAGACTCAACACGCCGTCCTCGTCTAGCCGTAAAGACACTTTCGCCCCGGATGCCATGGCCCGCTGCGCGTGCTTGATCAGACTAAACTTGAAGCTGGCTGCTGTGCGTGCAGGACACTGAAATGTTTCGAGTATGGGCGTCTCCATCTGTACGTCATTTGCAAAGTCGACCGTCGCAGACCCGAGATGCCCAGTCCCGCTTAGCGACAGATGGGCACCGCTGCGGGCCGTGGTGGAGGCGGTGATCGATATGTCCGCTGGGCTCATGAAGCTCAACTCGTTCACGGCTTCCAGCAGAAAGTTGGACCGCATGATGGTCTTCAGTGCGAGGTGCTCACGATCGAATGGGATCGCTTCGGAAACCTCGGCATCGTACGTGGTCAGCTCGCAAGTTGTTGTGACGCCGGCTTCTGACATGTGAATGCTCAACGGACTTCCTTCGCCATCGTAGCTGAGAGTGCATACTCCCATCACGCCCAATGGCTGGTTGGCAAATGATCCGACGCCCGCGTGTCGATTCAGCCGGTGTGCTGCGAACGCGTCGTATTCGCCTGAACGTTTATTTGCGGCCGGATCGGATAAACTGAATATGTAGAACGTCTCGAGGAGCGAGTTTAAGTTGATCTCGAAAGCTGGAGGTTCCAGGCTTTCGCCTTCAGCCGTTGTGGAGACAGGTGGATTGAACGAATAGGAAGAGAACAAAGCCTTATCAAGGAAGACGAAAGCTTCCATGACACTGCCCTCCTCGGTGCTGAAGCGTAGGCCGTCCGATGACAACCGGACGTGCGCTTTCTTTGCAAATGCGATGCATCGGAGCAGCATAAGAATTTGCCGTGCAGAGGAGGAGACCGCACTGAATAGGGGTGTGTTGGTCGCCATAGTAGTAGCTGTAGGTGTAATATTTTAAGATGGAGTATAGACAAGTAGCCCTATTGTTCTACCCTGGTCTTCTCTTGTGTCTTCTTTGCAGCCCGAGAACCTCTGTATCCTCTGATCAGAACTAATATGAGATTGAAACCCAGGAAGAAAGCCACTAGACCGCAAACGCCGATGAAGAGGCCTGCGAGAACAGGATTTTTTCGCCAGTATGGATTCGGTTGGCGGCGTTGTGATTGCCCCGGGGCCCGGTCCTGTACTTCTAGTTGATTTCGCCGACGCCGAAGCGCGGTTCGAGGCTGCGAGTGTGACTTGGATCGTGACCAGTCGTTGGGCCTACGGAACGGTGTGGTTTTCGATTCATTCGCGGAGGTAGAGGTGGGTTTAGACATAGACGCCAACTGCGCAGATCATGAATACGGAACCGAATCTTGTATGGGTCAGCAATGCGGTCATACAATCAATCAGCAGATTGGTTCCTACCCGAACGCAAGAGCAGCGGGAATGGCGTAGAGCGGAATGTTCTTCAGCTTGAGGTCTGCGGATCAAAGTCAGCCACCATTGATAATGAAAAGATCATGCTTTGATCCAGATGATGGTTATTGAGCTCAAGTACCTAGACCAAATAGGCTGGTGAGAATGGTAGCAGTGAGAAGTAAAACCGTCGCAATGGTGAATTGAGAGTCTTTGGGAATTGTCGACTCAAAGGGCGAGTTGGCCGCGTCGTCCCAGAGTCCTCGAAGTGATGGCGCAGACATTTGGCTGGATCGAAGGTTGTCTATCTTTGTGACTTGTGAATGCAGATGTTTGTCAAGGTGGAGATCGCGAACGTGTAAGGATCACCAAAATCTACCATCTGTGAGCTGCAATGCGTGCAATGCTCTCCAGCTAGCGACGCAATGGACATGTGTCGCGGTCGACCCTGCCAAGACCGGCATCAGCCGACCTGCGATCAACGAAGAGGACATGCACTTGAACATCACAACGAATCCCTACCAACAATCTTGCCCGAACACATTAATTGTTATTTGATTCGATCATGAAACTTCCTAATGTCGGCCTGACTCTCAGCTAGCCTCAAAAACATTGCTAGGAAATTACATTGGTCTTGAAAGTATTATACTGTTCATGCATGTGAGAGCTCTCTCACAACCGCCGCACGTGGAAACAACGGACCAATTCCGCGTCAGCGCGTCGTCGCCGCCTTTGTGCCCGTTCCTGGTCATTTGTGAATTCCACGACTCTTGCGACAACGAACTTTCCTAGGCACGATGGCACAGCCGGGAACGAAGGATGACAGCAAACGAAAGCTCGAGAATGGCGACGCGACTGAGGGACATGAACCTAAGCGACTAAAGGCCTCGACATCGCCAGAGCCAACGGAGGAATCCAACGAGTCTGGCGCAGAGACCGCACCGGCTCCACCACTTTCCTCAGCCTTTCCAGAGAAACCTGCGGTGACGGAAGAGCGTGTTGGTGACATATCGTTTTACGTGGTCAACAATGATGGCAAGCCACATTCGAACATCATCCTTACCGGTCTGAAATGTATATTTCAGAAGCAGCTGCCTAAGATGCCAAAGGACTATATTGCTCGATTGGTATATGATCGCACACATATGAGCATAGCTATCGTAAAACGACCGCCTGTTGGCAGCTTCGCCGACCTGTCTGGAATGCCTGGTGAGGTCGTGGGAGGGATCACATACCGACCTTTTCGAGGACGACAATTTGCGGAGATTGTTTTCTGTGCTATCAGTAGTGATCAGCAAGTCAAGGGCTACGGTGCACATTTGATGAATCACTTGAAGGACTACGTGAAGGCCACGAGCGATGTCATGCATTTCTTGACCTACGCCGACAATTACGCCATTGGATATTTCAAAAAGCAGGGCTTCACAAAAGAGATCACACTGGAGAGGTCAGTCTGGATGGGTTATATCAAAGATTATGAAGGTGGTACTATCATGCAGTGTTCTATGCTGCCAAAGATACGTTATCTGGAGTCTGGCAGAATGCTACTCAAACAAAAAGCCGCCGTGCATGCGAAGATTCGCGCCGTGAGTAGAAGTTATGAAATCCATCAGCCGCCAGCGGAATGGAGGAACGCGAAAGATCAGAAGAACCTCCCTGCTCTGGATCCTTTGTCGATAGATGCGATCAAAGCCACGGGCTGGTCTGCTGACATGGACGATCTCGCTCGCCAACCACGCCGAAACCCGTCTCATGGTCTGCTGCTTAGCCTGCTCTCTGCCCTACAGACAAGCAGCGCCGCCTGGCCATTCCAGCAGCCAGTCAACGGCGATGAGATTCAAGATTACTACAATGTCATCAAAGAACCCATGGATCTTGGCACAATGGAGGCAAAGCTCGAAAAGGATCAGTACGAAAACGTCGAGGCGTTCATCAACGACGCTTTGTTGATTGTGCGAAACTGCCGACGCTACAATGCGGAGAGCACACCGTATGCCAAAGCTGCTGTGAAGCTTGAAAAGGAACTTTGGAAGCGGATCAGGGACGTACCCGAATGGAGTTACTTGGAGCCCGAAAATTTCGAAGGCACCAACCGCAAAGCCGAATAGTCTCGGCCCTGCATTCGCCGCGGTCAGCGAGTCCGTATCAAGAGAAGGCGATCTTCGTAAAACTAGAGGTTATTCCCCTGCGGATCTGTTGGCATGAGAGCCAAGACTCGTCATCAATATTTGCTTGATCAAGTCCTGGATTGGCACAGGTTTCATACGATTGGATCCAGCGCGCACAAGTGGCACGAATGGCTTCGACTGGAATCAGGAGCACTCGCGTGTCGGCAATTCTCATGCGTTGTCATTGCCGCCACATAATAGTGTCGCTTCCTTATGTTGTTCACCGGTTTGACCGCACGACTAGGGTTCCAATTCGAGACTGAGCAATCTCCGTCGAAAGCATGCTCCGTTGGGGGCTGCACATCTGATGAGGTATTCGTCATGACCAATTGTTGTTTGCGCGTCTCGCGGAAGCAGCAACTGGGAAGGCTCGCGCAATCATCTCGATGGCTTGCGTTTTTGCGTAGTGCATACCATGCACTCAGCAATGTCGCTCCATGCGCTCACTTCAGCATCGGACATGATGCCATGATGCCATGCGGCGGGACCCGGGTCAACCATGCTATTCCGATAATGCATCTAGCATTAGCTACAGAGCAGCCGGCATCCGGATCACGCGCCCCGCCAAGCCGCACGTTCTCGCCTTGTGTCAGGGCATAAGATTGGTGCAACAGGGGTAATTTGCCCAGTCATTTGATTGTGTGCTTAAATGCAATACATGTCCATGTTTCGTCGACATCACGGCTTTGGTCTGGCCATATTGCTTGTATCGATGTCTTCTGTCCGCACGATATATACGTGCTTTCATTGATGAGGAATCGAGTTACAACTCGGCCCCGCATTCCCGCGCGATCAGCAAAGAACCAGCCGAATGTAGGCTCCATTGGTCGCGAGGCAGACGCGCGAACCATTGCTTCGCCAGCAACACATGCAGTAGATGATTCTCAATTCGCACTAATGTAACAGGTGCATGTACAACAGTCGCGAGGTAACAGTGGGCATGTGCGTCTCATCCAAGATCATGCCATTGCATTCATGCTCAACTCGCGAAGCAACCTTGAATCCCGACGTAGTTCTCGATCACGCCACGAGGGCGTGACTGATCGGCACAAACTCGTTAGCAATCCCAGCTGTCGGGTGAAGCAAGACAGAGCAAACCTTTCAACCGTCAAATCTGCAGGGGTATAGACAATATTGTTTTATGGGCCTCACACGTCAAGACTTTGCTTACTGCATGCCAAGCCTCTTCGGGACTACAATCAGCGACAACAAAGGATGTACGTCTAATTGAAAGCAGTACCTGCATGGATGATCGTGTTCTCTTGCAACTCGATCTGGGCAAGTCGGCTCCTGGTGCATCACGACTTCGACAATTCGGGTACATGTGGCACTGCTGACGACCATGCACATGTGTATCGCAAGCAAGGCTTCCCAAATACAATTGACCATCATGTGTTGCAGCAGCAGTGTCATTATACCGATGATCGGAAACTGCATTGGCGTGCTTTGACGATAATCACTGTCATCAAGCCGATCCTTGCATTTGTGCCATTTGATTACACCAAGCCGCGATCAGCTCCCTGACCTCCGTCCGCCTGCTGTGTGCTGTGCCATAGCTCAGCATATAAACATATCCTCGCGCCCAACTACTCTTGGATTCCTGGACCAACCTGCTTTCCTGTCACATCATCGCAACACACTATGAAGACCACTTTTATCTCTCTCCTCGTTTGCGTCACCGCCAGCTTTGCTGCTGCGGTCAATCCTCGCACGCTCGGACTCTTGTTTGGCTTGAAGCCCGTGCTAACGCAGACGAAAGCTGAGGAGATCGTGAACAAGTTCAAGTCAGTCTTGGAGGGCGTCAACTACAAGGGCAAGACTCCATTTCAGACGACCCAGGATGTCGTAGCAGAGAACTACATCGAATACTCTGATTCAATTCAGTCTCTCATCTCGCTCAACAACACTGTGAGTAAGGTCTTCATCGCTTTGATGCTGGGGCAACTTTGCTGACGATCGTGAAATCAGCTCGGCGATGGTGTGAACCCTTCGGCTGTAAGCCGCGACGAATGGTACGCTGGCGTCAGTAAAAACCCCAGTCCGAACATTAAGACGCTCGGCATTTTTGTTTCGGGCAGCAACATTTTCTGGTACTGGATCTTCCCGGAGGTCGGCATCAAGAAATATCCCGTCAAAGGCTTCAACTTACTTCGCGTCAATGAATTCTACCAGATCAACGAAGCCGACATTGAATTCAACAGCATTGCTTGGGGTGTCGACATCTTTCAGATCCAACAGTACTGTGGTGCTCCACCCGCACCTCATTGATGAGGTGTTTTACCAAGCAATGTGATGAACATCACGACGACGCTTGCAGTACCGCACGAATCGAAAAGTATCAAGGAAGATTAGTGGATGATAATTTGAGGATTGTGAATTAAGTGGAACAACGAATTTTCAACCGTGAAACGTCGTCTTGCCTTGAACTGTAGTCGTAGTGAAGTTGATTCTGAGCCAATACAGGATTATCTAGGCAGGAGAGAATCGCCATTAGCTTTCCATATGATAGACGATACACGATCTCAACGCAGCCTGGGGCACGACGTAGTGACCTGCATATCTCGAGAGGTCCGTGCACAAAATTTTCGAGCAAGCCCGAGTGCATTCTTGAGAATTTACTTGCGCCTGATATTTCCACATGAGATATCAAACAATGGCCGACATCACCAGCATCCTTGCGGATTTCCGCGCAGCTTCTGAAGCAGCGACCAAAGGATTACCAGAGCCGGACTCTGTGGGGTCTCCGGACAATGGCATTTCTCTGCTAGACGCGAAGAATGAGATATTTCTATCGTATCTGCAGGCGCTCGCATTGCGCAATCTCAATGTCATCCGATCGCTGAAGGAAGGCGCGGATGCCGAAGCAGCACAAGAACTTAGCAACGAAATTACGAAGAAATTAGTCGAGCATCGTGTCTACCTGGAACGTGGAATTCGACCTCTTGAGCAAAAGCTCAAATTCCAGGTAGACAGGGTCGTCAAAGCGGCAGAGGAGGCGCAAAGCGCAGCGAAACAGCCAGTGAGAAACGGGAGCAGCAAGAAGGCCACTCAAAACGGAAACGCTGGAGACGAGAGTTCGGGAGATGACAGCGAGGATGACGACGACGATGACAGCTCCGTCTCTTCGGTTGAACAAGTCGACAAGACAGCCTTCCGGCCCAATCTTTCCATGATGGCCAATAAGGACACACGTGCGACTGCGAGCCAGAGGCCACAAGCGCAAGAGGACGCTGTGTACCGTCCACCACGAGTTTCCGCAACAGTCATGCCTACCACCGATCGTCGCGAACGTGCTGAGAGGAAACCTATAAGGTCCAAGACCTTGGACGAATTCGTTTCCAGCGAATACTCACAAGCACCTATGGCCCAGCCTAGCATCGGCAGCAACATCGCTGCCGGAGGACGTCATAACAAAAATGCTCGACAGCTTAAGGAAGAACAGGAGAGGCGCGATTATGAAGAAATCAACCTTGTACGTCTGCCCAAACAATCGAAGAAAGAGTTGGCCATGAAGGGCTATGGTCGTGACAAGGATGGCGGGTTTGGAGGCGAGGAGTGGAGAGACTTGAGCACGAGTTTGGATCGTATCGGTGATCTTACACGTCGCAAGAGTAAGGACACTGTCTTGGATAAGAGCCGGAAGCGAAGAGCTGTCGAAGATGGACCTCGCGGCGACGGCATAGGTTCACAGTTCGACGTCAAGAGGAAGCGAATGCAGAGAAGAGGGCAAATGTGACGCAGTATGCCTTTGACTAAACACCAGGCTTGTCTTTGATGGGACGATGAACGATGTCTTATTAAAGGCGTGACTGCGGTACATTGGACTACCGTTGCATTATTCGTACATCAAATTGCTACATATCGATCGCCAGCTCAGGTACTCGCCATCTTAGTCGGCAAAATCTCAGCAGCCTTCGCGATCAAAACGTCAACGCTCCCGAACTTCTCCGGCAAGCACGCACTCAACCATTGTTCTGCCTTTGCGACCACAAATTCCCATACATCTTTGTCGCCTTTCCGCATGATTCGGAACCATGCGATCGTTAAGGCCGTCGCAGCAATGTTCTTATCGCCGCCAAATTCATCCAACGCAATTCCATTGTGATTGATCTTCATCATCTTGAACAGAGCATCATCCCAAAGCCAGGATCCAAAGAACTGCTGCTTACCGATGACCTGCTGCACCTGGTCGGCTTGACTGGTCGGCTGCTGCTGTGATGAGGTGTTGGGACTTGCAAGTGAATTTGACTGTTGGCCGGAAGGAGAAGACTTTTTCGACGCTTTCCCGAACAGTCCTCCGATACCACCAAACCCAGATCGTGGAGTGGATTCTGTCGACACGCTACCGAATAATCCACCGGTACTGCCAAAGCCAGATGGTGGAGTGGATTCGGTCGACACGCTACCGAACATTCCACCGCTACTGCCAAAGCCAGATGGCGGAGGCGTAGAATTCGTCGAGGCGCTGCCAAACAGTCCAAAGCTCCCGCCATATTGTGGTTGGACACAGCCGAACCCACCAGGAGGAGGTGGTGGGGCTGAGCTAGTCGAAGACAATCCGCTGCCGCCCAAGGCAGACTGGCTGAAAGCAGACGGCGCTGCGCTTGAGGGAGCAACAGAGCCAAAACCTGAAATCTGAGGGACGGCCGCCTGATGTCCTGCATATGTCGATTTTCCAAACATTTTCGCCGCCGGTGCTGCAGGTGCTCGTGCTGATGCTGGTGCTGGCATAGAAAAGAGACTACGAGGAGCGCCGAAGCTACCACCACCTCCTGACCTTGCAACGGATGCAGACTTGCGTCTACCGGGGGCCAGGGCGTTCGATGTTGCAGTGACTGCGGGCGGAGGGAGTTCGTCTTGACTCCGTTTGTTCACTGCAACAAAAGATGTCCATTTGCTCGCCACCTGAAATTTCTCACCCAGTGTGACGGCTTCGCGCTCGACAAGCTCATCGAAGCGGCTGGGATATCTCTCTTTTACGAGGACCTGGCCATCGCCTTCGGACGGCAATGTCGTGGCGTGCTGCATCCAGCCACGTCCTTCTTCAAGCTCCTGAACGGCCTTCCTTGCGGCGAGCTGATGAATGTTCGTTCCGGTTCCGTGGACTTTCTTGACTGGGATGTTCAACTCAAGAGGCCCTGCATCACTCGACGCTCGAATCGTGATCGAGGCGATTTCGCGCTGAACGGATTCGGGACCTAAAAGCAGATACACTGTGGTCCGGCTGTACGGGAACAGTGGAGGTATGTCAGACGGAGTTTGTAATATCTCGGGGGTTGTGACCTTTGGCAAGTGGGCGTATCTGTCCGTGGTGGTCTGGCTAGTCTGCTTCACATTGTCGTCATCGGTCAAAGAGTCAAAGAATGATTTTGCTTTTGGAGGAGCAGCTGGCTGCTGTGTGCAAGCACCCGATGACTCATCATCCTTGATGTGCAAGTATTGATCCACTTTCTCAATAAGCTCAAAGCCATCGTCGTCGTTGTCCTTGGTAGCCGTCTTGCTGGTCTCCGCATAATGAACTTCGACCGAGTAGTCCCTGGTATGGGCGTATAGCGCACTTTTCAACATGCGCATAACCTTTTTGCCAGTCTCCTCGCTCTTATCCACGAACTGGGCAAACCCGTTGCCCGCTCTCGCCACGCCTTCCACGAGAGTATGCGAGACGTCACTGCCGACGCCCAAAGCAAAGACTCGGGCGTTGGCTTTCTTATCTCGTACCTGCTCATGGATGTACGAAAACACTTCTTCCTCGCGCCAGATTTGGCCATCGGTCAACAGCATGACTTCCAGCGGCATGTCCGAGAGACGATTTTCGAAAGCAGCTTTGATCGGTCCAAGGATCTCGGTACCGCCACGCTGCGCCTGGAAGCTTTCGAGACACTTAAGAGCATTGGCGACGTTTTCTTCGCTGTACGCCTGTGATTTGGGCCAGAGATATTCAAAGCCATTGCCGAACGCGCAGATATTGAATCTCACGCCGAACGGAAGGGATTTGATGAACACTTTGAGCGCCGACACCAATGCTTCATTCTTTTCGCCTTGCATGCTGCCAGATTGATCTGCAATGAAGACGATTTCGGGATGTGCTGGATCCAGCGCAAATTTTGGGACCAGGGTGGCCATGATCGCACGCTGATTCTCGAGCGTAGGGTGTGTCTCGAGAATGGCCTGCGGGTTGTTGAGATTATCGACCAAGACCTGCAGAACGAAATCTTCTGCCAACTCGGCGGACGCGAGGGCAAGAGTTGCTGAAGCAAGAGATGGATTAAATACGGATGTTCCGCCCGTCGTCGAAGCTCCATTGTTAAGCTGACCCAGCTCGACAGCAATGGGATGCGATGGAGATTGAATCTTTCGAATGGCGGAAGAAGCCATATCGAGGTCAACGGATATTTTGATGCCGCCATTTGCCACAGCATTTGACATTCTAGCCTCGCCAGGGTACGATCCGTAACGAGGTGCTATGCTCGTTGGAAGCGTATAGCGGAGCCCATCGACGGCTGCATCATGCTTCAGTTCACCACCATACGTGATACGAACAATCACATCTGTTTTGGCGGGAACATTGCCGATGGTGACACCGAATATGCCAGCAGGTAGCGATTCCAACAGTCCGGCAGTCTCATTCCTATCAACAGCAGCCTGAAAGATTTGTTTCGCATCAGCTTTATGCTTCACGATTCCATGGAGCACTTGATCTCCGAATGTGATCGTAAACTTGTTAACCGCAACGCCATCGTAGAGAGGGAATGTATATTGGGCGTCTTTGATTTGAGCTTCGTTGGAATTATGGAACGTCTGGGTCAACTCGGTTGTGAAGCTCAGGGGTGTAATAGTCGTATGGGAGACGAGTTGAACCTGTGGTAGATACTGGCGCACGGAATTCCAAACATAATGGCAACCACAGATGTGCAGGTTTGGAGCGCTTTGATTGGGATACCACGGCATTTCAATATCAGTCTTTGACTCGGCACTTTGTTCTTGTATAGATGTTGTTAGACGATTGTCGTCGGGCGTGGCGTGGCGTGAGCGATATCTCGTTGTACTGGGTAATCAGCGGCGTTCTTGGCTGTGCTGCTGTGCTGTTCAGAGGATCACAGTGGGTAGTCTGGATGATTTTCGTTATTTGATGATGTTCATGGCAAAGTGAGATTCACGTCTATGTATGCAATATATAACAATCATTCAGGCCATCGAGACTTCATGAGTCGTCGTCCTGGTCGTGACCTGCTCGCGATGCCTGATTGGGCACCTAAAGTCTGCCTGCTGTCGTCGTGGTTGCCTGGAGTCGCCTATTTGGTTTGCAAAGCAGCGTTTGGAAGCACGCGACTACCGTTTTCGCTCCATTCCCTAGGTATTCATCAACATCAAAAGGCATCAACATGGTCGCCTAGTAAATGATGATTATAAGCCCCTCGAATTGCACATATCCGCAGGGATCAGTTTGATGTATCGCGAGTTTTGTGGTGCCCAGGTGCCCAGGTGTGCATCATCGTCAGGGTTGGGCTCGGGCTTAACGAGACATTAGGGTTGACTCTGCCACGTGGAAGCGACAGCCAGTACAGTAGCAAGTTGTTAGCCGCATCACATTTCTTCTTGCCAAACTACTTAGTACCTATGAAGGTACCTGGGTAGGTGGACATCATTGTAAAGCGGTCCAAGGTTCTGGATGGATTTGCGCGATGGGGCAACCGATACGGGATCGCCATTGGGACGCTCCAAACATCTGGCATCGTGGTGACAGGCCCAAGACTGTGTGCAAATTGGGAAATTTGATGAGTCACACGCGTGCAGGACATCCCGGCCATATCTAAGGCTACCTAGATGCAGCTGATGTGATGGTTGAAATGTACAGATAGATAGGCGTATGACGGCCGAGGTCTGCAAGCCACCAGCGAGCGGTAGCATCGGGGTTATCAACGAACAAAACTCCTAGATATGCACGGGGTTGCGCTTGGCATCGGCTTGAGACTCCGTCCCGTCGGCCGTCGAGCCGATGAAAAATTCAGAAAAATTCAGGGATCCATCGGCTTGCTGCGACGGTGAGGAGCGCAAACTTTCGCAAAGCCGAGCCGGCCTGGCCCCGCCGTTACAGTATGAAGGAATAGGAATTGCAGAAGATGGGAAGTATTGGGTTGACGAGTGGATGTGAACGAAACGTTGCATCGCGATTCATCACGGTGGATACTTTTCAATAGTCGTGGCTTGCGGCTTCGTTCTTTTTTCTTCGTCGTCTGCTCATTTCCTTGTCTACTATGACACATCGCAGCGCATCGCCTTGCCGTTAGAGATTTGTTTCTCGGCCGCCCTGCCTTTAGAGAAACTCGAGCGGCCCCGCCTGCCTTTAGAGGAGAGTGCACACGACAACTTACCGCGCGTTACATCCACCAATCCCCGCACTATTTGGCAAATAGCGCTGACGCAGGGTTTGCAAAGAGGCTTGCTTCGATGATGCTCGTGACTGTTCTTCCCATCTGCGATACCCGGGCTTTCTCTGCTTTCCTCGGGCTCATTGTGTGTTCCAGCACGTGTTGATGGCAGCAATCCTGCATCAGGCTCGGTTGATGCGCACGGCTAATGATAAGCACGCGCCAGCGAGGCGGAAGCCACTAGATGGACGGTATCCGCAGTAGCCACCATTAGTCAATTGCAGCACGCCCTGTGACCGACATCTTCAATGGGCACACCATTGAAAACCCACGCCAGGGATTCCAGGGATAGATTCATCCTCTGATAAGCCGATTACCAAGCATGCGCCAAAGCAGGAGTCGTCAAGGACGCTGATGGTGGTACAGCGCATGGCAGACACTCTGGCCAGCATGATAAATCAGCAGCTGTTCCGCAAGCATTCCGTCATGCCGACTTGTGATCGCACGAGGAGGAAAGCTGAAGAGCACATGATGAAAATGGGTAGGAAGCACATCACTGATGAGAATACAAGTGTGACTGGTGTAATGGGTCTCGATGGATATCCCGCCAGCGCCGCTGCGATGATCGTAGTCGAATCGTTCCAAGGTTGGTGGATACACACCTGCTCCATACAGTATGTACCCTCAAAATCCGGACGTTGAAGGAGGTGGGAGGGTCGAACATCGACATACAGTGGTTCATTGTAGGGCACAGTTTAGATTGGCTGAATGCGCAGAAGAGGACAAATGGGCGACCATCACACCACTTTCCATGGTCTCCAGGGCTTTTTTTACTACCACCATCTAGCACATACCTACGTGCTACCAACCTAGGTATGTAGGTATTTGTCGATGAAAGTGTTGTGCCCTCCCCGGGTGTGCTAAGAAATTTTAGCTTGTTGGCTGCATGGATCGATGGACACCATCTCGCTTCTCCAGCTTGTCTTCCCCATCATCATCACGCCTTCCTTTTCCTCTTTCGGGCCAAGCTCGATTGATGAGTCCGACACGAACTTGCAGTGATCGTAGCGGTGATGAGAAATAAGCTTGGAAGTGCAGCGATGGCTTGCTGGAATGCATTGGGTGGAGAAGGGAGAATTCCAGTGGCTTATGACTCAACAAAGACTGCCGTCGATGTTGAACCGAATGGTGTATGCACAGGTGATGATGAATCAATACACGCCCTACACTTGTGGTAAGTTGTGGATGCTGGGTGTCGTCGTAGTTGCAATGCAGCCGAGCGCGTTGAGGTCTGCGTGTTCGCCACGAAGCATAAGAGGTTGACACGCCCGCCTGACCCTCCCTTCTATCCCATCACAAACTGTCCATACCCAAAAGCTCGTCAGGTGTGCGAAAATTGTTCAATTGTTTGATTACCAGCAATATATCGTTTCCAGAGCATGCAAATGTCCTTGGTCGTTCCGTCGATCAAAGCAAAGATCCCTTCCCCTCTCGGAGAGATCGACATCGCTGACGCCCAGGGTCTCTTAAATCATCATCGCCGCCGCTTTGTGCTTGTTGCCAACAAGCCGCGGTGACTGCTGTCTTATCACTACCACCTCCATCTAAACGCTATTAATCTCAATTCGCCATTCCCACTTGCTTCAATCGCGACATCTGCGAAGTCGCTGGTTCTCTCTTGGATCGTCGGCCCCCGCACTTATTGCATACGCCTGCGACATCAGTGGCTGATCACGCATTGAATCGTTTCCGATCGCCTTCATTTTCGGAGACACATTGCCGGATCAGCAAAATTCATCGCACAAACTTAATCGCTTGATTTATCGTCAATTCAAGAAAACCCAGGTTGTTTCAAGTTTGCGCAACGAACGATCTCAAGCTTTTGATACATATCACTACCACCTTCTACAATGACCCCTGCTGTTGTCCCACCTGGAGTCGATAGCACCAAGATGGCTGCCAAACTGCGTGGCCTGTATCAGGCACAAAAGCCCGAGATTAAGATCACTTTGAGTCACAAGCAAAAACTATACACCACTTTGGACAGGGTAGAAGGCAAAGTGATCATTGTCACCCCTGTCGACGTTCCGTTCGATGAAGTTGAGATCGACTTCATCGGCACTTCACGAACTTATGTGGAACGAGTGTCGACAGCAGCTACCATGTCAGGTCGTTCGGAAGCGTTCCATCAGTTCTTGAAACTGCAACAACCTCGCCTGGATCGCCTGTATCCCACAGGAGGCGTGTTCAAAGCCGGTCAGGCATATGAATTTCCGTTCCTCTTTGTCGTCCCTCCACAATTGCTACCAAAGGTCTGTCAGCACAAGGTCGCTACTCCTGAACTCCAAGAGGCTCATCTCCAGCTTCCTCCTTCTTTTGGCGACAAAGAGGTGATAGGCAAAGGTGAAGCGGTCGACGACATGGTGCCCGACATGGCAAGCATTCGTTACGGCGTCTTTGCTCGCATCACGAAGAAGAAGGAGCAAGGTGGCGAAACAACCAAGACATCAGTAGCCACAAGAGCTCACCGTATTCGTGTGATGCCTGCGGTCTTGGAGCAGCCTCCGCTTGATGTACAGCGCGACAGCGAACATTACGTTTTGCGGAAGGAGAAGACGATCAAGAAAGGTCTGCTCAAGGGCAAATTAGGGACCTTAGTGATGGAGGCAACCCAGCCTCCTTCGCTTCGACTTTCTGCGCGCAGTCGATCTGAGGGTCAACCCACCACGATGGCCACTATCATGTTGCGCTTTGATCCCGCTGATGCATGCTCTAAACCCCCACGGCTTGGAAGTCTCTCCAACAAATTGAAAGTGTACACATACTATGCGAGCACAGCGCGCGTCGACTATCCTCGCAAGAGCTCTGCGGGTATTGATCTCTCACAAGGTCTCTACAGCGACCAAGTCAGCCTCTCGGCACGGTGCGTGGCCAATGCGGAATGGCAAAAGCACGATCCCACACGTCCGACAAATTTCGAGCGCCGTGACTCGACATTGTCCATGTCGTCGGTCGTCGCCTCGAACGACATCCCCGCACCGAGCACCACGTACGAGAATGGACGGTCATACTACACCACCAAGCTTCTCGTACCAATAACGCTCCCCGACACAAAGAGTTTCGTACCTTCGTTCCATTCGTGCTTGGTCAGCCGTATGTACATTCTGAAGATGGAGCTCGGTCTCAGCAGCGCTGGCATGGGTAGCGGTCTCATGCTGCGAGTACCTTTCCAGATCTCCTGTGGTGGCGTCCACGGTGATGTGGGCCAACGGCAAGCATCAGTCGTTTCGACCATATCGACCGAAGGCGAGGAAGATGCTGGCGCTGATGAAGATCTACCCGACTTTTTTGAGCCACGGACCATCCGTGCACCCTCTGAAGAACATGTCGGACGAAGCCGGATCGGCAGCCAAGCACCTGTGGACGCCGCACCTCCAGGTTATTCGATCGTCTCGCCTGCCATCAGCTAAGTGGCCTACATCCATCTAATATGGTTATGATACGGTTGCGAGAGACAGACTTGAGCATTTCCTTTTTCAGAGCAACACTTATTTCATGTCCCGTTTTTCATCTTTGCTCAAATTGAGGCACTTGCGCCGAACAGCGAAATTTATGATATCATGCAACCCTAAACACTGACGACATCGCGACAAAGAGATACAATACATAAATGCTAATCCCTAATGTTCCCTCACTTTGTTCTTGTTGACCTGGCGTGATCCTCGATCTCAGTGATGTATGAATATGCATGTCTCTCTACTGGTATGTGAGCTTATGATTATGAGAGGTACACCGATCAACGACTGAAAGGAATTGTTCACACAACGCCAGCCAAGTGTTCAAGCTAATTAATAAGATTGACCTGCCCGCGGCTTCGTTGTGGCAGTGCTGTACTAGGTTGCGCGTTAACAAATGTTAGAACGCGTTCTGCCTTCAAAACCTCTGTACATCTTCTTATCTTACATTTAATCAACAGCCTGTCGCAAGTTCGCGTCCGAGCGATAGTAGGCGCTGGTTGCAGTGCTGTGCATGTGTCCACATTAGCTCATCAAGATGAACACATCGATCGTGCTGGACCAGCCTGCCAATGTCAGCCTGACGAATCTCGATATCGTGAGCGGGCGGGTCGTAATCAGGACGCCGAGAGCAACTGATGTCGAGTCAATCCTCGTCAAGCTCGAAGGCGAGAGCCGAACGAGGTTAATGTCATCACCCGGGCCGAATGGCGAACGACCAAAACCGCAAATGGAATATCACAAGGTTTGATTGTCAACAACTCGTCGTTTGCGGCATTTCATCTGAAATTAACTCATATTGTAGCTCCTCTACAAGATCCAACAAGTCTTCCCACCGAGCGAGGTCGTCGAGAGCCGCACGTCACTAGCGGCTAAGGCTGCCTATACTCTGCCACCAGGACATCACGAATACACGTTCTCGTTCAAGGTGCCCTTCACACGACTTGACAAATAGCTGCACAATAGCCGCTGCTAACTTCAACTGCCTTCAGCTTCCCTTCAACAACATTTGCTCAACAGACAGGAGTCAGATCCCCGTCGTGATCGGCTTTGAGGTCGCTCGACCTGCTAGCCACCATGTTAAGAAGACACTACCACCGACCTTGAGCGGATTCCCTGGCGAGGCCGAGATTCGCTATTTCGTCAAAGTCACTGTCAACCGCAAGTCGTTCTTCAAGGAGAACCCACGAGCATATGCACCTTTTAATTTCTTCCCGATCGAACCACCACGGCCACAACCCACGGGCTCCGAATTGTTTGCCCGGCAGAAGCATCAGTTTCAAGCTTTCACCGAAGTTGAGCCAAGCGGGAAATCCAAGGTCAAAAATCTGTTCAGTCGAAAAGGAAGCGATGGTCTGGGCGCGGCAGGAGAACCGCCATCCATCAGTGTAGACATACGTCTACCGCAGCCAGCGATTCTAACTTGCAACAGTGACATACCTCTCCGCATCGTCCTCCAGAGGCTCAACGCCTCGCAGGAATTTGTGTATCTATCATCTCTGCAAGTCGCACTCGTCGGCATTACCAAGATCCGTGCGCACGACTTCATACGCCGGGAGAACAACAGCTGGGTCATCATGAGCAAAAGCAATATGGGGCTCCTCGTAGCCTCAGCCTCCGATACCCAGGATCAGGAGATCGTCATCGACGATAAACTCTGGCGTGGATTACCGCTGCCGAATATCGTTGCGCCTACCTTCGACACATGTAACATCGCCCGCGCATACGAGCTTGAAGTCCGCATCGGTTTGACATATTCAGGAAATGGATCGTCCTCCGCCGGCACCAAGGTACGCCTTCATAAGGGATCATCGAGGATTGTACGGGAAAGACATCACGTCGAATTTCTCCTCCTCGTGAACTTTGCCATCCGAGATTTTGATGGGAAGCTAATTCGAACCTTTTCAAACCAGCCTCAGCTAGTCGTGCTACCCCTGCGCCTCGACGTCCAAGTCTTCTCGGGCATCGCACCACCCGCCGAAGTCCTCGCCCGCATGGCCGCCGCCGAAGCCGGGAAAGCACAACCGGCAGCGGCCATCCGTCGACCTCACCGCAAACCCGTCCCTGCGCCTCCAGTACCGTCCGCCAGCAGCGCCGGCGCCGCCACCGCCGCTCCAGACCCAGTCGCGGACAAACTCGAACTGGAAGCACGGCGCAACTCAGGCTTCGGAATGAACCAAGTGCCGATCGACGAGGAGCCGCAGGTATCCCATCACCACGGCGACCCGGATGAATATGGCGATGCGCCGCCGAGCTACGAGGATGCAATTGCATCAGATCTGCCGCCGGTACAGGCACCTCGTCCGCAATATGCTCCACCGCCGATGGTAGAGGACGGTGAGTTATGCACTCCCTCAGTGGACATGTCTGACCCTTGGAGAAGCCCAAGTGATGGGTGTTGTGGCTGACTGCTTTTGACAGATGTCTTGAGAGATGAGAAAGGTAAATGGACAGGATGAGGTCGCGGTGGATTCTAACGAGAGTGGCATTGTTGGGTGTCAGTACCATGATGAACTGCGTCACAATACACGGTTGTCCCGCTCGACAAGAATGGACCACACACATCTGGCCTACGAGTTTCAAGATTACAGTACAATGACAGTGATACAATGTTTACTCTACACATCAAAAGTATTAACACATACACACAACTCCATGCTAAAACATTGCTTTCGAATCTCGGCCCGTGCAAAATTTAAGGTGCAGTTCTGCCCAATTTGCGCTCGCTAACGCCCGACTCCCTCGCCCTCGTTCTCCTGCTTGAATCCCCTGATCAAGCCAAATTGTCACTCTGGTCGACCCAAATGTCCTCGAGCTCGGCAAAGCTCTGGAAGTGAATAGGTCGATGCACGTCATCGTAGAAGCGCTTGGGAACGCCGACGTTGACGTAGATTTTGCCCTTCTCGCGCTCGCCAAACCCGGAGCCGAGGAAACTCCAATTCCAGCGTTCGTCCTCGGGCACGAGGAAGTAACCACGGATCTTGTCAGACAGGAGCAGCTGGCACTTCTCGCCAAAATTGGACGAAGGAGAGAATCCGGCTGGTTGGTCGGACGAGTGGTCGCGGTTCTGCGCGCCCCATTGGTATCCGGCCGGCGTCAGGCTCCAAGCCGAAAGTGACACCGATCCTGGGGTGAAATTGATGGTCATGTTGACCGTCTTGTTGTCCCAGCTGGAGTGCGCCGCCATCAAGTTCGCGTGTTGGGTCACATCCTGCGCGGTCATGTATGTGACCTCGTTGCCCGCGCTAGTGTGAACAAGACCGAGTGGCTCGAGGCCCTTGAGCAGGTCATTTTCGGGGAGATTGCGAGGCAACTGAATGTCACGCGAGCTGCCGATTTGAGGAATCATGACAATGCACTTTATCTCCTTCACTTGCTTGTTGTCTGGTGGACTCGATCCGTAGAGATAACCAGCGACCTGTACACGGAGATCTGCGATCGCGATAAATCGCTTGAGAATATTTTTCGGCATGACGTAAGTGTAGTGATGTTCGTCTTCGCGAATGTCATCAGATGAAATGTAAATGTTGTTCGCCCTGGTGCGCAAGTTGCCTGTTGCGATCGCACGGGTTCGCCACTCGGTTTTCGAGGCGAAAGTCTGCTTTTCAAACGCTGTCGTGGTTGTCACAATCATCTCTTCGCCCTGCACGTTGGTGGATTTTGTGGTCACGGCGGTGACTTGGGCCTGGTCCTGCTGCTGTTTCTCGATCTCTGCCGCTTGCTGCCGTTGCATGCTTGGTGCACTGATCTCCATACCGAGGATGATATCTCGGATTTCGGTGTTCGTCAGTGAAGTAGTATTGACATTGTTCTTCTTGCCGTAGTCATTCAAAATAAGATCACGAAGTTGTACTTCTATCTTCATCCATTCCTCATCCGAGAGCGATGGCCAGATATGATGCTCCTGGGTGATGACCTTCTTGTCAGGTCGGAGAATCAGTTTCGTGCGGTCCTGGTTGACGTGCAAGGCACGCAAGATCAAGATGAGACGTGAGAATGCGGTGTAAGAAGAGATGCTCTTCAGCCACTCGTCGTAGAGATTGAACAAAACCATCTGTGGTTCTGTAGCGCGTAGGATCATGTCTCCCAACTTTTCAACCTTCATGGCTGCTTGGAAGGGTAGCTGCAGTTCCGAGGCCCGAATGCTGATGTTCGGGAAATCAAGCAGATGGACCTCGAGCGGGTCGAGAAGACCTTTGCGAGTCACGATCAATTGTTTGGGCTGTTCTTCAATTGGTAGCGACCGAATCAGCGCCGCAACTTCTTCAGCAGTCTTCCACTTTGCAAGTTGTCCGAGACGTTTCTGACCAGCCCAGACGCTTGTGTGAATGATCTTGAGGAACAATTGACCTGTGCGCGGGTTGAAGATAAAGATGGCACCGTTGATTGGCTTTGTGGTCAAATTGCCCTCAAATGTCTTGTGAATCGTGACACGGTACACGTTCGTATCGTCGATAAAAAGTTGAATCTGGTTGCTGAACAATTCCGAGTAATTCTGAGAGTTGAGGAACTCCTGATTGCTCTCAGAAGCATATAATTGAAGACCTTTTCGGATGCGCTCACGCAAAACGTACAACGCAGGGTTGGCTTTCATGATCTTGGCCATTGCTTGTTGTATGAGCTGCTTCAAACCAGGGAAGTATTGTCCGAATGCAGAGTACAGATTGTAAGCCAGGTCAATACCAACCATCAGACCTGTCGCAGATGGATAGATCGAAGTGCTATCAGAGGTGTAATCCAGATACTTGGCACGAGTGTAACGTTCAATGTCGTGCGAATCGTAATCGCCATATCTGAGCTGCACATCCACCCAGAACTTGTTTGTTGTGGTCGAACTCATGTTGTCTTTGGTGTCATAAAGCAGACTTGGAGTGCTCACGCTCCACTTATGCGAGGCGAACAACAAGATGTCAGCGCATGAGGAATTCATCTTGTAACTCTTTCTGGGATGGATTGTTTCCTTCTGACATGTCTCAATCGAGAGAGCCTCAAGTTCTTGGTCGAAAACCTGACACAGGTCCATCACAACAGATTCATGGATCTTCTGCCACAAGTGAGCACGGAAGATCTGAATGAGCGAGATCTTGAGAGTGGGAATCTTGCCGTGCAAGAAGATGCCGGTAAGATCGAGTTGGACTTGGAAACCGACGTACACGTTGGCACGATTGATGGTTGGACTCCACCAGAGTGTGAATCGTCGGTTGGGGATCTGGTTGAGACCGCTTCGCTGTGCATTGGTCAATTTCTTGAATTTCATGCTCTGCTCGAAACCACTAGCACGTTCCCAGAAGAGACCTTCCCACGACGGGAAAGCAGTCGCCTTGAAGAGAGTGTGTTCTAGGATGGTTTCGACACCACCAAGTGCTTGGATCACGTCGGTACGGTATGCATTGAGATTCCACAACTTGCCGTCATGTCGCTGCGATGTCCACCAGAATGGATTTGACTTGCTCAAACTGTAGTTCTTGAACTCGGTTCTTGCCCTGAACCCTTTGTCGAAAGAAAGTGTCGAACGGTCCTTTTGGAACAAGGTGTTGATACGAGGAAGACCACGATCCCATGAGTCTTCGAGATCTTCGAGGGTGAGGCGACGGTTCTGTTGATTGGCCTCAAGACGTTTCTGGGAGTATTCCGTCCATACACGCTGGGAATCAATGAACTCTGATTCCCAAGGGATAATGTAGCGGAAAATGTTCGGAATCAATGTCTCCTGATCTGAGCTCATACCAGCACGGTAATGCGTTACACCCGCGTCAGTCTGGCTAGTCCAGCGCTTGTCGGATGCCGGGATAAGAATGTGAGATCCCGAGATCATACCGAGACCTCCGAGTTCCTTGGGAGTGTAGAAGACTGCTGGCGGGAAACGAGAAGGCATCTTGGAATTGAGCCCAATTTTGACTCTGGTCTGGATCTTGGTCTCACACTTCACGATGGTGTCGAGCAAGTTTGTGGTGCTGACAGCAGCTTCACGATAGTAAGTGAAAAGTGCAATGAGAGTGGTGTTCCACTTGTTGGCAATCTTGGTAAAGGTCGTCGACCCAGAACTCATGAGAATTTGCCGAATACGGTTGTTGAACTTCTGGATGTCTTCGTCTGTGACCTGCAAGAATGCATGGGCAGTTCGTTCCTTCGTTTGATTATCAACAAGCGCCCAGACAGAATCCTTGACAGGAAATTCTTCTGCCTTATTACGGCATTTGGGAAGAATGCGGACTTCGAATCCGTTCATTGCAAACAACAAATTGGGATTGTCCCTGCTGTAAACACTTGCAAAGGTCTCGTCCCACTCCACAGTTGTGATGCTGCGTGGCAGACGATTCTTCATGTCCCAGAATACAGCGCGACCAAGATTTACGTCATGTCTCATCAGCCGCATGCGAGAATCTCGAGGCCAGCATTTCTTGTTCTTGTATCCAACAACATTTTCGAAGTTAGGATCCGGTTGCTCAGTGAGGAAACGCTGGATTAGATCACGAGATTCCTCTGCGGTAAAGCGGAAGAAGACCCAGATCTTGTCAACGTATCTGGTGTACAAACGAATTGGGTGGCGAGTCTCTGCAGCTCTATCCCGAAACTGCAAGAAGTCGTTCGGCGCGTTCGGCGGCCCGGCCATCTCTGATGCGCGCTGAAGACCCAGCAAGAGAAGATCGATGATCAAACCGTAGTATTGAAAAACGAATGCACTGAACTGAAGACCTCGAATCATGCCATAGGCATTCGTATGGTTCATGTCTTTGTAGTTCAGCTGCACGTTGTTCTTACTGGAGATATAGTCTGCCAAGTTGTGATCCATGATCAGTCGCAGCAGTCGATTCAACAATGTGATGTCGATCTTTTCATAGACCTTGTCCAGCTTGGTTTCGAGCATGACGTTACATTCGCCCTCGTCAACGCTCCACACATTCGACAAATTGTTGATGCCCTGAGCCCATTTGTACGTCAAAAGAGGAGGGACTTCAGAGTCCGAAGGTTTGATCCATGGGGGGAATAGGCGTCGCTGATCTGCCTGATAATACAAATATTGATCAAGATACGCATCGGTGATCTTTTCAATGGGCTCGATATCGTAGACGGGATTGATCGAGCTGTAATTGTCGTTCATATCAATGCCGACTTCCTTGAATGATCGCTGCGTGAGCAGGAATCGCTTGATACGCGCTAACGTGGTTCCAGGACTGTCATATGCTTGCTCAATGAGTGCCAGTTCCTCTCGCTGGCTTTGGTTCAAACGGCCCTTGACGGAGTAGGCTTCTTTCAACCGCTCAAGTGCGAGGATCAGAATCTTGGTATCGTGTTTGTAACTCACTGAAGGGAACGGTATAGGCTGGAATTTGCGACTCTCCAGCCAATGGACAGCAGTGGTGAAGATGGCGACTCCCTCCTCGGTGCTAACATATGGGCCGTCTTTGAGATAGTTGTGTTGGCGCTCCTGCTCAGCTTTGAGCCACAGTCGGGTCAGGCGACCAAGGTTCTTCTTAGCCACAGTTTTGTCTACGGTTGCGCCGCGCCGAATTCGCTCTCGATTATAGTGTGCTACCGACACCCACCAGTCCGCCTTGGATTTAACATATCGCAGGATGACGTCCTCGATTGGTTTTGGCAAACCGGGAACTTTCCATGGGATGTTGGACTTCCAACAGCGCCAAGCTTCAGAGAGATGCTGCAGCACAGTGTTAATTTTGCGCTGCTTGATTCCTTCTGGCATCATGTCTAGAAGATCTGACATGACGGATGCGCGCAGCTCGAGATCGAAGTGAGACTCCACCCGCTGTTTGGTGACTGTCTTGGCAACACCCTTGGAGTGACGGCCCTCAAATTGTCGGCTGAGCAAATTTCCGAGCCATCGCTCCAGCAGTGGAATGATACCTCGCAAGAAGAATAGCCATACTCTCCACGCGGGCGCCCAGAAACCGCAGCCGGGACCCTTTCCAACGGGACCAGAATTAAATCGGTAGTAGATCAGGTGCTTGAGATCTTTGCATGAACGAATTTGATGCATCAACTTGTACTTGTAGCGGTACATTCCAGTCAGCTGACCGACATGGTTGAAAGCATACAGGATACCATCAGCGAGTTGAAAAGCGTCGATGTTTCCTAGGCGGTATTGCGCTTGCGCATCAACGATGAGCTTGGTGAGGCGTAAGATCTCACGCATCAAATGGAAAGCGTTGCCAAAACGCGACTTTTTGCGTTCCTTTGTTGTCAAAGTTTTGATTGGCTTAAGGTTGAAATTGTAATCAAGATGAAGATAGGTCAAGTTCTTGCGATGAATGAGAAGATTCAGCATGTTGAAACCTTGTCGACATACTTGTAGACCGGCCTCAACCCAGTCGATTCTTGTTTGCTGGAAGAACTTCGTCGACTTGAGACTGCGACATAGATCCTGTCTGCTTTGGGCTTTTGGAGGATTTTTATGCAGCTCATTCAGCACGTAGGTTTTGAGGAGCTTTTGATACGACACCCTGACCTTGACAGGCTGGCCAGCAGGCACATGCTCAAGGTACCATTGCTTTACGAGAGGCACGTCCTGGGCACGAACCATCTTGCCTGACCGTCGATCGAAGGGGAATGGAGCCCACCATAGTGCAATCGCAGAGGCTGTCTCCTCGTTGTAGAGCGGCTCATTCTCCATGAAAGCCTCGAGGCCTTCCGGCAGGCCGAAACCACCCTCATCCTCATCGGGCTCTTCATTGCTACCAGCACCAAAGATCTCGTCTTCGTGGCTAATGCTGAGATTTCTCGGCATGACTGAACGGGAGGATATTGGGTTAATGACTGGGTCGAAGTAGAACGGTGGAAGGTTTGGGTCGTCAGTCTTCTCATACACTGTCTGCGGAGAGCTGTAAACACCGAGCTGGACACTTCGCGGCAGAGAATTGTACAAGTATGGGAACGCGACACGATATTCGGTACGAATTGGAGATCTGAAAATAATTCGATCAATGGCGTTGAATTCTCCAAAATCTTCATCGTTCGGATCAATGTCCTTGTATAGAGGTTCAAACCGAGGGCCTCCCGGGATCGCGACGTTCAATGCTTTCGCAGTAGCGAATGCCGGCATTTCGAACAGGTGAAAGTAATTCCGATCCGTGATATCTGAGAGCAATGGATTGCTTAGTCGGTGCAAGGTCGCCATCTGCGGAAGCGTCATGTTCCATTCCTTGTAACCCGGCCCACTGACGTGACCTGTGTCTGACAAAGGCCGGTGTTCGTAGAGCCACTCATACACTGGTCCGTCTTCGTCTGGGTCCAGTTCCATCTGTATTGGTTCCAGTGGCTCAACATCCTCGATATTTTCACTCCATGAAAGCGGTGGTTCTTCATCATCGAAAGGCGGGAAGCGCATGCGTTTGAAATGTCTTCGATCGCTTTTCTCCCTTCTCATCACGACCCACATCGTGGCCCATTGTGCGTGAAAGACGGGCTCGATGACGCGCGGAATCTCGTTGACCAAGGTCAGACATCCGTTGACGTGGTACAGCACCTTGACTTCGCGTGCACTCTCCCACGGCATCGGCATGTTTTCCAGTAATTTTAGAACCGCATGCGGCATGAATTTCAGTGCGCCAAGATAACTCCTCTTGTCACTCGTGAACTTCTTGTGTGAGACATCTCCAATGTCCCTCACGATCTTGCGCAAATGCTCGGGTGGCATGTCTGCCTTTTGCGTCTCCACAAATCCGCCCCGTCTCTTCTCTGCGAATCTCTGTCTTTGCTGTCTGATCCATTTCTGCTTCTTCTCCTGGAGTTTCGCCAGTTGCGGATCTGGCTGAGGTACATAACCTGGAGGTGGCGGCGCAAGCGATGCTGCTGTAAGGCCGGGTGGTGCACCTGGAGGCGGCGGCACCGACCAGCCCGGTGGTGGTGGAAAAGACATGATGGCAAATGCCCGACGCTTCACATCCGCGCAATGTTGTCCTGGTGGACAGCGAATCCAGTTGTACGCCTTTCTGATTGCAGGATATTCCCTATCTTGCCAATTAAGGGATTGTGGGTATCAGTAATTCCAGCCAAAAGCGACGCGACTCGTTCCGGACACAGAAGAGTGGAGTGGCGATGGCAAGCGGTTCGCCTGGTCGTGCTCTGCGAGATGCAGGCTGATCCCAAGTAGTGACGTTCAAAACTTTTGATGCAACTCATTAAAGTCCCGATCCGACAGTGGCGCGTTCTCTCGTGACTCGGACGGCTAATTGTCGGGGAAATCCATGAGGGCGTGTGCGGCCGATCCCGCACCATCGCGCCAAGACGCACTCCAACGCCAGCAAATTTCAGGACACACACATCCAGATCTACCGACGACGAGCTTTCGCACACACTTTGAAGGCACACCACATACCGTCAAAATGGCCTCACACAGACTCACTTACGTATGCGCATTCGAATAACGATATTCATTCGAGATCTATACTGATCAATTTTCACAGCGTCGGCGACAACCGTACAACACCAAGTCTAACAAGGTCCGCGTTGTTAAGACTCCTGGAGGCGAGCTCAGATACTTGCACCTGAAGAAGAAGGGCACTGCTCCAAAATGTGGTGACTGCGGCACCAAACTCCCTGGCGTGAGTCTGTCCGAATGGATGCGAATATCGGCTCAAACAACTTCGCATATCGGTCTTTCCACAGTCATCACACATATTAACACACCATTGGTAGATTCCTGCTCTCCGTCCTCGCGAATATGCTGGCGTCTCACGACCAAAGAAGACCGTCCAGCGTGCCTACGGTGGATCCCGATGCGCCAACTGTGTCAAGGACCGTGTCGTTCGCGCTTTCCTGATTGAGGAGCAGAAGATTGTCAAGAAGGTCATGAAGGAGGCCGAGAAGAAGAGCAAGCGGTGAATGGTCGGCTGTTGTGGATTTTCGAATGGACGGCTTCAGGCGCAAATGGCACGGGATGGCATATCATTGTTTCAATCTGTTTAGCAGCAGCCCCTCCGATGAGCGAGACGGGCATGGCATTGCACTCGTGAATGAAAATGAATTAACTACAGAGGCATCTCGTCTGGTGGAGAAGTCCGCACATCCTGGGAAGTGTTGCAGAAATGGCAATACGACAAAAATCGCAAAACCTGATCACCACGTCGCTCTTCCCGCATTGTATCGATACACCCTTGCTACAATCTCCCTGCTGTCAGATGTTATTGTGCCAGATGTTATTGTGCAACCACGGACGCGTACCGATGCGTCCGGGCGCAACTTTGGCGTCAGACCATGGAAACATGCCGATGCTTGTTCAATGATTTCGAGACTGCCCGGGCTTGATGGTTTCTCAGCCATGAGCCAGCTTCAAGTTCATCGTAATCCCCAAATTCGTTGCGTGCTCTGCTTGGTTATAGAATGAGCTCTGCCGCCAGGTTTTCTGTAACAATCCCGGGACGAAAGCATCGTGACAGGTCTCTGCAAGTAAGGCCCGTCCAAGATTGCCGACCGGTTGCCTCATGATGACTCGTAAGTGATGCTGAAATCATCGACTCTGCGTCCTGGATTCAAGCAACTTCGGATCCAGAAGAGGGGACAAGATGCGTGACGAGTCGAAAGTCTTGCACTTTGATGGCATTGTTTTGGCCCTCTGTTTTCTGCTAGCAGGCATCACGAATGACATCTCACTGGCGTCGCGTTGGCCGACAAACTTTGAGCGCTTGCCATAGCTGCTAGGAATTTGTTCATTCCGTATCGATCGTTTCGCGTTTCGAGTCACTTGGTCTGGCATGTTAGTAATGGCGCGGTGATAAATATTGCCTCGACAGTTTGCCGTGCATAAACCCCGTCAACACCAAATGTGTACGTCATCTTCCGTCTAGCATCCCTAATGGGATTTGCCCGCAACGGCAGCTTTCGTACATCAATTGAAGCTTCACACTACCCATTGGACATCGCCGCAATGCAGTTGCCCTCAGAATCTGCCTGAACATCGTCATCGATATTAAAAGCTGTCACGATGGAGTTTGGACGCCTCTCTGCACAATTACATCGTGGTCTCTCGCGATCGACTATCGACATGTCACGAAGTGTACAACAGGGCTCACGAATGTACTCATGCCTTCGGCAGCTTAAACCGAGAAGCTGCAGAAAGACACAGGTCCGCCAATTCTACATGAGCTCTCCGCAGAGGATGCCTCCTGCAGCTCCGAAATCGAGGGATCGCGGACCGGCGAGCCAAGAAGACACACAAACAGACTTTAAGGCAATGGACATCTTCTCCAATACCCAGCAACCTACGACGGCGATTGATGCTTGTATGGACGATGGCTTTGCGCTGGACAGTGGATTGAAGATTACTGGTGCTGGGGTCATGTTGCTTGGTGGAGAGGCATTCAAATGGCGACCGTGGATACGAGAAAGTGCTGCGCCAGATACAGCGCAGGACAATGCTGCCACCAGTAAAGGAATGAAAGGAAAATTGCAAAACACCAAGGGTCAATTTCATGTGGACAAGCACGTCTGGGGTATCCTAGATTTAGCTTGGCCAAAACCGGACCTGCTTGTCCTGGGTACTGGCCGTCATATCCTACCTTTGAGCCCGGAGACGAGGAGACATATCAACGAGCTCGGCATCAGAGTTGAGGTACAGGACACGCGGAATGCGGCTGCACAGTTCAACTTACTCGCGACAGAACGAGGAGTACACCAAGTAGCGGGAGCACTGGTACCCATTGGGTGGCGAGAAGACCGCTGAGAGGTTTTGTATCGGCAGCAATCAAATGACATCTGCCGTAAACCATGAAGGTGTAGAGTGAACATTATGTTCAGTCGCCATCATAGGAGAATCCACAAAAGCGCCCCGCCCACTATCCTCCGCGAAAGGGAGACAGTCCTAAATCGAACGAGTGGACGCATGACTTGCAGCAGACAGTGCACTTGAAACTTCGTCTGTTCAGATGCATTCGCTGGTGTGGCATTCTGTCAACCTGTCCGATCTCCGCCGTAGGAAAGCCGAGAGAGCATTTAAGACGCACTCCACGTCGCTTAGAGTCAATTATGAGCGGTCGATTGACTCATTGAGCTGTGCAAAGTAACAAGAGACTTGACACTGGAGACCTGCCCGATCCGTCTTATTGATCGCGGATCTGAATGATTGTCGCTCCATAGCCTGTGAAAAGTAGCTACTGCCGGTTGGCAGAATAACCATTTTTCTGTTGTCTACCATACAGCCAATTAATCAAATGCCCACTTGATCTCCTCATGCCAAAATAGCTCATGCCCATGCCCCACTCGACAAAAGTTCCTGAGACTTGCAAGACATCCGTTAGATTTGGTCACTTCACGCATCTAGATCTTCTATCGGTCAATCCGAACAACATTGTTGAGTGCGCCAATGACCAACGCGTCTAAGATCTGACAAATGGAAGCCTTAGGGTTCAATGTCATGGGAGTACGAGGGTTGTGCCGTGATCGCTTTGACAAATACAATGTCAAACTGGTGAGCGGGTCCAGACTTTCTCTCGCAGGAGGCATTACTGGAGCCTCGTTTGATCCTGCCAGGACAGCGAGTAGTGGCTAAAGCCCCTAGCCTAGTCTGTCTTCTTCCCAATCGTTCGCCAACTTGATCGTGGACCACGACATCGGCTTGAGGCTGGCATTGACGGAACGACAGTTCCGAAGCCTGTTGCAGGAAGTCCTGGACTGACGCCAATGTACTTGCGCAAACCTACACCAGTCTCCATTATGTGCGGCTGAAAGTCGGTCGATCCAGAGCCACAACTAGATCATTCGGATATGCTGACCGCAGAGCACCTAGGCTCGTCGTAGAGGATATTAGGAATAGCGGGCAGCCATGAGCAAGGTCCGACTTGCCGATGCAGCGCCCGCCTTAAGTCATACACTCTTTGATCCAAGGATTGGTACCGAAGATAGACGCCGGACCAGCAAAACTTGCACGCACATACGTTTTCTTGCAGTTTGTTGAGTTGAGCCCTTCGCCGACAGCACCCTTCCTGGAACATTTCTGGTCTCAGCCGAACGTCAACCGCTGATCATCATTGCGGTCGATCGCAACCTCTTTCGAGTAGGCATGCCGAATTCCGATGGACGGCGAAACCTTTGTTGTCATTGAGGCGTATAGTCAAGCGAGCATGCAGTGGCCTGTGCGAACCAGCCACGGACAAATCTTAAATCTTGTCCGGGTGGCTTTTCCCTCCTGTGCTCTCAAGGGCTACTGCAGCTAAAGGCACGGCCGGGGATGCCTACAGCAGACAGGCCGTGCGAGGAGTCAGTTCGGTCGGCGCCAACGCGGCGGCATAGAATGATGATGACTCTATGATGATGACGGAAGTGGTGGAGGAGGGCAGCAGTGGCCAGCAATGGATTCGTGAGGGGCGCGTGCCTTCCAGCTCACTCCACGCATGCGACTCGGACCACACATGCCCACAGGGAAAAACACACCACAATCGATCACACCGGTCACGCGCGTGGGTCGCATTCCAGCGAACGAACAACAAGCTGGCTCAGCGCAAGGATGCATGCCTGCCATCAGTCGCAATCCAATGATATCGTCATCTGTCGCCAGCATCGATGCGCATTAGACGGAATGTTGTACGAAACGAGGTGGGTGTGATGACAGGAGGGCGTGCAAGGGTCGCACACGATGTGGCTCCCTGTCCGCATGGATGTAATGTCACTTGCAACAATGAAAGCTCCTCGAAGAATTACCGCCGTCAGGCATTGCTTGTACTGTACATCTGTTCTGAGAGATCATGGAGCAATGCCGACGACCTTTCTCTGTTACGATGGAACACCCGCTCATACTTCGTCGCGCAGCACGGCTACAGAGGCTGCATAGGCGATGAATTCGGAGCGTACTGCACCTGGGAAGCCCCGAGGGTCTAGGAAGGGTTTGTTTGGTCGAGATCTGCACCAATCTAGCTTGCCCACAGACACAAACGATAGACGAGGCAAGCACCAGAGGTCGGCGTAAGGCTGATCTGTCATCGACCTTGCCTGTTTAGTGATGGTGACATGTCCACATATTGATACCAGTGTTTGCTCGTGCACAATCGCAGCATGAAAGAAAGACGGTCTGTCGTGGCACTGCATCCGACTACAAATCTCACAGTACAACCTTGGAAGCCTTGGAGAGCATGCACGTTGTCGAGAATGTGATGTCCGAGCTTGGGAAACCTCGACCTCGAACGGTCATCACCAACGGCATCCCCGCTTACCGGAAAGCGGAGAGCATGCGAAGAAGGCCACAATCAGTGCGACCAAACATGGGTGTCCGCCCACTGCTGTTTGTCATCAGGATGAGCCATAGAACAGGTTTGAAGCCCGATTTTGATATCGCAAGGACAGTCGTCTTCGAATGACGTCCGCCACGAGACACGCGGACGGAACCAGATCCTGACACGGCTGATCTTTACACGGTTCATGCAGTACGCACAAGCTTACATTCATCGAGGTCCCAAGCCCGAACGGACAAATGATCACCACAGCACATGGCAGCCGATGTGGTGTACTGGATGTAGATGATGTAGAGTACAACACATGTTACAACACCCGTCGATTGCACAGCGTTCCCAAACTTGGAACCCGTCATCAGAAACGAGCATCGTACCGCAGCTTGATACCCTTGCAACTCAATCTGGCTTGTGTCGCGCCCGCTAAGGGCGGAAGTCAAAGCTTGGGCAGTTGCCCGCGTTTGAGGCACATCGACGTGAGATGAGGACCAGTGCCCAGGTGTGTGTTGGAACGGAGGCATGGCCATCAGTAATATTTACGCATCACGTGTGGACGGAAAAGTGAGACTACAGTAGCTCGTGCATGCTTGATTGATTGTTATTACTGCTGGAAGCCGCCAAGACTCGAGTCAATCATGTAGTGCCGGTGTGCTCCGATTGAAACGGAACGCACTACACAGCGCGATATACTTACGCTTATCAAAAGAGTATGTCCCGTATTGCACTGTGCTGTACTTCACAATCTCCAGGCATGATTAGCTTGGTTGTCAAAGTGCCGGCATCGTTGAGCATGATGCTGTATCTATCGATTTGTACCGTACTGTTTGTTCTCAATCGATGCTTTTACAAGCGTGCTGTTCCTGAAACTTAGGGAAATGCCACCGCCATCCGCCATGGTACCAGGTTTGGTATCACCTATCATGGAACCCGCCGGAGGAAGAGGCGCCACAGGCCTGACGAACAGTCACCGCGCTGTACATGCATGTAACCTATGTCCAGGTCGTAAGACAGTACCTCCAATCTGTTTAGCCTCCATGAAAATGCGGGAGACTGACGAGGACGCCAGTGGACGGGCCCACGCCAGTTGACTACCAAAACCCCGCACTCCGCTTCCTTGGAACGGTGCATCGCCTCGTGCTTTTCACTGAGCGCGGTCCGGCGCGATACGGCGGTACGAGAAACTTTACGCCGGCTACCAAGGTAGCCTTATCACGTCCACATACGCATATTATACTGCCCGCTCCCTCTCGCTTCTGCACAATCGGTTTCGAGTAGGATCGCCCGAACTCAGTGACATCCATGTCAGATACGAACGGTTTTGTTCATGTTGCTAATCGAGCCTTCACAGTCGTCCAAACTTGGTCTTTGCACGCGACCAACGAGCCTTCTGTCGATCATGATGTGATCGCTTCGGCTTCGACGAGGAGAGGCGCTGGCGCATAGCTACCACATCCGGAAGAAGGAGTGTGGGTCGAAAACACCGCATGATCAAAGCCAGCAAGCATGTTGACGTTGTACAAAGCGTTCCATGCCCCTGATGACGATGGTGATGATGTCGCCGCTGCTGGTTGCCGGTCCCCAGGGGGAGCAAAATGTCCATTGTAGCATATGTGACATGCACGGGTGTCCTGTTTACTCGTTGACACAGATGGGTCTTTGCACGTGTTTGGTGTGGGTGCACACACTCATGTGCCATGTTCCATCAACCCGAAAACAGCATCGTAGGTACAATGCCACATTTCGTGCTGCGGCGCGTGAGCATGCAGGACACGTCGAGTTGTACAGCATGCACTTGTGTTATTCACACCCCGAGTAACCAGTGTGACCATCATCATCTCCTGCGAAGACATTCGACTCGGCTGAGGTTTATCGGACAGACCGGTAGGCATCGTGGTGTCCGGAAAATCTTTCGGTCCATTTACACACCACTCTTGCGCCGGCACTCGTCCGCTCGCCAATGTATGGTTCCGGCATCCAGAATGGTGCACGCTCTTTTGAAGAATCGCAGAATGTAATAAGAAGTCGGATAACAGTCGCGAGCAACGACCTCAGTGTTGTGCGGAACAAGACTGAAATAGAGCAAGTAGAGGCAGCGCGACGCGTGGCGGTCGCGACAGGCGAGGCGGTTTAATTTCCCTCCTTCACAGCATCGAGGCAATAAGGTTTCTCGTGGAGCACACCCGTTATTGTTCTCCGCTCCACACAAACAAAGCATGTGTCGCGCAGTGACGCCTAACATACCTAGGTAGGCTAGAACGATTCCGAGATGCCTTGAACGTTTGCGCACATACACAATTTACCCCATCATCTCTCTTCCTGCCCTAAGTCACGTTCGATGGTGATGATGGTGATGTTGATGATGATGGTGGTGGTGGTGTTGGTGATGGTGGCGGCGATGGTAATGAGCCCTTACGATGCACCCACTGGTCGATGTTCGTGTGTCTTTCTCATGTGGCCCGCTCTGCACCCCAGCTATACACTGTACTTTATTCCTGCCACGAAGAGGATGAGATGGTGGTGGCGGTGGACCGTGGCACCCCTGCCCGTTCGTCGCTCGCTCGCTGGCCAGCTGTTCCCCAGGCTCCGGCTCGCATCCTCTGCGGGTCTGTGCAGCGCTATTCTCTTCTCCTCCGCCCTATTTTCCCACCTGCTCCTCATTCATCTCCATCCTTCGCCTACTTTGATGCGCGCCCCCCGTTTGTCACGATGACCATAGCGCGTAAGTTATGCTCCAGCGGTGCGCTTGAGGTCTCATGCTTGGAATAGATCTCATGCCCGCTCGTCCTGGCTGCATCTCCACAGTGTCGCCGAACGGCCATCCCCACCCGCTCATCAGATGCATGCTCGCGCCGATAGCATGGGGCGGAGAAATCAAAGCCGGGTGTCTGTCGCTTCAAACAACACACACCGATCGGAGCCTTGTAGAAGTCGTGCTTGCGCAGGCCGGTCGCACCCCTCGCTAGCACGTAGTATCTGTGCGATCATCATCAAATGAGCAGGCCGTGATCCGATGGTGGGAGGGCAGACAGGGCGCATGGTCAGCGACGTTCGTCCTCTTCCTCTCTAGTGCCAGACGACATTTGTCTAGGTCAGGTCGGCCAAGCCCGCCGCCGGCCCTTCTCAAGCATTTTAGCTCTTGGGGGGACGCATGGATGCCATCATCTGAATATACAGGCAGACAGGACTCTGCTTTGCATGATAATAACATTTCCCGTCTCCGACAATAGCAAAATTCAATCCGCTGCCACCACCACCACCACCTCCAGCACCACCACTACAACCACGGTAATACACCACCATCATACTGCACCTCCGGCCTGGTTGCCAGCCTGTGTCTGCGCCTGTCGATCGGACATCCCTGCTCCCATCTCATTCTGTGTTGTCACTTGTCCGAGTTGCCCATCAGTTTCGCTACCATTCTCCGTAGTATGAACAGCGACCATCGAATCTGCGCATATTCAGTGACGTCGCGTGGTAACTTTGGATTTGACCCTTTTCCCTGCAACAGGATCGCTGAGTGAACCACTCCTCAACCACGATCGTCATCACAGAGGATCAAAATTGCGGCCGAGTTCTCCATACTTTGCTGGACCCGACTGGAGCCGGATTGATTCCGTGCGAAAAAGAGCGACAAAGCGACGAGCGAAAGGGATTGAATGTAGACGAGACAAGGCCGTCTTCCTTGCTCCTCGACCGCGTGCGTCCACACTCATCACTCGTCTGCCCCCCCTCCCACTCTCTCGCACAGGGACACACCCACCCAAAGGCCCCTCCCTCCCTCTTCTTCCTCTTGTTCTTCTAAATTAATTGATTGCCATCACCACTAAACACCACTTCCGGGCGCATGTCTGCTGCAGCATTCTCCTGTCCCGTTCCTAATAAGCAAAGGCGAGAAGCAGGTGTGTGGTGTGATTCCGACGCATCTAGCTCGCCTGCGATCAAACGATCTTTATCCCGGTCCGATCCTCCACGGTCGATTCTTATTTCCTGAACCCTCTCCCCCCAAGCCCACTCCGGCTTCGAAAACTACCGAATTTTGCCCAAGCTATCTATTCACGCCGAATCACTGCCGCCAGCGCCTATCACCGTGTGTTGCCGCTGACTCGCACCTGGCCGCTTGCTGTTCCTACTACTACATCATTGATCGCGCAACCCTCACTGATCTCGCCGAGACTTTCTCCCACTGTTAACACTACTCGCTCACTCCCTTTCGTCCGTTCGATCATTTCTTGCTTTTTGAACAAGCCTGCTTGCCAGTCTGAATCGGTAAAGGATTGCGACACTCTCGTCTACCTGGACGACAGATTGTTCCCGCATCGGATCGCATCGTTCTGGATCTGCATTCCCACGACATCATCACACGAGCTTTCAACCGAACGATCGGCCGACCGCGCGCAACAATCATCATCCTAGCCACACTCGCAGGGCGGCTTGGTCTCGTCCACACCCACATCCACCCACGCAAATCCACGCTCGAATATTTGCCTCGAGACCCTTGTGTGGGAGTGTAGTCGCATTCTCTTCTGAAAATCAATACACTGTGATTCGGGGAGGGCCGGTTATGCATGTGATTTGATCTCCTGCATCCACTCGCCTCTCGCATCGCAATACATTGTCAGATTGACCACAGCGACTTCCTATCCTGTCGTCGCACTGACCCGTCTCCCGTCTCATGAACACCGCGACCATGTCGTAAGTCTTTCCCCAGACCCATGCCATCGGGCTTGCCCTTCCGTTTTCGTTTTAACCTTTGCATGCTCGGTTTGCCACTTCCCAACACTGCAGCATCACATCACCTGTCGTGCACCTCAATCGCACTGATCTTCTCTCGTCGACGCAACATCGTCAATCGTCGCGACCTCGGTGATGATGAATGCTCACGATGACCTATTCAGGAACGCGTCACCCGACCAGAGTCGAAACTTGAAGCCAACACTTCCAGGACACCCGACGCACAACGCATACTCCGCGTCACCGTCGCAATTGACCTTGCAGTCGGATATGCCTCCTGGACCAATGCCTCAGACTTATCATCCCTATCAATACGTACAGCAACAGCACGACCCCAGCACATTCCAGTTTAGCCAGCCGTCATATCGACCGCAGCCTCAACTCCAGACGAGACATCCTCAAGTTGCGCCGCCGCCGCCTCATATGACACCCCAACAGCAGTTGCCGTCTCCTACCAATTCGCGGAAGCGTCGCGCTTCAGAGCTTAGCGGCGATTCGATGCTGCAAGGGCCTCCAGGCAACAATCTGGGTGGCTACTCGAACCAGACTGGTCTGATGGGTCCGCCGAGCGACATGGACCCCAATGTGCACACCGGCAACCAGCAACAGCAACAGCCCCAACAGCAGCAACAACAGCAGCATCAGCACCAACACATTCAGGTGCAAGCACCGCAACAACAGCAGCAGCAGCAGCAACCACAAAATAATCAGATGCCAAGCCCTGTCGTTAAGAAAGGTCGAACCAACACGCCCTGGACGCCAGGCGAGGAGCACCGATTGAAGCAACTGCGAGACCAGGGCAGCAGTTGGAGTGAAATCGCGAAGAATTTCCCAAATCGAACTGAAGGAAGTGTGAAGAAGCACTGGTACAAGGCACGTAGCTCGCTCTTATCTTCATACGATCCTTCTTGTTCAGGCTTTGATAAAGCATATAGCTTTTCCTACCCTCTCGAAGCAGTTGCTAGATTTTCCACGCGGGTTGGGTGACAAAAAGCTAACCGATCATCCCAGGACATGCACTACGCGGACTTCGGAGCCGACGAGGTCAGCAGTTTCGTTCGCCTCACCGCGGGCCCTTTGCAGGAGACTAGTTGTACTGATTAGGTTGACAGAGCACCGCACTACTGCAAGCAATTAAGGAGTACGAGACCAACAAATGGAAGGTCATCGGACAGAAGGTCGGAAAGCCAGCCAAGGTATGCACGACCGTCTGCATCATCTCTACGCTCGGCTGCGGCAGATGCCCCTTCTCAGAGTGAAGCCAGTAATTGTGAACTGACAAATTTCAGGCCTGCGAACAGTTCGCCAAAGAGCAGGGCTGGAAAGTCTGATGCTCTGTCGCTGAAGAACGGTAAGCTCCACCATCGTTGCCTGCACGCTGCGCCATGAATTTACTCATGGACTTAGCATGAGTGAAGCACTGCCAGTGTCGCAATCAGTGCTACAAATATCGCGGATTCAAACTGACTTTGCCTAGCTTTCCGCCCAATCGGACAGGTTCTACTTTCACTCAAAAGCACACCCGAATAATCGAGAAACTCATCACTTGATGAACAGGCCGATGTCGAGGACGTGATCTTTCTGTTGGTAGCCTTTGTGTTCCGAAACTATACGATGCATGCGGACGTATTCGTCGCATCCCGATCACCAGAACTGCCACCTCGTGCAAGGGCACCCGTCACCGGCATTAACGCGGAATTCTTGCCCTGCACAACTTGTTACGCGATCGCCCATTGTTTTACTACCCACATTGCCGAGATACCCGCTACAATCTGTCATGCTACTAGCATCGACATTGTTTTCTTCCCCATAATTGCGCCTGGACATTGCCGCACGGAATGAAGAAACATGACGGTTGGCGCATATTGTATTTATTTGCTGAATTTCTTTCCCCCTCTTTTGCGACGAATTTGAGAGAGAGTGACCAGTTGGGTGGGGACGCGCAAAGACAGCAGTCTTCTGAGAGCGTTCAGCTAAATTTCATGCAGAACCGATCCCTCGCGCGTCGTCAAGCATTATGCCAGACTTTTCCCATCAGCGGGCTGACATTTTCGACGACTCCGTACTCTCACATCATTCTTGAGGACTATTGCGAAGCGTTGGAGTTGTCTCCCCCATCATGAAACGACCATCAAGATAACCTACTTGAGTCCCACATGCTTGGTCTCATGCACTCTCAGGATCTTGGATGCTTCATGAATAGAGTTGCGTTTCTACTTCGCTGGAATCATGACTCTGAAATGATGAATTGCCGAGTGACAGGACTGGCAGCTCTGAACGCATCGCACCTGATTGCTCGAAGCCCGAAAGATTACATGATTCTCTGACATACAATACAACCATCTGCATCATCCGCCTAACCTTTTGGGATTGGGACGACGCCGGCGGCAGATAGCAGCTTGTGTGAGACTGATGTAGACGTCTGCGAAATTGGATACCGTGGTCAACATGGGACACGAATTGGGGACCCACCGAGTACTTTGTATAGGGACCTTGAATGATGTCTAAATCTGCTGGCTTGACACGAAACGAATTGTTCCAAACTGTTTGGATACCGATAAATTGCCTATTGAATAAAATACCGATTCGTGGAGAGACCAACTTCTCTGTACGACGTCAACATATACATGGACCGGTGCGAATCTAACGAGGCCGCGGGCTAAAGTCAAATTTGTGCGGCTGAAAGGCAATTGTGGGACTTTGGGGGAAAGCCTTGGTGCAGCCCGCGGCGGCGGGCGCTGTCGATTCTCTCGGTTGGACGTACAGTGCACGGAAAGCGATGACAACATTTGAAGGCCCCGTCAACTGGACCCACCTGCACTCCCTGCATGGCACTCTCGTTTGGCGATCTTTGTCCTAGAGCCAGAATAGAGGCCGGGACCGGGTAGAGGTCGGGATGGCATGGGCGGACATTTCACCCGTGGACAGTACAGTACGACCATCAATTGGAATAAAATTCCCTGTGTTGTGGCCGTGTGCGACAAGAAGACAGCCAAGGTGACACGGACCCACCATCTCCAGGGCTTACTTAAACCGTCATTGTTGGTATTCATCATTCACCTGGGCAGGAATACCTAGGTACCTAGGTAATAATAGCACCGTAATCACAATTCGGACAATGCGTTTGTCATGCAGGATTTCTGCGGAAGCCCGCCAAGACCCATCAATTTCCCGGTGAGGCCTACCTCTTGCTGTGCTTTGTTACATCCTCTCGCGATTCGAACATGCATCGACGAGCGCGAGCGCTTATCGAGTGCGTTTCCCATAGAGACTCGTGAAGCAGAAGCGGCAGTCGACAAGGCTTATTCTGTCTCGCCATCACATCATTTGTCGACCATATTATGGTGCACGTGAGGCGCACACGTTGGCAATCGCACGTTAAGAGACTGTGCCTCGGAATGCGTCGCGACCATTTCGTGTCACCCGGCGACCCTTGTTCTGTACGACATCTGCCGAAATGTTTCGCTCCGGCAAAGGGGATGCCACCGATGATCCCTGGACAGCGACAAGCCCCCCTCCGACTCACAACTGCATACACACTCGCGTGTTTATTCGTGGATCACATCGTCACATCCGAGAAGTGTGATGACTGTCGGACAGGCCCGGGAAGGCTTTTGCTAGACTAGCGCGACCGGTCATTTCCTTGCTGTGTGCAACCTGCATGTGCGGCAGCCACTTGCACCACGTCAGCTGGCAATGTGCTTCGACTTCACCCGAGCTTCGGAGAGTCAAACTCGGCTGAGTCGGCGTCACGGCCATTTTCGGTCTTGTTGGACTTGAGCTCCCCAGAATGCTCGAGCTCCAACGTGGTGAACAAGTTTTCTTTCGTCGAGGAGGCCGGCTCCAACGTACTTGCGGCAGCACACAAGATCCGAGGATGATCGCTCGGAGGTTTCACCGATCGACCCCTTAGCGAATTTCTAGACGACGCGTTGGTTTCTGCCTGTGAAACGTCTAGACGAAAGGGCGTCATGAACAATCGCTGGCTGCCGCATCCAAGGTAGGGCATCACGACTCGCACTCACGCATGTCCGGAGATATCTGCATATTTCAAGTGCGAGTGCGAGCGCGCTTCGCATTTATTCTAACCTGATTTGATGATGTTATTCCTCGTGGTCGCCCCCTCTTCTGATGACTGAACCTGAGCAATGACTGCGCTGATCTCTCCAAGTGATGACATGCGCATACATGCCAGAGCGCACCCTTGGAAAATGACCCTGCAGCTCAGGCTTAGAAAAGCCGTTGGCACTGCTCCACAAGGTCAGGATATGGAGTCAATAGACATTGCAGTTTGCTTGCGAAGCACTTCTGCATTGATCATTGCCCAGGTGTTTGTTGCAGACGCGACCAAGGGGTTTCTTTGGAAGGTGTCTTTCCAATCACGCGGCTGCAGTATGAACTTTCCCGTCCTTCTTGACGAAGACCCTCGTCGAAAGCAAGCGTGACACAGTAATGCCTGTCGATCCTTCCTTGTGCAAACACATCATCAATGTGGAGAAATCGCCATGCATGACTTCCAAGGTTTCAAGGTTGTACTTGTTGAGCCCGAGTTGCGAACCCACGCTACACCCGCACAGTCAAGCACGATGGCCGCAATACTTCCAGCTGCCCTTTCCATTGACCAGTGCATGGACAGGCATGCCACTGGCTGTGTTGGACATCGGAGTGCTCGAATTTCTGCAATGAAACTTGTAATTGATCCACGCGGTGCTTTCATGTATGGCAGGCTACCTTGAGCGGGTTTAAAGCAGCCTCAATCGAAGCCTCTAGCTCATGATGAGCAGCAAGGGTGGACCGATCGTGGTATAGAGTAGTACTCCCGCTTTGTCACTACATACAGTTCTTCCTTCGCTGATAATAACCTTGAAATCCTTGTCTTTCGGCCAGCGCTCTGCCACGTGCTTTCGGCGCGATACGCTGAATGGAGGTAAACGAGACAGCAGTCAAAGCGTTTACTGGAGAGTTCATCACATCTCATCCAACACTACAGACGAACATGTTCAGCAGAGATGCGGCACCATTGTGTCATGCCGTACAGCCTTATGACCATCATTCGAATGCCATGTTCGCAGACTTCTCCATGACGAGTGCACATGCCGATTATCATGCGCTCCTTGACCATGAACTCGACAACCTCTTTCAACATCCCGTAGAATACACGATGGGACGCGCTGATCTCACTTTCGAGAATGATACAACGAATCTTCAATACAATCCACTACAAGTCCTCTCGCCTGAGTCCTCCTCGAGTTCGCACGCTGCGTTTGAGCAGGTGGACCGACGTGATCATTATGATCAACCTACTCCCGGCCAACAAAGTGCCAGCGGCTCTCTCAGGCGTGTGCAGAATGGCAGTCAGAAGAGAGCCCGAAGACTCAAAGCATCTGTTACCGTGTCAAAACCCCGTGCACCCAAAGTCAAATTTACAGCTGAGGAAGACGCGAAGCTCATTGAGCTGAAAGAGATGCACAGCCTGACATGGAACCAAATCGCCGAGTTCTTTCCCGTTCGAACCTCAGGAACGTTGCAAGTGCGATACTGTACGAAATTGAGAGCGAAATCAACACCATGGAGCGATGAAAATGTGAGTTGTTCGGACGGGCACTTTGTTCCAAAGCAATGGTCCCGTTATGGTTGAGAGAGCCGCAGCCAACAACATTTGAGATGAACAAGTCCGCCAGTCCAAGATGCTGATACGATTGCACAGATCCGAAAGCTCCGAAACGCCATCGAGGAATATGAAGCTGATCGCTGGCGATTCATCGCTACGCAAGTTGGATACGGCAAGTCTGCCGTGGCTTGCAAAGAGATAGCTGTTCAACTTGGAATTGCAGCGGCATCAGACACGTCCGTTACCGCTGAGCATGTCTCTGCGGCATCTGCGCTGCGGCCAGAGGGCACTTGAAACGACCTCGAGCGATGTTTAAAGCGCTACGTCGCTGTCCTCGTAGGTCAGTGAGACAGCATAGCGCAACAAGAAGAATCTTATCTGGCGCTTTTCGCGTGAAGTGGCGGCGGCGCCACCAGCAATGAAGCTTCACTCATGCTCTCCCACAACAGTCTCATCAGCAAATAGACCAGCGATTTCTACATCAGTGCTGATGGCGTTGTCCGGACATGCGACCCATACAGACATATCGTCAGCTCATGGCTGAGACTTGCATATATGATGTATGCACGTACCCCGCTCAAGAGAATCCCAAACGAATGCTCGACCCTACGTTTGCGTGAGCATTTTCAAATCTGGAGGATTTGCCATACATTCCCGATATAGTGGCGTCACCGTTCTTGCTCTACTTACTTAATGCTCCCATCTGTTGGTGTGAAAAAACAATGTTTCACTGCAGCAAGCACATTTCATGGCGTACGGCTGAGCCTTCACTGTCCATCAGATTCAAACTTCCTGGCACGCTCTGATACAAGTGGCGCCCAGCTTATACGACTGCCGCTTCAACGGGCCCCGTGATGTCGATCGTCTGCAAATACTCATGCGTACCTACCTAGGTGCCTGATGAGCAGATGGTCGTGAGCCCGCCAAGATGTGCTGCATGTTCGTGAGGCAATCCCCAAGTTGATCTCTACAAGTACTACTCGGCACATGAATGCCGAGCTTGTCGGTACTGTGTCTACTCAGTATATGAAAGCAGATGCAAACGTGATACGCGAGCGAGCCACCATACAGATGCGGAGTCGGTGACTCTGCATCATTGCAGACAGCCTGGCTCGTTTCACCTACTCATCCGTGCCACGTGACGATTAACATCCAATCGCGCGTCGGTCCTCAAATCCTGCGCTGAGAAAGTGAGCAAGACAGACTCCACATATGCAGATCTTCGATGTCGCCGTTCCCGCACCTGCAGAGATCAACGATCATCCCTGCCCAAGTGGCCGTAGAAGCACCATTTCGGGCAAGCGCCTGTGTCTTGGCCACTGTCGACATGCGTGTGCATGCACGCCTGCCAAGGTGCATTCTAAACTCATTTGCTTGTTGTTTTCTCCGTCACGTGGACACGAGGTTCATTTTGAAGTAACGCACGTGGTCAAGCGTTCTTACTGCATTGCTGGCTTTGTGAATGCTGTGATGACGATGACCAGACGAGCCATGGACCGCTTTGGCTCTTTGCGGATGACAAATAATCCCTTTGGTCGACAGTGTACTCGAAGAGCTTCCCTTAGTTTCTCGAAGCTCGATTTCCCATACGACGTGTAGAAAGCAATCGGTTGTAACGACACTTAGTAGATGGGATGTGTTCCATGCCAGTCACAGTAACCTTAATGTGCGAGCATTAAATGATCGCTATCGGGGAGCGATCAAGCTGCGATTATAAATATCCACTGGCGACTTGGGGTCAATGATCATTCACCGCTGTGCATTGCGGCTGGCGATGGATCCTCGTGTGCGGCGAGGTCGTCCAGACACTGCTTCGCCGCATTAGGGTCGTTGTCGGCGGTTCATATTACGACCAGCTACCGAGACCGCAATAGTGGGTATCGTGCGTTCTAGTCTTGCCGCAGACGAAGTTCCCACGACGATCAATTGCGCGCGACCGTATGCGCAAAGTGCAAGATGGAATAGACCGTTGTAACATGTGTGACGGCTTCAGCGCATTGGTGTGCTCTGTCTATGGGAGCCGATGATTATCCCAATGTTGGTGCAGGGCGAGATCGCAATGAAATGAAGGCTCAATGGCTTCAACCTCTCACTACGGCAGAATGCGCGTTTGAGATCTCTGCGTGTTCGATCTATCGAAGTGAGGCCCTTGAAAGTTATTCCGATGACGGCGACTCGCTCCGAATATCGCGTGTGCAACACCAATAACATCCGGTAATTCCTGAAGTCCGCGATTCATCACTTTGACGTATGTGCAGGGGCTCTGATAACACTGAAGTCGAGATGAGACAAATATTTCTAACACAGACCAATGTCTCATGAGAATGCTACAGCTTCACATATTTTCTACCCGACCAGCTACGCCCACCATGAAGAATGATGGGCTCTGAAAATGGGCGCATGACCAGCTGACGAAGCAGGGAGCAAGGTCACGTGTATCGCCAATGGCACTAACGAAGGGTATACATTCGGCACAGCGAAATCGCTATGAACTTTGCCCCTCCCGAAACCGGAGCCTCTACTCACATTCCCGAAGGTCGCTGGAAGCGAAGCCAAATGTCCTGGCACACCGTCACACCATTTGAACCACCAGGGACTGGCCTGACCTCACCGCAGCAGACGTCACCCATTTCGACCTCGACGGAGGACGCCGGGGCACAGAAGAAAAGGAAGCGCAGTTCGGCGCTGACCGACAATGGCGATCAGGACAATGACGGCCCAGAAACAAACCGCAACGGCGCTGGGAATAGCAGTAGTCCAAGTGGCCTGGCCAACGGCAATCGACAACGACACCAACCCGGCGTGAAGCGAGCTTGCAATGATTGTAGGCAACAAAAGGTATGCTGCCGAATGGCTCAATCTAGTCACTCTCAGTCCACCTCATTTTCACCTCAGACTCCGCGTCTATCAATGTCAGCCAGCTGAGTCATCACTGACCTTACTGTAGTTGAGATGTAATGTCATTGCTGGACCGGGGGATCATTACAAGCCTTGCGACCGCTGTATTAAACACAAGCTACCATGTAGCATCGACAATGACTTCAAGCGGCTGGGAAAAAGAGCTGCCCATGAAGAAATGGTCAAAGAGCTGGAAGCATGCAGGGCAAAGCTAGCAGAATACGAAGCAATGGGTCTTGTCCCTGCTTCAACAATTGCGAATTCCTCTGGACTGGCAACAACGCAAGCCAATTCACTGTCTCTAGCAATTCCTGCGGCCCAGAGATCTTCCGCAAATGGCGCTTTTCTTGACCCTCATGAAGCGGCGGCTTCTCGCAGTCTCCTGGATCTAAGCCAAGGTTTCCGAGAGAACGGTCATCTTCAATACCCTTCTATCACACCTGGAACATCATTGCTCACTTTGGGAACTGTCAATTTAACCGAAGCTCAGATTCAGGAGCTGTACGAGGTTTATTTCAACTTGTATCACCCTTGGCTCCCGGTACTCAACCCGGACCACTCCTACAGCTATTACTTCGAAAAGCACCCACTCCTACATTGGACGATCGTAGCGACTGCGTCGCGTCGGTCGACGCTACGGGCGGGCCTGTTTATGGAACTGCAGCGTCCTCTGGAAGAGATCCTGTGGACAACACTTTCACAGGTCCCGCAACAGTATCATGTTTGCAAAGCTTTGGCACTACTTTGCACATGGCCGCTACCGACTTCTTCTACCTCGCATGAACCTACCATGATGCTAACAGGTATTATGTTCCAACTTGCGCTGCAACATGGCCTTCACCGACCCTCCCACGCACAGGATTTTAGTAGATTTCGAGTTGACCTTCGCGAAGAAGATGTTGCTGATCGCATGAATACCTGGGCGACCGTCAACATTGTCTGCCAGACCGTTAGTACAGGTGGTGGACAGCCCGCCTTATCGAGATGGGCTTGGTTCACATATGGTCTTCATCTCAAGCGAATGAAATCTGAACTGCGCACCCGCTGCCAGATAGAAAAGTTTTGCGATCAAGTGACGAGGACGCTCTACACTATGCAGCGAGATCATATCGTCGAAGTTGACCCCGCCGCGCGAGGATTAACAATTGATCAATATTCAAGGGAGCTGGGCGAACTAGAAGTGACTGTTCTTTCAACACATGCATCACGTAAGTTTTGGTGCCGAAGCTCAAGATGATGTCCTACTAACACCTTCACAAAGCAATCGAGTCAATGTTCTTGAAAGCCGCCAAATTGCATTTACGTTTGACAGCATTCTTCGACAAATCAACTCAACCAAATTACAAGACTGATTTGCGACACGTTTATCTCTCTGCTTCTGAGCTCCTCATGGCGCTCAACAGCATGCCGGATGAGCTTGTTTCCAACATCCCACGCTACTTAGAGCAGATGGTGTTAGCAGCAGCTTGCACATTGCTCAAAATCCTCAACTCGTTATATGCCAATCAATTCGATGTCATATCTGGTCGCGCTCTGTTCGCCAAGTCAGTGAACCTACTACGGAAGCTAAGTGTGCGATCCAATGATCTGCCACAAAGACTTGCGGAAGTCATGGCACAGTTATGGAAGAGTAGCGGTTCTGGGGAGCAACGTCTGTTCAAGACAGAGGACCCTAACGGAACCGAGACGGACGAGAGTTTACAGCTTAAGGTGCGCTGCCGATCATCTCTATCGCTTTTATATGACGCAATCTGGCGATGGCGAGAGCGTGCTGGAGAGTCGGGAGCAGCCAGTCTACAGCAGGCCGTCGAAAACCCAACTGCGATCGTCTCCGACCGGAATACGCCCCAGCCGGGTATCGTCGGCGGCGCTCACACTATGGCGCCCAGTCACGGTCTTCTTGACACTGACCTGGACGGTGCTAACGCTTGGGGCGATCCTTTCGGCGGAAATGCTGTCTTTGATCCATTGAGCTGGGCGCTCGACGGCAATCTCGGTCTTGGTGGCGCTGGACTCTTCGGCGCCTCAGATCCACTTGGTCTGGGTAGCTTCCCAGGCTGAGACGCACACTCGGAATGATTGATAACCGGAAACGTTGGGAGTCATGATAATAACTGCATTTCATCTTGGTATTCTGTTGGCGCTTGGTACGAATCGGGGCTCGTAAAATTACCAGTATGTTTGGCATGAATATGAATATGAGTATCTAGGTCGAACAAGTTCATCACCTGCTTGAACGACTTCTGCCTTGACACTACTTTCGCGACAGTGACAGGAATATATGTCACTCCCGCCTTGCATCCCTGCAGTCATACCCTTGCCCCGCGGACCTGCAGTGTTGTGATCAGAATAATACAAAGCAGGGAGCAGGACACAGCATGTGTGTCGAGCCGGGCGGATGGTCAGTTATAGGCGTTTTATGATATGTCAATCCCTATCGGAATACAGTTTAATCATTCAAGTCTGACGCAGGAGCAACGCACGCTAAGTTTCAGGATTCACGTGATGTGTGGCTTGCCAAGCTTCCTCAAATGTCTGACGGTCGGACAGAACACTGCGGATACCCGCACGCCAACATCAATGTGTCATTTCCATATTTGTTATGGACGCTCCGGACCTCCTATGCCCTGCAGAGCGCATCTAGACAGCGTCGCCTCCATCTCTATCTGTTCGCGCTGAACGTCGCATCATTCCACAAGTGATTTTCGCCCGCTCATTTCGACGTCGCACATAGATTGTGATCGCCCCTACGCGTAGACCAGAGTAGAAGACCTCTGGTGTCGCCTCATCATATTGTTTTCATCAGCGCGCAGACACGTCAGTCATCGCACCAGGCGAAAGTGTGTCGTCGGTTTTATCATTCTGCCGACTGTCAAGCGTAGCTACATCCCATCCATCGTGAAAGCATTCTGAATTGCTCCATCAGCTGCGGCGTTGAATCCGGTCCCCTGCGCTGGATTTCGTTATGTCCGACGATCGATTGAGTCGCTGCCTGAGAATTCATTGTGAAACACACCTGGAGCCATGGACGCATTGCTGACCGGCGCGACCACGTCCGAACGGGCGGTTGCGGAGACGAATTCCAGATTGCTCGAGTCACGGCAGAAGGCAGGTACTCCGTTAGGCAGAGGTGGTCGGCGTCCACGACGTCCATCTCAAACATCCGGTGTGGAGACCTGGACGGAGTCAGCCCCAAGCGAGACGACATCTCAGGCTTACAGCGTCCCATCTCCCGGTAGCGACTTTCAGTTGACACCACCACCGCATACTTCAGGCAGAGTGGACTCGGATTACCCACCTACACCTCCTACGCTATCTGACAGTGATCTGTTGACGCCGCCACCACCGGACCTTGTGCCCGAGACTGCGCTTACTGAAACTCTCAATGGACTTTACATACCCAAATCTACTCCGGTCATGCTTGAGGCACGTAGTCCACCCACACCTGATCCTTCGCCTCCAGGAGCACGTCGTGCAACGCTTCCAATCCGTCCGAATTTGAGCAAGTCACCTAGTTCATGGACAGAGTCATATCAGACCGCAAAAGAAGAGCTTAGTACACTGGACGCTACAAGCGAGGTTCCTTCCAGACCCGGAAGCCGCGCGATGACTGGTGCGCGCGCATTCCCAACCCTATACCCAGGCCCCGAAAATAGCCCACGAATTGGTCTTCGTGGTAGTGCAGGCCACCTGGACCGCCTCTCGAGTATTTCAAATACACATGTCCGTACGCAGATGCGGCATCTTGAGTTAGAAAGTGGTGTCGCTCGCGCCTTGAAGCATATGGCGGAGAGTTCACGAATGTCAGCTGGAAGAGCGTCTGCCTCTCCTCGACCACAGAGTGCTAACCCGTATTACCCCGTTGGTCGTCGCAGACTGGACATTCCGCGACTGTCGGCGACTCCTGAGCCGGTGAGCCTCGCTGGCTTCACGAGACATATCGGAGCAGACGAACCGCCTACGCACTTGCGGAAGATGGCGACCGTGACAGAAGTTTCAGCACCCGAGGTTGATCCCATAAAGATACCAGAAACATACCCTCTTGCGGGGCATAAGACACAAGCACATCAAGCTGCCGTGTCAAACGATGCCCCTCTTTCTCCAACAGCAGCAGCTTTTCTACAGGACAACAACAATGTCTATAAGATTATCCAGCAAGAGAACGTCAGACGGCACAGCAGCGCGAGTGATGCTGCGATCCAAATTTTTGCCAAACCGGCACCCGCAGTGCCCCGGACCCTGCGACATTCCACAAAGAGACATTCTTTGCGCGCTCAAGGCGACATAAGTTCAGAGTCTGCAAATGGCTATAAGCTCGCATCACAACCGACCAAGCCCGCCCACGTACGCGAAGAGTATACACAGACCCGGCCGCAGACCTCGTCATCTTTGCCACCTCAAACGGCCATGAGAGGCTTTGAACGTTTCAAAGCGCAAAATCCTGATTTGCTTGCTAGCAGACCACATTCTGCGAGACCACATCCGCCCGGCATTTCTAATATCAGTAACGTACCACGTGCTTCTTCAACACAAAACGAAGGAATGAGACCGACGTCGAGACACGTGTCCCACGCGCCTGAGGCTGGGCACATTCAAGCGTTGCGGTCCGTCAGTGGCCCGTCTCGCCTGACGCAATCTTCACAATCCCATAGGCCTGGCCTGAACATCCAAAGTGGCATACAACCAACAACACCGCAACTTCGAAAATTTTCGAATGAACAACGACTTGAAAACAATTCCAAACTACGACAGACTGCTGCCGACTTGCCACAGCCACAAATCCGGCAACCCACGACAATTCAGACTCCCGAACCTGCGCCCGAGAGACGAAGATGGTCGGAAACACGTTCACCTCATCGAGAATCGTTGGATCGAAGCATGCTTTCGCCGGTGTCAAGGAGCTCTGATACACGAATGCTGTACTCTAGCACGCCGAATTCGATGGGACAGGCGTCTGATCGGACCGAAATTGAACTTTGCGAGGCTAGAGGACTCCAGATGTTCCCACACAGTAATAACAGCCTCCTCCTCGTGCAGCAAACCGTGCGCACAGTGCGTCAAGCTCCTCCCTTTGCGCCACCACCATTGGACATTGATCACCTTACGACACTGGTGACATCTCAAATTCCTACAGTGAACATGCCAGACCAGGCTTTTACGCGGGAGGGGGCCTTTAGTCCTTTGCACAATCCGCGAACAGCGCCTGAGCCTCCCATAATCAACTATATCCCTCCGACGCCTTTGTCAGAAGTGGAGCGGCCGCTCGAGGCTCGAGAACATCCAAACCTACAGACTACTACTACACCAACCAGAAAACTAAGCATTAAGCAGAAAGTGCGTCGTTACAGTGAAAGCTTGATACACCCTCTGCAACTGAACCGCAACAACACGCTCAAAAGTCGGAGGTCGAAGCGTGCATCTGTGCATGAAGAACGACCAACTTACCTTTCATCCATGTGGACGCCACGTGGATTCTGGGAAGATTACGATAGTGACGATGACGATGACGACGACTACGATTACGAGAATGAACACGAGCCACTACCTCCCGGCGGTGATACTTCCGACGTCCAGGACACCCCAAAGCGTTCCATACTGCCACGGAAGCTCAGCGTACGCATGCCGGGCTTTCGTGGGACTGGTGGCTTCTTGATTGGGAATTCTTTGGGCATCAGTCGTCATGGCACGAATGTTCGCAGACATCATGTGGCACGCCGCACAAGTCAAGAGCCTTTGAAGCGTGCACCGCGCCGCAACGCCTTTCGGCTGCCATTCCACCCGGCTGCACAGCTTCGCAAGACCGGGCAGAATGCTTGGAAGGGCCTGACTACCAGTCGTGCTGACCGCGAACAGGAAAAGCGCCGCGACGATCTACGAGCGAAGATTGGCGCAACGATTTATCACGACCCGTGACGACCGTCCAAGAAATGTGAATTGACATGCCAATTGATGAATACGATGCTTCACCTGTGGAGCATCATCATAGTGATGAATATACGAAAGAAACGAAATTATGATGGAGTGATGATTCACGAGTACATGGAGCGTTCTGAGAAACGAGAAATGAGAGAATGCTGTTATATATGCGAGAGTGTGGAAACAAATGTTTGCGAACTGCAGAATGCAGTGTGGGCGTCGAATTGTTTTGCTGCTGATTTCCAGAAGAATACATGTATCATCAACTTGGATAGTTCATGATTTGTACTTTTGCTTGCTGTTCAATGCACCACGGTTCAAGAGCTTTTACGCTTGTATGTCACGGCGATGCTGTAAATACCGTCCACCCGACTATAACGAGAACGATCCATGGATGTTTGTTCTAGAACGAAGCATCCACGTGAGACGGCGGGATGCTGTAAACGGCATACGGCGCCGAACCCCAGAGACCCGAGCGTCGTCCCGCCAGCCAGCTTGACGGCAAATGGAATCAATAATTTGGTATACGATCGACGAAGTGGATTATACGATAAACGCGAAGCCTCTCGTTGTTCAATGTCACCACATTGGCTGACAATCATTACCATGATTTGTAGTATGTATATCTAGTGCATGATAGTAATACGTGTATATATATATATATATATGTTCGGCTCGACGCGCTTGTGTAAAGTTCAGACAAGAATCACCAGTATCGCACAACAATGTCGTCGCTTTTGGCACAGGCGCAACGTTTCTTGCCCGAGGGCGTACTGCACCAGGACCTTCCCTCGCGTCCTGTCCAGTACACTGCCATCGCTGCACTTGTGCTGTTCGGATGGGTACTCTATCAAGTACTCACGCCTCCAGCCTCGCAGTATCCGGCGATCAATGATGACAAGGCCTGGTTCTCCCTACGGGCGAAAGCGGAATACTTCAAAAATGCTAAGCAATTGCTTGCGGATGGTAGCAAAAAGGTACGCCGAAACAAAATGTACTGCGAACCCTTTTTGACGAAAGACCTCAGTTCACGGGACCTTACAACCTGGTTACGGACAGTGGAAATGTCCTGATGATGCCGCCCGAACTTATCGACGCTATCAATGCAGAGTCTAAGCTCACCTTCAATGCGTATGTAACAAGCGTGAGTAAATCTGATCACCACGAAACCTGGCTGAGTGCTGATGAGATGTGCAGCACAATTGCGCAGATCTTGAGACATTCAGAACTTTCAGAGAACCTCCACCGGGCTTGTTCAATGAGGCCGTTCTCAAAGGCCTAACCCGAAGTCTCCGTAGGTCTTGCAGACGATCCTATATGTGACAATATGACTGATGGAAGTTTGCGACATAGCCAAGTTTACCAAAGGGCTCTCCAAAGAAATGGAAGCTAGCCTCGAGGAGTCTTGGGGAAATTCTACAGGTTTGTCATGCCACGAGAAGTTCGAAATAGGATTTTCGCTTACGTCTTCACAGAGTGGCGCGAGTCTGACATCAAAGAAGACATCCTTCAATGGGTCGCACGGCTCAGCTCTCACATTTTCTTGGGCCCTCGTTTCTCGAGCAACAAGGAATGGCTACGCATTGCTATCAGCTTTACCGTTGATGTCATGATCGCATCGACCATCTGCCGATTCATGCCATGGCCTCTGCGCTGGCCTGTAGAGCGTCTCTTGCCCTTGTGCCGGCGTGTCCGCAGGGACTACAGAGCCTGTGCCAAGATGCTTGCGCCAGTTTTAAAAGAGCGATATGATGAGATTGCAGCTGCAGAGCGAGAAGGACGTCAGCCAAACCTTCCCGATGACTCCATTGAGTGGTTCCGCAACGCAGCTCACGGCAGACACTACGAAGAGACTGACTTGCAAATTGCGCTGCAGTTGGCTGCCATCCACACTACCAGCGATTTACTTTGCCAGACCATCCTCGATATCTGTGTAAATACTGATCTCATTCAACCTCTCCGAGAGGAGGCCGTCGAGGTTCTCTCGAAGTATGGATGGAAGAAATTGGCTTTGACAGAACTCCGTTTGTTGGACAGCGTCTTCAAGGAATCACAACGCCTCAAACCGATTGCGATGGCAAGTATGCACCGTGAGGCCATTGCTGACGTCGATCTTGGCAACGGAATAAAAATTCGAAAAGGCGAATCAATCGGTGTTTCTGCCCATCAAATGTGGGAAGAAGACCACTACGAAGAACCCGAGAAGTACGATGGATTTCGTTTTGTAAAGAGGAGAAAGATCGCAGGGCTTGAGAACCGAAGTCTGTTGGTAGCTACCAGCAATGACCACCTCGGCTTCTCTCACGGAAAGCACGCATGCCCCGGACGATTTTTCGCAGCGAACGAAGTCAAAATTGCTTTGGTGCACCTGCTACTCAAGTACGACATGAAATTGGCTGATCCTAGCATGGCTAAGCCCAAAGCGTACGGCGTCAACCAGGTGACGAATCCTGCGGCACGAATCCAGTTCCGACGAAGGACGCCAGAGATTGATATTGATAATCTTGCCTTTGATTAAACGATCAATGAAACCTGAGTTGCCGCGATTTCTCCCTGCTTCACGAGAGTGCTTCTTTTGTTCCTTTTCCGGTTGCTGAACCCGTTTCGCTGCTATGCTCGCATTGCGAGCGATTTAATGCTCAAGAAGTATCGCCGCCGTCACGGGTGGTGAGGCCATGTTTCGATAAAGGTACCACAGAGGCAGAAGTCATGACTGCTGGTGTCACAATAATCACAGCCAAGGAGGACTTGTACTCTCACAAAGCATGTCCAACAGCAAGGCGGCGTAAAGCTACACAGCTCAACGAAATGGTTTCAGACCTTGTAATGCAGCAATGGTACACACCGACTGTGTACTCCGGACAGCCCTCCAATGCTCAGTACCGAGCCCGGCTCAAGTGTTATCGTATTCTATCGCATTGTTGCATGCAGAACATCGGCATGGCAGACGTTCAACGTATTCTCTGTCTCGCCTTGCATGGATCATGCCTGTTGATCGAAGCATGCGGAAGTCGGTGGTCGGCTGCTTACCTCGAAGTCTCTTCGTACTATTTCAGGCCATCGTGCAGTTATCGTAGGTCGCTCGGTCCCGACGTCTGCATCGTACAAATGTTTGGTCAAGCTCCATGTTTGCATGCCACTATCCTCTCTCACACTTAGAGAACAATACGGAATATCCAAACAACGAAGTCATGATGTATTGGGACAACTCCGCTTATGTTCCCCCCAATAGTGAGGTCCGTATTGATTATGGCATCGAAGATCCAGTTGACTTCTCTGAGTTAGCCGCGGCTGACTTGGTTACGGGACCAATTCATGAAAACGACAATTTTCTGAGCGATACTCTGGCGAAGGCACAAGCAGTGCGCGACGTGCACACGAGCATTGATCAGTTGAAGCGAGATTTCGAGCAGACTGTGTCGACACGACACGGTCTACAAATGCAGCTCGATCAAACATACAACAGCAATGATCCCCAGAGAATCCGCATCTTGGGCGATGTACACAAATCGTATGCCACGCACCGCACGTCGCTTGTCAGGCGATGGAGCACATTGATACAACATCAGAAACGACTCACTATCTCAATTGAAGATGCTCTGTCTCGCACCATTTTCAAGACAGATCAAACGAAGCAAGAGGGAGACACCGGTGACGGCTTGTTGAGTTTGCTGACGACTATGAAATTATGCTCGGCAAATCAGGATGCGTTGATGGCTCTGCAGCTTGCACATCGATTGAAGGAGTTGCCGTGATATGCGACGGATTTTCACTTTCCGTTGCGCTTCTTTTTCAGAATTGACAATCATCTCCGATGGATCAGTCGCATCAAATGACAATCTTGGCACGCTGTGCATTAGACAAATAAATGACGGCGCAGCGAGGGCCATCATAGCGACGCGTTGACCGACGCTGCTATGCGTTCCACATCTCAAAAGCAAGAAGTATGATATTGTATGAGTCACTACTAAATCTCTCACACGTGTTTTGAACTTTCTCGCTCTTGATCATGATGTGTCGCGCATGGTTTGGTGCACTTTCTGCATTTGCGGCGGAGCTTTGCAGGTCAGGCCACGCGCTTGACGCGTGATAGTGTAAACTGTACAGCTCCAATCATCAAACTTGGTGTCTTCAACTTGATAAAGGCGAGACAGTATAAATGAAGTCTTCATGTCTGGGGGATGCTGTTGACGCATGATGAACGGCGACCGATGTTGAATCGCATTGATGAATGACGCGATTCAGGGCTGTCCAGCCAATTTCTTATCGCGGTGAACAGGCCGTGCCGTCAGCTTGCAGGACAAATCGCAGAACGCATCACCACGCTTACCTAGGTATGCACGTATCGGAGCATTCGACCGAGGAAACGAGGTGACTGTGGTCACATCATCCAGCATTTTACAGCCTTTGTCGTACCATATGTATCTAGGTAGTCGACAAACAGCGATAGAGTGGCACCATGGCAAACGAACGCACGCCGTTGATCCAGACGGTCCCTGTCGCCGCACCGCGAGACCGCTATCCGCACACTAAGGTACAGAGTCATTTCGCGTCGCAGCGCAATTACACAGATCTCTAACGAGATTGTTTGTTCCTAGATTCGGCGCATCTGTACTATCGCATTGATCGTCATTCCTATCATCACTTTGAGCGTAATACTCATCGTCAATTCGACGCAGACACCTGGTGACATCCCCGAGCGCTCACCAAAGTCGCCTGGCAACTACACTATCCCTTCAGCATGGCCACGCTCCGATGGTCTCGATTATGTTGAACTGAAGTCGATGTTGCACAAGACACCCGATGAAAACAAAGCCCGAGAATGGAGCCAGTACTACACAACTGGCGCCCACCTCGCAGGCAAGAACCTGAGCCAAGCTGAATGGACTCGGGACAAATGGCTTGAGTTTGGTGTTCACCACGCCGAGCTGGCGGAATATGATGTTTATTTGAATTACCCGCTCGAACATCAGCTTCAACTGCTGGATCATGGCAAGGTCACGTACAGAGCAGCTCTCACGGAAGACGTTCTCGAAGAAGATCCGACCACTGGAGACGAGAATAGCATTCCGACATTCCATGGCTACTCAGCTAATGGAAATGTCACGGCGCCATATGTTTTCTGCAACTATGGAACCTTGAGTGACTATACTGATTTACAGAATGCCAATGTCAGCCTGGCTGGCAAGATCGCGCTGGTCAAGTACGGTGGAAATATATTCCGATCGCTGAAGATCAAGCGCGCGGAAGATCTAGGTATGATTGGCGTCGTGATGTACACAGATCCTGGTGACGATGGAGACATTACCGAGGAACATGGGAACAAAGCATATCCCGATGGACCAGCACGGCATCCGAGCAGTGTTCAGCGAGGAAGTGTTATGTATTTGTGTAAGTCCGCCGGAACGTTCTTGCGAGTTCAGGTATACTCATCCAAAATTGATCAGGGAACGGAGTCGGGGATCCGACAACGATTGGATATCCTTCCAAACCTGGTGTGCCCAGACAAACTCTCGACAACAAGATTCCAGCGATTCCATCGCTACCTATCTCTTTCCGAGATGCATTGCCGCTTCTAAAGGCTCTCAATAATCACGGGCCTACAGCGGCTTCCTTTCCGAAATCGTGGCACTCTGGCGGCCTCGGATACCAAGGCGTCAACTACAACATCGGGCCTTCTCCCGACTCTCTTCAGCTCAATCTTTTCAACAAACAGGAATACGTCACGACTCCCATATGGAATGCAATCGGCGTGATCAATGGTACCCTCGAAGATGAAGTCGTTGTCATCGGTAATCATCGCGATGCCTGGATCCTGGGCGGAGCCGGCGACCCAAACTCTGGCTCAGCCATCCTCAATGAGTGTGTGCGAGCATTCGGCAAGGCACTAGCTGCAGGCTGGAAACCACAGAGGACTATCGTCTTCGCGAGCTGGGATGGCGAGGAATATGGTCTTCTCGGCAGCACTGAATGGGTCGAAGAATACCTCCCTTGGCTGTCTTCTAGCGCTGTGGCATATATCAACCTCGATACAGCTGCCTCGGGACCAGAACTTGTTGTTGCCTCAACTCCAAACTTTGAGGACGCCATTGAAAAAGTTCTGAGGGAAGTCCAGTCGCCTGATCAGAGCACTCCGGGACAGACGGTGCATGATGTATGGAACGGTGAGGTCGATCTCCTCGGCTCAGGCAGTGATTTCACTGCATTCCTCGACTTCGCGGGTGTTTCTTCTATCCACATTGGATTTGAGGCCGGCGAGGGCAGTCCAGTCTACCAGTATCACAGCAACTACGACTCTTTCCACTGGATGGAAAAGTTTGGCGATCCAGGCTTCAAGTACCACGTCGCTTTGGCTCAAGTGACAAACCTTCTCGCAGCAAAGTTTATCGAAGAGCCGATCATCTCATTCGAAGCTCACACGTACTCCAACGCAATCTCTGGCTACCTCGGATCCATCAACAAGACGATAGATAAGCTACCTCACAAAATCTCCACCGAGTTCTCCGATGCGATTGAGAAGATCATCCCCTCTTTTCTCGACTTCCGCAATGCGACCGACCACCACGACACTCAAGCTCAGAAATTAAGCGAAAGGCTCAACGCGAATCCCCACCCAGAGCTCATCCCGGATCTCTTCCGCCACGCCCGCGTCCTCAACCAGAGGTACAAACAGCTCGAACGGCAATTCTTGGATGACGGAGGTCTAGAAGGTCGCAATTGGTTCAAACATACCATTTACGCGCCTGGCCTGTGGACAGGTTACGCGGCTGTTGCGTTACCCGGACTCAGTGAGGCGTTGGATAACCGCAATCTCACTGCGTTCAAGCGGGCTGCAGAGGTCTTGGTTGGTCAGTTTGAGGCGGCCAAGCATCTCTTGTGGCCGGAGCAGTACCCGTGAGATGAAAATCTGACATTGGTTACGCGCTATTTCCCTTGCATGTGAAAGAGGGGTGGGAGGGTAGCTGCTGGGGAACGGTTGGCTCTCGACGGACTTGCGATATGTTTGCTATACTACGATGCTGAATTTGACACGTGAAAGGTTAGGGAATACTGTTTCGTGACAGCGAATGATCTTTCGGGAGTAGGCCCTAGTCACGAACCCTAGCCTCGTGTGAAATGAGGATCAGAATCGTCCTCAGAGGCGGGTGTGACAATATGGAGCGTCGTGCTCGTCTCACTTTTCACGCATAAGAGGCTAGTCAGAACAGGGATGGAGGTATTCAAGATAGAATGCTTCGTTTCTGGGGGTCATCAATTATATACATCGTCGTGCGGTACGTTTCAGCCATGCACTCCGATATTGTGGGGTTTTCCAAGTCGTAATCATTTGTCATCGTCATCAAAGGTTCGTGCTCGTCCTCCTCATCAATCTCGATATGCGCGATTCACTACGTTGCATCTACCGGCAGGTGTAGCCACCGTCAATGACGATGTCGGCGCCGGTGGTGTAAGTCGAAGCGTCAGAGACAAGGTAGACGTAAGCACCCTTGAGCTCCTTGGCATCGCCGTCACGGCCGAGCGGGATCATGCTGTGCCAGAGCTTCTGTGTCTCCTTGGGCACGAAGTCGGAGAGACCGGTGTCGATGTAGCCGGGCGAGATGGAGTTGACACGGGCAAAGTCGCGCCACTCGTTGGCCAGCGAGCGAGTCAGGTGAATGCAGCCGGCCTTAGCGACGTTGTATGAGGTCTGCTCCTGCGGGTAGTTGGCGATGTGCCCAGACATGGAGGCGGTGATGACGAGCGAGCCGGTGCCACGCTCCTTGAAGTGGTGGCCAACAGCCTTGGCACAGTGGAAGGTACCAGTGAGGTCGACGTTGATGACGTGGTTCCAGTCCTCGACGGAGCCGTCGAGCACACCAGCGTCCGCGGTGGCGCCGGCGTTGGCGATGAAGGCGTCGATCTTGCCGAACTCGCCGATGACATCCTTGACGAGCTTTTGCACGCTCTCGTAGTCGTCGATCTTGCACTGGTAAGCTTTGGCCTTGACACCGTACTTGGAGGCCAGCTCCTCGGCGTTCTTGATGCCGCCCTCGGCGCGAGAGCTGTAGGTGATGGCCACGTCGGCGCCCATCTCAGCGCAACCGCGAGCAGCCTCAATGCCCATACCTCTGGGACCGGAAGCGCCAGTGACGACGACGACCTTACCCTTGAGGGAGAGGAGCTCCAAGAGGCTGTCGGCTTTTGGTACACCAGGCATGATGATGTGGTGTGGTTGGTGAAGTGGAGAGGTGAGGAGTTGATGTTGGCAGCTGTGATGAAGGGAGGAAGAGTAGACAGGAAGATAAGATCGCAAGAGAGGGTCAGGGAAGAATAAGAACAGTTTCTCTTATTCACACGGAACAATCGGAAGAGGGGCGCAGGAAGCAGCTCGCTTGGGAGGCATTGCTAATAACATGTGCGTGCACACCTGTGATGAGATCACCACCTTCAGCTGCGGCCATTCGGGATGACAACGGAACTGGGGCTGGTCTGGGCCAATGGATGAGTTTCTATTCGTTGAGTCGTGCCTTTTACCCAGCTCAGAGTCTTCGAGAAGTTGACTACTTTTTCTGACGATAGCAAGCGAAGACGCAGGCAAGACATTGATGTTTCCCTCCATCGTCATCGCGCTGTGATAACCAGATAGTGGGGCAGCTAGTGCACGCTCTATCATCACGACCTCGATCGTTACTTACGGCCCACTGATTCTGTCAGAGGAAAAGTATTCACAGTGGCAATGGCATCAACAGATGACACGCCTTGTGTTCAGACGAGATGGCGGCCAGAAATTCGTCCGTCCCGTTTTTTTGCTCCGACGGACCAATTTCAGTCCACAGTAATATCACTTTGATTTCCGAAGACTACGAATCTAGTGAAGACAGCTCGATTACCAGTTTGGGAGATCCGTTGAAGCAAACAATACAGCCGGACGGGCTGGACACGCCGTCAAATGCCGCAGTTCTTGATCAGACGCAACTGTTGTCCTTCCGCGGTGGAGATCTGGACAACGGGATGGTGATCATCAAACGGCACCGCGTCCCATCCTCCGTGAAGGGAAAGACTCCCCAACAGACGGCTGCCGAGCCTTGTGCCGTGATGATGATCAATCGATCAATCAACCAATTCCGGCATGCGCCGTGAGACTTCCGACGTAGATGCGATGAGAGACTGTCGCGTGGGCAATGATAATCTCTCTCGCTCTCGATGGTCTGAGAGCTCCAGCGACCGACGTCAGCGTTTCCGCACAGCTCACGGAAATTTCTCCGCGATAACGCCGTTTAAATTCGACTGCTGACAAACACCTGGGCATTTTCGGGAGTGCCCACTGTGATCAATACTGTACTGTAGCCTGTCTTGAAGTGTGGATAACGACCCCGCGACATGAATCCTTCTGGTTGTATTTCCACCACGGCTCGTCTGCTGCTACCAACATCACAGTACTGCTGGAAAGACCCGACTGCCACGCTTCAAAGGAGGGGGAAAAGAGTAATAATTTGAAGATAAATATGTCCTGACCATGACCTCATCCCGCAGGCGGGACCAAATACCCTTGCGGCGGGCGTTTGGCCCTTCCTCTTTCAGCCTCCCGGAGAAAAAAACGTCGGGACCGAGCTAGAGGGGAGGGAAACGGTCCGTCAGTTCGCTCTAAAGGCTTCTTGCTGCGCCGTAAGGCGAAATGCTGACGGATTAGAGATAGGGGAACGAATCTTGTCGACGACTAGTTATCCTAAGAGTAATCGATCTTGAAGAATGACGATAATTGTCATCATCATACAAAAGGTTCGGCTGTGAAGATTATCGTAAAAGAGGGCGTTTGTGGGTATCGTTTGGCTGGCAACGTCATCGTGAGAGAACTCGAAACCCCCACCACTCCAAATCTCTTATCGCGGATAAGCGAACGGTGCCACTCGGTGCCTCATATTAAACAAATATAGATTCGGCTGTCGAAACGTATTGTTGCATGCAGGTGCTCAGGTTTGGACCCGATAGGAGAAAGATTGACAATCAGCTTTTGGATCTAATTATAAAAATTATGCGACATGCAAGACCAATGCCTATAGCCTTTCCGCCTCATCTATCATCATTATTCTGGCATTCCACCCATCGATGTACGAGAGCCCCTCGATGGCCACATTGACTTTTATTCGGAAGCCTGACGCCTCTTTCGGGAGTTCCATGGCTCTTCTCTTTGATTTCAGCTTCCTTTGTCTCCAGGCTGTGGCGTTTCCTCGCCCGGCCTCACTGTTCATGTCGTGCAGAGGTTCTTGCTCAATCCCTCCAGACGATGACTTCGGCTAGATCCTTACTTCAACCTTCCGCATCGATGAAAGTCTCCTCATCTCCAAAACTGTCCATCCTCCGTACCACGTCGCCCGGCCTTCGCGGTGCCGCTGCTGCTGCCTCCGCCTCGGCAGCATTTCTGTCGATGGGGACACTAGATGCGGTCGTTGTGACGACTTTCGATCCTGCTGACGTGGTTGTTGCTGCTCCCTCCGCTAGCTCGGAAGGAACGACGGGTGTGTTGTTGGTCGCGACAGGTTGGCTGTCACTGGTGGGCGCCACTACGGGCTGTGATGGAATTGGCCGTGTCTGCTGTGATGGCTGGGCATCAGATTCGGGTGAATCGCTTTCTTTCCCTGACTTTTGCCCCGGAAGGATATCTGCAATGGCAAGAATCTGTTCAATTTGCCTCTCGACTGGTGCTGAACCATCCACGTGTGCACTGATGACCCAGTCGAGAGTTTCTTCATCGCCAGCCGGCGCGGCTTTGAAGAGTTTCGGGTCCCACACGCTTCCTTCACCGCGTGCAGCAGCTTCTCGTCGTTGCTCGTCCTCAATTTTGCTTTTCTCATCGGTGGCTGTCTTTTGGTCGGCACGCTTGATGGCATCGACTGTTGAATGCCATAGGCGTTGACTCTCACGTAGGCCTTGCTCTTCCATTGGCCTGGTCTGGACCGGACTTGGTTTCGCGTGAGATGCGTTGAAGAGCAATTCCTTCTTGCCTGTCGCAAGATCCTTGATAAACATCTCTCCGTGCCAGAAACCGCTGAGCTCGTACAAGTGCTTCCCGCTCCGGTGACTAATGTGTCCACCAATAGCGTTGTATGTTCCACTGACCCAGCCCTTGACTTTGAACTCAATGTTCGCCTCTAAACCAGTCTCCGGACAGCGGACGACCGCGTTATCTCCCAACTCATATTTCATTTTGCCAAATAAGATCCCTCGCGCGTACATGTTGGGTTGCGTGACGAAGCTACGATGGTCAGTGGTGCTTGCGTTATCTTCAGAAGGATAGAGCTACTTACTATCGTTCGTTACGATTCAGAAACCGTACAACAGCGATACCCTCCATAAACGAACCGACGCTGTTGCCCAGAAATTTACTCCTGGGCTTCAGAGTCCCATCGATGCGAATGTGATGTTCAGGGGCCGCAAAAAAGTATGATGACTTTGGCGGGTGGTGACTTGTCTGTTCAGCGATGTAGTATCCTCGTGTGCTGTCGGGATAGTTCCAGTAACCCGTGAAGACCTCACCTAAGATAGGGTTGAGAGGCTTCTTGACTCCAGCAGGTTTGATATGCCAGCCAGCCAGGTAGAATCTGGTCACAGCTACGAATCTCTCGACGGGGTCCTCAATCGCGGGGATTTGTAGAAGTGTCTCTGGGTGTGCCATGAAGTTGGTGATCCTCTCCAGCATGGACTTGGGCTCCAGGATGAAAGTCGGCAATGTGACACGACTCAAATCCGCCCCTGGACGGAGCTGTGAGATGATGTGCATTAAAACATTTCCCTGCTCTTCACTGACAACGGTCTCGTCGCCTGCTTCGCCATCCTCTCTGCCCGAGGTCACGGAAGAGCTCTTGCGATGACCTAGCACCATCTTGACCAGATAGGTGTCGCTAGTCCGGTATGGTTGCTGGTGGAGGAAACAAGGGGACGACCTGTGATCTTCTTCCGTCAAATCCTGGAGGGTGATCAAAAGAGTGCAGTGGGAGGTGTTATCCCAGAGAACCAAAAGAGCGGTGCGAGCAGATCACGAATGTACCGGGATGAGGTGTCAGCAAAGCTGGTATGCCGATCTGAAACATGCGGCAGCTGCCCAGTCAGCCGTGCAGTCAGAGGGATGCAATGCAGTGATGTGGAAAAGGTAAAGCGTGTGCGTATATGTGCGCATGCGAAGGCCACCCGATCGATACACGTGTTTGGAGGAACCGTGGGCGTTTATGCTCTCCAGTTGCAAACTGAGCAGGAGAAGAAGCTCCCCGCGCATGCGTCATAGCCCACGGGCCTGCTGCGAACCAAAACCGGCTGCTTTTGGTGGTGGTTGGCGCGTGGGCCATGCCCGCCTCAGTGCTGTTTGAAATTAGGCGACGGGACTTTTGTTGGTCCCATCAATTGTAAGCTTTCTGACCCTTTCCAGACGAACGCTCCAGCTAATTTTACGGAAACAGGGCCACGACAACGTTCCTAGGAGTGACCATTCGGTTTACTCTGCCCACAACCTCGGAAAGTACGTATTTTCTACAATCCGCCGCCACTAGTTCTTCACAATGCTCTGCTGCTCAAAAATGGCAAGAAAGTTGAATGTCTTGTCCATACCAAGGGCATAAGCCGTCTCGTTCAACATCATTCGTCATCCTCTCAAAGCGATCCAAGGTTACCAGTGTCTACGCACAATCTTTCCTTCGAGACGCGTGGCGAGGATGCGTGTTCCCATTCGCACGCCGGATCGGCCTTTATGGATTTGCAGCGTACACATTGTCAGTTCATCGATCACGCGAGGCTCTTCAAGTGGTCAGAAAATTTACCAAAAATGCCATCCGCCATGCCACGACGACAGTGTTGCAGATGATGACCAGCTTGGCGTGTTTCTCGACGGAGTTCCCGTGCAATGTTGGTCCGAGCCCGCAACCACCGCGAACCCATCCACTGGGCCTCATCTCTAAGGGACACAGACACGCAACTCCTGCGCGCGCATTCCACGCGTTTGCATTTCCAATATTCCTGTACTACCAAGACACAACAGCTTATGCGGCGAGCGGTGAATTTGTGCAATTATTACAGGAATTAATCCCTTGCCAATCTCTCAACATCAACCCGTCTCTGCACTGGCAAAAGCAATTTCATCAAATCAGTGACACCATACCATAGCAACGTGTTTCGTCGTGTGCCCTGGTCATCACCATCATACCACGTTATGTACACGCCTTGCGCGTGGGTATCTCTTCCCAGTGCATTGCATGTACGAACCATGCTTGGACGCAGCCGCGCCCGTAACAAGAGTACGGAATGATAGTCATCAATCTGATGCGTGTACTTGATATAGGCATCACTCCGGCTATGAGAGCCAACGTATTCACGAGCCAGATACACCATTGGCAGCATGAGTACGAAACATTCTTTACGAGATGCGCAGTCCAATTCAAGAGCTTCTTTGTCCTGCGATGCGCATTGCACAAAATCTCTCTATCACAGCTGAGCATCGACCCAATGTATTGGTTCGAAAGCTCATGACGAAGGTACCATACCACGGTCGTAATCCCCCATTGGTCAGCAAAAACGAGCTGTTCGGTGCTCTGGTGCGCTATCCGGGCTTAAGATGCTGCTTGAGAGTGCCTGAAAGCGGCCACGAGGAGTCTGCTCAGGGCGTCGATCCGTAAGGATGCTTTGCACCAACTTTCGCTGGGAGACATCGGGATCCCATCTAGTTCCACCACATGGCATTACCTCAAGCCATCGTGCCTCGTAACATGGTCAGCTTGTCATTGTCCGCTGGTTGAAAGAAGCATCAGATGGCTCCCCTCCCAGCTTCATCACACTCAGTGGTATCCAGGCTGCCATGCCGATTTCGATTCACGCCATCAGACATCATCAGGTAGATTGACCTGCGAGGTGATGAGCATGCATGATATCTATTACCTTGCGCGTCAGCCGGACTTTTACCAGCCCGATCCCGTCTCGGGTGTAACGCAGGATGACCTTCCACAAATGCATTTGGTCGCGCCCATAGAAAAGGCCATGGCCTGTCGTTCAACACGTTTGATCTCGTTTCATGTAAGTCCTTGCTGAAAGGTCGACATCGATTTAGCAGCTAGATAGGTCGACAGCATATACCTAGCTCCTTCATTGTGCCGCCGCGACCACATGGTCTCTACATCACGCGCGACGTCAGCACAAACTTTCTTGTCGCCAACACGACTCAGTGCTTTTGTCTCTTGAATGCCCAGCGATCATGGCGACGACCAGACCAGAAGCTGCTCCCATCATAGTGATACCTGGCTGCGACAGCTTTTTGCTCGACGAAAGTGATGATGACAGATCCGACATGGAAGGTTTCATCATCTTCGGAGCGCAGCGTACTCTTCGCGGGCGTAAAGACTACCGCGATATGCCAATCATTGAACAGCCGACCTCGCCGACTAGCCGTTCCAGCTCGCGATACTCAAGCGACAGCCTGCGATCGTCTAGCAATGACACCATGTGTGCTCCGCGGACCAGTTCTGAAGATGCCCGACGCTCCCGGGAGCTAGGATATCCTATGCCAGAGCTCGTCTCAAACAGGTTCTCTTTCCAAAGTATGCCAGATCAAACAGATGACAGCGAGGCTTCGTTCTACGGTCTTGAAGATGTGACGTACCTGGAGATGAAGAGGTATGGGACCGTTGGACTTCCTCCATTCTCACTGGTGGATGACGAACGATGGGGAGCTGAGATGTCCGCAAATTTGCCGTTCCTAAACAAAACACTCGGTTCTAGCACTGCTGGCAGTGCTCTTTCCCGACATGATTCTTTGAGCCCATCAGTCCGATCCATCGAGGAAGATCTACTCGCACGTAATCCTATCAAGATCGGGCCGTATACGCAAGAACCAAGGATCTCATCCGAATCTGGGAGCTCGGCTTGCCAGCCATCATTGCCACTTAAAGAAGGGAAGTCAAGTCATTCGAGATCCCGTGCAGACTCGGATGCGCGTCGACTACAGCTCTTCATTACAGACGCACAAAGAGAACTTGGGGGCGAGCCAAGCGGTGAAGACAGTCCGATGCCATTAGCTTTGAAAGAACAGCAGCGTGAAAACCACGGCGAACTTGACACAGTTCTCCGACCTATGTCGCCAGGTCAATGGTTGATGTCGAGTCAGATAGAAGCACCGCGCGCAGGCTTGGCTAGCATTCCAACGCGCCATTCATCATTGAGGCGCTGCGCATCGTCTCCCAAAAAGTCTCAGCCACGCTTGACTCTCGAGACCAATGCAAAGCGGATGGGACAAGTGCACGTACTCCACGCTGGCAAAACATCGGTTGACTCTGCACCCATCATGGACACCGCACGGACGCGACCAGTACATCCAGCATTCAAGAAGCCACAGCTGAACTCATCGTCCCATACCAATTCTCGACCTCATAGTCTTGAAAGATCTTTGGACAATGCCATCTACAACGGCGACCTGGAGAAGGCACAGCAACTCTTACGCATGGGCGTCAATCCGGACCTTGTTCATACAGATCAAGGCATTCTCGCAGCCGCCGCAATGTGGGGACATACTGCAGTCGGCAAGATCATGTCTCAGCACGCTCTAGATCGATCCCGCTCCAATTGTGAGACGTGCACAATGAAATATACAGACTTTTCAAGAGACGCGAACATAGTGCTCTCTTTGCTGAAGCACGGACTCGATCCGCAAGCCAGAGGCGGCCTCTGCGGCTGCCCTCTCAATACAGCTGCTTGGATGGGCCGTCTAGATCTCGTCACAATTTTACTCGATCACGGTGCAGATCTCGGCCAGACTGCAGGCAAGTATCGCACCGCATTATGTTCCGCTGCCGCGGAAGCTGGCTATGCCGGTAATCTCGAGGTCGTCAAGCTACTGATACACTTGGGCGTCGACGTCTTCGCGTCGAGTCCTTATGGGAACGCGCGCATGTTAGCGCTTAAGCGACGGGATTTCTGGCGTAATAAACTTGCCGAGCGCTCGCTGCCGGTGGCGAGCACGAAGATTCGGATTGCGGATTGTGGTTACATGGCACAATTCCTGATGGAGACGGAGACGGCAGTGCGGCACATTGCTTTCGGCCAGGCATCGAATTCGAAAAAGGAGCGAAAGGGCTTTTGGTCCCCTCTGCTCCGCCGCTTGAGCTTGAAGGCGTAGCAAATGCATACATGATGTGATGAGGTTATGAGATGGACGATTTTGCTTGGATACGTTGACCCATGAATGATGACATTTACTTCTCGCGGAGCCTTGGGGTGTGCACTTTCTGTTTGTAGTCTCGGGCGCCTCGAGTTCCACGGAGTCATATCGATAGTGATACCGCGCTCACGCTCGGCCTTCAGCTTTTCGGGCACTTATGAGTACTTGAAAGAACCCTTGCCCATTTCAGCTTCTTCCTCCTCGAGCTTCTCAATGATACGCTCGTTGATGTCACCGCACTCGTTGATCAGTCACCGGTGGCGGTCGAATTTCCGAGGTTGACGAGGCCGATGACCACGACTTTGACATGAAGCTTCATTTCACTCATGGCGGTGGTGTTGTGGGTGTGTGGTGTGTTTGTTGAAGGTACTGAAAGTAAGTGTTTGCCAGATCGCTGCTGAACGAGTAGAGGTATAGCGACTACCACCGGCCATGCGCGTCTTCGTTGAGCCAAGCAATGAAAGCGATTTTGTTCTTGCTCGATCACGTTGTTGTGTCCCGATCACCGAGCCTCCCACAGAGAACAACATCATTACCGAACTGTCTCCACGACGTTTGTCGCAGCCAGGCGGCATTCGTACTCTCACCTCCGCGTGACTGTGCTGCGGGAGATACATTTACACCACCACGCCCAAGCCAGGTCGGCGCAATAGTTACAATGACCGCATCTACGACATTTGGCAGGAGTAGAAGCGCGTTGATAATCGTGGCACCGCCTTCGATCATGACGCTATTCATGCCCTCTGCCTTTAGCGCTCGAAGGATGTCGAGCCACTGCATAGAGATTTGCTGTGAATCGGACGAAGATTGCAATGCAGCCATGTCGGTCTTGATCGAGATGTTACGCGCAAGGTCATTCTCCGGTTTCCCATTGTCTTCCACACAGACAATCCACGGGGCTTTGCCCTTCCCATCGGCCGCGAGCTGACAGACCTTCGCACTCGAGCTCACCTCAAATCGACATCTCGGATCGACGATGACTGGCTGAGGCTGCGTCTGCAGCGTCGCACCAGGGTAGCGACAATTCAATCCTGGATCATCCACCACGGCGGTGCCGGCACCCACGAGGATGGCGTCGTGGTGCAGTCGGAGGTAGTGGGTCATGCTCTTCGTCTCGGGACCAGATAGTGTTGTTCTGGCGCCTGGTGCCAGGGCAATCATGCTGTCGAGAGAGGATGCGTACGTCAAGGTCACAAAGGGAATTTCTCCTTCTTTGATTGTGGACGTTGTGCCGTCTGACTCTTGCGTCTTTGTGACTCGTTGTGCTGACGGTGGGAGGTATGACGCGAGGAATGCGAGGTCATCTTCGCTGAGTGGGCTAATGTCGCTCATGAGTTCGCGCTGATGGGCTGTGAGTCGTTTGCGAATCACACTTGGTTTGCGGTTTTCAACTGTGTGCTGTCGTTGATGATGTTGATGGGCACCTAGGCATGTGCAGTCCGTTGCATGCCCTCCACGGCTGTGATCGATATCGTCTCCAAGTGAGCATTGACCAGGTCTGCTTCTGACACCTCACTTCGCGTTTCTGAGAACTTGTTGTAGCGTTGCCACACCATTTTGAATGCAAAGTCTGCATCAAGCAGTGTCGATACCGATTCCAGACTCAGAAGCATTGTCGCGTGTAACCCTTTTGCTACTGCCCTTGTCAGTCGTCACCGAGCGTCAAAAAGACCGATCAATCACAAGCATTTGCTCTTGGCGAAGAGACGGTGTTTGTCCTACAAGATCCACATTCACAATGTCAATCGACGTGTTGAAGACAAGGCCTTTTCTCGATCTCAGTCGCTCTCCCCGTATCGTCCCTTACGTGAGCATTTCGTTGTCCAAGCTTTACGAATAATCAGAATGACAAGACTCATCACGACCATTGACTCAGCCTGCGCGTGTTTGGCGCTCGCATCCCTCCCAAGACATAGCTCGGCTGCCCAATTCAAGACATTTCATCTGCTCAATTTATTATAGTGCTATTCGCAGAAGACTTACAATTATAGTCATGAATCGGACCTGCGCGGGAATGCTGCATCCTGTGGCATGCCTTGACTTTTTGTGGTCCTCAACCAGAGCTTACACAATCCCATCGATCATACACGCGCGCAGTAGCATCTGACTTGGCTTACGTATTTTCCATCTATGCATGGAGCCTGTCGCGTATCTCATAACCGTCTCAACCTCATGTTAAGGTTGGCACATCTATACAGTGGCCGGTGTTTCAACGACATCTGTACGATGTCAATCAAGTTCCAGCCCTGCGATCAAACGCGCATTGTTGACCCAGGATCAGGTCCGAATTTCTTCCTACCTGGTCTGCGGCTCCACCTTTGTGCTTCCCTGTGCCTCACAGTTGGCTGTAACCGCGTAATACCTCGTGGCGTGGTACCAGCCTCTAACATAGCTATAGATTCGGCGAAGACCCTGCATCCGCTTTACGTGCGACGCTTGGCAATCTGTCGTATAGGAATCAAGATGCAAAAGGTCAGAGATGGAAGATCATGACAAATTGTTCTGCTGCGAGCTGGTCGGGCTTCGCTGCTCAGAAACGGAGACAAAGCGCTTCGCGGAGGTAAGACTTAAGTTGTTATGAGACCGCGGCATGAGCACTAGCACGCTTTCGAAAGAAAAGGTCTTGCTTGTCTGGCAACACCAACATAGGAGGCGGACTAGAGATTGTTGATGTTGCACAAGTTTATAAACTACACTGCACGACCGAAGCCTACAGTGTGTCTTGAGAGACCTCGATGCTTTGTTGCACTGCTGCTGATACCAGATCCATAGCAGCGGTTTGCATATACCGAGCCTCATACAAAGATCCCGATCGATCCTGTTGCATGATGGAGGGCGGTGTGCAGCCCACGCCTAGGTGCCGACATTCCTCGTGATGCAAGATCGATGTTGTGCCATCTCGAGTCTATGAAATGGCGGAAACCCGCAGACAGTCTTTCGAACTGCACGGACTGCTTCGGTCTCGCAACAAATCTCGATCTCAAATGGAATCTCAAAGTCGTCTGTGCTCGGATCCGCGGCCTGTTGCATCTTCGACCAGAGTGAAGAAGAAGAAGTCGTCTCGTCAGCAATTGTCGTGCAATAAATGCAGGGAACGGAAAGTCCGGGTATGGACAGTATGATATTCGCGGACATCCACTGGTCGTGAAAGCTGACATTTCGGCAGTGCGACAGAACACAGCCTTGTTCGGCGTGCTGTGCTCGAGGTCATCCTCGGGATTGCGTATTCGAATGTGAAGGAGAATTCATGCCCATCTCGCAAGGCGATGAGATCCGGCGGCTTCGGAAAGAGAGTGAGAAACTCAAAGCCATCATTCGACAGGCAAACTTGCCATTACCGGGAGGGAAACGAATGTCCGACAAGTCTCTGAGCTCGAGCAATACCTATGGAATATTTGAGCAGACTTCCTTTCCTCAACACAAACCCCGGGCCGTCGAACGAATCGATAATCTGTACTTCGGAAGCCCTAGTATTGCTATAATCGTCGCCGATGTGAGTCAACAAACATCATGATGTGAAATGGAATATCATGCTGATTGTTGATGCGAACAGTACGCAAAACATCAAGCCGGTGAATCATTGACTCACACTACACCGCGCGGACGGGACGCATTCGCGCCATCCGATGGCGCTACAGCCTACCCATTTCCAATCTTGGAAGAAAGCTCGGCTTCAGAAATGACCGTACGGTTGCTAAAGGATCACGACCTAGTGTATAAATATCTAGCCACCTTCCAGACTCACGCTCATTCCTGCTATTTCCCAAATCTGCCCAACGACAGCTCGCGCTCCGAGTTCCAACGCTTCCTGGCTGATGCAGAGGCTAACGCTATCAAGCATCCGGATATGCTCGCTGTCATCTTCGCCACGATGGCTGTGGGCCTTCAGGTAGGCGTCTGGAGTGAGTGCGGCGGACAGTGGAATTCCGCATCTGTGTACAAGGCTAGAATGTGTGGTGACGTTTACAGTGAGCACTCTACCGAGCCCCAAATGACTACAAATACTAATCGGAGTGTAATCAGTGGCCGCGGCAATGCAAGCGCTACGCCTCGGCTCATTCATGAACACACCAACATTGCTTGCCGTACAAGCTCTTGTTATCATCGGTCCTTACTTGATCAACAGCGGTCGTCTACTGGACGCATGGACGCTATTCGGCACCACTATTAGAGTAGCGCAATCGATCGGGCTACATCGTGATCCACAAATACTAGATCCGATTCCCGACCCTGAGGAATGTATGATCAGAAAATCAACGTGGTGGTGGATGCTCCACATGGATCAGCAATATTCTGCGACTCTCGGTCGACCTCTTGGGATATCTGGCATCGGCGACTGTCCTTCACCAGATACCATGGTCGCTAGTCCCGTGGAGCTGAGACTTGGTGAGTTCACTCACCATTTCACTATCCTGGCGCGGCAGATCCTATCGAGCGATGGTCTTATCAGCACTTCAAAGATCGACGACTTCACAGACAAGCTCCTTACTTTATGGGATACGATGCCAGAAGTGCTACGATTCCATCCCTTCTGGCTGAGACAAGGGGCTGTTCTACCAGATTGGCCGCTGGGTATTGTATCCGTTAGTAAGTGATCGGTAGTCATATAGCGAGCCTCGCTGACAGTGCCAAGCTCTTTTTGTTAAAGTTCAATCCTTCCTGTGCCTTCTCAATCGAAAGCGAGTGGAGAGATCGCAAGCAGGGAACAGCGAGACTTATTCTCACGTACACAAGACGAAAAGAGAAGCGTACGCAGAGGCGCCTGCGAATCCTCGTGCAAAGAGCTTGTGTCAAGACCTGCCGTTCGGGCATCACTCCCAGCGAGGACGGACTCTGGTCATCGAAGCCTCAACCAGTATTCTGTTATCGTTCATATTCCTCCATCGCCACTATCCTGCTGCCATCTTCTGCTGGACAATGTGCCAACAAGCCTTCAATGCATGCATGATCCTGCTGCTGGATGCAAACGAATTTGGTATCTTGGGTCATGAACAGATAATTCTCGAGGTCCAAGGAGTGTTTCTTGGTTTACAACATCACAAAGTTCATCGAATTGCAGAACTAGCTTCTATGCGCATCAGCCAGGGACTTCAACACATCGCCGCTATCAAATCTCAACTGGGACTTCAAGAAAACGAGGCTTTTCCAGGACAATACCTGTCAGTCAACATAGCACATGAGATGCCTGCGCCCGCCTTTAGTGAGCCGGTCATGAATGCTCATGCCAGCATGATTCTTCTTGAAGATCTCGGTTCTCAATCATATGCGCCCGCTGCCTTTCGACCTCTCAATTGGACAAGATCCGAGAATAAATACAACTTGCAGAGCTCAGCTTCCACCGCAGACTTTCCTGGTGCTCTACCAATGGCGAATCTCGCAATGGATCTGGATCCGTCGCTGGCTGCGACAGCGGCAATGTCCATGACTGACGTCCGGCCCGATGCAAGATCAAGTCTAGAAGGCGCAGCGGTACCATCATACATGACTGATCGGGGATACCCCATCCCTTCCCGAAATGAGACGGTAGCAATGATGGGCAACATTGTCCAAACACAGGTGAAAGCTGCTCGTTCAAAATGCAGCAATGGAATTGTTTGGGACTGTACAGGTTTTCAAGACATGCAGTGATAGAACATATGATTGTAACAAGTAAAGCATGCCTGCCTCTCGCAATGAAACTTCCTTCGCAGCATTCTTGCACACGCTGCCATGACCTACGATACAGCAAGGGAATGATTGCACCACGCCAGTACCATGTTCGAAGAGTTGGCTATTACAGCATCACTCAAGCTTGATCCGGCTACAAGCTAGTGAATCCAACGCTCGCTCGTAGGGGCGCAAGCTTACAGTGCTGTCAATCACTCATACGCGTGTCATCGTCATCGTCATCGTCATCGTCATCTAAAACAATGGGATTGCCACTTCCGATCCCGCTGCCACCAAACGCCACGATGCCTCCGCCGGCTCGTGGAGAAATCAACATGTTCTTCATCATTGGATCCACCTGCATATCGTCGTCCTCATCCTCAGAGGATTCATCAACGCCCTCCACACCGACTCCTATTCCATTCCCGCTTTCAACGATAGACTTTTCTACGGGAGCAGCGCTTGCTGCAGATGTGCCGGCATCAGCGCTCTTCCCACCAACCTTCCTCGCATCAAGCACCTTCAACGCCTTCTGCCACGCGCGTACTTGTTTCGTATCATTCCGCAGAGGATCCCACTCGCCTACGAATTTCCCGTTGATCTCTTGCAGCACGAGCTGTTCAATTCGGGAGTCCGCCCAGAACCAGGCGTTGCGGGCGAGGGTCTGCTGAGGGTCAATTCCATCATCTCCAGGGAATGAGATCGGAAGGATGCGTGGATCGTTGCGGGCGCCGTAAGCTCGAGCTGCAAGGGTTGACACAAGTCCCGAGGATAGCGAGGTGGCAGCCGGAACTGGCGAGGGTATCGAAGTGGTGATAGTCGGAGCATTAACGGCTTGGAAGGCGACTGCGGGAATCAGAGGCGGTGGGAGGGTCTTTGCGGGAACGAACCAGGTCTGAAGGGTGGTATATTCGTGGCATCGGCCGAGAAGTCGTGTGTAGGGCACTTCAAGACGAAGTTTTGGGTTAGCAGTGTCTAGAGTGTGGTACCAGCTGCCGTAGCCAGCTAGACCAATAGGTAAATCGACGCCTGGTCGAGCTAGGGACGTCTTCCCGCTCATGTCAAAGCTATTGCTCAAATCTTGGGTGAAAGCTTTTCCTTGAACATGAAGACAGGTAGTATATGGATGGTCTTCATCGTAATCGTCATCAGTAGACTCATCGAGGTTAACAAACTCGAGACGAATAGAGGTCACAATCATGATGTCAATGACACGACTTCTTGTGTTCTCCGGCTTGGCCGCAAGTGCAGGTTTAGAAAGCAAAGGATTTGCCATTTCAGCCTTTGGCAGAAGTCGGACTGCGTCTCCAACAAGAATTAATTCTGGGCCTAGAAAGAGGCCTTCTGCAAACACGGTAGCTGTTGGCCATACGCCTTTGAACGCAAACCGAGATAGCAGGGAGAAACTACTTGCGGTGGCAAGCGCATATTGGATAGTCGGGTGCCATGACTCCTCGTTGACACCGCGTAGACACTCTTGCCAGAGGAAGAATGGCCGAATTGCATGAAGGGGCACATGCGTGTGCTGGATATTTGGCGGCTTCTTGGGTCCTTCGCGTTGTACAGAAGAGAGCGGATGAATGCGAAAGCCTGAATAGCTAAGACTTTGTTCTTCATTGGACGACATCTCTTTCAGATCTGCTGGAGATAGCTCCTGTACGGGGAATTGGGTTACGACTCCTGCCTCCCAGCGAGGTACTTCGGACCAAATACCAGGGTCTCGCCCTACAAGGCAGCGGAATGTGTTTGCATGGGAATCCCATTCGATGCGATCGTCTGTTCGGGCGAATAGCACGACTTCGCCTTCGCGAGGAATGTAAGATGGCAGTTTCTTGTTAGACGCAATAGCCGCATTCAACATCTCGTGCGTGGCTCGCCAGTCGGGGGACATGACATCCCGTATTAGAGTGACAGGGCATCCTTCAGAGCCAGCTTGCTGCAGCTTATCTAGGAGTGATCTGTAGAGATCTTGCGTTTCATTGTCATCAATTTGTAGTAATCGGCCATTCGGAGGATCGCTTGAACCACATCGTCCCTCGGGCAGACCAGCGAACGCAGCACCACTCGGCCGCATGCCATTGAAAGGATTCGGAGATATAATCTGAGGAGGATTCCTCGTGCTGTTGCCATTGGAATCTTTGGCGGATTTCGCACTTGTCGTTCGAGGTTGGCCAGCGACATTCTTGACAGCCGGATTGGATTTACTCTTAGTGCGAGAAGAGCCGACGACACATAATTTGCATGGACATCCGATCGGACCTCCAAACTCTTGCAAGTGCTTGAAATGTGGGTATAATTCATTGACTGACCTGAACACGCCACGCGGATGACCATAAAGGTAGCGATCAACATGCTTGCTATCGCCCCGTTGCTTCTCCCAGCCTCCGTATCCGCCTGGAAGCCGAGCTAGACGATATGTGCCTGGCCGTAGGCTACGGTCTTTCGCCCATACCTCGCCGAGCTTGTCGCAATAATATGAATCGTTCTGTACCATGGCCGGAAGGGTCGGCGTGGCTCCTGTGCCATCTGTAGCGTCACTGATCGGTAGGATCTGGACGTTGGAAGCCATAGCGGAGAGATTGGGAGAATTGATGGGGCCGAACCAGCTGTTTCTGGAGATCCGGCTGATGCCAAGTTGATGGCGACAACGCCGCTCTGTTCGGACTGGACAGTTGGTAGCGATGCAAAGAAGATGGTAGATTTGAAGAAAGTTGAGAAAGTGGTCAAACGTCGTGACGATTTTCGTGAGAACCAGCGAGTAGTCGTGCTGACCGCCCGGAACACTCTTGACGAAATTCCAAGTGAAGTGCTCGTTTACAGACAGGTTGACAGAGTTCCTCAAGCATTTGTTTTAATGTAGATGCTGGCTCACTGAAGCAGCGAAATTGGACGCCATTCACTTTCACCGTGGTTGTGTTGCAAACCAAGTTCCCTTGTGTGTGAAACTATAATGCACAGGCGGCCATTGTCTGCATAATAATTACGGTGAACGTGCGATCGACTGGCATGAGTGGAAGCGGTATACTATTCATTTCCAAGGTCGTTAACATTCTACAGTAGGTGAAGCGTCCGTCGCAACTATTGGCACAAACAAAATACAATCTCGTGCGAGAAATATCACCTATCATGAGATGGGGTGCGCTAGAATGCAGGAACATCGCAATGGGACTTTCTGCAACAACTCTACTCCTGGAATGGATAAGCAAACTGTGCATATATCGAGCCCCCACCTGATCTACCATAAAGCGCGTATGTCCTGTGCGCCGAGCGAAAGCTCGTCTGCATAATTACGTAAGCATATTCAGCGTCACCTGGCACCTGAACACGACCTCGGAAGCTTCCAGCCACGATTCGAGTATCGATTGAGGCACAACGGTCCACACCCGGGCAGTCTCATCTTTGTTAGTACCATTACGGTTCGAACGAGATCACACCGAGAATCCGGCGTGCCCTAATGGATTTGCTATTCGCATGAAAAGATTGCGCTTGGAAAACATTGAAGCTCGATCCAAGTCTGCTCCAGCACCCGATGCTGTCAAAACTTTCGCCGCGTACCCTTAAAGGTCAGGAAAATATCCGCAGTCTGGCAGGTTCACTCCGCGAACGACCACAATATAAAATCTAGCATCAGGATTGGAATCCGGCAGCCATGACAGATATTCCGGACGCGTGTGTGTCGCGTAGGTACCGTCTCAACTATCATGCTTGACGCCCGCCATTCAGTGCCGTGGTTCTGTCATCTTCCACCAAGTTAAGGTACGCGTCAAATTGAGCGCCACATCTTCACGACCGAACATTACAGTAGCACGTAGTTCACGTATCCAATGCTGGCGATCGTCATCATGTGAGCAACCTACTTAGGATTGCCATCGGTACACTTCATGCGAGCGCCAGCGCGCACTGCGAAACCCGTTCTGCATGAGCAGGCACGTCGTCCTCACTTCAACGTTCGTTCCCAGCAACGGCATGTTTCATCTCACGATAGCCTGCTTTCCAGCAAACACTCGAATTCATACGGTCGAGCAGCGACCGGTCCAGTTTGTAGCGAAGATCGACGAGATCCGCTCCATCAAATGCTTTCAACGTCAAAGCATACAAGATCTGCAAGCTGGGGACTGCAGCAACGTCGGCACCGCATCCTCGCCCTGAACATCAACTTTGGACTTCACCGTCCCTCGCCTTCATCATGCTCGCCAGCTGGCGCCTCTACCCGTAGCCTATTGCGTTCATGTCTGTCGTTTCCTTTACCAGCCCTTAGTTGGCGCCGCGGCGCGTCGGACCAGCCAGGCATGCCGTGACTCCCAATTCCCATATACTAAGGGTAGTCATAGCTGGGTCGCGAGACATTCGTCAACTTTCGGAACCTCATTGCTCTCGTCTTGTCTACGTGTGTGTGATAATTAGGCCATCGAAGACTGGCACAGAGCTGGTAAGCTCTCGTTGATCGAACTCACAATACACTAGCGAATCGTTCCCGGCTTTCTTCAAGCACTCTTCAATCATGACAGCACCACACCAACCAAACCAGGATGAAGCATTTGCGCCGAAGCAGAGCTTCGATTTTGGTCTTCCGAGTGCCACGCCGTCCGCGGCCACCAGGGAAGTGCGGCAATTCTCGCTACCATCCAGTGTTCGATTGCAAACCATTATCGAAACATCAACATATGCGCCACAGATTCCAGAGAAGAGCGCCCTCCGGAATAGTGTGGGTCAGGCTTCTATTGTGACTTTGCTGATGCAACATCAAGAGCATCAGCATCATCAACAACATATGTTGAAGACTGCATCGGCCCCTGCATCACCACGATTATTCCCAAGAGCGCCCAGAGCCAGCAGTGATTCCGCAAGCACTCGTACTGTTGCGCCACCGGCATATTCCTGGATGCCTGATGTCCGCGCGATGTCCAGCTATGGCAATTCAAGTACACACTCGGGCTCAATTTCGGGATCTGTGCTGCAGAATGAGAAGTTGGCCGAGACCTTGCGACAGGCCGACGATGAGGCGCGCCACTCACGCCATCGCAACGGCAGGAGAAAGCTCTGGCTGATGGCGCTCATTGCCATCGCAGTCCTGCTCATCGCTGGGCTAGCCGTGGGGTTGGGTGTCGGACTGACCGCTGTTATGAAACGCGGGCAACAGCAGGCAGATCTTGCAGCCACTTCCAAGGATCTCAACTCGTCCTCGTCTGGAGGCGGGGACAGTGCCGACCAAAAATTTCCCCTTGGTCGCTATCGAATCACCACTTCGTTGAAGCATCGGAACACAGCCTGTACTTCCGATGCTTCAACCTGGACATGCTACGCTGATGCCGGCAACAGTTCGAGCAGCCCCGTGGTATTCGACTGGATCATCTCAGCAACAGCGCCAAGCTTTGCTACCTCTCATTCAGGCATTACAGCAAATGGTGGTATTCCCGCGAACCTCTCGATTAGCAGTAATCCTAGTACTGGAAACGATGCATTCCAGCAAAACATGGTCTTCACCAAGCAATCTCTAATCTACATCTCTCCCACGACGAGCGATTCACCTTCAACATCTACTTCCATTTCGAACCTTACTTTTGCGAATGCCACTGGACCCAGATACACTTTCAATTTTGTTATGACTAAACTCTCCACCATCAGCCTTAATAACAATAGCATTCCCACAACAGTTCGAACACTTGCGAATCGCGATGGCGCGACTCCTCCCTCAGCCTCATCTTCTGCTTCTCCTCAATCAACATCACAGTGTAGCCCTACTCTCAATATGGCTACTACAACGTTCACAGCGGTCCTGTATCTATCTCAACCTCAAGAGTCAGGAGTACCTTCGGAAACTACTCGAGATTCGTCAGATGCTTTAACAAAGCTGCCTACGTGGCCCTATGCTGTGGAAATTTTGCAGAGCAGGGAATCCAGTGGCAGTGACGCCAATTCATGTGCCGCGAGTGTTTCAACGCGCGACAGCCATCAAGACGTTAATAGTAGCAACGGCAAATGCACTTGCTCATGGCGGAACTTCTAGGGCTTCATCCGCAGCAGATCGAAAGCCACTTGGATTCAGGATCTAACAATGCCTCTTGCAGATGTTGAAATGCAAACCTGGCCCTTAATCTATCGGGCACTTTCCTATTCGGGTTCTGGATCGATGATCGACGATGGATATGAAAAAGACTACTTGGGTAGTATGATATATGACTTTTGGATGATACAGCGAAGGGTCAGACTCCACAAGGCGTTCACATTGGACTTTCCAGTCAAGATGTCTTTCTTTTTCGTGCTCTTTTTGCTTCCTGTGGTGTCATTTTTTCGTTTGTGGTTGTTTCTTTAACGATATCATCAAATACTTCCCCTGTCTGCTTTGGTGTCACTTCCACGGCCTCATATCTCTTGTCGGTTTTTTAGCCACCAGGCCTCTCGAGACCCATGGCGTTCTGCAGGGGTTCGGCTCGATAGAGGGTAGTGTACTAGTTCTCCTCTCATTTCGAACATTGAGATATCTAGTAGGCCATCACAGAGTGGAATTCTTTTCCGTGTAGTCTCATCGGAGAAAAGGCTCTGGGCGGGGAGGTTTGTCATCACGTCATCTATGCCCACGTGACTTGCTGCACCGCTCCTCCTGTGCTTGCTCATCTCGTGTCTCCGGCGGACGACAACTCCCTGCAACACATGAGTGACTACTGCATACTCTACCATTCAGCACATTTCGAGGATTCGCATCGCAATGGCTTCCGAAGAGCCCTCGCCGCAAACCAAACGCAAGGTAGGTCTCTCATGTATTGAGCCACAGCAACTCCACGCAGTCGAATCCGGGCTTTCGTCGCGTTGAACGCGATCGCCACGCGCACGAAGGCTGACATCCGACAAATAGACTGGGCGGCCAACCAAGTACGACTGGTCAGACAAAGAAGAGATATGTCGCAAGCTATATATCGATGAGCAGAAGAATACAAGTGAAATCATTCAGTACTTTGTGGAGCATTTCAACACTGATCCATCGGAACTGCCATGTCGTAAAGGCTTCCATCGCCAATTTCAGGCATGGGGATTTCCCAGCCGCGGCAAGACTTGGGATGGAGACCAAGCCAATGCCGCGAGCGCGCGGATCCGTGAATTATGGGAGCAGAATGTCAATCAGAAGGACATCAAGTCCATGATGGACGAGGAGGGTTGGGAACTGTCCACATACGATTTCACCAAGTTGTGGAGGAAGAACAACCTGCGATTGCGCAACGAGCACGGATACAAAGCTCCTTCGGCTGATGGCAAGAAGCGGAAGCGACCCAGCGCGGCCATCGAAGACGCCATGGCCGAACAATTGGTTGAGACTCCTTCTCGTCCGGAGCCGATCTCTGCACCAATGGATGCAGAAGAAGCTGCGGCTCGCGCCCAGCGGCTTTTCGAAATTCAAGTTGAGAGTGATCAAAGACTTCAGGCTCGCAAGCGTCGTCGCCGGATTCGGGGCTACGGCCATCTCCCGCCTGACGCGGCCGGTACAGCACCTCGCTATGCGTCGGAAACGAGTCTGGATGAGTGCAAAGCCTACCTGAGTCTCGACAACGAAACTTATGTTCAGATTCGCAAGGAGTTCACCGCAATTTGCGAGGAACATGGCATTTTGAAGAAGACAGAGTGCGCGGAGGGCGTGTGGGAAGATAGTAAACGCCAGCTCATCGATGGTAATGCTCATCTCAGTGCAGTGATGCACCCGCTTCAGCCTGAACTCGATAAGAAAAATGTCGCACTTGAGTGTCTTGCCGCTGATGTCACCAAACGCATGCGCGTTACCGGGCGTGCCATCACAATTGCCGATGCCAACAACATTCTTGATCTCAACCCGACTGAAAGTAAAGCTGTTCGTCGGGCCTTCTACGAGATTCTCGCTGCCGATAAATTCGAGTCCCGTTTAGTAAGCGGAGAGGACCACTGGAACGAACTCCGTCAGCAGTGGTATCAAACTTCAGAAAAGTTGCAGCAAGTCGTTGCAGCAAACGACCCGAACAAAATGCGCGCTGTCGACCTTCTCGGCCGGGACACGATGAAGCGTTTCCGCGAGGATCGGAATTCGCGTGGCGAGCGAATCGTCGTGCAACAAAATGCCGAATACGGACCCGGGCCCGGGCCCGCTTGGGCCGTCAAAGCGCCGCGCTCCAAGAGGAAGCCCAACCTCACAGTCCCTGCTCTAGCACAAGTCACGACCGACGACCTGAACGCAGACCAGCAGCACCTCGAACCTCCGACCGCTCCCATGGACCCTAGCCTTCTGACAGACCCGCAAATCCTGGGCGGCACCGACGATGATCTCGACAACAAAATCCCACATTCCCTGATGGCCCAGCTCGCGCAAGCCAGCAGCCAACTCAGCTTCGATCTCGATCCCGCGCTCGCGGGCTCAGGTCCCTTCGCAACCAGCGTGCCCGACCCAACCATGCCCACAACCACTATCGCACCCACCGGTCCACCCATTACAGCATACTTCCGTCTCGCGCCGACATCTCAACTGTCCACCGTCCATCCGCGCATGTGGCTGGGCAAGCTCTCCACGCCCTCCGTGCACGCTCTGCACGCCGCGGCGTTGAGCAAACTCCCGACGGCCCGCGTGGCCAAGGTGCAGGGTTTGGTGAAGAATGAAGATGGCAGTGAGGACTGTTGGTTGGTGGAGTCGGTGGATGAATTACTTGCGTATCTCGCTGAGGCGGGCGAGAAGGTCAGCTTTCAGGTCGTGTTGGAGGATGGAGTGTTTGTTTGAGAGGTCCATGTTCTCGTCATGGCGGTGATCGATACCAGACGGCGCAGGTGCCTGGTCATTTTCAATTGGGTCTCGGAGGAGACGATGTCCTGGGTAGTATCCTGGCAAGGCTCTCGAAGGCGGGAGATATGAGGCACCATCAGACAATATATCGCCGAGCGAAATATATGATTCCAAAATTGTCATCATTTGTGTTTCGAATATCGACGTGAATGACCAGAAGCGACAACAACCGAGTGAAAAGAGTTGCGGCGTGAAGTCTTGAGAAAACGAGTAGTACATGTATCTGATGATATCAATACCAAGGGTCCTTATTCATAAAGTCCGGACATAAGTATATAAAATCTTGGCTCGCCAGTCACGTCATATACAGATCAAATTCGTGAAGTAAAATGCCACAACGAGGGCGAATTTGACATTCATCGCCTTCGCACGACATCTCCTCTCCCCTGAGAAGCCTATCATTCATTCACACACACCTCGACCTCTCAAAAGATCCTCTCTTCCTCTCAAGTCTGGTACTCCGGGGCCGCCAACTCGACTTTCTCTTCCTTCTTGTCACCACCGCTGACCCAAACCTTGCCGAGCTCAGCCTCGATATCCTTACGGCGCTGGGTCCAGGTGTCGACCTGTGCGAGCTTACTCTTTAGCTCGGCGATTTCCTGGGCGACGCTGTCCTTTTCGCTGGCGGTACCGATGCGTACGAACTCGTAGCCGTTGGCTTCGGCGCCGAGGCCCAGCGTGAGGGTGTAGTTGTGGTAGCGTTTGAGCGAGGCGCGAGTGGAGATGGTGATGAGAGCTAAGGACACAATTGGTTAGCTGACGATTCGAGGCACAGGGGGGTGTTGTTGACTTACTGATGCCTTTGGCTTTGGCGGTCTCGTAGAGGATACCCTCGACGTCAGACGACACGGCGGAAGTGCCTTCATCGATGAAGGCGTATCGAGGCTCGTGGTATAACAGACGAGCGATACCCATACGCTGCTTCTCGCCACCAGAGAGGACATCCTTCCACATCTTTCGCGTGTCCCAGCCACCTTCACGCTCGGGGATGTAGCCAAGTTTGCTCTGCTCCAAAATGGCTTGGAGTTCGCTCTCGCGGCGTCCGGCGTCTTTCATGTCCATTTCGGTGTGGGGGTAGATGACCTGGTCACGCAGCGTGCCTGGGCTCAGGTACACTCGCTGCGGGAGGAACATGATACCATCTTGGCCAGTAGTCCTCGGGCGGGATGTCAGACCGCGGTAGGTGGGCCAGAGACCTGCGACAATACGGGCGACGGCGGATTTACCAGCACCATTAGGACCTGTAATGAGGAGGTGCTCGCCAGGGCTAACAACGAAGGACAGGTTGTCGATAAGCTCCTCACCACCCATTGGGAATGGCGCAGGTGCGACGATTGGAACGTCTTCTAATCGGACACCGTCGTAGCCTTTGTGAAGTGTTCCGGTAACATCGGCCTGGCTGAAAAGCTCGGGGTACTGACCATTACGAGGCGCCGGGTAGTGATTGGCGTGGACGCGGTGGAGTGTACTGAGCAAGTGGAAGACACGGCTAGTGTGGCCAGCAAGCTCAGAGAGATCCTTGATAGAGTACATCATGCGGCTTCCGGCATCGGCAAGGTTCAACATGAGTCGCTTGTTGGTAATGAATTGTTTCGTGCGGTCTCCACTTCGGTCGTGGTTAGGCCGGTCGTCAAGATCGGCATCCGCGCGGCGAGAGGAGCTGGGCTCCGGCGCCAGGCCCATGCCGGGCAGGAAAACAGGAACAGCAGTTACGACGTAGCCAAATGCGGACCACGTGTACTTGAGGACGAAATCCTCGAGCATGTTGTAACCCACGCGTACTCGGTAGATACCTTCCATCCATCTTCGCAGAGACTTGAAGCCTTGGTCGAGGAGAACGTGCTCGGTCGGGCCACCAGCGTAGAATGCAACTTCCTCGGCGTTGGCGATCAGACGAGCGTGTAGGGCACGGAATTCACCTTCTTTGCGAGCCTCGGCAGCCTTCAGCTTGCCAAAGGGCGGGCTGACCTTTCTGAGCAGAGTAGCGGTGGCGAAGTAGTTCGCCAACAAAGTACCTAGTGCTAGCGGACCCAGTGACACCCATAGTTGGTAGTTGAATGTGGCCACATCCACCAAAGGTTTACCCAGACTCGAGTAGAGAGCTGCAGCTTCGTCACAGAAAAGGGTCAGATCCTGGGTGATGAATTGATCGGCTCCTTGCCCAATGCTACCGTCCAAAGTGTGCATCTTGTAGTATGCCATGGTTGGGCTGAGGTACAGATCGTGGATATATCTTGTAAGGCGGGTTCGGAAAGCAATGCTGATCTTGGCTTGCAAGAACTTGATCATGGCGTTTGTGTAACTGCCAACCGCACCAACCGATAGCCATTTCGTCAAGCCGAGCAGGAAAGCACGACCATTACCAGCGACAAGATCCCGGACAATCTCACCATCTAGCCGTGCTGTGACCAGAGAGAGATATGTGCGCAAAAGCAGGAAAATGGCATGTGTTGCGAGCAGACCAGACTCTTTGCATCCCAATCTGGGGATAGCAATCTTCATAATGCTCATGAATTGATGGAGAAAGGCAATGTTGAGACCAGGCTTGATGTTTGGCGGTGGTGCTCCATATTCGGAGCCCTTGGCACCTCGTTCTTTGAAAGGTTGGAGAAAGAGGCGTCGGTGAGCGTCAAAGGTTGTTGGTTTTGTCGGGTGAATAGTGACACGACTGGCTTTGTCTTTATATGGCACGTATAGCGTCCTTGCACCATCCTTCCGCTTCACACCACTATTCCTCCGAACCAGACGTTTTCCCAAGTCCGCCTCCTTCTGCCGAGCGCGATAGATTCTGTAGCCGCCATATCCACCTGCGATTATCGTCAAGGATAAGGCGAGTGTCGCAATGAGCTGGTTGGTCTGCTTGCTCAGCGGACTGCGATTCTGAAGAGCCTGTAGGCGAGCTATGATACGTTCGTAGAATTGGTCGAGAAGTTGTGAGAAGCGATCCGTGGGCTTCTCACGTAGTGTAGATTGGTTCGCCATGGCGACGGCGGAGATGGAGAGGGTATCACCGCGGCACGCAGGTTCCTTCGCCGCGCATCTGGACCGCGTCGGGATAGGGTAATCGTCGCTTCGAGTCCTCACCGAGAGGTTTGTTGTCGTGAAGGATGAAGGTATGCATGCACCACAGCTCAGTCGAGAGAGGAACTATTGCGCCAAGGAGACATGTGATAGCGGTCTTGTCCTAGCTTATTACTGGCGTCGCTCTGGCTGGCTGGGGTAACGACGTCCGCTCTGGATTAATGACCTAGGAAACGGCCGAGGATGCTTTTCTTAGGACGTTTCTGTCTAGGGTTGGGTTTATGTTCCATGTGATCAACCCTAAGCTGTCCCTCGAAATCTACCTCCTCGTGGACTGCAAGAGAAGATGCAATTGCGTATAGTGAATCTGAACTGCGCTCATATGGATACTCGACCATTAATGTGCTGAAATCACATGTGTTTGGACCCATAAACCTTACATATCAGCAGATTCCGCGCAAGTTCATCATTCCGAGGTTGAGGAACAGGGTGCTGTAAGGACGATACAGCATGACCGCGTACTTTGACGATCTTCACGTTGCTGACGTCGAGAACGCTCGCAAGATATCAGGCGAGCACGATATGCTATTTTCGTAAACTGCTTCATAATCTCGCCCGGCCTCTACAACTGCATTCCTGATTGCGGAGCATCAAGAAGATGTTGAATGATACGTGACGGGGGTAGCCAACAACGTTCCAGCTTCCCGACAATGCCGCAGATGGGCGCAGCAGCAGCGATGGGGCTTAGTCATGTCTTGGCAAGTATATAAACCGGGGAACTACAGCTTAAACCAATACATCACCCATCAGCATCGTGTGTGCAAGTGAGGTTCAAGAGGAGAATTCATGTTATTTTCAATCAGGCGTTGGGACAAAGACCGTTGATGCTGTAGCAGACGATTGCACATGTCAACGACGAAGAATAGGACCTCGAATCGCGCAACGACGGGTGTACATGGTTGAGTCTGCGCAACCGTCACCGTCACCGTCTTTCGTACGCTTTACCTTGCAAACCACATCAGTCGACCACAATCTTTGATAGTCCGCGCAAACGCTACTCGATATCGCGACCGTTACGTTATCTTCGGTCCGCTGGTGGCTAGCAGATCTATTCCAACAACATGACGAACACTTTGGTCGTATGTTCTTGCCGCCGGCGTTGCTCAAACTCACGCTGCCCAGACATGATTTTGGGACCAAGTAAGCTGACTTGATTGCATCGAAAGGGCGATGTTTACGCCAAAATCATCGAAGAGGTCATCGCGACCTCAACGACCGACTTCGAGGAAAGCGGAGTAGGACAGACGACATTGTCGGAGATGCAACAGGTTCGTAATGCCCTTCTCTCGTTCATCCATCCCTCCCAGTCTTGCACGATGTTTCCGCCACTCAGAAGCACTGTGCCTGGTCGATCACTCATCTCCGATCACTCTCGAAAGCGGGCAGATCGCCCAGCGTTGCGATTGAACAAATCGAGACCGCAGTGAAAGAGCTATTGTCTCCAAATCGAAAATGAGAAGACTGCGAGCCATTCCAGTATCCTGGCGGTGCGCACACGCTGTGCGTGGATCGAAGGGGCTGGCGGGGCAAGGGAAACCTGGAGAATCTGGGCGTCCGCTGCTTTTGGATGACCAGATTTATACCCCCATGACTCCTCCCTTTTTCCCGCTAAACCCCGCTCAGCACATCGATCACGTGCACGTTCATGCCCAAGATCTCGGAAGCACAATGTCATTACTATCGCGTCTAACAAATGTTGCCCACCGCATACATGCACCTCCTCGGAAGTTATGCTTACACACATCGTTATAGGAATGGCAAGCCAAGTTGAGTGCGCGTGGCGTTGCACAAATGCCCTGGGACCCCAAGCCGATTCCTGTGCAGCCGAATCCACCTCCACAGCTGCCACCTACTGTTGCCAACGATGTCCCACCTGCTTCATTCCCGACCTATGACCAAGCCACGAATGAAGGCATTCGAATAAAGCCGGAACCAGGCACGGAACAGCAGTTCCATGGCCTGCCGACTGGTGCATACCCATCTGGTGGTGTTCCCTCCACTCAAGGTGGTCTTGCACGAGCTCAACAGCTTGTGCAACAGCAGTATGCAAATGCGATGCCTCGGGGCGGCCTCGCGCTACCAGGCGCTCAGCAACCTCAGCAGCCACAGCAGAGGCCGCCTGGTATGCCGCCTGCGAATGGAGCTGCCTTGCCCGCCGGCAGCCTAGCGCAGCAACAGTTCCAGCAACAGCAGCAACATGCCATGCAGCGTCAGCAGCAAGCTTTGCAGCAGCAGCAACAAAAACCTCCCACTCAGCCACAGCAGCAGCAGCCGCAGCAATACCAACAGCAGCAACAGGGGCCGCGTCCACCTCAGCCCCAGCAACAGCCACAAGCACCGCAGCAGCCGGCACAGCCTCCGATCAAGGTTGAGAACAGCATTCCAAACTACAATCAAACCGACGGTACTGCAGATGATGATCTCGCCCAATGGCGTGCCATGCTTGCAGAGCGACGTGCCCTCGGCGCCGAGCAGGTCCGTCAAGCCGATCGAATGATGTACGACCAAGTCATGGAAATGACCGCCCAGCTCGAGAGCGGTCTCATGGTCCCCCTCTCAGAGCAGCCATCGACTCGCCGCAAGCAACGACGCGCCGGCAACAAGCAATCTGCCAGAACTTCCTCCCCACCCATCGCATCATCCTCTCGCCTCCCGTCTCAACTCGACGGTCTCGATGACGACGACGATGCCAAGGGTGGCGATGATGACGAAAACGCCATCAACTCGGACCTCGACGATTCCGACGACGAAGGCCAAGGTAACATCGGCGAGGACGAAGACGACGAGGGCGACGCCATCCTGTGCACCTACGACAAAGTCCAGCGCGTCAAGAACAAGTGGAAGTGCACGCTCAAAGACGGTGTCATGATCGTCGACGGTAAGGACTGGGTCTTCCACAAGGCCACGGGAGAGTTCGAATGGTGAAGGAAGCCGGACTTGGTAGTTATCGTGTTTTTTCTCCATACTCTGGATGAGACGTTTGTGTTTAACGAAATGTTGAAATTTCGTAAAATTGCTTTGCTCGACCAGACTGAGAATCTGATCAGGTTTGGGAAGATACGAGGGATTCAGTCGGCAGAGAGGGAGTGGGTCAAGGTTTGATTTGACGGAGATTGTACAAAGAAATTATTTTTCATTCGAGTTTTTCAGGTCGAGGCGTTCACTCTCCCATCCGTTCAGGCCTTGCCTTGATTTTCTTCTACTTTATAGATTTGAGGTGAGAAGCTCGTCATTCCACACAGACCCGAACACAATGGCCACACCTTGATGGGACATGATTTGGAAACCGTTTAGAGTCGTTGGCGCTGTGCCTTGATCGGTCTTCCACATAGCTTTAGAGGTGAGGGTCGCGTAGATGCTCGGGCAAGCACCGGCGAGTAGGGCAAATCCACGTTCTTCTAGTGGATCGAATATAGTAGCGTCACAGGTACGCATTTCAGGAACGGATAAGCAAGGAAAGTAAAGTTAAAGAGAAATCATTTCATGTGCTATCTCAAGGCACGTGCACCGCAACGACCTTTCATCGGATGATGTTCAATCCAGTCCCGCTCTGTGCTAGAACGCACGTCGTCGGAGCTGTTCATTCAGAGCACCCTCGTATCGCGCATCATCGTGCAAAAGATACAGTTTTTTCGTCACCCGTGCTATAACTCGCTCCATGAAGCTGCTGAGCAATCACTTAGATGCGAGCCATGACACCCCAGGCGCGAATCTTGTTGTCGGTGTAACCAGCGAACAGAGTCTGTCCGTCAGCGGACCAGGCGAGGGAGACACACTCCGGCTCGCGGGCCTTGCCACCACCCTCGAGGAACTCAGGGCGGAGCTCGTCAACCTTGCTCTTCTTCTCGAGGTCGAAGATGACAATCTCCTTGGCGGTGGCAGCGCAAAGCCAGTAACGGTTGGGCGAGAAAACGAGAGCGTGGATCTCGTCACCGGCGCTGAGGGAATACAAGTGCTTGGACTCGTTCAAGTCCCAGAGCATGGTGGTGCCATCCTTGCCACCGGAAGCGCAGAGGGATCCGTCGGGAGAGATGGTGACAGTGTTGATGTAGCCGGTGTGACCGATGTGGTCAGTCTGGATGCGGCAGGTGGCCAGTTCCCAAACCTTCAAGTACGAGTGTTAGCACATGATTTTCAGAAGATGCACAGACCAAGCGAGCGGAATTGGGAAGGATTGTCAGTACGCCTGTGGAGGCAAAGTGTGTCTCATTGCCCGTAGGCTCTGAAGTAGCAAATACTTTGTAAAGCATCATGCAACTGGACCAAGAGAGAATGTAGCTTACCTTGACGAACTTGTCCCAGCCAGCGGAGACGATGACGGGGTTCTGGGGGTTGGGAGAGAAACGGACGCAAGAAACCCACTCAGTGTGGCCCTTGTCGGTGATGGTGTACTTGCAGTCACCGAGGGTGTTCCACAGCTTGATGGTGCGGTCACGGGAGCCGGAAACGATCTGACGGTTGTCGGCGGAGAAGGAGACGGAGAGGACATCGTTGGTGTGGCCGACGAAGCGACGGGTGGTCTGACCGGTAGAGAGCTCCCACAGTCGGAGAGTCTTGTCCCAGGAAGAGGAAAGAGCGTAAGCACCGTCGGAAGAGATCACACAGTCGGAGACGATGTGAGAGTGTCCGTGGAGAGAGCGCTTGGGGTAACCGTAGCTCTGGTCGTCACGGGTGAGGTTCCAGATGATTAGGGTCTTGTCGCGAGAACCGGACAAGAGCATGTTGGGGTTCTCGAGGGATGTAGCCAAGCTGGTGACCCAGCCGGAGTGGCCCTCGAGGGTACCGCGGAGAACGAGCTGCTCAGACATTTTGATTGTGAAGTGAGTGACAATTGATGTTTGATATTGGGGCAGATGTTGTCAGGATCGTCAAAAAAGTTGTCGCTGGATGTAGTGGTGTGAGGAAATTCGGATGCCAAGATTTGCGGCTCTTTCACGCTAGTGGTCAAACTCTCCCAAACAAACGAAAGTCACGTGAGTGCCTGCTCTTCACGACTTTGTCAGACTTTGTCAGAGTGCGATTATAGGTGCTGACAAGCAGCATCCCAATGACAGCATATTTTGTATGCTCATCAGAAGGGTGCTTTTGCCCAAGTTGCTCATAATCCCTGGGCAAGCTGCCGCACGGCTGCCAGTCCGACGAGACGAAATCTCATGTTTGTCGAGCATCGAGTGACAGTCTTTCCATGTTTCTTTCGTATGAAGGATGTTCTCGCGAGCCATGCACACAGATCGCGAGCATGATGCGCCGGCTAAGCATTGCGGCAGAGTGTAGTGAGCTGACTGAAAATGGAGCTTTGCAGCAGGGCTCACAACGGCAGGCCCACCCACCGCGGATCCCTGACTCTGCACTTGCTAAACTGTGAACATCCAATGCAGCCATACACTCTCACTGCCCGTGTTGATCTTGCCTCGGGCCTGGAGGTGCTCCGGGTGGTCCTCGTATGCCCATCCCGGGTGGCGGAGAAAAATGATGACCTCCCGGACCACCTGTATTTTGGAACTGAGCAGGCGGCATGTGTGGTGGCGGGAAACTGCCGGGTGGAGGGAATGGGAGATTGTTAGGCGGCGAGCCGGCTCCTGGGGGCATGCCATTTGGTGGGAAGGGTGGCATCCCAGCAGGATTGAAGCCTGGTGGGAAGCCGTTCGGAGGCATGGGAAATCCTGGTGGAAGTGGTGGCATGCCTCTTCCTCCAGGCATTTGTGGTGGAAAGCCAGGAGGCATTGGTGGCATCCCAGGAGGCATTCCCGGAGGCATCGCGCCTCCCATGCCTGGCATTGGTGGAGGAAAGCCAGGTATACCTCCCTGAGGTGGGAATCCAGGCGCGCTCATTCCGGCTGGTGTTGGCATGCTCTGACCCTCAGCAGCATAGCTGCTCGTGATACTGTCGATGACTGACTGCGCCTTTTCGTGGCCGATTTGCTGGTAGTAGTCGACGACATTGCGAAGATGATTACGACCGCTGTTGTGCGCTTTACGCACACTCATGGAATCGTGAGTGAGGTAGACATCGCAATAGTCGCAGAAGAATTTCGGCATGATGGCGATTGTGATGATGTTTGCGATAGAAAAGAGGCTCTTGGAAATTAAATCTGGAGCTCTCTAACACAACTACATGGGTCGGCAAGCTAAAACTGTATGATGATCAGGTGACGACGCGCTTTTGCCGCACGCGCCTCATGGAAGAGTATTATCGACCCTAATGAAATTCAGCGCCCGTGACGTCGGCGGTGCAGTCGCGTTCGTTCTTGGAGACCATGAATGTTTCTGACCTTCCAAAACCACCACATTGTTTCGTTTAATTGCAACTGGGTCCTAAAGTCACCTGCGTACCTGAGTGCGATGTATGCCATCATAGTAGATAATCAAGTACTGCTGTGAGCCAAGTATACCGCCGCAGATATCCTTCACCATGACGAATTATGCTCCGCAGAATAGTGTATGGGCGGCCATGAATTACAAACCTCCTCGAGGTCGTTGCAATCACAAAAGCTCCCTCATTTCTTCCTGCACATGCCTTCGGTTCATGCTACATCCTGTCAAGGTGCGTCCGAGATGCGCTGAGCAGATGGTTATGCAACGGGCTGATGCACGAATCTAGGCGGCCACGAGCTTCGAATGTGATGGTTGCGGCCATCATGCTTCATTTCACTCTCTGGAGAATGTTGCAGAAGATGCAATATTGAAGAAATGGTCGGTAGAGGCGTCTCGGGAAGCATCTCAGAGCTCTACGAGTGCTGTGAAGAAGCGCCGACGCCTTGCGGATCGACCTGCTGCGGAAGTAGAGATATTAGAACTAAGTGACGCAGACGCTCCGCAAGTGGCAACAGCACGATCAAACAACCAAAGGCATTCCAGCAGTCATGCTCCCGCCCGCTGAATTCTGAATCGACATCGCATCGGATTGGAAATCACTGGATATTTCTTCAACGAAAACAGACCATAACGATCACAACGATCACATAGTCGTCATTCAACGATTCCTAATCGGCGCGTGTCTGATCTTCGAGCAGTCTCTCAACGAGGAATAGCCTCGAGACTACCGAACAATATCAAGCTCCTTCGAATCTGATCGAATGATGGTCACGCTTCCATCCCTATACTCCAGCCTCGTCTTCTCCGCATCGGAAGGCTTGCTTCCTACTGAGCTCGACGCATCTTCAATCACGAAAGTCTTATAACCATGCTCAGCCGCATCGATGGCTGTGCTTCTAACACAATAGTCATATGCCAAACCGACGGTAAAGACGTGCGTGATGCCAGCCTCCTGGAGCACATCATGAAGATCGCTCGTTCCCACGCGAGGATTTCGGAACGGGGGACCAAATGCAGAATATGATTCAACGCGACGATCTTGTCCCTTATCGATTATGAGCATAATTCGATCGTGCTTGAGCTCGGGGATCAATTCGCAGCCGGGCGTACCTTGTACGCAGTGGTCAGGCCATAATGATCTGTCGAAGAAGGGTGTTAGATGAGCGTTTACGCTTTGATAATGACTATGGAATAGATCAGAGATTTTACTGACATTGTCTGCGACTCCTGATCATTCTCCGGACTGTTTATGACGTGTTCCGCAAAGACTTCCTTGTCCTCGTGTTGCGAAGCAAATGAAATGTGATCACGCGGATGATAATCTCTGGTGGCAATTCGTAGGACGAAGCCGGGAAGTTGGAGTAATTCATTGATCTTGGGTACTATATCCCGGCCACCTTCAATCGCAAGGGATCCAGATGGCGGGCAGAAGTCCTCTTGCATATCCACCACGATCAAAGCGGCTCGGACCTGTTGTGAGGTAGCCATAGTGGTCCAATTGCCTTTCTGTTTTATGATGTTTTCCACAAATCTGTATCTGGATCGCCGTCCAAAGCGGCTACACCACGACTTGCTTTTGTGTGGTTGATAGTGAGAACGAAAGCTGTTGGTTGATCACTGAGGCATTCAAATCGGTATCAGTTCTAACGCTGATGTCATTGCTCTGCACCTTTGAGAATTCCAAGGTTGTTCGGATAATGGCTGCGATACACATAGCACAACAGCAGCCATAACCAGCATAACAGTGTTTATACATCTAACTTGGTACAGAATTGATCAACATGCTGTTCGTGGAAGATGTCATTTCGATCATCCACACTCGATCTTCAGGTATCGCCACAAAGCATCAAAATTGGCCTAGTTGTGTACCCCTCCACCAACGTTCGCTGTTTCCCTCCCCAATCCAGATTTGTACCTGTCCAGCGCAATCTTTCTGCGCTCACTATGATCGACCATAGGCTTGGGATAACCCGTTGTCTTCGCGATCTTCTCCGCTCCTCTGCCGTACGGATCGTGAATCGCCTTACCCACAACATCTTTCAACTCCGGCACCCACTTCCGAATATACTCTCCAGAAGCATCAAATTTCTCGCTTTGCAGCAATGGGTTGAAAATGCGAAAATATGGCTGAGGATCAACTCCTGTACTCGCAGAGAAGCCCCAGCCGCCGTTATTGGATGCGAAGTCGCCGTCGACGAGGTTTTCCATGAAATACCGCTCCCCTTTCCGCCAATCCAGTAGGAGGTCCTTGGCCAAGAATGAAGCCACAATCATGCGCGCACGGTTGTGCATATAGCCGGTACTCTTGAGTTGTCGCATCGCGGCATCGACGACCGGAAAGCCCGTCTGTCCATTACACCATCGCTGGAAATGCTCCTCGTTGTAATCCCACTTGATATCTGAGTATTCGTATTTGAACGGCTTGTGCATGCATACAAAGGGCCAATGCGCAAGCACGTGTTTGTAGAAGTCTCGCCAGGCCACTTCGCTGATCCAGCACATAATGCCAGCATTGCCGGCGTCAAGCTTTGGGCTGGAGTTGTTACTTTGTGCACAGCGAATGGCTGTTCGTGCGGAGAGGGTGCCCGAAGAGAAATGTACGCTGAGGCTGGAATTTGCATTCTCCGCGAGGAAATTGCGAGCGTCTTTATATTTGGATATTCTTTCTCTCGCGAAACGCTCCATGCGTGCTTGCGCTTCGTGTTCACCTGCAGGCCATAGGTGCGCGAAATGCGTCTTCTCCTTACTGGTCAGAGTTTTGTTCGAAGGTGCTGAGGGTATCTCTGCGTCGAACAGCGATTTGAACTTCGACCTGGCGCTCTTGTCGTTGGCTTGTGGAAGCTCAGAACCTTTGAGTAAATGAGGATGATCGTGAAGATGGCGGACCCATGCCTTGAACCATGGTGAATATACAGAATATTGCTTCCCAGCTCCAGACTGTAAGTTACCAGGCGGTACTAGTACATCGTCATGGAGAGCAGAGAAATCGATCTGTCGTCCCAAGCACTCTGTGATGAGTTTGTTCTCTCGTCGCAGTTCATCGACTTCATACTCGATATTGCAAAAGACATGCTTTGCCCCCCACTCTGCGCTTTTCTTCAAAATGAACGAGGGCACATCCTTTCGTGAATCGATCGTGGTAATGAAGAGCGGGATGTTCAACTTGTCGAGATCCGCTTTCAATATAGCCAGAGTGCGCAATTCGAAGTCGACGCGCACTGCACTCGTCAAATGAGCCTGATAGTCTTGTGGACTAACGATGAACATGCATATTAGCGGGATGTTCTTGCTTCGAGCCTTCTCGCTAGCCGCGGCGAGCGCACGATTGTCGTTTAGTCGGAGATCTCTTTTGAACCAATGAATGACACTGTCGCCAACCGCGATTTTCTTCCTTTGCTCCAAAGTCTTTCGAATGGTCTCATTCAGGAGATGAAGGGGTCTTGGTAATTCACCACTGTTATATTTCGCGCAACGCGCATTGCTCATCTCAGCAGGGTAAAACTCCCGTTGGACGACCGGAACCTCATGCGCGCTGGGTTTCGCTGCTGGAATTACCCGCGGCTTGATATCTTCGCTGAACTCATCTTTGATCTCAGATTTGATTGCGACAGGCGTATCCTCCAGCTTGATTTGTCGTTTCTTATTACTAGGCGACGGTTGCACGTGAGAAGTCGCCCGACGTTTGAGAGCCATCGTTTTGATGACGCAATACGATTTTCGAGCCTTAGAAAGTGGGTTGGAAGTGATCAGGGTGCGTAGCGTTCGCACATCCGTATACGACGAGTAATCGTATAATTTTGCGATCTGACAGAATACAGACTGACGACGTAGTGATGATAAAGGGTGTTGGAATCGGGAGATTACAATCACCTGTCGTGTTCCAGCCTGTTCCTAACCATCGTTCTCTAGAATCTAGATCGATCGTGAATTGGTGCTGGAGATCGGCGCTAGTGCGATTTGGACTATGACTTTGGTACCGATGTGAACAGTTCACGTCAAATACCTCGTTACCTCAGGAATTAAGTTGTCCCTCTTATGCTCAACAGAGCAACGAGGTCGTGAAGATCGAGCGTATGCGCTGGCAACTGCATGTTCTTTAAAAAGGAACAACGCAGTGCTGCGTCGGCGCACAATGAGAGGCAGGCCTACACATGCGGCAAGCCCCCAGTGCCAATGCTATCGTCGAAAGCCGAGTGTGTTGTACACGGAAAATCGCCCCACATGCCATGAACTTCTCCCGATGCCCAATGGTAGGGCATGGATCAATATCAGAAGCAAATCCATCATAGCCATGCCAACGTCCACAATGCAGGTAATTGAGGCCATCTCTCCTGCCACGATGCCAGAATATCAGGCACCCGCTCATCAAACCCCGACCGCGCTGATGCATGGCCAGCATCAAAGCCATTGACACCTTCCTCCGACTTCGCCATGCCGTCACGCTCCGCTCGTGCCGCAGCATTTAGCTCATCGGCGAGCTCGAGAATTGCCCGTCCGCCCACCAAAGCCTCCTCATGATTATCCTTAATATCCACATTGAAGACGTGGACTGGTCGATTCAAGGGCGAGCCACGCGTGAGGAGATCATCCACTACTGCATCCCAGCATCGTTCTTCGCATGTAAAGACGATGTCCACGGTCCCAGCCTCCACGCCCTCTGAGCCTTTGTCATCGTGGTAATCGGCGTCCTGTTCGCCATCCTGTTGCGCATGCCAGCGTTTGCCCACGCGTGGTACGCCAACCTTCCAGTCCTGCCACCGCTCCGGTCCCCATTTGATGTTTTTGTTCCGCTCTAGCATCGGTAGGATACCGTTGGCGCGATATAGGCGCTGATCTTTGGACTGAAGCTCATTGTACATGGCGCTGTAGGATGTGACGTTGAAATTGTAGACGTTCGGCTGCGAGATGCTAGGACCTGGTAATCGGACCAATGATCCCGTGCCGAATGATATTGTTGGGTAAGGTGTAGGTGCGGTAGTCAGCCGTAAATGTGCCTCCATTGACCTGTTGTGCTCATCAGAATCCGTCTTCCGCCGCTCTCTACATGCGTCGAGCCTTACCGATTGTTATTACTTGCGCATACCGTGCAAAACTTGAGCTTGAATCCATCCTCAGGCTTTGCGCCCTCTTGCGAGCCATCGTCTCCAGGTATAGCCTGCTCTTCAGCTCCAGCAGCGCTGACTGCGCTCAGATCATTGCTGCTTCCTTCGGACTCTGCTGGCGGAGGCGGAGGCGGAGGTGGAGGCACAGGTCGTCTCCGCGGATCTGAAGCCATTGTTGTTTATGGGATACAAGTCTTCCCATGCGCGGTTGATGGAAACAATGGCTACACAGGTGTCGCGTGCTTCGTAAATCTAATCGCTCATCACATATACAAGCACAGAGGACACAATGATGCACCTTTCCGTCCGGGTGGTGACCTCACGCGATGCAAGTATTACAGCAATCAAGACAAGTCTCGGATAGTCGGATCTGCTATGTCAAATGACGAATCTGGGAACACGACAACAGGTTCTTGGAGTCGGTTTGATAAGAGATGCTGATGCGAATTGCGAAAGATCTACGTCCTGGTGTGAAATTCAGTCCGCAACGCGCAGCAACGCGAGCCATGGAAAGTATGCCGAGAGCAGACCTCAACTTCGCATGCCGAAGGTGTGTGTCTGGCCAGATGTACTTCCAAGGAGCCCCGGAGATACTGCAATGGAGAAGACTTGTAGTTATTAGAATATGAAATGACAATTTCGTCTAGGATCGTACGTACGTATGGCGCACAGGAATAATTTTACGACTTATGTAATAATTGATTCTAGCATCATGAATGGACACCCCCTCCTTAACAACACAATTCGAAATGAGCACTTGTGGGCGTATTTCTACTGCGTATCATCAATCATATGGCAGGGCCCATATCTGCTGCACTTAGTCCAACGAGAATCCCCGATATGCTGGCGGATGCATTGTTTCGTCAGTGGTCATGACCTGCGGTTAGCAGTTGTACGAAGAGGATAATTTCAATGCGCAGGACAGCTAGGCGAGAGAAGCAGAAGCAGACTTCGATGATACGCGGTTGTGACGTGACACGTGGACCAAGATCTAAGCAACCAATCGGCCGCGGAAATGGCAGGAACCATATACATGTAGGCCATTGTCTGACCGCGGCGATCATAGTACCCTGTCGGGCAACAGTCATATTTTGCTGTGTATGAATCCTTTGTGGACTCGATTTCAGAAGTCCAGCCTGAGGCGAGTGACCCACGAATTGCTTCAGATCAAGAGTAGTGCATCAAGCTGGAGGTATGGTTTTTCTCCAGTTGCTGACCACGCCGCGTAGATCTTGAATAGAGGCCGGCTTGGTGACATACTCGTCCACTCCGGCTGCGAAAGCCGCGTTGCGATCTTTCTCGCTAACCAAGCCCGTCAAAGCTGCGATGTAAGTCCGCGACCGATCATCAGCGGCCTTTTCTATCGATCGGATAGTCGACGCGGCCTCAAATCCTGACACCTCAGGCATGGAAAGATCGAGCAGGATAATATCGAAACGTGGCGCTGAAGCTTTATCATCAGTGCCGTTTTGCGTGGTCTTGAATGCATCGATGGCTTCTTGGCCTCCTGCGGCGAGCGTAAAGGGCTCCTCGCTGCATTTCTTGGCGAAAATGCCGATAACCTTGAGGTTGATCGCATTGTCATCAACAAGCAGGAATCGGGGTTCTCGTTTCACTTCTACGTCATTCGACTCTGAGTTTAGACGAAGCACTTGTAGAGGCGCTTCGATTTCCTTGATGGTAACATGGATTGTGGGCGACTTGTTCAAACTGCTAGTGTTAGCTATGGCCACGTGCTGTACTGAAGGTGTTGTATCAAAGCTTGGTGCATAATCCGTCTTGATGCAAGGCTGTTGCGCTTCATGGTTCCTTGCAGATTGCAGTTCGTGACATTTCAGCAATGCAGCTCGTAGTTTGAAAGGGTTGAGGGAGCCTGTCACACCCACAAAGACTCCCTGCTCGGACGGTTGCGGTTGAAAAGTCGACTCCGGGTATATGATTATTTTCCAGGTTACCGGGAAATCACCGCCCAGCGCCTCTCGCGCGTGTTGCAAATCAGTGTCAAGGATGAGAAGGATCTTGGGCTTTTCTCCTTCTGCATCCCAACATTTGCAGCGAATCCCGAGCCAAGTACGGAATGTATGATCGAGTGAATCAGCCATTGCTCTCATAGAGCGAAAATTCCGCGGATCTGATTGATCTCGCCATTGCGCCGGAGTGAAAAGTTGTACATCTGCGAGATCAGAGGCGTCAAGTTTGAGGTTCCACGGGTCCAAGTTTGACACCGCTTGCCCCAGGGAGTCGTGTCGCGTGGAATCTAACTGGCAACGAGGCAGGGAAACCTGGACCTCGCTTCCTGTCGACTCGTCGCTGTCAAATTTAATGCTACCACCCAGATCGCGGACCGCGCGTTGTACCAGGGTGAGGCCAAGTCCAAGTCCGGGGTCCAAGGGGTCTTGCTGGGAGAAAAGCTTGAAAAGACCATGGGTGAGGAAGTCTTGTGAGAAGCCACGGCCAGAGTCGGTGAAGAAAATGTTGACATTTTCCTCGTCAGCTTGCACGCTGATTCGAACGCAGCTACCTTCTCGCGCGAATTTCAGGCAATTTTGCTTTGACTCATGTTAGTCGAGTATTTCAATCTCGCTCAGAACGAGAATGACTTACACAAAGATTTTTCACTATAGCGTCGAGTGCTGGACAATAAACAATTGAGATATCGGCCTCCAATGGGGCGTCCAGTGTAACAAGTGTGTGCGCCATCCTTGTGGGCACTATATTCATATCGTGATCCACTATCTGCAAAGGCGTGGTGATACATTCGTGTAGCCGCATGGTCTCATCGACCAAACTCGTGATATGGTGGAGTAAGGTGTTTGTACTAGGGTGGCGTTGAGCGCCGTGTGATTGTGAAGTCATGTCTGCATCGCTTCTAAGCAGGGATTGTTTCGACGTCCTCGTTGTGGGGCTCGATACTCCGATCTGAGAAATTTGAAGAATATTGTCAATGTTGTTGTTTAGCTGCAGTCCGCAAGCGGCGGCGCTTTCTAGCAGATCGAGCTGTTGTGCAGAACAATCGGTCGTCCGGAGATGTTCTATACACGCTAAGATGCCGTGAAGTGGGCTTCGCATCTCATGTGAGACTGATCCAAGAAAATCCGATTGTTTCCTGGTCAAGGCCAGTGTTTCCAAACGCCGGAGTTGCGTCATGAGCGCGGTCCCAAAAGAGGCTACGGATGGAAGATCAGTACTGCCAGCATACACCCTATTGAAACCTCTAGTCCAACCGAAGATAACGGCCGTATGTCGGTCGTGGAAGTAATCCCTAAGAGGCATGAAAATGCATTGTTGAATACCAGGACAATAGTCGCCTAGAGCAATCTGGATGTGCTCCCTTGCATTCGAGTCTTGCTGTACCGATGGTATGAAGAAATCATCTTGATCCGCGGAGGCGAGTTGCAGGATGACGCCGCTAGGCCAGGAGCGCAATAGTTGTTCGACAAGCTGTTGAGGAACAGGCTGGGAAGGACCAGCTGACGGGTCGTGGTATTCAGCGAGGATTGATTCAGCGGAAGTCTTCGCACTAGTGCCCAGGAGCTCTCCCTTGCGCAAGACCTTCTGGATTACGACGTGTTCAAGATCAAGCGTTTGCAACAAGAGGTGGGCAGCAGTGCCGTACAATTCCGACTTGAGGCTCTCGACGTTTCCGATGGAGTTCATCACGTCTGCCACATGTGATGCTGAGCCCGGCTTGTCATAGTCCGGAAGCGAGGAGATCGATGCATTGAAAGCTAAGGAACGTGTGTTCTCAATGGCTCCAATGGTTTGCGCAAGATGCTCCGTCGCGGAGAGGGCCGTCTCGATTATAAACTTCCGTTTAGTTGAGGACAAGGGTTGTGAGAGGTAGTTCTTCTTGAAGATGAATAGTGCACCGACATTAAGGCCCTGCGTAGTTGTGATTGGTGTTCCCGCATAGTATTTGAAATTGGCAGACCTGCCATCAACCACAGGGAGTGATTTAGTCTCCTCCAAAACTTGGAGATCGGGAATTTCGTAGATCGGAGATGCTGGCGATTCATACCCACGCGTGATAGTTCTCTCGCAGATGCCTCCTCGAAAGAAAATTTTCTCGCACCCAAACCAGTCGGAGCGCCGGACAGTTGGATTTTCTATCGTGGCGGCATGCACAACAGAGAGAAAGTACTGATTTTGCTCATCCAGGAGACTGATGGCAGCCATATCTGCATCAATCTCATAGAGGAGGCAACGCAGCAGGGCGGTTAGCGCTGCATCACAACTAGAGATGCTTTGGTTCGAAGCGCTTCCGTGATCGTCATGTCGCGTTCTGCCGGATCGTACTTGGCAGAAGCGACGAACTTGCCATATCCGCCCAGGGTCGTTTATACTCAAGATTTGCTCACAAGACAAGCCCATTTCTACTCGTGCAGGTGTTGGCCTTACGGAGCAGGGTAGCAATCAGTTGAGAGATGAATTACCGGCTGGATTATCGGAGCCCGTGGGCCTCGCAAATGAAGATAAAATGCCGCGCCAGAGACGTCTTCAGGCCCATCAGGTGCAGCAGCGCAGGACCCGAGCGACTGTTGAATGCACAGAAGAAAATGAGACTGGTAGTCGCGAGACAACACATACAGATGTGGTGCAGAAACATTCCCCCCCCCCCCCCCCCCCCCCCACAGCAAATGCAGCGCGACTTGCGTGTGGCAATCGCGTTTACAAATGGTCAGCTAACATGAAGTCCAGCCTTTCACCACCAACACAGTGAAACTTTATTCGGAACCATCGAGACGCCCCTCTCTGCCGAGAGATCTCCCCATGTGCCCACTTGATCCCACACATTGTTTCGGAGTTTTGCCCGGTACGCAGTCAGGCGCAGCGGCCCGTTACATGCCGAGCCTCGAGAGGAACCAACCAAATGGGGAAATGGCCGTGATTTGGTTCGTCTCAAGGATCTCCTGATGTTCACCCGATCGTTAGGGTCCGTGGCCGCGCCACTTTAATAATCGAGATCCAGGTTCTGCCTTCCAACTCTACCCGACACACCTGCAGTGGCGCGAGCGACTGCTGAAGGACCCCAAGATGGTTCGCTATAATAATAAGAACAAGTCGTGGCAAGTGAGGGGCATCTGCCCGCACATGCATATGCATGTACACGTGCCGAGGATGACCCAGAATCCCGAGGATAAGCGGCTGGGCGCTGAAGCGGTGCCATTTATTATCGCTCCCCAAATTGAAATGGTCGGCCAGCTTGTCAGTCCAAGAAACGGGGTAGAATGGGCACTCAATATATATCCGGTAAAATATAGCATCATAAATCGTGTCCCATCGGACTGCTCCTCGTCATTGTCAACGACAAACTTCCAGCATCCCTCCATGAGATATACTCTTGGACACGGACCATCCCCTACATGTGCCTTCTTTTCCTTCGTCCTATTCATGGAGCTGATGCGTCGGACAGCTTCCCGTGCCTTTTGTGTCCCACCACTGTCGGATGCACGTCCGATGAAATTTACACAAGCATTCCATGCGACCGAGTTCGTCGCCAGGCTGGAACTCTTCAAAACAGATCACGCATTCTTGCAGCTCACCCTCTCCACTTGTGCAATCCTTTTCGGTGGCGAGGTATACAGCCATGCCTCTTGGTCTGTAGCTCGGAGCTCGAGGTCGTGATACGAGTAAAGAGGGCGTTGGCAATGACGTACTTGTTGTGGCTGCCGGCCGAGAGGACGATGAAGGTGGAGGCTGCGTGGGCGGAGGTGGCGCCGCTGCACTGCGTGGCGGCGTGGACGAGAATCGGTTGGCAATGCAATCTTGGATATGTTCCGCGCGCATTGCCTCTCCGGGAGGCATTTCTTCCCCACAAACTGGACATTCGTCTTCTTCTTTGACCTGTTGTCTTGGAAGAGCCGCAGCCGGCGGCAAAGGCGGGAGCGGATGTGTGAAACCTGTTGAACGCCGATATCCATGCTGACCCGAATAGGAAGGAGGAAGGTTATGGCCGCTGCTGAAAGTATGACGATGTGACGCGTAACGCGCATTTGGCCGACCTGCTCTGCTGGTGTTCTCCTGGCTATTCTCGTGTAAATGTGGCGAGAGCATGTGATGTGATGACAATTCACCACGGTGGACAGCGCCTGGTTGATGGGAGTACGACCGATACCGAGAGTGAGCAGCCTCGCTAGGCTCAGCTTGAAGATTGGGGTTTCCAATAATGAAAGCTTCACGAGCTCTTTGTCTCTCTGCACTTGTCACATGTGGTCTCCCCAAAGGCTGTACCGTCGACGCCGCGACTCCTTGCTCTCGCCGAGAGGATTCAGGTGTCCACGGATCAGGCACGCAAGGATTGCATACCCTCACAATCTCACCTCCACCCAACGTGGAGCTTGCTGACATGTCCTGTGATGCTGAAAGCTCTTCCTGATCGTCGTCCCATTCGAAGCTCTGATTGGGAGGCTGTACAATATATTGTCGAGGAATGGTGATGCGATGTGGCGAGCATGTTGCACAAACTACCCTCCCACATTTGCGGCAGTGATGTTTTCGATACCAAAACGTGAATTCATTTTCGCAGACCGGGCAATGACTTGCATCGGCGTCGGCTTGCCATTGTGGGAGACCGATCTCGCTGGACCTCTGGGAATTATGAGGATCGGGCAGGGAGGGCAGTTCGTTTCTTGTGAAAGCTGCAGCCCGTGCCTGTGCTAATCTGATCGACTGGGAGTACCGTGATGGCGTGGCTGTTGTTGCGCTGGGTGATGACGTTAAGTCGATTGCAGTATCTCTCGAGTGACCAGAGTGGTGTTCACCTGAGCCGGACATCGTGTGTGATCGCGTGGATGTGCGCATGAATGCCTCGAATTGTCTCCTTTCGTGTTCTGCTGCAGTATGCCGTCTCTTTCTCTCCAAAGATTCTTGACTCTCGAGAGGCGTCGGGTTGCGATAGAACCCTGGTTCCACAGACGTCCTGGACGACTCGATGTAATTTGATTGCGCTGCTGGTTCAATGGCGTCGCGGACTATGCTCATCGATGTTCGTTGGGCACTCCGGTCTTGGTTCATGTTGAGCTAATGATGATGGTTGCACATCGTGGTCGCGTGCTTCGGTTTCACGTGAGTGCGGTCTTTACCGGATTGCCACTCGCTATTCAGATCTGGAGGAGAAACCTTGTCCAACAGTTCTCATAATCGTAAAGCTGTCGATCATTCACTACCTGGCTAGAGATAGATCGGATACGATGCGAGATAAATGATGCCTTTCCAGGGTTGGTTTTGAATGACGAGGCCCACGAACCCGAATCCTCCCGCCGGCGCGGGTTCAGTTGCCTCGCAGATGGTCAGAGTGTCATCACGTGCTATCGATAACGATTTGCGCCACGATAAGCTTGATCCTCACGTAAGCTGTAGAGATCGTTATTAGTCGGACTGGCCTCCGATGTTCCGCAATGAGACATCTCGCCTGGAGAGATCTCCACGACCGGTTGTGTGTCAAGTTTGATTAGGATCGTTATCGGTATCACGAAGCGGCGTCATTTGCAAATGTATAAATAGTAAAGTTGTGCGGTAAATTGCGAAATGAAGCCACTATCGCGCACAGTGTGCGAGAATTGGTTGCCAGGGGCAACGGCTGTCATGTCTATTTGTGTGTACAGGACGCATCTATACATCGCACACAAAGTCCAACACATGTGCGGTTTCGTCCTGATTAGTATTTTCAGTAGCATCTACCGATCAAATGGCCGCAGCATTAGAAGATCGCTTTGCAGCGCTCGCTGTTGCCTCCACGGCTAACAACGAGAACCAACGAGTGCAGACAGCGACTTCATCCAGATCAGGGATACCACTTTTCGGCTCATCGACTATCAGCAAGAATGAGAGTACTGTCGCCTTGACCCAGCGACCAGCTTCCACAAAACCCAGGTCTGAAAAACAGCAACAACAGGATCAATCACAGCAAGTTGCGAACATCGTCCGGCAACCATCTGCGCGAAGTTTCCATCTGGGCATGTTTGAAATCGGCAAGCCACTAGGGAAGGGGAAATTCGGTCGCGTATACCTCGCGCGTGAACGTGCGAACGGCTTCGTATGTGCGCTCAAGGTGCTCCACAAGAGCGAACTCCAGCAGGGCCGAGTTGAAAAACAGGTCCAGCGCGAAATTGAGATTCAGAGTAATCTGCGGCATCCCAATATCCTCAAGCTCTACGGCCATTTCCACGACAGCAAGCGAATTTTCTTGATTCTTGAGTTCGCTGGTCAAGGCGAGCTCTACAAGCATTTGCAAAAGGCGCGTCGATTTCCTGAAAAGCGCGCCGCTCAGTACATCGCACAGATGGCTAGCGCGTTGCGGTATATCCATCGCAAGCACATAATTCATCGCGATATCAAACCAGAGAATATCCTTCTAGGACTTCATGGCGAAATCAAATTGTCCGATTTCGGCTGGAGCGTACATGCGCCTGGTAATCGACGAACGACCTACTGTGGTACGCTGGACTACCTGCCACCAGAGATGATTGTGCCTCGCACTCCGGGCAAGTCGTATGACGACAAAGTGGACCTGTGGGCGCTTGGCGTACTCGCGTACGAGCTCCTTGTTGGTGAAGCGCCATTCGAAGACGCGCCCGCTATGACCACAAGGAAAATTGCACGGGGAGACATGAAAGTTCCCGGGTTCGTGAGCGCAGAGGCGACGGACCTCATTAAAAAGGTGAGTTTTTTTTAGTTCGATGGAGAGCAGCTCGTGTTAATAGTGGATTTAGTTGCTCGTCGTCGACCCTACTAGGAGAATCAGCCTTGAAGAGGTTGAAACACACCCCTGGATATTGAAACACTGCAGTCCCAGCTGAGACCAGTCGCTGCTGAAAGCTCGTCGTCTTTAACAACATGTTGTGCAGCAGTCATCCTCCCGCCGCTGCAAAGTCCAGCGTCGCATTCATCGTGCACACGACATTCCATGCTCAGTGCTCGCAGAAGTTGAAGTAGTCCTCTTCCATGAACGTTTGCTCCATGACAGCCTGGGTCGCGGAACGTTCCTCCATCAGTTCGAGGCGCAAGCTCTTCGCCTCCTCAAGACCGATCGGAAAGCCGTCTACCTTGTCGACGATATTGTCTGCCACCTCCATCGGGAGTCCCGCTTTAATAGAGGATGCCTGAACACTTTCGGCCCACCACTCCTTCTGCTGAGGAGGAATATTTGCAGTTGACAGAATCCGCAGATAAGGATCAACGAGGAACAGTGCGAGGATCTTCCGATGGCCGGGTCGTGTTGCATCCGCAAGCGAGAAGGGCTCAACGCGGTGGTGCAAGACGTTCGGGAATGTTAGAAGCCGGCCTTGGCTTGTTCGGACATGCCCAAGATGCTGTATGGCTGCTCCCGAATATTTGATGTCGAACAACTTTTCTAAATGGTCATAGCGGCTCTGCTCGTAAGGCAGTTCTTCCACAACGTCGGCTTGGACGTTCTCCCGGAAGGCAAGGAAGCTGTCGGTGATGTTCTCGGAGTCAAAGTAGTATAGCGCGGTGGCACAGATGTGTTCATTCAAGAGGCCCTCGATGTGCCAGGAACCGCCATCATAGCTTGGCTTGTCGGGAGTCAAATGTATATTTGCCAGCTTCACAATCACTTGAAGGCCCTCCTTCTCGAAATTTTGCCGAAGGTCAACATTTACTGCGCCCCATTGTTGTTCGGTGGGTGCCTCGAGAATTCCCTTGGCGCGACCGCTGTATTGGGGGCACTTAGGGGGTTCGATGATACCGTGTTCCTCTAACCAGTCTTGTTCAAGTTCTTCGATCTCGTAGTCCTCGAGCTGGTCATCACCGAGCTGAGCAGGTCTGGGTCCATGTGGCAGAGTGTATTTTGGTATTTCGCTGATCTCGATGCGGGTAGCCCTTTGGTACTCGGTGATCGGCTGTAGCGTCAAGTCCCACATTGGTACCACCTTGGCTATGATTTTCTCGATGCTCCTGTATAATGGCTCGTGGTCGCGTGGGTGCAAATTGTTGATGTAGCTTGTGAATTTCACTGCATTTCCATCCTCAAACGCCAACTCGCTTGGGAGCCACTGGAATTTTCCAGAGTAGAGCTTGTCGCTGTCCGGGTTACGCCAAGTGTAACGTCGCTGTCGGCCTTTGATGGTGAGCTCTTCATCCTTGGGCGCTGGTACAACCTCGCCTTTGCCAGTATACGCCGTACAGTTTTGTAGCGGTACCATTCCGTGTCTAAGCACCAAGGAGCGCCCATATATAAGGGGATAGAGTGATGGGTGAACCAGGTCGAGAACTTTACCATCTGAGCCTGGGTGCCAGTCCTTTTGCTTTTCAGGTACCGCCTCAAGGGGCTCGGCAGCAGCAACGAGCTCCTGTCTCAAAGATTCCGACACTAGAGTATCGGATTTCAATACAACTGCATGAGAGTCGATGGCAGGCGTTATTCCAGTGGACGCCTGGATCCGGCTGTAGTCACGTAGCTCCTCTATACACTGTAGGCATCAGCCTCTGATGCTCTGTTTTGCCAGGCTGGTGCAATTCCACATACATAATCAAACATCTCATCCGTGAACACTTCTCGCAGCGGGACCCCCGCCGCTCGATTCGCTCGCTCGGCACGCCACTTCGACACTATACTCTGATCAGATATCTTCCGAGTCCATTCCGGTTTGTCGGTGATTTCGCCCATAAAGGCGGTCATCGTCTTTTCCGTGACTGTGGTCGGTACGCCAGACCAGTCAAGCACGGCGCACTTGAATTTGTTTTTGTCTTTCCAGTATGAAGAATTGTTATCTGGATTTCCGCGAACCATAGATTTGATGCCTGCCAGGTCATTGACCGGGATGCCAAAGCCTCGCAACATGATAGAAGCTTGCTCGTCGGCCATGATTCTGTCTCGGACTGCTCTTGCGTTGAATATGAATGTGATTATTGTATTGAATATGAACTTGTGATGCACTCCCCTACAAAGACTGCGGTCATACGTCGTGCATAAATACAGATAATGTCAGCCATTCTCAGACTGTCTTGCCGCGCTTTGTAGGCAGTCATCAGGCAGCCAAAAGCCACACGGATCCGTCCGATGCGGTGGGATGTCGAGCGAAGCCCTCCATTGGCATCAGCCTTCCGAGATCTCGGTGGTTCACGCGTTTTTAGGGCGAGAGCACCAGGCAGCGACAGGGATTTCCATGATCGCGCGGGCCAGTACACGATACGCTCGTCGTTGTGGTTCGCACATATTTCTGGGAATATGATTCGCTTTCTTTGGCATCGTTAAAACATGCGGAGAAACGACAATTGGAATAAGCCCGGTGATCGTCGTTGACGGTGCTCGCGCACGGGCCCACAGGCTTCTTCACTCCGCCAACAACGCCGACTGATCATCATCACCACTTTTACGGAGGTGCGTAGACGACCAGCACATCTCGTAGCGACAACTCTCTTCGACGGCGAAACTCTTCCAGTATGGATTCGCGTACGCCGACCCCGGACGATGGTGTCCGCAATCGCCTGCCGACGCTCTTCGAGGTGCTGTCGCGCCGTACTCTCGCGCCCGTCGACCTGTACTCCTTTTACATTTACATGCGGGATTATCAGCGGAGCGTGGACTATTTGGACTTCTGGTAAGCTCTAGTGGATCGGAGACACGTGGAAGCAGTGTTCCTGAGGGATGCGCGGAGCTGATGTTCTGGTTTCAGGCTCGATGTCTCACAGCACATGTCCCTTTGCCGACACTACGTACGCGAACTGCGACGCTCTATTCTCCTTGGAACGCCCGATCACGAAAAAGGTGCAGGCTCAGTCCGCTCGTCACAGGCGCTTGACAACTACACCTACGATGCAAACACCGCCCGTCGACCCTCCACCGAGCAAGGCCCCAGTGGCCGACATGACCGAGAAAAAGCCGAGGACAGCGAAGGCCTTTCGGCGTTCTTGCGTAACAAGGAGAATCAACCGCCTCGTAGCGCCGGTAGCCAGGAGACCTCACGCGACGACCTCGAACGGCCGCCACGCCCTAGTTTCATGACCGCGGAGACTTCGCAAGCGCTCAACAGCAACAACAACAGCAGCCCTCAGACCACCGTCTCACGCGCCGACATCCGCGCCTCGGCCGAGAAAATCCTGTACACCTTCCTTCTCCCCGGCGCTGAGCGCGAAATCATCCTCCCGCAGGGCGTCCTCAACGAAATCACCAACAGCATCGAGACCGAAGGTCGCGACGACCCTGAGGTCTTTGACGCCGCCAAGGACTACGTCTTCCAGGCCATGGAGCGCGATGCCTTTCCCGGTTTCCTGCGTATGAAGGCACTCGGAAACATCGTACCGCCATCGATGATGCTGCGCCTGATCGTCGGCCTCGTGAGCATGTTTGCAGGTTTTTGGGCTGCGTTTGTCCTCATCTTCTTGGACAAGAGCCGCAATGAGCGCGCATGGCTGGTCCTGCCGTTCACCATCGGTGTCTACCTGCTCATGACCCATCAATATATGCTGGACCCCATCCTGGCTCTGGTCGGATTGAGCGAATACACATTCATGGTCTTTTCCAGGATCCAGGAGCCATTCGTTCGGTAAGCTAATTCATGCACTGCAACTCAACTGATATCTCATTGTCAGTTAACGCTAATGCATCATTTCACAGAACCATCCTCAACAAACGCGCGCTCTTCTGCTTGATGTGGATCATCCTGATTGACGCCGCGATACTCTGCCTTTTCATTTTTGTTCCCGGGAAGCGTCTGTAGAATACGGAAATTCTGATATACATGTGCACGGAGTTTGACGGCGTTCTAAGACTAATGTCGACGTTCTCGTCGAATTTATGATACCGCAGTTTGGAAGCTGGAAATAGAGAGGAGTACATGGTGCTGTGTGCACGTTTGAGCCTCGGAATGATTTTGTCCCAAGAGAATTTTCTTTGGAATGTAGATAGTAAGAAATGAAAACTAATCGCAGTCAAATGTAAGAAATGGAATGAGATGGTATCCCTAGTGCTCTAGATAATTCAATACAACATTAGAAACTCAAACATCAAAGTCAAAATTTTCTATCCAACGCCCTTGCTCCAAGCTCGATGGGTCCGACGACATGCTGCCCAACATTCCTCCGAGAACCTGCTCGCGGTGGACAACGACTTGCGGACCCATCATCCCGCTATATTTTCCGACCACACTCTCAGAACCACACGTTTCATCCACATTGCGAAACACCAGTCACTGACCGAAACTTCCCGTGAAGTGAGCTGGCGAGTGCTGCACACGGCTCGGAGACGAGTGTATGATATCCTGCTGTTGTTGGAATGGAGCTCCCATGGGGTTATACTGGTATGTGATGAGGCCGTTCACATCGAGCATGGGGTAAGAGAACTGCTCGTGCTCCGTCATCGTGGGCGTGATCATGCTCGAATGCTGCTGGGCAAAACCGGCCATGTGGATCGTTGGGGTGTCGAAGTTGGTATTGAACACATCGCTGGGGACGGAGTCGACGAAGGTGGTGATGGACTGGTCCGACAATCGAGGATCGATACATAATTCCGTGGCGCTGGCGCTGCTGCTGGGTGTGGAAAAATACGGATCTTTCTTCACGTCGCTGGCTGAAGAAGGCGTCGTCCAGGTCTCGGAAGAAACGGCCGAGACAGGAGTCTGCATATCATAGCCGGCGTAGTTGTTGACCCAAGTGTCACCTGGCTGTCTCGGGGTCTCGAGGGTGGGGTTGGCGAGAGATTTGCCGTTGTCGCATTCATCCGGGTCGGAGATGTAGACCTGGCGCCAACGGGTCTCGCCTTCGAACTTGTAGATTTTCTCGCCGTCCTTTGCCTTGTCCATGGGCTTGAAGGAACCGAATTTGTAGTGCACTACCATGACTCGGGTGCGCTCCCCGTTCGTCACGGTATCGATCTCCTGGGTCATGGTGTAGTTGCCAGTACCACCGGTGAGATCAGAAAATCCGTCATTGTCATAGTGAGACGTCTTGGCCTCCTTGCCGACCACAGCAGGTTGCGAGGAAAGGAAATCTGGCCAGTAGGTCGGAGCACATATCGGAATTTCAGCAGTGACCTTGCCTTGGTCCGAAGTTTGCATGGTGCACTTTGTTTCGAAAAACGCGATGGGTGAATGGGCGTGGTAGATGGTCGTCAAGGCAGCAAGCTCTGTGCCAGCCTTGAGATGGTTGCTGACACAGCGGAGACCACCGGAAGCAAACAAGCGAGGCGATGCGAACGTCCTCCAATCAAACTGTGGGCGTCCGATGGAAGCATGAACCATCACAACATCACAGTTCAACGAACGCTGCTCCTGCAGGACTCCGAGCTCTCGAAATTGCTCAGTGAGCGTATACCAGTCTTTGGTGCCTGTGTACTGTTGCTGAGGGTGGGTTACGGTTTCGGTGAATGTGTGTAATGTTTGAGGAATATGCGAATCACCGGCGGTCATAGTCAATTGGAATGCCTCGGGTGCCATCACTCCAATCATGGGGGTGATCTCAGGTCCGCGGTTGGGCAAAGGGTTCTTAGATGGCGGGTTGAGGATTTGGTTGCGCAGATGCTCCTGCTGACCTGAGTAATAGCCCACAACCATGAGTAACTCTTGAATGACCTCTCTCCATTCCCGCTGTCCCGAAGTGTCTTTAATGATGCAGCTCAAAGCGAGCGAGTCCTTCTGGGATCCCTTTTTGATGCCATCGACCCAGCATTTCAAGACTTGCAAGTGGCTCGATACCATCTTGCGGGACCGCCATTCACCAGTGACGGAGAAGATATATCGGGCAACCAATTCGTTGCGACCATGTTGGCCACCGTTCAAGGTCTGCTTCGCTCTCGCCGATGGCTCGTGAAACACAAGAGCTATATCATTTAAATGTCAGCTCATCTCACACGAAGTCGTTTTGGGCAAGCACTCACCTTCAATGAAAGCGCTCTCCAAGTATTCTGCCCACGGGCTTGGTTGTGCAGCGGTTGCGTTTCCTTGTTTGCCACGGTAATTATTGTAACCGCTTGTCTGGTAAAGACGTCTACGCAGTCCAATGGCCGCAATCTTCAGGAGCAACTTGTCGTTCAGATCAGGAAGTGGCAACTTCCTTAGTTCCTGACGGCTCGCGCGAGGGCATTCGAGGACCTCATCGTCCTTCTCAGCAGAGGAGCTTCTACCAACTTGAATCGTATCTGATGCTGATGCAGCTGCACGTCGAGACTGTCTGCTAGACCGAGTCTGACGACGATTCTGCGATTGAACAGGGACAGGATGGTACGAAGCTGCCATGATGTTCTGCTGTAGGTCTGAATAGAAAACGTTTTGGATAGTCGGACCGATGCCACCTCCCATGCTGTTGGTAGAGGAGCCAAGGGGTTGTCGTTGATCTCTGTCGTTGATCGTAAAGGGCAAAATCTGCTGCTGGCTGTATGCAGTGTTTGGCAAGCTCAGTCCTTGACCCTGGTTGTCAAGAAAGTTGGTCTGTCTCAAAGATGATTGCTGTTGTGCGCCAACAGTTGAGAATGATGGTCCAGGGCCTCGGGGAGAAAGGAAGTTCTGGTAGTCAAAGTTCAAACCTTGGTCAATCAAGGAGCCATGTACGGGCGTTGGAAAGTCGAAGTCGTCGATAGCTCCGTAAGGATCATTGAGAGAAGTGTTGTGATAATTATATGGCTGCGACCGCGTATGCATGGTAGCCAACAGAAAGTGCAGAGGTAGTACAAAGTACAAAGTTCGGTGAAGATAGGGATTTGTGCGACCAAGCGCAACAGAAGGTGAATGATTCGTTGAGAGGTATCGTAGCGCTTCGGTCGCGGCTTTGAAACGAACAGTACAGTAAAATGATTAGACTTCGGCGAGACCAGCTCTTGGGAAGTGTGAAAGGAAACGATGTGGGAAGGCGTAATGTTGAGCAGCCATGGGATTGGAAGCCACTGACTTTATCATCAATCACTCTTCTTGAAACCTGAGACGCCCCTCTCCAAATCGACAGCCACGTCTGAGACAATTCAGCAATGCAGTAAAAAGCCCTGTAGTGTTACAGAAACGAAGCGCAGCGTGAAGGTCGCACCAACGTGGAAAAGGTACGGCTAGCAATGCTGCTCGTCTGAATGGACCAAACGGAATGCCTGCTATCCAGCCGTCAATGTCTTAGCTGCATGCACTCACACTGTTCTGAAGAAGCACATCTCAGCCTTGCACAATGAAACCCATCATTCAGCAGTCGGCCCACCAAGGGAGATCGAAAACATGGCTGGCATTGCGGAGCCTGTCCCAAACCCCCTTCAAGGTTTGGGATTCACTCTGAGGCAGAGACCACACGACTTTGAATTGCGAAACTGTGCCTATCTTTCCACTACCATTGTGGCTATGTCACGGCTGCAAACCTGCCAGCACAGGTAGGCAGGCACAGGTATACGTGATGGCACACAGAGTAGAGGCCTGGATGGCGGGAGCAGCCGAAGCAAGGGATGAAGCAAATCTGCGGAAATACTTGGAGGAGGGAAAAAGAGGGATGCACTTGTATGCGTCATTAACGCTAAGCTTTTCACGGTTCTAACAACCTCCAGGGCTTGGAAGGGATCTATTTGGAAATTCGTATTGATGATGTGGATGACGATGATTCCCAGCCATGTGGAGACTGCCACGTGAAAAAAGACGAGAAGGGCAGGTGAATGAGTTCCGTTGCGCTCGATTAGGCAATATCCTCGTCGTTCTGTGTTGTGAATTTCTTCCGTCCGCCACTGGTAAGCTTCTGTAAAGCGAGCTTGTTGACCTGTGCCCCAACTTTCTGCTGTAGCTTTTCTATTTCTGCTTCAGCGTCTTGTGGCTCCTCGGCTGCGAAATCCAACACGAGTCTCCGACCGAGAAGGTGGGTATCACGAAGCGACTCCATGGCATTCTGCGCCTCCTTAGCGTTCATAAAATCAGCAAACGCAAAACCACGTGTGCTTCGATCAAGCTTTTGCGGAACTCGAACACTACGAAGTTGCCCGTATGCTCCAAATAGCGCGCGAATGTCTTTCTTGGTGACCTCGAACGGTAGGTTCTTGATGATGACCTTGGTACTTTGTGCCGCAGCCTTCTTTTGTGCGTCGGTCTTGCGGCGCTCTTCGGCAGCATCTGTACCCCGGTGGCTAGCTCGAATCTGTAATTTGTGGCCTTCCAACAAGTGACCGTCCATGACTTTGAGTGCAACCTGAGCTTGAGACGCAGATTGGAATTCGAGAAACCCGAAACCCATACTTAGAATCTGTCCAGGCTTCTTGGGGTCTGTCTTAGTCTTGACGCGAGCCGACATGAAGCCTTCAAACGACTTGAACGTATCTGTCAAGAGCGCAGAAGTGGTGGTGAAGTTAAGGTTTCGTACAAACAAGGTAGCCGTGCCGACCGTGTCCGGCACGGTCTGGTCAGCACCTTTCAAGTCAGTGGCAGAAACCTTCTCCACACCACCTTGCTCGGAATTGACGCTGGCGTCAACGGTCTGGCTCGTGACCTTCCCTGCAAAAACATCCGCGGGAGCTTTCTCGAGCATGAGAACTGTGTTCTTGACTCGTCGATATGAGAGTGCGCTCCAGGCGTTCTTACACTGTGCAGCGTTTTTGTATTCCACGATCGCGACAGCTCCTGATGGTGGAATAGCAAACCGTGTGACATCGCCGTTTTCTTCACAGAGCCGCTTAAGCTCGTCCTTGCCAAGATCATACGGGATGTTCTTGATCAATATGGCCGTGTCACCCCTTTGCCTCTTTTTGAACGAGTCCAAGTCCACGCCTTGACTTCTGAAGTAGGCCTTGGTTTCCTGGATGACATGTGTTTCTGCATGCGCCTGCCTTACTGCAGCGTCGCTGCTGGTGGGGTCTAGGACCTCGGATTTGGACAGTCCTAGGCGGTCGGCGACATTCGCGACGACTGCATCGGCATTCATGAAGAGCGAGTTCCAATTGAACGATTTCGATTCCGAATCCCGCTTCTTCTTGATGAGCTGTTGCTTCTTGAGTGGTAATTTGCTGAGCTCGAAATCGTCCAATTTCGAACTTCGAGGCTCCTTTGATGGAAGAATGTGGAGCAAGCGACCCTGAAAAATCTGGCCATCGCGCTCAACAAATGCTTGCTCTGCAGAATCAGGATCACTGTATTGAATGAATGCAAAGCCCTTTGCTGAGCCAGTCTTGGGATCAACCGAAACATGTACCTGTGCTTCATGTTAATGACAGACTCAAATAAGTGTGGAACGAAGTGCAGGTGATGGATATTGTCAATGTCAGAAAAAGAGAAGCATCTACTAAAATATTCTCCCGGGATTTAATCAACTGCCGAAGCATAAGTTGTCCCTATCGGTGATCATCATGTTGACGTGAACAGAAAGGGGAAACAGTAGTACGTACTTCTTCGAGGTTGCCGTATGGCGAGAACTCAGCTTCTAGGGCCTCGGTCGTGACGTCGTATGGTAGATTCCGAACGAATAGGCGCATAGTGGTGCGGGCGGTCTCGATCTCCGTGTTCACAAGTTGAGATGGTTCTGGGTCATTTTGCGAATCAGGTGTTGGTATGGAGGCGCCGGCGTCGCCAGGCTCTTGCGCTCCTACGCGTTGTTCGCGGTCTGTGGATGCATCGTTCTGCAGCATCTCATTCCGAGATTCTGGTTCCGCTGCAGTCGTGTTGGCAGCTGCCATCGTTTGTTGTTCCTCCTCTTCTTCATCCAATAAGCCAAGCAATCGACTGGTTCTTGAACGTGCCCAATCTGCGTCCGACACAGGTGCTCGACTGCTTTCGGCTTCCTCCGTCGGTGACTCCTCGCTGATGACCGGAGCAAGTTTTTCGTGCACAGGATGCTCTTGCGTTGGTTCATTCGAAATCTGCGTGTCCGTAGCCATGCCTCTTTGTTCCTCAGGAGTCGTCCTCACCTTTATCTTTTTGGGCACTGTCTCGTACTCGTCGTCGCTAGCTTCCTCCGCGAGGACAGCCGGTACACTCACAGCCTCTGCCGTATGTTGCTCTGTTGGATTTTCCACAGCATCGCCGTTTGACCAAACCTTAGTTTTTGTCTTCGGCCTCATGACGTCAAGAAACTCCTTCATCTTGGGGTCCTGCTCTTCCTGGGTAGGGATTTCTCTCTTACGCTTCATGGAATTATCAGGTTGTGCTAGACTCGTAGGCTGAGCTGCATCCCTCCTGCCGGTAGGCGCACCAACTCTCCCTTTGTAAACGTTGGTCTCATCTATGGGAGTCGCAATTTCTACACCAATCCTGCTCATGCGGATGAATGTCTTATTGAAATATTTGACAGCCTTTTGGGCATCCTCGGGCGTTCGAAAGCCAACATAGCCTATCCTTCTTCGAGGGAACAACTTGGCATCTGTGACGTCGCGTTTGCCGTTTTGCGAGAAATGTTTGCGGAACTCATCCTCTGTGAAGCTGGGCGGCAAGGCCTTCACGAAGATCCGAGAAGAAGCCATAATTTGGCGAAATGAGAGAAGTCACAATCGGATGTGTCACGGCGAGCTCATACACGGGTGTGCATGGATTTACAGGTCGTGAGGTTTGCACAGCCTTGACACTGATCCCTTGATGGAAATAAATCAAAGAAGAAAGAAAATGTTGGACAAAGTTCGGTTCCCACAGCGGTGATTGCTTCATAGGGCTTTCGCAGTCTGGAGCCGTTGCCAAGCACGGACTTGTACGGATCGGATCGTCGCCGCTCTGCTGTGATCGTCCCTGGATTGTTTTGCCGTCGCTCCGTTTAGCAAACAGTGTTGTCGTCTTCGAATATACGCACTGGCAGATACGCTCCGATAGAAGTTTCATAACTTTCAATTTTCTCAACAAGGGAACGGTTTGCAAACATGTCTGGAATCAAGGAAGGCGGCGATGTGGTGGACACCAAGCCAGAGAAGCTTGAAGGTCGGTAGTCTCGATGCGATCGCATAACTCAACTTCGCAAGTACTGATGTATAACGATAGCTCAAATCAAGTCCGTCGATATGGTATGAAAATGTCTTTCTGAACGGAGTTTCCTTTTATGCGACTGGCCCTCTGATGTCGATACCTCGAATCTACAGAGCGAAGACATGCAGCAAGAAGCTGTCGAAGTCGGTACGGTCATTTTATCGAGGACACCACTGCGGCCTTCATTCTAATAATCCCACAGCACAGGAGGCTATGGACAAGTTCACTGTCGAGAAGGTTCGACCAATTATTTTCTTCATGACCAGGACAAGACTGATACTAGCTGCACAGGAGATCGCCCACCACATTAAGCGAACAGTAAGTCTATTAAACTCCGTCCAAGATGCACAAGGCTTACCGGATTCCCGTATTAGTTCGACGAGCGAAAAGGCGCAACCTGGCATTGTATCGTCGGCCGGAACTTTGGAAGTTTCGTCACTCACGGTAGGCTTGCGAGGTCTTTCAAATTCTAAAAGAATGCACACTGATTCTCATCTCAGAGACGAAGCACTTTATCTACTTCTATCTCGGTCACGCTGCGATCTTGCTTTTCAAGACTCAGTAAAATCTCAGCTTCGAAACACAGTTTTTGCGTGCCTTAGAACAGCTGAGCTGCTTGATGACAATGATGAACGTATGAAACTCAAGCGATTCTCAACATCTTTTCGAGGAGTCTCCTCCACCTTCACAAATTGCATTTGAACTGTCCGTTGTGAACTACAGGTTGGTCTTGCGACATCCGGTCAATGCGCGTATCCTGGGTCGCAAAGTGAAATTGAATGCGGTCGTATCTGAATGCATTTGCATTGAAGCGATCATCAGGAGATCGTCTCCTGGACGTCGTCGAATTCTTCCCATCAGCCCTACAATGAGTTCATTCAGGGCTGCACAACAGGCAGATCTGCACCTGCAAGCAAAATGCAGGCGCAATTGTAATTTGTCTTATGTAACCTTTGAACGGATGGCACGCGACCTCCTCTATTCCAAGCGACGCGCAATGCCGAGCGCGATGATTCAGTCCAAGCCCCAAGCCACGCCACAATGTCGTATGTAGATGCACCCGAATGTAGGCCGTTGCGGTGGCACAGACAATAGATCATCTTCACTTCTAGAAACTGTCGCAGTTCGTAGACCACCTCATCCTCGATCATATATCACACTTGTTCTATATCCTTTGCACAACCTGCCAAATCCGTCAAAATGGCGTTCTGTTTGATGCTCGGAACGCATAGTAAGTTCCGCGCCTGACCCAGCGAGCGCGCGCGCAAAGAGAAGAGAGGAGAGGCACAACTGACCAAAGGATCCGCTCCGGTACAGCGTTCGACTCACTTCTATCCGGCTATGAGAACATCACGGTGCAATGTCAGAATTGCGGAAACTTCTCCGGGAAGTTGACGAAGCGATGGTAAGTCCCTCCGCTAGCACGCGCGCAAAGGATCCACGCGACAGCATGCCCATCAAGGTCGCGCGAGAAAAGGCGTTATGCTGACCACGAACCTCACAGGGAATGGTTCACCGGTAAATCTCCATGCCTCCCTCGCCGCCTGAATGCCATCTGCGTTTCCAAACTAACCCGCAAAAACCAGTCTGCTTCGTCCCCCTCATCCCCTTCTCCTTCAAACCCTACCATGACGTCTCCTGCCACATCTGCCACTTCCACCAAGACATCGGGCAACGACCGGACGTCCAGCAACAGATGAACAACCCGGGCTCTGCCCCGCAGCAGCAGCATATCCCGATGCAGAACGGTCCGCCGCAGGGATGGGGTGGACAGCAGAAGGTGCAACATCCGTATTACAAGTAGAAGAGGAAAGGAGGAGGAGGAGAGAGGAAGACAAGTCGCGAGGACGAGGCGGGCTGCTTACTTTTGTTAATGGGCTGGGAGGGAAAGGCGCATTTGCTTTCTTTGACAGATTGAACGAAGAGATATCCTCGACAAATACTTGGAGTTTTCTTCTAATGAAAAGACATGATCACAAACATTCCGAGGCGTCTCCAGCTCCGTCGATATCATCGAATACCTGACAAACGGGAAACGGCATGCAGTTGAAGAACATGATGTGAAAGCTAGAAACACACGGCACTGGACGATCCCAGGACCAGGAAACTTTGTTTCTCTGACGCTTGAAGGAAGGATGTTCACTCGTCTTCGGAAAAGAGAAGAGGAACGGCGGTAGTAGTAAAACATCATTTGGCGACAGAAGCGGAAGCCGAAAAAACGAAATCTCAGACAAATGCCGTTTTCTTTGTTCCTTTTCTACTCATGAATTTTTGGGGAAGTAACTCCGTGTAAAAACGCCCGCTTGTGAAAATTCCCCCATTTGCGCCCCTTGATGGTTTGTTACAGACAGAAAGACCGACAAGAATTCTAGAAACCGAGCAGAAGGTGGGTTGCAAACGCCACGATAGATCGTTTCTCAAGACGACAGCTTTGAAATAACCCTCGTTGAGTTGTTCTCGCTCGCAAGCAAGCAAGAAAAAGGACCATCGAAGCCAAACCCCATTTTGAATACTTAATCCACACTGTCCCCGTCCACATCCTTCCCCGTCCTCTCCCCAGCAGCCCTCCTTCGCCTCCTCCTCTCACCAGCCTCCGACGACGGATCCAGATTCTTCAATAACGTCCTCGCGACCTCCCTCGTAGGTTTCGCGCCAGCGAGATCCGGCGAGCGGAGCCGCGGCGGGGATGTGACGCCGGGGACATCGACTTCAAAGGTTTCTCCGCCATCGTCGGTGAGGCTGGCGTCGTCGTCTTCGTCGAGGTCGTCGGCGCTAGGAGGGGGCATTCGGTTGGCGACGCTTTGTTGGGCGGCGGAGACGTAGGACTCGACCATTTCGTCGTCGAGCTCGTCTTCTTCTTCCTCGTCTTCGTCTTCCTCTTCTAGTTCGGATTCGTCGAGGTCCTCTTCGTCGTCGCTGAGGATTGTGCTGTCTCGGGTATCGGTGAGTGAGAGTTTCTTGAGCGTTGAGGCTACGGGCCCTGCATCGTCGTCATCGTCATCATCGTTGTCCTCGTCGTCGCCTTCGCTTTCGCTGTCGGTAAAGTCGACGATGTCTAGCGGCCTGTCTCGCCAGTAGGTGAAATCCGTATATGAATCATTGATGGCCAATTGTCCTACAGGGGGGAAGTAATGATCGACAATCTCTCGCATCGTGCTATAGGCTGTCTTGTACTTGTTTAATGTGAGCAGGTCTAGGGAAATTTCCGAGTTGGAATTGATTGTGAAGATGCGAGTGCTGGGAATGCCGACGGACCGGTATGAAATGGCGTCGGTGAATCGATTGCCGAAGCCGGCGTAAAAGGGCGATTTCGATTTGGGTAGATTGTCGATGGAAGGCTTCAGACCAGCCTCAATGGCACCCTCAGTTGTGTTTTCCGCGCCTCCCTGTCCGATGAACAATGTCATAATGTCACGACAGCAGGCCATCTTGAAAATTTCGGGTTTGCGCAGATACACTTCTCTCCGGAGTGCGGCCATTGTCCGATCTGGTGACAGAATGACGGCGCCTTTTGGTAGGCGATATCCGTCTTGGACCACACCATCTAGATACGCTTTCGTCGTGTCGGCCAAGCCCACACTACGGCTGGTCAAGTAGAGAAAATTGTATCCGTTCGCGGCGATTTCCGTGTAAAGCTTTGCTACACCAGAGTGCGTCCAGTCTCGTCCCAGTTGGGTCAGGACATGTCCTAAGACATCGGACTTGGTGATTGTGCCATCAATGTCGGAAATCACAATCGGCACGTTGTGCTTCCAGTACCATAGGGTAGCTTTGCACGTCGCTCGGTTGACCGTAAAGGCCATCTCGTTCGCACCATACTTCAGACCCATAGTCTTCAGCTGGTCGGAAGTGAGCCGGAGGGTTTTGGCGTAGTTCTTGTTTGGGTCGCCTGCGGTGGTAGGAGAGGTAGATGGCGAGGGCAAGCCAACAGCACTGTCAGAATCGCGACGACTGTGTGAGCCGGCATAGTCCTGCTTTCCGTCACTTCTCGCATCGTCGCTGTGGTATCCAGGGTCAGAGATGGCGTCTGTTGAAACGAAACCTGCCGGGTTGAAGCTGCCTAGGGCATTCGCGGCCGCCTTCTTGTTCGCTGCCTCTTTCGCCTCTTCACTGCTGTAAATCCATATGTTGCCTTTGTCATCGGCCCCGATCAGGGAACCAATGTCATATGGTCCCTCAAGCTCTTCCGACAGCAGCTGGCGAGCGATACCCTCTGCTTGTAACGCCTCCATGTTCCCACTTTTGTAGCCCGTCATGTCCAGCATAAGGTCGCCCGTCTCAGTCACATGATTGCTGATATTGGATGTCCATAGTTTCTTTGACAAGTTCATCGCGCGTAGCTTGGCGTCTTCCGACTCTTGTGCAGTTGGGCTTGACGGCCTCTCGGACTCAAGCTGCAATGATGTTGACCCTCTGTCGGAACGGGAGGGGCCCACTGCCTCGCTGCTCATAAGTGCATTATCGATGGCATCCTTAGCGGCTGGAACGACGCTGTCAGATGGTGCGCGCTCCAATTTGGGGTGCATGTACGCCGAGAAATCACCCGAGAGCGATCGCCTTGGGGGGTCGATGGCCGACTGAGAGAGCATCGTGAAGGCACCAGCATCGCTCCGTGTCCGCTGTCCTGATGGAGGTACGCGAATACCTTCTAGCGTTCCTCTTCGATCTCGATTGGGAGGGAATTCCTGCGATGATGTCTCGCTTCGACCTTCGAGTTCGAAATGATCTGGCTCTTGTAGGCTCGGTGCAGGTGATGATCCTCCAACACCTAGGTGTGGACTCGTCGCCGGCGAGACCAGCGGACTCGTTTGTAATGCCTCTGGCACACTCTCTTTTGTCTCGAATACAAAGAAGGCCTCGCCGCCATCACCCAGCTTCATTGGGAACTCCTGTTTGTCGCCATTGACACTGAATTCCACCTTTTTCTCTGACGGCCGTAATAAGCTGAATTTGCCGAAGCGAATGTGAAAGGGCGAACATGCCAGGGAACCATCTTCTTGTTCGACAACGATGACATCGATGGCGCCGGACAGGGTGGCCGGGTTCAGGCTGTTCCACGTCTTGGAGACGGAACCCGAAATGGAGCGGACGTATTGCATGATTAGTGGTCGTGTGCCTCCTAGGCAGCGGCACGAGGGAGTGTCGACGCTCTCTCGATGGCAATTGACAATCGAAAGAGAGCCCTGTAATAATGTTGAGGTACTTTAGTCGAAGAGAGGGATTGAATATGTTAGTATGCGGCCGAGGATGGTGTGGAATGAGAGCAATGGATGAATGGCTCTGGTTCGGGCACGACGGCGATCCGCAATGATATGTGCCGAATGGGTCAGGGAAGCACCGGATCCAGGGACGGTTGAATCCACGACGACCGTTGGAGAGAAGGCTTTGCCGAACCAGAAACAGACAGCGTCAAGGTTGTGAACGATTTCCGGATGCCTTCACACCACCATTGACCTTTGCTGAGCAGGCGACATGAGTGGACGGAGATGTATTGGGCGGAACGGAGAAGCGCGAGGCACGAGGATGGCGGATGACGATCCGGCGGGGTAGAAACGGTCTTGGGACGATGAGACGTTGAACGGGTTCGCTCCGAGTGGATGGAATGTTGGCGGCTGGGAGATCTTTTTATGAATATAGAGTTTGGGGTGGAGGTGCACAAGATTCTTCTTTCGTGCTACGGCATGACATGCATGGCCCTGTTCGTGTGACCAGAAGTTGTCGTGGTGAGAAGAGGATTCAGTTCAGTAGCAAAGCAATGATATCAGTAGAGAGGTGTGTAGCCGAACGGAAGCCCACGAGGCCCTGAAGTGTTCGCTCGCAATGCCGTTCTTCCAACGGACTTGGAGAGGCGCGAAAGGACAGAGTCGAGGGATATTGTTACAAGAGGAGCAGGACGAACGCTTGGGAGAATGTGCGATTGGGGAGGTTCAAGATGGGGCAGTCATCATCTATAGGACTCTGCCTACTAGGGAGACAGGTGTAATGTCTTTCATCTCGGGTACCATCAGATGATCTACCATGTGTCATCATCTCACCATCTCATCATTTACAGGATGCCCAGGTGGCTTCGGCAATTAACATCGGAGAAGACCGTCGAGGGTGGAAACAGCTCCTGCTAGTGACTACTGTAATGGGTGAGGGTTCTATCTATGTGTTGTTCCCAGGTTACCGCCGAAATATGTGTCGTATACCCGTCCGTTTGGATCTGGCGTCCGGTCGTATCCTCGTCTAGTAGTCTACGTAAGAGAATAGCGTAGGCATGCAAAGAAGCAAGAAAAGGTGATCTGCTGATGTCTATCGAAGAGGAGCATGAGTGATTGCGAAAAGTACCTCACGCCCGGACAACTTTCTTGTTACATCTTGCGCCCGCGGACAAAGCGACGTCATCTTGGTATGGTACGTTTCTTGTATCTCGGACTATTTCTTGTACTGTGCTGGACTTTGCCTGATTGACAGGTGCCGTACGCGCGGATTACCCACCCACAACTTCGCCTGGACCAGCTCTCCAATCAAGATTGCCATAATATATTAAAATTATCTCTCGTTTGCCTACGCTATTGAGGTGAACACGATCTGGTACAGGTTCCGTCGACAAGAATCTCCTCCTCGATCGCGCTGCTGAGTCAAATTCATCAGCCGAGAAATTGGAAAGTGACCCCAGGGCAGCCCGCGTGGGCGGCTGGCGGAACGTTTAGTGTGTCTGTCAGGCCACACCCGTATTCTTCACGGCGTGAGACCGAGTCATGCCCGAACGTTGTTGGGTGTTGGGGTCCACGGTTGTTGGCCTCGCTCTCAGTCATCGGCGGACTTTACATACCGTTAATGAATCATCCGTAACCTGGAGCCACAGTGTCCTGCTGTAAGCTGACAATCAGACCACTCGCAGTACATATTGTACATGTCAAAAATCTACAATACTCGTATGAAACCACGTCGTGGGTTGAACGGGACTCGAAGGCGGTCGAATGCTTCTTCCTTCACGCCTCCCTCGGCCGAACCATATTCCTCTTCCATCCCAACCTGTCCGTTCGGTGGTGTTCCTGGTCCTCATTTGCCATGCCGCGGCCGCCCGTTTCTTCACCCTTGCAGCTCATCGGTTCCCGTGAGGAATTCTCCCCTCTCGCCCGCCAGGGTCCTGTTCCTCCTGACAGTGTCGAGGCACAGGAGCAAATCGGGCGGCTTGATCAATCGCTCGGCGGATTTTCTCACAGCAGCCTATCAATCATCTATGTGCTGTATGTGCACGAGTTCGCGGCACAGCTGTGAAGCATCAGAGTGCCTTTTCGATGCTGAATCACGATTCACACCCCTGTAAGACAGAGCAATTTGTCTCTCCTTGTCTTCAATGCAGCACCAGACACGATCGCCACGATCGGCACTTGCCGTCGGTAAAATTAGCCTTCTTCCTTGAGATCAGACTTACTTTTACGTTTTCGATGTCTCCAGGGCTCATCTGGATTTCGTTGCGGGTCATGTGGTCGTGACTTTTTCCCCGCTGCGGAGAGGAGAGGATCATCGCGCCTATTTGGAACAATGGCTGCATCGTAGCCTCAGGTTCGTCTCTGATGAACATTGAACGGCCAGTTGTCTCAGAGACTCACAGCAGCACGCAAACATTCGGAACATTTTGCATCGTAGATCCGCTTGCGCGAGGAACGAGGGTTGATCGTTGTTTGTACATTGCGGGTGAGGAAGACGATGAAGCTTGCGACAAGTGAGAAGAGTGACACGACCAATAGTAGCAGACACGCGTCTAGGCTGACGAATGCCGGGATGCTTGATTGAAGTCCATGTACGTATGCCGAGACACTCACCATTCCAGTATTATCAAAAAGCACTGGCCTAGACTCCAGTCATTGTCAGTCATTGGGAAGGGATCTCAAGGAAAGTCATTATCCGTGCACTGCTTCAGTCCACTCGCTCCGCTCGTGCACCACAACTCAACGTCCACAACGGTTCAACGTCCACAGGCTCGTCGTGACCATCATCGCCATCGAGATGACGCTCTGCACGCTCGTTGCCATCAATATCCTGCATTAGACGGAGCCATACTGGCATCAAACGACGTTTGAAGCCATTAATTACCGCCTTTGAATGCCTCGAAGTCATGTCTATAACATTTAATACAAGATTCAGTCGTTTACGACGATCCTTTACCTTCTCACGAGCAAGTACTTTATCAGCCTTCTCTGCCTCTTTTTGACGTCTTTTTTGGATGACTTGACGTGCTTGTGCTGCAGTAAGGACTCCTCCATTCTGTAGATACTGGCGCTTCATCGAGCGACGCTGATTGCGTACGTTCTGGGCAACCGTCGTATGTTGAAGTTCATCTACAGCCTCAGCTCCAGCGATTGCTATGGCGTATGCGCCACGGAAGATCCTCTGAAGCTGCTGCGTCGCTATAGGCTGGTCAGCTAGAGCAGAAGCAATGAATTGGCTCTGAGTACGTGCCAGAGTCCGTACTGTACGTGGTGTTGTAATCATCGTCGTCTCTAACGTAGCCTGATCAACTGGAGTTGCTGGCCGCGCGAGTGTTGCTGCTTTCTCTCTAAGGCTTGAAAGAACAACGTTTGGATTGAATGGATAAAGGCCAGTCTTTGCAAAGCCAGCACGTATTGTATCCGGCTTCATAGTCTTCTGTCTAAAGCCCTCGAAGGCAGCGAGGAACTCTGTCTTATTGAAGTCAATACAGCCGCTGCGCGTAGCATAGTCAACTGCTTCTGAATGCCAGTGTTTGAACGGCTGAAATATGGCTACGTCAAGCGGCTGCATAAGATGCGACATGTGCGGCGGCAATACAAGAGGTATAATAGCATGTTGCTCACAGAACTCGACGAACTCGAGGGTATAGTGAGATCCATATCCGTCGAAGACAAGTAATCGCTTCACGCCACGCTGGAGTCTTCGCGACTGCTCCTCCCAATGATACAGCCACTGGAGCGTCAGAGCGTCTGTTGTATAGCCTGTGTCGCTCAAAGCAAGCATTGTAGCTGAATGGAGCTCTGTGAACCACGCGTCTTGAAGTCGTTTGCCAGGGAGGATCACCATCGGCTGGATTGTTGCGCCAGCTGCGCTAATGGCCTCAACAACCGTCACTGTCTCGCGATTGTTAGAGCTCGGCGTCCAATTACGCTGCTCCGGATGCTGCGTTAGCACGTGCTGCGTACGTGCCATACCAACACGAAAGCCAGTCTCATCCATGTTCCAAATGTCGTCTGGAGGTATGCCTTCGGTCCGGACGATCTCTTCGAAGCGAGAATACCATAATCCAATACGGCCTGGCTGCTCTGCTGCTGCACGTACTGCATCAAGTGATCGTGATGGACGCTTATACCACTCAGGGTGGCGTGAAATGAAGCGTGAGACCCACATCTTCGAGACGTCTGGCGCTGGCCCTTCGAGATTGTGGCATCTAGCTAGGATCGAATTGGCAGTCTTATGCACGTCGACAACGCGCGCAGACACACCTATCTTATCACATCGCTTTAGCCACGTTATTAAGGCCTCTTCTTGAGCGTTATCCAGCTTCCTATTAGCTGGTTGCCTTGTAGACTTGCTTTTCAATCCACGAGCGCGTCGTTGGAGTCGCTTGTACGAAACTCTAAACTCCTTTGCTAACGTAGTCAGAGGGCCCTCAAATTCAGTCTCCTCGCGCCAGAGGAGTGCAGCATTGATACGAGCCTCTTCTTCAGCGTATTCAGCCATGTTGTGATGGATACAAAGACGCGTTCAATCTACAATCCTATTAAGTCGCATCGTGGACGTTGAACCGTTGTGGACGTTGAGTTGTGGTGCACGAGCGGAGCGAGTGGACTGAAGCAGTGCACGGATATATGTCGTTCATCAGACAGTAACTTTATCATGATCGATTCACCAGATCCTCGACAGGCAAACAACCCAAACCCTAAGCTGGTCGTTGGGATGTCCAGTTGTAGTGCCTAAGGACTCACCTCCGAATGCCGAACCGGAAAGCTCGTCCCCTACCAAGGTAGTCTAGTGAGATCGCCATTGACGACAATGATGATGATATTGAGGAATGGGTGACATTGTGAACATTTAATTCCTTGCAGCTTCCATCTCAAATCCGATGGCAGCAGCCATGGCGTCTCAACAACCCAATCCAACAGCTCCGGTGCTTCCCACTCCGAATCCCACCCGATCACCATTGCCATTGTCCTCAAGTCAGGAGTCTCAAGTGCGAGAGCTCTATCACAAGCGTGTTCGTATGAAGTGTGCCGATGAAGTCAGAGGTCAGTCCCGACACAACGACATGTAAATACCCGAGGGATGCTTTCGAAAATCGGACTGACATAACCGCCATCTCAATTTCGGTCAACTATATAGACTTCGCCGCCTGCTGTACCGGCCGCACCTTCACCGCGACCATCATGTGTAGAACTCAGCAAAAGGCCATGAACAGCTGCATGATGCGCTACGCCACGCAAGCGGAACAGGACGCTGCTCGAGCGGAGTGGTTTGCTACCATCGATGAACGTCGCGTCCAGCGGGAACAGAAGGAAGCCAAACGTGTCGAAGACGAAAAGTTCTGGCGAGAATGGTGGGATAAGGAGTCGACGAAGAAGCCTGGCCAGCAGCAGAAACCTCCCATGCCGCCTACGTCTGCAACGGGGCCGAAATGATGTGGAAGGTATTACGACGGGGATTGCAGCGGTCAGGGGATGGAAATGGCCAAGCTCGAAATTCGCAGTATGAAAATAACTCATGAATTTGGGTACAACAACTTCGCGGATACATCACAAGCAGCGGAGGTCGCCAGCCAGCAGCGGACCAAATTTTCCGCCATGCTCCGATTATTTCCTCCGGGGGCACTACTCTGCGTTCGATTACGTACTCCGACCTACGCCGACCATCTTGACCTCAATCATCTCCGGTTCGACCGCCTGTACCTGCACCGCTTCCGCAACGCGCGCTTTCATCCTCGACGGACTCTTGTAATAAGTCGGCGGCAAGATCATCGCTGACTCGCCAGGTGCAGCCTCTGCTGTTGGCACTTGCTTATCATGAGCAGCAGACGTAACATCTTCTACCTCGGCAACGTATGCGGGGGAAGGCAAGGCTGGGTCAACGTCAGTGGCCGCATTGTGAACTGCTTGCCAATGCAGTAGATCGGGGTTCGCGAGAACGCTGCCTCGCCAGCGGCCGTATGCAGGCGGTGGGTGGATGACACTTGTCGCGGGCTTGCTCCAATTGTCAACATTTTCGTCGACAGCGGTCGCCAGAGTTGGACCCGTTCCACTGTTGGCAGCAGCCGTGCCATGAACTTGAATCGGCTCGGTTGGGACAAATGCGTCAAAATTGGGGTCCACTGTGATGGTTGGCATAGCAGGCAGTGGCGGAGGCACCGGTCGCCCATTCGTCTGGTTTGTCGGGCTTGTAACACGCCGACGAGAACGCTCACGACCACGGTGAGATCGTTGACTACGGGTTGATGCGGATCGTCGGCTCTGCCTATCCGCCTCGCCAGCATCTCCTCCATCGACCCACAACAGATTCTCCTCATCTGAACGACGGCGTCGATGTTGGTGGCTGCTAGTCTGTGACGCACCTGACGACTTGACATTCGTTTTGAACATGCGCCACAGGGTATAGCCCAGGATCATCGCGGCGGCGACGATACCGAGAGCGAAGAGAACATGGAAGACGGGACCATGTGGCTGAGCTGGCTTTCCGAAAGAAAATGCAAGGTCTGGTGGCAGGACGATGGAAACCTCGTCAGCAAAAAATTGTTTAGAGATTGAACCGTCTCCCCCTCAAAAGGCAGCCTGTGAACTTACAGATGGCAACTAGGCCGCTCAGGAACAGCGCCGCAAAGACACTCACAATCGTCTGGTTCGTAGCCCTCCGCGCGGCTTCCCTCGCCGCACGGCCGCTTCTGTGCTTTCCATGGCTCCGTGGTGATGGTTTCGGTCTGACGGTGCCCTGGCGCTGTTCGCCCTGAGGGGGAGTGTCGCCGTCGTTGGATCCGTTCTTCTGTCGTGACAAGAAGCCGAGCGAAGGGTCATTCAGATTTGGATGATCCAGCGCCTGGAATGCCCTGGTGTTGAACAAAGTCGAGTTATAATTGCTGGATTGCACCGTCCGCAGCGGAGGGAACAACGTTCCAGACACCATAGCCGGAGGAGGTGGTGGCGGCGGAGGTGGGGGGACAATAGACGTCACCACAACGACGGGAGCTTTCTCCATCGTCACCGCCGTCGCAGCAAGCATCGGACCCTCGAGCGTCTTCTTCTCATCGACGACGAAAAATTCCGGAGTACCCGTCCCTCGCGGCTGCAACTGCTCCTGCAACTGCTCCGACGCCGCCGCCGCCACGGACATGGAAGCATTCCAAGCACCGCCACATCCTCTCAAAGCAGGCGAGGCCTCCGACGAACTACTACTGTCACTACTCCGACGACTCAATGCCCGGCGCACCGCCGGTGGAGACGGAACCGAACCCGGAGAATCTTCAACCCTCCCAAAGAATGAGTGTCGGAGGAGGTCGCGCACTTGGTCGTAGACGAGGGTCATGGAGGGGGAGCGTGCTGTTATGTCGTTTGCATCGGTCAGGAGGCCGGCTTCGAGGATGCTGGAGTCGGGGAGTGGTGAGCTCGGACGGGCGCCGCGCTGTGGTTTCGTGGGAGTCGCCATTTCTTCTTCTTTTTCTTGTTGACTTGAGAGAATGTCCGATATTCTTTTGCTGGTTTGTTGTGTGAAATGCAGGTTCATCCGACCAGCGGAGAAAGTATTAAATGGGATTTGGTAGAATGGGAACAAAAGAAGATGAAGATCAAACACTGTCGCTCATCGGATCGTAGTCAATACGATGTGACAAGAACGCGAAGTGAAGAAGTGCACGAACAATCGTGGGTCACCAGAAGAACAAAAAGATGCAGCCTCGAGTGGACAACGATTCGTACGGTGTGATATATATGTACTATACATATGCACACATGATATAGACCTCCATGCCCTTGGCGTGTTTTGTTGCTTCCTTCTGTCTTCGCTGCGCGTCTGCCTACAATGCGCAAGTAGTACATCTAGAGCATCACGATGTGACCATCGCGTCAAGAGACGAGACGAGACGAGACGTGAAGTCGCGACGACGCGTCTTGCGAGAGAATCCAGTCGCGTGTATTGAACAAGAAGCGCGTGTGTATAAGACAAGGAATCGCCAGTTCGCGTGGTGCATTGGAGCGCACATTAGCGTCTCTCTTCCTCTGGCAACAACGCGCACGAGAAGCTGGTGGGGTTTTCTTGTTGCACAACCTCCCATGATGAAAGAAGATGAAACATGGCGGAGAAACACACGCGAGGAAGACCATGCGAAATGTCGAGAGCCTATCATCGCACTCCGAATCGATCCTTCTCGGACACGGGCTAGCTAGATGCGTTGTCGCTTTGTATGCTTACTAAATTCTGGACGCAACCGTGGACAGCTCGTTGAGAGAGAGGATCTTGTTGTTCTGCATGTACGGCTCAGGCGGGGAATAAGATCCGACGTCCTGTTGAAACCTGAAACGAGCTTGTCAGGCGGCCGCCCGCTGGTGGCCGCTCTCCGCCAATGGAAGCTCTCACCACGCCAAAAGTTGATGCCGACCCTCACAAGGCTAATGCATTGCACTGCACGGCTTACTTCCCTGGGCATGTTTCAGATATCCTACAATGCCTCCAACATCGTGCGCAAGCACGACAAGGAGAAAGAGGAGATGGCATCCATGGAGAGCACCTATGCAGGATGGGATGGTCGCTCCGAAGCACCGTTCATAGGCGGCACGAGTGGTGACCTGCTCATGTTGTGTGTATTCATGCGCGAGCTTGAGGGCTTTGTAGGCTGAAAGCTCCACGATCTCTCAGTCTCTTCACCAAAAGAAGAATTTTCTCGTCCGCTCTAGGAATTTCGATTGGCACTCATCGGCGACGTGCGAAACGTTGCATTGCACGAGCGCTTCTTCGCGGCATTGAAACATTTACAGCTTGCGGCAGAGGCATCCGCATGATCGAGACCGCACAGCCGGATCTCGGCACTTTTGCAAGTCTCAACCCTGATTACAGCATCGCGACTGTTTACGACGACAGCCGCGACAGTCCGGTCTCGTTGGATACCGCCCAGGTGAACATGATGACCCGGGCGACTTATTCAAGGTAACACTTAGCCACAGAACGATTGGTAAATAGCCTTGGAGCTAGAGGAGATCCATTCGCCTCCACCAACACCAGCTGTACATGGATACGTCAAACCCAGCCGATGTCGTCATACGCGCCTTCGACATCGCGTTCCCCTCACGTTGCATAAATCCGATTCGATCAAAGCGACCACGCCCGCCACCGTGTTGAGGCTGTACAATTCGTTGCATGTATCCGATCCGACCAAGGAAACACGATCACGATGTGTAATGTATTGCATAATGTATACATCGCTCGAACCAACATTATGCAATGCCCGGGCGCTTCGGAGCGATTACAAATGCGACTTCAGGGTCTGACAGTTACGAAGCAGACGTGAATCCAATCGAAAGCTTGGTCGACAAGAACTCTGATAGATACATAAGAAGTGACGGGCAAGCTTGAAGATTCCATAATTTAAGATCCTTGTACAACATCATCACATCACCGACTGTCGCCTGTCAATTCACCATGCCTCAGACCATGAAAGAAGCCATCATTCACGCCGGACCCAAGGTCGAGATCCGCGATGTTCCCATTCCGGAGCCCGGTCCGCGCCAGGTCGTGATCAAAGTTGTCTACAGCGGCAGCAACCCAAAGGACTGGTAAGGATATAAGCTTCAATACCGCAACCGCACCTGATCATGCCCCAATCTAGCCGCCACAAGGAATCTCACATGCTTACCATTCGCCTCTAGGAAAATTCCGGAATTGGCCGAAAGGTACAAGGGCAGCGAATCCGACGATCCGATGGTGAAGTTCATCGCGAGTCAGCCATCACTGAACCAGGGCGATGATATTGCCGGCATCGTGCACTCCGTCGGCGCAGATGTCACGGAATTCAAGCCTGGCGACCGCGTGGCGGCGTTTCACGAGATGATGACACCCGGCGGTAGCTATGCGGAATACGCGCTTGCATGGGACCACACGACCTTCTTCCTTCCAAAGGATACGAGCTTTGAGGGTGAGTACCGTTCATCATGTTCCCTATTGCCGCCAATCTGAAACGGCTGAGGCGCGAAGCCCGCCGATGCACTTCCGGATGCCGGACACGCCCTGAGCAAGATTCCTCACTAACTTTTTCAGGGGGCGCTACCATTCCACTCGCCGCCATGACCGCCGCAATCGGTTTGTTCGCCAGCGATCGACTCGCCCTGCCGACGCCGATTAACCCGGCCACCGAGCCCATCCCGCTAGTCGTCTACGGCGGCGCTTCCGCAGTCGGCGCCTTTGCGATCCAACTCGCCCAGCGTAGCAACATTCACCCGATCATCGCCGTCGCTGGTGGTGGCGCGACGCTCGTCGAAAAATACCTCGACCGGTCCAAGGGCGACACCATCGTCGACTACCGCCAAGGCAACGATGCCGTCGTCTCCGGGATCAAAGCCGCTCTGAAAGGAAAGCCCTTGCGTCACGCATACGACGCCGTCTCCGAGGTCGAAAAAGGCAGCGTGGGGAACCTCTCCAAGGTCCTCGACCCACAGGGTTCCAAGGCGACTTTCGTTCTGCCTTTGAGTGAACAGCCCGCTGCTGGCATCACTGCGAGTAACACTAACGTGGGCGATGCGCACAAGGCCCAGAAGGATCTGGCGTTTGTCTTCTTCCGACTCATCACGCGGGGTCTGGAGGAGGGTTGGTTCAAGCCCCATCCTCACGAGGTTATCCCTGGTGGACTCGGTGGTGTTCAGGAGGCACTGACCAAGTTAAAGGAGGGGAAGGCTAGCGCGATCAAGTATGTTTTTGAGATTGCTGATACACAGGGTTTGTGATGAACGATGTGAGAAGCATAAAGGAATTTCCATATTTTATGTATCATGCTGAATAGATATCACGTGGAATCCAGTCGAGCGTATTTGCTAGGCTACGTATGCAGAGCAAACACTCAGCTCGTTTGTTTTCGGTGTCCGACGCACTTCATGATTCATACACGCATCGACGACTGGTGAAATATACTTTGATATCTTGCACGTTCAGGTGATGCGGCACAGTCACAGATGTTTAATCAGCATTAACTACATGCTTTACAAAGCGTTCACTTGCAACGATAGTGGCATCGACCTGCTCTCATCATCTCACCGTAACAACTTGTTGATCCCAAAAGACGGATCTTTCGCGGAACATGCGTGATGGCGACTTTCCCAGCAGCGGTTTCGATTATTACGCGCTAGTAAGTACACTCGCCATGTAACAACAAGCAAAGCAAAGCAAGCGCTGACAAGAGTTCCTCGTGTAGGAGAAATGGGACAGCTCAGATCCATTGGAAGAGAGCAGCGAGCAGAGAGACAAGCACATCGAACTCGGCAAGGATCATGCTGCGCTCGGTCACATGGGTCGTAGGGTAGAGCCTTCGCGATGCTCGAGCACGAATTGCTCAACGCTGCTAATTTCGATATGACAGCCGTACAACCTCAGGTTAACGCCTTGTGGAGAAATCAGAACCCTTCCCCGTAATCTAGCGAAAGTCCCAACAGATCTTCCAACTCCGAATGAGCGAGTCCTGGATTCGATGGAATTCATATGGGTGCGCACCGCATATGGACCTGGCACCAATGCCCGCTTCCACAAATTACTAACTGGCTTCGGCCACTGTCCCGACGTCTTCGGGTACGTACCGGATGATACCGAGCGCTACGATTTCGCCGATAATAAGGCGTTTTTCGCCTTCTTCTCGTCCATCCTCGAATTAGAAGGAGAGGACGATCTCGATGACCACTATCCTGATGATGCTCCCGAAATGCGGAACGATCTGGACTGGACCGATCGTCCGGGAATGCCTGAGGAAGATCGATTTGTGACCCATTAAGGACAGCTGATTGTCGCGGATGACGAGCTATGCGGACGGGCGTTCTCGAACGGATAATGTTTGATGAATTCGGCGATGCCCCCTTCAGAGAGCGCATTCAGTCCTGAGGTCTGACCGAAGTCACTGGGCTGAAGTGGAAGCGATATGTCGGAGAATTCGGGGATGAGATCGCAAAGGGGTGGTTTGGAGGCGATCCTAGACAAGGTGGGCCTTGGGTAGGACCATGGTCTCCTCCCGCAGAGGCCTTCGAGACGGGGCGGCCTGGATCGCTTGATTAAGCCTGGTAAGCCTGAAGGGTCTGTTGACACGCCACAGAATCCTTCGCACGTGGCAGGATCTGATCGAGAAGCTTCATTGGAATAGTACCATTGACCGCCATCTGGAATTCTATTTCTCGTTGGCTTTTCCTCTCCGCAAGAGGATGTATCTCGCAAAAATTCTGTCGACATTCAGGCCTCCCGTGAGCTGCGCCCTGTCCTTCCACTAGCTCGCGATCTGAGGAACATCATTTATTAGACGGGAATGCATATGGATCAGATGATACAGTACACAATAGAACGAAGCGAGAGATAGGAAAACAACGTTTATGGCCGCCTTCAGTGATTCTCATCAAGATGTGTTGAGGACCACTTCCAGTGAAATATTAAAGCCATCATCCAGCACTCGAAATTCCTAGAAAAGGTTTCCCATCAATCCCAACAGAATCAAGTCAACCAGTCTCACATTACTTTTCTATACAAGCATATTACCACTGCTTCATCTCATCTCCCTGCCCCAAGAAAAATCATGCGTTGGACAATCCTCTACCAAACTCTGGCTGCGGCCGCCTTGACCCACGCCTTCACCATTCCACGCGAAATCACCGCCGATGGTGTATACAAAGTGGTCACGCGCGACGACGGAACCGAAGTCCACACCAAAGTCGCGGACATCGACATCGAAAGCACTGTGGCATTGACCTCTGCCGCGGATGAGCACGACATCCTCAAGCGCAGCGTCCGCGGCCAGATCTGGTGCGGCTGCGGCTACACCATGAACCCGGGCAACTGCGACGCCGCAGTGCAGGATCTGAAGAATCAGATGGGTAAGTCTGCAAATCTAACCCCCCTGTGCCCCATCGAAAGCAGCATCAATTCTCCCCGGGGCTCGCTATCTGAAATCTCGTCTGACAAGAAAACAACTCTCCAGGGAAATACATCGGCCCCCACTTATCCTTCTACTCCATCCGCTCCAACGTCGTCGCCTTCGCGTGCAACCAGGGCTCGCAGAATGTGTACGCCGACGCCGGCACCTATGGCACCCAGCTCCAGAAGATCACGAGTGCTTGTGGGAGATATATTGCCGGATCATTGGACCTGGTCGGCGGGAGCAACCCCTTTATCGTGGGCTACATGCGTTACAGCAATGGCCTCGACTTCTGCCGCGATTCGACGATCTCTGGGAACAATCGTTGTTGAGATGAGTCTTGTGTGTGATGTTTGAACATAGGCGGTACGATGTTTCGGCGAGATTATCGGAACGTCCGCTTCGTCCAGGCTGCGGCAAATGGCCACTAGGAATGCACGACCTATCGGTATCGGAGAAACGGTTTACATGTCATATAAATCATATCCAATCTATCATTCCGTCATGATCGACGCATCTATTCCAATCGAAAATGGAATGCACGTGCCCCGGCTCGTAGTCCTCTTGTACATGGGATATATTGGGGCAATCGTTCCTGGTTTCCGCATTTGGCAAATTATCTGGACGGCATGAGCTGGACTCGGATCTTGTCCGCTGTTGAGTAGAGCGTCTGTATAGCTCAACCAAGTTTGTTTAGAGGCGCAGTGAACTCTTGTTCGCGAGTTGCTAGTTGCTCTGGAAAGTTTTGCTAAATGTCCATCGGGAGAGTCAATGGATCTCGTTCTTGATCGTTTGAAACTTCTTGGCCGTTGTGTTGGCATGTCAGATCGACGATAGCACGCCGAAAATGTGGCGCAGATCCATTAGTTTCGTTGGGCCTAATCCTCAAAATCTCTCGCCCAGCCGTATGGTCTTTGGGCTTCACGGTCCCTGGGATCAGTCCAGTTTTTCATAGCTCGCTCGATCATTTCAAGCGCCCCAGTCGACTTCAGTCTTGATGCGTCCCAAAAGATATAGCCCCAGGGCTGCAGCGCGTCGGGAACTTCCCGGCCAAACAAGCTGCTGTATACCTCGCCCCAGAGGGTTGTCCAGCCCAGCGGCGGTGTATCTGACCTTTCGTCCCCCTGGAATGGCATCGGTGTTTGGTTGTCCATTTTCTCGCCGCGTTCGGTTCCGTCCGTGTACCGCGTTTCTTGATAATGTTCGCCGGCAAAATCGAGATCGCCTCCCAAATGGCAGGTATTCAGCATCATGTTTTCCTGTACGAGAGAGACGAGATCCTCATGGTCTGTAATGACGAAAATCGTCGTGTGTAAGAATTCTATCCCCTTTAAAACGAGACTGCCGACGTATTCTTCTGTGAAAGCTGGCAAGGCGTCAGTAGTGTCCGATTCGAGAATATTCATTCCTGTGACGCTTACGACTATTATCTATGTCGAAGGATCCCGTTGGCGTAGGCGCCCGAGGTTGATCATCGAATCTAGGATTGTCAGGATGTATGTCCGATTTGACGCTTTCGATGAGATTCACGTATATCCCCTTTGTGAAATTATAGAACGAAAAGAGCTCTTCGGTCTCCCACGGCTCGAAAGTGTCCAGGAATGCTTGCGTATCCTCCGGCCCTGTGAGATTTTCGATCCATTTATCTGTATGCAAGGCCACGCAATAGAGTTCGAGCCGATAGATAGATCGCGTAATTCGCGCTCTTTCCGAACCTGAAAGCCTCGAGTCTGGCTCTGATATCACGTCGGGATGTGCTGCCTCCTGGGCTACCTTCTCCAGCAGCGTACAAGCAAACTTGTTGGCGAGTGGCTTCACTATGGTGAAGTAGAAGCGCGCCATTTCCACAGCTGTTTTTAAGTCGATTGGCCCCTCACGCGTCAACTCTTGTCGGGCTTTTGCCCCTGAGTATGACTGGAGGAATCCGGCGACATCTTGTTTGAACTCCGAGTTACGGCTTCGAAATAGTCGAATTATGAATTCCTCAGGCGCAGTGTATTCAACGCTCTGTGAGAGGATACGCTCGCGGTCCTCTCTGTATTGTGCATGATAGATTGGCGAGGCATGTACAAGAGCTGATAGTGACTCAAGGTCCAAGAAAAGGAGCATGTAACGGCGGAGCTCGGCCGGTAGTGCGTCGAGCTGCAGGGCAATATTGACATGCTTCTGCGACTGGTCGGTTATTTGGTGGAACTCTTCATTGTCTACTGGTGCGAGGCTTGCCGCTGCCATAGTAGCGATCATATCATCGTGTTGCGACATCGAAGCAGCGCCGTCGTTGAAGCTTGTCGTGTGAGTGTTCCTGTGGACTAAGTGGAGTGCGGGCTGGTCTCTTTCAAATTCCCAAATTGCGGGTGTGTCGTAGCTCTATGTTTTATTATGATGTGCTCTCAACACGACAATGCGATTGAATTTCCCTTGCAAGAAATGGTACGTGGACACGCCCATGCGGGGCTGTTCTAAATTAAGCGCCATCAATGCGCTTCAAATAGTATGCTATGTATAGTTGGCGTCAATCGCATGCAATCTCAATTGCCACGTACCTGATACATGGCCGCTGCGATATCTCGCCGTCTCGGGGTAGTGGCAGAGGCAATCATACAATCATGTGGTGAAGAGACGTTTCATCTGAAGCCTGGCGATATACGACCGTGATGCTCGTGAGCCGTGGACAATTTTGCCGAAGTACGGGAGTCTGTGTTCAAATCAGTGGAGGCAGCTGGCGGCGACTTTAATGGTCCATGCGCGTTTCATGTTCAAACCCTTATCCCCGCCCGTCTCGTGCGATAACCGCAAGCCAACCGTCAATCTTCATGAGCATCACACACATGCCCAGGCGGCATTCTGTGGCCCCGAAGCAATCCATTGTGGAGCAATGGATTGCAGATGATCAAGATCCCGTGTCGTCGAATCTATCTTCCCGCGGCTGAACGTCCGGCGTTTCAAGTGATCCTCCTTGAGAAGCATCTGTTCAAAAAATGCAGAGCCACCAGTCCAAGCGCAAGGGCCGCGGCTACGATACGAAATTCTATTGGTAGAACGGGACGTATGGATGCATTGACAGTATCTCTCGCACATAGCGGCATTGGCAGAGGCGCGCGCCACGGGGATTCAACATTTCCATTCGTCGTGCGCTTTTCGTTTCAGACCAGGTCTTGAACGGGATCAAGATTGACGACCGACTTTGCCTTGACGAGTTTCAAGGACTGGCGCGCCTCGGAACTATACCAGAAATGACTCCAAGCGGTTACAGCGAGAGACTGGCTGGTCGAAATCATCCTGACTACTATTTTGATTATGTTCGGGGCAAGATCCTTGCGGTGCTGAAACAGAGTTGTGCTTGACGCATTGCTTATACATAAAAGCCCATTTCATGTTGTTTTGTTTTCTGCGGTTCTTATCACCATCTTCGGAGGCTCTCTCTGACATTATTATTGTTTTTGAATCCATCTCGACCGCAGGCACGATCACAATCCATCGTGAGTTCCATTGCAGAAAGCAAAGCACTGCGACCCTCGCCGATTCGAACATGAGGGAAGCTCGCGCATTATTTCCATCCTCCGGCCCAGGCATACATCCATCGTAATTCAAGCAATGCCTAGAAAGATAAACGTGGAAGCTAGACAGGCTGTGAATGAGCTGCAGAATCCAAGCATTCTCGACCAGGTCAGCAGAATCATCGCGAATGTCGACGATGCGGACCGTGTGATTGCATCTCTAGAAGCTTGGCAAGCCTCTCTTAATCCTAAAACATACGAGAAGATTGAACCCTGGAACCAAGAGATGATGGCAGCACATGCGGTGTACCACGCACAGGAGACAGCGATTCGCCCGGTACGGGATAGATTCGAACACATGAAGCGAAGGATCGCCAAGGAACAAACCACGGAAGAGCTTGTGGAGCTCACTCGTCTCGCCATCGAGTGGGGTCAGGTGGTGTTGAGGTATGTGTTCCTCTACAATTTCAGATTGACAAGGCAAGCATAGCTCTCACGGCTGACCACATGCGGCACCACTAGAGCAGCCGATGGCCGCCTCCAATTCTGGCGGAGGTACCAACGCGCGTACAACCTCGAAGGCATCAAGGGCCACATAATCGTAGTGCAGAACCACTTAAGTGCGGCTGAGAAAGCCGTCGAAAGCGCCTGCAAAAGTTACCAATGTGAGTCAAGCATAATTCCTCCCGCGAATGTATTCATAGGATCCATGAACCTGTGCTGACAGAGTCATGTTCCAGCAATATACGTAAAGGAAGGTTTGAGACTTGGAGTCATAGGCCCGAGCGTCTTCAGATGAATCTTCTCGAGGGCCTTGTAATGGCTCGAGACCCGAAGAAAATGCCAAGCGAGGAGAATGCCGTGGGCTTGTTGGAATGGCAAGTCCTGCGTCCTTGTTCGTATGACTGGGATTTCCATACTATCTGTGTTTGGTGGGATTTCGTCAGGTCTGGAGTTTGGAGCACTGTTGAGGGATTGGCCGGTTTAAGGATTCGGATTGTACGAAATAGAGATGTATAGTGGAAGCTGTTTTTATACATCGTCCCGTGTAAAGTATTTGGCTTGAAGCCTTTGCATCCAACTGCAAATCTTTGATGTAGCATTGTACATGTGGTAACTATTCTGTGTCCTGGTTGCCGTACAATTCGTCCGTGATGGGGGATTGTTACAGCCAGGGGTGACCGCCGCAGGCTGTAGTTGGGGGAAAAGGATCAAGCTGAACAATTGACGAACCACAAGCCACATGACAACCAAATCTAGCTATGATTCCTCCGCTGATCCGTACCACGTATCATGGCCAGGTAGTTTCATGGATACCTTGATACATCCGACCTGCGCACTGGGGCTGCATGCGGCGTCTTGGTGCAAATCAACGTAATTATTCCGACAACTTTGCTACTCGTCCGGACTGCATGCGCATCTCAATGTCTCGGCCTGCACGAAGCGTGCGGGAGCATCGACCGTCAGGGATCTTCCCGAAAACTTCAATCGATGGCTTGAGGGACGTGTAATCTCTCTGAATGCTATGTATTCCACTGTTTCCTTTGGCGAACATTCACATTGTGTCACTCGGATCCTTCGATCATACGCCAGCTACCTTCGATCATGAGCGCTCCACCGATGCGCTTCGCGACTTGCAGCAACCGCTGGTCAAGACCTTTAGCCGCCACGATGGAAAGTCCAACAGACATGCCATTTGTGCCAGCAAAGGCCGGTACTCGAATCACTGGGGTGTGTAGTCCCCTGCAGATCTTGAATCAGCAATAGTCGTGAGTAGTTGTGCATCGCTTACATAGCGTCCGAAGAGAATTTGAGACAAACGTCGCCCATATCATATAGTCCCTTTAGTGAATCGTCTGCGGAGCTTGGCGTGATGATTGCGTCGTATAATATCGCGAACGTATTGAAGATCGGACGTAGCGCCTCATACTTGTCTCAATACGTGATCCGTACCTTGGATATACATCAACCTTGGAGTGTCTAGCATCATCTCCTACCGTTTACGATGGTACAGAGAACATATTGATATGTGCACATGCCTGGCCCGAATGGTCTTTGATCTGGACGCGATTTAGCAATACCTGCACATACTCCTCAACAGCAAACGAATCATTATGGTGCAATTCGAGGACCTGGGTGGCATTCAGAGACCACAGTGCATTTGGGGTTGGCATCGTAGAAACAGGCACTGAAGGGAAGCGCAGTACCATGACTCGACGCAACAAGTGCGATAGAAGTGAAAGTTGTGAGTAATCCGTGCGGAGTGTCAGCCTGGCCAGCCTGGCTGCTACGACATTACTGAAGATATCACAGGATAAGCTGTGATATGCTGTAATATGCTGTGAGGCTTTGGAGCCAGAACTGTGCCTTGTAGCAGATGTCATGGCCTGCCAGCGTCGTGGCTGCGACTCCGTTGGATAGGGGCAATGCGAAGTCTGGGGCGTGCAGGAATCAGTCAAACTGATTGGGACAATTCGATGACTCAACAAAAAAGACAATTCACCCTTCCCGGGCGAACTGTGATACGGACTGCGGTATAAGCAGCACTTTGATGGCGAAGCGTACATCAGATCAGTCATCGAAGTACCTGTCCGATTTACCTTACCCGATGCCTATGTCGCCTGTCATTGTAAATTGTACGTGCCCCGATTCAGATATAATTCTCATCAGAATTGCGCGCGCACGTCTTTCGACATTCAACTTCGTGTCTGATAGCATGAAATCGGGCATCATCACACGGATTCCAGGCTGTACTGAGAGATCTCTGGGTACTTGATGCTGCCCTGCGCTCCCGGCTCCGTTTAGTGAAAGCTATCCGGCCGCTCTATAATCGCTCCAAATTGAATCCCAGCTGCTTCACCACCACCGCAAGGACAGCGTCACAACCAGTATTTCTTACCAATAATGGGGTCTCTAACCAACCTAGGAACGACATGGAAATTGAGGAGGAGACGCTCCCACGATACGACCCTGATAAATTCTTGCCAGTGCGCGTCGGTGACATCCTCCACGAAACATATCGCGTGACTGCGAAACTCGGTTTCGGCACATCGTCCACGGTTTGGTTATGCAGCAATGTCAAGTAAGCTACAACATGACCAGGTATGCTTGCTGCCAATGATACGAAGCAAGTACCAACATGATCGTGCCAGGACAGCCGCGTACTACACACTAAAAGTGTGTATCGTTGATGAGAAAAATTCCAAAGAAATCCTCGTGTCCAAGCACGTTCAATCAATCCAGGCCGAACATCCAGGCCGGGAAAGATTGCGGATAGTGGTAGATGACTTCGAGATTGCAGGTCCTACTGGCCAGCACCAATGTCTACTCTTCGCTCCGCAGGGCATGGCATACACGGACTTTCTTCGCCGTTTCCCTGACAAAAGTATCAACAAGATTCTTCTGCAGCAGACTCTACTCTTGACTCTGCTTGGGTTGGATTTCCTTCACCAAGCCGGGATTGTGCACACCGGTATAGTTCGGCGCAGTAAGGCTACTTCGCTTCCGCTAATGTATGCTTCAGACCTGTCACCGAACAATCTCTTGCTAGGAGCTAATGACCATACTGTGTTTCGGAACATGGAAAAGGAACACCACGAGAACCTCAAGCGTAGGCTGAAGTCGGGCGAGCGCATCATTTACCGGTCGCAAGCCATGCCGATCACCAGTGGTGCCCCGGTCATCTCTGATTTTGGCGCTGCCTATATTGGACTCCCAGACCAGAAGTTCGAGGGTGACATAATGCCCAATTTCTATAGAGCCCCTGAGGTCATCTTGGGGATGCCGTGGGATTCCAAAGTAGATATATGGTCTATTGGTGTCATGGTAAGTATATTCCTCCTTGTATTCTACTGTATCCAATCTCATTGTGAATCTTGCAGATCTGGGACTTATTCGAAGGCGGGCGTCTCTTCTACGCAACACAGTGAGGCAATCTCAGCGATGTACAGCATCTTGCTGAGATGGTGTCGCTGATGGGCCCGCCACCTGCTGCGTTTTTGAAGCGCAGCGAGAAATGCAGCCAATTCTGGGATTCCGAAGGTGAGATTTTGCAATCGACCTCATGCGTCGTTTTTGAAAGCTTATGGGCAATACAGGCAATTGGATTTGTGACACAGAAATTCCTCAGCAGTCCTTCGAAACCCGTGAAAAACGACTCGCTGGCGAAGATAAGGTTCTGCTATTGGCCTTGGTTCGGAAGATTTTGCGCTGGATGCCAGAAGAACGGCCATCAGCTGAAGACCTTTTTGAGGACCCATTCTTGACGCAGTATCAACATGAGAACACTGCTGGTGTCTAGGCACCTTCAAGTCAAGCGAGTAGTAAAATATGGAGGGTTTCCATTCTTCTAACGCACACACGATGGCTGCACCAAGCAAGCCATCTCGGGCCAGGATGCGGCGCAATCTGATTGCCTCTGACGCAGAAACAAGTTCCGTGTATCATCCATGTCTATGTTGGGAAGCTACTCGGCACGTCGCGACGATCCATGTCACCGTATTACCAAACTGAATCGAGTGCAAGCACGGCCTTGCCCCTTTCGAGGTTTTCTCTGCCTCTCGGGCATCGGTCTACCAAGACGGCCTGCTCTATGGCACAACCCGTCCCCTCAAAACAGTATGTCTTGCTGAGGCGTCTCCGAGATTTCTTCTTCAAGCCATCGAATCAAAAACATTCACCAAGGTCTTTCCGATAGTTTGCGTTGCTCCGCTCAGCGAAGAAGTTGGTGGCAGCTTTGAAGCTATACATTGGGTCTACGGGGTGGCTCGTTCTGACATTCATTGCGAAAACTAGCTCATGGATCGTTTCATCATCGAAGATGAGGTCGACAAGCAAGCTTTCCCCATAGTATTCGTTGACATTATCGACGATTACTACAGCGGAACTTCAGAAGTGTCTGCTGATGAAGACATTAATCTTGAATCACCATTCATTGGGAAATCTCCAGAAGAATGCTACGAACTGCTTCTCGAGCTCCACGATGATACCGAGTCTGACATTGAACCTTCTTTATCTGTCATCATGGACGAACGATCAACACAAGATGACACCGGACTGCTCGTCCCAGGGTGGAGGGGCAAAGACGGAAACCTTGTACGAGGAGACTCTCCGCGCGTCTTTCCAGGCTTCAGGCCTTGCACTGGTGTTGTGCGGAGCTGGCCACAGCATTATGGCAGCGGATGCGGAAAGGGCTAAGCTTGAAAAAGACGGTGTCTACCGCGGTTAGCAATGTGTTCGTGTACGAAAACATCGCTTCGTCATGCTTACCTGACCAGGATGAGCCTAATCTTGCATCACCGATGTACCGCCCCGATCATTAACCAGGGCAACAAGAGATGAAATCTTTCAACTACATATCGAGATACGCTGGATGATTCGATTGCTAATTGATATGTTAAACGGAGCTGTTACAGAAAGGTCTATCAGGCTTGTTCGCTGAGAATCCGCTCTTGTTTGAAGACTTGGCCATATCGGCTCCTGCGACGCATGCGGGGGCCAAAGCGCACGAAAAGGATCGGGGCCCCGAGGAATAATGTAGCGAGGCCTGCAAGGATCGTTGTCGCACTGTTGTTGTCCAAGTTGCGGTACATCTGTTGGGCGATCAGAGGTGCCACAGACGCAACAATTGCACGTACGCTAGCCAACCCGCTTAACGCCGAGCTCGCATGAACAGTGTAGGCATCCGTCAGATAACCCTGGAGCGTGTAGGAGATCTCTGTGGCAGCAAACCCCATCAAGAAAAGACCGATCATGCTGACAATCCAATGCGTGTACACATGGGGCGGAATCGTCCAGGCGAATATCCAAAGGCCGATCGCTAGTGCGGGCGATCCCATCAAGAATCCGTTGAGTTTCAGCTCGGGAGTCGCCGTATCCCCTTCTGCTGCATATCGCTTGACATCGACCCACCGGGGCACAGCGCTGAACACGACCCCGATGGCCATCGCGAGGAAAGCGAGGGATGATTGAGGGTAGGTGAAGTCGAAGCCGGGCGCGGTGTATACAATGGCCACAGATTCCGTGAACATGTAAATGAGGCCCATGGAATAGGAGCAGAGGATCGTGGAGGTGAACACGAGAGGCTCGCCAAAAAGCAGTCGACAGGGCCGGCCAACGATGGCCCTCCAGCTGTGATCATTATTTTCAGGGTGAACTTGCTGAAAATTTTGTTCCATGTCTATACGCTGGAGCGAGGAGTCGTTGTCTGCCAGCTCCTCCGATGCTGATCCTGATGCCGCTGTCGAAGACCGTGTTTCTGGCATGATGCAGAATAGAGGCACCATCACACCCGCAAGGATAGCAGGGAGGAAATAGATCCATCGCCAGCCAAGCGACTGGCCTACCCACGCGCCATACACCGGGCCCAATACTTGACTCACGATGGTGAAGCAATTCCAGAGCCAGACGAGCCAGATACGCTCACGCTCATTGTACAGATCTGCGATCGAGCCAGCGACAACGACGGACGGAACAGCCGATGCAAACCCACTGACGATGCGGCCGACGAAGACTCCGCCCAGTGATGATGTGACGCCACTGATCACGTACATCAAGCTGAGAAGACCGCATGATGAGGTATAGTATAACCGCCGGCCATATGCTTCAGAAAATGGCGGAATGACCAGGCATCCGATCGCTTGACCCAGGGGATACGCGAATGCGAAGCAGACAAGCAGGACGTTGCTGCTATACTCGGTGAATAAACCTTCAAGTTGAGCGTAATGAGCTGCTGCCGGACCAGTGGTAGCAATGACCGTTGTGAAGAACTCAAAGAATAACACCGACGATGCAATGGCCGCCTTCTTTCTCGCAGGCCAATCTCCAATGGCGTGGCTGTTTCCGCCGAAGGAAATCATACTCAGACTTTTCATGTTTGCAATGGAACCAACGTGCACGGCAGATTCTTTCCTGTATGACCCCCCATTGCACCATATACCACTGTCAGTTCAGAAAATGCGACGTCAGACCGAGGCTCGGAATGATATTGGGATTTGCGTCTGCACAATGCGGTTCCAATGATGAAGCCTGCTGAAAATCCTCACCTATCGCGGCCAATGGAAATTTTCAATTGATGAGAGCCCTGGAGTTCGTCTGATTCCCACCCAGACATTGATGGGCTACGGGCGTGCCCGCGCGGCCGGGCTCGCGCTACAGCCCTCCTTCATAATAGGATCGGCGCCAACGGCGCTACAGTCAGTGTTAGAGAGTGAGAATCTGCGCGATTTTCGAGCACAAATTTTTGACGGCATGTAGAAAGCAGTATAATGCCGGTAGATCTCAGTGGTTTAACAAGCCCTTGAGTTTTTGTGATGTAATAAGTACCAATTGCGAATATTTCTTGACTAGACCAGTACGCTTATATGTAAGCTTATTTTCAGGTATTTGCTGAATTAGGCTAGGCATCCCCCAGATATTCCCCAGGTCTCTTCACGGCGCCATTCAAATGCGCACCGAATGAGCGATTTGATCATGACGCCGTTCATCACGTGTGACGTATCCTCTTCATTGGAATCGTGGAAATTGCGTGATCACCGAGGTATGCAGCAGACATTCTCCTGGAGGATCGTCAAACGAGGAGAAAGTGAGCAGGCATAACGTGGTATAACTAGCAAATTCGCCAACAAGGATGGGACCCGCAACGAAGCGTTGTCCCTCATTTCCTTCAAGGTTTCCCCTCTCGAAAAGACTGTTCAATCTTGCTGATATCCAATTTGATTCTCCTCTCGTGACGACGATTCCAGCCCAGTGAAAGAATCTTGAGACGGACAACACACCTCCAGGCCGGCAGAAGCACAGGACAAGCATGACTCGCTCTCGACGTTCAGACATTCCACAGATCTTTAGCTCCTTCCCTCAACTCGATTTGAGCCTCCTCTTACAACACGCACCCCCGATCGAGCGCCTCGCGAAGTTGGAGAAGGCTTGTCACTCGGGACTCGACGATACCCGCCTGTTCGTCTACCGGGAAGACTTGGCATCTACGTTCAACCCCGGGGGTAACAAGCTTCGGAAATTGGAGTACGCCCTGCCTTTGGCATTTCGGAAGGGCGGGCGACCGACCTCCATCGTGGCAGTGGGTGGTCTACAATCCAATTGCTGCCGGCAGACCGCACAGGTCGCTGCCAGCTTGGGCATTCGATGCTATCTTGTCCTTGATGAGCTCGATTACGATGATCATTCAGACGCCCGTCACTTTGGTAATCTCCAGCTGATGAGGCTATTGGGGGCCGAGATCATCTTTGCCTCTTCGGAGCACGACGCAGACCGACAGAAAAGCCTCGGGAGTTCCTTCTCCAACAGTGCGGACAAGCTCGTCAAAGACCTGAGGCGCCAGGGCGAAAGAGTACTGTTCATCCCCACAGGAGCAAGTGATATGCCAGGAAGTGGTCTTGGTTATGCCCGCTTTGTATTTGATCTGCTCCAGCAGGAGGAGCAAATGCATCTACCAGGCAGTGGGCGCTTTGACTTTCTGGCGATTGCCTGCGCAAGCGGCTCCACATTGGCGGGGATCATAGCCGGCTTTAGACTTGCTCGAGAAGTAGGCTGGATCGACGAGGAGCCTCGGATCGTCGGCGTGGAGACATTCTGTGACCCGGTTGAAGAGCAACGAAGACATGTTCTGTCAATCGCACGAGACACAGCAGGCATGTTAGGTCTCGGCGAGGACGCCATCGGTCTGGAGGACGTCGTCATTGACGGACGTTGGACGGGCGGGAAATATGGCCACTGCGACCACGCCACCCAAACTACGATTCAACTCGTTGCCCAAAGCGAGGGATTGATCTTGGATCCGGTGTACAACGGGAAGTCCATGACAGCAGTACTCGAAGGGGTGCGCGAGGGAGAACTATACGGCAATGTTCTCTTGATCAATACCGGAGGCCAGTCCGTGATGAGTGCATATCCAGGAGTTGAACGATGTCGAAAAGATAGTCGAGCCTAAAAATTTATTGCAGTTATATTCTTGTTTTACGTATGCGCTGTGCCACGGTGAATCGAACACGCATTCTCTTTCATCGTGTGGGTGAGGACACTGCTCGAATGAGAGCAAGCCGATGTCACGAGACCTATCCTGTCTTCCATGTAGTAGTACGGAGACAAGGTGATAATCTCCCTGGCTTCACAAAAGCGCCCTCTCGCGTGTTGTCCCGAACCCTAAGGGTTCGATTGTATGTCAATGGGAGCAAGACAACATCATCCCCAAAATTTCACAAGTACACTGAATCATCGTAATAGACAAGGACATGGATACGTCATCCGATTGGGCAGCATCAGCTCTATTCTCGCCGTCCAAAGCACGCGTGCAACAAGCCCAAGCAAAAGATTGGGCAGCGGTAGATGCATGGCTCGCCAAACGATATGGTGCCAAACGACCACCAGCATTCGAAAAGAACGAAGATACCCTCCAAGCTCTCCTGACCCTCGCAAGCCTAAACGATAGCGCCGACGAACAACGCGCGCAACTCGACCGCATCGAGAAAACAACCCTCTCCTCCCTCTCCAAGAAACCCACTGGCCTAGCCCAAGATATCCTCCAAACCATCCTCGCCCAACTCAGCAACGATGAAAGCCTCGAGACCTATGCCGAGCTAATCGTCGCGTTGGAAAGCAGATCCACCGACGCCCTCGAAATCGGCAAGGACATCATCGCACTCACAAACGAGGACTTCGATGCGAAACAGCAACTTATCCGAGCCAATGCCCAACTCGCCGCACTCCGCGGCGAACGCTCCCATCTCGCTAAGACCCTCGAGCAGCTCCGCGGCGAAGCCTTCCAGACTCCCTCCGATATGATTGATAATACGAATTCCTGGAATGCATCCGCGAAGAAATTGAAGGCGAAAATCGGGGAGTATGATGAGCGATTGGCGGCGAGTGGGAGTCGGACTAATGCGAATTCGAGAACGGGGAGCAACGGGTTGGAAATGGTGCAGAGTTTGACGGCGGAGAATGAGCGGCAGAAGGCAAACCTTGAGAAATTGGAGGCGCAGCTGGAGGCACTACAGGAGCTCCCACCTGATGTTAAGGCGGCGAGAGGGATCGTTGAGAGGGCGAGGGAGGAGCTGAGGGGGTTGACGGAGAGGAGGGATCACAGATTTGAAGAATTGGCGAAGGCTTGAAGGGCTGGGGTGGGGATGAAGATGGGTGCTTCACTCTATTTTCTGGGTCGCTGTAGACGAGCCTCGCGCCAGACATGCACGCTGGAATTTTCCATGTGGCTCCGACCCAAGCCCCACAAAGCTCGACGGCAAACACCTATGATCTGAGCAGCCAGGATGGATATGAACTCACGACAGCGGTATAAGGTTATAATCGGTACCATCTTAACCAAGGCCGGAAATTCGCTCGTGGCAACTCAGTCATAATCAGAAATATGGTCTCGGACGACGAGGCTCGATACGGTCTTTACTGACGAGTACAACTACAAAAAGCGCGACAGGACCTATTGAGCTACCTGGAGCTGGATGGATGTCGCATTGGTCCAAATCTCGTGAAGGCTCGTATTGTGCTCAGAGCTTGTAGCTCGTAATGCCGAATGGGAGTACTGTCTTCGAACACAGCACCGTCGGTGCATGACCCACACGGGTGTCGCCCCGATGTTGTGAGGAGCAATTGGTACAATCTACGCGGATCTCTGAAAAGGAATGCCATTATGTTATTTCTACACATAATTACTATTTTCGTCTTCCACAAATACGGTGGAAATCGATGTTCAATCATGACGTTCCTTTCTACACTAGTATGACAATCCTCTATCATGATGATTTGAGGCATCGGTAAAGCACACCTCTCGGGATAGTCAAGAACTTAGCGTAGGCTATAGATGTGACATTGAAGATGTTCTGCATATCGGCGGTCGGAACGGAAGTCCGAATCACGATGATCGCACAGATAGAGTGATGAGCATGGATGACGCACGTGTACCTGAATCGCAGCACTTTTTTCCCCAGAGAAATTCGTCGCGTCATTCGTTCACGTCCCCAATTGCTACATTCAGACTGCGACATTGGCTCGCACTCTCTTTCACGATCCTTTCACTCAAGACAATAATATTTCTCAGATCTTTTCGCTGCCACGACTCTGACACCTGAATTTTGTCCAGAAATGTGCTGACAGTCACTTGAATTAAACTTCGCATTTCGCGCCCTTCGTTCGTTTCATACGTATCGCTCGTTATCGACCGCAACCATGGCCATCTCATCTTCCTCCACTTTCACGCCTACGGCACTTCGAAGATGGGGCTGTCAAGACAAGCCGCTTCCAAATGTTGAGCAGATCAAGGAACTCCACATCTACGACTTTGACAATACACGTGAGTGGATATCTTGTCGTTCCAGGTGATCCTCACGGTCTGATCATCACCACTGCAGTATTCAATTCACCATTGCCCAACAAGCAATTATGGCACAACAACGCCCTCGGCTCACTGCAGGCACCAAGTTTCATGACTGTCGGCGGATGGTGGCACAACCCACGGATATTGGCTGCGGTTGGAGAGGGCGAGGAGATTGAAGAGCCAAGAGCATGGAAGGGTTGTTGGAATGAGCACATCGTAGAGCTGGTACGGCTGTCCATGCAGGATGAGTCGACGCTCACAGTTCTCCTCACTGGACGATCCGAGCACGGATTCTTGGATCTTCTCGCAAGAATCACCAAGTCGCACGGTCTAGAATTCGACATGCTCTGTCTCAAACCCAGATCGGGCCCGGACGGAGAGGCGTTCGACGATACTATGGAGTACAAGCAGGCGCTGCTCAAGCAGATCGTTTTCACATATACCAAAGCTACAGAGCTACGGATATACGAAGACCGTCCGAAGCATGTACAGGCGTTTCAAAATTTCTTCGATGACCTGAATAGAATCTTGGGGGATAAGACCACCCCGGAGTCTGCACTACGCCCGCCGTTTACTGCCGCTGTCGTCCATGTAAACGAAGAAGACTGCCACATTTCGCCAGAAATCGAAGTTGCTGAGGTCCAACGCATGATCAACGCGAACAACACCGCCGTCCGAGATGGCACTGCACCCTCAGGTACCGTTCCTCACAAAATCACCCGGTCCATTCTCTATACTGGCTACCTCATCCGACCGACCGACTCCGCGCGCCTCCTTTCTCTCCTCACGCTTCCAAAGGACTGTGATCCAAACGACATCAGAAACCTCGCGAACAACATCCTCATCGCACCTCGACCGGCGGCGCCCCACATTCTCAAAAGAGTCGGCGGTATTGGCGCACAGCAGCGCTGGCGCGTGACAGGTTATGCACACATGTCGAACAGGGTATGGGCCGCAAGGGTAGAACCACGGCCACCGAACAGTGTTGTCTACACCGAGAATAGAACGCCATATGTCGTGCTGGCGACACGCAAACAGAGCAAACCCATCGAAGCGAACATGATCCGGAATTGGCAGCCCGTGAGCGCCGAGCAGGCGATTGAATTTGAGACTGTCGTGGGGGAGAAAATTCTATTGAAAATCGAAGAGGAGGAGAATCTCGATCACATCAACAACGACAAATCGAGAGACCATCATACAGGCCAGGCCAATGCGAGAAAAGGTCCCAAGAAAAGATCTTATGAGGAGGACTACCCGGCTCTGGGAACTGGGGCCCCGCCAGCAAACCCTCACAAGGTCCAATCACGGCAACAACATCCGCAAGATGGTAAATCGTGGGGCAATCGTGGCGGTCGAGGAGGTTCAAACAACAACAACTCTCGCGGCGGTCGTCGAGGTGGTGGGCATGATGGTCGAGGCGGAGGGCGCGGTGGAGGCGGGTCTCGGCGTGGTGCCTACCGTAGCCTAGACGACACCGTTGCACACGGAGGTTATGGCTCGGGCGCTGGTGGGATGGGAGGTGGTGTTGGCACTGACGCGATGCAGTATTAGAAGCCCTAGCATCTTCGCTGCGCCGATGTGTTGGGGTTCTGGCGAGGACGCGTTTCATGGTTGGGACGCCTAGTGGCGGTCAAAGGAATGATCTGTTCGACGGGCTTCTTGCTTTTCTCTCAGATGAGATTGGTGTAAAATTTAATAGCTGGTGGTCAAGGGTCTGCTTGTATTGCAATCCTGTGAGCCTACATTGCCGACAAAATGTACACCACGACCTCTACAGTTTCCACCAAATTCACCTATCGCTTCCCTTATTCCCTCCTGCCAAGGCCGCAGCAGTAGGAGGATGTCTCAACCGCCATACACTTCCCTCCACACCGACCGGCTCCCTAAAGCTTACCCACGGTCTTTCTCTCGCACTACCACCCTCTTTCCTCTCGCCGAGGCCAAATCTGACTCTCGACCTCTCCCCTCTCCTCTCCGTACTTGAATTGCCATCTTCCAGATACGCCCAGTCAGGACTGTCAAATCCACCTCTCACTAACATCACCTTACGCTTCGTCCTCAATAGCTCCGCCACGCGGGCTTCTGATAATGGGGTGATGAGATCGAAGGTCTTAGCCACGTGATCAATCGAACGGATCAGCGCGAGCCCAACGCAAGATGTCTGTCGGGGATCCAACGGTGCAGGTGGCGTAGCTTGATTGCGATCAAAGGGAATATATGGAATTTCTCCCTGCTCCGTGTGTGCGATTCCCATCTCCGTTTCGAGATCGGAAGAGGAGGATGAATTGAAGGTCGAGTCATCTTCCGGGACGAGAATGGCGACGATGGCGCCGTTGAGCACCTCTGGGAGGAATGCTGGCGCAACTGGCTGGCTGTAGGATATGATTGCCGCGACGCCGGAGTTGGGGCCGGCGTATTGGACGGTCCAGGGACGGAATTGGCTGATGGGGCGGTCGCGCCATGTGGGCAGGGTTGAAGCAGAGCCGACGATAATGTTGGAAGTTGAATCGTGATTTTGGATTTGGCGCTGGTGGAAATACGACATCATCTGCATTGCTCGTAGGTCGGCGGGACTTCGTATTGATGGCTTGCCTGATAATCGAGGCAGTTGGTGAACAGTTTCGACTCTTTCTGATAACGCAGCTCGAAGTCCATCTTCGAGAGGCCCCAGAACAGCGAGATCTGTGAGATGTAAAGCCGAGCAGAGATCCAGCAGAGCGCTCGCACCGACACCGCTGACCCATCCACAGCTGTTCACCACAAGGGGGGTATTATTGCCATTCTGAGGAATACGGTCGGCAAGATCAACGGCACAGTCGATATAGTGGCCTGGAAAATCTCTAAAAGTCATCGCCGCGAGTGAGTGCGATCGAAGTACTCGATATGCTACTTGGCCAGATTCTGGATTCGTCGCGAGATGGCTGAGGGAGGGCCCCAGGAGTGGTGCCGAAACTTCGATCAAAGAAAGATGTCCAGGTGGCCCGAACTCGGGCTGGCCGGGATCGAGATCGAGATAGTACAAGCTTCTTGATCCATTCTTCGGGCGTGTGAGAATTGAGTTGACCAAAGCACGGCTGAGAGTGGACTTTCCTGAGGACTTGGGACCGATGGTCATAATGCGGATAGGCCGACGGGAGTACTCGACAGAATCGATCTTGCCGTTGATGCTGGACAAGAGTTTCCGTGTTTCTGGAACGATATCGAGAGCGTTCACAGACGGTATTCGAGAGGATGCGTTGTCGTCTGTCAGTGGTACCGGAGCGAATGAGCGTGATTGCCTGCCATCTTGCGCTGCACCGGAAGACGTTGTCGTTGTTGCCCAGATATTTCGATACAGTGTCGAATATTTCTCAAGTGCTTGTAATTGCGACTTGACGGAGGTTATGCGAACGACAGTATCCTCCGCTCGGCTGAGTATGACTGGAAGCGCATGTGCACTGATAGCATACACACGTTGCCGCGCAGTTTGTGGAAGCAAGACTGCTCCATGAATGTCGACCACACCCTTGATGACCTGCACATCATATTCGCCTGTGAAGACAGCACTCTCACCAGCTCGCAGATTAATCTCAAGGCTGTCGTGGTCGTCGTGCAGGACTTGGAATATCTTCGAGGCAGCTACCGGCTTCGGTCGAGCTGTAACAATCGAAGCTTCTCGAGTGCGGAGTGGAGCTGACCTTTCAGGACCAGACGATGTCTCTACCGTAACTTGCTGTTTTTGTCGCTTTATCGTTTCTACGTCCGCGTTCGCAGTTGTCTTCATAGTTGACTGTGGTTGTTGCGCTCTGGCCGCGGCAAAGGCGCTCAGCTGCGGTTGCAGATTTTTGCCAAAAGCATCCTTTGCCTTTCTTTTTGAGGACATGATTGTCGGGCTAGTTGAAGTTGGAGACGATGTTGAAGCAGATCTTGTCAATAATATGTAATCCTGTAGGAGTTTATGTCGCTGCCTTGAAAGTCCAGAAATTTTATGAAGCACCATACGCGCAGCCGTTCAGCGAGACAATGTTCAGGCGAACGCAGCCAATTTATCCATACAATTGCGTAGTGGCAATTTTCGTTCACGTTTCGTAATTATCCATTAGAAGAGACTTGGTGAAAGAGACGATGCTATTTCTCCCCTACAATGTTTGATCCAATGTCATTGAAGTGAATAAATTGACATTCACCGCCCGTGTCGTCCGCGCCATGAAATTCTGCCGAATTTGAACCCTACAAGCTTAAAATTTTGGCGAAGCTCTGAACTTTTTTAATCCCGAAATTCAGCAATCCAATGACGTTCGCCAAACGGTGACGACTCTGCGATATTATTGAAGCAACTTTACACAAACAGGAGTGGTCAACATGGCGAAAGCTACGGATGCGTCGAAGAAGAAGGCGGCTGCCTTGAGTCAAGAGCGCATAGTGGACTCGGACAGCGAGGGTGATTCACGGCCGACACAAACGGTCCAGAAATCAAAGAAGGATCCCAAAACAAGGCAGAACACACTTGCAGCCAGGCCGAAGGTCACCAAACCAAGCACGACATCTCAATCGGCAGCGATCAAACCTGTCAAGGACAAAGCACAATCAGCGCCTGCTGTCAAACCAACTGCCGTGGCGCAAAGACAAACTAAACAGGCGAGAGAGGACTCGGAAGAGTCAGAGAGTTCAGAAAGTGAGCAAGAATCGGACGAGGAAGAATCAGATGAGGATTCTTCAGCGGACGAATCACCAGCAACCAGTGCGATTGTGCCTGGCAAGGCCAATGGTGTGAAGCGCAAAGCGGCGGAGGAAATTTCATCAGAGGAGGAAGACTCAGACTCAGACGGGGAAGAGACAGCACCACAAGCTAAAAGAGCGAGGAGTAAAGAGGCTGAAGCAGCGATCGTGGTCGAATCGAGTGATTCGGAGGATGAAGAAGTAGAAGATGAAGAGATGCCGGACGTGTCTGTGACCGCGCAGCCAGCGAAGCCTGCTGTGCCAAGTGCGAAATCTACGAGACAAGCGATTCCAGCAAGACCGTATCATCCACCAGCCGGATACTCTTTGGTCGAGTCTGCTACGGTGTCCTCGGAAACCTCAACTCTGTTGTCCGGCAGCGCTTTGGAAGGCAAACAAATATGGCATATCATTGCACCCTCCAACGTTCCACTCTCAAACCTCAAATCTTTGTCCCTATCGGCCATCAACTCCACAACGCCAGTTCTTACGCACAACAACATCTCGTATATCCTCAGACCAAATCATGCGGCCACTTCAAATTCCAGCGTGCTAGTGCCCCACAACTCAACATACGAATTTGCGTCCGCAAAGGTCATGTCTACGTTGCAATTGCAAGCTCAGATTGACCTACCGAATCTCTCCAAGCGTCAAGCCGACCTGAACACTGGAAGCTCTGCGGCCGCGAACATCGCTCAGGCGCCTCTCAGTGCCATCCGGCCCCAACCCAAAGGACTTAGAATGAGATTTCGGCCGCCAGGCTTCGGATCGGGCAATCCCGGGCGCATCGGAGTCGATAATGCTGAAGGCGCCGGTAAGGATGACGACGAAGATATGGATGGAGGGGAGCGTGATGGTCAAGCGCTACAATTTCCACAGGCATTAGGCGCACATACTGGCCGTCTTCGCCCGGACACGTCAGGGACAAATGCTCCAGCACCAGCAAAATCGAAAAAGTCGAAAAAGAGGAGAGAAGGAGTCGAATCACTGCCTACAGCACCCGAAGTATCGAAGCAAGCAGACGACGACGCGGCGGCCAAAGCGGCAAGGAAAGAAGCCAGGAGGAAGAAGAAACAGGAAGGAAAAGCTTAATGAGAAATTCCCTAGGCTACAGTGCTTAAAAGCAGCTCTCGTCGCCATCTGTTACCAACAATAATGAAAAATGCCGTCGTACATTTTGTATAATCGGCCTGTAAATCTATACGCATCACGAAGTCTTCAATGTTGGTCTATCAATTCTACCCTTCAATCCGTCATCGTAGGTTGGGCGTTGTGTTGCCATTGAGGCGGCTCACCAAAGCCAGTTTTCACATGTGAAAAGCGCTAAATTACGTAAGATTTATGAGCATTTCAAGGTTACCTGAGTTTGGGACTTGGTCTTGAAAGACAAAACCATAATCTACCGACACGCGCCTGAACATTCAACGATGGCGGCCGTCGAAATGCAGGCGGTGCTCCGACACATCTTCAATGGTGATCAGCCCATGCTAGCTGCCACGGCCGACCGTCGCAGTGATCTGCGCGCCGCACTGTTCGCCCTCCAACAAGATATTTGCGCAGGAACGCATTACGCGCCTGTCGAGGTCGTGGCAGTGGTTAAAATCCGTGTTGCTGGTCGAGAGGTAATACCATTAGTGCCAACCAAGGAACATGTCTACACGGTGACTATCACGGACAGAGCTTTCGATATGGAAGAGTTCAAATCGAAGAAAATGACGAATCAACCCATTACTGAGACGATGACGGCCGCATTGACGAAAGAAATAGCCAATGGTATCAGCAAGAGCACGAAGCGAAAGGCTTCTGAAAGTGCAGACATTGATGACGAAGTCGTGGAAGTGGGTGCAACAAAGCGCACGCGCATTGAAGCGAACGGAAGCGTCGCGGCGGAGATTGCCAGCAAAGCGCCTGTGCCTGCGGAAAGAGGGACGCAGGCCCACGAAGAGACAATGACCTTTCTTCGCGACTGGCGACGCGAATGGCAATCGCAAGGCGGCTGGCTCTTCGATACTCTAAATGCGGCCAAGACCACGCATGCCTCTGCAGATGTTGCGCGATCGCATCAACTGTCCACAATGCAAACCGTGCTCAATTCAGCGCTCGAGCGGGATCGAGCAGCCGCACAACGCGAACGCGCGAGTACTCAGCAGACCTTGCTTTACATTGAGAAAGAGCGAACGGCTTTGGCGCAGAAGATGGAGACTCGCGAAAATGAATGGCGGTCAAGCAGTGCGACATTTCACGATCGTTCCAAGACGGAAAGGCAAGAGGTCGAGGCTAGGATCGAAGAGAAGCTGGCAAGGCAGGAGAGGCTCTTGGCCAGGATAGCGAAAGCGGGAGGAATCAGCATGGAAGGAGATGGCCCTGAGAACGACCAGGGATCACCAGCCGAGAGCGATGGGAGTTTGGGAGCACAGTTGGCAGCTGAGTTGGAAGCGGACGCGTCGCGTGCGGCAGAACCGTCAGCAACAGGAGCTTCAGCTGCGGAAGATTGAGCAGTAGCTCGAAGACAATGATCACATTTCTGGCTTGTTCGTTGAGCTTCTTGTTATGCTCTCAAAACAGCACCACTTGGGCTACCCAAAACTACCATCCACGACACCGGATCCAAACGTCTTCGATCCGGTCAGGGTCAGCCTTGTCCGAGTCCACAACCAAGTACCAGCCGAAATTTGCACCAGCAATACACGACTATCGCGCTCGAGCGTCAGCATATTATCGGACTTGCAGAGCTTGAGAGCTCTGCGCACAAGTTTGCGCGGCTTCTGAATACGACTTACATGATTCGGCCAGATCAGCAATTTCTCTCCCAATGCCAGCGGCCGCACGTTTTCCGAGCGGCCTTCCCATGTCAAGATTCCATGTTCTTGGCTGATCCGACCAACTATCCAACCCTCGCGTTGCTCTTCGGGAAGAGCTGGGTTGTAGATGTTCGCCGCATTTCCTTGTTCGGCAGCGGCTGATTTATGTTCCTTTCCTGCCCAGGGACTGACGACGCCCCATCCAGGATAGCTCTTGCACGGCTCTCGACCTAGGGCGAGCGAACCTGCAGCGATTAAAGCTTCTTGCTTCCCTGTGGTGGCACCACGATCATTATACACGCTTGCCACTTCCACCATCGTGCGAATACCTATGTTCGCAAAGGTCGCAAGGCTCTGTTTGGGATCTGATGGGGAAAACTCTGGTCGCGCACGCGTGGCAAGCTGTTGCATGTCGAGCGTTGTATAGACGCCTGCATGGAACTCGACTGCAAAGTCTTTATTCGTGCTGCTAATGAGATCGCGGTACGTTCTGGCAGCGCGGAGGTCGTCCGAATCTTCGCCGACGCTGTCCGCTGGAAGGTGGAGAAGGTTCTGTATTGAGGCTGTTGTGGGCGTGGCGCCCAGCGACAATGCGAGTCTACCGTGCTGACCTTTGACGCTTTCAATATCTCCGACCAGCTCGATGAACTTCACGGCACCATCTCGAAGCCCTTCCAGTTCCCGGCCCATCCATTCCAAAGCTTCGGCTGGGCTGCTAACACTATAACAGTTTCCCAAATGCACATAAATGCCGCCTAGCACGCACTTCCTGGATGCTCGTAGTGCATTCGCGATGGCTTTCAGCTGCGCAGAATCCGCCGTGACGCCTTCGCGGTGGTGACCGACATCGATGTGAACGTGTAAGGGTACCTTGCCGGGCCAAGACATACTGCTGCGTTCGGAATCGAGCGCGGTCTCGATGGCTCGGATTTGCTCTGCATGGTCGATGAAGACGCCGATAGAGTTTTCACCTAAGGCGGTAGCCAACGTGGCTAGACGTGCAATCCGAGAAGGAGCTACAGGAACGCCATAGAGAACCTGTGCAGTATCGGTAAGTTTGCGAACATTCTAATCAATGGCCGAGCCTCGCTTGCTCCTCTGGATGCAGATAATGGAGTATCTTACGTTGACCTCTCGTCCTTGAGATCGACATTCCTGCAGCCATGGTAACAGGTGTTCAATCTCCGTAACGGTCGATGCGATTAGTTTGATAGGCCGACTTGTATTGGCCTGATTGCCCTCGATCCGAATGTCGTCGCCCGCCTGTATACGCGACAGTTCGACTGTCTAGAGAAGCAATAATTATAGTCAGCTGATTTGACATCTACTTGCATTGTGAAGTGAACGTGGAATCCAGCGAAGTCATGCGACCATTGAAAGGTTCAAAGCCTTCTGTCGCTCGCGCGAGTCCCGTCGTCTACGTGAACCTCCCATGGGATCTCCCACCCAAACGATAACCACCAAACTTCTCGACTTCGAACATGTCTCGCTATGTGCCGATGCGCTCTCCGTCTATCTTCTCACATCACACTCTCGCGTCACATGAGAAATATCGCCAGCCATTCATACCTTGTGCGTCTTTACATGCGCTCGAAAGTCCACTCCCAGTGCGTCCGTTGCGTCAAGCATCAAGGCGCAGTTTCGGCGGACGATCGCCGCATCCAGGATCACGGCCGGTGCGGGGACTTCGCTGAGGGTCTTGCCTACGAACGTTTCCCGCAGGAGCGACGGAGATGCAGACGCTTGAAGGGACGGAGTAGCCATGGCTGTCCTGAGGCAAAAAATTGGTCGTCTGAGAGGTCTCGATAGGGGACGAGGATGAAGGTGAGGATGGAAAGAATGGGTCTCATGGACGGGCTGCTTATGACTGTTCACCATGCATTCATACTACATCTAGAACCTGCGCTGATTTGTTTCGGCGATCACATCGCATGACCTCCGAAGTTAGTATAGGGCGCAAGATGCCAAGTCAGAATTGTGGAGTCGTCTGTGGCCATTTTTTGATTAGTTTCGGGATCATTCTGTCCTTCATCCTCGGAGGAGTAGATGCTGACTCAATGGGAACTTGCGAGGTGACATACCTAAGAGTCTCAGTTTGAGCTTTGCGGCGACTTCACGACGAAGCAAGTCTCAGGTCTTAGACCACAGAGGAGCACCATCGTCAGAACGCGAGGAACGTCGTGGCGAGACTGAGATCGGCTGCTTTAGAAATGGAAACAACAATTATTACACAAGCGAGAAAATGCATGACGGCATTAGAATACTCTTGAATGGCACAATTTTGTTCCCAGTCAAGAATCCATCACATCACAATACGTAGGTACCTCATGGCTTGTCCAGCCTGACAGAGAATACCCTTCCATCGTCACCATCGCGGCCTCCATTTGCATCCACCCTCGCCTCATGCTGAACCAATTTTTCCACCCATCGCCCAACATCGTCCGGCGCCTCGAAAACCTTCCAAATATTCCTCTCCACGCCTTCAAACGCCTTCTCGAATCTCTCGTCTGAATTCTTCCACTCCGGATTCCTGCCTTCAGCAACCTCATCCTCCAATCCATCTCCATCCTCATCCACAACCGGTACCTTCCGGATGAAAACACCTTTGACCCACCCTGGCCATCTTTTGACCACTTCCGCATAAGCCTCAGGATCCGTCTGCGAGCTATCCCCAATGCATATAACTTTTCTATGCGGCCATCGGGAGTGTAGCTCGGCCATACGCGAGATCTTGTAATTCTGTATGCCTTGCGTCAACGAAGTCAGGAGACCGGCAAGGTTCTGCCAGCTGGCGTCGCGTAGCAGCAGCGTCCCCATGGGAAAGGAAAGGGAGGTCCGGAGGTGGTCGGGAGAAGCACGGCGATGGTGCTGTTGCTGTTGTGAGCGAGGAGAGGACAGGCGACGGCGATACATGTGAGGATAGAGGAAGCGATGTAGGAAAGGGTAAAGATTGTAGGGCGAAGCGCTGAGATAGAAGAAGGCCGGGTCGTGTAGGATATTTTGGAGGTGCGAATAGAGGGCAGGCATGCCACGGATAGGGAGCGGACTCGGAATCAGGAAAGTATGATATAGTATTCCAAAGGCGGAATTTGACAGCGTGAGTTTGATCGTATCATCAACGTCGCTGATGATCATCCAGCCGTGCTCCTCGGCGAGGGTGGTTGTGCTTGGAGGCAGATAGAGCGGCTGACATGAGTTTTGTACAGTGAAAGATCTTGTCCTTCGGCTGTCCATGAAGCGAGGAGGCAAATGTAAGTCAAGAATATTCGTACTGATCCCGGACTTATTCGAAGGGCCGAGTGATTGCTGCTGCAAACCTGGGAGAGCAATGCGCGAAGTGCGATTGATCAATATGGTATCTGCAAATGGCTCGAGACGGGCAGCGATCCGTTGTTGGGATGCGTAGTCACCTGCATTCACGTTGAGTTTGTGTGCGATATCTGCTACGATGCGAGATTGATCGCGGCCGCTGTGCTTGACAAAGTAACAGGCGATGAATTCCGTCTGCCATTCTTGCTCGTCATCGTGGACCCGTTCAGGATTTGTTGGGTGACCAGCGTGGCGAGGCGTAGGGAAAGCGGTGTTGTCCAATAGCCAGACGGCGTGCTTCGTCGGATCAACTGGTAACGATCGTCTCTGCCAAGGAAAGACCATCGGAAAGCGATCGAAAAGATTCGGCATCCGCTTGCTCAGATTTCTGGGAACATCAGCGGATTGAGGAGCGTTCTTCTTAATGCTTCTTCCATGAAGGAGCTCAATCGTAGTACGCCGTCCATGCTCAAGAGCATCTTTGAGAATACTGTTTGGCGACGAACAGATTTCATTGGACGACTTCATCGTGAATCCGAGAAGTCGAAAGGTGTCGTCGTCGAGTACGTTTCAGGCCGTTTCTTTCCCAGCTTCTTTTCGTCTGTTCTGGTTTGTAGTCTCATTCGGGAGCAGACCAAAGTTTTCAACACATTCAGGTGCGCAAATCGGAGTCTGGTCAGATCATGAACACCACAGAGCATTCGACCCACCTATATTAATGTCGCCTGCCGCCAAAGGCAGCAGATCTCTACTGACACCAGCCGCCATCAGTGCAGCGTGGATGACCACATCATATGCACCATCCAACAGCATCGCGTGCCCGCAGCTACGATGGCACAGGACAGAAGGGATTCAGTAACCATGTGTGAGGTACTCTTGCGAAGAGTGTAGAAAGACCTTCCATGAATCAGCAGAACACGCGAGCACTGTAGCCAAGTCGAAAGCGCGTCGGGGCACGCGGACAAAGTTAACGTGACGTCCCATCATCCCCACTCGGCCACAATGGAGTCACGCGGTCTGGCGTCTGAATCCCTCAGAAAGTCTGCATAGGGAACTTTTGTATTCGTATTTCTTGCGAGACTGGATAGCAGAATTCAGGTATAAGATAAACGTCTCATTAAGTGCGTCGCAACCACTTCCAGGGTTCGCGAAATAGACGCCCGTCACCTTTACAATGTTTACTCTTGGCCTCAGGTCCCAACGGCAAGAAGCGTCACTTGAAGAATAAATGCTCCGACATGAGATCCTCCGATTCGACGATGTGGAGAAAGCATTTCGAACAACGAAACAAAATGGGGTTGATTCGTCTAAATTTCATTTCAGGCACAGCGTTATTCATCTCTTCGTCGATTCAATCCAATGAACAGCAGTGGCCCATTCCTCCACCTCGAGAGCCTGTCCTTGAATCCGATGCATCGCTTGCCAACGAGACTGTACGATCACCTCCGCGGCAATCCTCGTCCTCGTCCCGCTCCTCCCATTCCACGCACCGCCCTTTGCGCAGCACCTGGAGGTAGACCCCTTGTAGGCGCTTGAGGCTGTTGACTCGACTGGTTGGTGATCGTCTCGTCGACGCTGAGAATCAAACAACAAGCCTCGACAGCAGCCTGAATTGCGTTGATTTTGACAAGCGCAGGCTCCCATACGAATGCAGCCAAATTGTCGCGGATGCCTTCGTTGTCGAAGTCAACACCGGCCCAAACCACTGGGCTTTGATGTGACGGCTGTTGCGATTGTTGCTGGGATGCTTGTTGTCGTCCAGCACGACGGTGCTCGACGCGGAGACGGTTCAAAATGTCCGTGGCGTCGAAACCCGCGTTATCGCAGAGCTGGCGAGGAATAACTTCAAGCGCTTTAGCGAAAGCTTTGATGATGGCTTGCTGCTTGTGTGGCACTTTCTCGTCCGCAAAAGAGTGTAAGTGGGCGGAAAGCGCCATCTCGCAAGCACCTCCTCCAGCAACAATGCTGGTGTTGGTAATGGCGCGCTTGACAATCATCAGTGCATCGTGTAGACTGCGCTCCACCTCTGCGATGAATTGCTCTGCGCCTCCTCGGAGGATCAAGGTACAGGTCTTGGCCTTCGGGCACCCTGAAAAGAGGTTGAAGCGCTCGCCACCAATCTGTCGCTCCTCGAAGCGTGCGCATGTGCCGAGATGTTGCTCTTGGAGATCCGTACAAGTGGACTGTGTGCTGGCACCAGTCGCCTGGCATACGCGTTCGAGATCGTCCGAAGCGACGCGACCAGCGCAGAAAATATCGCGGTCGGCGAAGAATTGCGTGGCGAGGTCACCAATTGGTAGTTTGGAGAGAACAACCTTTGCGCCGGTCTGGTATAGAGCCTCCATTTTATCGTAGATGATCTGCCATTCAGCATCCACAATGGCCTGATATTCCGAGACCTGCTCGACGCGCACTTCAGCATTGTCCTTTTCGCTCTTCAATTCCAGCTCGACGTTCAGGCACACAATCTTGGGATCCGTGAATTGTTTGGGCTGCTGTTCGAAACCAGCGTATGCGAAAGTCTTCTTGAACGCAACGCCGTTGATGAAAAGCGATTCCTCGAGAGATCCACCAGTAATCTTCTTGATACCAATGAGTCGTTCGTTGAGATCTGACTGATCCAGGGAAAGAATTGCGTCAACGACCACTAGTACAAGATATCAGTATATGTTTGTGTCCTCCGAGAATACCACCCAATCCGAACGACTTACTCTTGGTGAAGAAATCGGAATTGCGGTGAATCAGCTTGCTGCTCATCGCCGTCGCCGCAAGTTTCCTCAACGTCTCCCGTTGGTTGGTCGTATTTGTCTCCACAGCGATCTCACGAATCTTCGCCACAGCCATTGCGCTCGCCCGTCGAAGCCCCTTGATGATGACCTGACTGCTCACTCCCTGCTCAACCGACTCTTTGATTTCCTTGAGGATTTCACCAGCTAGAACGACGACGGAGGTAGTCCCGTCTCCCACTTCAGCGTCTTGTGATCGAGAGATATCTGCAAGGATGCGAGCAGCCGGGTGAACAATGTCCAGCAATTTCATCACCGTCGCACCATCGTTGGTAATCGTCTGCTTGCCATTCTCGTCTACGAGAAGCAGGTCACCGCCGTAAGGTCCTAATGTGCTTTTGATGGTGTTTTGTACCGCTAAACATGCGTTGATGTTGGAGACGATTTGCCCACGACCCTGCGATTGATCGGTTCCTAAACACGGGTCGCCGGATCAGCACATATTCTGTCGCCTTCGAAAATTCGACGAGCCTTCCACTCACCCTCTTTGAGAACGATAATCGTCGGGGTTTGTCCGCCGAAGGACATGTTTGCGAAAGCGAAAGTTCTTCCCTAGATCTCTTGGGGTCTTTGATTTTGCTAGTAGACCAAAAGACTCCAGAATGCAGCAAAAAGATCGTTGACAGGTCGTGCAAATGTCGAGTTAGAGTGGCCTTGAGTCTCGTGCTCAAAACTTTTTGTTAGACGCGATACACCAGGGCAATATCTCCAAGCAGCTTTCCGGCAGACCTGCTGCTTCCGACGAAACATTCAAAGTTTCGTGGAGGGGTCTTCCATGTCATCGTCGGTGGGTGCCTCAGGGTCAAAATTACAAGCAAGGCAGGCTACGGGCGTCGGCGTCGTTCCTGCCAATTCTTGCTTCTCTCTACAAAACATCCTATACCACCTGGGCACTTGCATAAATCACAAAATAACCAGCTCCCCACAAATCCACCACCCGAGCAGCGATCTACTCAGTGAACACATTCGGGCAAAATTTATTCACATCGAGTCCACCCAGAATGCGAAAAAGAATGGTGAGCTTGAACTCTCCCCTCCAGGGATCGAACCAGGGACCTTGAGATGATCTTGTTTCCATTACAGTCTCACGCTCTACCAACTGAGCTAAGGAGAGTGAAGGTTCTTAGAACCTCTTAGCGTTTCTTGGTGAAGAGCGAACTTCCCAATGCGTATATATCAGTAGTTTACTCCCAATTTGCTATCAATCGTTCTTCACCTGCGTTCACTGGCGCACCTGAGCAAAATTGCAAAACATACCTAGGTACTGACAACGAATATACCTGTGCTGTATTTCCATCCGCCATCAACATTATCGTCTGAGAAATAAATGTCTCGCGCCATTCATACCATAAGTCCGTAGTGGTGCTGTGTGCTTGCGAGTACTTAAAAATACTGACTGTACTGCTTCTCTCACAAGTCACGGCGACAATGTTGTCTGAGACCCAGGAGTTTCAAGGCTCAAGTCAGTGAAGATTGATCGAGTAACAATATGAAAAAATGTGGAAATTAACGATTGTTTCAGTTTGTAATGCTAGCTGTCTTATACAATACACAACTGTTCAGATTGGGGGGGAATCATTGAGAAATTCGTGAAAGAGGGGAAGCGCATAGTCCAGCCAACCAACCCGGCCGTGATCACTGTGCTCTATCGCATCGACATAAAAAGAAACGAGAGCCATGCCGTTGTGTACCAGCAGCATTAAAAAAATTGTTTCGTCCCAGCTCTTAAGCGATGACCCACATAAGGACCATTCGAGCTAAGCATCTTGTCCCGTACCCATGTTTAGACGGTCTGAGGAGCCTTCTCATGCTCTTCCTCAGAGCCAGAGCCACTACGGGCAATGGGTCGGCCAGCGAGGACAGGGTCGTACTGGGGAGTACCAGGGACCTCACCTGCAAGTTGCTCGAGGGTGAGACGCTTGGTCTCGGGAACGAGGAGAGTGGTGAAGATACCCAGCAACATGAAGAGGGCGAAGATCTCGAGGACGTGGTTGAGCCATGGCTGAGCAGCCGAGCCAGTGGCGTTAGGAGCAGCACCAGTGACACGGAGAGGGGCAATAGCAGCCTGGGCGATGATGGAACCGACCTTGCCGGCGGCGGCAGAGATACCGTGGGAGGTGGAACGGTAACGAGTCGGGAAGCACTCGCCGGGGGTGATGAAAGTGGTGGTGTTGGGGCCGAAGTTGAAGAAGAAGTTGGCCAGGACGTAGCACGCGAAGATACCGTTGTTGCCAATAGCGTTGAAGCCGAAACCCATGATGCAGAAGATGATGGTCAGGAGGATGAAACCCATCAATTGAATGGGTCGGCGACCGAGGGTGTCGACGGTCGCGACGGTAACCCAGTAACCAGGAATGGCACCAGCGCAGACGAGAATCAAGTTACCGGCAGCGAGACGGTAGAAGAACTCGTACACGTTGGCCGCATCGCCGGAACCATAACCGATGGCAGTGAGGATTGTGGTGGCGTTCAAACCGATGCCGTAGAAGGCAACGTCAAGCAAAAACCATGAACCTGCAGTACCGAGAAGGACCTTGCCGTACCTCCACTGACCGTAGTGGCGGAAGAAGTCCTTGAAGGAGGCCTGAGGGATCTCCATCTTGGGAGCAGACTCGCGCATAGCCTGGACACGGGTGACCTCATCGGGGATACCCTCAGCAGTACCGCTGAGGTAGGCCTTGACGTCGGAACCAGCCTTGACGACATCGCGAGACACATCGAAGGTGTAACGGGGGGTCTCGGGAATGGTCAAACGGTAGTAGAGGGCAATGCAGCCGGGAACGGCACCGAATCCGACGACCACACGCCACATCTTGTCAACGGCGGAGGCACAGCCGCCAGTGCAGTTGGCGATGTTGTTGGTGCCAATAAGGGAGTCCTTGAAGCCGGCAGCGACAATGATGGCGACGACACCGGCACCGAATTGACCGAAACCTTGCATGGCGAAGACAGCACCCATCATGGCTCCACGCCACTTGGTGGTAGCGAACTCAGAGGTAATGATCGAAGAGAGAGGGTAGTCACCACCGATACCAATACCCATGAGAACACGCCAGAAGATGAGAGTACCAGTGATTCCGAGACCGGGTCCAGAGGCAGTGAGAGCCTGAGCGACAGTTGCGAAGATGATGAGGATCAACTCAAGACCGTACATCTTCTTACGACCAACAATATCCGCGAGAGCACCAAAACCAAGCTGACCGATGACAGTACCAGCAGAGGTTGCGACCTTGATGGCAGTGTCGGCGTTGGTGTCAATCTTGCCCTTGTTTGAGTTCCAGTAGACGACACCCAACATGGTGGTCACCATGGAAATGGCGAAAATATCGTAGGAATCAGTGAAGAAACCAATACCGGCGACGAGAATGGCGCGGACGTGGTACCATCCAAAGGGAGCCTTGTCAATCTCGGCGAGAGCGAGACGACGACGCTCGTTGGGGTCGACGACGTGAGCATAGTCGTTGTGGAAGTTGTGGAAGGCAGAGTTGCCTCCCGCAGTTCTGGTTGCCATCGTGTAGGACTATGACGATGCGGTACGGTAGTTGGGTTGTTGCAAGATGGCGCACTGTACCTGTGGCCAAGAGGGAGAGTGAGAGGTCTGAAGAGTTGAAATGTCCATCTGGCGAGCGAAGCTTTTAATGAGAAATGTGCCAAGTGGGATGGCATTCACACTCGAGGCCGCATCGTAGGATTACCGCGATGCAGGGCCAGAGGGCGTGGGTTTTGCTTCTTCTTGTTGATTAGCCTGTTCTAGCTGGGCGTCTAGCGTGGGCCGCTCAGACCGCACAGCCCTCCCTCCTTCGATCCTATTTAGGTCTTGAGCCGGCCGAGTCGACAGGGAGGACATTCAACGAATCAGGCGTGAACTTGCTAACAGGTGCCCGTGTATGGACTCCATGATTGTGTCCTGTTGGGCCTGTTCCCGCGATAGTGCCTCGTTGTCATCCTTCAACTACTCGAGCGTCCCATAGTGGATCAAGAGCTTACACCTCTATTGGCACGTAGCCTAAATGTCAGTAAATGATCGCAATAGCTCTGAACAATCATGGCTGTGCGCATCATGCGTGTAACTGCGTAACGATTACCATCTTCGCAAAGTGAAGATTGTATCAACGAGCAGCATGCGAGCGCGCAATAGATTCCCATGCTGCCAAGCTCGTCGGCCCGGGCATCACTCCCCGTATGGCGTCCATGGCGAAGCTTACCCTTCGCCTCTCGCACAATATTCATTACGGCACAGCAAACGGTTCGCATAGTCTTAGCTATTACGCCTCCGACGTGATGGCGCAAATGGCTTCTCCTCGGGTTCAGCTAGGCTCCACGACATGCAGTATGTATTTGCAATTGCACGTTCAGAATCTGTTTGATCCGCGCAAATCCCGCCGAGTAAGATCCGCTTACCATGTCATTGACCACGCCTCGAATTACAAAAATTTATCTGGAGCTCGCCACGCGACACGCGCTGGACAGACGGCGGCGTGGACACACGAGGCCACCGTTGAACTCGAATCTGCAAGCTAACCAAACTATAGTGGCTGGCGGGGATGTTTTGTTGGCGGCCAACTGTGTTCGGTCGGGAGATTTGCTGCCAATTCCCTGACGCACTGACAGATGAGGTCAAATTCGGCCAATCAAGCTGTGTTTCAAGCCCACGTGCAAGTAGATCAAGTCTCAGATGCGCGGCTTCGCCGACAAGGCCCGTGCTTCATCCATGACTGTCAGCGCGCGTTCACGAGCATCCCACGAAAGCTTGGTAGGCTTGGCTCCGCCTTCGAACCTTTTGATTGATGCAATGATGACCATCATGTCCGATCGAAGCCTCATACCAAACGATCGGGCACGCGAGCATCATTTGTGGACGCACTGTAGCGAACATTCGTCGATCCAGTGGGTCGCGCTGTTGGCTAGACTCGAGAGTTGCAGCGAGGTCGCAAGATCAACCGCGGTCCATCCGTATCAAGCTACAACGCAAAGGCAATCCGGGACGGAAGGCGGCAAGCTTGCTGTAGACTGGGCGAGATTCACGACTGCTTAGACGCAGACCTTGTGAGAGAAAGTCAAGAAACGAGCGAGATTTGATCATGTGGAGTAGCAGCAGTTGGCGAGATCGGGACGCTCAATAGCTCCTCACCGAGAAGCGTATATGTCGCTCATTCCCTTAGAGGCAACTGCATGGACTGATGACGCATCGTACAATGCGGCATCACGATGTGCATCTGGCTACGAGTCGATGTATAGTCATCGGTGCTCACCGGGACGAATATTGTCCACCCCCAATGTAGCTCGTCGAACGCCACTTGAGCAATCCCAGCCCACGTGCTTTAACGATTCGCGAAAAGCTTCACTCGACCCGACTACAGCATAAGCAATGCTTTCGCGGCAAAAGGAAATTGTGAATCTCGGTTACCTCGCGCGTGACTGTTGCCTTACTTGACGATACTGGGAAAGGGACTCACTTTTACAGACCCACATCGCTGAATCGAAGTGCGAACTCCCAAAGGCTCAAGGTGACGACGAGATTATCTTCTCGTTCAGCAGATTTCATACGGTTAAAAGCAGGGAGAGATCTCTGCCATGCTGAAGCACGTCTCACGTCCATCTGTTCAATAGCCTGCCGGCAGATTCTACTTCTGCACAATCTGCTTGTATGCCCATGGGTCGAGACTTCAGATCAAACGATACAGTATGCATCGGTCAAAGATAATTCGATGCCGAGAGTGCTGATCTTAACCATCATGTTAATGCGTCTCCTCTTAAAGAGTGGATGTCTGAGCAGTGGTGCATTCGCTATGCAGCTCCTACCTTGGTCCACCTGATCGGCGATCATCCCTTTGGCTCCACTCGTTGTTGTAGATGATATCTCGTTGCTTCTGCCAGGTGTGCCCCCATTTTGACCTCCCCCATTGATTGGTGGCGTCTGGTAATTGCGAAGTGCCCTAATGTGATGCGATCGACCTTCCGTGGTTGGGATTGATATGCAAGAACGTTGTGATATGCTCGCTTATGCTTACCCTGCTTTCGTAACTTGCGCGTCTTCAATCGTTGGGAGTGCTCCAAGCGCATTAGCAGCCTCCTCAGTGCGAAGCTGATTGGGATTTCGACTCAACACATTACAGCTCGCAGGTGGCATTGCTGATGGGGTAAAGCTCAGTACAAAAATGGAAACGAACTTTGCTATCGCCAATGAGAGGTCTCCGATCGTACAGCCGACGTCATCTGCACCAGTGAATGGGATTGAGGGTCGGTCTCTCTGTTTGGTCCCTCGTCTTTGGATCGTGGAGGAAGGAGTTCGCCAAGAGATGCGACTCTCAACCATGTCGCTTATGTTTACCATGCTATCTAAGCTTTGGCGCGCGAGATCCCCCGCCTTGGGACGATTCTTATAGGTATGCATGCATGCATGGATAGCTTACCCATTGGGCATTCGGATTCAAGCAGATGAGAGATGCTTGTTGACCTGAGTGCTCTCACTGATATGTCATGATGCATCGAAAATGTAGCACTTTGTGGATATTGCGATCCGCGATCCGAAGATCGTACCATTCGTGACAATTCGACGTCGGCTCTTTTGCCTCCGCGAAGATCTTCGTCCTGATCAACATATTGACGATTCAAGTGTGACTACACAACCCCTCCATCGGGTACGATCTACCAGAGATGAATGGGTAACGTGCCGAGAGTACTTCGTCTCTGCCGCCGTCCACGTCATGACGACGATCTTGAATGGTCTGTACATGTGTGTACCCTGGTAAACCTCCAGCGAGATCTACATTATCAGCGTCGCACTCTGGTTTATCAAACAAACATTGACCCTCCGCCGGGAAAATCAGGTCTGACGTTGATCACTCGTCATCGCAGTGCTGTGATCCAGCGGTCAGGTAGTTAACACGCATCGCAATTGATGAAACGGAAGAGTGAAGACGCTGGAAGAGTAGGTAGCGTTCAGATGCTTGTCAAGCAAGCTTCAACGATAGCACAGGGTTTACAGCTATGCTAGTAATATTCATGCTGGTGGGTCACCAAGCAATAAGACCGTAGGATCAAAAAACAACTCCAACCCAATGCCCCAACTACCAATAATGCTACACGCAAGCTTTTCCAATTATGATTTGAAAGTCTTGCTCTTGCCAGCCTTCTCCTTCTGAGCTCTGGGTAATCCCTTCGGCGCATCCAAAGCTTTCGCGTAAGGATTCAATTGTTTCTCTTTCTTCTTGCGCTCTTTTGCGCTGGCAAAACTCTCGCGTGGAGGATTCAATATGCTAGGAGCCGAAGCATAGTCGAACGGTTCATCCGCGGTGTCATGTTCGGCAACATCACCAATTTCGGCATCAATGATATCGTCTTGGGCTGCCTCCCTCTGTGACCGTTTCGCTTTCTTGCGCTCTGCTCTCTCTTGAGCCCGTCTCGCTTTGGAATTCAGGCCGCTATTATCTTGAATAGATATTTCGTTTGATTGTGCCGCCATGCTGTCTGACCTGTCGACGAGCTTCCGCTTCTTACTCAGATCCTTCAAGACGAAGACGTCGTCATCGACCGACGCTTCGGGTTGCCTTGGAGCAGCAGCTTCGGTGATTTCGCCATTTGGTTGAACCGACTGAGTAGCGTGATGTTCCTCAGGGTCGGCAAAGATTTCGGCAGTCAATGGCGGAAGGGGAACAGCGAGTGACACTCTGTTTGCAGTGGCAATACCTCTTTTCTGTTGGAAGATACTACCATCCCATACAGAGCCCCAGAATGATGATGAAGCACTGCGCAATGGCAGCGCGGGGTGTGTAGAGGACGGAACCGTAACAGGAGGCGGTTTAGACACCAGAGACGGCTTAGGCTTGTCGTAGCTAAGTCCTGATCTTCTGCTTGCACGCGGTTCGATCTGACTCAATACTGCCGACATTTCAGGCCCGTTTTCGCCACTCAACTTTGCTTGAGCAATGATACTTAGCAATTCGCCTGCCCGTTCACGGACCGTTCTTGTCCGGTTGTGTAGCAATGAGATCAGCTCTTCTCGCGACGATGGCGGCGATTTCGCGATGGAGATTATATTGTGATTAGGCATCACGTAATTTGCGCTGTCGTCCTGTTCCCGGGCAACATCGTCGCGCCACTTGTGAACTGCGCGGAGCACGGCGAATTGTTGTGATGTAAGATCCATTGGATTTCGGTGGAGGAGTTTGTACCACCCCATCGCTCCTTGTCCGAGGTCTGAGTCGTAGATTGGATGTTCGTATCTCTGCAAACTTGTCTCGGAGCTCTTCGTTAAGACGTCCCATACTTTGTCCTTCTCATGATCCGGCACCGCAAAGTCAGATCTCTCGATAAGCTCGTTGCGCATACGGTCGAAGATGTAGAGCAAGAAATGTGTGTCGCTTCGGGCATAATCAAGTAGTTCTTGCGGTAAAGGCCGCACTCGCCAGTCCGCAAGTTGGTACTGCTTCTGAGCATCGAAATTTATGAATTTCTTCAACAAGAAGGCCAGACTGCCTCCGGTGTATCCGAGAGCCTTTGCAGCATAGTGAGTGTCGAACAAGCCGACAAGATATAGTCCCAAGTCACGTTGGAGCCACATCACATCCATGTATGCGCCATGGAGAACTTTGACAATGTTCGGATCGGTGAATACCTCGTTGAGACATTCAAGTTTCCGTCTCCACGGCTTTAGTGTGTCCACAATCCAATCTTGATTCCGCGTGCTGATTTGCATGAGCGACACCACCCCTATGTAGGAGCGGCTATCATGATGCTCTAGATCGACAGCAATTTCGCTCGCCTTCTTCAGCTCTTGCAGCATTTCTAACATCGCTACTTCGGTATCGACATAGATGGCGCTCGTCTCCTCGAATGGTTTATACATGATCGGTTCGTTCTGCATATAGACTGAAGAAGGGTAGGTGTAGTTTTCGATCTCGGTTTGATACGGGTGTGGGAAATGCGGCTTCGGCTCATCAGCTGTAGAGACGGGCGTCTCGGCCAAAGGCTCTCGTGCATGCGGCTTGGATTTGAGAAGTGGTTTGAATGGTGCGGTCTCGTAATTGGTGGGCGCATGTTCGAAGAGCAGCTGTGGTTTTGCGATCTCTGCACTTCTCGATCCGGCGATTTGATTCGAAGATCTCTGCAATTTATCGGTCGTCTGAATAATGTATCAGCAGCAAGTCATGCCGCCATTCTCATGTTCACTCACCTGATTGATACCAGGACTTAACCTCTTGACTGCGCCAGTAAATTCATCCAACGCTGTATCTGCTCGCTCCAACAGACTATCGACAACATCAACCACGGCCCTCCAGTTGTCCTCAACATTTTCGAGGTCCTTTAGGCGTTGAGGACGTACTATCTCCGTATTCGCTGTCGCAGCCCCCAGAAGGCGGTTCGCAAGTTCCAGAAGCCGCGCATTTTGCTTGTCGAGCTCGGTTCCCAGGGCAGGGTCGAGAGATCGGTGGAATGCAAGGTCCTCGCTTGCTACTGCTCCGGCGCTGCGAGTCGTTGAAATTAAAGCTGCAGAAATGGTACTTTGTATGGTGGATGGCTGCTCCATCATGGGCATTCCACACTCTCGGTGGAGCAGTAGCTTGAATGCGACTCGGCGCAACAGGAAGATTGGTGGACAAGTCGTCGCTATCCCGTCGATTCTGGTCTTGCGAATTGTGCTCGGAATTCTTGAAGATGCATTGAAATTTTGGGGGAAGCACGAGCCATGTTCATTATGAAGAGACGCGATGCGACGGCAAAAATTCCGCCGCTCCGACTCCCGCGACTACTGCAGAGACACATCACGTCGTGCATGTACATTTGTAGCAGTTGCGGCGGAGATTGTTCACAGGTACGGCGGGAACCAAGTTGTGTGTATATTCACGCCCATATTTCCAAGCTGAAACCCATTATCGTTCGAGAACACGGACTCACATGCTCTGCGACCGGAACAAGCAGTTTCTGCGCAATGAGTGATGCTCGCTGCGATAGCGATGCCGCGCATGAACGGCCGAGGTGACGAGAGTATCCTTTCGGTCTTCCCGCCGCGAGCACATACAGTTCCAACGCCAGATGGGACGCCTACGATCGGGTCATTGTCATCGCCAGCCAGGCCTTTCGGCGGCTTCGCGGCTGTTGACGAACAGCAGCCCGTAGATGGTGTTGTCAAATTCACTCGCGCCTGGAGCGTCGTGACGCGTCATTTGAGTCCGCCGGCAGGATTACATAGGACCGCCAAATTCCGTAGTCCTTCAAATGAGATCAAGTCGGCGTTCCATTACCTTGTAAGCGACGACTCGTCGAGGTCCGATCTGACAACATGGTATCGATCCGAGATCAATACTCATTTCCAAAGAGATGTGGCTCAAGAGTTGCGCGCCTGGAAAGAGCCGATCCTCCTCGGCGACATTCACAACGTTCTACTTAACACAGTGATGGTGCTGGAGAAGGCTCAAGCAATCTATCTGAGAGTCAACGATCCTCTGCTTGAAAGCCAAGATCTCTTCCACGATGATTTTCTTCAAAGCCTCAAGCGCGCCGTTCACGCGCTCTTTCTACATTACCTTCCATATACGAGGCTGGAAATTGCTCTAGCGTATCTCACGTTGGACACTTTGAAGTCGAGTCTTCATTCAGAGAACGATCCGGAATTCTGTCTTCAATCTGGCTGGTGCCACTGTACAGTGGCTTTGGACATTGAATTGCTGAAACGAGTTCAGCAGGTTGGCTTGGGCGGTGACCTAGCAGAGCGGGCACTTGCTCTAGCGGTGCATGACTTTTTGGCAGGCCCTGCAATTCAGAGGCGATGTTTCGCTGTAGAATGGATCGCTAGGGGCACTGTTGCTGGTCGGCTCAAGGGTTGGATCCGAGAGTGCTTCTTCCCAATCATTGCAGAAGCTATGTCTGTACTGGATGGTGAACTTTCCCACTCAATAGCCGACAAGCTCGACATCGAGCAAATGATAACGATGGCCATGACATGCCTCGGCCGAAGTCGTGTCGCAGCAATATATGATTACGTCAGGACGTGGCCTGACAGTCAAGGTGCACTTCTCGACATTAAAGAATATCTCAGCGAAGGCAGCATCGCTGTCAAAGCACACTTATGCTCAAGCTTCTCCGAGCAGGTTCGAAGGCGTTTGCTTCATGCTGGAGCCAGTACGACGGAGATTCTCGGAGTCTACATCAGCGTCATCTCATCGTTGAAGCTCTTGGACCCTCGTGGTGTCCTTCTAGAGAAGGTCGCCTTTCCGATCAGGGCGTATCTGCGAAGCCGAGATGATACTGCGAACATCATCGCGCGAAGCTTCCTGGCCAGAATCGATAGCTCAGGTCAAATCGTGGCTGATCAGCATGACGATCAAGCGATATGTATCGACATCACCAGAGAAATGGCAAGTTGTGCACTTGACGCTCAAGAGACAGGGACGTTGAACTGGGCGGATATGGATTGGACGCCGGATCCTATTGACGCTGGACCTGAATTCAAGTCTTCGAAAACGGACGATGTCGTGGCACATATTTTTGGCCTCTTCGATCACGACGATCTCATCAAATCAGTCACGATAGCGTTCGGAAACCATCTCAGAGGGACTGTAGACCCGGAACTCATCATGGAGACGAAACTGATCGAATTGCTCAAATCTCGACTGGATGTTTCCAAACTTCAGGCCATCGAAGTCATGCTCAAGGATGTTCGAGAGTCGATCGTCCTCAACCGACGCGCCAACCCTCAACAACACCGCACCAACTTCTTGGCCGAGCCTGACGCAAAGGAGATCGCAGCAGCCCTCCCTGCGGACGGTATCACCCTTCACGAGCTATACGGCCGGTTCAAATCACGCATGTCCCTTCCGAAATTCACCGCAGTGGTGAAGCTCACCGCGCACAAACGTGGAGATCTCTACTATTCCAAACGCAACCGACTCCCCCTCTCCGAAGAGGAACCCCAATCGTCCTCCCACGCACACGAGGAAATCCAATTCGACGCCAAAGTCGTCTCGGGATATTTCTGGCCGCAAGAACTAGAGAAGAGCCAAGCGAACTGGAGCCTGCCCGGCATCCAAGCGCGCAAGGAAACCTACGCGGAGGTCTTCGCCAACAGCGGCGGCCAGCAGAAGCTCGAATGGGCCGCCGAGCACGACACCATGGACCTCGAATTGGAGCTCGAGGACCGCACCGTCCACCTCCGAGGCGTGCTCGCCTGGCGCTGGGCCGTCCTCGACGCCTTCAACGACCAGGGCCCCGAGGACGCCGACGCGTCCAAGAGCAGCGCAGGCTTCAGCGCGGCGGAGATCGCCGAGCGAACCGCGATGCCCGAGGACATGATTTTCAGCGCCATCGCGTTTTGGGTGAGCAAAGACATCCTGTACCAGCGCCGGCCCGGGCACTACGCGATCCTCGAACGCCGGGACCTCGACGTCGAGCAGCAGCAAAGGCAGCAGCAGCGACATCCCCGGGACGACGACGGCGACGGCGACGGCGACGGGATCCCCGCGGCGGGAGACGACCCCATGCTGGAGGAATCCCTGCTGCAGATCAACCTCGACGATGCCGCGTTCCGGAGGGCCGCGCCGATGATCGAGGTGTTCATCCAGAACATGCTGAAGGCCGGGGGCGGACGGAGCGTGGCGGGCCCGACGGGGATCACGATGATGTTGACGATGATGATGCCCGGGTTTTCGTACGGCGATGACGAGGTCATGAGGGTGTTGGAGGGGATGAGGGCGGGCGGGGCGGCGACGGTGGAGGGGGAGCTGTGGAGGATCGTGTGAGGAGGAGGAGAAGTCCCCGACGACAATCGGTCTGGTCTGGATGACGTCGGGACTCAATGCCATCCATCATCGTACCGGGAGGGAGAGAACGTGGAGATGGCGAATCGAAGAGTTGATGTGGAAATTTCAAAGTTTCATTCGATGCACGGGTGAGCTCTTTTCAACATCTTCTTTTCTTTTTTCCGAAGAAAGCCCTCGCCGTTGCTTATAGTACAGGGTATCGTTACATGTATATCTTTGTTGCGAAGATAGAAGAACCGCACATGAGTGTCCTCCCGAAAGAAAAGAAAAGCCCCGCCAATGAATCGCCAATCCCGTCCCAAGTGCAGAAAGAAACACTCCACTCGTTTGCGCCATGCACCTTGATTTAGGCTCTAGCGAACATAGAAGTGCGTTGAAAGAAAAACAGTTCGGTCATGCTGGCTGGATCAGAGAGACTTCTCGTCCCGGACCTCCGCCTGCTGTCGGGCCATCCTCTTTCCGATCTCGTAGCTGGAAATCATGATGGCGCAAGCAGGAGCGACACGCAAGACGCGTGCGGTCCATCCTTTGAATAGACCCGCTGTGCCTTCGGTGCAGTAGATGTGCCACAAGAAGCGGGGCATCGCCTGGCCTTCAGGCAGAGCTCGCAATTGCGCGGCGGTCAGACCTTTGCTTTGGACCGTCTGTCGTCGGGTCTTGCCGACGTCGAACGGCGTCGTGACCAGAGCGGATATCGCACCGGAAGCTGCGCCCGCGATGAAGGAGTCGGTGAGCAGGGCGGAGTGTGAGAGGGCTTCGCCAGGCCGGAGCGGGGACGATCGAGCACGGCTCTCGTTCAGGCGTTGACGACCAAACTCATAGCCCCACCAATATAACGCAGAGAAGGGAACGTCGCGCCACAAGGTCAGAGAGAGTCCTCGCCAGAGAGACGTGTAGCCCTGCTCAGCGACCATATCCTTTAAGCCCTGAACCGTAGATCGGAGGATACCACCATTGCCCTTGCCAGTCGAGCTGGAAGCCTGCATGCGGGTGCGAAGCATATCAAGAGGTCCGACTGCGCCTGCGGAAAAGACGCGCGCGATGGATCCTGCCAGTAGAGGGGCGGTGTTTTCGTTGGACAAGGCAGAGATCGGACTGTTGGCACTGTCACGTAGCCAGTCGTATCCTGCGAAGTAGATGACGTTCGATGGAACCGCCATCAGGAGCGTCGGGCTGAGGCCTCGCCATAACGTCGAGAGACCCTCGTTGCGGGCGATTTTCCGTAATCCATCGAGTGTGGAATTATATGTCCGGCGTTGGGTCTGTTCTGCCGCACAGTCAGAGATGATGGCCTCATCAAAGACGGCGGTGGCGTGCGAGGCGGCCGAGGAGCTTCCGGGAGCGGCCACACAGAACTGCGATTGGTTTTGCACCCAGAAGACCTCTCGGCAGCACGAGCTCACCCCGAGACTCGGTGGTAATTGAAGGAAGGATGGTAGACGGGCGGTAGTGGAAGACGGACTTGGCTGCGTTTGTAGACGGACTCGGACTACGTCCAGAGGAGTGATGATGAGAGAAGTGACGAGGCTGCCGCTGACGGCGCACATCATCTTCGCCATCATAGAAATCTCTGTTGAGGCACTGGCATTGTCCGAAGCAGGCGTTGGTTTGCGAAACCGTATCGCGTCGTCGCCAGTCCGACTGACGTTCCTGTCGTGCCGTTGGCCAGGAGTGTGAGATGCTGAAGTTGTCGTATCTGAGGACGACATGGTGATGCCGTAGGTTATGTGATGGCTCGGGCCTGGATCCCACCTCCGCGGTCTTCCTCCAGATGATGGGAGTTGTGTGCCTTAGTTCATGCTAAGTTCCGATCTCTTCCTCCACACTCTTTTTCTCACAGATCGGCTAGCTGGTTGGAGTATCGTGGTGGATGAAGTGATGCGTGGGTGTGGCGAAAAGGATGATGATGAGGTGATGATGAGTACAATTTCGGACGGGGAAAGTCGATAAGAAGATGGGCCCTGAAATTGCCGGAGTTGCTCTACTCCCAGGGCTGCTCACTGTGCGCAGCGCAATAAGTTGATGACGCAGAAATCGCGACCGGGGCAGATTCAGCGGGCCGGAACATTGGACGGATTTAAGTCTAATGTAAAATCCGAACCACGATTCAGTCGACGACCGTTTGATATTGACGTCAATGCTGCCAACGATGTACAGTAGATAGGGACGAGTGGACGAAGATATCAATGCGAAGGTACAGTGCAATTGAATGGCAGATTGATGTATGTAGAGTCAACAATAATACTATAGGCATTGCTCACGAAACAATGCCGGTACTTGCCGTTCATGCATGTGTAGCACTGGGACTTATGACTGCTCGCATGAATACCAATATGTCATAATGCAGTATGTTCTAAGACATGTGCGTACATATTCGCTATTGATAAGCCTAGCAGAGCCTACGTAGATACGCTTCGTGAGACATCTGGGTTATGGACAGCGTGAGACAATTTCAAATTTGATAAAAAAAAAAAGTGGTGAGAGTAGTTTATCCTTCGCCAAACGCCATCGCTGTGCTCAAAATGATCGAAGGAGAAAGGCGGACGACGGGGCTCTCTGTTGCCCATCATGGTGCCCAACACAAGAGAGCGAAACAGAACCTTGGTGGCTTGTCCTGGCCCTCGGCTCTGAAACAGGCTTAGCAGCTGCCCGGAGCATTCCCTCCGTACTTATACTCAGATGTTAGATCAATCAGGATCGTTTGGTCGGTACTCCGGTTCCATCGATCATCAAGCTCAGGCTCCGTCGCTTATCCGCCGTCGCCTCTCGTAGTGCTTCGGCGCTCGGCCGGCCGGGACCATCTAAACTAGGCCGCATCCCGCTTCCACTGCTTTGACGTCTGCGACGACGGGCGACTTCGGGATCACTAGGTGACAGACCGCTTGCCCGTGCGAAAAGATTCAAGATATCGGTGAGGCTGACAACGCCCGCGAGTCGGCCGGACATACCCTGACCTGGAAGTGATCCCGCCGAGACGGCGACGCTGGGATGAGCGCTGGTGTATGGTGGACCAGGTGTCGCTAGGTCCGGGGCGCTTGCGCTGATCGCAGAGGGATGCGCGGTGCGAAGTGGGGTGTTGGGGGTGGAGATGACGGAGGAGCTGGCACTGTGAGGGAGACTCAAGGGCGTGAGTGGGACAGGACCCGGCGACGGCGGCACCAACGATGCGCTGGGCGATGGCGCATCAACGATCCACATGCGATGACTGCGGGTTGCGCACAGCTTGGCAACAGTGTGCGCAAGGGAGTTGTAGGAGGTGATGTGAAAGACGGGATATGAATCCTTGCCGTCAAACATGCCTCGTTCAGATAGAATGACCGAGATGAAGTGAATGCAGGTCGAGGAGAGTAAAGGAATTGCCGAGATGTCGGTCAGGAGCTGTGTAAAGGGTCAGTCAATATGACATGCGATGTGTCTGTGCAACAAGATTCGGTGTTCTTACTCGAACATCTACGTGACTGATGTTGCCCACCACGTTGCGCTTAACATCCAGTACGGGCAATGAGGTGATGCCCTCGTTATGCATCAGTTGCAAAGCAGCCGAGACAGGTCTATCGCCGTTGATTGCGATTACCTCTTTAGCACCCAGCTCGAGCTCCTTTAGTGACACGGAGTAGAGTTGCTCCATGGCTGTAAAGTTCTCGTGGTTTTCCCAGAAGAATCGAACGAGTCGCAGCTGACTGAGAACCCCGACCACCTCTGTTGTGCCCTCTTTGTTGATCACGACCCGGTGATTTCCACTTCCCAATGCCACCATGGCTTGATACAAATCTGCAGTGTGCGCAAGGGAAACGGGCGGTTCCCGCACACCCAGATGACCCAGGACGTCACCTAGCGGAAGGACCTCGCCATGCCGAGCGCGTTCGGCAATCTTCGCGGCCTCTTCATCCGGTTGTGAGAGGCCGAGAACCAAGAGCAGGTATGCGTTCAGATCGGAGTAGTCGAATGTACCGACCGGTGTCTTGGTCTGAGGTGACTCTCGGATCAAAACGACATTGGGTGCGCCCGAACGACATAACAGCTTTGTGCAGTCCTCAATGCTCGTACTCAATTCCACGAAACGTGTCTCCTCTGGATCAATGATCTCCGCAATCTGAATGCTCCGCCAATCTCTTCCCTTGAACCTTGCCTCTTCGCCGCTGCTATTTCTGAATTTGGTCGGGCTCATGAGCAGATCCTGCAGCGCCTGCCCCGAGAAGGAATGCGTGCGCTGGTTGCGTGGAGAGGCGGGATAACCCCGAAGGTTGAGGTTCTCGGCGAAGCTTGATCTTTTGGAGACAGACGGTGAAGAGCCGAGGGATGAGTCCCGGCGGGGTGTGAGGGTGGAGCCAGTGTTGATCGAGGCAAGCGAGTTGACGCTGCTCGCAAGCGGGTTTATGACGGGAGAACGACGCGATTGAGGCGATGACACGGCATTGATGGAGGATCGGCTGCTTGATCGTTCGAGCGACGCCGATGGTCGACGTTCATCGATGTGCTGTGGCTGCTGAGCCATTGTGGGCTGCTTGAGGAGATAACGTTGTTGCGCTGCGCGGTAGTTTGGGCTGCCTTCTTCAACCCAAAGCGACTAATATGCTGCTGACAGTTCTTCCGAGCAGTATCTTGACCTGTCGACTGTTGATTCTGCCGTATGACGTGAACGAGCTCTAACAAGAGTCTCCGCGAGGGATCACCATGGCAGCGATAACACAATGACCTATCTGTGTACTGTACCTAGTGCTGTAATCCAGGGCTCATCAATCCGTGCACCAGGGAAGTGCTTCTTGTCAAAGACCCCGCAAAAACTTACATAATCAGATACCTCACCCCGGATTCTGAGCTTGGATACGACACCGTCCAGGCCTGTGTACGGCACGGGACGCTCCGTTTCAGGCCTGAGGCAACAATACAGGCCTTCATCATCTTGTGGCTCCCAAAGCCCTGTACGATTGCGAACAAACACTGCTGTAGAACATGTGGCGTCACGATTGTGTCACAGACCCTCCACACGCGATGAGCGCGATGGACTCGATTGACGTATAGATTGTGTCCGGCGTGATCAGATTGGGCCCGAAAGCTGGACCGCTCAGCTCGTAAATCTCGAGCCATGAGGACAATTGCGAGTCGTGGTACGAGTCGTCGGTCTTGACCAACAGCATCTTGTCGGCTGCCAATCAAAACATACACAGCAGGTACTCAGTACGACATTCAGGTCGCGGCGCGCACATCTGACGCTCGCCTACGCATACAAGTCATACATGTACGTACAGTAATTGAGTTATGAGCATCGTAGGACCTTTCTTCCAGAGAGCTCCAGGGCTGTGCTGTCCACCGTATTAGGGTTTGGGTTATACCCTGGGCTTGTCATGCCGATGTATGTTCCCACTGTCATTCTACGCCCTGGTGGGTATGACAAACTCATTCTCTGCAGTATACCATGATCGTGGATGGCACCCTGAAGGCAGGGGAAATATAATGACGGCCACTTGAATCTAAACGGATGCTATTCGTGGCTATCTACTGTCCTGTATCTGGTTTATAATAACTCCGACCTATCTTTATCATATGATCCTACTCTGCTGGCAGGAGTGCTGTGCCAGGGCGACCCACGCCAACAGACAATGCATAGACGCGAGGCCAAAAGAGAGCATCCCAGTTCCGTCGTGCACCGTGAGCAATCGATGATAGGACACCACGGTGGTGAGAAGGACGTGTGCGGCGTAGGCGGCTCCGTCGACGGGTCATCTCAGAACTCGTCCTCATCGAACTGCACCTCTTCTCACTAACGGCCGGGAGGGAGTTTGCAGGAAGGACCGTAAGCCGCACACGTAGCTCGAGCGAGCGCCGGGTGTTGTCGTTGTGTTCAAAGGTACCTGACTTGCACATGCGAGGACCCGGCACATGAACTCTGCCGCATTCCGATAGGGCATCAGGGCATCAGCTCGCCGGAGGCACGGTTGCGGAAAACACACAAACAAACCCACTTATTAATATTATTGCATAGCTTGGGGGTGTTTCCGTGGGAGTCCGAATGCAAATGCGAACGCGAGATAGAGTTTTCTCGTTTCTCTCGGCCGGAGTGCGAGCGCGCTCGAAGGGCCGGAATCGTTGTGCCGCAATGCAGGGCCAAACCTTGATGATCCGGCTTCGCCGCCGCGGGATGGGATGGATGGAATGCGAAAGAGCCTCTCCGATTCCCTCCTGCATTGTGTGTTTGTGTGTGTGTTTGACTCGCTCATTCTGGACCGTGGCGAAATGATCAATGCTGTATTCATCGAGTACGTACTGCTGCGGAAGGAATACTAAGCATGATCACTCTTTGCATTGCGGTTGTATCTCCCGATAACGACGCGCCGTCGATCATTGTCGGGACCTGTGTGTGTCTCTGCAATTCTGCAGCCTGGTTGGCTTGCGCTTGGCTGAGGGCCACAGAGAGGGGACGATGATGAGCAGAGAGGCTCAGCCACGACGCCGCCGCAACGGCGAACCCTTTTCCAGCCGCCGATTGTTTTGCTGTGGGGCCTGTGGTAATTCTGTTGCCTGACTCATCTTGCAACAACGGTCCACACCCGGTAGCTTCATCACATTGCTCGCGTGGGACCGGAAGAAAGAAAAAAAAACCCACAGTTGGCCCGGCAGATGTAGGGTACGGGAGTAGTCGTTGTACAGAGACCCGTGCAGATGCTTTCCATCTCAAACCGCACGGCACGCACAAGCACGGCGAGTTTCACGATGGGATATCTCGTGATTGTCACATGTCACCGTTTTTCCCAGCCCTGGTTTGATGGTCTCTTCCAGTCCTTCGTGCCTTCCTGTAGCAAAGTGTACCACATATCACATGTGATGCGTGATCAGCCCTAGATTGATGAATTTTCGTGTCCCTACACGTGCAGCTCTTATTACAGGTCACCAGCGGATTCATAGAGTATCTAGGAGTACTTGGTGGAGTGGACAGTAGCCACGGCGACCAGGAGAAGTTGAGTCAGCGTTTGTCGTCGCATAATCATCCATGTTCGCATGGATCGGTGCTTCACCGACTCGACCGATGCTATTCGGCGATTTACCACGGATACGGCCATTGCTGTCCAGCAGCCTGTACTGTATCTGTCGTTGACTCATGATCGACTGACACGTGAAGGATGATCCGATGGATGATGATTCTGTACGGCAGCAAACGTGACGATGATGCATAAGCGACGTGGTCATCTGGACGGATTGGGAGAATGCAGGAGAGCGCCGTACAGCACAGAAAACCGCCTCGTGCGTGAAACGCCCAACGACTCGCCATAGTTCCTTTACTACAGTACAGCAGTAATAGTACATACTCCTGCATCCGTCATATCATCATCGCACCTTCTCACCGCACCTTCGCTTATGGTCGGCATTCTGAGCATCACCAGATGTGCAGGTCCACCATCATCATCCCAGCATTCAGCGTCCATTGGAATGTATGCCTTCTCAACCGCAGGAATGTGTTGTGTCGCAGACAGGGATGACCCACCCTGGCCCACTCTCACCATTCTGCAGGAGGATAACGGCTTCACGTGAGAATGTTGAATTATTTCCAACAGGGAGTCCCTTTCATCTTTCACCAGCAAATGAAGAAATCTCCGTACGCAATCCGTCTTGATGTCCATGACGACGAATCGACAGCAGAGATGTAAATGTGGAACACACTGTGCTGTGCTGTGCTGTGCTGTGCAATCAAATACGATATTGAGAGGTAGCCTACAGCAGACATCGTTGCAATGAGAAAACAGATCTGTACTGTACTGCAGATGAGTGAACGGCGCCACTGCGGCCGATTCGGCGGACGGAAACAACACAGCCTGCATCTGCACGGACCGGCCACGCGCGGAAAAGCCTAATCGTCAGCCCCAACGCAACGTGCGAGAGCGAGCGAGAGAGCGAAGTTGCAGTGCGAGAAGAAGTGTGTGAGAGAACTTACTAAGTCAGTTAGTAGAAGCGCAGGCGGCGATTCGACTCCTGCGGCATGTCGCCCATTGGCCGTCGCTTCCCACCCCAAAATGTGGTCCGTGAAACGCCAACGACGACTCATCATCGTGCCTTTTCGCCAGGCGGCCGAATTAATTCCTTGGGTGTGCATGCGCATGCGAAGGGGGCTCTTTTTGCAGAAGTTTATTTTTGTTATTACTATTCACGATGCCCGCAGATCTCTCCTTCTCGATCTCTCAATTAATAAATCGACTATCAACCAAACAACACACGATCAAAACGTCCTTCATAACGATCCCGCCTCGCCGTTCATCAAACCACAGCTACGAGACCTACGAGATCGACGCGGCATTCCCATCACACAGCCGTACCCTAACAACCTGCAATCCCGCCGCCACTGCTACAAACCTCACGATCCGGCGACACGATTCCACAATGTCTCTCGACCAGGCATACTCATTAGCCCACATCGCACAATGCCGCCTCAACAGGGAGTCAAGTCGACCCAACCGAAACCTGCGGGTCATGGTCGGTCACTTGAGCCACTACCAATCGCTACGACTTCACATTCTCGACATCGAGAGCTCCTCAAGTAGCGATTTCTCCAAACCCGAACTCTCCCGAACCCTCTCGTCTTCAAGCCTATCACACGGTCAACCCTCGAGCCACCTCGAGGAAGTCCTCGAATACGACGACGACATCCCTTACGACGACGAAGCCGACGACGACTCCCTCTCCCTCTCCCGCTGCGCATCCAACTTCACCGTCCCGGCTGCACACCCACCACAACAGCAGCCGCAGCGTCTCCCGGATCTCGAATCCGACGACTCCGACGAGTCCGACCACGACGACGAATACGACGAATACGACGGTCCCGTCTCCCCCGAGGACGAGCGATGCCCCAGCGAGGCCGTCGTCGTCCCGCAGATCTCCGAGCTGGCCATCTCAGGCCTGTACCACCATCGCGACGTCCGCCACGGCCGCCGCCATCCGCCCGGCGCGCAGGACTTCGACGAGGGCATCTGGGAGGTCCCCGTCGCGCAACGCACGCCCGGCAAGGGCGTCACGACGGCGATGGGGAAGCTGGCGGTGGAGGTCGAACGAAGGTGAAGCGTGCATGCGACTGCCGTCTTCACATCCGGGGAATGACGAGTCGTCTCGTCGGGTCTGGGCTTTTTCTTTAGCGGATTGGGATTTTGGTTTTTATTTTTAGCGAAGGCGTTCCATGGTGTTTCTCCCAGGGTCGAGGCATCTCCTCCCCTCCTGCACTTCCCTCACGGTTTGAGGCACGAATGTTTAATGTCGTCTGATCACAACAACAACACCACTCCGATGTATATCATGTATTGATGAAGAAAACAACCACTCTCACACTCTCGAATCTTGTTCCATCTCACTTCTCTTCTCCAACTGTGCAGCGCTTCTTTGCGCCTCATGGCTTTCATAAGACAGGCATCGCTGGAAACCCACCATCGATGCCGATTTTACACACATATATATATATATATCGCGCCACGCGAGATGATTCCTCGCAGCGGAGCCCTCGTCGTATTCTATCATACACACCACCAAAACACAAAACAAAACAAAACAAAACAAGACAGAAAAGACAGCTGAAATCTTCCATTTCTCCCTCGCCCTCCTTCGCAAGACCTTTCCGCCCATCGTCACAACAGGTCGTACTGTATCTACCCCCGCCCCCGGGTGGATCATCACAGCAACAGCAGCCCATCTCTCACCTCGCAGCCATTCCGTGCCCTGTTTCGCATGATGATAGGCCTTTTGGGCACCTACCTACCTGCCTGCCTACCTGCCTAGGTCGTCATCATCGACCCTCGGAGAGGTGGATCGTTGGGAAAGACGTTCCGCATGTCTCTTTGTTTGTCTTTCTATTTGTTTCCCTCGTCGTCGTCGTCGTCGTCGTCATCACCTTATTTTTCTCTCTCTCTCTCACCTGCATGTGGTCGAGGATGAGTATATCCTTGGGCGGTCCCAGTACCAGTACCAGTACCGGTACTAGTACCTTGCATTTGCCCGGTCGGCTGAATCCCGGCGCCACGGCCGGCTGGCTGGCTGGCGGGCTGGCTGGCGGGCAAAACCTCGACGCCCGTCCCGTCCTCAAGCGGATCGGATCCGACGAGCGCACACCACTGTGACTGACTGACTGACTGACTGATAACGGTGGGTCTATCGATAAGACTCAACATCATCACCCTCACCCTCACCCATGCCCCACCTATCTGGGCATACCAAGATCATACCCCAGTCCAGGACAAAGAGGATGTTATGTTTCTGTTGGGGAAGATTTACCAAAGGGCCGAATACCGCCGTCATTTTTCCATTGCCATTGCCATCGCCATGATGGATGGATCTACGCCGGAGGGGGCGAGACGATCTATCCAACCGGGAGAAGAATGACTGTGACGTGACGATGACAAGCAAAGACTTTTTTTCCTTTTTCTTTTCCTTTTGCTTTTCCTTCTTTTTCGGGGCTGGGAATCTGAACCGAATCGACGCGTCAGGAGGGCGAAGAAATCGATAAAAGTAAAAATGAAATAGAGCCGAGAGAAGAGATCTCCTCGTCGTGTCCCTCGTCGTCACCATCAGGCATTGATTCAACCGTTCGCAATCTCTTCCCGTCACGATCGAAGTTTGTCTTTGTTTCTTTCCTTCTGCGTACGTGTGTACGTATGTATGTGTGTATGCACGCCCAGGTATGTCCAGGTCTGTCCACGCGAAGGGCGTCTCTCCCGGCGCAAGAACGCAAGCCGCGAAAACCAGCTTGAGGGACAGTGAGAACCATTTCCCCTACCTACCTACCTATCCATCTAGGTCATTTGATGACCACCAGTGCGTCCGTCCTGCGCAGGAAGAAGCAGCATCGCGCGGTGCCGAAGGGGGGAAAGAAGAAGAAAACCGCACGCACGTGCTCTGTCGGCGGGCGCTCTACGAAGAGGAATCTGCCGCAGGTGGCGGAAGAGGAGGACGTCCACGGCAGGAGATGGACACATAGATAGATAGATGGACTGGACTGTACGGGAACGAAAGTAATCAAATGGGGGGAATAACATGAGAGACCCTGGGGGGGGGGGGGGGGGATATCGCTTCGCATCGCTCGCTCGCTGGACAACAACAACAAAGAAACAAGAAAGAACTAAAAACACAGAGAGGAAACCAGTCTAGATACATAGAAGATGGGAGGGTCGATAACAATGTCATGTTCGTGAAAATTCGTCAAAATACGGGTCGAGTGTCCCCGTTCGGGCAGACGACATACCGCTTTTCCCTCCCTGCCCCCACCGAGACAAACAAACAAACAAACAAACGGAATCGCGGTGACGACGACAAAGTAAAGGGCCAGAGGGAAAGGAGCCGCCTCGCGCGGTCTTTCAGAAATGTCCTTCCTTGACGACACGAGGAGGAGGAGGGGCGGCGGCGGCGGCGGCGATCAAAGCATCCGCCGCCGTCGTCGATTTCTCCAGCCGGCGCGGCGAGAGGGTCTCGGCGAAAGGCCGTGGCGGGAGCGAGTTGCGTCCGCGCGGGAGATGGCCCGCGGTCTGGAGCATGAGGTTGTGGGCGGCAGCGGCGGCGGCGGTGGTGGTCGCGCCCATCAGGATGGTGGAGGAGCGCGAGGGGGCCGTCGTCGGGTCCGAGTGGGTGCGGTGGGAGGAGGACTCGTGGCGGTCGATCTTGATCGATGTGTTGGCGGACGAGGGCTGGCGGGAGACGGGGCGAGGGGATCTGCCGGTGGGCGGCGGCGGAGGAGGGGCGGGGAGTTGTTTCTGGGTCTCGGGGGCGGCGCGGGAGGGGTTGTGGTTCGGGGCCATCGAGGGGGCGGAGAGGGCGTTGGCGGCGCTGGGCCGGCGAGTCGCGGGGCCGAGGAACGAGTGGGGTTTGTTGTTGTCGATTGCGGAGGATGGGAGGGAAGGGGTCCGGGCGGCGGAGATGTCGGAGACGGAGATGCCCAGGCCTTCGCTGCCGGTCGCGCGATGCCGGGATGTCGTGCTCCGGGACAATGTGCCCGGGTCAGGTGTCGTCGGACCTCCCGAGCGTAGACCTTGGATCTCCGCGTTCGCCCGCTTGATGTCCTTCTTGTAGCCCTTGATGTCGAGCTTGTACATGATGATCTCCTCGATGCACTTCTGCAGCTCCATCTCCAAACCCGCTTCCGATGGCGGCTCGAGTGGCGAGTCGCTCGGCCCTCGCGCAGATGAAATACGGTCCGCGGTCGTGCTGGCGATCTCGTTGTTGATCTTGGGCGTGAGCGAGCCGGGGTTCTTCATCGAGTTCCGCATCTGACGACGAAGCTCGGCATGTAACAACGAATTGTACTTGTCCCGCTCGGTCTCCGCGTAGGCGACCTTGTCCCTGTACAGCTGCAGCTGCTCCTGAAACTCGGCTCTTTCCGCGATCAGGATCAGCTCGTCGACCGTGCGGGTTTGTGCATGGGTCGCTTTCTCGGCGGAATTGTTCTGCTCCAGCTCGGCGATGCGGGCATCCTTTTCTGCCATTTGGCGCTGGAGCTCTTTGATCTGCTCGTGGTCGTTCCCTTCCGTACTCGGTGCATTTTCGTGGGGTTTGTCGGCCGCTTTGCCGAGAACGACTCCGTCCCAGCTGGGATCGGCATCGAAAAGTCGAGTGCAAAGCTCTTCCCGATCATGTAAAAGTTCGTCCTCTCGCAGTGTGAGCTTGTGAACCTTTTCTGCAGCCTGCTGGAATTCTTCGATAGCATCGAGCCGCTCGTTGTTTGCCGCCACCAGTCGAGCTTCCAGATCATCGGTCGCACTCCGCAGAGACTTGATATCGTCCTTGGCTTTGCGCACGATGTCTTTGAGCTGGCCGATGCGGCGGCGGTCGTTGTCGGCAGCACTGCGGAGCACGTCTCGCTCGCGCCGGATGTCTCCCAGATCGGCCTGCGCTTTGCGTGACAGACTCAGTTTCCGCTTCAGCGCTTCGTTCTCCGCTAAGAGATCATTCGATCGTCGCTGATTCTCCAGGGACGACTCGAAGGATTGGACAGAAGCCGAGGTGCCAGCAGTCGATGCGGACTGGTCGCCTGGTCGGGCAGCCGATCTCGCGATATCAAGGGTCAAACTTTGACTCATTGATGGTTGGGACGCCACTCGTCGCTTTTCCAAGATTGCGAGGTACGTGCGAAGAGATTGCAGTTCTCGCTCATGTGATTCTTTCAATGACAAGGTGTGTGCTTCATGTGCCGCTCTCATCTCATCAATCTGTTGAATCAACCCATATTCCGTGTCTTGTTCATTGGGGATGGACATGACCCCAGATAGGTTGCTGTCTGCACGAAACATTTCCGGGCGAGTAAAACCGCCACTAGGCGGGACGGGCGTATTGTTCTCGGACATCCGTCTCTGGTGGTAGAACGGAGTGTCGGCGCGACTCATGACATCTTCGTTGAAATCATACGATTCCTGATAATGGCCATATCCTCGGCTTGGCCCCGCCGACCTTGATCTCGCAGTCGAGGCCTCTGCAGATCTTCGATGTTGAGCCGAGAAGGAATAATGTGAATTCTGCGGACTCCCTCTCAACCGATCAATTGATCGTCCCATGATTGATGAGTTCGATGAGGCCAGCGTTGCTGAAAACAAGCTTCTGCCATCGACGGACTGTGACGGTCTCGACATGGACAGATGCAGCGATGAGGGGACCGATCCGGGCAGCTCTGCAAGCTCGAATGACGGTGCTTCGGCGACCGGGGTTGTCGGTGCTGTGTTGGCTCGTCCTCGGCCGTGTTCCAGCATGCGACTGTTTTGATGCGCTGTGATGAAATTCGACAGCTGCGGAGATTTGAGCATCTCATTCATGACTGCGATCAGGCTGGTGGCGCTCTGCACTGCTGCGTCTTGCAACATCTGTGACTCCTGGGTCCGAGGAGGAGCAATCCGGGAGGGAACATGGCCTTTGGTCACATCGAGCGAGAGCGGCGGAGGTCTATGGGAATCTTTGCCCAAGGCCTGTCAATGTCAGCGATCGCATCGATGGCACATCTCCTCAAGCAATGTTCGGCGTACCTTGGGGGCGATCTCGCAGTCCAATCCTTTGATGGAGATGCATTCTATCGGAATCGGCACGACGACTCCGGAACGTGATGAGTCGAGCTGTCGCTTGTCGGTCTTGTTCCAGGGAAAGAATTTGTTGGAAGCCATGTTGTCATTACATTATCGGCGGCGGTGAACCGAGAGAGCACACCGATCGGACTGAGGTGGTGCGCGAAGTCGATGGAAGCGGCAAGGCAGGGATGAGTTGGACTGAGGTTCGTCGACGATCTGTGAGGACCAGCCTGGATGTTGAAGGAGAGAGGGATGTTGACAATGGGAAAGAATGTTGGGTCAGGAAAAAAAAGTGGCATTTGCATTCCATGGCCATGCACAGGCAGGCCGAGGGCAAAAGAGAGAGAGAGTGTGTGTGTGTGCGTGTGTGTGTATACGGCGCGTGTGTGTGTGGATGGGCGCAGGCAGCCGATAGCTAGACGCAGCGATGTACGCCCAAGAAGTGTCTGGCCCGGCAAATGCTTGGGTGACGAGGGATGGGTTTGGTGGGCGATTGGCGATTGGCGGCGGTGGTGGTTGGTGGTTGGTGGTGTGGGATCATCAATCCTACGACTATTCTTCTTCCTCTACAGGCTTTTAAAAAAAATCCTGGGCCACTGATCAGCAATATTAATAGGCGCGCTACTCTCACATCTACACCTACACACTACCTGACCGTGACAGTACCTAGGTAGGTAGGTAGTAAGTAGGAGGAGCAGTGCATCGTCGCCAAGGATTTGTACGGCGGCAATCGCACAGGATGCCCGTCAAAGGCAATCGCAGACGTTACGCTACGTGAGGATGTGACATGGAATGGCACATCCACACGTTCCCATCGCAGGCGGTTCTGCACGGTGGTGACAATTCCCTGCAGAGAGTTTCCCTGCTGAAACGCACGATCGACCTGACGGAACGAACTGATGGACTGACTGCCCGAGGAGGCGTGGAATCCCACCAATTGCTGCGCCGTGTAAGCGCTGGACGCTGTCGCTCCCAAGTCGACGGACTGCCATGGCGTGCAGGACGTAGCGCGTTAGACTTTGACTACGGCCTGGGGACTTTGCGCCCAGACACCGCCCGGCTGCTCCCGCTGCAAGGAAATTCACAGTTCACGCCCAGTTTCGCCCATCTTTCGCCCAATGGCCGGGCTGACGGCTGGGGGCTGTGCCGCCGACTTGCTGACAAAACCTCAACTTTCACTCCAGGGCTCCCCCCAATCTTGCTGATCTCGCCTGACGGTACCGTCCCCCCCAGAGACACCGACGACCATTCGCGCTGGCACTGCTGCACGCTCGAAACACGCGAGTGCCTCCGTACATCACGCTATCGTGTATGTACTGGATGAGCTCGCTCCGTGACATACGCGTCGCTCTCTAGTATTGCCGCTGTCTCGACGCGAGGTCGTATTCCCTGACTCCGCGCGCGTTCGCGGTGCCTCGAGGCGCAGCGCGACTTCGTGGCTGTGGCGTGCACATTAGCATCAGGACCCTTGTACAAGTACGGTAGTTCCGCCCGCGGTGCTGACGTGGGACGTTGGATGACTGGTCGAGCTCTTTCGTATTTGAATCATGGACAGGATTCGTGCAGAGCGTGGTGAGACGTCTACTGTTGAAAGCAGCAGGCGACCCCGCCAGGTCAGCGAGGATGACAGATCGCGCTCTCCTCGCCGGACGTCGTCCAAGACACATGGCGGCGAGCGTGCGTCTAGGCGTGAGGATCGTGGGTCCGACCGAGATAGGCGCTCTTCTCCTGGTAATGATAGGAGGCGAGACGATCGCCGACGAAGCCGTCGCGATGATTCCGAGGAGCGCTACCAGCGCAGCCATCGGGAAGACAGACATTCCTTGAGGTCACCTCGCAAACAACGGCACTCTGAGCGGTCACGGTCCAGAAGCCGTTCGCAACGTCGAAAGCGGTCTCGGTCACCGCCAGCCAGAAAGCATAGGTCACCGAAGCCGTCACCTTCGCCGCATCGAAAGTCCCGCGTCGCGCTTCCGTCACAAGACGAGTCTTTCCACGGCGGGTCCGCAGTCGGCCCAGGAGGTGAAAAGGCACCACCAAAGCAGAAACCCAATTTCAAGCCCACCGGTCTCCTCGCCAAAGAAGCGAACACCGTACAAGGCACGAACACGGTGTTGAAATACCACGAGCCGCCCGAGGCGCGCAAACCCTCCTCCAGGGAGCAATGGCGGATGTACGAGTTCAAGAAGAAGGATCTGGTGGACACGGTCTACCTCCATCAGAAAAGCGCGTGGCTCCTAGGTCGGGATGAGAAGGTGACGGATCTGCATCTGGAGCATCCGAGCATCTCCAAGCAACACGCGGTCATTCAGTTTCGATATATCACGACGACCAATGAATTCGGTGATAGGCTCAGCAAGGTCAAGCCATATCTTATTGACTTGGATAGTGCCAACGGCACCAAGCTGAATGGTAACAGGGTGGACGGGAGCAGGTTCGTGGAGTTGGTCGACCAGGATATGCTGTCGTTTGGCGACAGTGAGCGGGAGTATGTCTTGATGCTACCGAATGGCCAGGGGTGAGTGTGATGGTCATCATCCATGGTGGTGGGAAATTTCAAGCCCATAAGCGCGCGCTTTGTACATAGGAGCATCCTACCGATCGGGCGGGTCGTATCAAACAATGATGTTTGAGATCAATGTTCTAGGTGCCCAGATGGGTTACTGGTTTCTTGACTGCAGTATCGTTTGCCATTTCCACACACGTGAAGGTATCGAAGGTCGAGATGCATGTACAGGCACGAGTCAACGCCAAGGTACTCACAAAAGCACAGCGACCGAGGGACACATGATACTCCCATGCCAACAGTAGCAAGCAACTCATACAGGTGTACGGTGTCGTCTCTCTCAATCGATACCATAATTTTGGGTTGGTCGAGACAACATCATTGAGCCTCACCACCCAAACCCTAACTCGACCCTCCACCTGGGCACCCATCAGGGACAACCCTGAGGAGCCTCTCCTCCAACATCCCTGAGCCAGGAAAGTTCTATGACATCGTCAGTAGCCAGCCGCAGGTGCCAAGCGCTACACAAAATCTCGCAAACCTGAGTGATTAACCAGGAAATAATCACTCGCCACGTGGATCATCCTATTCCGCTCCTTAATAGAGGCGCCTTTGCGCATTATCCATTCACAACCTACCTTCCGATATCTCCATGAAATGACAACACGGTGGCCGAGCAGCGGGCTAGGCGCTGTCTCGAACGTTCAGCGATTCTATTACGTCGAAGCCCGCTTCACAGTCGCGCGCTTAAACATCCGTCACTATTCCAGCCGACCCAGCGACGACAACAACAACAACAAACTCACATCATCACCTACCACAGTCGAGAAGCCCGAAAAGGCTGCCCTCCTCGCCGTCACCAATCCTCGACATGGTCTGATCGATGCCATCAATCCACCTCGGAGCACCGTCCCGCCTGTCCTCAAGCTTCCCACCCGCGGCCCGGAGAACATCGCACTTCACCTCTACCGTACCGGCAAGGCATATGGCGGCTTCTACTTCACCGGCGTGAAATCAGTATGGTTCAATCGGAAAGCTTCGCAGGTGATCCGGGCGCGATTGGGCAAGGATGGGAATGGCGGACAGGATGAACCGTCCATGGTGGTGCAATCGCTCTCGCGGTCCGAGTTCCAGATCCTGGCGCGCAACAAGCATGACATCGGAAAGCTCCCCCTGTTCTCGGTGCTCGTCGCCTTGCTCGGCGAGTGGCTGCCGCTCTTTGTTCCCTTCATGCCCGGCGTCGTCCCGGGGACGTGTCGCATCCCGAAGCAGATCACCGGCATGAGAGAAAAGGCGGAACAACGCAGGAGGACGAGTTTCCGGACAGGGACGACCGAGCCTCGCCAGGCTGATCTCGTGGAGGCTTCTGTGAAATCGGAATCATCGGTCAAGAAAGGAGACGCATGGCCGATCTGCAGCCAGCCGCATGCTACGGCACTCCTGGGAAAGCTGGAATGGCCACAGCTGTTTCATCTGTCCAACACCCTCAATGTCCACAGTCGTCTCTGGGACAGACTGGCCATCCCGCCTCCGACATCACTCCTGAGACGAGGCGTCGGAAAGCGTCTCGCGTACATCTGCACCGACGATGTACTCCTGCTCAAGCACGGTGACGTGACCAAATTGCTCCCCGAGGAAGTCCTCATCGCATGCGAGGAACGCGGCATCGACGTCAACGGTCGACGTGGGGAAGTCCTGCGTGAGGATTTGAAGAGGTGGCTACAAGCCCAGCGTCGCGAACAAGGCCTCGCGATCTTCCGAATGCTCTTCCGCCGGTAAGCTATCACATATCTCCCATCCCCCTCCCATTCCCGTGTTGGTCGTCTCACTTCCGTATATCTCTTGCCCTTGGCGCGGGCGTGTTCGAGCAAATGCTGACGTCTTCCCTTCTCGTCTACTAGACCAAACGCCTGGGATACGCCGACACCCTCGAGTCGGTGAACGACAGTTCATGAGGCGCGCGCGCACAATCGACAAAGTTCGCCTAGGATACACATACTGGCGACCTCTAGAGAGGAGAGATCCCTCCACACCTACTGTACAACGAAAGAGATTAGACAAATCATCCCCCAAAACACTGTACTAATACGAGTCATCCTCACACGTAATCGCATGGCTCTCTGCTCTCTGCTATGAACGGATCATATTGCGAGTTGCCGAAGGAAGCAGTACTTTTCAACATCAGTAAATCCACCAATGTAATGTCTCCTGCCCACGCGTCCGAGGAAAAGAGAAAAGACCTCTATCATCAGTGTTGTACGGTTCCCACTGTGACTCTCTCTCTCTCTCTCTCAATTATGACTCTCTTCCCAATTGCAACGCCATCCAGCTTTCATCATCATCATCATCATCAGCCGAGTCCTCTCCCGTTTCCTGACCGCGTCTTTCGCGTCAATCACGATGATCGCCAGCCAATCGATGATCACGATAATTGACACGATACCAATGATCATCATCATGATCGTCGTCATCGTCATCGTTATCATCATCAGTAATAATGAAACCGCCCCATCTCCGCGCAAAGATCATCCCTTCCCACCTAGCGGGGGTGTGGCTGCAATTCTTCAACCGTCGATAGTCTGCAATCGCAACAAGCCCTCGAAGCAACCCATCCCGTCTGTCCGTCCGCCCGCATCCTTTCCCGCGTCCCGCGTTCCCGCGCCTCTCGGGGACGGAAGAGGGCATTGCTTCATGGCGCATCATCAAACGGTCTGTACTTGTTTGTGTGCCGAAACGAATACTGACGGCGGCGGCGGTCGTTGAGTCGTCTCTTGACGGGCTGCTGCCTTTTTTTTTTTCGCGTTTTTTTTTTTCGCTGAAAGGTCTCGACGGCCGACGACTCACGACCGACAACGATACGTCGCTGGGAAAAGAAAGACCGGAGGATGAATGATGAGGATGAATGATGGGATGGCGGCGGATCGGATGCGTCCTGCGCCGCGTTCGTTCCCTTCGTTCAATGAAAACCTGTGAGGTTTGTTGTATATATATGTACCTAGGTATGTATGGATGTATGGATGTATGAACTTCCGACGAACGCGAATCGGATCCCTACCTCGCTCTCTCTCGTAAACTCACCGCATAATCTCGTCGGGCAGGCAAGTGGTCGGGAACGGCTGGTTGACAGTATTTATAATTATCATCCTCTTCCGCGCCGCCCCCGGAAACCACCACCGCTTGCCCCAGGTGCTCACTCACCACATACAGCACAACGTCCTTGCGCGCGCCCGCGCCAGAAACCCGTAAAAGCGATACGATGAACGAGAGGGTCACAAAGGGAAAAAAAGAACCCTGTCTATCCACGGACTCCACCACGAAACACCTGTGATGTTATCCATCACAAATCCGAAACCGGGTTTTTTTCGCGAGCAGAGCGAGTCCGGAAGAGAGAGAAAAGAAAGGGGAGCAACGACGGAGCCATCTTCAACCGCGGCTTCATCATGTCCCCGTCGCAGCAATCAGGATGATGATACATCTCATGCTGCGCGATATATCCGGGACATGTAACAACCCCATATCTTCTTCACCCTGACGATATTCCTGGTTTCGACGTGCCGTAGTCCCATGCATCTCCAAACTCTGCACCGGAGAAATTCCCAGGAGGACGAATCACGCCAAAAGTCCCCAAGGTTCGTCGGTCCTCTCTCCCCTGGAAGCTGCATATCCATGCATAGATGGATTGCTATCGCGGAGGTTTTTTGTACTTTAATTTTTTTTTCTCCTGCAGGAGGAGAGAGTCGTGCATCGTGAAACCACTCACTCACCCCCTGCATTTCTTTCTTGCTTCCTTTTTTCTTTTCTTTTCCCGCTCCCGTGGCGTCGAACCATATACCGTACAGCGAAAGACAGCGCGCGCGGGCGGTGTGACGATTTGTTTGAGTGTTCGTTTTGCGCCCAAAAGCTGTTCCCGCCGCCGCCTGTCGCCGCCGCATGTACGTATGCATGCACGCTGCACGCTGCACGTCCGGTGCGTCGTCCCTGGCACTAATCTTTTCCTCTCTGTATTTCTCCGACTCTCTCTCTCTCTCACACACATGGAGATAAAAGGGGTGAAATGACAGAATTAGGATTCGGAAATCGTGGGCAGAGAGTCCGAGGTTGGTATGTGATGATGATGATGATGATCAATGAATGGCTCTGTGGGCAAAATGGAGAGAGAGAGAGTAGGAAAGTGTGTAGTAGTTGAAACGAAGTGGTATTATTTCTTTCATTGGAGGGAGATGGAAGTGTTTGATCGGTGCAGTCGTGTCATCATCGTACATACATACATGCTGTACTGTATATCCCATATCACTTGCGACGACTCTCCCTCCCTTTCCCCCTCTCTCTCCCTCTCGTTCTAATCTATCTATCCATCTCCCACGGGTGAAAGGGAAATCGCATGATGAAGGATATGGATACGTCTTTCTTCCCCTCTCGTTATCGCAACCGCAACGACAGACAACAAAACAGAAACACAAAAACCCCACGGAAGTCCTCGATGCACAGATGCACATGGCGATACAGAGACGGAGACGGATACGGATACACATGCCACCCCCCTGTCCGCACGATCGCATTATCGATTCACCGTCCGCTAGTGCCTCTCCGTCTTCCCCCATGTCGTTATTTATTCCTGGGGTTTGTCCGTTTGGGTTTTTCTCTCCAGCCAGCACTGACGCACAGAGGGAGCGAGGCTGTCCCCGTTTATCGATTCACCGGCCGGTGATGACGCAGTGGATAGGTATTAGGTACTGTACACATGTTGTGGTTTGTGTCCAACACGGATGGACATACAGGATGCGACTGTGGGAAGAAGAAGAAGAAGAAGACCGGGCGATGATCGATTTGGAGACACTTGTGGGCGTGTTGCGACCATGTCCATTGCGCGCGCGAACGGCCTGGCCTGGCCTCTTCTTTCCTTGGGCCGGGTCGCGCGCGGTTTCGCGTGTGAAGCCCTGAAACACGCCTATTTTTTTTTGTTTTCTTGGGAGGTTTCGACTTCGTGGAAAGCTCGGTACCATGACTTTTCGATGGCACGACGACGACGACGACTGTCCCTGTCCCTGTTCCTGGACTGTACCGCCTCCTCCCTGTAGCACCTAGGTATATGTATACAAAGTGTTGGCCTCCCACGAAAAGCGGGTTCTTATTTATTATTATTTATTTATCACCTGCAACATCATCATCATCCACGACGACGACGACGACAACAACCCATCATGCAGTGTATAGTGCAGTACCACCACCGCCGCAGCAGGGGCAGCAGGTGAGATGCCCACTCTGATGTGAGCGGTGTGCATCTCTCCCTCATCCTCATCCTCGTCGTCGTCGTCGTCGTCGTTGTCGTTGCCTCGTCCTCCTGCAGTAGTCGACTGGATAGCATCAGCATTGGCATTAGCATTAGCATTAGCATCAACATGCATGCATGCATGATGCGGATCATTTTATTTTCCGGGTTCGGACATATATTATGCTGTACAGTACGTTCTGCTCTACTGCAGCCCGATCGGACGATGGATGATGGTCCGCCGGTCTGGCCATCATCCTGGTTGTTTTTTTGGTTCGGGTCTGTTTCGTTTTCGAGGATGTTGTAGGAAGTGATGCTGTGCGATCAAAAAAAAAGACCTGTGCACATCTGGGTAGGAGGTCACAATAAACGAGGAGGTGGTCCATCAATTGGATCCCGTTCCAGTCCCTCCCCCCCCATCGGTGTCCAACATCCGAGAACAGGGCAGGACGGTGCAGTGCCCGCCGCCCCCGTATTCACGGCAGCCAGCTGGGTTATGGGACAGACGTTAGGTGGGGACCCACCCTTTCGTGTGTAGTGTGTCTGTCTGTCTGTCTGTCTGTCTGTCTGTGTGTGTGTGTGTGTCCAAGTGGCACATATATATGTATATATGTATGTATTGATGATGATAATGACAGTCCGAGACTAAGAATGCCATTGTCCAGCCCAAGTACTGTAGCGTATTCCCATCTCGGTCACGGTCATGGTGTGTGTGTGTGTGTGTGTGTGCGTGTGCCGTGGTGGCTGATCCGTCGTCTTTATTATTATTATCATCATCATCATCCAATGGTTCCTCCAATGGTTCGTCGGTTGACAAGAGACGAGCCTATGGTGATGACCCTGTTCACCACCACCACCACCTCCTCCTCCTCCTCCGTCCATCCACTCCATCCATACTTCCTTCTAGAGCGTGTGGCTCAAGACGGACGATAGACCGGGTCCTAACGAACTCCCTCCCTCTCCCGTTTCTTCATCGGTACATATGCAGTAGCCACCGTGCTAGAAATGTGACTAGGTATGATCCAGTATGATCATGATTCTTACTATGATTATGACTATGATTATTGTTATGATTATCACCAGCACCTGTTACCATCATTACCCTCTCACGCGTCGTCTTCCTCCTCCTCCTCCCACATCTCTCCCACTCTCTCTCTCTCTCTCGCGTCGATGATCCTTGTAATCAAACCCGGTAGAGAGATGGTGATTAGTTTCAATAGTAGTCCTTCCCTGGCTGGCTGGCTGGCTGGCCACGATCCGGTCGGTCGGTCGGTCGGTCGGTCTGCCTGTCTGCCCGTCTGCTCATGATCATCCCCCGTTCTGCCTCTTCTTCTACCGATCCATCCTCCTCTCCTCCCATCGTGATCGAAACAACTTTCCCACTTCGAAACTCCTCCCGTCTGGGCGGTCTAGGCGAGCGCGAAATAAGCATCCGACTTTCCAATAGACTACTGTACTACAGTTGTCCTCCCTGTCCTCTTGTTTATGCCTTCGTCGAAACAGTAGCGCTCCTTCGTGATCGTCAAACATGACACAACCCTCTTCTCCCTCCTCCTCCCCTTCTTCTTCTTCCTCTTCATTCTTCTTCGCCAGTCGCACCAGTGATTAAAACCCGCAAAGGTTCCCGCGCGCGCACGCGGGAACGTCTTCGCGCATTTCCCATTCGTTTTTCTCCCATCCTTTTTTTTATCTTATTATTTTAATTGTGTCTCGACATCCTCACAGTGTTTGCGGCACCATATGCTGGCCCCTGAACGACTCGAATTCCATCGAGGTGTAGCCACAGGGGGTTAAAGGATAATAAATTCCCAGCCGAGTCTCGCTCGCTCGGGGTCGGACCCGGCGCTGGCGTCCGCAGCCAACCTTTGAACGATTCTCATTCGCCCGCGCGCCCGCCAGCATGGACGATGGAGGTCGTGCGTTTCATGCAGGCCATGCAGGCCACTCCGCTTCTCTGCAGCAGCTGCTCTCTTCGCTGCCGTCTGTGAGCCCGAGGACCAGTTCGCTCAACTTCAAGAATGCACAAAACTCCCGGTCCGTCGCATCCTTTTCCTCCTCCTCGCCGCCGCCGCCATTGCTTCGTCCGCGTGCCAGCAGGGGCACCGAAGGTCACTACTCCATGCGTCCACGCGCGCCCGACCCTCGCGATGCTCGCGACCTCCTCAATCCCGCCGAGGAGTCGCCCGAGGACATCCGCCATTCCCACGGCCTGAGCTGGTCCAGCGTCACCCACGACGACGTCGTCGACAACCTGCTGTTCTCGCTCGACAACTTCTCGCGCGGCCACGTCGCGCCCGAGCCGCGCGACTGGCGCTCCGATTCGCAGCAGGACGAGTTCCTCAACTCCCTCACCGCCCGCTCCGTCCGGCCGATGGAGGCCACCGCCCACCGCCCTCGCCGCGGCACCCAATCCTCGAGCACGTCGTTCGACGTCGAACGCGCCCCGATCGAATCGCCTCACAGCAGGATCTCCACCACGAGCCCGGGTCGGCGGAGCAATAGCAGCGCGGCGCAATACCCCCCGCGGAGCATCAATTCCCGTTTCAGGTCGATGCGCGCATATGGGACATCGCGGACCAGCCTGGACGGGCCAGGACACACGAACAAGCACAGCGACGCCAGCAGTGCGGATTTCTACTACGGACCTCCCCTGGACAGCGCCCGACTGGCCTGGACGAATCCGGCGGGGCGTTCGTTCAGCATGGATAACATGCAGGCCGAATCTCGTGGCGACCTGTCATCCAGCCTGCACGACCGGAGCCGCGCGGTGGCTGCCATGGGCGGCAGGTACGACCCCGACGCTGACGCAGCACCTGAACCCATTGTCGCAGCTGGACCGCGCAGAATGCAGAACCCAACGGCCACCGGCCCCGTCTACGTGAACCCCGCACCCCTGCGAAACAAGTCCAGCGCGCTTCGCAAGGTCACCCCCCAACCGGACACGCGTTCCACGGGTCATTTATCGCCGTCGATTCCCATCCCAGAGGAGATCCGCTCCCAGGCTGCAGATTTCGTCAGGACCAGCTCTGTCTCGGGCGGATCGCGAGCCGCGCTTCCGTCGACCAGCCACGGGGAAGCCGCGCCGAGTCCTGATGTACGAAGGTGGGAGGCCTCACCACCACCAGCAGCAGCAGCACCAGCAGCAGCAGCAGCAGCAGCACCGGTCGTCGTGCCTGAGAAGCAGGGGTTTTTCAAGCGCGTCTTCGGTGGAGGTGCCGCCGCCCGCACCGCTCCCCCCACCCACCAATCTGAGCGACCCACCACGAAACCCAACGTCGCAGACGTGGCGGCGGAATCGATGCCACCGCCGCCGACGCCGCCTACGACCCAGCCGCTCGCGCGCTCGCGTTCACATACCTCCGTCGTCGATCCTGTGCAGAACAGAGCGGAGGCACAGCAGACGACGAACATGTCCGCGGCGCATCCGCCCGTATCGCTCAACAGGAAATCATCGTCCTTCTTTCGCAGGCGGAAGAAGTCCACCTCGGGCTCGTCGTCGGCCCCTCCGCTGCCGTTGGCCATCCACTCGCCCACGAGCAATGCTGTCCTCTCCCTCAAGCCTCCGGAACCGAGCCCATCGATCAGCAGCCTGCGCAAGGCCATGGGCTTTTACCTGTCCAGCGACACCCCCGCATCATCATCGCCGAAGCTCGACGAGAACCTCCGACCGCAGACGAGCGAATCCCACAACACCGACGACCTCGACATCTTCCACCCCGGCTACATCTCGCCGCCGCTGGACAGCTCGCTCCGCTCACTGTCCGAACAGGGCGACCGCGAGACACGACTGACGGCGGGGAAGCGGAAACCGCAGACGTTATCCATGCTCGGGGCGTCGGGCGCGGCGCGAGGCGATCCGCTCAACCGCGACTCGCTGGCGACCATCCGACAGAGCAAAGTCGACTACCCGGCCGTCTCTCCGCTGCTGGGGCCGGTGCCTTTCGATAAAGAGACGGGGGACACCAGCAGCCGGCCGAGCACGGGCGAAAAGATCATCGCCGGCGTCAAACCGGGCGCCGCGTCGCCCGACGCCATCCGCAGCTTCAGTGCCGGCACGGGCGTCAGTCTGGAGATGAGCGACGGCGTGTGGAGCCCCTCGCAACACTCGCAGACGCCCTCGTCGCGCAAACCCAGCCGGGCGGACGGCGAGGGTTGGGTGGTCACACGCCACGGGGGCGCCGAGCGTCCCAGCTCCAGGCGCTCCGAACGCTTGATCCTGCAGCCGTCACCCATCGGGGAGGAGGAGAGCATGGCCAAGAGCCAGGACGACGTTTCGACCCTCGGCGACGCCGTGGGCCCCCCGGCCATCATGGCCGACGGAGACGGCGATCACAACAACGCCCAGGCGCCCCAAGCGGATTCCTCCCGGCTCGGATCCGCGCTGACCCCGATCATCTCACGGCAATCGAGCGCGGGCGACCTGGCCTGGACGGCCCAACTCATCGACGAGGACATCCAATACAAGGTCCGCGCGAAGAGGATCTTCGAGGGCGACGAGGAGGATGTCAGCCGGGCCGAGGCGTCGGCCTGGATGGGCGAGAACAACACGCTGAGCACCCGCACGCTCCAGGCGTACATGCAGCTATTCGATTTCGCGGGCATGAACATCCTGGCTGCGCTGCGTGCCCTGTGCGGGAAGCTGCAGCTCCGCGGCGAGACGCAGCAGTTCGATCGCATCATCACCGCGCTGTCCGCTCGCTGGTGCGAGTGCAACACCGCACACGGCTTCAAGGCCCAGGACGTCGTCCACACCATCATCTACTCCGTCATCCTCCTCAACACCGACCTCCACCTCGCGGACATCCAGGAGAAGATGTCGCGGAACGCGTACGTCAAGAACACCCTGCCCACGATCCGCCGGGTCGTGGCCGACGCCGCGCCCAACGCCTTCGACGAGACCCTCAAGCCGGGGTCCGCGCAGCACCCCCGACCGCACGCGCCGTGGATGGACGGCATCGCCAACTCGCCCAGCTCGCCGACGTTCAACATCCCCGAGATCAGCATCGCCGACCGCCAATCGATCGACGCCGGCCGCACCTCGACCATGGGCCAGAACAGCGTCCGGAGGCTCTCCATGCGGCCCGGCGTGCTCCGCTCCGACTCGGAGAGCACGGCGGTGGAGCCCAGCTCCGACGGCTCGTCCAACGCGCTGGTCAACAGCCCCTGGGTCGGCTCCGTGCGGGGCTGGGAGAACGAGCTCGAGAGCGTGCTCAAGTCGTTCTACATGGCCATCGGCTCGAAGCCGCTGCCGCTGCAGGGCGCGATGAGCTCCGACCTGCCCCCCAACGGGCGCAACCTGTCGGTCGTCGACCTCAACGGGAAGATGACGCGCACGGCGTCCATCGTCAGCCGCGCGCCGTCCGACAACATGTCCTACCGGTCCAAGCAGGGCTTCGGCTCGCGGTGGGCGAACCCCCGCGCGAGCCGGTCGCGCCAGAAGCTGTACCCCGCCAGCACTGTCGGCTCCTCGCGCACGAGCCTGGAGGACAGCGGCAGCATCTGGTCGCCCACGCAGAGCAGCAAGTACTCCTACAGCAAGACCCTGACCTCCGCCTCCGTCCGCAGCTTCGGGGTCTACGCCGACCCGTTCAAGCACTCGATCGGCTTCGCCAACGCCCTCTCCCAGGCCATCATCCGCGAGGAGACCACCGTCGGCGCGAACGGCGCGAACGGCGGCGGCGGCGAGAGCGACTCCGCGTCGGTCACCGGCGGCGCCGCCGAGGACGACACCCTGGCCCTCCTGGGCGCGCCCTGGGCGAAGGAGGGCCTCGTCAAACACAAGCACCACCTCGAGACGACCGACCGCAAGGCCAAGGAGCGCAGCTGGGTGGACTGCTTCGCCGTCATCAGCAAGGGCAAGCTCACCCTGTTCGCCTTCAACACGACCGGCCCGAGCAAGCCGTCCGGCCGCAAGGCCGTCTTCGGCGGCAAGTCCGGCAAGGCCGCCAGCGTCACCGGCGCCAAGGTCGGGGGAGGGGACTGGATGGAGAACGCCGAGCAGCTCGAGGTCTTCGTCCTCCGCCAGACCATCGCCTCCACCCTCCCGCCCCCGGGCTACAGCAAGACCCGCCCGCACGTCTGGGCGCTCAGCCTGCCGACCGGCGCCGTCCACCTCTTCCAGGTCGGCACCCCGGACATCGCCGAGGAGTTCATCACGACGTCGAACTACTGGTCCGCGCGCCTCAGCAAGGAGCCCCTCTCCGGCGGCGTCTCCAACATCGAATACGGCTGGTCCGACCGCGTCATCAACCCGGGCGTGCTCGACCGCGACGGCGCCCGCAGCGTCGAATCCCCGCCCGTCTCCCTCACCCGCCAGATGGGCCACATGCACAGCATGTCGACGGACCGCAACGGCGGCGGCGGCGGCCGCGCCAGCCTCCAGTCCGGCTCCCTCCGCGGCAGCCTCGACACCGCCGGCTTCGGCTCCAACAAGGCCCGCCTGCCCGGCGACAAGATCACCATCGTCGACTGGCAGCCCCCCAGCCAGAGCATGATGGCCAGCCAGCTGATGGAGGTCGACCAGCTCCGCCAGCTGACCGCGTACGTCAAGGGGTCGGAGGACGAGCTCGAGAAGCACAACGAGCTGAAGACCGCCATCGAACTCGCCGTAAGTGGTTCTCTCTCTCTCTTTTTTTTTTCTTTCCTTTTCTCCCTTGCGCCCCTTCCCACATCAGAAAAAAAAACCCCCCTCTACCCCCACCCTCACTGCGCTTGACTGACCACCGTCGCGACCGCAGTACTCCCCCCGCCACCCCAACTTCTCCCGCGCCATGACCAACTGGCAGCGCAAATCCGAATACCTGCTCCGCGAGATCGTCAAGTTCCGCACCTACATCGACAGCCTCGCCGCCGCCCAGAAGGTCCGCGACCAGTACTACGCCACCCGCCTCGAGGGCCGCCTGTCCCCCGTCGTCAAGAACGACGGCGCCGCCAGGGGCCTCCTCACCCCGAACTCGATGAAGGACGTCCAGCCCAGGGGGATCCACACTTCGGGTTGATCCGTCCGTTCCTCTCCGCCCCGACATTCAAACGTCCCCCCACACGCGCGCGCCTTTTCTGTCCACAAGGAACGCACGCACGCATCCGCGACGACGACTCCTCCATGATGTCCCCCTCGAAAATACCCGCCCACAAAACAAACAATCTACACTCCTCCTTTTTTCGGCTTCTCCCTGTTGTATTTCTTGGCTCCCGCCGTGCGAATCTCCGAGATGGGCGGCCCAGTCCCTGCTTCTCTCTCTCTCTCTCCCTCTCTCTCTGTTTTCTTTTAGGGAGCTCGTCCGCACGATACGACGACGACCACCGCCGAATTTTTCGCGAACGGCCATGTTTTTTCATACACTATTACCATCATTACCATCATCATCATCATTATATCACGACGGAACTGAAGACTCTCCCCTACTGTTCAAATCTACATCTTTCTTTTGCTTGTTGAAAATACATCGGGCCAAATACATCGGGCCGGTAAAGCTCACGTCGCGTTTTTCCGTCCCGTCCTGCCCGGTTTTTGGTTTCAGATCGGATCGCTTTTCGCCGCCTCTTCGCGTCGGGCGCGAAGGCGCGCGCTGGGACGTCGACACGAGGGCGAGGGAGAGGGAGCGACAGAGGGCCGGGACATCCTTGTACTCTACTGTACTGTACCGTGGTTTCGAAACGGAGCGGGGAAATGGGAATTTCGCCCTTTTCTCCTGCTATTTCTTTTTCTTTTTCTTTCCCGTTTTCTAGATGTCGGTCCGGGATGATGGAACGGCCATGTCTCTCTCTTTTTCGCTCCTTTTTCCCTTTTTTCTGCGAATGTCGGGAGAGGAGAGGAAGAAACAAAAGGGCCTCCTGTCGTGGATGTCGCGGGCGGACGGACGGATTGTAAGATGGAATTGTAAGATCATCCTTGCTTTGTTCGCGCTTGGTTTTGGTGACGTTTCTTATGAAGGGGAGTCTTCTTCTCCTGTCTTGCCTGCTTGCTTGATTGAGCACATTTGTGGAATTGTATTTATTACTCTGTTTTTATTTTATTTTAAATACGAACGACCCTTGCTGCTGCTTCTTCTTTTCTTCCTTCCATATATCCAGACTTTTGTACTTGGGAACGGAACAGAAGAGAGCGAGAGAGAGTGGGAGAGAAATCGTCTATGCCTCCTTCCTTCTCCTCGCTATTGTCCACCAACATGACGCCGGCTTCCCTGGCTGAGTAAAACCGGGCCCAGCAGCCCAAGGAGGAGAATAATTAAGCTGATGAGTTCCCACAGAAGGATCTCTCCTGTCTTTCAAGGTTGTCTTGGCTGACAGACAGACAGACGGACTGATGACCGACTGACTGACTGACTAACGAACCTGGAACCCTCCCCTCCGTCCGCGTACCACCACCAACCAACCACCGCTTGCGACACACGACCCCACTCGTCATTTGTCACCCCCCAGGGATTAGATTCCCTCCCGTCTCTCGGCGCAACGACGACGACGGGAGATATTTCATTTTGTGATGATACCCGTCGACCAAGTCAAGCGACATCCACCAAAAGAATTGCTCGGTACATCACGTCCAGGATCTCATCGGGGAGTGATCAAGGGTCTGCGGCGGGCAAAGTTATATGTAAATCGCAACCTGATCAGCCCGCCCAACGAACGAGTCAGATGCAGGGCGCGGACAATGCGAGGCGCGAGTGCCTAGCTTGAGAGAGAGAGAGAGCATCCATGGGAAGTCGCAGCAATATACGACCATCATAGCACTTTACAAGAAAGCACGAACGCCAATTTGGATCAGGAAGAACTTGCCTGTGATCTGATCAAGTTGGCAAGAACCCGATCTTATTAATACTCCGCAGTCTGGATCGAGATCACGAAGCTTCGGTCGACTCAGGACCTTCGACCAACCCAGATCATCGAAGCCCATCGACCACAGCAAGTCCACCGGATTCGCGCACCGACGAGCCCCTCAGCAGGGAAGATGTCGTCAAGGCTCCAACTCGATGTGAATTTCACTCCCGACCTCGTCTCCGCCGAGAGCGGCGCCGATAGCCCCCGGTCCAAAATCGCCGAGCGCCTGAAAGATCTCGACCTGCGACCCTGGGATGTGCCCGCTCCGACATTCAGGCCGACCGGCGCCGCCAAGACACGGGCAGAGTCTCCCGGACCCGCCCAGCATTCCTCCTTCTCACCGCGAAAGCGTCGAAAGAGTGTCTCCAGTAGATGCGACGGCCAGGAGGAGGACTCCGCCGAGGTTCCCCCTCTCCACATCGAATTCGCCTCGCCACCGCCACTACCTCAAAACGAACGCCCGGAACTACTCCCGATCCACCTCCCTCCAACACAAGACACCGACAACCTCCCCTCCAAATCCAAACGTCTCCACCCCTTCCCCTCCCCTTCGCCCATGGACGAAGACTCCGACGCCGACTCCGAAGTCAAAGGCTACGGCCACCGCACCGCCGCCACCACCACGCCATCCTCCCCCGACCGCGCCGCGCTCACCTGGAAAGACTCGGAGATCACGGGGCACCGCATCGACGCGGCGTCGGGCGACGACGACGGCGAGGGCATCAACGGCATCGGCTTCCGGCCCACGCCGGCGATGGCGTCCGCCCGCCGGCAGAAGCGCCGCCAGCAGGTCAGCGAGTGGAAGGCGCGCGAGGCGCGCGACGCCCGGCAGCGACGCCTGGACCGGAGACGCGGCGGGGGCTCGATCTCGCGCGATCGCTCGTCGTCGGCGGCGTCCGGGGTGCGCTTCGAGGTGCGCGCGGGCGAGATGCGGCCCGCCGGGCGCGTGGTGAGGTTCGTTTAGCTGGCGGAGGAGGACGAGCAGGGGGGGAGGGGCGAAAATCGCCATGCAAACATGAAAGACCACCGTTATGTGCACCTCCTCGCGGCGGCGCGGAAGATGTATCTGGATCTGGATCTTGTACATCGTACAGCAGGAGGCTGTGATTATATAACGGCGCTGTCCTCGCGCGCGCGTAAATAATGGTACATGACAAAAGATTTTTCTTCGATCTATTACAAAAGGGGAGAAAAAAAGAAAGTGGCCCGCCCCCAAACAGAACGCTTCAACTCCTCTAATCGAAGCCATCGTCCTCCTCGGCCCCCGACTCATGCATCCCTGAGGCTTCGCCCTCGCGCGAGCCGCACGAGATGGTGCCGTACGAGGGCCGGAACGGCCACTCGAACCAGGCCTGCATCAGCTCGTCGATCATCTCGTCCGTGAGCTGGCGGACGACGACGCGGTGCGGGTTCAGGCGGCCGCCGCGGCGCGGGTCCGCCAGCGTCGGGAGGGACGGCAGCAGGTCCTGGACGGCGCCGGGCGCGATCTGCTCGAGCGCCTGCAGGAAGGGCCGGCTGCGCGAGTGGAAGAGCGCCTTGATCAGCTCGTGCGTCGCCGCGCACACCTCGCCGCGGCTGGCCAGCCCCGCCACGCGGTAGTCGGCCGTCCGCGGCACCACGTCGAGCAGCGTCATCGCCTTGGCCGGCAGCGCGTCCCCCGGCGACGCCTCCAGGCTGGGGTACCGTCGCTTGTGCGGCACCCCGCGCGGCGGCGCCGCGAACATGGCGATCTGGTCCTCGGTGATGTGGTGGTACCGGTCGTAGAGGAGCGGGCTGCTGTCGTGGACGGATTCGCCGAGGGCGAGGATCCGCTCGCGGAGCCCGCCGAGCCTCCGGGCGAGGGCGCCGTCGTCGCCGGCGGCCCCGTGCTCGGCTTGCAGCCGCTCCTCGAGGTTCTTGTAGTTGGCCTCGAGGTGGAAGACGGCGAGGAAGCTGTCGGAGTAGAGCATCGCCCGGATGCGCCCGAATTTGTTCTTGTAGTCATTCCCGGTCGGGTAGATGGCGGCCGCACCGAAGACCATCGCCTTCACCTGGGGATGCTGGATCGCGGCGGCCAGTTCCCGGAAGGCGACCAGCCGCTGGTTGCTCGAACCCACCCCCACGCCGTTGGCCGCCGCCGTCGAGAACCTGTGCCATCGCGATTCTACAAGATCGACGGCGTCGGCGAGCTCGTCGATGCTTTCGCAATCCAAGCGACCCGGGAATACGAATTCCTCTCCGTCGTCGGTGACGTTGACCTCGGGGTGGACGACCGGCCTGTCCTCGGGCACCGTCATCCCGAGGGCTGCCAACCTCTCCTCCGCATGACGGCGGCTCAGACCCACCATCGACGGCGTCAGTTGGCGAGGCGGGGCCAACCCCGGACCATTCAGGTACTCGTTCACGCCCGTCACGCACTCCACGACGGGGGTGACGGAGGCGCAGACCGACGCCGCGCAGTTGAACGACACCATGCCGCACATGTTCCTCTGCATCAAGTACGACTTGACGACGTCCGAGGTCCACCAGAGCATCCGGACCGGCCCGCGGTTGTGCACGAGATCCCTCGCCAGGCCGGCCCAGAACATGTGCTGCAGGATCAGCTCCGCGTGGCGGACGCGGCCGAGGGTCAGAACGTTGCGAGCCCGTCGGCTGAGGTTGCCCGTCACGAGCAGTGAATAGTCGATCTCGTTGAGCTTCGGATCGTCGGGAGCTCGCGACGGGCGAGGATCCATCAGTTTGCCATCCGTGAACAACGTCGCGTAGTTTGACCAGTAAGATCGGGGATGGGCCCCGGTCATGGTCGTGTGGCGGTATGTCGAGCCGGGGGCCTCGAGCAGCGGCTTGATGAAGGGCTCCACGTAGTCCTCGTCGGGCTCCATGAGGATGTGGCGTTTCGGTTGGAGGAAATCGTGAAGTTTGGACGACCATAGACAGACCCCGGGGTTGACGTCGATGATCGTGCATCCTTTGTATGGCTCCAGCGTCGGAGCCAGATACTTGATAATGTCATCTGTGATTTTTTTGGTCAGCGCGGTCGCCGTTGTCACGCGGTGTGGACGTGTGTCAGGATTCCGTCGTACCACAAAGCTGCTCGCCTACAATGTCCGCCCGGTTGGTTAGATGATCTCGTGCGTCGCTGTTCCAACTCGTTTCGGCGTAATCTTTGGGGAATACAGCCTTGAACTTGGTGCGGATATCGTCAGACGGCAGCCATGATGTGCGCGTTTTAGGCCCAGGTTTCTTCCTGACAGCACGTTTCTTGTCGGCAGGGTCCATGGGAGGTCTCCCACGAGGACGTTTGATGGTCGTGGCTGATTCCTCGTCGGCAGGTTTCTTGGGAGCTGGAGGCCTGCCCATTCGAGGCTTGATTTTGGGAGCGGCAGCAGCATCATCGTCGCCGGCAGGGTTCTTGAAAGGTCTTCCACGAGGACGTCTAGTCGTGATGGCGGCCGTGGCAGATTCTATTCCCCCTATACTTATCGCCGCCGAGTCTGACTTGATGGCGTTTGCTGCGGCTTGCAGGAATGCCCTGGTCGCGTGCACCATAGGGAGAAGTTTTGCATCAATATCCCGAATCCGTGTGCGCTTGAAATGATGCTGGGTCCATCAGACGAAAATCGGAAATCGTATGCAAACGGTGACCTTGTCGAAATTCGTTCGCGCTCGGCTTCAAGATGGGTTGTTGTCGATATATGTATGGAGTATGGAGTATGGAGTATAAAGGGTATGTGGTAGATGGAGTTGAATTGTTACAGCACTGTCGCCTGCCTGAATATGGACGGAAATGGGGTGGAGAAGCGCGCGCGCCACGCCCGGGCGGATCAACGCAAACGCGCCTCTTCGATCAGGCACCCAGCCCGGTGCAGGTATTAAATATTATCACGGATTCATATATATGTATATATATACAAGAATATACCAAACCGTGAGTGTTTATTATTCAACTGAACATGGACTCGTCGCGAACAACATCCTTCGATCGCAGATCTGTCCTGTATTGATGGAAACTGTTCTGATACATCCGACAGTGAAGGCACACCCCACCAAGGCCGGCCAGATGCTCGCATCGTAATAAACCATTCGAGAGTCTTCGCTGGATCTTGGGAATCAACGACCACGACGTCTTGCTACGTATCCAAGCAGGAAATCGTTGGGAGAACATGAATATCTGCACCTAGATCGAGTGCCTTGTCCACGAAAAGTTCTAACCAGAGGAGAAGTTCGCCTCTCTCTTCCCGGTCCAAATGTCATCCTCGCAGCGGCAAGCGGGACCTGCAGAGAGCAGGAGTGTAGAGGAGATTGTGCGCGATGCAAGCAATTTCGAATTCAGCATTCATCGACCCTTTCGACAATGGATACGAGCGGGTAGACAGTTGTTGACGGAAGCGACGCTTTGCGAAAACGACGACAGCGTGCAACTGGCCTATCTCTATCTCTATCGCTATGCCGAGCTCGTGCTTGAGAAGCTCCCGCAACATCCAGACTATCGAAAACCGGAATACAAAGACGAACTCGCTCAGACGCGGAGGACACTCTCACAAAGTTTGCCCAAACTTGAGAAATGGAAGCCTCGTATCGCTCAGGAGCATGAGCAACACATGCGAGCTCAAGAACAGGCAGCCATACAGAGGCAAGAGTCACGCAATGGATCCATCTACGACACGCCGCCGTACGGCAGGACGGAGCAGCCGACTGATCGGATGAGCGATCTTTCCATCAGCAGCCCAAGGAGCCCGAACTATACGGTCGACCCCGTGAAGGACCAGCAGCTTGCCATGGAAGTAGCTTACCGGGAGATTGAGCGTCGAAATGCTTCCAACTCGAATCCTCGACGAGATCGTTCACACGCCGATGAAGATCCGACTCGGGCGATCCGAGAAGCCGGGCAGCGCATCAGCAGACGGACCGACTCGCGCGACGACCGTGGATCGCAGTCCGATCTTCGACAGCAAGTCAAGTACTCATATCCAGCGATCCCGGCTAAGCCGACAAGATACGACCTAAACCCCTCGCCCGAATCTCAATCTCGCCCGAGTTATAGAGATGCGCCGCCACCACCTAGACCTGCGAAGGAGGCGATATATGGCGACGGGATGTACGATCGACCGGCACGGCCAGCCAAGGAACCAATCCCTGACCGAAGAGACTCATCCCTCACCACCGCGCCCCCTCCTATACCCACCAAACAAACCATCGTCTCCACGCCCCCAGCTCCAACCTCAACCGCTCCCCCCTCATCCCGATACACCTTCCAATCCTCCGCGCGCACCGAATCCGGCGCCCCGCTCCGCACAATCTTCCTGCCCTCCGGCCTCCGGCGCACCTTCCTCAGCGTCGCGCAGGCCAACACGTCCCGCAACCTCGAGACGTGCGGCATCCTCTGCGGCACGCTGCTCTCCAACGCGCTCTTCATCACGCACCTGATGATCCCGGAGCAGACGTCGACGTCGGACACGTGCGACACGACGGAGGCGGGGGACGCGGCGCTGTTCGAGCGGTGCGACCGCGGGCAGCTGATCGTCTGCGGCTGGATCCACACGCACCCGAGCCAGACGTGCTTCCTGTCCTCGCGCGACCTGCACACCTGCTCGGGCTACCAGGTCATGCTGCCGGAGGCCATCGCCATCGTCTGCGCCCCGCGCCACGACCCGGACTGGGGCATCTTCCGCCTCACCGACCCCCCCGGCCTGCGCCACGTGCTGGACTGCCGCCAGACGGGCCTCTTCCACCCGCACGACGAGCCGGACCTGTACACCGACGCGCTGCGGCCCGGGCATGTGGTCGAGGGGGACGGGCTGGAGTTCGAGGTGGTCGACATGCGGCCTTGAAGGGGGGGGGGGAGAAGACCTTCGTGGACACTTCCGGGCCGAGGAGGAAGGGTGGAGAAATCCGGGGGGTTTTCCGACAAAAGAGAGAGAGAGAGAGGAAGAGAAGGAGAAAGGATCGTCCTGGTCATGGGCGGGCGGGCAGGCGGTAGATAGCGAGCAGATCCATCGAGGAGACCCCACACGAAAGAACAACAACAACAACAACAACAACAACAACAACGGAACCGAAAGATTCTTTTCGATGCGATGAAGAAATTCCCATTATTTCCTCCCCTCCCCGCACGATTCTGTTCGATCTCGCGACGGTCCACGCGCTGGCTCTCGAGGCCATCGGAGCCGTTGATTTATTACTGCGTGTGAGAAAAAGTAAAAAAAAACCTTCCAGGCGGAATCCCGTTTCATTCCCCCTTTTCCCATCAATAACCCCTCCCAACGATCGAAACGCCAGGTCTCATACCCTTGACGACGACGACGATTATCCACAAGGAGACCACGATATCCCCCCCCCCATTTTTCCCAGTTGCGTAGTAGGAAAGAAAACAAAAATGCCATGTCTCGTGAATTCATCATCACACGCGATTTCCAAACACGCAAATAGAAACGCACCCCTCCCCAAACCAAGTCGTACAAGCACTCCTCCTGATGCAAAGCAACGTCTTTCACCCCGTCGTTCTCGAATCCATCATTTCTCGAAACCGGCGTTCCCGGAATTGCCCGGCATCTGGCCGCGCCGCATGCGATCCGCGCTGGTGGTGTCCATGTTCTGCCGGTTGATCCGCGCCGCCTGCTGCTCGGCGCCGCCTGCAGCGCCGAAGCCCGCGGACCGCGTGCGCAGCGGCTCGGCGGTGGGATCCACCGCGTCGCTGTCCTGCGTGAAGCCGCGCGGGGTGTTCCCCCCGGCCACGCTGCCGCCGCCGCCGCCGCCGCCGGCGCTCATGACGCTCTGTCGCGCCGGGGTGCGCGCGCCCTCGCCGAACCCGACCAGGCTGGCGGCGCCTTCGTCGGACATGCCGCCCACCGACTGGGCGTCCATGTCCATGTCCTGGCTCTCGCTCATCTTGTCGAAGTTGGAGACGTCGCCGGCCTCGCTGCCGGCCCAGGTCGTGTTGTGGCCGATGCTGCCCGTCGCCGAGGCGCTGCCGACGGTGCTGCGTTCGCGGAGCATGGCCGGGTTCCCGGACTGGTCGAAGTAGCTCTGGGTGGGTTGCACGGGGGCGGCGGCGCCGGGGGTGAGGCTGTTGGGCGTGTGGAGATTCCGGGCGGTGGTGACCCGTTCGAGGCCCGCCAGGCGGGAGATGCGGTCGGCTCGCTCGGCATCGAGTTGGTTGCTGAGGCCGGACGCTTGATGGGATTGGGCGTGGTGGTAAGGGTGGTGTCCTCGGTGACCGTCTTTGATCGCGACGGTCGATAGCTCGCTCATCGTCGTGGTGGTCGAGTTGGGCGTGCCGCTGCGAGAGCTGTGGAGACGGATGGTTCATTAGCAATGGCTCAGCCGTCGCGATTGAACGCCTCTCCGAGCACTCACGGGATATCTAGAGGAGTGACGGGGTCAGAAGGTCCGGGAGGGAAGTTGGTAAAGGATCCGGGGTTCGCCATGATGGCGACGAGGCTTCGAAGGATGACGAAACGGAAGTGCAAAGGGTCGATCAAGAAGTATGTTGTATTGCAAGAGTCTAGTTGTGTGTCTATCCTAGAGAGAGAGAGCAGGAGAGTGTGATATCGGGGAGGTTTTGAGAACGAGGAGGACCTTGCGAACGCGCTCGGGACGGAGGACAGGACAGACAGGATGCTCTTTCAAAGTCGAGAGCGCGGAGATGTCGCGGAATGATGCAGGGTGAGGGATGAAGATGATCAGTCCAGAATGGAAGTTCTTGTACAGGGATGACGGTATCGGTATCAGTCCAGAGAGGAAGTTCTTGTACAGGGCGAATTGGACGTTTGGAGAGGGAAGTTGAAGAGAAGAGAAGAGAAGTTGAGAAGAAGAGAAGAGGAGGAATGTGATGAGACAGACAGTCACGATGGACCCGTGAGGAGGAGGAGATGCCTGGTGGTGTGAATGTCCAAGACCTCGTTTCGCGTCTTTGTTTGTTCGTTTGTTTGTGCGGTTCTGTGTGTATGTATGCGCGCGCAGTGCATATGGTAGTAAGTGGTAAGCAACGTGTGATTTTGTGAACTCGTCTTTGTGCTTTGAGATTAGGTAGGTAGGTATAGGTTGGGAGGTGATGATTGTTGTTATTATTCCAACCGCGTCCAAAAAAAGTTATTCCTGTGTGTCTATACACCTGGGCAGAGAGAGAGGGAGAGGGAGAGAGAGGGGTGGAACTGCAGTCAAAGTTACCCGCCGCCCCACCTACGTGCATAAATACATAATACATATATACACAAATACACATACATACATACATACATACATACATACATACATACATACATACATACATATACATACATGCAGGTGTATATACACATATACACAGAACAGTACAGTACAATAATAATACAGCAACACAGTAATAATAATAATAATGATAATAATGATAGTAATGATAATAACCCACGGAGGACCTACAATACTACCTGAGTGCCTCCAGTACCTAACGCGGGGCACGGGGGTTCCGGACACACGGGGGTTCCGGACGCGAGCTTCATGAATCTTACTACGTTGACTTCAACGCGTTATGGCATCGTCAAAACGCGTCCGAATAAGTCCAAATGAAGGCAGTGTCTTGCTTGCTTTATCTGCTTTGAAGTCAAATACGTGCAGTTCAATCACAGCTGCTGCTAAAGCTTATGGAGTTCCGAAATCAACGCTATACGATAGGATGAAAGGAACTCCTTCGCGAGAAGATTATGTACCACCGAAGATGAAACTCAGTCCTATAGAAGAAGAGGTACTTCTAAAAGACATCTTGAAGCTAGATTCTCAAGGATTATCGCCAACCACAAACCTGGTACGATCAATGGCCAATTCTATCTGCCAAGCCAAAGGAACTCCACCAGTCGGCCAAAATTGGGCTAGGACATTCATAAAGCGTACTCCTGCCCTGACAATCAAACTAGGAAGGACTTACGAGTGCCAAAGAAGATTGTGTGAGACTCCGGAAGTCATTGAAAGCTGGTTCGCCCTGGTACGCAACACAATCAACAAGTATGGCATCTTGCCTGGAGACATGTACAACTTCGATGAGACTGGCTTTCAACTAGGACAAATATCTACTTCCAAAGTAGTCACTTCTGTTGAGAAGCAAGGTCGGCCAAAGCAGATTAAACCTACAGGTACTGAATGGGTCACAGTGATCCAAGGAGCTTGTGCAGACGGATCAGCTATACCGCCTTTTATCATCTTCAAAGGCAAAGAAGTCAACTATGGATGGGTCTGCGAAGGCTTGCCTGCAACGTGGATGTTTACAGCAAGTCCACGAGGTTGGACAAACGATCAAATTGGACTACAATGGATCCATCACTTCGCTAAACACACAAAGTCGAAGACAATTGGTAGCAAGCGGCTGCTGATTTTAGACAACCATGGGAGCCATACGACACCAGAGTTCACTTCTTTTTGCAAAGATAACAACATTGTCCTTTTGTGGATGCCGTCTCATACGTCGCATATGCTGCAGCCGCTTGATGTTGGTTGTTTTGGCCCTTTGAAGCAAGCCTTCTCAAAACGGACTCAAGGCTTGATTCGCAACCATATCTTCCATATCGACAAGAGCACCTTCATGGCAACGCTCTACGCAGCATATATCGATGCGATAACATCGAACAACATCCGAGCAGGCTTCAGAGGCTCTGGTTTGCACCCCTTCGACCCTGAAGTAGTGTTGTCCACGTTGGACCCGATATTTCCATCACCTCCGCGGCCTCTTTCACAAGGTTCATGGTGTACAAAGACCCCAAAGACTACTCAAGAAGTTGATCAACAAGCTACATTGATCAAACGGAGGCTTGAGAGGCATCAGAGCAGTTCACTAACTCCAATATTCGAAGCCTTAAATCAACTTTCTAAAGGAGCTCAAATGATTGCAACTTCAGCAGCTCTTCTTCAATCACGAGTTACAGATCTAGAAGCAGCTAATGCTGCAACGCACATACGCAAATCAAGGAAAAGGAAGTCAATCCCAGCAGATGATGCTTTGTCAGTCCAAGCAATACAACGCTTAGTAGACACAGAGGAGGTAGAAGCACAAATAATAGAGGAGATGCCAAGGCCTGCCAAGCGGACAGCGAGGTGTAGCAAATGCAGATCAACAGCTCATACAGCCAGAACTTGTACAGCATAAGAGATAGCATTGATGTATTATATCCTTCATTTTGAAGACTATACATAAATTATTGATCAAGATATTCATTCTTGAATGCAACGCATTCAAGAATCGTGTCCGGAACCCCCGTGTGTCCGGAACCCCCGTGCCCCGCGTTAGTATTGATTATCATGATGAGGCAAGCGGGAACTGGTGGTTGTCCTACGAAAAAGCCCTGGAGCATACCCACCCGGGCAGTAGCTGATCTCTCTCGACCAGCAGCATTCCTTTTTCCGTCTCGTCTCGTCTCGTCTTACATGGTAGACTGTATAACTCTACAGGCACAAGAACATCGCGCGTCCGCCTGACTTTTGACATCGCCAGCTCCACAAGCCATCGCAAAAGGGTGCGTCTGCTGCTGCTGCTGCTGTAGTCGTTTGAGGATGCACGCGCATCTGCATGCCTCGGAAGCATGTGCGTGGAGATCGGACGTGCGTCAGGTTTGCATTTACAAACCATCTTCGACCCGTCTTTACCTGGGTACGTAGGTAGCTATCGGATGGACGTGCATGGCCGGAGTCGGCACATGGATCCCGGCGGCAAGCTCGACCGCACGCCTTTGTCACCGACCCATCGATGCTCGGGCGGTATAATCACAGTCGAGAGCAGGTCCAGCCATGTACCGCCTAGGCTTGTCCTGTATCCTGGACATCGGAACCCGGCTAGATCGAAGGACCGCCTATACATGCAAACGTGATGCCGGGCCTCGCTTCAAGGCCGTCGTCCAACTCACCTCGCCCGTCGATTTCAAACGCACGATCGCTTCTCCGGGATGGAAGAATTGCATTCATCAGAGAGCGACTGGCCTCCGAGGATTTACATGCGCCTCGATCTATCCAAGTGTGGCCGGCCTCGGGTGATCGGGACGTGGTAGGTCTTCTTCAAGGGCTTGTATTGAGAGGATTGAGAGGCGGTTTATATCAACCATGATGTTGGAGTTGAGAGGATCGAGAGGCGTGTTATCGATCATGATGTTGAAGACTGCGCACAGCGTATGTATATGGTTGGCTCTTTGTATCGTAATGTAATGATGCCCAGGGAGTCGAGATGTTTATGAAAATGATGCCCAGGAGTCAATACACCTACTTAGGTATATATGGAAGTAGTCTCATCAATAATGCGACTGACGATAACAATCCCCTCCCCTGCCTGGTTGGAATTGTGATGAAACTGGAGAGAGAAAGACGTCTGCTGCTGCTGCCCACACTTTGCGGGGTGGGGCAGACTTTGTAGTAGTAATGACCAAACAAAACCGACGCCAGTCGAGCGTGATTTGCGTCACACTGCCCAATGCGAGATCTGCGCTGGCGAGCGATCATCCTTGCAGCCGGTCTGATGAGCCAAATCTTTCAATGCCCTGTGTTTGACGGAGAAACCACCATCGTCGCAACACGCCCATTTGACATCGTCTGCACTGGACGCATGTTGTGCCGGCACTCGGGCCAGTGTGTAGCATCACAGCACTCCCGCCGTCATGTCGGGCAACCCATTTCGGCGGCCGCAGACTGACAAAGAGCACGACGGAGTCGACTCGGATCACTGTACGCGCATGCCACACCTGAATCCCGCTTGTCATCGTCCTCTCGCGGGCGCAACCATACTGACCATACGCCACTTTAGCGACCCAGTCAGCACGGACGGCCGCGAAGAAGCGAGTCAAGATCCAGACGCCGCCACGATCGCCCGAGACCACGCTCGCGCCATCACAGAACAGCACCCGCCGACCTATCGCGGGCACCCCGGTACGAGCAAAACCTGGCTTTGCGGATGGGAGTGACTCCAGTGCGGCAGAGGATGATGGTCCTGAAGAGGCGGACTTGAGCATCAGATACGGCACACGCGCGGCGCAAGGGATTTCGGCGACGTCGTTGGCGAGTGGGAAAGGCGCGCCGTACAATCCTTTCGCGCGAACATTGGCGACAAGCGAAGCGGAAACGAACTTGCAGATACAGCCCTCTCCAGGGCGCGACGAGAACATCCGCAGTGAACAAGGAGTCGATGCTCGAACCGAACGCCCGATCCTGGACGTGGACGCATTTACAAGCATACTTCTCACCGGAAAGGCTGTACCCACGGCTCCTGTCGACAGGACATCACCATCAGCGACAGCTTCAATAGCACCGACGAGTGGCGGCCTGGACGGCCGTATAGATCCCATGGCGGCCTTTACAAGACATTCGATATTTCATCAGTCACACAACATCCACCCCGAGTCGCCTCGGAGCTCGTTCGACTACGATCGATCCGAATCGGAGGATGACGGATTCGAGGGCGATGGCAACAAGCTGATGGGACGAACCGACTTTCGCTCGCAGGATATTGCACCTCAAGCTCCCCCCAAGCCAAAGGTCCGTGGCCCACAAACCGTTTCCTTTGCAGATTTCGATCAATCGATCCCGCCAGGCTTCCAGTCCACCTCCGGCCGAAGGTCTCCTCCGGTGAACACGCATCTCCATGGAATTCTTCGGCCGACTTATGCGAGGTCCCCGAGCGATCTTAACAAGCCGCTCCCGTTACCTCCGCAAGACCCATTCACATCGCCAGCACCACCTGCGCCGGCCCCTGAAAAACCAATCCAACCTAGCGAGGCTGTACCATCCCCACCGCTACCCGCAACACCCGCTCCTGAGAGCGTGGTTGAACAGACAGGCGTGAAGAAAAAGCCACCGCCACCGCCGGCTACACGACGGCTGGCGGCTAGCTCTGAGCGGCCGCGAGACAAACCGGACTCGAGATCCGACACAGGCCTCACCGCAGATCGGCCGCCGGCAGCGACAGACAGGAAAGCAAGCGACGCCACAACAAAAGCGTCATCCCAGCCGCCACCACCACCACCACCGTCACGCAAAGCCCACTCACCTGCTACTGTACCAACCGTAGAGGCGGATGTGCAAGTCACGGCCGAGCCGCCCGTCTCGACGGCACCTGAAACGAATACAACGTCCGACCCAAAGACAACACCTCGGCCTCCGCCACGCCGCCAACCGTCCAGGACAGGATCGAGCGTCTCGCAAACTCCTCCCGAATCGAGCGTGCCAGTCCCCAAGGATGAGGCCGTGGCCGAACCGTCCAAACCACCGCCGCCGGCACCGTCGTCTTCAGCGGCGCCCCCACCTCCACCGCGGCGCCGAGGCGGAGCGTCCTCCAAACGAAACAGCGGCGAGCACAGTCGACGACTGAGCACACACAGCTTCGACAGCGACCGGAACGCCAGCGTCTCAAGCTTACCTTCTTCACGGAATCTGGAGGCTGTGGCCGACGACGACGAGGCGGTGATCGAGACACCAGTTGCGGCAACAGCAGCAGCAGCAGCAGCAGCATCGTCATCACCAACAGCTCCGGCGCAATCAACACAGCAGCAGCAAAAACCTGACCAGAGTACTATCCTCGCCGACATGTCCGCTTTCCAGGCAGAGATCGACGCGCTCATGGCGAAAGCGGACCGCGGCCCGACCGACAACAACAGCGGCAATGGATGAAAAACCCCTTTGGGCCCTTTGCTGCCGACGGCGAACGTCTCTCTGCGATGGAATCTGCACGCATGCATGCAATTTACATCGGAGGGCAACTCAGCACAAGCGTGCCATTCGAACCGACGCCAAAACAGCGACCCTCGAAATTTACTCTGTCCAAGCGTCACCCATACCCTCTCCCCTCCCAGCATCTTCCCTCGAATCGCGGGTCATCCCCAAGCCGAGAACGGCCCCTCGAGCCCTGCTCGAAACAATCCAAAGTCCGCGGGACACACGTAAGCGCGGAGAGAGTTCGGTCGTCGGCTCGCCTCGGAGACAGGAAGGGGAGGCTCCCTTCGCTTACCGTGTTACGACAGGGACGTCTCAAGTGCGCCTCGCTTTCGTGAAGGACACAGCCGGCTCACAGAGGGACCGGGGTCGCACGGTTGGGGACCGATCGAGCTCGATTCGCGGATCGGTTGGGGTTTGGAAATCTTCGATCACCCGAGCAGAACACCCACCCACCCTCCCCTCTCCTCTCTGCACATCGAGGCGGATGGATCACAAAATTCGAGGAAGATCCCCCCATCGGACGGCAAAGCGAGACGGGGTGTTTCAACCGTTGTAGCAGGACGGGCGTGCAGCCCTGCCGTGTCCTCCCTGTGCGATCCGTGGTGGTGATGTGTGAGCGTGTGACAGATTGGACGATCGTCGTGATGGGGCGAGAGGGGACCGCGAGAAACAGAAAAACAGGGTCTGGTTGGAGTCCTGGTTGCGACGAGGGGCGGTGGTGGCACAACGCTTGACGAGTCATTCATCCATCCATCCACCCATCGAGAGAGCGGAACCTTATTAATCTTTTTCGACGCGGAACGTCCGTCCGTAAATAGTTCTCCCCCCGATCGTGCTGTAGCCGTGCCGTGCCGTGCTGTGCTGTCCCGCGACGAGATCCCATCGACGATCTGCGCCCGAGAGGATCTGCAGTTCGGCACACACTGTGGTCTCCCGTCCCAGTCGAACTTTTCTGATTGGAAAGGATGATTTCGATCGGTAGGCGTCGCTTCGTCTTCGTTTGGGATTTTTTCGGGCCATAGTGAAGGTCAGAAGAGGAGGGAAATCTCGGTCTCCGCCGTCGCCGAGCCTGATGCTGAGGTGTAGAGGCTGCACCGCCGTGACAATCAGATGCGGGCGTTTCATGCGCGTCAGTCCTGGCTCCGGAGGGTAGATACATGTGAGGGACCGCACCGTGCCGTGGAGTGGTTTGGCGCGAACCTTGAAACGAGCCTGAAGAAGTCACCCGTTAGTGCGCCGACGAACCTGCATCGCTGTCGGCTATGCAGGTGCTAAGCGGTTGTGCTCGTCGTCTGCTGCTGGGGCTGCGAGCAAGTGAGGTCGGAAAGTGCCGTAGCCATTGTCTCGCTCGCGGCCCTTGCAGCCCTCAGATTTCATCTCCGCTCGCGTTCTTGACACAATGCCTTGGATGATGCTGTCGAGCCTTGACCCTGGATTCTACAGGGCGTTCCCGTCCAAAAAAAATAAAATTACAAAATTCTTGACGAGTCGAGCTCGCCGGCACAGCAGTGAATGCTCAGGTGTAGGTGCAGGTCCTTCGTGAATCTCGCGCACCACACCCATCCGCTGACAGCAAGGTGTCATCACGATGCGGAAGTGATGCGCGCAACAGGAAGCTGTGCTGCATCGGTACAGGATGGAAGCCGTGGGAGGTTTGTGTGCGTTGGTGGAACTAATGTCGCCTTCATTTCACGCGCCGAGTATCCTCACTCCAACCCGACGATCATCTCCGGATCGGCGGCCTCGCAGCAAATGCGACTTTTCAGACTTTTCTAAGATGGCTGATATCGCCTTCTGCGCAAGCTCAACGTGGGATCGATCGCCAGCGAGGTTTGGAATAGCGCTTCTTGACCGCCGGAGTTTACTCCGGACTCCACCCGGATCGAGATTGCCTCCGAGAACAATTTGACTTTGGTGGGTTTTCCACCATGGCGGCAATGATCCTACCCGCTCGATGTCTTGACCTCTGCAGGGCGGATCAACTCCTGATTCCAAATTGGTCCAGACATGCATGCGACTTGTCGACGTGTGCGACGCCAGCAATGCATCGCATCTTCTGCTCCAGAGGTTTCCTGTGCGTGTTGACGATCATGGACAGGGTGCGCGCGCCGTGCGAGGGCCCGAGGGAGAACATGATGACGGTAATTGGGGAACAGATGCACAAAGTCGTCGTCGACCGGTCATGGGTGTTGTCACGATCGTACCGCAGGCGTCATCTTCGCGTGCTCTTGAAAGTGGCTTGCCAAGTGCTTGCACGAACCGGCAGAAGCATTGGCTGTTTTGGGAGATTCCTTTGTCGCTTCGAGGCAGAGGCTCTAGGGGTTTGCTGGGCAGTCTGAGCCTCTGTGACGAGCGAAGATGATGCTCGTTGGACGAGGCAACAACATCCGTCGCCTCGCCGCTCGAGGCAGCACGCCGTCAGCCTGACGTCCTCGCATGGGTTACATTCTCTAGTCGTAGGTTTGCGTCCGTCGAACGTACCTGACAAATCCACACATGTTCCGCTTAAAGACGGTTCGTACGGGGTAAAGGTGAGATAGCTGGTGGGTTTCACCACCCCGGTCACAGATATTTGAACTGCATGCGCCTCTCTGAGGTCCGTCCAGTTGGTCTGCTGTACGGCGCAATTAGCTATGCGATTCCAGCGGACCGATGCAGCCCGAGTGCGACATGGATACGCCATTGTCTGTCATGTTGACACGAGCCGACCGTCTTGACAAATTCGATCGGGCGTGGTAAGATGTAAACACCCTGTGAAAGATAAGTACAATCTCTGATTCAACCGCAACCGGACAAGACCCAGCTGGCATTTGCGAGATTCGCCGCAGGAGAACAGATTCGAGCCGCCATACTGTGAGTAAGTAATAACGGAGTTGAAAATTTCCAGGTTCCCATTGGCGACCTGTATGGTCTGTTCTGCATACCTCCAGGGCTGCTGCTATGTAGGTATCTCTACATCTACACAGCAAAGTCAACCTCCCTCCGACCCATCCATCTTTCACGAGTCATTTTTACACCTTGAGCCGTCATCGCACGTGGCAAACTCTGATTCGTACAAGTGACTTGGGTGACATAGACGTGGGACTGATAACAGACCAGACCAGACCAGACCAAACCATACCATACCATACATTTCCATCTGCGCATTCACCATCAACTGCGGCCAAGTCTCTTTCCGGTCATGACCTCGGATCGTGATGTGAGCGAACCGTCCGACCAACCACCTGACAAGGTTAAGATCGAAAACATGACAGACCCGGATCCATCTTCGAGTGTGCCGATGCGCAAGCGGACCGTGACCGCTGTGAGTACGGCGATGGCCAGCGACGATGTTGAGGTATACTGTGCGCTGATTCATCAATCAAGTGTGACCAGTGTCGACGACGGAAGACCAAATGTGACGGAGCGCATCCATGCGCGACTTGCAGCAGCATCGGGTGCCGTCAACAGATCCGCAAACTTCGTGCATATGGCTCGCTGACGACTTCCCTTAGCCTCGATTGCTCGTATGGCACCCGCATCAAACAAGCTCGCGGGCCCAAATATGTCGGCTATCTCGAACAGAAAGTCTCGCAGCTGGAGACGCAGATGAAGGAGGTCTTCTCCGGCGACCTGCGTGGCAATGATGACGACGACAGCGTGGTCGGCATGCATCATTCACCGACTTCGACATTCGGAAAATCTTCAAGGTCTGCTATCGACGATCCGTGCTGCGAAATCCCTCCCAATCGTGCGCGTGAAACGATTGCGTCGGTCGAATGGGGACCTGACAAAGATCAGATACAGAAGGCCGGGCGAAGGATCTTCGTCGAAACGATCCGTTGGCCACACAATAGACCCAACGCCTCCACACGTATGTCATATGGAAGTCCTTGTGGCTTGGAAATTCTTCGTCGACTTCGCGCCTTGTGCAGTGATTATGTTGATATCGCAAGTCATCAGGAGGACCCAAATATCAACAGTTTGATCAACTCGCTGGACTTCTCCTTCTCTATCCAGAGGTCTTCTGCACAGCTCGGAGCGGGAGTCGATCTGCCTCCTGAAGCGGAGGTCGTTTACCTGGTCGACGTGGCGTTCCGCGAAGCTTTCATTCTCTGGCCGTTCCTCGAACGCGGATACATCGATGCCATCATAACCTACCTGTTTCGTGGTCGTGAGCTTCTCCAGGACGATATGACCAATCGTGACAACCTCGCATTGCTGCAAGCCGTCCTGGCTTTAGGACAGCGTCATGATTCAAGAAGTCTTATCAACAGGGATGAGGGCACTTGGGTAGGCAGGAACAGACATGTTCCGGGGTATGTGATCTGGCGAACCTTTCGCGGAGAACAATGACTGACGGCTCGTTGCCAGTAGTGCAAAATTCTTTATCGCGGCGTCACAGGTCGTGGACACCACGAATTGCTCGAGAAATCTCGTCGCCGTCCAGACCATGCTTTGTTTCGCCATCTATACGCAGTCCATAAATGCTGCGACTTTGTGCAATTCTTTCACCAATGCGGCCACTGGAGCTGTTCTGAGGATGGGCCTCCACGAGTTGCCCTCGGGCTTGCCATACGGAGAGCGTGCCTTGGGCGTGCGCATCTGGACAGCCGCCCGCGTCTTCGACACATATGCGAATTCCGCACTAGGGATGCCGAGTCAGATATGCTTACGGCCGCGATTCGAGGATCATCTCGACAGATACCCGGCATTGACTGATCCGCGCTCTAACACCGCACTGGTCGCGAGTGATGCTCACTCCAAACTGATGGACATTCTCGGCATGATTGTTGAATTGTGTTATTACAACAACGAACACGCGACCAAGCGTGATGGAGGCTACAGTGTCCAATATCTTCTGCTCAGAAGTGTTGAGATGAAGTTCAACGAATGGGCCAAGCAGTACTCTTCTGGCAATAATCTTCCGTTGCAGAACTTGAGCCGGTGAGTCGTTTGGTTTACCCTGTCGACGACATGAGCATGGCAACTAACGACATTCATGGAGGCCACAATTAATGCTTGAGCTCTCTTACGAATATGCTCGCCTTCTCCTCTTTAGCCCTTTCTCCTACAGTGCCGCTGAGCAGCCCCCGGAGGACGATGCTTCCAAAGCTTATGGATTCGCGACTCAGGCCATTACCTGTTCCAGCCGCCTGGTCTGGGTGATCGAGGCATTGGAGAATCAAGGCAATCTCAACCCATCACATCCTCATATTGTTCACGCTCTTGCCTACGCGTGCGTGGTACTGCTGCACGCAGAACTCAGCAGCAGCACCAAGTACACCGACGATCCGGACTGGGGAGACTTCCGAGACGCCAGCACAAGTGCGCATCGTCTCTTGGCCAATCTGGCTCAGAGTAGCGATGCTGCGGCAGGCTGTTTGATATCGCTGACGGTATGTTCCACGCCCGATACCCCTCCCCCACGAACCAACTACGACTTGCAACGCGAAAGTCATCCAGTTGCGAGACGAAAATTTTCAGAGATTTGCTGACACGACGGGATCGTTGTATAATTTTATAGCCATTATACAATTCCCCTCGGACATCTCAACAGCTCACTCGCGGTGCGGAATTCGACATGGGCGTGAACGCCGCAGACGCCGAGATGTTCTCCCTCCCGGCGTTCGTTCCGACCAGCGAGGCACTTCCCGATGGCCACTCCCTCAGTGGGCCGAGCCTTCAGCAGTCACAGCAGCAGCAACGTCAGCAAAGGCCGGCTAGCACGGCGGAAAGCATGTGGATGATATCGTTACCTCCTGCGCATCATTATTCGAACTTCAACTTCCACGACCCTGCGACATGAAACGGCTGTTCTCACAACTTGCGGGGGAACGACCGATCGTTGCTGATGATGACCCACTTTCCGCACAGGTTCTGATTTGAACCAGCTTTTGGCTTTTCAGCAGGGTTACTTCCTTCTGTGTCGGTTTAGTCCATGTGGCCAGCTTGAATTCAGGAACCGAGCTCATTCGAGCAGACTCCTACTTGATGCCGGATGTGTGGCCAAGGCATTGAACATATGTCATGAATGGGCACGGCGATCTGAGGAAACTTTTCGCAGGAAGACGAATGTCAAGACGAGTGCCTCAGATGGAGTAGCGGTGATGCAATTGAATTCTCTTGCTGCTTAATCTGAAAGAATACTGGACGACAAGGCGGTGTCAGAGACCATGAAGCCACCCACGGGCATTGGCTGTGAGCGGTCCAGGATATGCGTTCGACAGGATCATGTGGGAATTGTCGGCGAACGGAGTTTGCAACCATGGTCCTGGAGATCATCTAACGCGACGACGCGAAGGGGGAAGTTTACCCAGCATAGTTACTTGGAGTTTTGTACTCGCTGTGGGCAAATATGTATATCGAAACTCGGAGAAGCAGCTAAGGCTTCGACGGGCAGTGGCACCTTTGATCGCAAAGAATCTACTCTCACGTTTCATTGCCTTGTCCGCCATGTTGGGAAAGTACATCATCGTCGTACTGTCCGAGCTTTGGACGAGAATCATTGGGCTATGTATTTCGGGGCGCTCGTGCTCGGGCGAGACGCTCCGGGGGTGACTAAGCAGACCCTGGCGGCGGATGGATGGCTCCCCCGAATGTTATGATGGGGCTTGAAAGTTGCAAGCACCGCCGGAAAGGTTGGCGCGTGAGGGAGAAGGCCAACGGTTGTACTCCATAGCTTGTTGATTGGAAGAAAGCTTACATCGGACAGCGAGCTCTTCTCTATATTTCCCTCAGAACCGGCACAGGGTCTCGCTTGACTTGGATTGTCACGACCTGATCACTCAGTCACGACAACTCCATCCCAGTCCAGCCAACATGTCGACTACTGGTACCCAGCGAGGCACGCCAAAGAGCAGCCGCCCGGCGAGTGCCTTCACTGAAGCATCGTCTTCACATATCCCACGTCCGAAGCTTGATTCCATGGTCAGCGATGCCAACTCGACCTTCAGCGCCAGCAGAGCCAAGCAGTCCAAGCGCGATGAGGTATGATCTCCCCTTGAGCGAGAGGCATGAAACGTTTGGCTGAACGAGTGCACACATAGGCAATCCGAATCAAATTGGAAAAGGACCTCAACAAAAAGCGTGGAGTCGCTGGCCGCGCTCGCCAGACCCGCAAGGCTCCTCCAGGCACCGTCCTCGCCCTCCGGCCCAACCAGGCTCTCCAGATCAAGCCGAACACCACCGTCACCGAGGCCGCCCAGTTGATGGCAGCGAAGCGCGAGGACTGCGTGCTCGTCACCGATGACGACGACCGTATCGCGGGTATCTTCACCGCGAAGGATTTGGCCTTCAGGGTCGTAGGAGCTGGACTCAAGGCGAACAATGTCACAATCGCGGAGATCATGACCAAGAACCCGCTTTGTGCCAAGACGGACACCAGTGCCACCGACGCCCTTGATTTGATGGTTCGTAAGGGTTTCCGTCACTTGCCGGTCATGGACGAGAACCATGACATCGCCGGTGTGTTGGATATCACAAAGTGCTTCTACGATGCGATGGAGAAGCTCGAACGGGCGTACAGCTCGTCCAAGAAGCTCTACGATGCCCTCGAGGGTGTCCAGGCTGAGTTGGGTTCCAGCCAGCCTCAGCAGATCATCCAGTACGTCGAGGCAGTCCGACAACGCATGTCTGGACCAACTCTGGAGTCAGTCCTAAACGGCTTGCCCCCTACGACTGTCTCTGTCAGGACCAGCGTCAGGGAGGCTGCACAGTTGATGAAGGAGAACCATACGACAGCCGTCCTGGTTCAGGATCAAGGTCAGATCACTGGTATCTTCACATCTAAGGATGTCGTTCTGCGAGTGATTGCTCCCGATCTCGACCCGGCGAACTGCAGCGTGATTCGCGTTATGACGCCCCACCCAGACTTCGCTCCTCTCGATATGAGCATCCAGCAGGCGCTCCGCAAGATGCACGATGGTCACTACCTCAATTTGCCGGTGATGAACAAAGAGAACGACGAGATTGTTGGTATGGTCGATGTTTTGAAATTGACCTACGCCACGCTCGACCAAATCAACGGCATGTCTACTGGCGATAATGAGGGACCTGCCTGGAACAAATTCTGGATGTCGATGGACCACGGTGAGACTGAGTCCATGATGTCTGGCGACGGTGGCAGCCACTTGCCGCCTCTCACCCCAGACCACCGCTCTGGCCTCGCTTCGCCCGACCACGGTCGAGAGCGAATTGATAACAGTGTCCTGCCCGGCGATTCTGCCTCACACCATGGCGCCCATGACCCCGATGAGCAGTCGCTGGCTGGCCCGGTCGAGGATATTCCCTTCACTTTCAAATTCAAGGCTCCCAGCGGTCGTGTTCACCGACTGCAAGTCGTTGCCTCCGCTGGCCTGTCAGAGCTCATCACTGCCGTGGCTTCGAAGCTCGGCAATGAAGTTGACGGCATCGGCGGCGTTCCCACTTACGAGGACAGCAAGATCAGCCCTACCGGCTTCGCTCTGAGCTACATGGACAACGAGGGCGATTCGGTATCTATCACCACCGATCACGATCTTCTCGAGGCTATCACCATGGCCCGCCAGGCTCGACAGGACAAAGTCGACCTCTACGTCCATGACCCGGAGAAGCCTGCCGTCCCCGTTGCCCCCGTCGAACAGACAATCGTCGCACCTGCTCCTGCCACTCCGGTCGAGACCCTTCCCAAGCTCCGCCGTCGTCACGATGCGGACGGCGCCGAAGACGAGGAGGATGCTGAGCAGGAGGAGGGCCTCTCTAAAGTCCAGGAACGACGGCGCGAACGCAAAGCAACCAGTTCTGCTGCACAGCAGCCGGCAGAACAGATCATCCAAGGCGTGCCCAATGACCTGCTCCTTCCTGGAGCGGTCGTCATCTTGGCCGTGGTCGTTGTGATCACATTTACCCTCGGCCGATCCAGCCGGTAGTATGATGTGTGAACATGGCGGAGATCAGAGGTCGGAACAAAGCTGTCCTGCCTTCTTTTATTTTCACGAATTTTTCGTTTGTTCAAGGCCGGGTGTGTGTCCCACCCACTCATCACCAGAGCCGCCAGGGAGAAATTCACTGTATCACCGGAAAGATTGTATTTGCGTCTCTCATTACTGTGTAGGATTGTTTCGATCTTGAGCGAAATTGCAATTTGACATTTATGAAATCTATTACATCCGTCTCACTTGATGCGATATGTGCGTCTCAGGACCGAGAAGTCCCATCGCGTCCTCTTGCATGTTCACTCGCAATCTCCGCCGACCGCGATGCAATGAAGGTCGAGCAAGCTTGTCTGTGACATCGCACACACACGCTGTGATAAGAGCCGCATCCCTCACAGCGCTTTACCTACCCGAAGCAGTTGAAACGGGATGTACTATGATAACCGCAGGAAACCTGAAGTCGGGAATTGGAGCTGCAGGTGAAGTTGGAAAGCCTACAGACGTCATCGCCCTGCTCCGCGCGCGTCAGAGGCGCGTTTCCTTCCACCTTCTCGTCTGAACCACTCGCTTAATCGCCCGCCCTGTAATCCCTTCCGTCGTACCTAGTAGCTGGAGGTCTCTCCAACAATGACGGAGACACGTACTCGATCCAGTCACGGCAATGTCGATCAAGCACTTCCAAGCTTTTTCCAAGATTTCCCACCGTGGCACATACAATAGTCATGTTCGAACTCGGCTCATGTAACCGCCGGCCCTGTTCTCCCGTACGGACTATTACGTAGTGGGGGAATATGGGTGCGCAACATTGGGAACAGGCAGGTAGCACAGCCACTCTCTCATGGGCAACAATGGAGGCGGGCAGCGGTGATCGATGACGGCAGAGAAACAATTCCTCTCTACTACTAGGTACTGGTAGGGATCATCGCAGGATCAGAGTGGAGCCAACACACAGCCAGTCCCTAGCTAGGAGACTGCGCACCCAGGCACGACAGGACAATGCAGTTCTTGTTGTACGCCCAGGTTTGGTAACATATGACCAATCTAACACCTACCTACCTACCCACCCGCTTGTATATAACCGACCTCGTACCCAAGAACCGTTTCATTCCCTTCCCTCAAATTCATCACCATCACGAACTCCTGTGACCACCATCCGTCTCTACATATCTCACTCCTACTATTCATAATGAACTCCAACGCTCAACAACCTGGCCAGCCCGGTGCTGCAGGTGCTCCCAAGGAGGTAAGCAGACCTGATTTGTTCAGAACAGCTGTGGACCATGGTGCTGACTGTCAGTCTCCAGGACTTCCTCGACAAGGGTACGACATCTCCACCCACACTCGCCGTCTCGCAGCGATGAGAACATCCCAGCGATGTCATGGATACTGACATGTATCCCACAGGTCTCGACAAGGTCGAGCAGATGCTCGGCAAGAAGAGCGGCCACAACGTCGACCCCAACAAGATGCGCTCAACCAACGAGAAGATCGTAAGTGTCCTCACGCCCCATCTCGTCACGAGACTCCGAGAACGGAAATCCTCGGAGGAAGACAGGGAGAAAGAAAGAACGAAAGACACATCATGGCTGACGGGAATCACTCGATGGTACAGACCGACAAGATCCGTGACACCTTCGAGAAGTCCACGGGCAAGAACGTCCCCGACAAGGTGTCGAACTGAGCGCAGATTCCATGCTTGGGATTCATCGAAAGGGTGGTGATTGGAGATCGTGGCAACAACTGCTCGATATATTATGATTTGTATGACCTGTAATGATAATGACCACAAATTCATTGTCCTGAGATATTTCATCGTGTTGATTTTGTATATCGGCGCGCGTTGAGCGTACCCTGATGCCGCTTCAACAGCTTACTGTGGACGTCTCTCTCGGCACCCTTCGCGCCCACCCATCATGCTGACAGACACAGCCGAGTCAACACCAGCGCTCTGGCATCACTTTTGTTGCTGTTTCGCATGTACTAAGATCTGACTCGTCGTATCTCCTCTTTGCCTCATCATTGGCGTTTCAGCGATCATGAGCTCGCAGCGCCAGTCTGTCTCCGATCCATGACCTGGTCGATGATGCCCCACTCCATCGCCTCCTCCGCACCCATGAACGTGTCCCTCTCCATGACCTTCGCGATCTCCTCGAGGGTGTGGTTCTTGGTGAGGTGCTTCTGATAGATCATGTTCAGCTGCTCCCGGATCCGCAGAATCTCCCTCGCGTGGATCGCGATGTCCGACGCCTGCCCGGAGTATCCGCCCGAGACCTGGTGCACCATGATCCGCGCGTGCGGCAGGCAGAAGCGTCGCCCCGGCGCCCCGCCGCAGAGCAACAAGCTGCCCATCGACGCTGCCTGCCCGAGGCAGATGGTCGTAACGGGGCTTTGGATGTATTGCATGGTGTCGTAGATGGCGAGCCCGGCGGTGACGCTGCCGCCGGGCGAGTTGATGTACAGGTTGATCGGCTTTTGGGGGTTCTCGGCCTCGAGGAAGAGGAGCTGGGCGACGATCGAGGCAGAGGAGACTTCTTCGACTTCGCCGTTGAGGCAGATGATGCGCTCCTTCAGGAGCCGGCTGAAGATGTCGGCTAGTGTGTGGTGAGATGGGTCAGCGAGTTGTCATATTTGCCTTGTTCTGAGCGGTAGTCGTCATACAGGTGTGCCAGCCGCCTCCCTGGAAAGTTAGCCATGTTCGGGAGGACACGATGCAGTGATTGCGCATACCACCGTTTCGGTCACAAAGGGCATGGGCAGAGCTGACGCCGGCGGTTTCGCAGGCATCGCACTGTGTGTCGGTGGGTATGATAACATGCTGGAGAAGCTTCGGATATGACGGCCGCTGTTCTGGCGCAAGACATATCTGCCTGTTGCCCGGAGGCTTGATCTTGCGAGGCTCTCCATGATCGTGATGAGTGGACTGGCGCAAAGCCACACGGTCAGCATACGAAGTTCAAGTCCCTCGAAGAATACAGCGACTCCGGCCTGCGCAGGTGGTCGCATGTGCAGACTTCCTAATGGGGATGCTCAGCCGCAACGGGCCCATCTAGGTACACCATGAAGTTTATCCATGAGTCTCAATCATCATCCTTGTTTCTATGAGATGCATTTGTATCATTCATGACCAATGTGAGAGTCAGGTCGAGCGCTCACCCAGCTCAGGCATGGCTTTTCTGCCAACGCTCGTGTCTACCTGACGGTCGAAGTTTGGGTTCCTCGTGGAGAAGGAGGTTCAACACAAATTCAGGGCCTGAAGTCACTGGCCAGACCCGTCACAAGGGTCTGCAGCATCCCAAACAACCAACAGAGCCGAGCGATGACGGCAAATCCACGTTGAGATCTCGCAAGTATGGCAATCGAGGCTTACCGCTACCGCCTTTCTTGGACCCGCTCCGAGTCGCAGCTCGATCACGACGTACTGCGCCCAAGACCGAGCGCGCTGACATCAAAGACGGAGATCTGTCCGACTTTCAAAAGGAACTGGCCTTGAATCCGTATGGTAAGTACGAATGTGTGCTGGCGACACAATTTCCTTCCGAACATGTTGCTGACCGAAACCTCCAGCACAAGCTCTAGCCACAGACGTGCGAATGGACAGTTTGTCCCAAGTACGAATTCCGACGCACTTCCTGCTTCGCTTCGGACTGGCATATAATAACACTGGCAGCGATGGCGCTATCACTGCCAGTAAGCCTGATGCGAAGAGCACCGCCGCTCAGCTGGCATTCATTCCCACTCGACCTCCACATAAATCCGTCACGTCCTACACCCTGGCAAATCATTCCATCATACCGACTTTGAGCTTGCGTTCCGGTGTCATGGTCAACTCGTCGCATCGTTTGCGCTACTCTCGGATGACCGGGCAACCAGCGCGGAAGCTGAAAGTCCAATGGAATCCGCAATTGCCGGATGAGATCCTAACAGGTCTGAGAAACGTGGTCCTCGACGAAATCCGCGCCTGTGTCGACCCGGAAGTATCGATACCAAGTCCACAGCAACAAAACGACTCAGCTGTCTCAAGCGGCGCGAACCTCTTCGTGAAGCTTCCCAAGAGTGCTGCTTTGTCGAGCAAGCCTTTCGCTTGCTTGATGTTTATGGACGAGGACGTCGCTGGCGGCTCAGAGTCTCCCCACGAGGCGCCAAAGTATAACTTGCTGCATTTGCTTGGGACGGAACTAGCTGCAGAAGTGCTTCAAACCATTGGACTTAGCGAGGTGCGCGCAATCGGTGTCGTCAAGCACGCTCGCGTGACCCCGCTACTGCTAGCATTAGATAGATTACGGATGTATCTTCCATGATGCGAACATTGTCATCGGGATATACGAAGTAGCGATAGAACAGGAGTTGTGCGGAGTCTATCTCAAAATGATCCTGATTGTACCTTGGTCTGGCAGGCGGTAGTAGAATAAGGCTGGGCAGATTCGCCGACAGCCCTGGAGCGATGAGACGGCAGCGATAAGGCTCGGAAAGCAGCCCTTGCACTCCATCCGTGATTTTGCATGGGAGGCGATATCTCCGGCGCATTTTCCACCGGCTTTTCAAGGACTTCTTCGATTGATCCTGGACCGATCGCATGTAGTCTGGAATTTTCTCAAAAATAACGTGTAGTCGGAGCGCCTTGCTTATTGTATAGAATGTGGACATCTTTGCCCGGCAATTCGAAACATGCTCCCTCAACAATTGCTCAAATGTCTCTCACCCCATCGAAAGGCTGGGATACTGTGAACACCAGCCAGAATCCGGGCCAGAGTGTGAGCGAAGCAAACTTAAATTATTCTCCGCCCAAGTCGCTGGACACGACCACGCCGAATAGGGACAGTCCAGATCATCTCGCCGGTCCACCGTATCTACACTATGGGGTTCATAGAACTCTCATCATAATCGAATTGTCTCTCGCCACAAAGATCAGGAAATTAGAATAGACGCTTGTCCTCAATTTTGCTGAGCTTTCATTTTCACTGCACAATCATCGTGAACAGGTATCGAGTCATTATTCTCACGGATCCCGGAGATTCTCCAATTGCGCACCGACTTCGCTTTCCCCAGAAGCTGCCGCCGCCGCCCGGCAATAAAAACAATAATTTCTTCGGCTGCAGCCAAACGTCGGTGCTTTGGTACTTTGAGCCCCAATTGCTGAATTTGGTCTCGTGTCCATCGCAAACACCATCCCCAGCAGACAGCACATCGCACCTTCAATCCTGCCGCACGTAGCTGATCCATATCATCAATCGATCGTCATCGTCTCCGCTCAATCTATCGCATTGCATGTCAACAGTCGCCGTGCAGCCTGCAGCGCCGATGGCTGCACACGACAAGCTGGTCGTGGACAACGATGAATACGAGTATGCACCTGCATGATCCTTCGATGGCGAGATCCATATCGCCGCTCATCATGAGACTGACTCGACCTCAATAGCTATGAGTCGCTCCCGCCGAACTTCTCCTTGGCCGCCAACATGGTGGCCGGCGCGTTCGCAGGCATTGCGGTATGTGGACTGATCGTACACATGGCCATCGATCTGCTTGCTGACATTGGATCTGAATAGGAACACTCCGTCATGTACCCGATAGACTTGCTCAAGGTACGCAGCGGAATGAATATCCTCGTGGCTGCGGTCCATACGTTACTCATGCTAACGCCTCCTTTTCAACCAGACTCGAATGCAGGTCGTCAACCCTACACCCGCCGCTGTATATTCTGGCATCGGCAATGCCATTGCGACAATTTCAAGAGTAGAGGGATATGCTTCATTATGGCGAGGAGTGTCCAGTGTGGTGGTCGGCGCAGGTATGCAGGAGGAAAATGATCTGCTGTGCATCGATAAGAGAGGAGTGAGTCTGATGATTTTGCAGGTCCGGCACATGCGGTTTATTTCGCAACATACGAGGTGGTCAAGCAGGCAATGGGTGGTAACGCCGCTGGGCATCACCCAGTAGCAGCTGGTAAGGACAATCCAACAAATTGGGCACTTGTCGACATTTGCTGACGGTCAATACAGCGACGAGTGGTGCATGTGCGACCATCGCCAGCGACGCTTTCATGAACCCCTTCGATGTGATCAAGCAGCGCATGCAGGTTCACGGCTCAACGTTCCGCAACATCTCCGAGTGTGCTCTCACCGTCTGGCGCAATGAAGGTCTTCGCGCCTTCTACGTCTCTTACCCGACCACCCTCACCATGACCGTTCCTTTCACGGCTCTCCAATTCACCGCCTACGAATCCTTGACCGAGATCTTTCAGCGAAGGCGCCAGATGGCATACGACCCGCTCGCTCACTGCACTGCTGGTGGATTGGCAGGTGGTCTTGCCGCTGCTGCGACGACGCCACTCGATGTCATCAAAACCCTTCTGCAAACCCGAGGTGCTTCCACAGACGCGGAGATTCGTCAATGCCGTGGACTCTTCCCTGCAGCAGGTATCATCTGGCGGAGAGAGGGTCTGAAAGGCTTCTTTCGCGGAATGAAGGCACGTGTGGTTACTGCGGCGCCGTCCACGGCTATCTGCTGGTCCGCGTACGAGCTCGCAAAGGCATACTTCATCCGAATAGAAGAGGAGCGGTGATTCGGACCACCTGGATCGCTCGACGCTTTGAAGGATGGGGCTACAGCTAATGCATTCCCTTGCGAGGCCTTGCCAATACATGCGCCAGTGCCATATACCTTCATACTGGAACGGCGGATCGTTGCGCCGAATGGATCGAGCTCTGGATGGCCATCATGGCCTTCCGAACAGCTCTCAACAGATAATCGAATAATCAACGAGCACCAATTTTACGCAGTCACTTTCGGCGCTGCAGGCACTTCTCGCGATCGCGCCGGCTATGCAAATGCTGGGCATGGGAAGACTTTTCTTCCAATTGCAGCACCAGGAATGGAGACCTACGTTTTTTTCTTTCTGCATCCTCCCTGGAATAGCAGGTTCCACAATTCTGAGGGCTCGCGTGGGCGAATGCGATATACGGTGCGGAATTATAGAGATCAGTGATCATCATCTGCTCGAGGGAGCAGCAGTTACGGGCGGCCTGGGCTGGCCGTACGGCAGAAGGCGTTTTGCGGACCAAAGCTGCTGCCGCTTCTCACGTGAAGAGACAGTACACCATCAGTGGGAACAAACACGTGAAGATTAAATGTACGACTGGTGTGCGTGTGTATTCGAGAGATTCAAGATTTTGATTATCCATTCGCCATGCATTGTCATCGCTTGCTTGATATTTCCCTGCCTAGGTATGCACCATTAGAAGGTTTCGGAGAGAGGTCCTCACAGTGGAACAGATTTGAGGATCCGGGCCACAAGTTGACGGCCTTCGGACAATCCCTCACATTCTCCGAGGAACGCAAGACATGGTGCCATACTTGTTCTCCTAATCCGTCCAATCCCCAAAGAGTGTGATCTTTGTCAAACCGCGACTTGCGCGTCACATCCGCCGCCGCCGCAGGGCGAGATGATTATGTCAGCTGCCGCGTATGGACACTAGCATCAATTGTGGCAGTGCGAAGTGTAACTGACGTCAGCTTTGACACGCCACTCGGCGCCGGCGGGGACATCGAGCGTAGACTGATTAATTACCTGCCCAGTGGATTTCGTTACGTCTGACAATCTTTCCGACAACACCTATCTGGTCTATCACATCGGAACAAACACATCAAAATGGCAGACAACATACCCAACGAACCTCCGCCATCTTACGCGGCTGCCACGGGAAGCTCGACAGCTTCATCCAGACCTCAAGGAGACGCTGCCGCCAACTCAAGTTCACATTTGGATGTCCCTGGCAAGGGTAAGATCTCTGATGCAGCCCGACGATCCATGGAAGACGAGGGTCGCAAGCTACCTCCTGGATGGGTGAGATCGTACGACCCCGAGACACATCATCAATTCTTCGTCGACACCACCAAGGACCCACCAACTAGCATCTGGCATCATCCTTACGACGACGAAGCATTCCTCTCGACACTCTCAAGCGAGGAACGCGAGCGTCTGGAACATGAGAGCATGCAGCGCAAACAAAACCCAACAAAAGAAGAAGTCATCGCAGCCCATAGCGAAGACGAAGAAGCACCGCACTACACAGGCGCTCCCGCCGAACTCCCGCCACGACCACCAGGCAAAGGCAAAGCTCCCGAGCAAAAGAGCTTCGGCCGACGCTTCAAAGATAAGATGACAGGCATGACACATGAGCAACGAGTCCAGGAGCGACAACGGCAAGCCGCCCACGAGCGCGAGCTATGGGAAACCCACCAACGCATCCGACAAGCCATGGCCCAGGCCGCACACACCGGCCAGCCCGTCCACGTCGGCAAAGATAGCACAGGACGCGACGTATACGTGGAGCCGCCGTACGGCGGAGGCTTCAACAATCGATACCCAGGCATGAATCCCGGCATGAGATACAACTACGATCCCTACGGCATGGGCTCGTACACGACGCCGAATGCTAGGTTCATTCGACCTGCTGGACCCTACGGACGACCTGTGGGTAGTGGATTCGGTGGTGCCGGTTTGCCCATTGCCGCCGGTGCTGGTCTGGGATTGCTGCTTGGCGGTGCGCTGTTGTTCTAAATTTCTTTGATACCCTTTATTACCCTACTCGCTTATGTCATATACACGTTGGAGTTGGCACGATTACAGCGGATGCTTGAAGTCCTATGATCCTATCCATTCCTACGAAATGTTACCACAAGTTTTCATCACTTATGTAAACCTAGTCTCTCGCGGCCTCTGAGTCATATCGTATAGGTACATCATCTATAATGCCAAGCCACGTTTACTCTCCCAACATACATTGCATCGCATCAGAGAGAGTATTGCCAACCCGAGAAGGCTTCTGCACCCAAAGGTCATTGCACATGCATTACTGAAGGGCTGTATTGCAGAGAGGAGTTCGACATAGTATGACAAATGACAATGAGGCCTAATTTAGTGGTATTTTCGAAAAGCCAAAATACGCCCCAGCGAGCTTCATTGCTCGGCCTCCCTGCGGAGCTACGAGATCAAATCTATGAGCTCGTTCTCGGCGGCAATGTGGTCCCCGTTGAGCATATCCAAGTGACGAAGCCTTCACTGACGAAGTCTGCGAGAGATCAGACCTGGGGCCATGCACCAGAGGTCGTGGACTGCAACCTATGCTGTGCAGCCGCTCAGATCTCTGGCAACATTATCAATCAAGCAAAATCCAGGAGCCCGTCGGGCACAAATGTCGAGATGACATACACGGATCCGCCCAGGACAAAAGCCCCGCGAGCAGGCCATGTCCTGATCACATTTGGCGGACGTACTTGCCACCGCTGCATCATCAACCCTGCGAAAACCGGCTTTACGCACACGTGAAACATTGAACGTCAACCATGTGGGACCACAAGCCCGAGAACAACCCTGAGAATTGGGGACGCTCGTGCCTGATGGACGTCAAGCTCCTATCGGCATGCCGACAAGTCCATTCCGAGGCACATCTTGTTCCATGCAGAAGCAATGTCTTCACTTTCTTCCGTCTTTACCAGCCTGACATTACGGTCCTCAAGGTTTTATCGCCCGCACAGCGCGCAGCGATCCGGTGTATCTATGTGAACGCATGGCCGTTGGAAGAGGTCCGCAGGGCATGCTCCTTGCTTCATGGTCTTCGCCGGCTGCGGCATGTTTCTTTCAAGCTCGCTATCGCCGAGCTGAATTCAGAGTCCGATGAGACCCCCTGCGTCACGGATTGCCAAGGGTTTGGTTTGTCTCCAAAAGCTCCCCCGTTCGCTCGGCATGTTGAAGTTGTCAATCGTTTTGATGGCGTTGACACGTCTCGCCATAGATCTACTCTAGGATTCCTCGAACTGGATATTTGTATCTCGCCGATCCTGCAAAGTTTCCCGGCGAATGCTGGTCATCGATGCTGTCCAATCCTTTGCTGGAAATTGGTAGAGGTGCCGTGCGTTACTATTGGACTAGAAGAAGTTCATGTCATGTTCAATTGATGGCCTAGTAAATTCAATGACCGCGACCTCACACGTCTCGGTATCCTTTCGCGGTCAACGAGTATGTTTCAATCGGAAACCTGCGTATGACCTTATCACATTGCGAAAACCACCAAGAACACGTGCGCGCGTAGAGCGTGTTCCTGCATTGGGTGAGCTTGCAGGATAGGTACGAAGGCGCAAGGAGGCGGTCCGAGAACAAGTCAGAAGAGGCCCAGCCGTCGCTGATGTTACTTTATCTCGCCAAATTCACAGATACGATGGTGGCAATGTGACTAACAAGTCCGAGGCAAGGAAGCACATCTTGAGGGCTACGCAATAGTTGTCGAATGACGCGGTCGAAATACACATACTCTTTCTGCAAGAAGCTACAGATTTGATTGAAACAACATGAATGCCAATTCATAGGTAATTTCGAAGTGTCACTACCTGGGAAAGATCGAGTTGATATCCTTCTGTACTTCGATCTTGGGGATCTTGAGAGCGGATTGGTGAACAACAAGAAAAGTCAGATTAGTCGTGGGAGTGCCCCTTTTCGATTTGACCGATTCGTGTACCGTAGACAAGGCCAAAAACAGCTAATCGGTCTTCTTTTCAGGTCTCATGGTGTCATTTTTCCATCTGATCGTGTGCGCAATACCGTTGTTCACGAGCTCATGGCACAGGAGATCTCCAATGGATCAGCTTGGCGAATCGATGTCTCCCTGCACACACCTTTCCCGTGGGTTCGACGCGTCCAAGTTTGACTCCGGCTCGGACTCGTCAAGTGGCGCGGCCCCAGGATATGATGTGAGTAATTTTAGTGTTATGTCCCATCGCTCCGGTCTAAATGTCCTGTACGGCGATTTCTCACTCAGCTTTTGAGCAATATCCAGAGGTGATTGGCCAGATTCGTCACGCGTAGTCGGCGACAATCCCACAGACTCGCACAGGAATTTCATCACCTCGCTGGACGCGAGTGAACCGGCTAGAGCGCAATGGTGCAGTATCGTACGGCCGCGTTCATCTTTGTCGGCTAGGCGGACCCCGTGGTCTTGAAGAGCCTCGAGGACTTCAATGTCAAGTTTATTCAACTTGGCTGCTGCCAGGTGTCCATAGTTCCGACCTTCGTCTGGAGTGCGATAGAAAGCGTCAGCACCCGCCGAGAAAAGATGACGCGCCATGCGCGCTATTCGCCGTCCATTCACAAAGAATCTACTGAGTTGCACAGCTAGCGGCGACTCTTCTTCGTTGCTTAGCTGATTGACTGAACTGCCGTTGGCTATGAGAAAATCAATAGCCTCAGCGTGACAAGTCCACTCCCTATAGTTCCCAGCGAGAAGATGATGCAATGGGTTCCAGCCACGGGCGTCCCGCAAATCAGGCAATGTGCGGCCTGAATCGTTGACGTCTCTTAAAATTGTCTTCAAGGTCAGCAAGTCTGAGCTATGTGCAGCATGATGAAGGGAATGTAGTCCTCGATGGTCGATAGCCATCACATCCGCTCCTTTGTTGATCAACAATTGCACTGCCCTTGCGTTGCTTGCGCGGCAGGCCAAATGCAATGCAGTTTGGCCTTCGGAGTCGTGAGCATCACCTGTCACGTCCTTGCTCAATATTCTCGGAAGTATATCAGTCGACTGGAATCCATCTTGCTGGTAAGAAAGACAATGCAAGATTCCGAGTCCTTGATCGCATTTTACATCTAGGTCAATGTTTTCGTGGAACAGAAACGCTTCGACTATTTGTAATCGCATTCTTTCCAGCGCTGATTTTGTCTCGCCATACTCTGTTTCATCCTCTGAAGTATAGTCATAATTATCTAGCCAATCTTCTATCCGATATCTTGAATCGTTCCAGTGATCCTTGTTACCATTCTCTTTTGGTCCTGAAGGAGCTTTCCCCAGAGCAAAGTGTAGAGGTGTTTCCCCATAATGAGATCTCGCATTTGGATCAGCTCCTCTCTTAATGAAGTACTCTGTCATTTTCACGGAACCGTATAGAGCCGCAAAATGCAAGGGAGTAAGCCCTCGGTTTGATGAAAGTGCCAACTGAGGGATGTGTGGATCACTTTTAGGTTCCCAAGCTTGTCGTCCGTGGATCCACGTTGACCTCCAAACTTTCCTGTCGACGGGAAAGTCAACGGCAATTTTAGCGGTCATAATTGCGTCTGCTACTTCTTCAGAGTTTTTGGTATAGCCAGTATAGTGTAATGCGGTCATGTTCTCGTAATCGGTCGTCAAGTCGGCCCTGTGGCCCAGAAGCAAACTTACTACCTCCGCATGGCCATTCCGCGCCGCATCTATCAGCGCATTTCGGGAAAAGCAATCTTGCGCATTGATGTCTGCTCCATTGTCGATCAGTATCTGCACTGTGCCCTGGTGGCCTGCGGCCGCTGCCGCCTGCAGTGGAAAGTCATGGGAGCCCCCCTGACTGGCGGTGACATCAGCGCCCGTCTGAAGTAATTTACGAACCACACTCTCGAGGCCCATGTAACTTGCGTAGTACAGAGCGGATCCAAAACCCACTGACTCCGCGAAATTCGGTATGAAGATGTTAAAATTGTCCGGTTGATGCACACAAAGCCAGACATGCCGACTATGCTCTGACGTAAGGAAAGACACGATCCGTGCAGTGGCCTCTTCCGTTTTTTGGGAGTTGGCATGGTGATACCAATTGCTGCAGGTATATTCGAGTAGGGGAAATTCTTCTAGATCAGATCTGTTTACACACTTTTCAGGAGAATCGATGTAGTATTGAATGTACAAGAGGCAGCTATGCGTAAGGGCTTGGTGCCCTTGATCGCGATCGAGATGGAAAGGCTTGGCGTTGCTTGTGAGAATCCGAGCTGACTCCAGAAACTCTTGGACCGAAAAGTGAGCAAGCCTCACTGTGGCGCCTTCATATGCATGTACTTGTTTTTGAGGGTTGGATGTATCGTTCTCAAAGCTCTATTTGTCGGATGTGTCATCAGCATCATCAGAGCTTCTGTAGTCGTCGCCGCCGCCGTGCGAGTGATTTTCTGTGCCGGTCTCCACCACCACGAGACCTTCTAGGAGCTGGAGAGTATCCTTCCAGTCAACTCGGTCTGTTGCATCCACACCTCCTTCGCCAGCGGCTTCGATAGACCAATGGATCATTGTAGTCTCTGAAAGCTCCAGTAAAGTGAGAGGACGTCTTGCGTAGGAAATCCATTGCAATAAATCGAACGCATCCGAGCGGTCTCGTTCAAGAATAGCGGTGAGGATCCGCACGTACATTTCATCCAAGGTGTCAGGAAGGGCCAACAAAGCTGCTCGAATCAATTTTTGTTTTGTGAGCCTAGACTTTTTGAGCTCTTCAAGCTGACAGCATGCCCACCAGAACCTGTTGGGCAAAGATAGATTAGTCCGCGAGTTTATCATGATGATCACATAAGAAACTCACATTGCATCGGCCTTCTTCACGATCGTGTCCTCGATCAGCTTTTTGGTCGAATTGTCTAATCGTCGCAGCATTCGATCTTCCGCAAGTTGTGTAAGGACGTAAATTCGAATGTCCGAATCTACTGCCTGTGCCTCGAGAGGCATTGAGACCACTCTCATCTCTTCCATACGATCCCTGATCTCTGGATAGTCCCGACTAGTTGCGATCATGCGAAGTTGGGGCACGTCACGCAGAAGGCGCTGGATCAAAGGCATGACACCCATTCGAGCTCCTTCCCCGGGTAAACACTCGTCCAGTCCATCAACGTGAAAGAACACCGCATCATACGATGTGACACTGATTGACAAGATGCGATGTAGTTCGTCCAACCCGAGAATATTACGCTGCGGTCTATCGTACGCCTGGTTCAGCAGTGAGAGACCAGGCTCACTCCACCCCAGCTGCACCACCATTGACCGTACCAGATCTTCGTACGTTTGTCTTGAACGGTCAGAAAAGGAGAAATAGAAAATAACTTGTGCTTCTCTGTTCAAAGCCGAACAGTGCGATCGTATGTGTTCAATAGCCGTGGAGCACAATACTGTCTTGCCACTGCCTGCTTTGCCATGGAGCCACAAGTGACGATGCTGGCCGGATTTCCACGCCTTGTACTGATGATTTTTGAGGAGCCAATCACCGGTTCCAGGCTCATGTCGGTTCCGGATGGCCTGGTGATTGTCCCAAGGGCGGTTTGGGGAGATCCATTCAGAGATTCGGCAAAACCGCTCGGTCTCATCTGCAGCCAGCTTTTAGCTCCGATGTATGGCTTCCAAGAGCCGTTCTCTCGCTCCTTTCTCTCCCTCGCCATAATTCGTGCCCGGGCGGACACTAAAGATTCCAAAGAGGGCATAAAATTTGTCTTCATCTTCCGTTGTTCTTCGATGCTCCATCCAGGCAAATTTATCCCTCGTTGTAAGTTTCGCATTGTTCTCAAAACATCGCAGTACATCCTCAGGCACCCCTGTGATACCTGCGATTTCGGTGTCCCGATTTCGACCGATGTCCATTTTGGAGAAGCTATACAGCGACCCTCCCTTGTTTCCGATGACTTCCCATGTCTTTGAAAAGAAGATAACGATGCGAGGCGCGAGCAGTTCTTGCAACGTCCAGCCTCTCTCGAACCACTCACTACGCTGAAAGCTGGCATTGTCTTCAACGACCTCGACATCTTTTAGATACGCGAGGCATATGTCTGCTTTGAGATACCATTCGAACATCGAATTGATAGCCCACGAAAGCTCCTGCGAACTGTCTTTATTGATACAGCATGTATCTATCCACAACCATTCGATAGTAGGTAGTTTTGTCTTGATGTAGTCGGCGAAAGCCCTGACTTTCTGATATCCGGCCGTGTCAGTGTTTTTCTCATCTCGCACATCTGCATAGCTTGTTTCCCGCTTGCTCCAGCGATGAGATGCGATCGCATACGGCGGCCGTGGTTTGTTTCTCCGAAACTCGGACAAGCCAAGAGTCTTCACGTTGAGGAGCCGCATGACGAGTCCCATCTTGACATATCAATTGTAAGACGTGGAGGTGTTATTTCCTTCAATCTCAAGGCGGCTGCCGATAAAGATCAACATGATTGTGGCTGTGCTGCATTGCCAGACTACCCAAAGAGAAGTAAAGCACCTGCATATTCATGAACTTTGACGGGGTAGGTCCAAAGCGGCCAAATGACCGGCGCATACGAGAGGTCCAAAGCCACGAGTACAAGAATGGTCACGCCGAAGGGATCCGTTTGCAGACGTCTGAAGGTGAGATATGCTTGAACTGTTTAAGAGAAAATGAAGTGAAGTAAATTCGACGACGGAGAACTGTTTGAAATAGCGCACAGCGCACAACCACGACGCGTACGTGTCGTGTCAAATTTCCGACCAACCTTCGCAGAACCCTGGAACTCATCAAGGCATACATATCGCTTCACTTACACACGGAGGTGTCCGTACGACATATATTCAGCGTCTGTGTTCCACAAGGGAATTTCAAGTCACTCTGTGTATGATACAAACTCACCAAGCACTCTGATGATCAACCTGATTCTGCGATTGAGGGGTCGGAAAGGCTGCCGCTTGTCGCGCCATTGAACGAGACGACGCGATGAACTGTCTGGCAATTTACTTACGGCCATGACCATTTCGCCTAGTATCACGGTCTCCCTCAAATGTGATTGATGGGCGACGCTTGCTTAATCTAAATATTCCTCTATTCGCGTCGTCGCGGAACGATTCCCTGACAAAGCTCCCAAGTCACTGCCGCGAGAAAACCCACAAGCCCAAAGAACGGATAAGATACAATGATTCCCGCGAACGAAACGTAGCACTCCGGCGATGCGTCCCAGAGTTCACCGGAACACAGATCGATGTACCTTTCCAACTCCGAACTTCCCGATCCGAACGCATGGAAGATGGCCGCCGCCAACACGGCCCCGGTCAACCGCAAGCCGAGTCGGCTGGTATCTTTCATCACGACATCAAACCGTCGCATCCCTTCATCCACCCGTGCTGCCTCACGTCGGCGTGTCTCCGGATTCTTGCTGCGCTCCCGGTCCCAGTGGCCACCATATATGTAGCCGGCAATGGCAAAGAGAATATGCGCGAGCGTGATGGTGAAGATCTTGTTTCGGCAGGACGCATCCGAAGCGGAGGCCTTACCATCGATGCAGTCTCCACGATAGCGGAGGAGGTTTTTCAAGCCGTTGCATAGGAGGTAGAATACCGCGCCAAGGAATGTCGCAATGACTCTCCGAACCGTGAATGATTTCGATGATTCGTGATCACGACGAAGTGGTTTTTCCATCGCTATTTCTTTGGCTGTCTTCATGATCATTTGTCAGATAATCAGAGAGGGGCGTAACAACCTTCGCGCCCACATATGTGCCCACTTCACAACTAACAATTGACATTAACTTTATGCTCGACTGTGCCGCAAAGAGTGGGCACAAAGCTCGAGACTGTCCATCCTCATACCGTCATAAAATAACGCAGCGAAAGCTCCCTGATCAGTAACATTTCACGCGTTCTTAGGTCTGTGAGATCATGTTTCTCCTGAAAGATAGCATGATTGTGAAAGACCAACAAAGTTACCCTTCAGCATGATCTCCATTCTTTTCCTGTCCGTCCATATACGTGAGAGCAGAGCCGTTGCGCACGCAACAGCAAGAGGAGCGACCAGATCGAGGCAAATGCTGTCAAAGCATTCCCAGAGCGAGACACATCTGGAGCATGAACTCGAAAAGAGAGCGGCTTTGATCCTGGTCTCATTGAAGATGAGTTGTGATTCGAGAGGTCACATAGCACCAGAGGATAAGGAGAACGTTCTGTGCAGGGTTTGTTCAGATCGGACGGGGCAAGTTGAGCCTTCAATTAGCACGATTTGTGATCGCTCTCGTGAGTTTAAAGACATCGGAGTGTCGTCCGATTTGGCGGAAACGTCCAGACGCCAACACTAAATCAAGGCTGTCGGGCAGACGTGTAGCGGGGGCGCCTTTTGCGTTTTCGTTCAGCTTCTAAATTAATTTTATATATCCTAGACCCTTCATGAGTTCGAAGTAAAGCTTGACTTAGAGAAAGCACTTAGATAGTTTCGTCAAGGTTCGCCAGCACCGTTTGCGGGCACATTTATCTGCTGGGACTCGAGTAACAAGCCGAATAGAGAGCCACCGTGCGCGCCACACCGGGTGTATCGGGATACACTCGTCATCTTTGAAATGATACGTGCTGTGCCGCGCCTCTCGTTGCACCGTATCTGCGAACTATGTCGACCTTCCGTCATTCACTGAAGTCTCGTCGACGATAAGCTTGACATGAATACAAACCCTGCAGAATGCCACGGTCATCGTCGTCGCCGCCTCGGGCCTCTACAGACTCTTCCTCCACCCCGCACGCTGGCCTTCGCCAGTCCTGCAATCGATGCTATGCCCAGAAATTGCGTTGCGTGCGCGTTGATGGCGTTGAGAAAAGCCATGGCGTCTGTCAGCGTTGCACACGCCAGCAAGTCAAGTGTGTATATAGCGCATGCGCTCCGAAAGGCCGACCTCGTATCGTTCGCGCTGCACTTCAACGTTCTATAGAACGAGATTTGTCCGGCTATCAGTCAAGTCCGAAATTATCGTTAGAAGCTGCTACTACAGCCCCGACTACCACCCTCTCTGCGGCTGCCCTGACTACTCCGTCCGATTCCGCCTTGAACGAATCAACGGCATCTCGGCCACCCAGCTTGGGAGGGTGCGCAACAAGTACCGAAGCGAATTATTCCCTGCAAAGTCCTTTATCAGGCGAACTGACAGCGACAGAGATCCATCAACCACAGATGTGGCCGCCTATACCAAATAGCACAGATCTCGGCTGGAATGAACTTGACGTGGATTTTGATCAATGGTTTCCACAATCATTGCAAGCTGCGGATGCTGGCCAGACGGTTTTCGACTCTGACATGCGAGAGTGGACCTCCCACACCTTGGGCATCTTTGATTCTAACCTCGATGAACACGCATCCGAGCTTGGCGTCGAAGACACGAGTTCTGGGAGTAGCTTAAGTAGAGCCAACATTCAGCCCATCGTCAGCACCGAAAATTGCTCGGGCAATACCACCTGCGGTACCTCTCATATAGCCGAACTAACGCAGCTGAACCTTCGGCTCTGTATCATACATCGCTCAGTCACGGCGTTCACATTGAGTGGCTGTCAACGCCCGGGTCCCGTCATCGATATGGCTGCACTGACAGTCGTAATGGACTGGACCTCGCAAGCTTCCAAAGACTTGCGCCAAGGCCACCTCCCTGTCGTGAACGAGTCTAAGTCGGACGGCGTCGGGATTGCGCTGCGAGAGATCTTCTCGGCTTCTTGCGAGTTGCTCCGAATTCTGAGCATTTTGATATCCGTTCCATATATCCCATGCGCCAACAATTTAAGTACAGTTGGCGTTCTCCTCTCGCCAGACGCGATAGATCAGATCATGGGCGGCACGTTTCGACCTCGGCATCCTCCAATACCTCCGTCGAGCACTCCGTCCCGAAGTCCCAGCAAAACCCCGTCGACTGGTGAATCATCGCTATGTGAAACCAAAAGTTCTGTGATTGATCAGTTGATCATCGCCTGTGCTGTTCTACTACTGAACATTCTCCTCGTGGTTCTTGATATCATTCAGAATGACATCGGTCGAGATATGTTTCCGACGCCCATGGCCAATATCCGTACCATTCTCGGCACGCAGATCTGCTCGTACTTCATTGATCGCCAGAATCTCGCCGTCGATCTGTATCTCTCTAGCGTCTCGCTCACTACACAGCGGGCTCAATCCCAGGATCCTGATCGGATCCTCACGCCTGCTGACTCTGGGCTGACTGCGTCGCTGGAGGAACTTGCCAAATTGCGAGATGACATCCAGCAGCGTTTTGTGCGATTAAGACATTTTCTGCCCATGTAATTAAGCAGGCGGGTAAGGCGTTCTTCTCATGTTGTGTCGAAGGGAGACAATCCGCACGCGGCGCAGCGTGAATGCATGCACAGTACGTCCTCTCCGGAATTGATGCGACTCGAGCTTGGCGTGTTCCTAGAGCGGTTGTTCTTTGGGGAAGCAGATTATGCGCGGAAGTTCCACGAATCCGTTCAGCAAAACATCAATTCGTTGTCTTTTACATCTGCACTTCTATTAATTCTTGAGGTATTGCTTTGAAGGTCAATACCTGAGCGACGTTGGTCGAGGTGCACTGCAGAGTATCTAGAAAAGAACTAACCCCAACCCTAGTCGAGACTGAAGCTTGGGCTGGGTCGTCCGCTCATTCAAAATGTAATTGCGTCCAAATGATGTTACAGCATCATCAGCTCAACGAGACCAACAATTATTGCTTCAAAGGGGTATAAATTGACCTTTTATCATAAATATTTAAAGAAAGCATCATACTGGTGTTTCATCTACACATGTCTCTCCAGTGGTGCCTTTCGGTGCTTTCCTCGACATGTCATTGGGCGCAGGCTGAATAAGCACCGAATCTCTGGGAAACCCGATCAATATAAAGCACCGAATTACATTTACTGAGGCACGGGTGAGGCTACAATTAGGCTTAAGCCACTGTAGACGTCGACTGCTATATTACCTTCAATACACAATGGCATCCTGACGACTCGGCACTTTTTGTCCAGTCGGCAGATACTAATGAGACTGTTTTCGTCTCAGCCTTGGATATGTGTATATAGTATTTGATTAATCCACCTCGAATGAGCAATTGAGTTCTCCATGTCGCTCGTTCTCGTTCACTCGAAAGAAACCCCAATCAACTGCAACACATTACATCACAACAACATTGGGACCTAGGCTTCGTGAAAGCATGGCAGGCATTGTGAGCCGGTTGTGGGAGGCTTTCAGCCCGTCGAATCCACCGCCAAAGAGCGCTGATGCGCTCAGGTTTGGAATCTTGGGTGCAGCTACTATTGCGTGAGTGTCAGCAGCAAATCGTCCAGCCCGTCCCTGCTGGTCGAGAGTGCTTGTAAAGACACTCTGAATGGCACCAGCTAATGCTGTGATCTCAATACACAGCCCGCTCACCTTGACTAACCCGGCGAAAACGCATCCTGAGGTCATTGTTCAAGCGATTGCTGCACGAGATCGCGCCAAAGCTGAAAAGTTCGCCAAAGCCAATGGGATCCCTGAGGTCAAGGCATCGTACGAAGGTATTTAAGCCGTTCGGTCCGCATATCTGACGGCCATGATTGCGGCATGCTGATGTTCGTCCGTCATTCTTAGAGCTCATCGATGACCCGAACATCGACTGCGTCTTGATCCCTCTTCCCAACGCTCTGCACTTTGAGTGGGCGGTGCGAGCCATCCGCGCCGGCAAACATGTCCTATTGGAAAAGCCTGCCGTGTCAAACGCACAAGAGGCGGAGGCGCTTTTCCGTCTGCCCGAGCTATCCGTACCAAATGCGCCGGTCTTGCTAGAGGCGTTCCACTCGCGCTTCTACCCCTCCTGGATCAAATTTCGCTCCCTCATCAACCCGGATGATGTCGTCTCCGTTAAGAGTGCCTCCATGATCCCCTGGTGGGGCACTAGTAAGAGTGATATCCATTTCAACTACAATCTCTCCGGCGGTAGCATCATGGCCATGGGTACCTACAATTTTGCCGCACTGCGGATGCTCTTTGGCGCCGAGCCCGAAGAATGTATCAGCTGTAATACTCACCACTACACCGATGGCGAGCATCACGATTGCGACTGGGACTTCCACGCCACCTTCCGGTTTCCTGGCGGCCGCATCGGCGAGGCCAGCAGTACCCTCCGCGGTCCTACCTGGTGGACTCCGTCCACCGCTGAAGTGCAACTACGCGCCGTCCTTGTGCCCGAGGCAGAGTTAGAGAAGTCCGGACAAGAGAAGTTCCGCATCCGCAAAGCGACCCTACACGGCATCGTCCACGGCATCTTCTGGCATCGCATCGACCTCCACGATATGTTCGAAGTGCGCGAGAAGAGCACGGGTCGCGTGGTGAGGACGTGGACCGAGACAAACTCGGAAAAGGCATACACTTTCGCCGAGGCTGGCGCCGACTTCGCGGGTCTCCCCAGCGAGGCCTCGTGGATGTCGTTCCGGCATCAGTTGGAGCAATTTGTGAACCGGGTGAAGGGACGGGAGACGACAACGTGGGTGGATGGAAATGAGTCGATCCGACAGATGCGAATGATCGATTTGGCGTATGAGAAGAGCGGGTTAGGTGCTCGTCCTTCGAGCAAGTTTCTTGGAACGTTGTAATAGAAATCTTGAGCAAGATGAGCCTGAAGAGTACTATCCGGAGTGCGAGGGATCATGATTACTCTAAGGGTATGCGAAGGCAAAAAACGGAATTTTCTCGACAAGCCATCTTGTTTGACAGATGGTCATCACTCATGTCGGATGTTCCATCTTGCGATGCAGCTGCTCGCCATTCGTGGTTGGCACGAAGTTGTGATTGTACCGAAAATCGTCTCATCGACAGGGAGAAAGCCCGCGCTCTGCTCGTCGTCGGACAAGAGCGGCGGGGACTCTGGTTCGTGCTTAATTCTGCTCGGCCCGAGCCGGTCTCTCTTTCACGCGAAGGCGGTGATGCCGGCGGCCGGCTTAGCTTATGACTATGTGTAGGCGCGTAAAACACTGATAATCATTAGCGTTAACGTAATCCATCAGCGAGCCGGCCACACCACCGAACCCGCCACTTTTCCTTGGCATTGTAAACATCATCTTTCCTTTATAATATCTCAACAACAAGACATGTTATTAGATAATCAAGAAGGCAGAATCGAGCTTGCTATTAATGCCTACAGATCTGGTCAATTTCGGAGCCAACGGAGCGCAGCTGCAGCTTTTGGTGTTCAACATCAGAAACTCTCTACAAGACTGAATGGAACTAGCTCTCGCGCCACTATGGTTCCAAACTGTCGAAATCTCACGCCAACAGAAGAAGAGACGCTTAAGCGACATATCCTCGACCTTGACGCGCGAGGATTTGCGCCCCTACTCTCTGAGGTAGCAGATATGGCAAACAAACAACTAGCTATACGAGGAAAAGGGCCAGTTGGCAAACGCTGGCCTGAGAGATTTGTATCGCGTTCAGATGAGCTCAAGATGGCATTCAATCGAGCAAAGGATCGTCAGAGAATGCTCTAAGAAGACCCGGAAGTAATTTACGCGTGGTTGAAGCTAGTTGCGGACACAAAAGTCAAGTATGGTGTCCATGACGATGACGTCCACAATTTTGACGAAACAGGCTTCCAGATGGGTGTAATTGGATCAATAAAGGTTGTTACAGGTTCAGAGAGACGAAAAAGACCTATACTAGTTCAACCAGGCAACCGCGAATGGGTAACAGTAATACAGAGCATCTGCGCCGCAGGCTATGCCATCCCACCCTTTATTATCTATAAAGGGCGCGTCCACATCTCTGCGTGGTATGAAGACGCTGATGTCCCTTCGAATTGGAGGGTCTCAGTCTCTGAGAACGGCTGGACCAACAATAGCCTTGGTTTGGAGTGGTTGAAGCATTTTGACGCGTATACAAAGACGCGTCAAGTAGCAGGGTACAGGCTACTTATCCTCGACGGCCATGAGAGCCATTTGAACCAAGGTTTTAAGGACTATTGCCTTGAGAACAAGATCCTCACCTTGTGTATGCCTTCACATTCATCTCACATCCTCCAGCCTCTCGACGTAGTATGTTTCTCACCGCTGAAGAGAAAATACTCTGAGCGTGTCAGAGGCTTGGCACGGAACCGCGTCTTCTATATCAACAAAGAGAACTTCCTTCCAGCCTTTAAGGACGCGTTTTTCGACGTGTTTACGAAAGAGAACTGTCGAAAGGCCTTTGAGGCAACAGCGATAGTCCGTACAGACGCGCAAACAGTCATTGATCGTCTTGATATACGTTTACACACCCCTCCTCGACAGCTATTACCGGAAGCAGCATGGGAGTCCCAAACACCAAGCAATTCGCATGAATTCGGATCTCAATCACGGCTGATTAGTAGCTCTTTCCTTAGATCTCCACCCGAAGCTAAGGAAGGGTTCTCACAGTTGGTAAAAGGTGCTGAGTTGATGCTCCATCAGAATGTACTTCAAGCTGCACGGATTACAGAGCTTGAAGAGCAATTAGCAGTATTAACTAAGAGAAGATCGCGCAAACGGAAGCAGATACAGCAAGGTGGATCTATAGAGTATGGTATTGGAGCATTGCAGGCAGGCGTAGATGCGGGTCTGAGTGCTCAACAATCGAAAAGGACTCGTGATAAAGCTGGTCCTGAACGAGGACTTCTAACTCAACGACGATGTGGAAACTGCGGAATAGCTGGACACAACTCGCGAACCTGCCAGCAGGATAGAGATGCTCCTTCTGAATCATATCCTAGCATAGCAGCTGTATAACTAGGTATGTAGTCAAATAAACCATGTTTGCAGTCACCTCATTTTCAATGCCAAGGAAAAGTGGCGGGTTCGGTGGTGTGGCCGGCTCGCTGATGGATTACGTTATCATGTTATCATAAGCGACCTAAATCTGTTATCATTCGGAATCCGCGACTTCTCCGACTTGATACTGTAGCAACGACGATTACGAGATTCGAGCCTGTAGTGACTGTGCTGACCGAGACCACTCGCTCTCGGTGCACGTCCGCAAGTGTGACCTGCAGTTCTGTCTGTTGACGATGAGCGATTCGGCTGTAAAGTGAACCACGCCCTCATATGTAAATGTCGATCGACTCCGAGGCTGATATCATCATCCAACGAGCTGAAAATGTGATGATTGTTTTGCTTTCCTCCCACACGTAGACAACTGAGATGGTAAGCAACACTCCTACGGTCAGGTACAGTCCGTCTGATTCGAATTGCGGTCAGCATGCATAACGCTGAGTAATTCTGGACTTGCATGCATAGGCCTGGCCAGGCATGTTAATTATGAAACTGGTGGATTTAGCACATATCGCAATATGTGCTAAGCTCGCAATAATTTCAGCGTGGAATGTCACGATGAAATCGCTTTCGTTTAGATCACCGTCGTGAGCACGTGGTTCGGGCTGACTAAGGACACCAGAGCTTGGGCAATCCTGGGGCAAAGTAACCCGGACATCGTATTCGAAAATTGTCAATCTGCATCCCAATATGCATGTGGTTAGGCCGGAGCTGACCATTCCAAAGTTGTTGTGAACGCGTAATGTGGTTATAGAGCGTCTTTCGGATATGAGCGTCGGAGAACAAGGTCTCTCGCTACACTAGCTGGAATGGTGCTTCGGGATTCAATGATCTTCCAATCCTTAGTTTTAGGCTTTCACCGGCGGAAAAGAGGGAAAGCGGCCGGCGAGCTTCCCACTGTTTAAAGAAGCTTGATTCCCTATCTCCACATAGCGTAATCATCATTCCTACAGTCGAATCAGTAGTGCTGAGAGGCGCTTGCAAGTGTGCTTCAGCCCTCGAGAGAGCCAACAACCGTGATTCCAGCAAGCTCTGATTTGCTGCCTGTCGTCAAGCCACGCACTCTGATATGGTAAACCGGGTAATATAGATCCTCGGACCTCAAGATGCAGGATCCAGATCCCCCAGCACTTCGCTTACAGGCCGCGGCCAGCAAACAATGCAGGACCAAGCTCCTAGTCTCGAGAAACATCATCCCCAACAGAGTGTGAAATATCCCAAGGTAGAAGAGAGACCATGTGTGATGCACACATGGAGTCGTCGTCGTAGTCGAGTATGGGGAACCCCGCCGGAGCAAGCGAGTAAATGGTCGAGGTGGGAGCTGAAGGTCAGCCCCAGCAATTCGTCCAGGTCGTCCAACATCAGCAGGGTGCAGTGGTGGCTTGCTATCGATTCGGTCCGTGGTGTGGTAAGACACGCCACAATGCCAACAGTCGCAGTTGCAATAGTGACATGCTGCAATCCCTGCGTCAGCCAGGACCAGCTGCACATGTAGGACGGACACATCCCAGCAGGTAAATGAAGATGACTCAGCATCCCGAGACGTGTTTGAAGAAACGCTCGGCATATATTCGGTCACGTCCGTGATATCGTTCTACAAGAACGCGCCTCCGTTCGTGCATGTACTGTGTCCATGCCCGTGCGGTCACATTCGTGGACTTGCCGCGGGATGAGGAGGAGGTGGAATGCTGTGGCTGAATCCTTCAGCATTGTAGCCAACTCCAGTCTCGACCATCTCCTGATAATAGCCTGCATGCTATGTCTGCATATACGTGATGTCTGTAACACGAGAGGAGGATGCCCGTCAGTCGGCCTGCATTTGTTACCTTCACTTTGACTTACTTATCTACCTCGTCGTCCATCGCTCGTATTTTCACCGTGACACGAACCTCCGAACTTGGTCCGCTCGGTGGTAATGGATTCTCAAGATCCTCAAGTAGAGCCTGCTGCTGACAGTAACAATCGTGTTCCTACAACCAACGACACGAATGGAGAGCCGAAGAGTCGAAAGCTCCGTCAGACGTGCGAGGCTTGTCGAGAAGCCAAAATTAAATGCGATAAAGGCAGTCCTCGCTGTCGCCGCTGCGAAAGACTCTCCTTCAAGTGTGTGTACAGTCCTGCGAGGCACTTTGGCCGACCGCGTCCGAGTTCTCAACGGACGGACGAGAACATCGGCTCGGGCAGCGGGACGGGTGACGCTCGTGGCGCCGATCATGGCTCTCGGATCGTGACGAACGAGAACAACTCGGCATCTACAGTGACAACAGCGGCTGGATCGACGGCACCCCAAACGCCATCTTTCTCCACTCGGCCTGCTCTCCATCGAAATAGCTCTTCTCTTGCAACCTTCCAATCCAACCGGCCTCGATCAGACTCGTATCCTGCCGCCCACAATGGTCAACCTGGCGCTACCAATGGGATCGACTCTGAAAACGGAAACAATAACTGCAGCGATCAGATTAACGACATCGTCCATGGCGGTCATCCGACTCCCAACAAGAATAACAACAACGTCAACGGCAGGGTCGACGACTTTGCGCAGAATGCCTCATCCGATTGCTCTTGGATTGCAGATATAGACATAATGTCATCTCTCGACAAGTTCCCTCACAATCCGTACGAGTACGATTGTGCGACGGTAGCTGTTGCAACCATCCGCGAATTGTCCGAGTGGAGGCCGACCACCAACATTCCGGCATCAGCCGCCGATAACACCCATCCGGGATCCGCCAACGCCGTCACAGCAGCGCACATGCTCGCCGAGCAGATCCCGCACGCCAGCCGCCAGGCGGCCCGGATCCTTGTCTGTGCCTGCGCCGCCGACACGGACACGGCTCTGCTCGTGGCGTCTCTGGTCACGGCAATCCTTGAAGGCGCAGGCGCCGCACTGCGCGCCCTCGATGGTGGGGAACAGCAGGCCCTTCTTGTGTTCGGAACTTTGCCATGTCTTTCTCGCGTCGTTACTCTGTTTGGCCATCGATACAGCGTGACGCAGACTCGGCGGCCCCCGCAGGCGCTTCTGCTGCTGGCTGCGTCGTTAAAGACGACTCTCAAGACTCTGGCTGGGGAGATGACGGATCGTTTCCTTGACGGTACCAGTGATCCTTCACTTGCGTACATGGCGCATATGTTGTAGAGATAGTCATTGGTTTCCATAGGGCAAAATTGAAATCGAATTCATTCATGAGACATTTGAGCGAGACTCGAATTCGAAGATGTTGTCATAAGATTCCTAGCTAACGCAGACAAACAATTATGAGAAAGACAATCGAAAACTGTAAGCAATGAAGCACGTACATACAAAATCATAAACAGAGAATTCTCTCAAATCAGGCATGCTATGCACCTCTCCCTGTCCAAAGATGTCATCAAAACTAAGCATTCTGCTCCAACCACGCCTTAAGGTCTCCAACATGGAGCAACTCGAGGAAAAGCGAGCTCTTGACTTCGATCGCAAGCTGCTTCTTGAATTTCTCCGCAAGCACCAACGAGGTAAGGGAGTCCACACCCAATTCCACGAAGCTGGCCTCGTCAGTAAGCTCGGCCAACTCGAGACCGGTCTCGCTAGCAATGAGACGCAGAGCATCGCCGACGATGCCTGGCGCCACATCGACGACAGCTCCATCGTTGGCGCTGCTGTCTTGCTCCACGGCAGCAGGGACTGGGGTCACTGGCTTCGCCTTCTCCGTTGCCTTGACCACCGCCGGGGCCTGCTGGACGGCAGGCGCAGGGGCATGTGTTACCCGCTTGGCCTTTGCAGGTGTAACCTTGGGAGCAACTGGCGCTGTGCGGATACTGCTCTTCGCCGGAGCCGGTGCTGCTGCCGTTGCTTTGATCGCAGCAGTTGGCTTGACGTCATGACTGCCGGCAATCGCATCGCTCGGAGTGAAGAACTTGTCCATCAAGATACGGTGGACGCGGCGGAAGCGCATACCGCCCATCATTCCTACTACGGCTCCGCCTTGCGTGACGTAGACGTCGCCGGAGAACATGTTGGCCTCGCCTGTCGGTGCCATACGGACGTAGCTCTGGTATTTGCCGCCAGCGACGGCGGGTTCGAGCATGCGGCACGTCTCCCAGCCGTTGGTGACGTAGAAGTAGTCCTTCGTGTCGGAGGCATCGCTGCCATTCATGACCCAGCCACCAACGTGGAACAGGCTGTCGATCCAGTGGGGTGGTGTGTGCCAGGTACCGTGTCGATCTGTGGCCAACACAACGTCGGCGTAGGCTTCCAGCTCGTGAACCACGACGGATTGCATGCCCCGGTACTTGTCGGAGTAGTCTACCACATTCTTGAACAATGTGTATGTCATGTCGCGGCCCAGACGGCTGGCGGAGCCGCTGGGAACCATGGCTGTCAAGGCCTGGATGCGTGTCTCGACTAGCCAAGAGATGCGACGGAACTCTACCTCCCAGTCATTCGGGTCTTCGTATCTGACAACGGTTGTGGCATACGGCTCCTCAGAGCGGTTGCCCTGAGAATCCGTGTCAAATAGCTGCACCACGGTGGTCATCTCCGCGAGGTCCATTTCAGCCTCGATGTGCAGGAGTTGAGCGCCGCTTCTATCCGTCTTGGCCACCTGAGCGTGTTCGACAAGCATTTCGCTCACGTTCATGGGTACTGGTCCGGTCGCTGTCGGAATCATACGCTTGTACAGGTATTCGCCGACGGTCAAAGCCATGTCGGCCCAAATGGACTTGATGAAAGGTCAGTACCAGAAATCCATCTGCTATACAAGTATTGATCACTTACCGAGGTTGCTACTCCATATCCGTTCATGTGGTGACCATCCACGGCACCAAGAAGCTCAGGCTGCATCATGTCCGAAACGACGACAACTCTGCCAATGTCTTCCGAGATGTCTTCAGACAGGATTTGCTGCATAGAAGACGTTCGGAGCGCGGAGCCGCTAGGAGCGACAGGCTTTGAGTTGTTGAGTACGCCATTCGGGTAAGCCTTGTCCAAGGTCCAGGTACCCTCGTATTGGATCCAGTAGTTCTTCGCGTTCCATTTATAGGCATGGAGGTGCAAGAGCTTGAGGCTGCTCTCGAAGGGACGGTGATATTCGTTCCAGTTGATGGTCACGCCGCTGCGATGAAGCGATGTAAGAGTCTTCGACAAGGTGACAAAATTATCCTCGTCCCGACGGAAGGATGCGTGGGTCTGCGCTGCGGCCATGAAACCTCGGACGAATGAGACGTTGACTGGATGAGGTCCGATCTCGATCCAAATGGTCTTCTCATCAATGATGCCGATTTCTTGGGAAGACTCGAGAGCACCCACGAAGTTGACAGTCTCACGAGCCGCTTTGCTGAGGTACTTCTCGTTGATAGTCTTTCCATCGAACACACACGTGTTAAGTAGAGGGGAAATAACGGGAATCTTGGGTGTCTTGTATGTGACATGCTTGGCCAGCTGCTCGAATGGCTTTATCATGGAATCCATTTGGCTCGTATGGAAGGCAAAGGGCACATCAAGGAGCGTGCACTTGATGCCCTCATTCTCCAGGGTCTTCCGTGCCTCCTCGATGTCTTCGCGCAAGCCGCCGAGAACAGTATCGTTGGTTCCGTTCATGCACGAGACCTCATATTTTGCCTTGGTGGCGACGCTCTTGATCTTTTGAACACTAGCACGGACTGCCAGCATGCTGTGGCTACCCTCTTCAGACCCAGAGATGACGAATTGAGCGCGCTTTCCCACGAGGAGTATCGCGTCTGCAGCAGACAAAACGCCTGCTGTCACCAAAGCTGCATACTCGCCTAGGCTGTGACCAATGACAGCACTAGGTTTGACACCAAGCAGAGACCAGAACTCCGCAAGGGCGATCTGGGTGACGACGATGGCAAGTGCTGTAGTCACAGGGCATGCCTCGGTCGCTACGTGCTTGCCTTCGATGAATGGACGCACGGAAGAGAAACCCAACGCCTTCACTAGGCGGTCGAGGTGATCGATCTGATCGCGGTAAGCAGGGAAAGACTTGTACAAAGCTGCGCCAGTTCCAATGTAGAATGAGCCTTGACCAGTGAAGGCAAAGGTGACGGACGGAGCCGTGCTCGAGATAGGTCGAATCTCGCTGACTGTGTCAACAACGGAAGTCAAAGATTTCTGCAGATCCGAGATGCTCGAAGCTGAGATGGCGACTCTGGAGTTATGGTGAATACGACGAGCAGTGGTCGTGTATGAGAGGTCTCCGAGGTCGGTGTCAGGATGCTGGGCCAGATACTCAATGAGGGCGGCCACGTTGTCCTTGAGCGAGTTCTTGCTCTTGGCAGAGATCAAGATAGGATGACTAGTTCTGGGGTCTGAAACACCAGGAGCTTTGGCCGGAGCGTCGCCGAGAAGTAAAGTAGTGTTACCGCCATGAGCGCCGAAGCTGTTCACGACTGCATACCGAGTCTTGCCGTTCTCTCGCGGCCATGATTTCAAATCCAGAGCCAAACCAACTTGTCGCTTGTCGAGGTTGGTAGGAATGATGGGATTGATAGCTGTCTTGATGCCCACGTGCGGCGGAATCTCCTGGTTCTGGAACACGAGAAGAACTTTGAGAAGTGAGGCGATACCGGCAGCAGCCTCACCATGGCCGATGTTTGATTTCACCGCGCCCAGATGGAGAGGTTGGTCGGGACGACGGCGAGGCACAAGGGGAGCGAAAAAGTCGCAGACCGATTCAGATTCGATCGCATCGCCTACTTGAGTTCCAGTACCGTGGAGCTCAACATATCCGACATCTAGAGGGTTGACTCCCGCGGCTTGCATGACTTGAGCATAGTTGATCTTCTGAGCTCCGGCGTGAGGCTGAGTAATGGATGCGGCATAAGCAGAGTGGTTGGTTGCACCAGCAAGGACCGTAGCGAGAATGTTGTCGTTGTCTGCCACAGCATCTTCTAATCTTTTGATGACGACAGAGCCGATACCGTCAGCTCGACAGTACCCATCAGCGCCCTCGTCCCACACCTTACACTGGCCGGTCCTCGAGAGGAAATGGCCATTACCCAGCATAGCGTAGTTGTCAGGGTTCGTGATCACGCTGAGGCCACCAGCAATGACCATATCCGCCTCATTAGCCCAGAGGGACGAGCATGCTGCGTTGACGGCAGCCAAGCCGCTGGAGCACGCAGTATCGATGTTGAAGCTGGGTCCGCCGAATTTGAAGAAGTAATTAATGCGACCGTTGGCGAAAGCGCGCTCACCGCCCGGTACTGCGTGAGAGCCAATGTTTTGTGCTGCATTGAGTTCTCGCCAGTCATCACTAGCTTGGCCGTAAAACGTTCCGATCCTCTCGAGAGTTGTAGACGGTGTTCGGTCGGGGGCAAAGCCTGACATCTCGAGCGCTTCGTAGGCTGTGACTAGAGCAAGTCGATGCATCGGATCAGTTTGTTCAGCCTGTGCGAATCGATTAGCGCTATGTTGGAGTCTCAGCATGTACAATCTTTATGCCTACCTCTCTCGGCGACATGTTGAAGAATGCAGCATCGAACAAGCCCGGTTCGTCGATGAAATTACCATACGGTGTAGGAGTCGAGTTGGGAACCTGGCCCGTGGGGTCGAAATGGGCTTGCAGATCAAATCGGTCGGCTGGAACCTCGGTATGTGTGTCTTTCTTGGCCTTGAGAAGGTCCCAGAAGAGCTTGCAATCGTTTGCGCCGCCCGGAAGTCTGCAAGACATTCCAACGATGGCCAACGTGGATTGCGCAGTGGTACGTGTTGCACTAGGCTTGATGTCGTGAAAGCACCAATCGATGTAATCCGTTTGCGTGATGGTGACCTCGCCGAGACTAGTAGTCAGGGTGTCCAGAAGACCTTTGGAGACGATGGATGATCGAAAGAGAAATGTCTCGCATTCCGCTGTACCGGATTCTGACAGAAGCTCCAATACGCCTGCGCTGAGATTGTCCAGGAATATGGATCCTGTCAGGATCTCAGTGGCGATCTCCTCGAACAGTTCGCCTGCATCGCAAGCCTGGTACGGCTTTCCGGTTTGAGGTGAGAGCAGCGGAAGTTGTACTCGGAGCGAGGGCTCGCACTTGAAGGGTGATCCTTGAGTCACGGTCCTGATGTCGTCCGCGGTGTAGAGATGAGGCGCGTGGCACAATCCATTGTATACGGGCATTGGGAAGTGCTTCGAGTACCGAAGGGCTTGAGAGTTCAGGAACGCACTTTTCAACCTCGAAGGAGGACCGCTGACACTAACTGAAGTCTTGTCAGACGCACTGATGAAGACCTTGGTGGCCTCTGGATTAAACTAGGAAAGTGATATCAGTAAAGCAGTCGGCGAGGCATTTGTCAGGATGCAAGTCTCACCGATTCGACATTGTACCTGTCGATCTCCTCTTGAACCTTAGCAGCCGACAAGCCGGTCACAACAAATGCCCAGCTGTCGTAGGTGCCATCCTGGTCGCGTGACTCCAAGCGTTCTGATACGCCATCGACGTGGACGCCCAATCTGAAGGCCACTCGAACACTTTCGACTCCGTGGTCCGCTACCTCTGCCAAACAAGTAGAGACAGAAATAGCTGCCGCTGCGAATAAGCCGATGCTGAGACCAGAGAGGATTGGTCTGACTCTCAAAAAGTCGAATGGCAAATCTTCAGCCTCGTGATGACTGTATCGTAGGTCAGCTTGTATTGAAAAGTATCAAAGAATTTCCAAGTAATCTGACCCGAGGAACATGCCAATCTCCAGCACGCAGAGTAGAGCACTCTCCAAGGCGCCACCCAAGGGCCCTTGTCGAAAGTTGGAATCATCGGCAATGGACAAAATCGACTTGAACGGAGGTACAAGTTTCTTCAAATGCAACGGTAACGAGGCAACTTCCTCGTGAATCACTTCACTGCAAGCGTCCAGGAAAGTAGCCAAGAGACGAAATCTTTGAGTCTTGCTGTTGGTATGAAGGCGTCGGAAAAGGTCTCGGAGGTCGTCATTCGGGAACTCGTGTCCAAAGAACACAAGTCGCGACGAAAAGTCATTCATGCCTTCCGTTGAGGGAGTGGCAGTCATGGCTGTGGTTCGTGGAGCGAACTATTGTTGAAGTGAATGCATAGAGAGAAAGAGAGGGAGGTGGTACATTTGTTTCTTCTGCAGAACCACAGCGTCAAATAGTAGCCGTCGGCATTGTACGCTGATGGCACTCCAGGTGGTCGGCTTAGTAGAAGCAGTCTTGGCGTCGCGTGGGAAGCAAGGTAGTCTGACTTGGCTGATGCATTGGTTAGCACGGGAACCGACGTGGAGAAAACAGCCGCTCACCACGTAACCAGGCTCGGATGACGGCCCTACGCCCTCGAAATCCGATGCCGTCTGTCCAATCATTTAGCAGATCGCATGAAGAGGACCAAGAATACCCGCGTAGCTTTTAATCTTCGTGGACAAGCTTCACGCCAGTACGCGTGGACGTCTGATGGAAAACTTCCATGTTCTTCTAGCCAGATTTCGAGGATTTAGAACTTTCATCATTCTATCAGAGAGCGAATGTTTCTTGCAAAGAGGCTCTTCCTTATGGTGAAGATCAGGGTTACCAAGCGAAAAATTTTCGTTAATGGTGCGTAAAAGCAAACTTGTCTTGCGATTTGGCAAAATTTGTGCTAAACATAGGAGATTGAGTAGAAGTATCATCTCAATCTAGTACTACGCCGCAGACAGTACGTTCTCGTGTCCCGCTTCCGAGCGCTACATCACAAGAGTTTGCTTGTTCACAAACCATCGCTGAGTACCACCATTCAGAGAAAAGCCCACTTTGCGCGTATCAGCAAGCATGCGCAGAATTTCCATTGTAGAAGGCTCGATTGCTCCCTGCAAGAGTTCCTTGGGTACCTCCCCGTGAATGATGCGAATGATCTCTTGCGCTGACAAATTCGCCAAACGAGGATTGCGGTTCTGAGCCGACATGTGGTCAAGCAGAGCACGGAGAATCAGCTTTTCACGGGTTCTTTTCTGGCGAATGTACTGATTCAGCTTGGCAGGCAAGTTGTCGATCGTGACACCGTGAGCTGGATAGCCGATAGTGCAGCCCTGAGCGGCCATTCGTTCGAGGCTTTGCAGATACGACGCAAGATCTTCGACCACCGTGAAGCCGTGGCCCAGGACGTTATCGCCGGTGAATAATGCGTTCTCTTCCTCGAGCAGGAAACACATGTGATCGATAGCATGACCAGGCGTGAAGAGGGCCCTGACCGTAGCACCCTCTACTGCGAAAATTTGCTGATTCTGAATATCAAGCTGACCCGGGTCAGGATTGCACTTGTATATACGATGTGCGATAGAGGGATCGTGGGCAACCAGGTCGGGGACACCGCCTGTATGGTCTCCATGCCAATGTGTGAGCAGAACATGGGCGATGGTCAAGTCTCGATCGTTCAAGATCTCTACCAGTCTTTCGATCCAGACCGGTATTCCCTAATAGATGATTGTCAGAACTGTGGCAAGGCGATCTAGACTCCAAGACGGCGTCCGAGGCCACTCCACCGACGTACCTCGCCGGTGTCGATCAGAATTCTTTCCTTGCCAGTGCCGAGAAGGAAAGTGTTGGTGCCCTGAAGTTGCATCTCTCCAGGGTTGCCTCCCATAACTCTGACGACTCTGTTGGTGAGGTCCTCAACATCTTCGAGGAGTGGCAATTGACGCCCTTGAGCACAGAGGTAGTCTTTCCAGAATTCCCGATCGATCTTCACGTTTGCTAGGGTCGCCATAGTTTAGCAGATGATGTCAGGATCGACGAACACCAGGGGCCACGTTCCTAATGTGTTACCAACGGATGGTGTGTTGCCAAGTGATTGTTGCCCCATCGAGTCACGACCTCCACAATCATCGCTGACAGCACAGTAGTGCCTCCATCTAGCGAGGATGCTCACGTTAGCTGTGGCACTGATCGGATACCGAGCTGCGCCGGACGAGCAGGACAGGTCTCATGCTGAGCAAGTATAATAGACAGGTGCTGTCGTCGATCGAGATCGTCTTGCGTAATCATCTCGCTCAATCATCTCGCGGCAGTGCTATTGACGAGAATGGTGGGATATCGCCCGTCATCCCGACGACCAAGTTGCGTCTAGGTAACGTTGTTTGCCGGACGCACCATCACGCCATCACGCCCTGGTTATATTGAAAAAGGTTGAGCGCGTTGCGTGGAAGTTTCGGGGCCCAATGATTGTCAAAATCATTGGCGGTCAAGTTCACCACCTCCTGACGGTAATCCGCGCGGCAGGTCGCGGCAGTAGTAAGCGATTATGTCATCAGATGTGAGGTCGGATCATCTAGAGCCGGTGGGACGTGATCTCTCACGCATTTGAACATTGTCGTAAAAGTTGCGGTGCAAATCTTGAGTCAGCCGAATAGAAATCTCATCGAATTCTCTTCTTGTCATGTGTATAAACATCCCGTTCACTTCTGGCTTCGAATCGCAGTAGTGGACATCACTTCTTTCAAGCTTGACTACATACCTATTTGTCTTCGTCACTACAACCAACTCTGCCGCATTATCCACGCGAGTCTCACATATTCACATAGCTACACTGGGCAATCTTTTCGCCTCCTCAACGTATGCAGGCGTTCAATGCTCGGATTCCGACATCAGGCAATCTGTCAGAAGCCTACCAACCCCCAGCTCACGTCAATGAAGATGGCTGCGCGTGTACATAAGCGACTATCTAAGCTCTGGTATGGTGTTCTCATTCGCACTGCATACCTCGAAGATATCGAGATCGATCCCGTGTTCGAAGAGTAGCCGCAACCTCCAGCAATACTCGCAAACCGTCAAATCACATCATGGCGATCACCGTAGTTGAGGAAGAGGACCTGTCATGGGTCCAGACTTCTCCCAGGACGTACGAGAGACCTCTCGACGACATGGAGAATTTTTTCGCCCTGGCCGGTGAAGGCGGCGTCGGCGCGACCGACGGCCAGCACTGGCACATTGCCATCATGGCCAAGATTGACATCGAAGGCATCGACCTCAAGAGAGATCTGCCCGTAGCGTGGATGTCTCTGCGCCAAATCAACCCTTGCCTCTCTGCCGTGGTGGAAGGTGACCGTCTCGTCTACACCATTGCAGATTACGAGGAGCTGGGCTCCTGGCTCAACGAGTCGCTGCACTTCCATGACAAATCCGCCTCGTCGCGAGATGTCTTTCCCATCCGGAACCGTACAGGACGTGCAGCCCTCCACGTGCTTCTTCCCACACAAGAGCTCTACCTCCTGGCTCCACACACTCATCTTGACGGGATTGGAGCCTACACCGCTATGAACAACCTCGTCCAAGCACTTGCAGACGCTGCCAACGCGAGCAGGGGTCCAGCACTCCAAGGAGACGAGTGCCGAAATCTGGTTGGTCCGCTCAACACTCTAGCCTCTATTCCTGTCGCCACGGATACCGACCGAGCGACGTTCAGGACCATGCTTGGAAAGTGGATGGCTGGATTCGCCGGTGTCAAGCTACGTCTCAAGGACACGAAGCAGCCATGCCGGGAACCTAGGACAATTTACAGGCCATTCACGGTTTCCGACTCAAAGCTGGTTATCGCAAAGTGTAAAGAAGCCGGCTTTACTGTCACGGCCGGAGTGCAAGCCGCGGTTTCCATGGCTCTCCGCAAGCAAGTTGGCGAGACCGCCACGTTCCAGAGTGCTGTCACCATTCACGATGTGCGGAAGTGGGTCGACAAAACTCAAGATCCAGCGACGACACTCGTCGGACCGATGGCCATTCCTGTTCCTGCGGTATTCACCGTCACGGACGACTTCTTGGAGACTGCACGTCTCGCCTCGCAGAAATATCGTGAGCCGGAACAGTCGGGACTATTGCGGGTTCTGCCGCGCTTCTGGGGCAATGACATGGTCGGTATCATCAAGAATCCGCCGCCGGGATCCGAGGCGCCTAGCTCGCTCGGCGTTTCCAGCTTTGGTATTATGGATAACTACCTGCGACCCTCCTATCAGGGAGCCGCCGGAGGTAAGGTCGAAGTGAAAGACGCCTGGTTGGGCATCACGTTGTACTCGCCGGATATTCTGTTGCACCTGTGGACATTCCAAGGCTCTATGAGACTGCAATGCGTGTACAATGAGGCGTACCATGACAAGGAAGCGATCTCAGAGTTGCTGAAGTCAACTGAGGACGAGCTGCTGCGAGGATTAGGTCTCAATGCGATGACGACCTAGCTCGTTCTGAGTCATCATCAGATAGATCTGTATTGTCTGCAGTCGATATGACCTGTCGTGATATAATTCTACAAGCTCTTCAAGAATTACGTGTCTCTAGTGTTTTTATCTTGCAATCATTGTTCTATCTCGAAAGACGTCCTCCCAGAGTTCCCGCGCACATTTCCGTAGCCCCAGGCACTGTTCAACAGTATATATTTACTTCCATGCTGATTCGGCTATGTTCTTCTCCCTCACCGCCAGGTCTCCAAATGACCACCTTTCTGCAGCAGCTAGTACTCTCCACAGGCCAAAATACCCAAAGCACAAATCCTCTAGATCGCGAAATACGCGAGCAGCACGCCCAAAAGCGGGAAAAGCGGCCTGTAGTAATTCAATCTCGACCACTTGATGATCAAATCCCTCGTGGATTCTTCGTGACCCGCGGGAGTTTTCTTATCTCCCTCGTCAGTGCTGCGATTTGCCCTCTGCAAAAGTTCCTCCTCCGCGCCAACGATGAACGCCAGTGTGAAAGGAATGAGGCTCGCGGAGATGACGGCGGCCAGCAGAAAGAAAAGTGCTGCTCGTCCATCGTCACCGTAGGTCAGAAACGCATTGATGAGGTTGGCGAGGGTGGAGATTCCCGCGGATGGTGGACAGAGGTAAAAGCCCCGACGGAATATTACGCGGAATTGGGCCAAAAGGCTCGATTCGCTGGGAGTTGGATAGGTCAGGAGTGCTGCTCCTGAGACGTATGAGAGACTGAATTGGCTTCCTGTATGAGTGGATTTCCGAGGTTAGTTAGTTCACATAGTAAATATGTGCTTCCGGTGCGAGTATGTAAATTGTAAGTATGAATCTACCCACCGACATGAACTGCTGAAGTGAGGATCGCAATAGAGCGAAGCACTTCAGAGGACGGCATCTTGATTTTGGCAAGTTTCTGATAGTCACTATCTGGACATCAAGATAGCAAGCTTGTGGACGCTGTTGGAATACAATCGATCTTGGCTACGTTGAATCTTAAGTCGCTTCTGGAACCTGCTCAACGTTATCAGCGGATGGCTTGTCATCTCAACGTAATCACTCGACATCGGCAACAGGCATTTCTACGCAGGGTCTCCCACAATGGCTGGAGATCTACGATAGGCACTATACAAGTAAAAGATAGACTATGCATCGTCCATCATCGGAAGCCGGGGGAAGGAGGAACACGTCGATCACCCTGAAGATCACTCTCGAACAAAGCGCTAAAGTTCTTTGTTGGATATTGTCTGACCACCGCAGTCGTCGCGCATACATGTCAGACCATCCAAACGATTGGATTGGCTGTTCAAGAAAGGTGTAGTATGCCCAGAAGAACAACCATATGCAGGGATGGTCCAGGTTGACATGATGGTCGGAAACCGATGGCCCTCTCAACCACCCACCCACCCACATGCCCCGCCAGGCTTTCCGGGGTCCACGCGAAACGTGGCTGTGGCATGGCAGATGCGTGCGTTGCGCAGGGATTGCATGTCGCATTAGGCTGTGCATGTATATTATCCATCCGCTTTGCCGAAATACATGTGTGTGGCTCTATGCAGATAGCATCCAACGTATCTCCTTTGGTCGCGGAAGCATCTCATACAAATCGATGCTACCCCGCGTGGGACAACAAAACATACAGGTGAACGAGGTCGTCACTAGAGTACGGTGAACACAGAGCGGAAAAGTGTTGGCGCGTACAAATTTGTTTGCTGAAGCAAAGATATTTCGATACATCGTAGATAGTCCATATGCAGGAAAGGAAATTTCGCCATTTATGCACTGATCAGCAGCATACAAAAGTAATCACAGAAAAATTGTGCACCTAGTCTACCGGAGCCCCAAACATGCAGAGCGTGAGTAGCGAGTGTGATTATCCTCTGGAGGGAAATGGTTTGGATTTTCGGGACCGTCCTTGTCCAGCGGAATCACCGAGCATCCAAATACTCGCGCGGGACAGTCGGCCATTCGTCGACGCCATCCTGCATGGCGATGCTCATGCCGCCTCGGAGATGGCTTTGCACGTGGCAGTGCAGTAGCCACGCGCCAGGGTTGACGACATGGTAGCGGATTGCCATCCAGCTGGGACCCTGCACAGCGGGAGGGGTGACGAAGCCATCACGTCGCGGAGGGTCCACGAAGTTGAAGAAGCTTGGATTGACCTGGGCTGCTTCGGCGACGGTGTTCCATGGGAAGATTCCGAAGCCTTGGCCGAGAAGAAACATTTTATTGCTGTGCTTGTGGATAGGGTGAGGAGGCATTGGGTAGTCAACAGCCTGGAAGATGATGTCGACCCATGTGTTGTTCAAAGTCGTGATGGTGACGTTGTTATATCTGCCAGGGCTGGGCTGGAAGAGAAGGGGGGCCTGGTCATCGAGGCTCATAGGATATACGGTATTGTTGAGGGCCCAATCGTAGCTAGTTCCAACCTGACGCATTGCCAGCTTGAAGGTCTGGTTAGCGTACTGGGCGATTGGTCTAGGCGGGAACGCCTTCATCTTGGACTGATCAAAAAAGCGGACGGAAGCAGAAGTGTTACGACCAACGTCATTGAGGAAACTCGTGGCATTGGTCACGAGAGGCGCAGACGATGTTTTGTCGCGATAAGATATGGTTGCCAAACCAGTGAACATCTTCGGCATCGTGAGAGAAGCTGTCCGCATGGTGTAGTCACCAGGCTTGTCAAGCTTGATCATGATCGAGTACCTGTCCCCATTGGCTAGTTGAACCGCCTCGACGGGCTGTGGCGTGATGTAGTTGCCATCGACAGCATAGATGAACATGGAGTAGCCATCGATGGAGAATGCAGCCGTGATGACGCCAAAGGCACCAATGAGGTCAAACGAGGCCCATGTTACTGCAGTGTTGGGCTGTTTGTTGATTGTGAAGACCTCGCTCGAGGCATTGGTGGACGTGCATACATCAAAGATCTCTGGCGGAATAGTGGAAATATTTGTGGGGAACTTCCTGGACAAGACATTGGCAATGATGGAAGCAGGCAGGCATCTGCAACAAATGTCAACTCGATTATCCTGAATAAATATAAGCTTTCGGCACTTGGTACATACCCTTTGGGAGTAAATGAGGTTCCATTTCCTCCCAAGCTCAGGAAGAATCGCTGTTCAGGCGTGTATAGCGAGGCGATCTTCTGAGCTGACCAACAGTCAACTCGGCCCTTGCCGTTGACTAGCAGAGTATCATAGCATGGCGTCTCGATGCCTGACGCAAGATTGATTGCCCATCCCTGTTCAGAGGTCACGTGGCGATGATCAGAGAGCAGCACGGGTTTAGTGTGGGCCTCGGCAAGAAGCATGGCCCGGATATCAGCAGGATCCGAAGAAATCTGCGAAAACGGCCTGGCAGCATCGGCTTTGCGATGGATGATGATCGGGCCGTACAAGCCATCTTCCGTCTGGCTCTTCTCATGCGAGTGGTACCAGTACGATCCGGCCTGTGTCGCTTTCCAGCGGTACGTGAAATCCCTACCAGGCTGAATGTGACGCTGAGATAAGCCAGGGGTACCATCTGACCAAGGCGTGCGAAGCATTTCGATACCTGCAGTACAACCGTTAGATCATCGGCCCGTTCGCACAGCAACATGCAGAATTTGAAAGCTTACCATGGTAGTGCACAGTAGTGTTGACGGGTAGACGATTACGCACACGGATCTCTACCGCATCTCCTTGGTTGACCTCGATCAGGGGTCCTGGGAATTGACCATTGATGAGAATCATCTGCCTTGCAAAGCCATCTGGTGCGTACTTTTCCCATGTCAGGGTCAGGTCAAACACCTTCAACGGCCTTCGAGCATAGGCGGGCTGTAAGAGGCCGAGGATGACCCCTGCAAGGGCGAGTAAGTTTTTCTGGAACTTCATTCTGATGTCAGGGACAAAAACGGTTGTACTGAAGCTCGCGTGCTGTCAAGTGTCATCCGGCATACAATCTCTCGGAACCAAGGTAAATATATGTGCTCATGAAGGACATAAGTTGGCACATGTCTAGCGTTCGCAGGATGCGAACACGCATGCAACTCCACGTGGCTATGCTTCCATTGCAATACAACAGTCTGGTCCAGACCTCGAGTTAACATTCTAACGCGTAAGCATCGGAAATCGGCCTCGAGAGGCTGTGCACGTTGTTACTCAGAGATCAAGCGATGATCGTCGCTCGGTTTCCGGAAGTCGGCGCTAGGTCGAAACAGGAGTTTTGCACGGCTCCTGGAGGGTCATCAAATCCTGCAGACTCTATACTCAGCCGTCTGCATGCCACGGTCGACCATAAAATCAAGAATCCGACGTTGGCCATACAAGCTTTCGTTAAGTCGGAGAACCACGGATTTCGCCGACGAGACGCGTTGGGCAAGGGACGCTTGCATGCTATGGTTGTCCCCGCATGTCGCCGAGACGGGGGCCAATAGTGGATCTGCTTGACATGATGTGTCGTAGCAAGTACAACACTTTAATATGACAATTCACCAAGGTGAAAGACTGCCAAGGTATGTTTTAAGAAGATGCTGGCATGCTTGACGTTTGTGCTTCTGCCAGGCGGGCAAATCTTAACAGGGCAATGATCAACGAGGTGTAGTCCAAACATGAGTTACACGCGAAGACGATCGATGGAGATCGTCGCCAGACCGCGCGAGTTTCCAGCGGCGCGGTACGTCGCGCCGCTCCGACTTCGTGCATAACGAAATTTTAGTCACCAGCTTCGGCTTAAGCCGTGGATAAAATGAAAACAACCGGACCCTTTACTAGTTCACACCTTCACTCCTGCAACAACAGACAGACAGCCCTGCATAATGCAGGTGCAGACAACACAATGCAGGTGCGTTGGGTTCCACATGAAGCTGGCCGCCTTGTCCTGCTGTACCCCTCGAGGATTCCGCGAATGCCCGAAAAGAGTGCCGATACGACACTCTTGCATAATGCCTCGTCTATGTCGGACGGTGGGTGCATGAAAGTCTGTGCGGCAGCTCTAGATGGCTTGTTGAGGACCCCGCGACCATATGAACAAGGACCGGCAGCGCTCTGATTGGGCCCACATCGAAGCTGCAGGGTAGGCTGAACCGCCCTCGCATCAGGCCACACCATAATTCGAGAGATTGTGAATACGCATAGCACCGGATTTGATTTTGACGATACTATTGCATTCATATCTGAGCTAAAGCGGATACTGCGGTATATTACGCGGGTGAATAGCTGACGCATAAAATCATTTCAAACTCTTGGGCTGCAGCCCTCTCCGCAAGATCTAATCCCTGATGACCACAGCTTCCCGTACGTAGAGCTTGTTCACCGCCGCCTTGACCAGGAACTTGGCTGCACTGCTGATGTTGACGCTGTCAGTCATTGACATGCCCTTGCCGGCACTGCCCAAGGTCTTCACCTCCGCCTTCGGGTCGATAGGTGCTGCCTTTGGGTTGTCGTACTCGAGTCTGGTGGCTCGGACGAGTGTCCACTCCATCTTGGTTGTGCGGATCTCCTTGTCTAAAAGGCTGTGGTCTTCGAGCGCATATTTGATATTGGTCCAGCCCATGAAGCCCTTGGAAAGCCATGGGAGGTTGCCCCAGGAGTCACCGACACCCGCGGTCGACATGACCACGATGCGGCGGATACCAGCTTCTTCCAGGACCTCGCAGGCATTGGCGCATGAGTCGGCGAGGAAACGTGGAGGGCAAAGAGGAGCCGCGAACGGGCTCTCTGACTTGCGCACAGCATTCAAGGTGAAGATGGCGGCTTCGGGTGTAAGGGAAGGTGCGGCAGACAAGGCTTTCTTGATGTCCGGTTTTGAGAGCGGCGTTCCGGTTACAATGGTGAGACCGGGTTGGGCGTCGAGGCTGTTTGCATTGCGGACCAGAGCGACGGCAGTGTGGCCCTGAGCAAGCAGCTCGCGGACGACATGCTTGCCAGTTCGGCCAGTTGCGCCAAGGAGGAGGAAATGCATGATGGCCGTGAAGTGTCTCTGGACTTGTCTGATTGGTCTCCCAGGTGGGAACTTGGCGAGAAAAACGTAAAAAGTACGACGTAGAGGTTTGATGGGAAAAGCAGGAGTAGTCTTTTACAAGTCCAGAGATGTTTGAATGTGGTTCTTGGGGAATTTCCAGATCCTGGCGGGCTCAGGTCGCCATTTTAAATTCCTTGAACACAGTCATCATCCTCAACTTTGCGGCGGAGATTTCTAAGCTCACGAGGCGAATGTCTGCCTGCGTAGGAATGCGTGAGTGAATGTGTGTCCAGTATCGGGAATCTTGAGATTCCATATCCGTGTGTGTGATGAATGCCGGGCGGGAATAGCGTGGTTGCGGAATCTCCGATTGGCTCTCTCGCTCTGTTAACCCAAAGAGAAATAATGCATATGCCGTGTACCTAAGTAGTGCAGTGTAGACTTGTATATCTTTGGGCGACTGTTTCATCCCGCATACGCCTGCCCATACGCTTTCAGCTGCGCCTCTGATGATTTTCGCTACGGTCTCATCCAAGCGGGCGGAAACCGGTCGTGGAAGGGGGTTGTGCTGCGTGTGATATGCTGCATGTCTCCTCTTCCTGCCCGCAGCCGTCACCCCCGGCCGTGAATCATTTGATGCCCATTTTAGGGCAAAAAGCTTGTGCCTGCCACGCCCAGCACGCCCTGATTGCTTCGCCCACGCCCGAAACATTACCACCACTGCGACTACACTAAGCCTAATGAGTAGTGGAAGTGCGAGCAGTAGCCAGATCAATCACGCCTACCATCATGTAAATCTACGACCCATGCACCTACCTGCTACTACACACATCCGCTATCGCATCCCTGTCGTGAACCGTATCAGGGTACATGTACCAGTACTACTGCTGCCAACCACTACCATTTCGCACGACCACAGGGTCCTTGCATGCAGCCCAGGTTACCTTGGTAGATCGTAAGCATCGCCTAATCGGCGCCACGAGGGACACACATGGCTTGGAGCAACAACCCTGCGGGCCATAGATTTACGCCTATCACCTCTGGCCGTGCCGTGCTCGCCGTATTCGCGCCGACCAGGTTCATCGCGTAAGCTGCAGGCAGGATTGGGCATGTAGGAACATATTCTGATTCGCATCCCCACGCATATGATGGGAGTCGTGATATATACCAGGGCCGGGATCGACATAGTCCGCTTCCCCATTCCATTCGGTTTCCATTTCCTGAAGACAGCCTCGAGTCTTCAACAAAGCCTGCAAGATGCCTTTCTACGATGACGGGCTCCTAAGCTCTGACAGCTACTTTGCATTCGCTTCGGCTGAAGGGTTTGCTCCGCCAGGCAGCGATACAACATGGCAGCCTCCGCCCGACACGGACACCGACATGTCGCAGATGCCGACATCGATGACATTACCGATGTTCGACACCGACTCTGCGATGACAGACTTCACAATGGTCGATGACCTGACTTTGCGACTACCTTCGGATACGATCTCCAGCGATGTCCTGCTCAGTTCAGACATCGACATATGGACACCTCTAGACTTCTCCAAGCATGATCCCGCACAATACTCAGCATGGTTCCCTGAGGTCACGGGTCGAACAGCGTCGTCCTCGTCGTCATCTTCGTTATCTGGGAGAGTCCACAGCTCATCCTCGACCTCGCCTTCTCCACGGATAGCTCCCTCTTTGTCGAGGCATTCTTCGTCTGATCAATCACAAGCACAGCACTGTAGATCACAGCAGCTTCATTCCGAGACATGCCTCACAATCGCTCTTCGAGCACTCACGACTCTACATATGGCTCAATCGACCTGTCTCGGCGCCAACGACATTAATCAGATCGTTCAGCCAGCTCGCAAAATGGAAACCGTACTGTCGACGAACAGAGATGTTGTCCAATGTCTACGTTCAATCCTCGCATGCCCGTGTGCCGCCAAATCGCTGGTGCAACTCCAACTTCTGAGCATTTGCGGCAACCTCACTGTTTGGAATAGCGCCATGATCACCGCTTATCTGGAATCCGAAGACGAGTCCTCAGATGCTTTAAATAGCAGCGCATCGCCCACCTCCCAACGGAATAGTTCGGCGCGAGTCCAATGCCAGCCTATCACGATCGGCCATCATCAGATCGACGGCAAACTAGGTCGAGCGATCTATGCCCAAGTCATGACTGGGGAGCTCAACGCGATTGAGGGGCTCGTTGACTCTCTGGCACAACGGTTTTGCGAAATCCCCGCCGATCAATTCATGACTCTGCGAGGATCTCCGGAAGGTCTTCCAAACAGTGTGCATCAGAATCTCACCTCCTCTCTACGCAATCGGCTGCATAACGCACGTGCGCAGATCTTCGCCTTGGCGTAAATAGCTTTTCTGGGCTGTCGCCAAGCACGGTGCGTCTCGCTTGCGTGCTTGCTTGCTTGCATTATGGGTGGGAGGGGGCATGAGGCCTGGCCCCATCATTAGGAAGCTATCTCACTGGTACTTTTATGTTTCATCATCACCATACTGTGATACCCATCCGCTTCGGATTTTCTTTCCAGGTCGAGTTCATTGGTGAATGCAATATCACGAGGAAAAATGACATTCTGATTTACTTTCTATGAATCCGATTCAGATCGATATTTGGCGATTTTATTTGTCGTCCAGGGCATGAGGCGTGAGCATTACGATTTTATGACGACCAGATTTTAGTATAGATACTCTTGCAGAATACCCATCTCATTTTACTTGAAATGAATCATCATTTGATACCATCGCTATCTCATCTTCCAATCACACGCTCGATGCTTCCGTTTCAGCTTATAAGAAATGATAGTTTGGTCTCATTTCTACATAAAATGCAAATTGATGCTCGAAGTTGCGGGTCTCAAGCTGTAACGGAAGATGGCTCGCTAGACCAGCTATTCACCACGCCGTTGCTCGGCCCATTCGACTCAGCTTCGAACTCAGCCAAAGCGGCCTTTGCCGTACCCAGCACATCATACGAGAAGAGGAGGTCAATAATATCATCCTGACTCTCCAGCTTCGTGCTGGCAGGCAGAAACTTGGCCGCTGCGTCGCGCACACTCTGGGGCATTGGAGGACCGGAGTTGGACAAAGTCTGAACGGCTGAACCACGATTCTTTCGGATCTGCTCGAAGAGCGGGAGACGCTTCTCCAAGGTCGCTTTGTCGTGGACTGATTCTAAGAGCGTGCCGAGGACGGCGGCGTCTTCGATGGCTTGACCACCGCCTTGGGCTTGGACTGTGTGTTTGTGTCAGCGATGGAGCTCGAATTAGACTAAACGCTTGAGTTCTGAATGTGGAACTTACATGGAAGCATAGGGTGAGCGGCATCGCCGATCAAAATCAGCTTGTCCTTGCGCCACGTAGGCAAGGGGCTGCGAGCGACCAGCTTCCAGAACTTGACATTTCGAGCTTTCCTGTACAGCGTGTGAGTAAGTGTAATGTCTGTAGCCTGCAACGATTGAGGGCGAACTTACGCAAGAACCTTGTGCAGTGCAGGGCTGAGGAATTCCGTCTTGGCGTGCTCCAGCATCACGCTGGGGTCCACCGCCGCCTGGAAGTCTAGAATGGGACATCGTCAATGCAACCCTCGTTCGAGAGAATGTCGTATGCACGTACCTTCTGTAGCATCGTTACCGAACGACCGCGAGAGGTAGAGGAAGTTCTGGACGTCGTTGCTTCAATTCGGTATGATTAGCATATGCTCGTCGACAGGCCGAAACATTTCCAACTTACTCTCTGCATTGGTACCACACCAGGCCTCCGCCCTGAGCACCCATGTAAAATCTCTGAGTGGATTTCTCGACCAAGTTTGCAATCTCCGGGTCAGCCAAGAGCTCGCTGGTCGGCAGAAGCCATCGCATAGACGCCCATCCAGTCTCGGTCGTGATGCTGTCGTCAGTGACACCTACAGCCTCGCGGGCGGTAGAGTGGACACCATTGGCAGCGATGATCAGGTCACCCTGTCGAGTCGTGCCATCGGCCAAGGTAATCCTTGCATTCACGGCATCCTGATGAAACATGTGAGCGATGTTGTGACCGGACACCCCCACCGCTGGCGAGGTGCTGGTGATGTTGCTTACGTAATTCTTAACCGTCGATCGCACGTGGAGCTTGCATGGCTGGCCAGGCCCTGCTTCGCCTGTGGCCAAAGCTTTGAGTTGATCGTGCAAATCTACGCGATGAACCGAGTAGATCGGCGCGCCATAGTTCTCTTTGATGTTGACGTAGTAGTTCGGAACTATTGTCTGCAGATTGGCGCCGCTGAGGATACTTCCTGTGCGGATAGCGACCATGCGCGATTTCGCAATGTCAAATCCCCACCCACATAGCACTGGTGAGGCATTGGGAGCGATGGAGATGGCCGCGCCGGTTTCCTGCAAAAGAGCGGACTGCTCGAATATCTATCGAATCAACGGTATCAGCAAAGAGGACGCAATGAACGCCTGTTGCGATCAGCGTGAGACGGTGCGTGTTGATTGAACGGACATTCACGGAGTGTCCTGCACGGCGCAGCGCGATACCGGCGCTGAGGCCTGCAATACCGGCACCGACAATGATGATCTCCATTGTTACTGGACGTCGCTTGTTTTGGTATGATGTCTTGCTCGCACTCGAGTGTGCTCAATCCCCCCGGGATTTCCATACATACGACGTTCTTGTTATATACGTCGATGATGTTACATCGGCAAGACCCGAAGCGAGTGGCCGAACACAGAATCATTGTGGGACATGCTCGTATGCGTGATCTACTGCAGGGACACCTCGTGAGTGGAAGCGAACCTCGACTCATCATCAATCCCGAGATCACGGTTCCTCAGCAAATAATCGAGGGCTCGGGATTCCGTCGGTCTACGACCAGCCAGGATTCCGTCCGAATTTGGCAAGGCCCCCAACCTTCTCCATGCATGTCCCTGCATGTAATTGCACATCTCCATGCTTGCTTCGCCAGATAGTAGTTCTACAGGCAGCCATTATGTCCCTGGGAATAAGCAGCGACGGTCTGAACAATGGTCGGTATCCGTGTATAACGAGTGCACGTGGTTTTCGTGTGGGCGCCTAGGCGCCTAACAAATGTGGCCGGGCTCAGATGTCAAGAGGGTCAAGATGAAAATCGAAATCTCGAGATATATGTTGGACAATACGCTGCCATAAAACATTGGGTCGTTCTGTTTAACTCCTCTGGCCATACTAGTCTGTGTTGTGCAGCGAGCTACTTCTTCAAACAATCGCTTCTACACATACAACGTAAATCACAGACACCATGCTGAGCTCCAAGTTGACCAAGGATATGGGTAGAGTGCGTGCCGACGAGGCCGCACGTCTCAAGATGCAGGACCATCTGCGAAGTGCCGCAGACTCCATGGAGACTCCAAACGACACGATGCTGCGCCTGTTCAATGGAGTATGTGTATCTGATTCACTCGCAATATGCATGTCCGTTGACACCATCGTTCTTGCAGGCTCTTGAGGTGCCCATGATCAAAGCTGGCTGTGACATTGGATTGTTCAAGTTGCTGAGCGGGAGCTCTTCATCTATGACGCTGGATGAGATTGCCGCCACCACCAAGGCGGAGCCAGCGCTCCTCGGCCGCATCTTGCGGTTCCTGGCCGCCAACCGCTTCATTGCGGAGACTGGTCAAGATCAGTTCGGACCTAACCTCGTCACACGTTCGCTTTCAGACCCTGCCATTGAGGGCAGCTTGAGATACATGTATGTCTCGCAGCATGACTTTGTGCGCGGTGATTGAGCCTGACTAATCCAACACAGCTTCACTATGGCCATTCCAGCTTACCAAGCCCTCCCTGACTTCCTGAAAGACACAAAGCTCACAACTCCTCCCGGCACAAAGTGCGCCTGGCAGAAGTCGGTCAACACAGAGCTGGACTGGTTCCCATACTACAAGCAGTACCCCGAGAAGCTCGGCTACTTCCAAAAGCTCATGAGTGTGCCACGAGATGGTGACTGGCTCGACGTCGTGCAATTCGCGGAGGCGGCTTCCGCTGTCACTCAAGACCGTGCATTGTTCGTTGACATTGGTGGTAACATCGGTCACCAGAGCAAGCGGCTACGATCCCGGTACCCCAACCTTGCCGGCCGTGTCATCGTCCAGGATCTGCCGGAGACCATCAATGCGCTGCCTCCCTTCTCGGGCATTGAGTTCATGTCTTACGACTTCTTCACTCCTCAACCCATCAAAGGTATGTTTCATTTTCGCAGCAGAAAGCGGAAGATATCATTCTGACCAATTTTCGCAGGCGCCCGTTTCTACTATATGCGTACCGTGCTTCACGACTGGGACGAGGAGAACTCCATCAAGATCCTCAAGAACACAGCCGCCGCCATGGGTGCGGACTCGCAAATCCTCATCGACGAGATGGTGCTGCCGAACAAGGGCGTGCACTGGTGGTCAACCTGCCTGGATCTACACATGTACACCATGCTGAACGCGTTGGAGAGGACTGTTGACCAATGGCATGATTTGCTTGGTAAGGCGGGCCTCAAGCTTGTCGAGGTCAAGACCTATGCAGAGGTCATGACCAACTCCATCATTGTTGCGGAGCGCTTGTGATTGGTTAGAATGGCGTTTCTAGGATGGTCCATTGATAGGTCGGCGCATGAATACATTTCCTATTTTCCCTGGGTACATCTTGATCTCGTGAAACCTGCAGGCTGGTACTGTCGACGGAGATCATTTTCCGGAATGTCTTTCATAGTTACGGAATCCTTGCTTGCCGTGTGTACTGCATTTTCATGATGCGCCGCTGAGCGCGGAATTTTGAGGGTCGCGAAGTCCGCGATGATGAAGCATGTGTTACCAAGCTTTGTCCGGCGCATACGATCGCTCGATTGAGACTTGTGGGGCATCGCGCGGATGTTAGTAAATATCACCGCCGTGAAAAGACATGCAGTAGTGCCGGTGGGAGCGTTTCACTGCTCCTCAGAAATGTGGACAGTCGAGCTGGCGCGCGCTTGCCCCAATTGGGACCTCCAAGCGATGTAGCCTATCAGCGTCCTCGGTTTGAACACCTCAGCTCATACATCACGCCGATTTCCGGCTGTAGGATTCCATGCAGGTACTGTAACGCTCGTCGCCGCATATTTTCGCGCCAACGAGCGGTGATATCGCTGATAATGTTTGTCCGGTTGCGCAGGTTTTCGGAGCTCCGGACTGCGATCTGTGCGGCCATCGTGAGTAATCCAGTCGATCGAGGTATATAAATGGTTTGATGGGATCCTTCATATGATCCTCTGAACAATTACTTTTGCGCTCATCTTGCCTGCTTCATCCAATCTTTACACAAGCCACCATATATTCCAGTGACTACGAGTGCATGTCTAAGATCTTGAATCACGGCCGGACATTAGGAACGAGACTCGTACACACCTCGAAAATGCCCGCATTTACTCTTTACGGCGGTCGCGGCTCGTCCAACACCGACCGAGTGCGCCTGGTCCTCGCTGAAGGTGGCTTCACCGATTTCGACTATCAGCTAATCGATCTACGAAAAGGCGAGCAAAAGGTGAGCATCCGCCCTTCATGTCAGGTATCGAAGCCCATTTTCACGTACTGACTCTGCTGTTTTAGTCTCCTGAGAACCTCAAGCGTCATCCCTGGGGCAAGATCCCCAGCGTCACATTTCCGGATGGCTTCACACTCTACGAGAGCCGAGCCATTTGCCAATACATCGCGACCAAGTACTCATTCCCGCTCCTGCCGAAAGAGGACGCCGAGTCAACGGCATTATTCAACCAAGCCCAGCTAGAAGAAATTCTCTACTTCGCCGACCCAGCTGGCAAGATCGGGTTCGAGAAATTCGCCAAGAAGTTCATGAACTTGCCTGCCGATGAGGTTGTCGTCCAGAGCGCGCTCAAGCAACTTGACGCCTTCTTCGACGTTGCCGAGCGACAGTTGCAAAGCCGCGAGTACATGGCGGGCAAGGAGTTCACTTTGGTGGACATCAACTATATCCCGCTGATCCAGAGACTATTTGCGTGCGGGTACGGGGATGTCGTGACAAGCCGCAAGGCTGTTGCAGCGTGGTGGACCCGATGTATTGAACGACCTGCCATCAAGAAGTTGATGGACGCCGACCGAGAGGCGATGGCTGCTGCAGCAGCTGCTGCAGCTCGTAAGTAGAAGCGAGGGAGCAGTTTGATAGATTCCGGCAGCCGCAGAAGCGTGTTGCCAGCCAAAATACTATGATTCATGAAACATTATTGGATGATCCGTCAGTGAAATGGGTTTGATTGGAGTGTCGGTCAACGAATGAAATCCATGGCACACAAGCCACACACATTAGGAAGCGACCTTCGTGATTCCCCCTTTCCGCGAACGAAAATCTCCCTGTGCTGCAATCTGTATTCGCTTAAATTTCTCTCAAATTCAAAGGCAAAGTAGTTCGAATTTGACGCCTGCAAGAGATCTAAATACCGCTCTGATTCAAAAGCAAACGAATTCCAATTTGACGCCTGCAAGAGATCTATTACCACTTTCTACAATGCAATGCTCAAATCTTCTTCCAGTCCCATCCAAAGGAGGCAATGCGAGTCACGACGAACAGGAGAGTTCCAATTGCACAGGTCACGCCGCCGAACGTGATAGCGTAGGTGAAGTTACCTCCACTGCTTGCAATGATGGCACCGCCAATGGGCGAGCCCGTAAGTCCAGCAAAGGCTGAGATGGTGAAGACCGTCCCTGTGCGGACCCCGATTTCCCGGATCGGGGACAGCTTTGCACACAACGCGGGCGTAAGGCTGATGCCAGCACCGGAGGAGATTCCAAATAGTGCGGCAAAGGCGATGATGGCTGCGTCGTTCGTGGCGGGGATCCACAGGCCCAGAACAAGTACGGAAGTCAAGGTGGCCATGACGATCATGACGTTGAAAAGTCCGACTTTGTCGGCAACCGCGTTGGGAACGGTACGTCCGATGAGGCTGAAACAGATGTCGTCAGCTAGAGATTCATGATACGAAGCATCTCTCATTGCTCGATGACTCACCTGAATGCATTCAAGATCACGACGAGGTATTGCGCAAATTGAGGAGACATCCCATGAGCAACGGCGTGTGCAACGATGAAGGTGAATGGAACGAACATGCCCCCTGTACAGCGCGTCAGCCAGGTACAGGGAAAGAAGGAAGGATCGAAATTCGCACGTACAGTAGAAGAAGAATACCGAGACAGTCCAGAGCGCGAATGCTGGCTCCTTGAGGGGCCGGATAAATGCCATGACCTCAATGGGTCGCTTCGTAGGCTCGAGGCGACTTGTCAGAGTGAAGGATGCGAAGATTAACAGGGCCAATATTAGGAATGCACAGCATCGAATGGTCCAACCGAATCCGATCTTCGGGAGGAGATTGATGATCATGAGAGGGAAAACGATGCCTCCCAAAGATGATCCCGCGGCGACGATGCCTAATGCAGCGCCACGCTTCTTCAAGAACCACGTCGACACCTAGTCATATCGTAAACGATCAGTATCAAAGCCCCTCTATGATCGAGTCTGGAAATATCACCCACGCTCGAGAATGCCGGGTTGAAGACAAGTGATGCGCCCATCGCCGAGCAGATGGCCTGGCTGAGCAGAATCTGGTAGTACGTCGTTGATATACTAGTCATCATCAACCCGAACACATGCAGAAACGTGCCAGCGATGAGCAGCGAACGAGGACCATAGTCGTCGAAGATCTTGCCAGCGATGATGCCGCCAGCGAACATGAAGAAGACTGTTGGTTGTTAATGGTCATTGCATCATGTAGCATCTCTTCGAAGCTGACGTACTCTGGAGCGAAGGAATCCATGCGATGTCTGACGGACTGTACTCGCGTAGCTGATTTGCCTGGTAGTACTCTTGGAATATACCAATAGCATTGACCCAACCGAACGAGACGAAGAGACATGCAGTTGCACCAGCGACAGTCAGCCAAGCCGTCGCGCCTCCCTCAGGAAACTCATTTCTTGGCTGCGGACTCTGACCAGCCTCGGGCTCACTCAAGGATCCATCTTGTGAGGACAGCGATTTCGAGGGCTGGACAGAGGCCGACTTCTCCATTTGAGAAGCGCTGGCATCAGGCGAAACCGATCGTTCAGTGCGTACTGTGCTGTCCATCTCAGAAACGATTGAATTTCGAATCGATCAGCTTGCTTGACAGGATTCAATTGTTTCGGTAACGAACAGTCTCGAGTATTGGCGAAAACATGGGGATGCAAGCGAGAAAAGCTTAGAATGCTTGATTCTGGTACGTCGGAAAACGACGGATTCCGACCACACCACCTCGCGAGCAATTTGGTGGCGCTGGACACATGCACCTGCGCCGCACGGTATGCATGGCGTTTCCGTTCCATCAACATTACCTGTACGTCTCGGAAGCCGTTAATTCATACTGTGCCCGGCCTGCGACATGGACGGTATAGTGGTTCGCCTGGTGGTGGTTCAAAGTCCATAATGTATGGACCATGTATTTAACGCTCAAGCCAGTATGTGATCATACGTTTGTAGAGCATTGATCTCAATATCAGCCCATGAATACTGCAACATGGCCATTCCCGAGCGAACCAAAGTCCTTATCATCGGCGGTGGGCCGGCTGGCTCATATGCTGCCTCGGCGTTGGCCCGTGAGGGAATTGAAGCTGTCGTCCTCGAAGGCGACAAGTTCCCCAGGTAAATTTGGCCCGCCCAAACTCCAAAATTTCGGCCCGAGAATTCGGCACGGTCGGGGCAGGGGTCTGACACAACGCTTTGTAGATACCACGTGGGAGAGAGCATGCTGCCTTCTCTGCGTCATTTCTTTCGTTTTATCGATCTGGACGACAAGTTTGTTGCACATGGTTTCTACAAGAAGGTAAGTTATCTTGAAAACTGCCATGAGGCTGAGATCAGTGCAAATTAATGATTGTATTATTCGAACAGATCGGCGCAGCGTTCGTGCTGAACAACAAAGAACCGGCATGTAAGTCACCGCGGAGCCATTTCCGACATCAGTAAAATTATCATTAGGAAGGCTTTGTGAGTTAAGTTTTTGCCTCGGGGGTTGAACTAATACCATCACGCAGACACCGACTTCATCGGCGCAGGAGGCCCCAACGCATACTCATGGAACGTCGTTCGATCCCAAGCCGACGACCTCATCTTCAGGCACGCGGGTCAGTGTGGAGCCAACATCTTCGACGGTGTCAAGGTCTCCGCGATTCAATTCGCCCCCCACGAGGGTGCAAGCACTGCCGATGCGAAGACCCAGGATCCCGGCCGGCCGGTGTCCGCGACCTGGACCCGCAAGGAGGACGGTAGCACCGGCACGATCAACTTTGATTACCTCATCGATGCAAGCGGCCGTGTTGGTATCATGAGCACCAAGTACCTCAAGAACCGCCACTTCAACCAGGGACTCAAGAATGTTGCCAGCTGGGGTTACTGGAAGAATGCGGGACGCTACGGTGTCGGTACTCCCCAGGAGGGCGTCCCGTACTTTGAAGCCCTCTCAGGTTTGTATCAACGACCGTCAATGATCTCGAATGTCGATGCTGACATCGTATCTCGCTCTAGACGGTAGCGGCTGGGCTTGGTTCATCCCTCTCCACGACGGCACGACTTCCGTGGGAGTCGTCGTCAACCAGGAAATCGCCATCCGCAAGAAAAAGGAAATGGGCTCTCCCGGCGACAAGGTCTTCTACAAGACCATGCTCGAGTCGGTCCCCCGCATTCTCGGGCCCATGCTCAAGGACGCCACGCTCGTGAACGACGAGATCAAGGCGGCCTCCGACTGGTCCTACAGCGCATCCTCCTACGCCAGCTACAACACCCGCATCGTCGGCGACGCCGGCTGCTTCATCGACCCGTTCTTCTCATCCGGTGTCCACTTGGCCGTCGCCAGCGGCCTCTCCGCCGCTGCGACCATCTGCGCCTCCATCAAGGGCCAGTGCACCGAGCACGAGGCGCTCGCGTGGCACTCGAAGAAGGTCGCCGAGGGCTACACCCGCTTCCTCCTCATCGTGCTCAGCGCGCTGAAGCAGATCCGCGAGAGCGACGAGCCCGTCCTGAGCGACTGGGACGATGAAGGGTTCGAGCGAGCATTCGCCCATTTCCGCCCTAGTAAGTCTTCCGTCTGTCCGTCCAAAAATGGATAAAGAAAAAAAGCCAATCCCCGCTAACACAAAACCAACCATCGCCAGTCATTCAAGGAACGGCCGACGTCCAAGGCAAGCTGACGCAGGAGGAAGTGTCCAAGACGGTGGACTTCTGCCTCAAGGCGTTCGCGCCCGTGGACGTGGCCAAGCGCGACGCGGTGCTGAAGCGCGTCGAGGACCTGACGGCGACGGGCAGCGTGCAGAGCCACGCGGAGCTGCAGGCGTACCTGTCGGCGGACGAGATGAACATCCTCAACAGCGTGCGCGCCCGCGAGATGGTGCGCTCCGAGGACACGGTCAACATCGACACCTTCGCCTCGGACATCATCGACGGCCGCGCGCTGAACATGGTGCAGGGCTCGCTGGGTCTGATCGCCGAGGCGGGCGTGTCGAAGGAGGTGAAGAAGTCGGTGGATCTGCTCGGCCAGATGATGGGCGAGGGCGCGGAGAAGGCTCTCGCAGAGCAGCCGGTTCCGGTCCTCGTCGCCGCGAGCAATTGATGCGGTGTAGGTGAGAGGGAGATCTCTCGAACTCTCTCTCTGGTTGCCGATGAATGGCGTTTTGAGGGGATGGGATAGGCTCCTTCTTTTGCGTCCTTGAAATGATCACGTGTTCGATGCATCACAATTCTATATGTTGTTGTCTCAATGGAGATTCTCGTAGAGCGAAATGACATGAGGTATAATATTGCCGCTGCACATCTGGTCATTTGCATTTCACAGGTTCCGTGCCATCGGCAAGGACATTTTCGTCAAAGACACCAACGCGGAACAAACTCTCGTACGATTGGAATTCTGCAGCTGAGCGTAAATGAAATTTCTCATCGTGTACGTTGCAATCTCCAAACGTGTATCTAAGGACTAACACCAGCACCATCACGCGACGACCCAAAAGTTTTCAAGCGCTCATCAATACCATCCGCAATCTCCAGCAAGCGAGACTTCTCCTCCTGCAGGTCAACAGCAAAACTCGGGGAATGGGAAACGGCGCCTAGAAGAATGACATTCAAAACCCGATGGAACAAGCGCAAAAAGGACGTCGCTATTGGCTCCGGTCCTGCGGCCTGCATGTCCATCATGTGGCCGGTGTCGAATCCGCTAGGCCATGCTTGGAGCGCAGCTAGTAGGGACGTCTTCGTCGGCAGCAGCTGCAGGGCATCCGCGGCTGACTGGACGCGCGAAGCCCTGTTCAGGAAATCGAGCGTCGACGCGGCAATCTTGTTCAGCTCGGCCCGCTGGTCGGGCGCCAGGACGCGCAGGTTGCTGTAGCTCATGCATGGCTCCTGGGGTGGTGTGGGATATCCGAAAGCCCCGTCATCAGGTGGTGCTGTGGCGGCAGATGGCGTCGGAGGTTCGGATTGTCTGCATGGTGCGGCAAACATCTTGATCAGGAAGACATCCAACAGGGGCAGGTCTTCGCGGGAGGACAGCAGCGTGGTACCGGTCGGGTCCAAACTCGGCCTTGCTCGATATTCACGCATGATGTTGAGTCCTTGGACCATATGTTGAGCCATGACGGCAAAGTTCTGTCGCGCTTGTTCGATGCTGATGAAGATCTGACAGCAAAGCAGCGCGGACCTCAACGCATGCGGACCCTGGGACGACAAGTTGGTGGCAATGGCCCTCAGTGCGATACAGTACTCTAAGGTGCTATGGTCATGGCCGGACCCAGTGGATTGCGCTGCAGCGGTGGCTGCAGCCCCGCCGTTCGCTGCAAGATGAGCGCGGAGGGAAACGAGCGAGGAGATTGCATGTTGGATAGCCGGGTCTGTCAAGCTAGCTTCAAGGACATCGCGTGCCTCCTCCTTGCAGTCTAGTTGGACGTCAAAGAGCGTTTTCGTCGAGAAATATTGATTGAGAAGGCCGACATCATGAGCAGGATTTCCCGTCATGGATGCAGGCAGCGATGGCTGGGAACCAACACAAGGCCGTGCGGTACCAGTTCCATCCTGTGTGCCCGATGTCGGTTTCCGAGTGTAGTTCCTGAAGGCAGATTTGTAGCCATCGCAACGACGGCCCGTGTCGACGCAATTCCCGCAGCACGGTTTTCCTTCGTCGCATTTCACCTTTCGTATCCTATTTTTTCGTGTGAGCGTGGTTGTGACGCAACATGAGGCAGATCGACACGATCGCCCGATCCTCCGACCCTGAAGCCCGGGTAACGGAGCGCTTCAGGGCAGATGAATTTCCCTCTGGGCAGAAACTTACCTGCAGGTTCCGCAGCCCGTCTTCACCTTGGTCTTAATTGAGTTTGAAGACACGAACATCACGTCTCTCGCCATCTTTCCAGCGGCTTTCAGGACATTCCAGTGAGGCTCGTGAGTCGGTTGCGACCAGCAGTCATTAAATTGCAAACAGGCACCACGATAGGACTATTCCAATATGATATCTTTTGGAGGGCAAGACCGCTGCTACTTCTTCAATAGCTCTTTCAGTACGTATTCGAGACGTTGTCCAAGATGGGATCCTGGTGAAGTCGGGTCGGCATCATCGCAGCAGGTCAGAAGAGCATGTTGTCGGAGTCGCGTCATCGGAATCCGACACACGAGGTTCGACACGACACGACATTTTGCGAAAATACGGGACCATCCCGATACCGATAGCCGTGTGATTGTTGTACGATAATCTCTCGACATGCAGGGTCGAGACAGGGCGTTCAGCCACGAGGAGGTGCTCCCGCCCGACTCTCAAGCTTGGGTGAACCAGGGTCTGCGGAAGAAGCCTAGACCCTGAAACCGCCCAAACCGCACATACCTGGCGGGGCGGCCGCGCGCGATATCATCAACAAACCTTGGAACCTTCACAAAGGGATGGAGGGACTCCCGAGACCCCTCTCTTTTCCTATCTTCTGATGATCACAAGATATGTGCTGAGAGGACATGGCCACTGCCTTCGGACATGTGGCTGATCTGTCAGAGAACTCACCCCTCCAATGAAATGCACACCACGGTGAGAGGGCGGTGTCCGTCCTTGTCAGAAGGGGCCAGCCACGGCGTCGATAACGCGAAAGCTAGGCCTCAGCCAGCCACTCAGGACGCGTCAAAGGCGATACAGTCATACACACACCCACTCGAGGTACGCCACGGAGCAGGTCAAATCCCGCAATATCACAGTAAGCAACATGGATGACTTGTACGGCACAGTAGAAGAAAGCGGGGGCAATACGTATGGAGAGAGGCAGGATAGGATATCTAGATATAGAGAGAGGTAGGATACGATAACTAGGTGTATGGAGATAGGCAGGATAGGATATAGGAAGAGAGGCAGCATATATATGGATATAGAAAGAGGCAGTAAATGTATAAATATACACGGAGAGAGGCGGCAGGATACATGTATAGTGTGTATGGGCATCGACGGTTGTTACCCTGCGTTAGCTCTGATGAAATTCTCGGACGAAATCCCGTGAACCTCCCAAGGTTCCAAGGTTGGCTTCGCATGCGCAGTCCACCACCTGTGAAGTGAAGGACCGGTTCCGACCACTTGTTGAGCAGCGACGTCCCTTGCTGCTGAGTCATGGTTGAATACGACCAACCTTCAGCCGGAACCTTGAAAGGTCTGGAATTTATACAGAATATCTATATACATAATGCGGCGGTCTTGGACGGAAAGATCAAACGAATACACTGTCGTGCCCAAGCAAGAATATTCACCGAACATCATCCCATGGTAAGAGATATGGATATATTCGGTTATTAGCGGGACAAGTGGGGGTTAGGGTTTGCAATGACTGACATCTTGACAACCCTAATCTTTACCCTAACAACTCCCTATTCCGAGGTCTGGAACAATGATCGTTTTGTGTCACCATTCTCATCATCATATCTCCAATCTCCTCATCGCCGTCCATAGTTTGGCGAATCTAGGAGCCAGGTGCATCCAGCTCCCATAATGTGGTAATACCCCAACAGAGGCGTGACCACAGACGTGCCGAGACACAACGTTCCTTAGCCCCAAACTCCGCCTCCACTGGGAATTAACATCCGGACCATTGACGACATCGCTCGCGATGGAACAAACATCATGAGCCATGATGAGTCATGGATGGACGTCAACAGACCTTGATACCATGTTCACCTCCAACATAAACCAATCGTTACGATGCGACCGATCAGAAAACTACGTTCGCGACATTTCTTCAGTGACTGGAAGGCACACAAATCTTAAGTTGATAACTTGACAAATTCGACCTCGAAATTGCAGCACAGAGCGGCCAAGCAGAGCGACACGATCGAGCAGACGAATGCGGCCTCATCTGACTAATTGCCAGAGATAAAGCGCATCGCTCCGAAACGGCGAACCATGGGTGCAGAAGAGAATCAGGCTCCGCGCGACGGGAATCGAAATGCCGTTGCAGGAGACTTGTCATGCAAACCATCAGCCAAACCAACACCCCAGAGTTTGCGCAAGAAATTGACGATGGAAACCTGCCTCGAGCGGAACCTCCACAAGTGTGACCCGCAGGCGCGTTCGCCTCTCTGGCGGACTCTCCCGTCGGAGATTCGATACGTGGTAAGTTGATGGACGCAAGATTCTGCTGTAGGGCAGTGAGGTCTGAGTGGTGCGCAGTTCGCGCTGACCACATGATCGTTCGGCCATGTGTACACAGATCTTCGAGTTCGCCACAGCACAATATGAGGACGTGTCCCGCGCATATCCAAAACACGTCGACTGGTATCGACCCGATCACCGAGGGCCGTGGAAGTCATGTACGAACATCTTGCTGACCTGTCGTCGAGCTTGGCTCGAGGCAAACCCGCTACCGATGAAACAAGCTGTACAGCTCTTCTGGATAGACCACCAGGCGTATGCACCAGATCATTACCACATAGCCGCTCGATGGTGGCAGCATATGAGCTCACGCTTGACGCGACTGAACCTCGAAAATGTCCGGCACATGCATTTCATGATCAAACTGCACGATCCGCACGGTTTCGAAAAGGGCAACAGCATCCGTAAAGTCGTGAAAAACCTCAAGCCTCAGACGATAAAAATCACAAATCGCCTGTGTGATTGGCCAGACCATGAATGGCGATATCGCGAATGCGGCTTGGTCATGTGGGAGAAGCTCATGACGCAGCACCTCAACGTCTGGCTCGATGCAGCTTCGGTCTGTGTGGAGAAATTCGAGCTTGCTCTAGAGATCTTCGACAGCGAGAGCGAGTGGGTGCAGTACGCACCCTTCTTCGATGACATCCGTGGCCTCAGCAAGAAGATCGGTATCACTCGATCGACTCGTAGTAATCAGCAGTTCGAAACCTATCTCGCCGTCGCCGACGAACCCCGTATTTGGAACTGGCGTCGTCGGCTCCGTGCCGACCGTGACACAGGTATCGCCGATCCGAATGCTCCCGATCTCGCGTGCCGCGTCTTCGAGTTGCAATGGACACATGTCCGCTATGCCATCGATCTACCGGCCGACGGCGGACAAGTCCGAAAGCCTGCCAACACCGCTGCGCCGAAGAATCGCATTCCGCTTCGAGAGATTCCATCCCATCAACATCATCGCCTGCATGCGTATCTCGACGACCCGAGTCCGTTCTTGCGTCAGCATAATCGTCTTCGACGGCACGCGCAGGAGCTTTCGAAAGTTACCGAAGCTCGATGTCGAAGGCGTTTCAGGGAGCTCTTCACAGAAATGGAGATTGGAACGGAAGTTCAGAGATTGCGCGAGCAAATGTCTCTGCTGCGCGTTGAGGATTGATGCATAGAAGATGTGTAGACAGAAATCACTGTATCGTATGATCCGGTATATTTCTTTATTTGTTTGTTTCTGGTCGGACCGCGATCGAGGCAGCGAGCGGCACACACAGGTATGTGATGGAGATGATCAAGGACATGGTGTTTGTTCCCCTTCCTAAGTATCATATGATTGTGCATTTTCGATCCCAAAAGCACAACGTGAAAGCCATCAGACCAGCACCTGTCGGCAATTTATGGAATCGATGTTCCAGCAGTAAATACAAAAACGAGTGTTCCAGTGAGCGGGTCATTAACTTCATGTCGAATTACAGACCAATGACAACACTCACTCACAATGCTCCCTCATCTTGAAACCCAAGCAGAGAAAATACCATCGCCTTCGCCCTGGTCTTGAAAGGGCGTCTCAGTCCATCCACCCACGAGCCCATACCTTGACATAAACACAAACCTCGATAGCTTTTCATGCACAGACCTTCCCGCGCCAGGCTCCAACCATCATCATCATCTAAGCGATCCCAGCGACACTCTTGATATCCGCCAGGGAATCCGCCAAGACAAAATCATAGATATACCCATTATCGACCACGTCGTTGCCGCCGTACATGCCGATCTTGGGGTCCGCCGCGCCCTGATCTCCTCCGGGGAAGAAGTTCCCCGCCAGCTTCTGCGTCTTCTCGCCCGTGTACGGATCCGTCATGGTGATGAGCTTGCCGTTGAAATACACCTGGAGGAACCCCTGGCTCTGCGAGGTGTTGATCACGATGCCGAATTGGTAGACGGTCCCGAGGTCGAGCGCTTTCGACCACACCGCCTTCGGCTGGTTGCTGCCGGGGTTGGCGTCGGGTTTTTGGATCGCGGCGAGGGTCCTGTGTCCCTCCGCAGGAGGATCAGTCAGCGTATGTTCGTATGTGTGTGCGTTTGTGGATGTGTTCTCTTCCACTCGTGAATGCGTCGGTGATATGGAATCGCTCGAGACTTACAACACGGGGCTCCCGTCCTTGAAGAGGAGTCCGACGGGGATGTTTGCATAGCCGTATTGCGCGTAGGGCTTGTGGTAGGACTTGAATTGAAACACGATGAGACCACTTCCCACCGTGTCCCAGCGGACTTTGTAGCCCATGTAGTAGGTCTGGTCTACTTCGGTGTTTCCGGGATAAATGTGGTGTTCTGTTCGTAGCCCCGTCAGTGTTTCTTCTATGCTCGATCTTCAGCAGCAATGAAGTCTATACCTGCTCGGTGGAATCCCTTGGCCTTGTGCTGTGGGTAGGTGTCAGGTCACGTAGCTCTCAAGGTCCAATGGTGGTTGAGTAGGATTATTGCTTACCACCTCCGCGGCGCGGACGCCTTGGTCATCGTAGCCTGCCTGTATGACCATGTCAGAAAAAGACGACAAAAGGTTTCAGATGGTTTGCGTACCCTGAAGTGCAGTGAGGCATTCCCGTTGACAGCATCGAAGTTTGCCGTGCCACAATCGTTGCTGCTCCAGCAGTCGTAGTTCACTTGCCCGAATCTGGAGAGATCGTCATTGGCGTCCGCATCGTACTTGACGAGGACTTTAGCCGTGGCTGCCGCGGCGAGGGAAAGAAGGGATAGGAAGTGCATATTGATTCAGTGATTGATGCAAGTCAAAACGATGATTCTGTCTGCTGTTGAGTCGGAGAGGCTTGAAATTCAGGACCACAGGTCCCCTTTTATATCTTTCCAGGTTGCTTCTCATTGAGGGACGATTTGGGCATGTCCTCAGACTAGACGAAGATCACACCGTATAACGTCCAAACATCATGGCATTTCGCGGATTTGCCTCATTAAAGACTGGACAATCCTCTGATCTGCACTGTGGACGAAGGTCGAGATCTAATTCGTTCATTGGGGCTTCTCGATCTCTTGTCAGATCGTTTCTCGTCATCTTCTTACGTCGGAAAGGGTCCCGTCATATCCAGTCCCTGCATTAGTTCGGAAGTGGATACAGCACGTCGTCTGTGAAACGATCTTTCTCGTGAATTGGTCTGAATTCGGACTAGACGAGCGATCTAGCTCACACTACGGACGGAATTGGATTTTAGCACGTATGCTAAATGAAACACTATTCGTACCTTTTGACGTCGTTCCTCATCAAATCTTTGCATTGAGACGCATCGCTCGGTCCCTGCATTACCTCGGAAAACATTGAATTCAGTACGACGCTTGATGTGATCTTTCCGCTGATCCGAACCTTTCTCTCGGCGGGATTTGGCGACAGCAAAGTTCGCAGCAGGCAATGCTTTTTTCCCGCTGCGCCCGCCTTCCAGCTCATTGGCCCGAGCGGTTGACCAAGCTTTCATTGAACGACAGCATATCAAGCGAGCACCAGTCACCTGCCCGCGGTTTTGTCATTCACTACGCGAGCACTGCACGCTCATGCGCAACATGCGAAATCGAAATCAGCAAGTCCGTACGAGGCAATGTTTTCCGCACGCGAGGATAACGGGATATGCTACTACCGCAATCCTCCCAAGCAAATCCGGGAGCAGCCTGAACAAGTCTTGACTCACCCGCGCACACCCGGATAAGTATCGATCAATATACGAAGCAGTCGTGCAACCATAGAAAATTCGGACCAGATCTGGAGGCTTGATCACTCTGAAGCTCTAACCATACTCTCGACAGCATCCGACAGCTCGCCGTGCAAAGTGCTGTGCACGAGATCACAGAGCGCTCTACCAACATGCCGTCGCTTGTATGGATCATCGCACGGCCGAGAGGGCAGAGTGCATTTATCAACCCACAGTAATCCGAGTCTCGCGGCTGTCTAGCTTATGAAGTGGCATCAAAAAGCTGACTGCCCCTACAATATCGGGCTCATTCTTCTCGCAAAGTGCCATATGAGGTCCGTTTGGGCGGTAAAGCACTGCCGCTGCCCAGCTCATTGCCCATCGCATCTCCGCCATGGCCAAACTGTGTACGGGTCGATACTTGAGGTCATTCAGCACGGTTCTACAGGGACTTACTTGATCTCCGGACGATTGCGAGATCCGCTCGAGAACGGCACTCTGTTCGTGTTCCTCTTCGGATCGATATCGCCTACGCAACGCTCGGACAACAATCTGAACGGCTCCTGGTGGAGCTCCGGATCGGGATAAAGGGAGAGCGCGCTCATTCCCACAGGTGTTTCCTTTGGAATTTTGTAATGCTTGCAGAGAATGGTGACGTTTGGCGAGGTGCGAGGTAGTCGTCGCACGACACCGTAAGTCGAGCTTATGCTCGTCAGAAACGTGAAAAACGTCGAGCTGGATCAGTCATTACCGGAATCCTTCGATAGGCGCTTGGAAGAAGGCCAATTCCTCCAAATCGCTCGTCCTTGATAACGTTCCTGGAGACCCGGCCATGGTGTCCTTCAGTTCGTCTTGCAAACGCTGCTTGATCCCTGGCTCCGAGGGAATTCAGTAAGACATGGAACCCGTTGTTCGTGCCGTAGTTGCCGTGCCAGTTCAGAAGAGTACCTCCGCTGCCCGACCCAGGCGGCTGCGATACGGAGAGTAAATGCTGAAACGAAGATATTCCCATACCTGGCGGATTTAATCATTACGAGGTTACCTTGACTACGCCAACGATCTATTCACCTCCGCCGTCTGCTGGAGAACTATCCCAAGAGAATGCTCGTCGCGGCTGCCAGGCCGCAGCGCGTGACGGTGGAGTCGCCCATTAACAACTTTCCCGCGACGACGACTCCTGCAGGTCATGGCGCATCGCTGGGGAGAATAAGAACACTTGTCCCCAGGCTGCTCATAACTGCACGCTCGATTTCCGGGCGATCCAGCTACGTTTCGGCGTGAGTGCGCCTTCCTACAGGCAACGGATCTTGTGGTCGCTTCACAAATGTTACATTCTGTGATCACTGGAGCGCCGTTGTGATCAGCGGCCACATCACATCGCTCGAGAGTGGTGAGAGGGGAGAAGTGCGATGAATGCGGAGACGAAAGAATTGTTAGGACACAAGCATCGGGTCTGTTCAAGTCAGGTCAAGCATTGGCACAGTGTGATTATACGGACAGCCGATATAGATCAGAGGTCATGCCTCGAAAACTTTTCATCTGTGGTGCAAAGGTTCGAGGAGCCGAGGTTGTAGACGCGAAACCCGAGTATTTCTTCTACTTCAGAAATAAAAATTCGACTTTTCCATTGAAATTATGGAATTCGCGATGACGAGCTTCCAGAGCGAACGTGGTCCATTCAACAGTCATTGTCAGCTAGGATAGGTATTTGAATGCGTGCGGACGTATTGTTGAACTCAAGAAGACGTGTACAGTACAGGGGGAGGTCATACTGTAGTACAGCCGGCCACCGGGGCAGCTGAGAACAAGGCGTTCCCATCCGCAACCTTCGATCCTCTCTACAGGATGAGATTATTTTCCTCCATCTCTTCTATCGAAAGAAATTGAGAGATACACACCAGACTCAATTGGAGGGTTCCCGCCGACGGATTGACTCGCTATGATACCGAGCCCGTCCTAAATGAAGCCACAAGAACCACCGGATTTCATGACTTGATAAAAATTGATGTCAACCTCCGGCGTGGCTTGGCGCGCATCCCAACAGACATGGCCACACACACCGCGCCTCCCAACTCTGCAGATGCTGTCAGTCACATGCAAGATGCACAATGCATGTGCAGGGTAGTCTTCTTACTTCGCAAGAAACATACAAGATATCAGCGCCGACGAGGGTGCGTTCGGCGAACACGACCAAGCGCTCCAGGGCGGCACGGGCGGACAACAGCGCCACCAACAATTTGCGGAGGGGCGGGGTGTTCCAGCGGGCCACTAGGACGACGATGACCATCATCAGCTACTGCACTCTAATGACTAGACTGATGATTTCGCGTGCCACCAACGACGACGAGAGGGGAAGATCGACAGAGCTCCGCCGCGCCGCGATGTTACAGGGCGTCTGTAGTCTTGGCAATATCTTGGCATAAAGCATCAGGATTCGGAACCGCGTGAAGATTTCATGATTGGTGTAGATCCAAAACACGTGTGCGCCAGTGCTGATAAAACGCTTTGGTTATTGTTATTAACAGATCTGCAGGTACCCCTGCGACCGGTTAATCTCACGACGGCGGATCTGCCGCTGGGGACTGTCGTGCTCTCACTTGGGGCATCGCACGACGTGCCTCCTCTGCCCGGATCATTCGTTTGTCGCAATTTCCTCCTCTCTGTCATTTCACATATGTCCTGATCCATGGCGTTCGCCTATCTGTCTCGTCGCCGCTCATCCACGATCGCTCTTGTGGTGAGCATACGAACGTCTCCATCGCTCCTCTGATCCGCGCAAATATGGCCTCTATTCTCATGCGCGCTCTCGTCTGTGTGTTCCTGATACCTACGCTTATTGCTGCAAGCTCGTCTGGCACTTTTGAGATAGACCTCATCTTTCCACGAAACGGGACATGGGCACCTGCGGACGCCATGCCCATTGTGTTCGCCATACAGCGCCCTGATCTAGCCCCGTCGCTGGCAGTCGACATCATCTCCTGGACACTTCAACAACGCGGAACTCAAAATCGACAAACGGGCGACGTCGTTCTGCTGGGCTTTGAAGGAAGCTCTAACAAAACGTACTTCGTCCAACGGGCGGTCAGCAATACAAGCAATATCGAAGGCACCTGGTATTTCTCATGGGAGTTCCTTGCAGGAAATTGCACGTCGTCCACGAACCCACGCTACTCTTCTTACGCCGACCCGAGCTCCTTCGTTTATACATCGCACGGCTCAATTAGCGAGTTCAGCACCAGTAGATCTGCGCCGAGCGCAAACTGGACATCGCTCACCTCTGCGCAGAGCTGCGGCGGCTCCGACGGCATCGCGTTTGCGGTGAATGACGTCCTGCAGGTCTCAAAGTACTCAGGATGGAGGGGATTCAACGCATCCTGTGCCGTGTACGGTCCGACGAAGACGACGCCTAATCCATGCGCAGTCACAATCGATGCTGCAGCTGCGTCGAGTGTCTCGGCTGGCTTGAAATATCAGGCATGCCTGAACGAAGTCGACGTAACGGAGATTGGAAAATGTCCTAGGCCTACTATGCCTTCGAGCGGCAACCACGTGTTAGTGTCATGGCCGTTGGTCGCTATCATTGTTGTGATCAGCTTCGCAATTCTTTAGTGTCAGAGCAGATGTCATCACAGCAGATGTCATGCTTGGACGTGCTACTGCCATACTCGTCTGAATTTTCTAAAAACATACATACAGCTCGCCATCTTTATGGTCATGTACATCCCGCACCGTGGAGTCTGTAATCCTCCCTTTCACTGAGCAGACGATTCGTGCATCTCGTGCATATGGCACTTAACGCTTTCACGCCATAGCTCTATAGACCAGACCTGTCTCCGTCTGACCCACACGACACTTTATATGCGCATCTGGGCGCGCTCAATAGCAAAGTTTGCAATGAAGCCTGACTCGGACTAAGCAAGCGAGTCAGTCCACCACCTCGATCCCAAACTTTATGCACGTCTAGTTTGGGACGAACGCTTCAAAATGCTAAACATAACATGCAGCAATTGATCCACCGTCGACCTGCAACATCAGTAGCCAAGGATTTACTCACGGATCGCTATCGCGACTGTGAAGGGCGCAAGCGAGGGGTCGACGAAGGCGTTGTCTAACACAACGACTGCGCCGCATTCGCCGCCAGATGTCGGTCATTCGTGGAGTAGGTTGTCGAGTTTGCCGCCGCCTCAGCTTTCTGCAGCACATTATCCAAGCGCACGTGTGTGAATGGGACTCCATATGTGGTATTCTTCAAAAGCTCAGCCGCGCAAAAACACAGATTTTGTCTTCATTCGTTCCGCCTGCCCTCCGAAAGCACAACATCGCCCGCATCCGCGAGAAGCTCCCATGCCAGGTCGCGTTTCAAATCTCAGCCGAGGCTTCCAGCCCTGAGTTTCTTCCCTACCGCGGCGACTTTCCTTGATTGATCACCAACGCTGCTCCTCTTCGCTTCGTATCTCTACCGTCAGCCACTGTTCATGCCCCGTCTCCACCAAGACATGCAGCTACGCGCGCTGCTCTCACCGTATCTGATGTCCCGTACTACTCACGTCGCTCGCCAACAAGATGCAGACTAACGAGTAGACGGCGTCATTCAAGTGCCAACACCCGCGAGTGCATATCGTCTATGCGATCGACTGAGTGCTGACTGCATGCCAAGATGAGCCAAGAGAGGACGTGAGATCTTATCTCCGCCGAAGCGCGTGATGAGACGACCTCATGGTAGCCTGCCCTTGGAGCACGTTGTCGGCGCCGACGACACTACTCCACGATCTGCAAGGCCTTGACGGGACCACCTCTTTGCAATCTATGCCATGGGTATCTTGTTGGTCCTGACGACCAGAATACATGACCTTTGCTCACAACATATAACATCGCTGGCAGATCTCATTCCAAAAATGTCTGGCCCACATCACGCTCTTCATCGGTGCAACCATAGCCTTCAACATGTTTCTCCTAAAGCTGTGGAGCTGCCTGGTGAAGATCTCCCTCATTCTCTCGATTGTTATACGGAGCACAGCCGCAGGCTCGTCGTTCTTCCGCAACAGATTGTCTGCAAGTCCAGAGTACCGCCACCGCCACGCGTGTCCGGCGCGTTGTAGCGACTCGGGTCCCTCCTCTCGCACTTGGCAGGTCTATCGCACGATCGATCGGTTCTCCGCATGTGACGAGGCCATCTTCTACGATTTCGCCTTGAGTGATCGCGTTGATGACCCTGAGACCAACCACCAAATTTATGCCTGTAGCTCTTATGGCTCCGACTGGAGCAACCTACCAGCAGACCTCAGCGGCGAGGCCCCTACCCCTTGGTCTTCTTCAGGAAACGCGACGTACCAAATCGGTTCGTGGCCAGATAAAACCGGGTTGGCTGCGGGAGCATACTCATCTACGATCATCTCGCAGATTCGGTCCTATCTCAGCAATGGCTTTGCCCCCGTCAAGGGTCCCACGATTATTATGGCTTCCATAGGTCGCGCGTCAGTCGGTGTCTGGATCGGAGAGGGTCTCCAAAATCAAGGCATCGGCGACTTCGCTCTCAAGGCTTTAGAAAATGCCCTTTCTACACACGACTACTCGCACGGCGTACAGGTTGCGATGCAGTACTGTCTGCCGAAACAGTCTTCTGACCACATCTTCGGATATATTGCGACCGGCGACGGCACCTTTGGCGTTGTTCAAGACACCCTCAAGCAATGGGCCGATGCCAAGTGTCTCACGATTCCTTCCGTGAGCGATATCGTTGGACCTGCTGTCTTCAACACCCGGCCCTTCGATCCTATCCAAGCCCTGTCTGACAATTCGACGCGGAGCGCTGCCGCTGCGTCCAGCAATGCGACCACAGTGACAAGTGCTGCGACCTTCCCCAACTCTACGAGGTTGACTAACACCACGTCGATCAATGCCTCGAAGAGGTCGATCTCCATCCCGAGGAGTTCGACGTTAATCTCGCCTGCTGGAATTTTCCGTCGCAGTGAGTGTAGGACTGTCGCTGTCGCATCTGGTGATTCTTGTGCTTCTTTAGCGCAGCGTTGTGGCATCAGCGGAGCTGACTTCACGAAGTACAATTCTGCCTCCAATTTCTGTGCGACCTTGCAGCCTTATCAGCATGTATGCTGTTCATCCGGAACATTGCCGGATTTCGCTCCTCAACCGAATAGCGACGGTTCGTGCGCTACCTACACTGTGGCCGCTAACGACAATTGCGCGGTCATTGCCGCGAAATACTCTCTTACTGTAGACAAGATCAGCTCGTACAACACCAAGACTTGGAGCTGGCAAGGATGTCAAAACCTGTGGCTCGGCACGATTATGTGCATCAGCTCTGGGAATCCACCTATGCCTGCTGCTGTTACCGGCACAGTGTGTGGACCTCAAGTGCCAGGTACTGCTAAGCCTGGCGCTGGAGTCGACCTCGCATCCTTGAACCCATGCCCTCTGAATGCATGCTGCGACATCTTCGGTCAATGCGGAACTACCGCTGAATTCTGCACTGTCTCACAGAGCTCTACTGGTGCGCCTGGTACTGCTCAACCCGGACAGAATGGGTGCATTTCGAACTGCGGCACCCGGATCGTGCGGAGTAGCGCTCCAGCTGTGTATCGCAGCCTAGCATTCTACGAAGGATACAACCTTGGACGACCTTGCCTCTACCAAGCGGCATCTCAGCTAGACACGACATCGAGTACCCATATCTTCTTCTCCTTCGGGGTCTTTGACGACAAATACAGCATCAGTGTCGGTGATACCTTGAGCAACTTTGAATTCGAGGGTTTTAAACGACTTTCAGGGGTCAAGAGAGTTTTGTCCATCGGTGGCTGGACGTTCTCTACAGACCCATCGACGTACTTCCTATTCCGGAACGGAGTGCTTCCTGCAAACCGCCAAGCACTAGCTAACAGCATTGCTAATTTCGTCAACAGCCACGGCCTAGATGGAGTCAACCTTGACTGGGAGTACCCTGGGGTAAGTGTTTCCGCACCTTATGTCAAATCATACAATGACCACTGACACAACTCTTAGGCACAAGACATCCCCGGAATTCCTGCCGCTAGCCTCGACGAGGGAGCCAACTACCTGGAACTTATCAAGTTACTTCGTGGACTTATGCCAGACAAAGAGATCTCTGTCGCTGCACCTGCATCTTATTGGTATCTCAAAGGCTTCCCGATCAAACTCATGAGCGACTATTGTGACTACATTGTCTACATGACATATGATCTGCATGGCCAGGTGAATAGCACTCTATACTCACATGTCCCTCGCGATATCGCGCTGACAGAAAGCAGTGGGACCACAACAACCAATGGTCCCAAATTGGATGCCCAGCCGGGAATTGCCTGCGCACCGATGTCAATCTCACGGAAACTATCGGTACCTTATCGATGGTGAGTTCAATGAGCCCCGAGATACATTCGCGATACTCAGAATCAGCTCACATGTCGCTCAAAACTAGATTACCAAGGCAGGTGTTCCTTCAAATAAGGTCATTGTGGGTGTCACTAGCTATGGCCGCTCCTTTGCTATGTCGCAGGCAGGCTGTAGTGGACCTCAGTGCACGTTTACAGGTACTGCCGCAGACTCCAAAGCTACACCTGGACGTTGTACTGGAACCGGAGGCTATTTGTCAAACGCGGAAATTCTCGAAATCATTGCAGATCGTCGTCGAAGCGGCCGCGTCAATGCCAACTACATTGATCCTGACAGCCACACGAACATTCTCGTCTACGACGACACCCAATGGGTTGGCTGGATGGATGATAACGTTAAAGCTTCTCGCACGAACATCTACAAGAATTTTATGTTCGGTGGAACGGCCGATTGGGCTACAGACCTGAGGACATACAATCCTCCTCCCGGCCGCTCAGAAACTTGGCCATTTTACATCTCCGCCATTAACCGGGGAGTGGATCCAGGTGCAGGTGGTGATACCAAGGTCAATTGGACAACTCTGGACTGCCGGCACCCAGCGGTAGCTGATATGGATAAGTACACTCCAAGCCAACGCTGGGCTATGCTCGGTTGTGGAGACGCTTTTCATGATGCTGTCGAGGTATGGAAGAAGAAGGATCGCGATGCCAAGCAATTTACTTTTACTGGATCTCTAGGCAAGAAATTCAGAGCCCCTCCAGGTCCACAGTGCGGTGCTCACGATGCTTGCGGCCCCTTCCTCCAATGCGACAACTTCAACGGAGACGGCACAGGGCCCGCAGCGTATGAAGTTTGGAATTCTATGGTCCTATTGAACAAGGTAAACACTCCGACCTTTTTGTGGCCCTTGCAGCTCAACCCCGAACAATTGGTATGGCGCTGACACCGTCACCATTAGATATACTCTCGAAATCGGGACGCATTAGTCGCGGCAGCGGCCACTGTGATCGACAACTCGATGGCGACCTTTGAATCGACTTTCGCGCCGATCCCGCCACCAGATCCTTCCCAGAAGATGATCGAAGAAATCATCGCAGTGATCACGCTTGGCGTTTCGATCGCTGCGGCACCCTTCTTCAACTCTGGTACGTACTTACAGCATAAAGTCGCTGGGAAGTCAACGAAGCTGACTATTCGATAGTATTCAAGACCTTGCCACAATTCAAGGACAATGGAAACACACTTGGGTTCCTGAAAGACACCACGAGCGGACTGGTAACTTTTGGGTCGAATGTGGCCAAAGCCAACATGAAGGCCTCTGAGCGGTGAGCACCTCCAATCTGTCAGCTAATGATTCTCTCATTTGATCCCGCACTGCACTCAAGGTACACATTACTAAGATTAAGCTGGTAGCGCCGAGTGGACTCTCAAAAAGCAAAATGAGTTCACCAAATACCTCGGCCAGGTCCTTCACGGCTGGATAGCTGCGAACGATCTCGCACTGAGCCATTTGTTCAATGGCGAAGATGAAAGCATAGATGTCCTCACTGCTGCCATACAAGATGGTCATTTGATCTCGGGAAAAGATGGCTCAGTCCCGGAGACTTGGGCAGTAGATCTCCAGTATCAGCTCGAGGATGATATCGCGACGGCCTTCTACGGCATGGCTGTTCCTGCCCTGTGGTATGCTGCGGGTAATGCCCCATTCATAATCGATTCAGGCTACCGCTGTGGTGTGGTAGATCCCCTTGGGAAATACCTCGCCACAGACACCATGCACAAAACAGCAGTCTGTGTCGACGGCGACTTGTACTACATTGCCTCGCCGCAGGGCAAAGCTCGCCTGACCATTATCCCGCCTCGGGGACCGCCACAAGGAGCTCCCAACAAATTCTCCATCCCACCAGGACTCAACAGCCTGGACGGATCTCAATGGGCCAAACTCAAGTGGGAACAGATCGCCATCGGCTCCGTAAAGACGTGGAAAACGAACAGCCGTCAGAACGGCGGTGCTCCACCGGACTTGTCAAACCCCGGCTCGCTCAGTGACCTCGCAAACAAAGACCTTACCACGCCCGGCTTCTTCCGCCTGCCCGTCTGCAGCCCCTCCATGGCCTATTTGGCGTGGAACAATCCCAACCTCGTGGACAAAACGGACCACAACTACCCCTGCGTCAGCCTTCCATAGAATAAGGACTGCTATGACTTCATCTTCGAAGACGACCCGAGCGATTCGTTACCGCCCATCGTCAATTGCCAATATTTTGCCAACAGCATTACGGGCAATCAATGGCGGAGCGGCATGCGAGTATCGGGCCCCTCAAGCAGCTCGTGAGTGAGCAATGACTTGTGCGCAGTCGGCACACAAAACGATGGCTTCAATGGCCCCGTCACCATGAGATGCACAGGCAATGTCGGCAACGCTCCGGTGAAGATGGAGTCCTGGATGATTGAGCTAGAGTATGGGATATAGCATGGGTTGGTGAGCGAGCTCGTTCCCCGAACATTTTCGCTAGCCCTATAGACTTAAAATATGATGCCTCGCCACAAATTCACCTCAATGGAACGGAGACGGTTTCCGATCGTTTGTAAAATAAATGCCAAAGTCTTCACCCAACCTTCGCCTCTATTGAGGCTGCGCATTTCGAGATGATGAGGTAAACACCTCGACCACCGATATATTGAGGAGCCTTCATAGACCGACTTCAAACCTCCTGAAGAGCCATTGTGCATTGCGTTGGAAAGGGAAGACCTGGATCCAAATGGATTCCATGCAATTATATACCGTACCGGCGCCTTTCCGATCATCATTGACCAAAACAATGCCCAGGTATCAATGACGAAGCCCATGGGCAATGCTTTTGACCTTGTCTTGCACCGTGTGCAACCTTGTCATGTACGCATCTGGTACACTCCCGAACCCGCCGCCCGCGAGCTCTGAAATCTTGGTCATCAAGTCATTTAGCGCCAGCAAAAGGAGGGTCGCAACCACGGGTGAGACTTCGTGCTGAAAGCTCGTCTCGAGATCCCCAATGAAGGAACCGGGTACGGCTTGCTTGGAGACTCTGTGGCGCCATTCCAGACATTCCGTGAATGTCACATCACATAACACGACGACGCGCTCATGTGTCATGGTCAAGAATATGGTGCGGCTCGGCTGGACCCGGTATTCGCAGCAGGCCAGCAAGCGTTGGCATTATTTGATCAACGCCCGTTGCAGGACCAGTCGCGTGGTGATCTTGGAGTAGAAAGACCCCGTAGCATCATGTCCTTCGAGGTCATTGAATCGTTCAAGAATCTATTCGCATTCTCGCAAAGGCTTTTTGACGCTGCTTGTCTGCGTTCTTGAATTGGTCGGAACCGAACGGGAAGCGCACATCACGCTCGTCTGCTAAAGATCTCTGGTCCCGACCGAGCCTTTGTAAGCGCTTGCTTCGAGAAGACTGACCGACACATCGAAATCGTTGTTGGACACACTGTCGAGCCGTACATCTAGACTTGCTTCGACTTCGTTGGTATTCCTCACCCTACGGAGTCATGCTCGAGGAGGAAACGCACAGCACGTAGGTAGGCGCCTCCCTTCCTGCTCTTTGTGAGCGACACAACACCTTAGACCTTGGCAATTTGCCGCGCCAAGTGGAATTGCCGATCGGGGTGGTGTTAGAGACTAGCGTGGCCGTAGCTAGCTGCATGAAATAAGTGCTCGTTTCCCGCGAAGCATCCAGCTCAGGATGTTGATCTCCTGCCTGACAGCGGTAGTAATTGTCCCTTCCGAGACTCTTCATCCTGATGTACCGCGTCATGATGACGATGCGGCAGCCCAAATGATTGTTTTCGCAACGATATGGAAGGTTTTCTTACCGCTCCCGTTTCGCGCGCGCTCGATCAATTTGCCGAAGAGGGGGACATTCCGTCGATCTCGAGACTAATAGCGCACGCCAGATGCAAGCTTTCACATTTGCTGCGCTTCATGGCTCATTGCCAAGCAAGTAGGGGCGTGTACGGCACAGATCCAGTAGTCGAGCATTGCTGGCACAACACTAGTTGTTTCGCTGCCGCCTGGCAATCACTCCTCCAACATGAACAGGGTATTGCGACGTCAGTCATGACACCCATACGGCGGTCGCGCAGCATTTCCTCGCATATGAAAGGCACCGTCCGCTTTGAGTCGTGAACCCTCACTTTTGTGCCTGTCCGATTCAGTGTCTTCTGTTCACCACGAATTTGACACCAGCAGCATCTCGAAAAATGACAAGCCCAACCTATCCAACATGCAAGTCCGGCGGCACGCCCATGGTGAACACAACCTCCGCCTACTGCATCGTCCCTCATGGGTAAGCTCCCTGCCGCACAAGGCTCCTGGTATGATACTGACGTTAATATCTACTGCAGCCATCCTGGCATGGGGTCCTGCTGTAGTCAGCTGGGCAACAGCACCGTGGAGTTTCTTCCCGACTGCTATTCCTGGTGTGTGTTGGACGAGGTCGTGAGCGGAGCGAACCCGCCGTCGCTGTCAATCACCTTCTCCCGCTGTTTGGAGGACTTCGATTCGTCGCGCAACGTGGCAGGGACGTTGTGCAAGTCTGCTCAGGCCGGCCAACAGCCGACTACGACCACCTCGACCTCAACCACGGCTTCCGGGACACAGTCTCCTGCATCTCAACCGGCCGTGACCTCTCCCAGTGCTGCAGAACGTGGTGGAGGGCAAGCGAATGGCTTGTCGGCTGTCTTGGTTGCAGCGGTCCTTGTTGGCGGGTTGGTGTCATCCGGCGCCCTGCTGGTCTCGCAGTGAAACTTCTTCATCCCCGGCTTTGGACACATGGCACTGTGCGCTCATGGTCACGTCGTCAAGTCATACCAAAAATGAGAATCATGTACTGTATACATCCTAGACGGATCGCCACCCTAATTGCGCCGAGCGTTGTGCATGCGGCGCAGATCGTGACGAGGGGAACGTGTTGTGCCAGACGTCGCAACACAACGTGAGGTACGGTCGAGGTTAGAGTAGTATGAAGTAATTCGCTACCGAATTGATTCCTCGCTGCTGCTAATTTAGTCTAATTTAGTAGTTGGTAAGGTTGCAAGGTTATTCGTTTTGATATCAGATTGTGATGACGCGGACTTAGCCGACATGGATCGCGGCGTTAATGCAACCAAGCGGAAATAATACCCGGCCTTAAGCAGCGCGTCGGCCTTGGACTGTATGGACGATACTTTTCCCATAGAGCATCCCGTGTGGCTTTCAATCACAGCCTGGGGTATGAATTCAATGGATTGCTATCCTAGGGAGACTGGAGGGATGCATATCTCGTCGCGAGTCGACTTGCTGTTGCTGCGCCGCTTGAGACCCGCCATTTTAAAGAGCTGGCCTCTTCCGTCGTCTGCCTGACCGATGAATCATGCGGACTTCACTTCCCACAGCTTCGCCGGGCACCCCTTACCACCGATAGATAACCAGCAATGTCAGCAGCAATGGATGATGCGTCGAATGCAGAGGGGAAAGCGAGCGAAACCAGGTCCGAACATCGATTCGAGGACGAGCGAACCGCATCGCAGCAACCGGGCAGTGATAAACAAGGACTGAAGAACATCGACGAGGATCCAAACGTGGTTGACTGGAATGGCCCGAGCGACGTGGAGAACCCGATGAACTTCAGCAGCGCCGTAAAGGCAATCAACGTCAGCCTGATCAGCGCCCTGACATTTCTCACTCCGCTGGCTTCCTCCATGTTGGCCCCGGGAGTGCCGCTGATCCAAGCCGAGTTTAATAGCCATAGCAATCTTCTTGCCGACTTCGTCGTCTCGGTCTATGTGCTCGGATTCGCATTGGGCCCGCTGCTCATCGCGCCGTTGTCGGAGCTCTATGGCCGGGTCGTCGTCTACCACGTCTGCAATGTCGGCTTCGTCATCTTCAATGTCGCCTGCGCCGTCAGCACGGACATGGGCATGTTAATTGTTTTTCGTTTCTTCGCGGGCTGCTTTGGATCGGCCCCTGTGACCAATGGTTGGTTTATCGCATTGCTTCTCGAACATCCAAGGTAATCTCGCTGACGGGAACTCTCGATCACCAGGCGGAGGTACCATCGCAGATCTGATTGCGCCACAGAAGCGAGGCGGAGTCATTGCCATCTATGCTCTCGGACCCATTCTAGGCCCGGTGATCGGTCCAGTCATTGCAGGATATCTCGTGGCAGCGCGCGGGTGGAGATGGGTGTTCTGGTTTCTCGCCATCGTCTCGGGCGGATTCACGCTGATTTCGCTTGCCTTCCTCCGGGAGACCTATCCTCCCGTGCTGCTCGAGCGGAAGACCCAAAGGTCAAGAAAAGCCCACAATAATCCCGGGTTGCGATCTAAACTCGACAAATCACTGACGCCAGGACAACTGTTCGCTCGGTCCATCATCCGACCCACCAAGATCCTCTTCCTGTCTCCCATCGTCCTCTTGTTGTCCATCTACATGGGAATCGTGTATGGCTACCAGTATTTGATGTTTTCGACCTTCTCGGCGGTGTTTGAACAACAATACGGGTTCAGCACGCAGTCGATCGGCCTTTCGTTCCTCGGCATCGGGATCGGCTCCTTGATCGGGCTGTTCGCCGTGGGCGCCATCTCCGATCGCATTGTGAAAGCCAGGGCCAAGCCGAGCAAAAAGAACCCAGAAGGCAAGATGCAACCGGAGTTCCGACTTCCTCCGCTGTTCGCGGGTGCATTCTTCATCCCGGCAGGTCTCTTCATGTATGGATGGACGGCGCAGTACAAGGAGCCCTGGATCGCGCCCGAGATCGGAACGGCGTTGGTGGGCATCGGGAACATGGCCGTCTTCATGGTGGTTGTCACGTATCTCGTCGATGCATTCACCATCTACGCGGCGAGTGCCCTGGCGGCCAACACTGTCGTCAGGAGTATCATGGGCGCTTTGCTACCGCTCGCAGGTCAAAAGATGTATGCCAGCCTCGGGGTGGGTTGGGGAAATAGTCTACTCGGATTCATCGCCGTGGCTTGCATCCCTGTCCCTTGGGCGCTGATGAAGTATGGAGAGCGGCTTCGGACCAGCTTCGACTCCTCCCGGCTCTAGGGATCGCACCGCTTTGGAGCCGTACATGGGATATGTTGGGTCTCGAATCATGTCAGATCCCAAGGCAATAAAATTCGTGTGGGTTGTCACAAATATCATGTTCAGTTGCGATGCATACGAATCTTGTATGTAGTCTGTCTGCCGATGTACGTAAGATTGGAGAGCCGAGGAATGAGCGCAGCATTTGAGATGGCCACTTTGGATAGCTTTGGTCCCAAGTGCAGACTGGCTGTGGCGCGAACGTAACGAAATATCTCCTCGAAAAGCAACAGGCGCCCTCAGCACTGTCCAGACTGGTTTTGCTTGACGGCGTTGTCTCCGCAACGTGAAGAGCAACGCGTTTTTTCTCGTTTTTTCCACCAAATCAAAAATCAGCACGACACGTTGGAGGTTTTCCAGCCAAAAACGACGCTTCTTTCTTCGACAGGCCTCCTTCCAGTGACGGACCCTTTCCTCAATGCTATGCAATTCCACGCGCTAATCTCACGGAGATCAATCTGCGTCCTCCTCAAGTTGGCAGAGTCTGTCTCGTCATTGTGCGGTGATGCGGACGTCCGTGAGGAAGTCGTGAGGATTTTGCACGCTTCATGCTGCATGGTTTATCCCTCACCCGGGTCGATTTGAGGAATATATCATGGTGAAAGGATGGCCATGCTCGTGCGGCGGAGGTGGAGCGACGAGATCAATCCATCCATAACCCTCCTCTCCTCTCCTATAGGAGGCGAAGCAGCTGGGATTCCCGCTTATGTAAACGATGGAAGATGACGACCTGCGACCAAGCATTTCGGGAGGTGCTGCAGCATGGATGCATTCCCCGTCATGTCGCATTCATTTCATTCATCTCTTTCATCATTCATTGTTGTGATACTGGCTCTGACCATGATCCATGAAACATGCTTGCAGCACAGCCACAGCAGAACCGGTTTTCTCGAAGGATTCATTCCTGCACTTTGTTCGATTAACCAGTGGAATCCGCGCGGTTTCATCCCGCCAAGCCTGCCCCGACTTCTCACCGACGTCACTTGGGCCTTGGCCTATGATGCGGCTTTCACGCGGCCTGACGCCAAACGCGCCTTCCTTGCTTTTGACGATCAATCGAGATTAATCCATGTACAGTATGCATGAACACCGCAGTAGATCCCAATAATATATAAAACCACCGCAATCCGCATCGCTCGAATTAAACTTTTCCCCATCAACTCTCCGACAGAACCGTACGCAGATACATACCACTCCCACGAACGACGAGCATCTACCCGCATACGCAAATCACAACTGGCCTCTCCCAAACATGCCATTCATGTGGACAAAGGTTAGCCTGCCCTTTCCTCCATTCCTACATATACCAAACCTCCTCGGATGACGGAAGAATCACCCGCTCACCAATATAATTATACAGAACTGGGGCGGCAAACACGCCGGCGGCGGAGTCCGCGTCGACAAACACGGCGTCCACCGCAACCCCTTCCGCTTCTCCCTCGGCAGATTGAACTGCTTCAGATGAGGAATGACGAGATGAGCTGCTTGCACGTTCTTCATCATCATCAACCCACCACCACCGCCACAACGATGGAGGATTCTTGTCTCGGCGGCGCCCTACCCACCTACCTATCTACCTACATACATACATACGATCACACAACAACCGCACATAATGATGATGAGACACGATGGAGACGTGATGACGATGATCCGATGGCAGCCCCTTCCTCCTCCCCGAAATACATTATACCTGGGTATCACCCTGAGGTCGTAATCTGTCTGACGGAGACAGAGCAGAGCGGACGTCTGAGCCTTTTTGGATGGAGGAAGGGACGGCGCAACGGCTGCTTCTTCTGGACTATGAAAGGCGAAAATGAAAGGCAAAGAAAGCTTGGGGGACGGACCTTGGATGTGTATTATCATCGTATAATTAATTGACAAAATAAAAAAGGAGCTCATTCGAATGCGCAAAGCTTGAATGAGTTCGTTGATAATCCCGAGAAGAACGTGTTCCTATTGTTTTACAGCATGCCGTGCGGCAAAGTAAATGGGAGGCTGTGACCGCTCTTCCTGCTCCTCCCTCTCGGAAAAGCTGCCTGAAAAAGAAAGGAAGGAAGGCTCTCTCCATGATTCGACGCGCGCGAACATGCGAGACAGGTACCATCCCACCTCGTTTCTGAGATAGAGAGAGGGCAAGTGTCGTCTGCCACCCGATGCGCATATGTATACCTCATGTCAAGATACAGCACAGCAGACTGGCGAGATGTGCGGGTTGAAATACCCCAGAGACTAAAACCCTAACCTACGGCGCGATATGTTCTCAATCACATTTGCTTTCTTCGACTGTGCGATGTATGTCGCTCATCTCTAGGCAGCAATGGTAGTACTCAGAATGCACATGTTTTGTGGCCCCAGGCAGTCGATTCAGTATGGGAATTACTTTCTCTCTCTTTCATATTTCACCATGACGTTGTCTTTCGACAGGGTCGTTAGATTTTCACTCATATATGAACATCAAACTTTTACATCGTCTCCTCTGAGCCATCGTCATCATCAAAATTCTTCGGGAAATTTTCAACAAATCATTTCTCGAGGGTAACGGCGCTGCATCCACTGGCCACCTTGCCAGCGAACGCGTCGGCGACGAACTGTTGCACACGGGCGATGTTGTCAATCTCGGTGGTGGCATGGCCGCCGGAGGTGAAGCTGGTGAAGCGCACGCTTCCGCCCTGGTTGCACCAGTTTGTGTACAGAGTCGAGGCGTTGGCGTATGGGATGATCTCGTCGTTGATGGCGTGGTAGAGGTTGACGGGGGCGATCGGCACCTCGGAGGCGACGAGGCCGAGGGTGCTGTCTTTGAGGATGGCGGCGATGGTGGGCTGGTAGAATAGGGCCTTGCCTGGAGACGTGGAAAATTGGTGGGTCAGCAAATGTTGTCGCTCTGCGTTACTTTGACATAGAACATCCTGCTCGAGGAGAACTTACCGAGAGATTGGAAGTCGAGACCAAAGATGGAGGTGTTGGGGTACTTGGCAAGGTTGGCAGTCGCACAGTTCTGGCTGGTGAAGGTCAAGGCCTCGCGACCCTTGGGTCCAATGATACTATCGATGACAGGGCGCAATTCGGTGCCGTATGCATTGTAAGTGGAGAGACCGACAATGGCGGATGGCAGGAAACCCGAGAAGGTAGTGTTGTCAATGTACCTGCAGGGCGTCATTAGAAATCGCGATAACCAGCATGAGACGGCTGACACTGATACGTACAAGGCGGTGCCGGTGATGTTGGCGGGAGTGCCTCCAGAGCTCCATCCCTTGATGTTAAGTTCGGGAGCGTAGTTGTTGTGAAGAGCGGCAGCCCAACCTGTGGCGATGGCGCCTCCGCTGTAGCCGATACCGACAATGGCGTTGTTGTTGGACACCAGCTTCAAGGTGGTGGCAAAGTTGTTCACAGCGCGCATGCTATCAAGGACACCTCGACCCGCGAGACGGCCAGGACCGAAGGCGGCATCGAAAGACTCATAGTCCGGGCTGGACACGATGTAACCCTTCAAGATGCTGGAGGCCAATGTAAGCGGTGTGGAAAATGACACCTCTCGCGATAAATTCACTTACTAGGCCTGGATGATGAATGCCTCGAAGCCAACAATGGCGTTCTGCAGAGTGTCAGCGGATCGCACCAAAACAATCTGCAGGAAGGGACACTCACAGTCTGCTGAGCCAGAAGCTGGTAGTTGTACGATGGCGCACAGTCGACGAACGAGCTGTCCTCAGCGGTGTGGAAAGAAACAAATTTGTCGAGTGTGGCGTTGGCAACCAGAGGCTTAAAGACAGTCGTCACAGTCGCGATCGCGGTGCCGTTGATGGAAGTGGTACGGTAGAGAAGCTGGTAGGCCTGAAGGGACGACGGCAACAGACCGAGCAAGGCCGGGATGATGGTTCGGGTCTTCAGGACCGTGCCGGGAGCGGTGGATTCGAAGCCGGCTGGAGGCTGGTAGAACGGGTCGACCGAAGGCCTCAAGGGGACCAACGCGCGCTGTTCCACCGGAGCGGCGACAGCAGCAGCTGCCAAGCTGACGAGGAGTCCGACCTTGCTGAACAACATGGTGAATGCTTGGCTGGAGAATTGAAGGTTCAAGTTGCAGCTGTGGTCAGAGGAAGAACAGAGGAGGCCCGGCGCGAGAGACTATGGAACGGAGGCGGAATCCTAGTTCCTGATATAGGAAATGCTCCTTCACCACCACCAACATGCACGGTGGGGAACGGCAGTTCTGTCACATGTTTTGGAGTAAACGCGACGCACAGACCGGGCGAAAAAGCCGCGTGCACAGATGATCTAGAGCGTGCGTACGTGGATTGTGAGGGAAAACAGACGCGGCGAGTCAACGGATTGCATTGAGCGAGAAACGGAGGAAGCCAAGATCGACATGGACGTACGTGGCGGGCTTAGTGCTCCACGTTTGCCTCCACCACACCGAGGCAAAGTTTAGATTGGAATTGTCGAGTCAGACACTTCTTTCTCGATATTCTTGATGACTGTGGATCTTGGTCGCTTTTACGATACTTGTCCATCTCGGTGAGGTGACAGCCAGCCGCAAATCCTGCATTCTCGTCGATTACAACCGGATCATCACCACCTGAAATAAGACGAGGATGAAGTGGTGGACAATAACGAGTGATGACAGATCCTTGCAGCAGGCACAGAAGCGGGCCGGTCCCGGTCAAATTAAAGTAAGCGGGACGTTCCTCTAGATCGCGATGTCAAATGCTGCCACGCTGCATGCCCACCATTATTCGCCAGGAACAGGCAATTCCCAACAATGTAAAGAGGTCTCGTGGTCATACACGTGCGACGATTTCATTATGCGCCTCACAGTGGGACACACGTCATCTCTCAAACCCGACGTGCATGTTCACAACGGCTACACAATGCGACAATTCGAGCGTCGATTCATTCATGCATTGCGGAAATTCGGTGATGGTCCAAATCTGTCAAACCGGAATGGCTTTAAGACCAATCCAGTAATGCCCGAGACTGGAGGATCGTGCTTTACCCCGCAAATTTCATTCCTGGTTTGCTTCGGACTCGGCACCCAACATTACTGGACAAACTATAAGGCATCATGAATGATGACGGAATCCATGCGTGAATCGATTCCAAACATCTCTCCCCTGCTTCCACGTGCTGGCATCGAGACAATTGTGACACTCAGTGGTTTAGACGAGCAAGGTTTGAACAACGGCATTTGTTTTCCATCATCATCATAAATGCGCCGGTTCAGCTGGCCCCCCGCCTCTGGTGGAAGTTCAACATCTCGATTGTGATGTGACTCGAGAGAAATGAGGTCCCCGAGTTATCCATAGGACATCATGAAGTGTCCACATCGTTATCATTGCACTTGCCAGACCCAACAACAACGTCAGCGTTTAATCGTCTTCAGCGATTCCGATATCGCCAAACTCGTAACCTCGCAATATCTCGACCACCCCCCCATGATCTTCTCTGATCGCATATTGCAAAGCTCGAGAGCCCAATGTTGAGGCCCCGACATTCAACAGCAGTCTCACGATGTCCATTCGGCCATTGACCGCAGCAGCTTCTAGCGCTGTCCAGCCCTTCACCTGTGCTGCAGGACCATTGACATCGGCGCCTTCCTCGAGAAGCAAGTAGACTACGTCAAGCGCTCCATTCGAAGCAGCAGCTTGGAGAGCAGTAAATCCACGGTCTGAGGCGGGGGCCGCATTAACCTCCGCACCACGCTCAAGAAGCCAGCGTACCATTTCGAGATGGCCCTTCTCTGCTGCTGCCTGTAATGCAGTTCTACCACGTGGGCCAAATGCAGCGGTATGAATATCCGCGCCACGCTCAAAGAGTATATTTGCGAGGTCAGTGCGACCTGCACTTGAGGCTGTTCGAATCGCACTGCTCCTCAGAGGGCCTGAATCTGCACCATGAACATTGGCATTTGAACGAAGTAGCAACTGCGTGATCAAGCAGCAGCCGGCTTGAACAGAGGCTTCCAAAGCCGTGATTCCACCATGTTTCAAGGCGGGAGGGCCATTGGGATCAGCACCAGCGCTCAGGAGAAGCTCTGCGATAGCGATCTGACCTCCTTGCGCGGCTGCTTGCAATGCGGTCCTCCCGTTTACACGAGCAGCAGGCGCATTTACGTCAGCACCTCGAGCCAGAAGAAGCAGTATCAAAGCGAGGTTGTTTGCAAATACAGCTGCCTGCAGTGCTGTTACCCCGCATGATTCTGCGGCTGGTGCATTGATATCGGCGCCAGCATCTAGGAGAAGTCTCACAATTTGAAGATGGCCTCTTTTCGCAGCGGCTTGCAGTGCTGTGAATCCTCCGGAATCCGCGGTAGGTCTAAAAATATGTAGGTATGGTAGATCTAGACCACGACTATCGCCTTCGAAGACGCGTCGAAGAATCCCCATGCACCCATGCTCTATAGGTGGTGCATTGATGTCAGCCCTGGCCTCCAGGAGAAGCCTCGTTAGTTCAAGTTCGCCACTAAATGCAGCCAACTGAATTAGTGTTCCTTTAACTTCAGACTCATGCATATTCACCTCGACTTGCGCGTTGGCGTTGGCGCCGGCATCCAGAAGAAGCCGGGTGATCTCAATGTTGCCATCTACAACGGCTACCGCTAGTGCCGTTTGCTCTTCGTTCCGTGCCACTGTGTTGTTGACGTAAGCGCCGGCTGCTAATAGCTGTCGAATCGTTTCCAAATTTCCAGATTCGACGGCCGCCTGAAGAGCTGTTTTTCCGCCTTCCGCGGCTTCTGCGTTGACGTCGGCCCCAAGAGTCAAAAAAAAACTTGTCAGAACTGAATCCCCTTCCTCTGCGGCAATTTGTAGCGCCGTCAACCCTTGGAATCCCACAGCGGGTGCATTAACGTCTGCACCTGCGTCAAGGACCGATTGTATTAGTTCGAGATCGCCGCTTCTACATACGAGCTGCAAAATCGAAGATCTGTCTTGAAGAACGTCGTCTATAGCATCGCTTCCATCGCTGATGTCAACAGCTTTAGCACCGGCTTCAAGGAGCAGCCATACCATCTCATATTTCTGAGCTAATGCCGCCTGTCGAAGTGGCCACCCTCGGATAGAAATCGTGTCTACGCCGCAAAGGTTTGGGTCTGCACCAGCGTCGAGAAGGATGGTGACAATTTCCGGCCCGCAGCAATGGATCGCCAAATTCAGCATAGTATGACCTCGATCGTTGACATGGTTGGGGTCGGCGCCGAGAATGAGAAGAAGTGATATGATTTTCTGATTCTGACATTGGAGGGCAGATTCCCAAGCGGCATGTAGCTCAGACAGCGATCCGTTCGTGACAAGCGCCGGCAGCAGAATGAATAAGGCTTTCGTCATTCCTAGATGAATTGCAAGCTTGACTGGCGAATGCGACCCACTGATGAGGCTTTGCGGTGACGCAGATGTGTCAAATGCAAGAAGCTGGCGGACGATATATGCATCACCATTGCAAACCGCCGCCACCAGCGGTGTCTGCCAAGAGGGCTTGGGATCGTGTTTAAAAGCAGCCCCGCTTCGCAATAACATATCAACGATATGCGATTGACGATGCAGACAGGCTTGGTAAAGTGCAAGACCAAGCTGATGTGGGAACTTGAGGTTCACATCTTCGCACAAGCAAGCACGCGCAAGATCTGTATCACCTGTTCTCGCCGCATGGTAGAGCAGATTTGCAAAAACCGCATCGCCTTGAATTTCGATTGGGCGAGATTCGTCGACTTCAACATCGAAGGCGTGTTCGTCGGCTACGTCCAGCCGGAGGAGTGCGGATGCACAGTTGTAAAAGCGATCCAGCGGTTCATCGCCGTCTGAAACCAGGCGACAGCCGGAGTCAAGCAAATACCGTACAATCTCGGTTCGAGATTGTAGAATTGCATCACATAAGGCGGATCGTTCATCATGAGCGAACGATTTGCAAGGGTTACACTTCGAGTGGATCAGTCGGAAGAGCTCCAGATCGGCCCATGATACCGCGTCTCTCAACGGCATGAACGTCATATTGTCGTTTCCAAACTTATCTATACATCTCAATAATGTATGAGTAAGGCGTCGCGCGCGGGACGCAAGTGACGGACGAAGGAGGCTTCTCGCAACGACCTTGCAGATTGCAGAATTGCATAAGTTCAGCTGATCTAACAAAGCACAAAGCCACGTTTCGTCTGTTTGCTCAACGATATCTTGGCAAGTCTTGTGATCGAGCATGTTGTTGCAAGCCTGGTAAATTATAATCAGAAACAGACGGGAAGCGCCGTCAAGATCGTCGTGCGCAAGAACCTGTGGCGGTACCCGCAGAGTAATAGTCGGGGCTTTCGAAAGCGACTCTGTCAAACCTTTCATGGTGCTGATGTCGAGAAATGCTGTCATCGACCCATCAGCCGTGTCATGATCACGCGATTGATCTGAACCACTTACTCATCCCGGGACAGGCGTCTTGTAATTGAACGAATGGCAAATTATTGACGAAGAAAGAGCTCACGATAGGCCGCGGCGTGCAAATGTTGTAGCTCTCGGGTGTTGCAGGTGCATCTTGACCGATTTCTCTCCATCTTGATCGCTCGATGGTGGAGAGATGGCCTTGGCGACGACAGCTCTTGTCCACCTTTGTAGCCGGCAATCGTCGTCCGTATTGGTATACACTTGAATCTAGACCCTGATCACGACGCTTCTCAATCTTGCAATGAATCGCTTTCCAGGTATTGGCGTCGACGTTCTTGGCGAAACCCCATTCCTTGAACTGTCTTTCGTATTGTGTTCTGCTATAATGCTACATTAGTATCCATTGAACATGTCCCTTAGTGGACTCGGATCATCTCAAAGTTGAGATACCTCTTATCAAAGCCACGACTTCTCATTTGCGAAACAATCTCTTTGAGAGTTCTATCCCTGATAAGGTAGAGCTCACGCAACTCAGCTTTATGGCTCTCGAAATCGTTCGCCATGGCAATTGAAGGCTCCTGTTGGGTTTAGTACCAATGGCGACGCGAGGATGCGATCATGAAAGATGACAATTGTGGTAGCTTTTGAGCTTGAAGCCCAGATGACCGGGGGCTAAAAGATTTCAAGCCATATTCTCGGAGCCTCGATTGCATGAACTCATATGTTCGATGGGAGAAAGGCAACCATAATCTCGAACAGCCCAACTTAGGCTGTCGCAGGATCATGCAGGAGCAGACGTTTCCGACATGGACCCATGCGAGGTTCTGGCGAGGGCCAATGAGGATCACGCGCAGGGCTCCACATCTGCAGCTCAGCCCAGTGCCGCGAATGCCCTGCAAGGCACCCTTCACCGCGCCGAGAGAACGGTACGGGGGCGCCTTGATGGCTGCCACATTAGTTGCGGAAATTCATTAGCGCCCTCGCTGATGATCGCCAGATGCTTGATCTTATACCGTTGGCAGACTGTCAGGCCGACCAAACGCACAGAGATACTCGGACAGCCCGCATTTGACATACCTCCCAGGCGGAGCCGCCCACTGAAATCTGCATAATGGCGCGCGCAAGACGGCATGCGTTTGATGTAATATTCAGCCAAGATAGGTATCAGTTTTCATCCCAAACGGATGCGATCTCAAAACAAGTTTCCGTCACGATATGGTCGGTCACGATACAATGGGTAAGTAGTTCCAGGACTTCGAATGCAAGGTCGGTGATACGGCACGAGTGGCGTCGGAGGTCCGCGCCTTGCAAAAATTATTCCAGAAATTAGCGTGGTCGGAGAGCGTCCAGGGCTGTGCAGTGTGGGTAAAACGTTCATTTGGATCCGATTGAAATAAGGCGGTGTATACTTTACATGGGAGTGCGCGGCATGAGATCTGCGCGAAATTGTTGAGGAAATGAGATAAGGGTGTTCCTAATAGTCTGCCCACCACCATCAATAAGCCCAGCAATCGTTACATCGTACGGGCTATATGTACAACATTAGTCTTTAGTTTTAGCTGATCAGCCTCATTTGATGGCATAACGCCTGTGTCCTCCACCACGCAGGCTAGCCGACGCCATCGTCCAGAGTGACGCACTGCCATTGTGAAATATTCAGGCTAGCCCGCGAGGAAATGTCCCAAACCAATCGCCCGAGCAGCTTCGGCGCAATCGGAATCAGCGGGATCAGCGGGATATGGGCGTCGAAGCGCCGGTTTCTTCCCCGACGGCTTTTCCTGCATCTAGTAATCACCTGACACCACCATTCGAGAGAAGATGGGGGCGGACTTCACAACGGCGCAATTTTGCCAACGCATCCCGTCAGTTTCGTATCGGATACATGGAAAATCCGAGACGACTGACGTCGTCATGGCTCTAGGCTGCAGTAGGCGAAGTGTACATTCCTGGCAACTCAGGAACGGTTCCACACGCATACTTCGACACTAGCCTGGCGCGAAAGGGACAATGCTAAGGAGCTCGATCCGACCATCGTCAGTGAGGATAAGGTTCAGCTAGTCTGACAGGCCGGTGAACATGCCCCCGGGCCGGCGCCTTCGCTTGTGTACTCAGGTGCGTATCTCGTCGCGCATTCTAGCCTTGGAGCGCAAATGAAGACTTCGCAGGATGAGCAGAAATAGAGGGATCTGCGATGCGTCTTGCAATGCCTCTCCGATGTAAGATCTATAAAGCCATGTAGAAACAATGGACTAAAGCTTCCCACCTCACTCTCGCATTCTTATCCTTTCTTCTTCATCCCTCGATCCTACGTCGCCTAAGGACAGAATGTCGCTCTCAATCGAAGCGGTCTTGGAAATCGTTGGTCTTAGCCTGGCCTTACGAATAGCATTTGTGATCACCATACCCTTATACAACAGCGTGGTTCGGCCACGACTACCGCCAGCGGGTGAGATCTGTACACTACATAAATACACTGATTCGGTTGGCGAAAGAGCTGACACTTCTAGTGGCCTACACTTTGGCAACACTGCAATACTGCGGGAGTCAATTGAATGGAATTACCGAAAGCGGAATTCCGAACCAGACGGAACGCCTGCTGGAAGACGACTTGGCAGAGAGTGCTTTACCTGCAAATGGCTTGCCTGACGGCGGCTTTCCACAGTCACAGCGCTTCCACGGTGAGTCTCAATGCCCGTTGCGCGACAGACTCCAACTGACGTCGTATGGAACAGCTCTCGCTCGCGAAGTGATCGTTCGAGAATACGAGACCGCACAAACAAGCGCTTGGTGAAGCGTAGTCACCTAATTATACTATACGGAGAAAGACCATCCTCGGACACCATCACGATGTGATCGCATCGCCAATCAGCCTGAAAGATGCCGAGGGCAGAAAGAGTCAAGCGGTGCGACCATGGGCTATCCCCCTCATCGTCATGCTTGTAGAATTTCCATCCGTCGGAGTTGCGGTTGATGTGCGGGAGTTTGGGGGATACCATTGTTGTTTGAACAACTTCTTTTCATTGTTTGCGGTGGCTCCGACACGTGTCGTCTTTCCACAAAAGTTTCAGGCGCATCATTAAATTTGGGCGAAGGAGCAGCTCTGTTCAAACAGGATGGCGCTCTGTTATCGAGTCCAGTGTTCAAGCGCTCATAAGTGTATGACGATGAAAGATATCATTCTTGATAGGCGAGGAAAGTGCATTGTTACGATCAACTCGGAGCATTTCAAGGGTGTGCCTTCCCTTCCGTGAATACATTGGTCGTCGGCTCTCGTTCACGTTCAAAAATGATTGTGCAATGGCAGCCTCCAGCATAACATTCCATGTACCTCTGACGACCTTGTGACGAATGGTAAGGAATTTCACATGAACAGCCTGCGGTGGGGTGAGTAAAACATGTGTAGAAGTCGCAGGGCATGTGAAAGTGAAGGCAGACCAGAGCGGACCCGTATTTCGAAGTCTTATCAATCACTTGCTGCGCCGTCAAATCCCGCTGCTTTAGCTATGCTTAGGGGACCGCTTGGTCGGAGATTGCACTGTACCGTTTCCCGTGAGCACGGCGCATGCTTGTTGTTTTCGTCCCTGTACTTTTCATTCTGACTCTGCATGAAGCTACGCGCTCGCCGTATTTGCCTTTGATTCCTGTGAGTATGGAACCAGTAGTTATATTGTCATGGCTATAGCTTGCATAGTCGGAACCATCGAGGCATCAGCGAATGCGTTCTTGGCTAACCCGCTCAGGATGAAAACAACTACAAAGGGGAGGAGGGCAGGCGGGGAGGACGAGAAGGCGAGGACAAGAAGGAGGAATGAAGAATGAGGAGGGGCGGGGAGCGGTGAGGGCGGGGAGCGGAGAGGGTTGAGGAGTAGAGGGAATGGAAGAGGCGGAGTTCGTGCTCTGATGTGCTGTCTCGAGGTACTACGGAACACATGCGTGCACGCACAAACACGTGACTATATCTCTTAGTTATGCTCCTCATGCAAATGTTGGTCAAATCGGACCTGGTCCCTTGATAGCTTGACGAAAACTACGTCTGAAGTGACTCCCACTTTCAAAGTGGAAAGCAGGCAGGCAGCAAGCCTATTATTTGATGAGCTATGGAGTGGCCCGTCCGTTGTGTCCGATGCCTGTACCTTAGCAATCTTGGAGGTTTGCAGCTGCTTGGGAAACATACAACCGTGTTCCAGCACAATTCCTATTCGGTTGTAGCTCTAGATTAATAGTTTGCCGCAGAGCACGATCGCGTTTGTGGATAAGGCCGGAAGGTCCTATTGTCGAAGAAAAACCACCACACATAGTCGTGCCTAGGTAGAGCACGCCCGATATTCGCCCTGTGTGGGTAGACGTGTGTCATAACACATGTATTGGGTTGGCTCATTTGGGATTGACTCAGTTCATATTGTTGATATCGCACTCTTATCGCTCATGTTATCGTCCTACATACATATCACTTTGGTCCATGCTTTACAACTAACATAATGTCTCTCTCTACGAAAGCAATTGTCGGCATCGTTGGAGGCGGCGTCACCTTGCCGACAACTCTCGTGATCGTCGTCCGGTTTTACTTCAATACAATCCAGCCACAACTCCAGTCAACTGGTAAAAATTACATGCCGTCTACTTCGATACAGACATCGATAAAGCTCACAACGTTTAGTTGTCAACGCTTTGGCAGGACTGCTACAATATGGACGCCGCTCAAGCGGAAGCGTAACATCCGAGACAGAGTTATTATCCCAGACGCAACGCCTATCAAAAGATGGCTCGTTGGAGGAAGATATGCCTGTGGAGAGTTGCTTAAGGGAGGCTTCCCACGGTCAGGACGCTTTGATGGTTAGCATCGTCCCTCCGAATACGAGAGCTACAAAGCTGAATTCGTACTGCGGCCCTCGCATGCGAGGTTTTTATTCACGAATATGCAGTTCGGCAGTCGAGCGCCTCGAGATGAAGATGTGAGCTTAACTTGCGAGCTGAGACAGTCGTTTTGACGTGACGAGCGAGACTACGTTATTATGCCCGAAAGCGCCGTAGCCAGAACAGCTCGGGAGACCAGATTCTCTGCATATTATACAATATCATGATCGTGGACTACATGTGTACCATGTTGCGTGCATCGCTCTGGTGTCAATTGGAAATCATTTTCAAGAACACCAGAACGTGACGAAGTTCCAATGAAGGTCAAAGCACAAACGGCGCGGTCGATCTAGAGACACATCTACTACATCACCCTTGGCCAGTGCGGCCCGTAGCTAGCCCGTGGGGAAATGAAAAAATGGCAGAATTTGCGGTGATCTCCCTGCCAAAAATTTGCCCATATCTTTGTCCCCGATGCGCTTGGGCACTTCTGTCTTTCAAACTGCTTCATTGGCGAACGGGCCGGTCAAGTCAATCAGTATGAACGCCGTGTTGGCATAACGAGCATAGATATAGACCTTTTGAAGAATGGTACTCAAAGACAGGATCCTGGAGGGGTCCACCCGGGACGGAGCCTATTCCGAATCCAGCTTCCTGAGTCACGGACCTCAATTCTTCCATGTAGTCTCGTAGCTGTGCAGCCATCGAGATCCTGCAGTTGTCGCCCAGGCTGGACCATGCTTGATCCAAAGACTTTCCCTCAATAAATGTCATGACAATGTAGGTATCATATATACTTCCAAAATCGGCTGGATCGCGGTCAAACGGGCCCATGGTGTAACAAGCGTGAAGTCGAGGAGCGGGAATGCCGGGGGCCTCATTTTCAAGAAATATGAGACTTTCTGCTTCCGTCACTCGGACGTGAGGACCGAATTTAATCGCAAGTGAGTCCGAAATCCTGACGAATCGCGTGCTGCCTCCTGTCGAGACTATCTGCCCTGCGGGATGACTGACCAGATCAGGGTATGGGCCGTCGTAGCCATGTGCGTTGTGTATGACCTTGAGAAGAGGTGAAACAATGTCCTGTTTGTAATGCTGAGTCATCCAGGCGGGACTCAACATTCGCCGAAGCCATTTCATACGGCGCTATTGGGAGAATGCACCGACACTGTGACCTGGCTTTGATTACAAACCTTGGAAAGGCGTACGAAGGTATAGATATCCATCGGAGCTCGGCCCCACCCTAGTGAGCTGCCCGCTGACGGGCGGCTTCCATCGATCACGACGCTCTAAAAAGGATCCATGGGTAAAGTCATTCTTGATCCAATATCTTCCCAACTATCAATCCCCCATCGGTCCCGATTGATGAACGAAATTGTTCACAATAAGCCGGCTCGCCTCCTAAGTGCTTAATAAAAGAGTCGTATAAATGCGCCCTGTGCCGAAGATACATGATGTGGAAACAATCACTGAGAGAATGATTGCTGCAATTTCACGATATTTAGATCGCTTTCGGTAATTTTTGCAAGAGCTGGCACGTGGCTTCGTACCTCGTAGGGCGCGTTCCTCGTATAGCCCCATCTTCACATGCATTTGGTAGATGAAATACATATACGAGATGATGTCGCAATGTTCGACAGAACAATCAGATAGATAAAAGAGGAGCAAATCCAAGAGTCTCTCGCGAGCAAAATTCCAACGAACATGATTCTTTCATACAATCCAAGTCGAATGCATTGAGCACACGTTTGATATAATACTAGATCTATTGTTGGCGTGATCGATCTCTCAAGCAGCCATCATGGCGGACATCAAGGAATCCCCACGGGTGATCATTGTAGGAGGCAGCATCGCCGGACTCGCGCTCGCGAACATGCTGGAGCAGACCTGCGTCGATTACATCGTGTTGGAAAAGTACCAGATCGCCCCGCAACTAGGGGCCAGCATCGCATTACTCCCCAATGGCCTGCGTATTCTCGATCAGATCGGTTGTTTGGAGGCACTTCAGAAGGAGGTCGGAAGTTCCGATGTCTTCTGCCAGATGCAGACGCGCGGTCCGGATGGCAAACTATTCATGGAGGGTTCGCAATTCGGGCAAGCGGTCGAGAAGAGGTATCGTTCACGATCCACGCAAGGAAAGTAATGTCATTGCGCATGCTTGAACTAAAACCTATCACAGGTTGGGGTATCTTCCGATCGCTCTCGAGCGTCGAATGCTAATTCAAGTGCTTTACGACAACCTCAAACTCAAAGAGAAAGTCCTCACGAACAAAGGCGTCGTACAAATCAAACAAATTCCGGGTCGTGTTGAGGTAATCACCAAGGAGGGCGAAGTCTTCGAGGGCGATATCCTGGTTGGCGCAGATGGGTTTCACAGTACGGTGCGCAAGGTGATGTGGCACCAGGGAAAGCAGGATCATCCGGCGAGCTTTGCTATCGAATCGCAATCTGGTTAGTCACGAAGATGCTTCAATGCGCCAGGTTGTCATATTCGTCTCGAGGCTGACCTCGGCAACCATAGCTTCCATCGAATACTCTTGCATATTTGGCATGTCGGAAATGAAGGAAGGGTTTCCTCGCAATACTTCCGTCAACGGGCAGGGCTATGGATATGCCCATCTCGTCATGGACGGTCCCGATGACACGGTCTTTTGGTTTCTTTTCGCCCAGGACACAGAAAAGAGGCGCGGTCTTTGGGAATCGATTCCTCGATACACGGATGCTGAGAAGGATGCATTGGCCGCCAAACACGCGGATGACAAGGTGACGGACACCCTGACCTTTGGTGATCTTTATAGGACGCAAAAAATGTCAACGTTGCAGGCGGTCCCTGAAGCGGTATTCGAACAATGGCACAATGGACGTGTCATCACCATTGGAGACGCAGCTCACAAGGTACCTCAACCATGCTCGCGGACCGAACACAGGCTGACGTTGCTTATGTAGTTCAATCCCATCGGTGGCCAAGGTGGTAGCAACGCAATCGAGGACGCAGCAGTACTAACGACTCATCTTGTGAATGCTGTGAAGGCGTGTGACGACCGACGGCTGACAAGTGAAGACATAGACGCGGTCTTCAAGAAGACTCAGGCCGAGCGTATGGCGCGTGTCCAGCATTTCAAGAATTACTCGCACACGATACAGGCGATCAACGGGCGGGCCACAGCATTGTGGACGTTTATTGGCTCACGCATCATCCCAGCGCTTGGTATGGATCTCGCAGCTGATATGCTCTGCGAAGGACTTCGACCAGCCGCGCGGGTTGGACCATTGCGAATCAAAACTCCGAAAACCGCAGATCCGTGGACTGACGAGCTGCCATCGAAGCCCTGGACGTCGTTGGTGCCCTTGAACATTCTCTCAATCTTGATTTCTGTGGGTCTCACGATTGTTGCATTCGAGAAGATCGCCGGGTCCGCCGCACCGAGCCAGGATATGTTTGATCCCACACTGCAGTTTCTCGGCTCGCCTTTGAAGCTTATCTACACCGGCGTCGCGGCGATCGACGAAGTGCTGCGAGTCATAGTCATCGCTTTCTCCGATGCCGTCAGCTGGCAAGATGAGGGCCATTCCCTGCAGTTCTTGTATCTGCTTATCTACCTTGTACCCATTCTTGTCGTTTGGTACGTGGAGAGTTCGCGCAAGCACAGTAGCTGGACACTTATTGCTGGGTGAGTCCAGATGTATCATGTCGATTGCCGCATCGATCGAAGCTGACTGTGAGCAAGACCCTCGGTATATGCGCTGCTCATGAACCTCGCTGGAATTGGCGTCATCGGACCGGTATATCTTATCGCAAACGCTCTGCGAGATAACACGGCAATATGCCTCAGCGCTGATAAACGTGCCGTTCCATTGGCGAAAGCTAAGTGGATCCTGCCCTCGATCCTCATCGGATACGGCTTGCCTACACTCTTAATATTCAGTACCAGCTTGGGTCCCGGAAACCATCAGCTTCTCCTTGCAGCTTGGCAATTTGCTGCGATCCCTGTCAGCATGCTGCTGTTTTCGATGTCAAGAGTCAGCGAGATCGCGATCGCGTCCACTAAGTCTGAGAAGGTCCAGCCTTTCCAGCCTCGGGATCAAGAGGCCGTCTTCCTGAACCGCACTTACAATATCGTTTTTGGCCTATGTTTCATCGTTCATCTGGCGACAACATATTGGATCTCGTCCTCTTCCAGCGACATTGTCTCATTTTCGCGCTTGCTCATCCCAACCTACGAGGTTGCCGAGCCGCGTGCCGACACAATTGCGGCGTTCATGTTTACCATTCTCCGCTGGGATCATCTCTTCACAATTATCGCGTTCTGGGTGTATGGTTCCTTCAGCGTTCTCACGATGCGGGGCTCGGGCATCATAACCAGCATGAGCGCGATCAAGGCGTTCGGAGCTTTCACATTAGCACAGCTTGCAACGGGACCTGGCGCTGCATTGATGGGACTGTGGCTCTGGCGCGAGAAGACCATGCGTTTGCCTGTGCCAGGCCGTAGGTGAGCGATGCTTTCAGGTGCCTGAATGGCTGCACTGATGTTCTCACGGCTCTCCGTTCGACGAGCAATGAATTGATATTTTTTCATGACGTTCCGGTATATGGGCGAGTAAAGATGATTGTACGGGCGTTAGTAATTTTCATCATGGGATCATCTCGCTCGGGGATTACACAGCTCCAGAGTTCAAGGAACTTGCGGCACAAATTTTGTGCTCAATCTCAGCGCCTCGAATATGCTTGCAGCAGGTAAAAACAGCATTGATGCTTGTGGAAATGTTGAGGAAGAACGATTGAATGAACTATTCCGACCGTAAGAATCATGAACAGAAAGGATACACACAGGATTCACGTGCTGCTTCGTGGCTGCGGCACAAAGAACAGAGCCTGCAACATCATTCATTCGAAACGAGAACTTCCGATTGAGTATCCCTACCTTAGACAGCATGTCCCTAGGATTGCTCGGGCTCGTATGCACCACCGTTAATATAATATTGACGGCCATGATGATCAGGCGTGGCTCTTCCACAGACACCGTTACTACCGATGCGATTAGCTCATCGGACAAGACGTAGGGGTCTACAAAGCCCCAACAAGGAAAATTAAGGACGCAAGTAGATACTTACAACACAGAATATGTGGAATTCTCCCAGGGGTCATACTCCGCGTCAACAAAGGAGTACTGTACTGCACTCGGGTCGCACACGGATTGGCTCTGCACGAAAAAGATGTAGCACACGTTGGACCGCCCGAACGAGTCTTTGGACTGCCAGCTGCCGAAAGCCGAGAGAGGATAGCTCAAGGCCAAATTGCAGCAGTCTTTGGCGTTGGTGAGGTCGTAATTCTTGGTGAAATAGGTCTCGTGCGACGGTTGTAGAGAATATACGAGGCCGTACTTCTCTCCAAAGTCGTCGGGTTTGACGATGTCCATGGCTTTCCCCCAGGGATAGATGTTGGCATCTGTGACAAATTGGTCAGCAAAGACAACAGCAATGCAGCGGATTCTGATGACCGTGTACAATTTCCCGAGCCCGTCTCACAGGCCGCAAACGTCGAGACTGTTGCAGGGAGCGTCTTCGTCGTGGTGATGGTCGTCACGCCAAATAGAAAGTACGTCGACGGCGTTGGCGTTGCGGTGGGATCGGCGACGGTTGTTGTCTTGCGAATGATTGTGGTTTGTGTGGTAGTGAGAGTGTCGATCAGTGAGTATTCGAGACCTGTCGTGGTGACTGTTGAAGTCGACCGCACGACCTCCACAGGAGCAGTGTATGCAAATTGAGACCGTATGGGTGTAAACCCTGGGCCGAGCTGTATTTTCGGGAGTAGCATTAGCTTTACTAAATTCACTTGCCCATCAAACTCCCGCACGTGATGAGTGCTCAACATACCGGCACATAGGTTCTCACAGGGTTGGTCGGACCGACGGTCTTGGTGACAGTAGATGTATAGAACTTTTTCGTGCCAGCGAGAAAACCGCGGGTAGTAGTGATCGTGTAGACCTTGGGATCAGTGACCGTCGTTTGTATGACGACGCGCGATCTCCCAATCACACTTGTCGTCGTTACTGGAGTGATCGTGGTGAACGTTGTCGAATAGTACGTCCATGTCCCTGTAGGCTTTCCATTACTGGTGGTCACAGCGGCTGCTTGAAAGCAGCACCAGGCAAGGATGATGCCGATCGGAAAATAGAGTGTGCGCATCTTGCTGCTCGGACCAGATCACCGTCCCAAATTTGCTTTGGCTATGAAATGCATGCTTTCTTCCGGCAGATGGACGCATCTTGTATGTTCACCAGATTGCGATTGCACTGAATCCACTTCACCAATCACCTATCCGCGATGGCCAGCCTCCATGCCAAGAACAATTTTCGTCCAATGGACGATACGATCAGGGCTTCTTGAAGGCTGTACGTCCATTCTTCTCGCTTTTTGTGAACAGTAGACGGCTACAGAGGACGTCTACACAGGTCCTAAGGTCAGCTAAGCGAAGCCACAATCCCGCGCGGGGCAATGGCAGCCTCGGAGAGCGTGTAGCAAGCATGTGGACTTTCGCTTGCGCAAACATGTTGATCAGTCTCGGAAGTGGAACACGTCGGAACTCGAGTGACTACGGTGATCTCGCACGGTTGCGCTGCAGGTCTGATGGCATTGACCGACAGCGAGTACGATGAGTGAGAGTGAGAAGCCACCATGAAGTAACGTTCCAACTCCGGCTCTTCCAGATTAGGGTTCGCGGTGCGCCCACTAGGAGGACTGATCAATAAAAACGATATTTGACACACCTATGGCTTCCAGGGCCCGAGTGGCGCTGAGAAATTATCAGTCATGCGTGGTAGCAGATAGCTGATAAGTCATCTCTGAGTCCCGTCTGGTTCGACCGATGCCTATGGATCCGAAGACGAGATTATTATCGGCCTTTCAATCAATTGATCTTTGATACAGTACATTCTGTAGTACCCAGGTGACTGACACACGTTTCGCTGTACCTCGATAAATCCCGGGGTGCATCACGTGCGTCCGGTATCCATTTCTGTTCATCTTTCATGACTTACTGCTGTCGCAGCACCAACAAGGGATCTCCCTCCAAGCACGAATCCCAAACGCCTTGGACCTTCCAATGCGGCTTGACAACGACCGATCTCCACCATGGAGTCTCAACGCAGCTTCCATGCTTTGAGTTATTCTTTTTACGATGAGGGACCATGCCGAGAATCAAATTACTGGAAGCGTCTCCTTAGCTTCACTCCATTTCGTATCGAGTTCCGGATTTGTGAACACCACATTTGAAACGAGTGAAGAATAACAAGCAAATCTATTATGTCTATCCTGTACTACAATAGCAACATATCCCGGTCCTCGCTCGCTAAGGGTAGTCCATAGCCCTTCAAACCGGACTACTTCTGCTTCAGAGCCGGCGCAATGCCATGTTTCCGCGAGACACTCCATTCAAGCACCTTCGAATCATTCTCGCTACTCTTGACGGTGGTGCACGATCTGAAGGTTTGCCAAAGCGCTCGCCAGAACGGCGTCTCATCTCTTATGTATCTCTTTCCCAGGATCGGTTGAATCGCGGCAGTCGCTTCTTTGGCGTAGTAAAATGGGATGCGCCTGTGGTCTGATCAGCATAAAGCACATCCAACGATCATCGTCATGGTCGAGAAGGTCTTACGGAAACAAATGGTGTATGACATGATAGTCAATGATGCCATGGAACAAATGCTCTCCGATAAACCCGAAAGGCCGGTCCACCGTGCCCAAGGCACCCTTCAGATAGGTCCAAGTCGAAGCTTCATAATGGTGCACATCCGTGTGGGTGTGGTGCAGATACGTTATTGCGACGAGCCAATTGTTCACCCATAAGTATGGGACACCATAGAGAAGCAAGACATTGGCGGCGCCAATACTCGTAGAAACGGTGCAGAGCGCTATAAGAACACCAGCGACACCGAGTGCAGAGAGCAAGACAAATGGCTGCTCTGATTTGGTGAACAGGCGACTTGTCGGATCGAAATGGCTGTGCAAAGCCTTTCCTATCGGACCGCGGTCTGCTGCACTGAGAGGTCCCCCGGTCGAATAAAAGAACAAATACATCGGCCAGCCGATGAGCTGATGCATCGCAATGGCAAGCGTGAGAATGGGCACATCATTCTCATGATCCACTTCCCAAATTCTGCTCGCGAAGTTTGGTTCACCCGACCTTCGCGGGACGAAGGCTGTGTCGCGCTCCATGTGGTTGGTGTACATGTGATGCCGGGCATGCGTGTATTTCCATGAGAAGTATGGTACCAGCACCAAGCTGTGTAGTATGAATCCCAAAGTATCATTCGTGCCTTTGCAACGGAACAGGGCTTGGTGTCCGCATTCGTGCGCCAGAATCCAGATCCCGGTGAATATCAGGCCTTGGAGGTAACCATATGCGATCCACGCTGACCAGCGGAGTATCGCGCTGTCCAACGTCGGAATCACGGTGAACGCCAGACCAGCCAGACCGCCTGCCATCAAAAGGTCGCGCACGATGTAGCATCCCGAAAATAAAGGAGACGGTATGAAGAATTCCGCTGGGATGGCATTGCGAAGTACTGGCAGCGTGATCTGCTCAGCAGATGGGGCTTTCTGTGCGTTGGGGTCCATGGCTTTCATCTTGGGCGCATTACAAGGGGCTCCAAATGGACATGGCGATGGCTTGAACATATATGTAATGGAGACGCGCAGGCACACTGCCACGCAACTCATCGTCCTCGTCCGATAGCGGCCATATTCGTCGAGATCAGCTCGGAAATTGGCATGGCAAGACGTCCTACCGGCCGACTACGAAAGCGATCGAAGCGGACCGCCGCGTTAGAAAAGCGCGAGCCATCTGGTCGGTCTTCGCCATCTGAGTCAGTGCAAAGGCGGGAGCCGTCAAATCTGAGCATGTGCTTGTAGATCATCGCTTTTGTCACTAGTACCAAGATACGGAGGGGACAAAAAAAGGGCTCTTTTCGCCGCAAACCACCCCCGAGAATTTAACACGTATCAAATACGACTTCGAGAATAAACGGCTTGAGAGCCAATCCCGATATTGACCGAATTCAAATATGTTGTCGACCTATTGAATAGCTTCATTTCGATCTACTTTGCGCGTTATTGGGTTATGGGTTGAATTTTCAATCGCGTGTTGAAGTTGGTGGTTGTAGAAAGGCGCCCTTTCTTTTGTCCGTGACGTGCTAGACAACGAAAACAAAGCCAACAACATACGGGGCTAATAATCGGATGGAGGGAATGCTAGACCCTGGGCCCTTATCAAACGCTCGAACGCTCGAACGTGTGTCAGGTCCGTCTAAACCTTCGGTCGGTGTAGCTTTGCGGGCCGTGAAAGGCTCATTTCAAACCTTACTTGGGTGCGGGATCAGGGCATTACACCATTCACTCAACTCGTGCTGTACGAGCTGCGGGCTGTACGAGGATTAGAATTGTGCTTCATGTAAGCTATGCATCATGATACAACAACGACTGGATGATCGGCTTTTCCTAGACTACAGATAGAATCGCCCATGCCCGACATGCTGCTCCAGGATTATACACAGCCGTTCTCTCCAAGCCGCCTCGCTGAGAGTCTTGCCGCGTACGATTTCCCGCATTATCCATGTCGTTCGACAAGAGCAGAACCAATTCTAACGAGTCCTCCTTGGAGGTTCAATCCATCAATGAAGTTGAGAAACCAGCCAACTGGTCCAACCTCAGGAAATGGTCAATTATCGTCACGGCCACCTTGATCACCTTCATGGTATCTTTCGCCAGCAGTGTTTACTCTGCCGTGACAAGTTCCATAGCCTCAGAGTTTAACGTGTCTCCTCAAGTTTCAATTCTCGGAATTGTCCTCTATGTGGCGGCCTTCGCTTTGGGCCCAATGATATGGGGTCCCGCCTCAGAACTGTACGACTTCGATAAGTATCATTCCTGTCAAATTCGCATGTAACTGATGGCATTTCAAACAGATATGGCCGGACACGTCCGTTGTTTCTTGGATACTTCTTGTTCCTTGTATGGCAGATACCCTTCTCTGTCGCGACAAACATCGAGACCGTTCTGATCGCTCGCTTTTTCGCGGCACTGTTCGGATCCTCAACCCTCGCGATTGTGGGAGGCATGATGGTTGACTTTTTGAGCCCCATCGAACGAGGTATCTCCACCGGAGTCTACAGCGTCGGCGTCTTCTGCGGCCCAGTGCTCGGCCCCGTCTTTGGCACGCTGATCAACGATTCGCTTGGTTGGCGATGGACCGGCTGGCTTACATTGATCGTCGGAGCTTTTCTGGGGGCCATCTGCCTCCTGTGCACGCGGGAATCCTCTCCGCACGTACTCCGTCGGCGGCATGCACGGAAATTCGGTCTGCCTTGCGACGAGCAACAAGCTGGGGTCCGGATGTTCATGGAGAAGTATCTGACCAAGCCGGTTCGCATGCTGTGCTTTGAACCAATTGTAAGATAGCCGCACTCATGAGGACACAAAATCGATCGAAGCTAACAACAGCCAGCTCATGATCTTCACAGCATACATGTCGTTGGTGTACTCGATCCTCTATCTCACACTCACCATGTATCCCTACGCTTTCAGCGTCACTCGGAATCTTGACGCCCGCACAGCCTCGCTGCCATTCCTATTCCTTCTTGCAGGCATTATCATCGCCTGCGTGATAATAACGATTCACAGTGTTCACGTCGGTAAGGCGCAAGCCGCAGGCCGTCCATTTTGCCCAGAAGATCGCTTGGGTCCCGTTGTGTTTGGCTCGTTATTGCTGACAGCTGGTGGGTCGCGCTGCTACCTTTGATCACAGTGGTCCCATACTGATACATACGTATACAGGGCTCCTTTGGTTCGCATACACGTCTGATGAGTCCAGGTTTCATTGGATTCTGCAAGCCTCATCCGGAGTTCTTACGGGTTGTGGCATCATTCTAGTTTTCATGCTTTCCAACCTTTACCTCATTGAGGTATACCTCGCCAGCGCGAACAGTGCCTTGGCGATGAACATTTTCGTCCGCTCGGGTATCGCCGCAGCGTTCCCAATTCTCTCGCGGCCCATGTTCAACCACCTGGGCGTGACCGGTGCTGTAAGCATGTTGGGTTACATCTGTCTTGGTCTCGCCATGTTTCCGCCTTTGATGATTCTCTTCGGTCACAGGATCCGGGCCTGGTCCAAATTTGCTCAATGAGTGCCGGGTGCGTACACGGTGCGCTCCCGATGCTGAGTGCGATGAGCCGGCTCGGGAGAGGCTGCCTCTTTAGCATGACAGGGCATGGCGCTGCCGTCTGTTTGGGACACGGGCGTGATCACATGAAACAAAATGGAACCAAAATTGACTTATCCTTCTAATCGGTTTGCGTTTTCTGTACTATCCGCGTGCATGCATCAAGCGACATCGCGCGTCCGGCGCGTCATTGCAAGGGCCGCGAGATATAGAGCAAGCAAAAATGCAAACGGACATGGAATGTTTCGCCCAGGAAAGGGCGCGTCTTCGCGCTAACAAAATTTTCGCATTTGACCGCTGTAGTGGATACAGACAGGAGCAGAAGCGATCTGTTGTAGCCGAGAGTCTTGGCACGCCAGTCCAGCGAAACATTCATCGGGACTCGAGGCGTCCTTTAATTTGGTAAGCACCAACCGCTCGAGCACCCGGGCAAAGTTGGAACAACCACCCTTTTCTCATCGTCGCTGTCTGCAGAAAAGACTAAACACATTCCCGGGAACTAGCTACCTACAGTCGAGCACGGTTCCGGGAAGACTTAACAGCCGGTGCCGCGCCGGCTTTCTTATCAGACGGAGCGCGACGGTCCGTGAACGACTGCCGAGAAGACGCTAGGGCGATAGTTCAGCTCCGAGGTTGACGTCGTATGCGCTTCTATTCAAAGTTATTGGATTCAAAGCCTAATTTGACATTAAACGAACCAGCCACGAGCCAGCTCCTGCATTGTCTATGCATGCAAACAAGATTAATCAGAAGGGGGCCTCTTGCTCTGAGTCTCAACCAATGGGAGGAGCTATAATTCGTATACAGCAACGCCGAGAAACATCGGTGTCCCGATCGACGTGTCGTCCGTTGTTATCACCGCGGTCACCAGCAGCAGCTTAAGATATCGTATAGGAATTAACTTTATCACGTCGACCTAAATACAGCCCATCGGCTTCCGTACCGTGGACACCTTCGTACCTTCGATGCCAGACGTAAAGCATGACGTCTTCAGGACGATGAGTCCCGTCTGACGTCTGCCAATCGCTTGGTTTGATATGGTCTCGATCGATTCAAGTGGTGCTCAGTATTCGTTGGGATCCGCGTCAATGGCGTGTCGTACGAAATAATCTCAGCTTTGATAAAGTCCGACGCATTGGGTTTGAGCATCGCACACCGTCTATGATGACGTCGGTCGGCAGTTGATATGAAAAACGAGATTGCGGAGGTGCCTCACACGCTGCTTGACGATGAGTATCAGCTCCAGTACCGGCATCCGTAAGTGGAATGCTCCTGCGGTGACCAAGTATAAATTCGTGGACTGCCCTCGAGTGCTTATTCTGAAATTTTTAGCCCTGCTCACAGCAAACTAAATCCCAATCTTTCACGATGGCAGCCATTCTGGTTGCATCGAATTTGTCTAACGTGGCACCCAGTATTGGGATAATGATTGCAGAGATATTGCTGGTGTCGTTCCTGCTGTTGATTGGTGGACTCGCCACAAGATCGATGTTCAGTCGACTCAAACATCTTCCTACACCAAACCAAGGCCACTTTCTTTTCAGGCTGGTAGCCGAGCCCAATGCTCTCGAGATGGAGCGATGGCTGGACGAGGTGCCGAACGAAGGACTGATTCGTTACTACGGCCAATGGAACAAGGAACGACTACTTGTCGCCACTCCTACCGCCGCGAGGGATCTCCTCACGGTCGCTGCGTACAAGTCCGTCAAGGCAACGGACGTTCGACGAGTAGTCACCAATGTTTCAGGGCCTGAGGGATTGCTGATTCTGGAGGGAGAGTGAGTACTTATCCATACTGTTGATTATCGCGAAAGGCTGACCTGGCTGCAGGAAACACAAGAGGATCAGTAAAGCCGTCCTGCCCGCTTTACGATCTGACGAAGTTCGACGAGCATATCCGATCATGGTGGGTGCGCGAAGGTACGAAAGTTCGATTGGCAGAACTGACACTGGGAAATAGTGGGAAAGTGTCCATAACTTGACCAAAGCCATGTTAAACCAGGCCGAAGAAAAGAGGGCACCCCAATCAATTGTCGCTGCCGGTCAATTTCTGAAGCTGATGAACGCCGCTCTCATCGACACCATTGCTAAGTGGGGGTTTTCTATCAATCTCGGCGCTGTATTCGATATCAGAGCCTCTATCCCTCGAACCTATATCGGATCGTTGAAAACAACCAAACATGGCCAGTCATTCATCTGGTGGGCATTCACGGTCGGACCTGATTTGATCATGAGTCTGCCCGTACGGCCTGTCAAAATCATGAACGCTCTCTCCAAGTTCGCTGATAACACGGCCAAAAGCCTTGTGAATCCACGTATAGCCGCTTTGGAGGCGCCCGACAAGGATCAGCCGGCGCCTCACGACATGCTCAGCATCTTCATGAAGTCCGACAAGCTTGATAACCATGATTTGGTTCACCAATCTGCGCATATGATTGCGGCATCTACTGAGACCACTGCCTCCACGCTGGCTTGGGTCGTTCACCTCCTCGCTCGGCACCCGGAGTGTCAGCAGCGGATCCGAGAGGAAGTCCGAGCCCACATGTCTCCTCCGATTCCAGCTGAAGGCAATCGCGATTTCAACGACGCCAATTTTCGCGAATTGAAGTATCTCGAGGCAGTGATCAAGGAGATTCTCCGCTTCCATTCTGTCAACACCATTCTGTGGAGGGAGTTGATAGAGCCGGCAACTGTCGCTGGAACACGGCTTTCAGCCGGGACGAGGATTGCATATTCGCCCTGGACATCTGGACGCGATCCCCGGTTCTGGGGTCCTGATGGCAGGGTCTTCAATCCCGACCGTTGGCTCAAAGACCCGATCAAGGGAGGCGCTTCAGATACCTTCGCATTCTTGACTTTCGGCGCTGGACCCCGCAGATGTCCCGGCGAGGAATATGCGAAAGCACAGCTGCGGTGTATCATTGCTGGAATAATCGGCCGGTTTGAACTGTCGCCGTACACCGGTACGAAGAGCTCCGATGTTGGTACGGAGATTGGCGATTTTTCAGCCTTCACACTTTTCAAGGTCATGGAGGGTGGCTTGCAGGTCAATGTCAGAGAAGTCGAGGGATGGTAGAATACCGATTCTCAATCTCGATTGCAACGCTCCACGGTGACGGAGGGGCAGAGTAATCACATAACAGCGAATCTCATGCTCCAGGCCCAAAGCCCACGATGGCGGTCATCGTGCTAGATACACTATGCCGCTCTTATATTCCCCAAACCAGATCTCGGACTCGACAGGCATTCTTGACGGTCGAATATAGTATTGTTTTTCCAATGTGACTTTGAGAGGGCCGTCCCGCCACGTGAACGGCGATCCTATACCAAGCAGGCAGCCGATCCGAGCAGCTTCCACACTGCCGATCGAAGTATGTTTCAGCACCTGGTCTTGTATTTCGATTGGTAGTCTTTGCACCCGAACACATTTCGGAAGTCTTGTGGAAGTGGTTGCCCAGATGAGATAATCTATTGCGATATCTGACGGAAGTGCAGCCTCATCGTCGCCGTTGAAAAGCGCTGCCGGATCAGAGTATTCGAAGGCGGCTCCCTGTGCGGCCTTGCAGAGCATCACGTGCCGGACGGAGAGCACTATATAAAGCGTCTGATTTCTTAGAGGATTGGTGCCACTGAGACCTTTGGGCGTTGTCTGAAGGGTAGCAAAGTCTTCCTTTACAATGAAAAGGCCTTTGGACAAATCTGTACAGAGAACGAGTCGGACAAGCCCAATTTGCACGACGTCAGCATCGAACGGCTCCCAAGAAGGCTGATCTAGGTACGATACATGCATCCCTCTTCGACCATGACCTCCTGTATTTTCGCGAACTTCAAATTCTAAGGTAGATATTCGAATTACAGCTCGTGCAAGGTGACGTAGTGTAAGTTTGTTATAATCATCCCGAAGAATATGCCTCCATTGATGGTGAAAGTCACGCAGAGGTGAACACACCAATGCTCGCATGTGTATGTCTGCTTCTAAAGGCGGCTGCCAGAAGCCCTTGTCCGACCGAAACTCAGGTCCGATTGGCAAAAAACGAGGCTCAAGAACATTAAGTAGTCGCATTTTACTGAGCTTTATGGACTGTCGCCGCAGCGCAGCAAACGATACATTACGGCGGCACTCGCGAGTCGCATGCTGCAAGACAGCCTTGTTTATATCGAACGTCCAAAGAGCATGGTATGGCTCCGATCGCGAATCCCCGAGACAGTCGATTGTATCGTAATACTCCTTTTCCAGCCACGTAAAGGGAAGTGATTTACCTAGATCATCGAAGGACAATTCTGCATGGAATTGGCAAATGAAAACCCAACTCGAACGTAGCACTCACTATCTCCCGCTTCGATCAATAATGTAGCCAACTGGCGTAGATGCTCTTCATCATCGTCGTCTGTGCAGCTCGTACCGTACCATATCGAAGCCGGTCCAGCCGTGGAGTCGGATCCGGGGACTGCGCTTGACGGCGTTGCGATGAAACAGGCTAGGAAATACTTGGACATCGTGAATTTATGTAGGACACGGGAAATGAAGCCTAACGACGTTGATCATCCATCAGAGAGACAGAAGAAACCCGTCGGCGCCAATGATGTCTCGGCAATATGAGATGGAGAATGAATACTGAATGCAAGGAGGTGAGGAGTACGTAGGTGTTCCATCAACGTGCATGTCGCGATCAGATGTCTGTGCGCGGCCGCTCGCAGGAATCTGGGGCTTTGTCTGCCAAGATGTCAAGCCACAGAAAGGACGGCTTTGTCGGGAGATGTGGCTCATCGCGTGTGAAATCGGACAGAAATGGTGTGGCGCTTCACGCATCGCCACGGCTCGCCGTCATACGCTATGATTCATGACCAGATTTGCACGAGAGGCAAAGGCGAGACGATACCCTGAATCAGCTGAGCGGACAAATAATCTTTCTAACAATCTGCAGCATCCAGACACTATTTTGAATGATCTATTTCGGTTCTGCAGATGACGCGGTAAACTCCTGTAGAAATGTCGACCAAAGCAGCTCTCAAAGCAGCGAAAACGGCGCTGGACGGGCAAGACTACGACAAAGCAATAGAACAAGCTGAGAACGTACTTTCGTCCGATCCACAGAACTATTTTGCTAGATTGTTTCTTGGCCGTGCATTCGAGAAGAAGGGGAAATATGAAGATTCTGCGAAAACGTACCATGCAGCGGCCGCGTCGAAACCAGATGATGCACAAGCATGGCTTGGTCTTTGCAGCGTATACGAGGCTCAAGAAGGGCGGAAACTTGATGACTATCGTGAAGCTGCAGTCAAGGCTGCGCAAATAGTTGGAGAAGCGTCTGAGGACAAGGAACGATGTCAAACCATCATTGACAAACTCGTAGCTTTCACCAAGAAACATGGAGACGCACGTCATGTTAGAAAGGTTCTTCGCGTCATGCTGCCGGAATCTCCGGTTTATGATCTGCTAGAAGGTCGCATCCCTCGTCCATCACATACTTTTACAAGGATAGCGGACCTCACAGAGGTTGAAGAAGCTCAACGCATGAAACAAGAAATTGCTGAGCGTCGCACGAGGATTGGAGCTCGCGTGAATCAAGTCACAATTGACGTCAAACGCGAGATCTTCGGTAGTAGTGAATTAGAAGATCTTTATCAGCAGGTCATAAATTGGTCTTCAGACGATGAGATTCGGCGACAGTATGAGGAAAAGCTATTAGAGCGTGCCCATGAAGCGTTGATTGTCTTGCCTTCAGACCAAAAAGCAGAGAAGCTCGATCAAGTCTTGACACTAGCAGAAGGCATGGTCATCATCCACCATCCATTTGTGCTCGCGTGGAACCTCGTCCTCGAATCTCGCGATCTCGATGACCTTCGAGGTTTGGATGCCGGCATCATACGAGAATACATTGAACTTTTCCCGGAAAGTGGGCTGGGGAGGATATTGAAGGCTTGGTTGACGAGTGAATTATCTCCATTTCCAGCTCCCAAGAGGAAGACAGACGCGGACGGAGAAGATGTCGAAATACCATTGACTCCAGAAGATCGACTCCTGCTCATGACTGAAGGCATCCTCGACGCTAAATCATCACCATTCGCTCACAGATTAGTGGCAGACTATTACTTACATCTAGAGGAAAATCAGAGTGCGATGGAAATCAGTCAGTCAGGAATCAAGGCACTCGCGTCTCAATCTGTGAACCTCGGACTAGCGCTACAAAATACCAAAGATGCCTTGAACTCCGTTCTCGGAACTGCATATGTTCACCACCAGGCTCCTCGACATCATGCAGAAGCTCGTAAACTTTTTGAAGACATCCTTCGGCGCAAGCCTAAGTTCACGCCAGCTCTAATCGGTCTTGGTCTTATCTTCGAAGAGACGGAAGATTTTCAAGACGCAGTCAAATTCCTTTCTCAAGCGCTCGAGGAGGACAAGGGCAATGTGCGTGTTGGAACAGAACTAGCTTGGTGTAGAGCACAAAGCGGCGACTATCAGCAAGCGCGAGCCGAGCTGGAAGATCTGTTGCAAAGGATTAGAGCGGACGACCCACGCACAAGAGATCTTCGGGCCCAAACATTGTACAGGATCGGAATTTGTATGTGGGAATCGGACTCGAGCAAAGCAGCTCGCAGAGATCGCAATGGCTCATACAGCCGATTCCTGGCTGCCATCAAGACCAACATCAATCACGCTCCATCCTACACTAGTCTCGGATTCTACTATCAAGATTATGCCAAAGATAGAAAGCGCGCTCGGCAGTGTTTCCAAAAGGCATTCGAATTATCGTCTGCCGAAATCATTGCGGCGGAACACCTGGCAAAGTTTTTCGCCGATCAAGGAGACTGGGATATTGTAGAGGTCATCGCACAGCGTGTTGTTGACTCAGGAAGGACCCGACCACCTCCCGGATCTAAGAAACGGGGCATCAGCTGGCCATACTCTGCGCTTGGAGTCGTACAGATGGGTAAACAGGAGTATCAACAAGCTATTGTATCTTTCCTATCTGCGCTTCGCATCAACCCCACCGATTATCAATCTTTTGTCGGACTCGGCGAAAGCTATCACAATTCGGGACGCTACAATTCGGCGTTACGGACCTTCAATCATGCTCTCAATCCAGGTGATGATGTTGACATGAGGATTTCTGGAGAAACCTGGTTTGCTGAGTACATGCTGGCCAATGTACATCGCGAACTCGGCGACTACGACGAGGCGAGTTCCCGACTACAAGCCGTGCTGAAAGAACGTCCCACGGAATTTGGTGTGCAAATGTCGCTCCTTCAAACATTCGTCGAGCGCTCGGCTCGAAATATTGAAATGGGCGTTTTCGGCCAGGCCATACGAAGTGCGATTGATGCGATCAAAATTGCGGGCACCATCGCACAAACCAACGCTAATGCCTTCAACCTCTGGAAAGCCACAGGAGATGCGTGCGCCATATTCTCTCTTGTACAGTCTGGCGACATCGAGTTTCCCGCACAGGAGATCTCAGCTTTGCTGGATGTCTCCGATGATGACGAGACGTATCATCAGCTTGCAGACGTCGACGGGATCTCAAAGCAATCTTTTCAAGATGCCTCGATGGACCAGAGCTCTTCCTCGCGTACCATACCAATCTCACAGGCTGCAGCTTTACTCTGCTACAAGCGTGCCATTTACTGTTCGTCCAACGACGTCCATGCGCAATCAGTAGCTTGGTACAACTTGGGCTGGGCTGAGCAGCGCGCACATGCCTGTAGCACGGTCAAAGCAGGCAAGAAATTCCTCCGCGCTGCCGTTCGATGTTTCAAGCGCGCGATTGAGCTGGAGGCCGGCAATGCAGAGCTCTGGAACGCGCTCGGCGTGGTGACTACGACCCTCAATCCGAAAGTCGCTCAACATGCATTCGTCCGTTCACTACATCTGAACGAGCTCAATGCTAAGGTTTGGGCCAACCTTGGAGTCCTCTACCTGCAACAGAATGATCTTGAGCTCGCACATCAAGCTTTCGGTCGATCTCAGAGCACTGACCCAGATTATGCGCATGCTTGGGTCGGTGAGGGTCTGATCTCACTACTAGGTGGAAATTCAAATGAGGCCCTGAAACACTTCACGCACGCGTTCGAAATTGCGGATTCCAGCTCGAAGATCGTGAAGCGCCAATACACAGTCTCAATTTTCGACGATATACTCGCGGCTCAATCAACGTCCACGGACCTGAACAAGCTCGTGCAGCCACTCTTCGCATTGGACCAACTCCGTACTCAGGTGCCATCTGACCTCCCGTCCCGTCATTTAGCCGCGCTTCTCCTCGAGCGCGTCGGCAATAAAACCATTGCCATCGAAACTCTCACGGACCTTTGCTCTCTGGCCGAAGCAGACTATGAGGCTTCTGAATCTCTAACCGCACTTGCACGTTTCGCCATGGCCAAGTCTGATCTCGCTCGTAATCAACTCGCCGTACATGATTACAGCAATGCCGCAGAGAACGCCGAGACTGCACTTGATCTCTCCTCTGACGCCGAAAGCAGCGGCCTCGACGTCGAAGCACGCCGGAAGTTGCGCTTGTCAGCTCATCTCACGGTGGGACTTGCGCGCTTCAAATTGAATGATATGCAGGAGAGCATTGCCATGTTCCGCGCAGCATTGGTAGAGAGCTCTAATGACCCGGATGTCGTCTGCGCGCTCGTTCGCGTGCTCTGGGCACAAGGCGGCGAGGAAGAGAAGAATGTCGCACGCGAGCAATTGCTCGAGAGCGTCGAAAAGGAACCCGAACACCTCGGCGCCGTGACACTGTTAGGCGCAATGGCGCTCCTAGACGGCGATGAAGAGACCTCACTTGCTGTGGGCGATGATCTCCTTACATTGCGTACTAAGCAAGGGTTGAGATTGGGCGAGCGAGACGGCGTTGAGAATCTCCTTGCGGCATTGGCAGCGCTGACAACCAAAGATGAGAGTCTAGTAGAGGAGCGTATGCGCTCGGCGGTGCAGAATGCGATTGTGCTCAAGCCGGATCATCCTCGTGCTTGGTCGGAATTGGCGGAGATGACTGGTGATTCAAACGCGGCGACGATGGCATTGAAGACTGCGGCGAAAGCGGTCCCGCCTGTGGGCGAGATCGACGCCTTGAAACTTGCGGAGGCATTTGCCGGTGTAGGAACGGCTGCTGATGCGCAAAGGGCGATGTTTTTGGCGCCATGGGATGCATGTGGCTGGACTAGCATGAGTCATTGTCTAGAGCTCTAATGATAACGATGGAGTCCTCGTCATAGAAGTCTGTTATCTTCATGAATGAACGAACGGATGAGATATATTAGTGATTCATGAGTCAGGACATATGAAAGGATGTAATTCACGGCATCATATTTACAGTGTCTGCGTGGACAAATACACGCCTCTTTTGAGCTGTACACAGTGACAGTACCAAGACTGGAGAACAAAAAATTCACGTGGCCATTCGAGGCATCTATTGGTCGTCCAAGACGTGCAGGTACTTCTTCTCTTCCCGCTTCTCCTTCTCCGTCATTGGAGGCAGGTCGTAGTATGAAGAGCTGCGGTATCCTTGCTGCAATGTCATTGTTAGCACATTTGTGGTAGAAAGTCAGAGGAAAGCGCGAATATCTATGACGTACCAGGTACTTGTATGTAAAGTTCGCAATGTCGGCTGGTTCGATGTCCAGGTCTTTGAAAGTCTTGGCATTCTTGTCGATGAACTGGTCAAGGAACTCTCGCTCAACCTCGTCTTTGCTGCCAACAGGCCACCATAGAACAGTGTTCAAGATCTGGTACAGCGGTGCCAGGATGGCCTTAGGAACATTTATGTGTCTCCTCTTCTTGACAATTTCACGGTCAACAATCTCGGCAATCTCGGCCAGGCTGTAGTTCTTTGGACCGTAAAGCTCGTACGTCTGACCAGCAGTGCTGTCGTCCAGGGCAATCTTTTCGAGAGCACGGCCGACATCAATGCTGTGCACAGGCCAGAATCGCTCCTGCATGTCGTTCGCTACCAGCATGTTGGAGGCCTTGGCCAAACGGTGGAGCAAGCGGTCTTCGAATCCGAATGCGGGTGCAGGTCGTACAATTGTGGTCTCTGGGAAGATCTCGCGAGCAACCTGCTCGGATTGCCATTTTGTGCGGTAGAATTCTGACGGCGATTCAGGGTGGACGGAGTGCGAGGACATGTGGATGAAACGGTCGACATCGTATTTCGCAACGGCATCGGCGATACGACGAGTTCCCTCAACGTGCACGTCCTCGAGGCTGAAGTTCTTTGTCGGGTAGTCGCGACCGATCAGGTTGATGACAATATCCGAATGCCGGACGGACTCCTCGATAGAAGCAATGTTGCGGAGATCAAACTCCAAGAAATGAATTCGACCCAAATCTCCAGTGACCTTCAAGTGTCGCTTGGCCATCTCTTCCCGGTATGGGATCACAACAGTATTTCCTGACCGTGCCAGACGGTTCACAATGTATCTTCCCAAGAAACCCGACGCGCCGAACACCGTCACGGTGTGTCCTCCCAAACTGTGCCGCCCACCAGCGACTCGGAGAATTGGCTTTCCGGTCCTTGTGATGGCGATATCCTGCAGGCTACGACGGCACTGTACCGAGACCATGGTCGAATTGGCGAACCTGCCAGCGAGAGACACTGACGGCCGGCAGAGCTGGCGTTGGAGCGCCATGGTGCTGGTAGAAAGCCCGGCCATGGCCAATGGTGAGTGGAGATGTGGTGGTAAGATTGAGAACTGTTGTGGTAGCCGTCTACTCCATCCAGCGGGGCGGCGACGTGGAGGGAATGCTTGTCGCGGTGTCGTTGCGCAGTCGCAGTCGGGACAATGCAGCCTGTGGTGATGAGAATAACGATCACCGGCAGGTAAGGTCACTTTCGGAGCTGCTGTATGGGTCAATGCTTGCGGGATGGGCCGCAACAGTTGTTTCTCACTCACAGTCGGTGCGGGCTTTTGCCCTACGTAAGGCATCACATCGCAATGTACTGTGTATAGCGGGCAGGCACAGCTCATCATTAGGGCTTCATACAGTGTTGTTCGTCCTACTCATCACACGTTCGATTCATCATCATCGCCAACACTCCACCGCTAGAACTTTGTCGAACGACCGTCTTACTTCGATCCGAGATCGAATCGCCGCCTCTTTCCTCGCCACTCGATTTCTGCATTACAAATTGACAAAGTACTCACACAACCCGCGCCCTCCGAAAACTCCACATACGAACAGGTGCTGTGTTGTCCACACCAGCGAAGGCGGCGGCAAAACATTCACGATCATCCACGATGGAGCACGAAAAGATTGGCGACTTCCTGCAAGATCAGCGCGACGAGGCCCCTGATGACCTGCAACATTACTTCTTGAGCTTTGAAGATTCGTGGGAGCGCAAGCTATGGCATGAGCTCACCAATCAATTGGTCAAATTCTACGCTGAGCCGGAGAGCGCCTCGCAGAGAATACCTATTTACAACAACTTCGTCAAGAGTTTCGCGGACAAAATCAACCAGTTAAAGCTGGTCACAATTGGGCTGAGCACTGCTTCACAATATCGAGGTGCGTTTCTGTTGGTTGAGAGAATGGTTGATCAGATAGGCACGTGCTCATACATTTCTTGCAGCTGACAAGGAACGACTTGCCTTCCTTACGACTTTGGCAAAACGAGTAGACAAACCGGCATCTCAGGATGCACACGTCTACGCTCTGACTTCGGTTGCTAGCAACCGACTACGACTCGGCGATAAGGAAGGGGCCCGCAAAGATCTCGATAAATGCGAGTCGATCCTTGACACCTTCGATTCCGTCGAAACCGTGGTGCATGCCAGCTTCTACCGCACCCGCGCAGTATACCACCAATCACAACTCGAGTTTGCACCCTACTACCGGACGACACTACTCTATCTGGCTTGTGTAGAATTGGACGATTTGACGGCGGAAGAGCGACAGCGCATTGCATACGACCTGTCCATTGCTGCCCTGATCAGCGACACCATCTACAATTTCGGCGAGCTTCTCCTACATCCCATCCTTGATAGTCTCAACAAGACGCCACTCTCTTGGCTTCGCGACCTGCTCTTCGCCTTCAACCGGGGCGATCTGCAGGCCTACGATATCTTGCAAGCACACCTCAAAGCCAACCCACTTTTCGAGAAGCACCAACAGTTCCTCCACCAAAAGATCTGCCTTTCTGCATTGACTCAACTAGTCTTCTCTCGACCTCCACATGACCGAAGCATGACCTTCGCAACAATCAGTGAAGAGACGAAAGTGTCGCACGATAACATCGAGCACCTGATTATGAAGGCTTTGAGCTTGGGACTTCTCCGGGGCAGCATCGATCAGGTTGCTGAAGTTGCCAACATTACTTGGGTACAGCCAAAGGTCCTCGATCGAACAGGCATCGAAGGCATGCGGACTCGTCTGAAGGAGTGGGACACCGGCGTCGAGAGGCTGGGTAACTGGATCGAGGGTGTCGGGCAGGACGTTTGGGCATCATGAAGTGACCCACTCTCTTCACTCCAGTGTGCTCTTATTTGCAGTCACGTAAGGAGCACATCCGTCATGGCCGCAGCAATGCACCTGATCACGAAAGCTGCTCCACTGCAGATAATATTTGTAGCCCAGGACGTGCAAATAGATACGCATGAAACGATTGAAATGTATCACCATGCTCGTCAGCACCGATTTTGTGGTTTCTTTCGTGTTGAGCCACGGTCAATTTGTAGTTCTGTATTACGCATGGTTGGTGTTTTGAGGACATTTCGTCACTTTCACATGTCGATCATTGTTCCTGGCTTGGTCGGCCCAACAACATTCACGTCTAACGACCATCAGATTCTCATTTGGAGACAAGCATATAACAAATACCGTCATTTGAATTCAGAAATTGAATCCGATACTTTGCATCAACGAAGAGTCATTTCTGCTCAGGAAATGGCCAATTTCGCATCCAAGAGTCTTTTCGGAGGGGCAATTTCGGTGGACCTCCCGCCAAACTTCATCGATGTGAGGTAAGTCCTTATTTTGCGTAATTATGGAGCGAGTGGGCACAGTATGAGGACAAAATTGCAGTGATCGTGAGGGAAAATGATGCAAGGACGTTTGAGTCAATCTCATGCCATCTTCCATGCGACACCAAAGCGAATCCAAAGCAACCAAAGGCAAGAAGGCTACTGCAGATCCCAGATGCCGAAATCATCTCAACAATTCGAGGGATCTCTCGGCCTTCTGAAGAACACAAGACGTTGTCTCTGTCGGCATTTTTTGAGTACTGACGGGTCATCACTGCAGCGAAGTCCGTCAAGTCCCCGATAATCAAGAAGCCTACCTCGACCCGGATGGCTTTACAAGCATCGTCGTGGAGATCCTCGAACGAGTAGAGAGCGAAGGCGGAGACGACGAAGCTGCATTCAGGGAGCACTTCAAAGAGCTCACCGACGAGAGCGAGGACGCGAAGATCTTGCCCGGTAGCATTCGGCGCGTCGATATTTCAGAAGTCAAGCTGCCGTGAGTTGTATCTCCCTCGTCATATCCATGTCCGAGTTCGGCTCTATTTGCCTCACGCTACTGACGACTCAACCCTCTGCACTTTAGAGCCGACGTAGCGATATACACACTCGACGGAAGCGCACCACCAGGCAGAAACGAACGTGATCGACAAGCGGCGGCAATTCCCTCTGGTGGTGCATCCGAGAGCGATCTGCCCGGAACCGCTACCGTGACGGTCCTTGTCGCATTGCTGCGTTTGAAGGCACAAGACACGGACATTCTCATCTCGGTCAATGTGCCAGAGCATGACAAGGCAAATCTCTTAGAGGCAGCGAAACAACTCCGAAGTCGGATGGTGTCGACATTTGAAATTAAGGACTGGGGATTGTTTGTTCAGGAGTGAATAGTATCGTCTTTATTGTCAACAAAAGAGGGAACCGAGGCATAAGATGGAAAAAAAACATAATCGTTCGCGCAGACATCTACCGTCTATCATTCATCGCTCAATGTCACAATCCCAAGCTCGTTGATCAAATCATCCACCTGGACCGCACCGTCATTCGCCTCATCGACGAAAACCTCCACTTCATCGCCATCTCCCTCAACAGAGACGGTAGCAGTATCGTTGGTCATTTGCGACTCCGCTTTCTCCGCCCGATACTTCTGTCCCAGGGCAACCATGACATCCTTCTGATTCGACCCGGCGGGTAGCCCAGCCTTGACCTCTGCGAAGTGCTTCTTTACATAGGCGGCATACCCTCCCTTTGCTGCCGCCTCGTTTCCTGTACCACCGCTCGTACCGGCTGCAGCGCTACCCCTGGGCACTGGGCGAATCTGCACCAGAGTGCTCTTGCACCGCCCACACTTATGTCTCTTCACATCGATAGAGCGGCTGTGGCGTTGGAATTCTTGATCGCAGTCCTCGCCACTGCAGCGCCAAAGGTACTTGTACTCGATCTCGTATGAATGCTTGGTGGTTACGTGGACGCCACGAGCCGCGAAGGCGGCGGTGCAGAGCCGGCCCCAGCGCTGGAACTCGGCGCCGTGTGGTCGATCCTTGATGCCGGTAACGAGGAAGTTGGCGAGATGGCAGAATTCGTGGGCGATGACGTTGAGGAGGCGGGGAGCGTCGGTGATGATTTTAGTTGACAGCTCGATGGTGGCATGGTCTTTCGTTGTTGTAGCTGAGGTGTCGTCTGATGAGGCCTGGAGATCCGTAGATCTGTCTGCTTTTGTGCTGGGTTTTGTGCTTCGTTCCCGTCGCCAATTGGCACGACCAGCGGTCGTGGTCAGCGTCTTACTCCAGATCAATTTGACTCCTCCAGTACTCGCAGTGAGCTCGGCAACTTTGTTGTTGGTGATCCTCTGATCGAGCTCTGCAAGAAATGACTCCGCCAGATCTTGCTTGGTCGCATCAAAGTCCTTTTTCGCCTTGAGGTTCGCCTTGACAGGACTTTGCAGCTTGTTGGCTCGTGGAGTCGAGGGGTCTTCATCCTGAGATTGCTTGGCTTTGCGGGGTGACTTCAGCACTTTTTGAGGAGAGAACTGATCGTTCCATTCGTTTACGGCGTCGCTAGCCCAGAACATATCCAGACTCGGGCGACCTGGTGGTGTAGGTATCCGTGTCTTTCGCTTTGAAGGTGACTGTAATCGAGACTTTGAGGGGGACTCCGGAGCCGGTGGAGTACTGGGTCGAGATAGGCCTTGGCTCTTGTAAAGTCTAGGAGGTGAGAAGCGAACCACTGCCTCGACGTTCTCCTTGTCAGACGAACTTCCTGGGCGTGAGTCAAGGGGTGGCATCCTCTGAGAGCTGTCTAGCAGTGAGGATGGGCTCCCGATGGAGGTGGAGGCGGCAAACATGCTCAGCGCTTGGAGGTCCTTCTCAAGGTCGTCCATTCCTGATTGCGATTCCGGAATACAGGGCTCACTTGGTGTTTCTTGGTTGCATTGATGCTGTCCATGAGGCTTTGACTCAAGAATAACCGACAAGTCACTCGCATCAAGGTTGAGTCTCAAGTTGGCTGACATGGACCCGAGCACCTTCCTTTGCAGTAGATCACTCTCTTCATCACTTGAGTCCTCGTTGAGGCTGCTCAGTGGCTTCGAGGGCGTTTCCCGAAGTTGCAAGAATCGCCGCGGCGTCGGTCGTGATAAGCGCTCATTACTGGGAAGCAATTCGACATTTCCGAGGTGTTTCGACGCACTGAGAGGAGCCAAGGTGATTTGTTTTCTTCGTACTGTCATTGGAGTCTTTTTCTTGAGGATGAATCTGCGAGGAGTGCTTGACACGTTGGCTTCTTCGTCGCTTGAATCTTCCAGCATTTTCCCTCGAGCTGCTGGAGCTCTTTTTTGATTTTGATCATTGTCGCTGCCAGCAATGTCGGATGTGCTCAACGGTGTATCTTCTGTCGGTGCCGCTGCTGCAACGCTGGGTTCATTGCGTATGCGAGCCATGTTGTTTATCGATTTAAATTCGCTGAACAAGGATGTGTCGAAGGTACAACTGCAAATGGTTCTTGCCACACTGCTTTCACGAAAAGTTGTAGGTAATACACATGTATTCTATGTTCACCTGTGTCGCAGGCGCTGGTGCCCCGTTTCGGGCAGCTTGTTTGGCGTGGGCGCGTTGCCGAGCAACGGCGGCTGGCCGTCTCACATATTCCTGCTGCCCGCCAAAGTCATGACAGGCGGTCCATTGAAAGTGCAGCTATTTTTATATCACCCATTGCTGTGAACCTCAAAGAAACAATCTCATACTGTAATAAGTAAAGGGCATCTCCAGTCACTGCGATTATCTTCCTCTTCTATTGCCAGATATTGTAAGCATGGAGGCGGCAGCAAACACATGCGCATGCCGCCGTGCGAATAATGATGGCGGCGAACCCTAAGCACTCTTCTGCGACCGCACCACGTAAACTCCTTGCTGCGACTTCGCGCTCGGAGAACGTCTTTGAGTAGATTTACAGGATTCACAAAGTAACGGAGCCATGTCTGGTGCGAAACCATTTTGCCACGTCGGTCGTAACGGAGGCGCAACCATCTGGGAAGCCGTCCTTCCCGATCTATCCGAACAGATGATCATCCCACGCTCGGAGCCAGGCGGTCCGGTGACGATGACTGGAAAGTTCACGTCGTCTAGCCTTCCAACATCGGCTGACAGGCCGCCGATAAAGCTCAACGCTGGGCGCCTTAACAGCCAAGATCTCACCGGGCTGAAACTTGCTTCCCTTGAGTTTCCAAGTCTGCGGTGCACCGCTCAATCCTTCTGGGTTGCGACCAACGAGTGCACCAGTGAAGGCTGTTTTGCGACTTGAGTTTCCCGCTAGGGCATCGGAAGTTCTTATCCGGAGACACTTGTAGCCCTGGAGAGCACGGAAGATAAAGCATCTTTGCTGACCGCAGTACGGTTCCATCGGAAGGTTACATACCTCGAGCGCAGGGATGGTGATGACGACCACGTCGTCGAGTCATGCTTGGGCATGGTCGGTGTTGATATCCCTTCCCTCGCTGCAGTCGCAACTGCCTCGCTAAGCCTTCTACCGGGAATGGATAAATGTAAGGGCCTTGGGATCTTCGGCTAAATCATGCCAGGATGAACAGGCACCCACCTATCTTTGAGAGGCGTCCGTGGCCTAGGGTTCTGTGGCTGGTGTAATTTTTCTGAAGGAATATCTGCTGAGGACGAATATGGCAAAACTGCGCCAATGGCGATTGCGACGCGACTGATATATGCCATGATCGAGTCATATTGGAGCTACTGTACGCGGCATGCTCTGTCAACAGCAATGGTGGCATGCGCAGCTGCATCTTCACACAAAGCAGAGATATGAGTGGACGGCTTCGCAAGATGTTTTCGTGCGCGGTAGTAATATTCCTGATTGGGAGAAATAATTAAGAACCTAGAACTGATTGTAACTGTGGGCCAAGTGGACCATCCACAAGTTGAAAGTGGTATAGTGCTGGTCTGTAAAAGCCGCTCAAAGAAATGCAAAGGTCTGTCTATATAGATCACAGTCGTGTTCATGCTCGTCCGGCGAGCCACGTGAAAACGTTGGCGATTGGCCAGTCATGAAAAGGTATCGAAAAGCAGTCATCAAGGCCTCCACAAATTATTGTGATCCTTCTTTGCGCTGGCGAAAATGCTTCGACTGAATAATATTATGAAAAAAGAAGTAAGCATTGTCGAAATGCTGTCCGGGCGCCATCGAGGCGTAGACTGTGTGCTGGCTTGAGGGTGAACGGTGAACGGTGAACGGTCGAACCTGTCGATTCCGTGGGGCTTATGTTTTGATATCACGGAAGCCGTCGGTTGTGGATACGTTTGACGTGATCTCTCTGTGCCCAATGTCAGTATTGATATTTGATCCATGCAACGAGAGCATTGAGAATTGAACTTACCATGTTGTCAACGCGACTGAATATCTTGGTGCAACCTTTGAATGTACATTGGACTTTGGCTAAGAAAGTTGTCAGCGCATTCTGTCAACTATCAAGGGCTCTCGAGATGCAGGATTGATTGACTCACGATTGTGCTTGGTCTCGTGCCGAAGAAGGTCCTTTCTGCTCGAGAAACCTCCGCCTGTCGCCTTGGCACATCCGGCATGACTGCAGAACAGCGTCTTCGTGTGTCGCTTGTAGTGCTTCCGCAAGTCACATGCACGGAAGAAAGTAGACTGCGATGTACAACCAGGGTGTGCGCACGACCATGTCCCGTCCCTGGGGTTCCTGAACCCCCATTTGGCCATCTCACTCGCTTGAGGGCCAGCCACTGGTGTCATAGGCGAAGATGCTCCAGCTGACAATGATCGAGGCTGCGTTGACGAGCTGACGCTAGTACTCAACGACATAGGTTGAAGTGAGTGAAACCGTCGAGGGGTAGTCGAGACAAGTTGCCCACCATGGACCTCTTGTGTTTGTGACGGCAGCGGCAAAAACCCAGCCTCGACTCGTGGTTGATAATTATTCATGTCCGGCACTTGCAACAACGATCCATCAATAGGTGTCGCCATCTCTAGGGGCGTAAATGTGTAGTTGGAGTGAGCGCTGGGAGAGTGCCATGATTGCGTTGTCGGCGGCAGCGGTGGTGCTGGTTGCTGGTGGTTTAGATGTTGATATTGTTGCTCTTGCTGATGTTGATGGTGTTGTTGTTGATGCTGGTCATGGTCATGGTGATGTTGCTGTGGTTGTGATAGAAGTTGATATTGTTGCTGATACGGTGCGAACATGGGCCATGGATAGTACAGCGCTTGTGGTTGGGAGAAAGTTCCTCGCTCCAACGAGCCAGCGGTCAAGGCGTCCGGCGCGTTGCCCGTCGTTGGGGTTGGCATCTGGGAGTTTGGAAACGATTGGTCGTGTTGACGACGTCCAGATTCAGAGCCGTCTCCGGCCGCTGAAAACTCCGCCATGATGGTCGACTCCAGGTCGAAGAATCGTGAGAGTTCGTGGGCCGAGTCACGCCTTTGTAAATGCGGCACGGATATGAATGGTGACATCCCCTAGTTAGTACCAATGTTGTGAGTGGACATGAATCTGTATGCGATCATGATGTTCAGGGTGCGAAATGTAAAGGAAAACAGAAAGGTGGCGAATATCGATAGGTGTCGGAAGAGCATGGGTAGACAGTGAAGGTTTAAGGCGCCTGAGGGTATGATGAACGGAGTTGGAGTCATCGACATACCTTCGAGATCGTGCTGGCCCCAGTGTCGATTTTGGGTAGGCTTGAGGGTGATGATTGCATTTGGATGGGAGTGAGTCCCAAAAGACACTCAGCTGTTCCGAATAGGGAAAGGTGATGGATGAGGGCAGTCGATGAACCGGCCATCTGTCGCGTGCGATTGGTTTAAGCGATCTGCAAGGTGGAGTTGGGCCTGCGACACTATATATCTTGGAGAGCAGGCCTGAATCCAAAGTGATCGGAAAGAATGAGATGTTGAAAAAAGACCCTGGTTCGAGATATGTCGAGGAACGATGTTCAAAATAAGCATGAGTAAGATGGAGGCACGAGTGGGTGGCCATGACATACTTCACGGACTACTTCTAGAAGAATGTGAACGAAGACTTGCATTGAGGGACAACTTAGTCGAGGCCGGGCCCGCACGGCCAGTCCGAGTCCACCGACTCGCGATGTCCGCGAGTGGGCGGGTCCTACACATGCCGGGGAGTACATATGGGCAGAGCACCGAGTGACTGGATCTGGAGTAGTCAGATGCTCCTGATCGAGCTTCGGCAGGGCGGCCGGTGGACCGAGACTCGCCCACGCTCTGGGTGACGACATGGGAGATCCTGTTACAAGTATGACTGGTTTCATGCGAGAGAAAAGTCGAGGTCAATCTGGACATTCATTGGTCGACGTTGTATTGCCCATCTGCCAGTGTAGGACTAAAGGGCCACCAAGAGGCTTCCGACACATTCTAATGCGGAGTATATGCGGTCGTGCCGCAGCCGCGATTGTAGCCGCAGGGGTCGCCGAGATTCAAGGACTTGATTGTGCCCGATCGATGCTGACGGCTTGATGGCGGAGGGCTACGATCGAGTTGCATCTCGAGAATGGAGTGATTTTGGGGAAGGCGGCGGAACGTAAAGCTCCACAGATACCTCTCGGGGAGCGCGAGGAAACCCTCGCGTTCACACCAAGATGGCTTCTCGCACAGAGTAGGCGCAGTCGCGCATGTGAGCGTCATTTCCCATAGTGGACATCCGGCAACTTGATCTGAGTCCCTTACAGAAGCAGACGAGAGGGCTTGCCGAAAGGGAAGTGTTCCTCGTTGCAAGTGTACACCATCGACGACAGAGGAGGTTAGCTTGTGGCTGATTCACGTCAGATTGGGGCCAAAAGGTTGTTGATAGTAAGTTGTCCGGGCCGGCACGCGCCGCGGGAGGGAGGGCGGCCTCAGGGCACGCCGCATCAAGAAACGGTGATTTCCAAGGTTTTCAATCTTTAGCCCACCTGGGCAGTTGAGAGACTGGAGCTTTGCGGCTTTGGCCGACTAGAGCCCTTCCATTTCGGAGCACGTGCTGTTTGGCCTTGTCACAGAAAGTGGTCAGAATCAATGGCACAACATCTCATCATCCGCACACACTATCCGTACCGTTGACTTTTACCCACACTATGAGAAATAGTGGAGGTGTAAGACGCATTTGAGCGAACATTCGCTCGGCAATGACCGCGATCAGCATCGCCCTGTCCGCTTCTTCTTCGTGTACCTTGATCGTGAACATTCATCACACTGTGGATCCACGATGATGCCAATTTAGAAATCTCATACTCTCCAATTGACAAGCATCGCATCATGGCACTCGTCACGGATTGCGCGATACACACGTGGTCGGATGACTTCGTCAGCCATTCATCTGTCTCTTATCTCACCTACCTGGGTAGGGACCCAGGTAGGTCTGTTCAGATCATTCCAGTGCTTGCACGTGGACGGGGACTACTGTACAAGAGGAGCTAGGTACATTTCGAATTCCGGCATATGCATGTTTCTCAAGCGAGCAGTGCTGCATTCTATGGTTGTAATATAATTCTGCTTGTCTCTCGATTGCGGCGATCATTGCGCGGTGAGGTGGACGACACCCTCCGCCCCGAAGGTCTTCATATCGCTTCATCCTGGCTCTATCGCATGCCTGCGCCGAGATGATGCGGGCTCAGCATGGCCCGAGTCATCTCGCACAATGCACACGTAATGTCTTACCAGCATCATCGCACCATCAATGTCTTCGTTTGCGATGCACCTTCCGTTTGCGATATCATGTACAGATGGCCAATGAGCAACCGTCGCAAGAGGGCTTCAACTTCGAATTTCTGCTCGCTTCCTCACGAACCTGCAGGAAGGATTGCGAGTGATTCCGCCTTTTGCTCGCGCTCGGCCGAGGCCACCATCATTCATTTACTCATGCACGTTCCCGACCAGTTCTCAAGGAATGTGGTTGTCGTCCCAAAGCCTATCTGGGACGATTGGCGGATCAAGCGCGAGAAGATCATGCTTTAAACGTCCATGGAGCATGCACCGTCTTCGCCAAAAGGAGCACCGCACGCAGGCACTTGACAACCTTCCCATGTGTGGGATGCATGGTGCAATCCACAGGGAGAAGACGGTGAAAAGCTTCGCGATCCTTCGGACAGACCTTCACCGCATGGATATGTTTACCAATTGTGCATCGGACCTCGTATGGAATGGTGATTTGCTAGGCGTCCACAGGGCAATGTAAAAGGGACATACAGTGTCATGCATGCGGGTGGAGTTGTCAATGTTCAGCTCAAACTAGCGGCTAATTCATTGGCCAACCAGCAACCAAAAACGTTGGCTTCCTGAATCTTTTCCACAGCCCCACGGTCCACATTCTGCCAGGGCGGCACTTGGCCATGTGAGGCCGCTCCCGCTTGAAATAAGACTACTGTACTACTGCACCGTACAATAACCATGGATGGTTGCTAACATCTCCCGTGGGCCCATGTCCGTCGTCATCACCACAGGAAGACAATCCGATCGCGAAGCTTCCCCCGGCGCACGCCGCTCCACGGCGAAGTGGCATTATCGTAGCAGCCGGACCGGTATGCGCGATGCTCCCCCACGACATGTGTGATTCGTGGCCTCTGCGGCATACGCGTTTCGTAGACTCATCGACCAAAATTATACAGCACTATGCTCTACCAAGGACAGCGGCCGAAGCCACCTTGATCGAATGAGAATACAGCAGAGCAGTAATTGCGGTCCAGTGATTTCAATGAGTATCAACTATTGGAGCTGGCACTAAGATTTCGTTGTCAGAGGCGCATCCATGACCGGCGTCGATTTGACTTGCGCGCTCATTTCGCGCATGACGTACGATTGTACAGTCTCATGATGAGAAAGATGTAGCCAGAATAATACTCGTCGCAAACGCTTCCTGTGACCCATCATCTCTACTGACGCGTCGAACCTTCGCTGCAATGCCCAGCATTTCGAAAGTCATCAGCCCAGACTTTCGGTCCAGCCAGCCCTGCCTTTCAACACGCCTTTACGGTCGTCCCTCCATTTCTTGTCCCAAGCATCAATCTTACCTCCCAGGATTTCTACGTTTGATGGTGTCAAAAGCAGTGTTCCTCGAGCGACGTTCACGTTTCGCAGGATGAGCTTCGTGCCAATGGAAGAAGCAACGTTGATCTCACGTAGATTTTCGCTCTCCATGGCATACGCTGTGCGACCTGATGCGTCTTGCAGGAGCAATTTATGAGGGCCGTCTGACAGCGTTTTGACAGCAGGTGTCGACCGAGTGCCTTGCATCTCATCTTCGTCGGTCGGCACGGCTCGAATGATCTCTCTTCCACGCGTGGTCTCGCCTCTGTCCTCCATTTCGATCGCTTCTACTTGGCTCCACCTGCTACGACCAATGTCCTCGATATCGAGAATCTGAACGAGAATAGGGCCACGGATCAAAAGCTGGGCCGTATTGGGGTTAGAAACATCGCTTGGCAGGATCGACTGCGTCGTCGACTGTACAGAAGTCGTAATGTCTGAAGCCAGCATGCGAAACAGTACGGTTTTTTGTAGTCCCAGAATTGACGCATTCGGCTTCAATGTAGACAAAACACTGTCAAGCCACTGTCCCGTTGGCGGAACATGCTTCGATGTCAAGAATGATAGGATTGCCGTTTGAGTATCTGCGAGGCCAGAAGTGGAAGGCACTGTAGAAGACATCGTCTTCACATGTTCTCACAGCCGATCGTTATTCAGGTCGTACATGATTCTGTATCATCGATACCTGATGTTCGCCATGATACAATAATCCATTCTTGGTTCAACAGATGTCCAAATGAGTAGGGCCCTTTGACGTGTGTGTTCATGGCCCGTGCCCATATCAACTTTAAATTTCGCGTCTCAGGCAGAAAGTACCCTATACTAGACGCGTTGGCGGAAGATCTGGGCAGCGAATGTTTTGAGTGAGTGTAGGACTACATCGATCACGCAACAGGGCGAAGACATATCAGTCAGTCGCCCGGCTCTCGTGGTATTCAAATCAATTAGCGAGTGCCCAACCATCAACACCCTATCTTTGCGATCACCAAGACGACCAGCGAGCTCAACACATCATGAATTAGCATCGAAACAGCCCATGGAATGAGCGGTCGGCATCATAATTACACACCATCATGGAAGCTACACCGCGCATGAGGAGCGCGTTCCCAATGACACCGGCGAGGAGTCCGGATTCGCGAGCGCGTCGATTCGAGCAGCAGTCAAGCTCGTCCTCATCGAAACAACCACTACCACAAATTCCCACCTTGAGCGCCGCACCAAGCACCGCCTCGACCGATCCTTTGATACCAGAAAATTACATTGACGCCCCATCACAACGACTATATGCTGTTGCCCTTTGGACGGCGATATGGGCATGGCATATTTACGACTTTTCGCGACTGCAAGAGGAGGATGAGCAAAGCCTGTGGCTTTGTTTGAAGTTCCTCTTTGTGGATGGACTATTCCTGTATGGATTGCCGTCGCTCAGGATACCATGGTTATCATGGAGCACGGGTACCATGACTCTGATATTTCTGGGTCATGCTCTGATCGATTTCATGTTCGCATTCAGAGTGTCAATACCGATCGGAGCTGGTCTCACGGTCCTGGCTAGAAGTGTTTGGGGCGCATATGAGATTGCTTTGAATGAGCGGAACGTAAACAGAGAATCGATTGTCTTCAACGACACTTTGATCTTGGGACGACAAGTGGTCAACATCCTCCCGGAGGGCTCGGCCATTCTAAATCCGAAGCGGGACTCTTTCTGCCTTGACGCAACCCGTACGGAGATCAGGCTACCGATTGTGATCAACGCGACCAATCCCATTGGAATGGAGATCTTGCGCATCGATTTGGAGACGCAAGCAAACGAAACTTTGTCGATCAGCAAATCACAGATTAAGCAGATGCACAAGGATGCATCGAGGCTACTGTCGTACAGCGAGGATATCAACGAACCGAAAACCTTGTTTTTCCCAGTCAAGAAACCTGGTTTGTATGTCCTCGCGAAGGTTGTCGACGAATCCAACCTCGAAGTTTCTCGGAAAAAGCTTGCACATACCGTGGTGGTCCCATGTCCTAAGGCTGCTATTCTACCCTCACCATCAGACATGTGTTCTGGCGAGCTTTCCAACGTCGAACTTTTGGTCACTGGAACACCGCCCATGAAGGTCAAATATCGCAAAATGGTCAATCAAGCGACTCAGGATGCAACGTTTGAGAGCATTCAGCCTGAAGACCTGGTTTCACCTCTAATCAAACAGGATCATGGTGCTTTGGCCATTCCCAATCGTGTGGACGTGTCATGGGCCAAGACTCGAGATGTCCGTGTGCCTTTGAGTGAGAGCCTTACGACTCCTGGCAAATGGGTGTATGCGATTGATGAGGTCACCGACGGCTTCGGTAACAGCATACGATATTCTGATCGCGATCAAGATTCGCAGTCTAAGCACCCGACCAAAGCAGCCCATTTGCATCAAGTCATTACAGTACACAATAGGCCAAGCGTCCACATGCAAGGATGCAGTGCCCAACATCCACTCAAGGTCGCTAAGGGACGTGTCGCTGACTTGCCTCTCCAATACCGAATCAGCCACGATGGCGAATTATCAAGCGCAGCTCACCACATCGAGTACCTCTTCAGTCCTCAGGATTCCATGCCTGGAACGGGAGAGCATGCTGCGGCTCCTAGCCAGAAGAAGGTCTCGCTGAAAGATCCGAAGCAGGCGTTGCAGATCAAAGAGCCCGGCCTGTACACGATCACGGGAATTTCCACAGATTTCTGTGCGGGTGAGGTTCTCGAACCTGCGTCTTGCTCACTGCTCAATCCGCCAGAGCCAGACTTCGCAATGTCGAATGAACCGATGTTTGATAAATGTGCTGGCAACCCAATTGGTCTACGTGTGGACCTCGATTTGGTTGGCACTCCTCCATTTGAGATCAAGGTTCGAACACACAAGCGTGGCGTGAATCACCATAGAATGGAGACTTACAAAGCGTCCGGTCTCCGCTATCAAATGTCGTTCGAGCCAAATGTCGACGGACATTGGACGTACGAATTCGTCGAAATCAGCGATGCTGTCTATAAAAAGGTTCCGATCAAGGGTAAAGTGCTCAGTCAGGATGTGAAGCCTGCAGCATCTGCCAAGTTTGCTTCCAGAGATCTACTGGAGACCTGTATCGACGAGAAAGCTCACTTCGACTTGACACTGTTCGGAGAAGCGCCTTTCACCGTGGAATGGGAACTTGTCCATGGTGGAAGGAGATTAAGGAATACCCAGAATAACATCACGTCTCGGCTCACGAGCTTAGAGACAGTGCCTCTGACGAGCGGAGGGGACTACACACTTGCACTCGTCAGTGTGACTGACGGCATGGGCTGCAAGGAGTTCTTGGATGACGAAGCCAAGATCTCAGTGCGACAACAAAAGCCCAAGGTTGGATTCGGACTCATCAACGGCCATCGTACTGCGCAAACGTTGGAAGGCCAGGCAGTGGAGCTTCCGCTACGCATCTCTGCCGGCGAACGTCCTTGGACGGTCAAATACACAGACACCAACGGTATCGAGAAGACGATTCGTGCAAGCGATCCCAACGACAATGTTCTAGTCGAGGCAGAGGGCACTTATGAGCTCACGGGACTATCCGACTCCCTCTGTCCCGGAGTTGTGGATGAAGCTGCGCGGAAATTCGAAGTTTCCTGGGTAGCACGACCCGAGTGGCGTATCGCACCCCAAGACATCAAGGAAAAACAAGGCAGTACCATAATCAAAAATGATGTCTGCGAGGGCGATGAAGACGCGATCGAGCTTCTCTTCAAGGGTGCTCCACCTTACCAAATGTCTTATGTTCAAACGGTCAAACTTGACCACGGAGTCGCAGCTCCAAAGACTCAGGACATTCGAGCTGCTATCAATGTGGCCCCCATGCGCATGGATACCTCGCAAGCTGGCACTTATGACTACAAATTCATCAAGCTTGGCGATGTCAATTATGACCATAGCTCCAAACATTTCACACCGGCCTCAGTCAGACAGAGAGTCCACGCCCGTCCGACAGCCGCATTCGCTGATCCTGGCAGGACGTATGGTTTCTGCTCGGTCGAGTCTGAAGGAGAAGAGGTCATCCCTGTGACACTGCATGGACAACCACCATTTGAGCTGGAAGTCGAGATCAAGCATTTTGGATCTGTCCGACCAGAGCTGGTCACGTACCACGACATCATTACCAATACCCACAATATTCGCATCCCTCACAGTCGACTCCATCTCGGAAAATCTGCCGTCTCTCTCCGCCGTGTCAGCGACTCTCGCGGTTGCAGCCGCAGTCTCGATAGCTCTGCGCCGCGCGTGCAGATCTCTGTTCACGACGCCCCCGCCATCACACCGCTCGAGACTTCAGAAGACTTTTGCGTGGGCGACCGCATCAATTTCGGCCTCTCTGGTGTCGCACCTTTCAACGTCTTCTACACCTTCGATGGCGCTGCCCGCAAAGCCGCCGTCTCGTCAGGCAACACCTTCCGCCGATTGGCCGAGAAGCCTGGTGTCTTCGTCGTCACAGGCCTACAAGACAGCGCATCCAACTGCCGCGCGGCCACACAGCTCACCAAGCGTATCCATGGCATGCCTTCAGTGCGCGTATCCAAGGGCAAAGACGCGTACATTGACATCCATGAGGGTAGCGAGGCCGAGATCCTCTTCGAATTCGGCGGCGTGCCGCCCTTTGAGTTTACATATATTCGTACCTCGAACACGGAGAAGGGCGGCAAGAAGGGCGTGGTCTTAGATATGAAGACCGCGGTGTCGGAAGACTACTCGATGAAGATCGCGGCCAGCGAGGGCGGAACGTACGAAGTCGTGGCCATCAAGGACGCCCATTGTGCTTATACCAAGCCGGGCGTCCGCGTGCCGGATAAGAAGGAGAGGAACAAACGGCTCACTTATTGAGCCCGCGAGATGTATGTATAGACAAAGGGGGAAAAGAGATGGGAGGCACATAGACTTGTGTGTCTGTATGTGCATGCTGGTGATTTGCATGGCGAAGGCGTTTTAATTGGAGCAGGATACCTCAGTCTGAAGAGCGAAGTTTTTGTATGTGTGATGTGCTCGTCTGAAACTCAAGATTCGTTGTACGGAATAGCGACTGTGTTGTGCACACTACAGCTTTGTTCTATCGTAAGATTTACATCGTCTTCGTCGAAGGCCATCGTGGGCCGACAAGGAGCTCGTTACATGATCCGAAGTGATCGACCAGAGTCAGCACTCTAGCTCATCTCCTTTACCTCTCCGTGGCAAGATACATCGCAACATGGCTAGTCCTTTGCAAGATCGTATCGAACGACACCCTTGATGAATGTCGTGAAAGGCGGAGAGCTTGTCAGCATTCTCTATGGTACACCGGGCGTAGCGACCGACCGACGCCCGCTAAAATGGGTGTTGCTTTGCGGCGATCGCAAGACACAACTTCTTCCATGCAGGGAAATACCTCCGGCGCGACACGCATCTGACTATGTGTGCAATCGTGCTTCTCGGTCGCAAGTGTCGCTTCAAACGCCATCGCCATCTCGAACTCTTTAGTTGGAGTGAACGCGGCGTAGAGATAAACGCGCTTCGGGGCCGATTCCTCAGCTTCAGAAGGCACTCTGGCCTAAACGTCTCGCGTTGGCCCTTGCGGCGGGCTGATTGGACACTTCAGATTCACAGTTTCGTTGTGTGTGTGTGTGTGTGTGTGTGTGTGTGCGACGCCAACGCTCAGCCTGAATCCTCCTTTTTCAGTGCCTCCAGGCATGCCTGACGGACTTCCTCCGTGCCCTTCACGCCCTCCCACTTCGACAAGATCTCCGATATTTCCTGCCACTCCGCCTCAGCAGCATCGCGCTGATCGTCCTCCACCAGCTCGCGGATCCGATCTGGAGCTCCGAGAACCCAACGCACGCTTTCCTGCTGCTTGCGCTTCGTGGCCAGGGCGACGGAGGCGGAAGGATCGGTGCGGAGGTTGGATTTACTCAGATCCGCAGAAAGTCGGGCCGCGGTCTCGGCAATGTGTCCGATCGCGGGACTCAGCGTGCTCGTCGTTGGTGTCATAGGATCCATCCTTTCTCGCATGTTGCGGATCGTGTCCGTCGCCGCGATCAACTTGGAGTAGTTGTCGTAGACCAGAGCCTTCTTTTCGCCGTCCAGGGAGAAGATGTCGCTCACTAGACCGGCTTCAACTCGTAGGACCGCCTCGAGAGACTCATGGCTCAGTAGTCGCTCGACATACGCTTCTGGATCGAAGCCTGGCTTGTCGAGCTCGCTCTCTTGCTCGCCATCGAAGGTGGGAACGGTAAGACCATCTTGGGAAGGTGCTTCGTTATCCTTCTTGATGTTGTAGTAGTCGCGAAGTGCGGATCTGTTTCGTCGTAGGGCAGCTCTTTCTGCTGCAGATGGATTGGCGCGCGCAGTCGTCGAGGTGATCGTGGTGTCTGTCGATCCCGAATTACGCCGCGAGGAGGAAGCTATCGAAGGTCGAGGCGAGGCGATGGTAGACATGTTGAGATCGACACTATGGATTATTCTTTTGTGAGATCAAGCGACTGAGAACCATCGGAGCGCGCTGACACGTATTGTCTCGTCAGCAGCATACCGGCTGTCCCTTGGAGGTTGTCGTGAGAAGCATTTGGCAGCACTTGAATCACCCATTGGCGATGTCGCTGCGGCGTTTCTCCAAGGGTTGGTTCGCAACCCTAATCATTCGATCCGCCCGGCGGATTCTTCGAAAAGGTACTGTACAAAAGTAGCTTTGTAATAACATACCTAGGAGGTATTAAAATAGTGATGTCATTTGAAACATTCCAAAGCCACGAGTCATGCCAGGAAGATATACTCTTGCTTTCGAGCTGGAATGATGAAGTCGAATGGTCCTTATCTGTGATGCGCTCCTTCATGTACCTGGCATGGGAAGACCCCAAGGAAAAACGACACCAGTTCTGCCAGACCGTGTCCAATCCAAGCTCTTGTCACAGCACCACACAGTCATGTAAAGATACATTCACGAGCGGATTACAACATGCCTGCCAAACAAGGTGTCAAGCGGAAAGCGAATGGGTCACAGGCGGCAGGGGTCAACGTGAAGCCTGACCTTCAGGCTCCAGATCGCAACACGTGGACAGGATGGGTTGAGATGGAGTCAGATCCGGTATGCCTACAGCTCGTTGTCGCTTTCAAGCTCATCCTCTGATCCGTTGAATTGGCAGGCATTCTTCAATGTTATGCTCAAGGATGCCGGTGTGCGCGGCGTCAAGGTCCAAGAACTCTACTCACTGGAGAGCGACATGCTCGCCATTCTGCCGTACGATTCCGAGTGATATGATTTGATAACAAGGTCTTGCTGACTGGCTGAAGGCGACCGGTCCATGCCCTCATCTTCCTCTTCAAGTATCGAGCTCAGGACGAAGTGACGAATGGCGCGACGACCTGCCCGGGCAATGTCTGGTTCGCCAATCAGATTCCCGATTTCGCCTGTGCCACTGTTGCTCTTATCAACATCGTCAACAACATCCCGGGCATCGAACTAGGTCCGGAGTTGAGCGATTTCCGTCGCTCGACCTTGCAAATGGAACATATGGCGCGAGGAGACGCGATCGACAAATTTGACTTTGTCCGACGGATTCACAATTCGTTCGCCAGCGAGACGGAGATATTGAATGCAGAAATGCACATCAGGAATAAACTGCTGCGCGTCAAAAGACGGCAGGCTGCAGCAAAGGCCAACGCGACAAAGGCCGCGAAGAAGGCTGCACAAACGCCGCCCAAGAAAGTTGGAGAAGAGACACCATCGAAGGATATACTGACGGAGACCAAGAAAGGATCACCAGAAGAGACGCCGCCGACCGGCGACCTTGAAGTCCCGGAGACGCCCATGACGGATCAAGGAAACGGGCACAGGAGCAATCAAGATGATCACGATAACTTACAATCGCCTTGCCCGACGCCCAGTGAATCGCCATTCGAGCCACCACGTCGATCGAGCAGGCAACCCAAGCCGCGTCAAGACGTTTACAAAACCAATACTGCGGACGACCGGGATGACGATGACGATCAAGCAGGGTTTCACTTCATCGCCTACATGCCCATCGACGGACACGTATGGCGAATGGACGGCCTGGATTACTATCCTCAAGATTTGGGCGCATATGGAACAGACTCCGCCGGCGGGACCGGCGAATGGCTGGACATTGCCCAGTCGTCATTGGCCGTACGGATGGCGCAGTATCAGGATGTGGACTCGTTCAACCTCATGGCGGTCGTACATGACTCTGCAATGCAAGATCGGCTCGCCCTTGTACAGAACGTCATTGCGATCCGTGCTATCGATGTGGCATTGGACGCAGTGGTAGAAGACTGGCGGGAAATGGACGAGGCGACGATATCGAAAGAAGTGCTGACAGGCCCATCAGACGAGCTAGAGATATCGTCACAGGACATCATCATCGCAGAAGTGGAGCATCGCTGGCGAGAATCCATCACCAACGCTGCTGACGATCTCTTCAAACTGTTGCAATTGCGACAGAGAATCATCGAGCTGCAGGGCCCGTTGAGAGCCGCTGTTCGTGATGCTGTGTCGGCGGAGAGGCGCGATCAGGAGGAAGCGCGACATGCGCGGCATGATTATGGGTCATTTGTGCGAGAGTGGTTGGGCGCATTGGCGGCCGAAGGGTTGCTGAGTGGGTTGCTTGAGGAATGAGGATGGTTAGAAAGGACTGATCCTGGTGCACCTGCATGGAATCATCTGGTTGTTTCTCGGTGATCGTCTGAGAGATCGTGTCCAGGCCCGGAACGGCTCGTCACCAGGGCAGCCATCGGACGAGTTCCTCGAGGCTGTAATCATGTACTGCCAACGAGCACTCGTCAAGTCGGGTTCTATTGTCTTTGTCTGATTAGATCTTTACTAACCAAGACTGATGGCGGCGTTTTCCTTCACCGTCTTGTTAAGGATACATGGTTGACCGGTCACTTCGGCAGCACAGATGAGATGCGCAGCGGACAGCGCGTCAGGGAAATGATCGGCCCGTTTGTTGGCCGCCCATCGTAATCAAAAAGACGACGAGGAAAAAGCTGGGACTCGTCAGCGGGCGGCTCTCAGATGCCGCCCAGAGATGATGTCTTACAGCCCTGGGGCACAAGAAATGGGCTTCTGCTACTATAGGTTACGCGCCATGTACTGATTGTAACCTTGGAATGCGTGATAATGCGACAAAGAGCAAAGGTAACAAATGTTGTGTATATACCTACCTACCTACTTCATACAGTAATGGAGCACTGGGTGTGTCTCCCCCTTCTTGTCTCTCGAGACGACCGTCATATAGTAGGAGCGGAAGGAGCGGGCGACAATGTGAAACGCGGAGCATTCTCTGGTTCCAACGAACACAGAAATGCAAACCTTGGGGGAATCACCGGGAATGTATGAGAGAGGGCGCGCGCGTGGTGCGTGGTGCGTGGTGGCGTGGCGCGTGTATGCTGCTGTACCTGCATGACGAACACCCGGGGACTCAACAGCCAGCCAGATGGACGCAAATCTTTCTTCCGTCTGGCCCGTCGTGCCCGCTGCTGCGCGAAACGCCCTCTGCACGTTCGATGATCATCGGTCTGGCGCGCTCGAGCGCATGTAGTACGATCTATGTATCCTATTTCAAAGCCGGGGGTTTCTCTGCGCAGCACAGGGAGCATTGTCTTTTTTTCTTTCTGCTCGCCCACCGTCCATCTGAAGGTGGATGTTGCTACACGAAATGACACACGCGCTCATGCGTCGTCGTCTTGGATCAAGGTGATGAGACAGATGGAGAAATTGCCGGGAGGTAGTACACAGTTATTTTAGTTGCAATGTCGTATTCTGGTCGTGTGTGTGAGCAAGAGTGCGAGTGTGAGTGCGTGTTTGATCCTCGGGCGGCATCTCTTGTTCCGGCCAAGCTCGTTAGGGTCGACGAGTGAGTGAGGCCGGCCCGCTCGTGGAGAGGAGTCTTGGCCAATCAAGAGTAAGTATCGCCCCGATGAGCAGGAAACGCTCACATTTCCCCTGACTACCGAAACGGAGGATCCGAATCTGCGCGCGGGTGGGTGTGTGGACGTCTGTTTTGCGTGAGCCGCACGTGATTTCGCCTGGGAAGAGAGAGAGACAGAGGAGAGGTCGTTGTGCTCCAATTTCCCCTTCGCTCCGCCATCGTCGCCGCCATCGTCGTCGTCGTCGCCCATTGTCGTCCGTGTCGTTGGGCCTGCCGCATCGTGCATCTCTTCCACTCATTTTCTTCTCTTGCCATCGTCCCACCGTTGCCATCGGACCTCTCTCTTCCTTGTCCAAGCGCCCACTCTTTCGTGCTTCGGACTATACTACTATCCTTTTCAAACACACGCTCTCTTTGCTTGCGCTCTCGTCGTCTGCATTCATCACCAATCTACGAGACATTCTCACCACATCTGGCTATTCGCAGCCAAACGACTCCCGACGCTCATTGTCCTACAGTACTTGATCTGTCGTCCACTCTTTACAATCCCTTTTGCGACATTCGTTCCCGCCTCAGGCCGGTCCTGTAGTCGGTTCACCAGTTGCCCTCGATCCCACATCGAGCGCGTCGTCTTCGCAAAATCCCCTTTCGCTTCGCCTGTCGGTATCCTCGTAGGACACCATTCGCCATCATGCTTCGAAGCACCCTTCTCTCCGCCGCGCTGCTCGCTGCCGGCGCTGTCGCTCAGACATTCACCGCATGTAACCCATTGAACTCGACTTGCCCACCTAACCCGGCCCTGGGAACCACCTACGAGCAGAAGTTCGACGGTTCCGTGAAAGAGTTCGACCCTCGCTTTTGGAACGTCACCGCCGGCAATGATAACCTGATCAATTTCGGCGCCTCGGGCGCCAACCTGGTCTTGCACGAGAAGGGCCAAATGGTGACTATTCAATCCAACTTTTTCATCATGTGGGGCCAACTTGAAATGGTCTTCCGCGCGGCACCTGGTACTGGTATCATTTCTACCGTCATCCTGATCTCCGACGACCTGGACGAGATCGACTGGGAGCTCATGGGCGGAAACCACAGCTTCGTCGAGAACAACTACTACGGATGGGGTAACGTGGACCAGCGCAACGCTCAATACGACCCTGTCTCGGTCGGCCCGCAGGACGATTACCTCAACTACACCGTCGACTGGAACGCCGACCGCATGCAGTTCCTGGTCGACAGCAAAGTCGTGCGCACCGTCAACTACGACGTCCCGGGCAAATACCCTCAGACTCCTATGCAAGTCCGCTTCGGTATCTGGGCCGCTGGTGCTTCTGACGCGCCCGGAACCGTGGAATGGGCTGGTGGCAAGACTGATTTCAGCCAAGGGTGAGTACTCAAAGACGCACGAATTCCGTTTGGTCTTGGCAACGAAACTGACATGTACACTCCAGACCTTTCGCCATGAACATCAAGTCCATCCGCGTCACTGACGGCACTAGCAATGTCACCCAGTACTCCTACGGTGACCACAGCGGGAGCTGGCAATCCATCGTGGGTACCGCCGGTCAATCTCAAGCTTACCAGGACATGCACACCCTCACCACCACGCAAGCCGCCGCGCAGCGATGGAACAACCTCAGCCAGGGTGCCAAGATCGGTATTGCCGTCGGTGTCTGCTCCGTCGCCCTCATCGGCCTCAGTGTCTTCCTCTTCTACTGCTTCGGCCAGCGGAAACAAGGTCGCGCTGAACGCGCCATTGCCGACAAGGAGTGGCAACAGCACACCGATGAGCTCAACAACTACCGTCAAATGATGGCCAAGGGTCAATTCGCCATCTCGAACATGGGTCACGGTCAGAGATTTTAAGCAGTCGCGAGGAATTGAAGCAGCGGTAGCTTGATGGGATGGCCCCACACATGCTCTCTTTTCGCATGCGCCTTTTGTTTCCCAGTCTTCCGCCGCTCTTCTTTTCTTGAGACTGCTTCTTCTCTACCGCCGGTTATTCTTACCTTTTGCCCTTGCGTGCCATGATGTGAGCCATGACCCTTGTTTTTGGAATATTTTGCTGCTTTTCTTCGACGGGATTTTTTTTATGGGAATCACTTTTGGGTATACCTTTCCTTTTGGGGGGAATTTGAGAAGCACTGCAGCTGCTGCGATGATACGTCCTTGCGAGTCTCCTCGCACATGGACGTGTCTGGGAGCTCTGCGCTGTGCTGGGATGGATACTTCTGTTCTTGTTCGGGACATGTACTGCTACGCCGTCCTGCTGATACCCCATTGCACACTTTCTGGCCACCGCAGCCGTCGTTCGGACATTCGACGGTTCTGGGACAAGGTTCACTGGACGGACTAGAATTTTTACATCGTCGTCGAGGATCGATAGGGAATGCAATTTGTACATTGAGACGTCGTCCACAAATTCCCTTCAGATTCGTCATCTTTTACGCTTTTAGGCAGGAGATCTGTCTCCGACAACAAAATGGTGCCTTCCGTTGTTGTTCTTGCATGTATCAAATGTCTCCTCGTGGCAAGCTTAGAGGTGCGTACCTGGGTAGTCCTGAGCTGTTGTCCCTGTGTGCAGGCTACGGCTCTTTCCGTCCTAAAGCCCACCAAGAATCCAGCGAGAAGAGATGAAATTCTTGGCAAAACGTTCGTCTTCACCATTTGCTTCCGCCAACGACCGTCTTCACACTCATCATCCATCACCCTCCCACCGCGACGCAAGAGACAGCACGAATACCGGTAGCGACGTCGATCAGTAGGACTGCGATCTCATCTATACCATTTGCAAACCGTCGGAGGGCATCGGGAGACATGGGTGCTGCTTTTGATTCCGCGCCCGAGCGGCCAGAGAACATCGATACCATCCTGAACGGTCTGGACCGATACAATCCCGAGACGACGAATGTCTTTCAGGAATATGTCGCGAACCAGTGCGAGAACCAGACGTACGATGCATACGCGAACCTTGCATTGCTGAAATTGTGAGTTGGATGAGACCTTTTCTTCCTTCCTACCCCGTTCCTGCCCGAAGCGCGAGTATGATGAATAACAACCACAAACGTTTCCTATTACCTGACGGATCAATGAACCGGTCCGGGTGACTCTTGAACAATATTAGCTCTATCTGAAAACACTCCAAAAACCGTGGCCTTGTCTTTCGAAACCAGCACCAAAGTGGAAGGAGAGATGTGCTAACCACGAACATTTCTTCTTATCCAACAGATATCAATTCAATCCCCATCTCACCCGCGATGAGACCACCACCAACATCCTCGTCAAAGCCCTCACCGTCTTCCCTTCACCCGACTACAGCCTCTGCCTTTCCCTCCTCCCTCCCCATGTCCTCCTCCCTCAATCTGCCCAACAGTCAGGCTCCCTCGCCGAAGCCGTCTCACATCTCTCCACCCTGCACACGCACCTCATCAACGCTGCCTACGCGGAGTTCTGGTCGACCCTCGACTCGGACGACCTCTACGCCGACCTCACCGCCGACGTGCAAGGATTCGAGGACACCATGCGCGTACGCATCGCCGTGGTCGTCTCGCAATGTATGCAGGAGGTCGGCCGGGATGTGCTCGAGGGCTGGCTGAACGTTGATGGCGCCAAGTTCGAGACCTTTGTCAAGGACGTCTGCGGGTGGAAGATTGAGGGCGACAGCGTCAAGGTCCCGCTGAACAAGGAGAATGAGGCCCGGAATGTCGTCCAACGGGAAGACGTCAAGTTTTCGCAATTCGGTCGACTGCTCAAGCGGGCGTATGAGCAGCCTGCTTGAAGCGGTGCCGGTTGTGAACTAGCGAACGCGGATTGCCTGTAAGGCAGTCTTTTATCACCGTTCCGTCCAAGCGGTTTCGAACCTTTCATTTCTCATGAGTGGGATCACGGGTGTGGTCCCTTCTCAACCACCAAAACTATAGAGATGAGCAGCGCGGCGTTTTTTGGGAGGTAAAGTCGTCACGACGGGCAAAATATTGATGATACCACGATCACACGGGTGATCAAAGGGGGAAAAGTAAGCATCGACTGGCGAGTTGGTCGCATGACAGGGAATGCCTCAAGCGAGGGAAGGAGAGGAAAGGTCACTGCAAGCCAAAGTGTGTCATGGTTTATTGGAGCGGTTGAATGACGACGTGCACGTCGAGCTCCATGAGGACCAGATGATCTAGACAACGATCAGAGGGATGTCGCGTCAGTTGAAATATCCCACATGCACAGTCGTGAGGATACGAAAATCAAAAAGAACAATTCTCCCACTCCTATCTCATGTCTCGTGTTTGATTTGATTCAAGCAAGCTGTTCATGGATAGTAAGAAATGACGAATGCCTTCGACGTGGCTGTCCCTGACGTGCTCAACCCATAGGCAGCATGGATCATCTGAAGCATTCGTCCACCCGCTGCCTCTTCCACAGTCCATTTCCCCAGTAACCCAAGTCACTCAGATGTTGACCGCAACACCAACACCGATACTATCCAAAACCCTCCCGTCTCCGCCATGCATTCAGACCTCATATTCCGCCAACTCCGCTGATTAATCCCCTCTCTCTCCCCCTTCGCGGCTCCCAATCCAGAGGAGGAAACGCGAACCATCATCTCTCCCTCCTTACCTCCTCCCCGCCGACGGCGCCACCAACTCCTCCCACTGCACGCCCACCCACTCCTCCACATACCCGACCTCGTCCGCCTTCCTCCCGACCTCCGCGCAGTCCTCCCCGCAGGCGCCCACGAGGATCGTGCCCCAATCCATGCCGTCCAACAGCCCCACCGCCTCCCCACCATCCTCACCTTCACCATCCTCCTTCTCCAATTCGAGGATGGCGTAGGGCGTGATCTGCATCTCGAACTCGCGCTTGGCATTGCAGTTCTCGCAGCGGGGCACGCGGGCGCTGAAGATGGCCTGTGATGACGAGGAGGACGAGGCGGCGAGTTTGATCTTGCCGTCGATCGAGGCCGAAGCAGCAGCGGCGGCGGCGGCGGGATGAGGCGAGAGGAGTTTCCCGATCCGGTCCTTCTTCGTGTACAGGAGCGGCTGGCCGCGCCATTCGTACCGCAGGATCTGTTCGGGGTTCTCCGCGAGCCGGTCCGCGAAGCGTTGGAAGGTCCGGTCCATGGTGCTCTCGAAGGCGGACTTGTCGGCGAGGATGTCCCCTCCGTCGGCGTCCGTGGAGATCGGCACGCCGCCGCCGGGGGACGGGTCGACGGCCGGCGGTCGGCTGATGTATTCGGACTCGCACTCGATCGTGCTCCGCGGGAAGGGTTTGGGGAAGGAGGATTGGCCGGGCCAGGGTTCGGGGGGGCCGTGTGGTTTCTTCGTCGCCGTGGCGTGTGGTGGCTTGGAGGCTGCTTCTTCTTCTTCTGCGGCGGAGAGGCGGGCTTTCTGTGCAAATGTCTCGGGAAGTGCGGTCGAGGGCGATGCTGGTGTGGTGGATTCGATGTCGTTGTGTTTGGAATCGCTCGTCCTGGGGACGGTGGAAAATGGATTGTATGGATTCCCTCCGTTCAGAGACGAGCCTGTCGCGAACGGGTTCGCCGTCGAAGAGGAAGGTTTCACACCGAAGAGAGACTCTCCGAGGTTCACTGGTGCTTTCGGCGCAGGCTCGGCCTTGGTCTTGATCGAGTTGTCGTCCTTGACAGGGCGCTGCTTAGAAGCTTCCGGTTTCCGAAGACCTCGGAACGCTCTGATACTACCTTCCTTTCGTCGACAGGCTTTCCTCCGACAGGTCCAGACATACAGTCGTCGTTCATAGTCCCAGCCCGGGAGGGTGGCGTCGACTTCGGCGATGAGACTCATGTGTGTGTTGCATACCTTGCATTTGGCCAATGCTCCATTGGGCAGACTCGACTCGTCGAACCACGACTAGAACGGAAGGAGGAGCGATTAGATTCTTATCATCCAATTCGAATGCAGATGTGAACAAAAGGATATCCACACATACCGGGTGTCCGCCCAAATGCCCGCTGACATTATCGTCCGCTGTGGTGGAGTAGCCCAGCAGGACGTCCGTGAGCATGTCATTGCCATCAAGGTCATCATTCGACGAGTCGGAATCGTAGTCGGCCATTTTGAGACTCTCTGCTCGTCTGTAGGAATCCTTTTTCCTGTTCGACGCTGATCGATTGATGTCATGGGAGAAGGAATTCGATGTCGACTCTCCCCTCTCTTGCAAAATTTCTTATCGATAGCGAACATTTCCTTCTGGGAAGCCCCTCCGACTTCACGACATCGCCAGCGAAGTACTGTTATGTATGCACACCATAGTGAATGCTAATAGTCAATCCCTGTGTTGATAATTCTTTCAGCCATTGAACCATGATCTCACAAGATGATGGAGCAATACGGTCAAGAGCACTTGGAAATTCCCACGCAGCTGCGTCTCTCCGACGAGCATCCGCTCACTCAGAGCACTTCACGGACCAATTTCACAATAAATAAAAGTAGAGACATGATCAATTTTGAACTGTTTTTTGACATTTGCATAAAGCTATCTAGTATTCTCCCCTTTCCCATGAATCCCGTGAGGGAAATGATAATAATGATGATGATAGTAAATTTGATTACAGATGTGTGGGCTATAATGTGCCTCGTCGTCATAAGTGTTATGTTCGTATGCAGGTAGTGAATTTCATGTCACCAACCCCATGTGTGATGCTTTTGTTTTCGCTCCGTGTCTCGCATGCGAGTGGAGGGCTATAGTCCCCTTGGGGACCTCTCGTAGTTTCTGTTCGTAGATAAGAGAGCGCGGGGAGTGGCGCGCGACCTGAAGCGAGTTTGTCTGCTCGTCGTTGATGGCTCGTTGAGGCTTTCAAGGTCTGGTCGAGCATTGTGGTGTGGCCTCTCGGAAAAGGATTGGGTCATGCTCGATTGGAGCATGGTGATTTTGTGATTCCATTTGGTGGCCGAGACTGATCCTCAATCGATGCATCTGAGATAGACAGGTGGCCACCAATAACCTGCATGTCGCGTGTTCGTGGCCCATGAAGGATTGTTGTTGACGCTTCTGCGCGGAAGCGTTCGACAGAAAGTGTAGTCTGTTCCAACTCGAGTGGTTGGCCGAACAGGTTGCTCATGTGGCTGCCGTGCGACAGCTGCTTGCACGAGTTTCGGATACATCGGTCGTCATCTCTTCTTTCTCGAGCGGTGGTAGAGGGCTCGTAGGCGACGACACAAAGTTTCCGTTCTTGTCGTCCATTGGCGGGATCATCGGGAGAGTGGAGCATCGCATCCGCGATCCACGATTGCCGGCTTCACCATCATCTGGCACGTGCGAGCCTCGATTGTGAGAGTTCCGGCTTGAAGAAAGGTTGACATATCGGCGGAAGAACGCCCGCAATGATGGCGCACATGCGCAGATGATGCCGATATGTGTCTCGGCAAGCGACCAAGCCAGCAGGTTGAAGCCGGTCCAGGCGAGGTCGTCGACCTTGCCCATTTGATAGAGGTAGTACGTACGAGCGATACCACAGGCGGTGGCACTGAACGGAGAGTCAGTGAGGGTGTTCCAGAAATGATCTCGTGGAAATGTGAACTTACAGCCAACCCAAGGCGAAGATGACGTTGAGCGCAATCTTCTGGCGCACCGGAACGTCCAGTTGATATTGTCGCAGCATCAAATACGGAATCGCGACAGCGTAGATGTCAGTGATCACGCTGATGACTCCACTGCTCAGGGTCAGGCTCTCGCCGTCGGGAATGCAGGTGTACTCCTCCGTGTAGGGAACAGGGAGGTATTGATAGGCGAGCCAGTAGGCGCGCAGCGGGCGGCAGATGACCATGTACACGATGAAAGTCGCCACACCGGCGGAAACGTTGCAGGTGATGGCCGCCCAGAGCACGTACAACCACTTCCGGCTGTACACGTTCTTCACCATGCGCCGGTAGAACAGGAGGACCGACAGTTTCGTCGTGCACATGCTGATGAGGAAGAAGACTTGTGCGAAGTAGCCCAGGTGGACAAGCATAGGGAAGTTCTGGTATTCTACATCCCACGTGTGACGACCAAGGCCGTTGGCAGAGCCGATGCAGGCGATGATCGTCAATCCCAAAGCGAACAGCTGTACACGAGTCAGACAAATGGTCCATGAGAAGGCGCACCCGGCAGCATTTATCGACGGACATCCCACATACCCATGCGACGAATATCAACGAATCGTCGAAGCCAAATGTGCCCGCTTGCTTCCGCGCACGGAGATAGAATCGGCCAAAGGTTAGGATCGTGGAGATGACGAGCCAGACGACGGCGAAAGGCGCCAACCATGTTCTGTCCTCCGGGTCGACAAAGTTCGGAGCCGGCCATGTGGTGATCACCGTGATCGGGGGATGATTAAAGTTGGCAGGCATGGCTGCGAGGTGATCGATCCGTCGACCAGGTCGATTGGGACAAGAAGGGGATCAAACGTTGGACGATTGGTCGTTGGAGAGGTTAGGCAGCACGGCCACGACGGGACGGAGATGTTGAGGTATTATACACAGGCGTCCGATGTCTGGGCAAGGGCAGACTTTGGTGGGTTTCGTGTGGAATGTCTTGTAGCGACGATCAAGTCGTCGGTCGGTGAAGGTTATGATGAGCAGGAATGGAACCGGAAGTATGGCCGTGTGTGGGCCACCGCCGCCATAGGCGGGAGGACACGAGAGCGAGAGAGAGCGATCTGAGACAAGCAAAGACACAAGAAGGAAAAGCTTGGAGTAGTCCGGCGGTCACGCAAGTCGCATGGTGTTGGGTTGTGGCCGGTCGATGTTTTGGTCAAGTAGGAAGTCCAGTCAGTCAGCACCCAAAGCAGACGAGAAGCAGAGGAGAGCTGAAGTCTTTCTTTGTTTCGGTCTCAGCGACGAGATGCAATACTCATATGTGAGTGGGAAAGGCGGAAGCAAGACACGGGTCAGTCCCTGATGATGGAGGGTTTTCGCCTCGACCCTGCTGGACGAGACCAACGATTGCGATCGGATAGCAGCGGTAGTGGTGGTGGCGGTAGAGCGACAATTACGGGGCATGGGGACGAAGGGAGAGACATTTGATCGAGTCAGGCAATCCTACCTACATGAAGTGTGTGAATGAACGCGACCCGCACGATAGATTACTTCTCCGTTTGCTCTCTCTCCGTCGGTTTGTCTCTCGCTCTCTCGCTCGCGCGCGCATCCACACCTCCCGCCGTCACCACCACCATTGCAAGGGCATGGGATGTACCCATTGTGACACTTGGCAAAAGTCTTGATATTACTGGGCTGCAGTGTGACATGAGCGGCATGAGCGGAGGAGGAGTAAGTAGGATGCAGAGAGCAATCTATTCCCTCACGGCAGCGGAGGACCGACTTGGCTGGCTGGCTGGGTGGCGGCGGCGGCGGGGGCAGAGGAATAGGGCCGACGCCATTGACCGTCGCGGCGGACTCGTCTGGAGGCGTTCAATAGCCTCAGAAATTGATTGAGATAGAGACGGCGCGTTCTCTTCTCGAGGTGTGTGTGGATGGGTGGATGGATGGGTGTGGATGTATAGTAGGATTAGGTAGTGTAGTCTGTCTATACTGTAGGCAGTGCTGGATGGAGTGGGAGTGGGAGTGTGGTGGGTGTGGGTGTGGAAGTGTGTGAAGGTTCCTCTCTCTCTCGTCGTAGTGGACGGTATGCTACTTGACCTGTTCTGTATGCCCAGGTGGTGGTGGTGGTGTCACGGGTGTGTGTTCGAAAGGGCGAGGGGGCGATCCTCCGGGACAGACCAAGACCAGTACAGATCAAGGGAGGGAACGGCCGAGATGGGAAAGGACGGGAAATCCTGACTGCCCAGGTAGAATCATAATATGGACTGCCCACCCAGGTGTGGCTGCCCAGGTGCTCAAGGGACGATATCAAGGGGAAGAGATGTGACAGAGATGTGCCAAAGATGTGCCAAAGGCGTACAGTGCATAGAGGAGGAGCTGACTGAACTGGTGCTCGCATAACAAGACACCCACACACGCACACGCACGTACGCACGCGCGCACCTCTTTACGCCCACCCACACCCACACACGCGTCCCATTATTGATTGTCACCATACATACCTAGTCATGTTCCAAGGTTGTTTATGCATACCTACCTACCTACCTGCCTACCTACCTACTGTACTGCTTATCATTACTGCTGTAGAAGATACATGCGCGATGTGATGTGATATGATGTGATATATCACTACCGAAAGCCTTTGCTGAATGGGAGAGGGTTCCCATCACTACGTTTATTGTTATCAATGGTGCGGAGATCCCTGTCAGGCGCATCTCTCGATTCCTGCGTTGTTCGTATCGTCTACGGAGGAGGGCATCACGATGATGAAAAATGACGAAGAGGAAGGAGAGTAGCGGCGGCGGCGGAGAATGCCCACCACCCGGACTTTCATCATTCACCACCCGGGCAGCCACATGTACAGTAGGTATGTAGGTGCTGGGTATGTATGTGTGTATGTCCTGTATGGATCATCTCAACTTCCGGGTCTATCGTGGTTGAATTCGGGTGCTAATCATGGCAATGGCGGCGGCCATCATCAATTCCCGATGTTGTGCTGCGCCGGAGTGCTGTGGCAACAACGGGTGTTCCTGCGACATCTTTTTGGTCGCTCCTGGTTGCACAGTGTATGACCTGTACACGCTGCCTAGTACATATAAATGCATATGATGGCCTGACGTAAGGGGAGAGCAGGCAGTGAGGTGAGGGATATACGTACCGTACGTCCGCACATAGGACGAGAAGAAGCACTAGAAGGATGGAAAAATGAGGCTGGCTGAACGACGTCGATGCTTTGCAGGGCCAATCATCATCATCATCATCATTCATGCCTCTCGACCTCGCTTGTATACAGTATGTCCTGAGGACGCCTTGGCCCGCCCGAGTGTTCGAGAGGATGATAACGGGTAACGTCTTCATCGGTTCAACGGCCGTAAAATGGTGGTGGTTGCCTATCATGGGAATGTGCTCAGGTGGGAATGTGAGGACCGCGCCAGAAAACCGAGACCCAAGCTCTCCAGCTTATTGAAGCTTGGAGTCTTGACCCGCTTTGGGTAGGTTCTTGTACGTTCCTTGCATCTGCCACTGCCGGACTCGTCCTAGCGGTGGATGGATCATCTTTGGGATGAGACCTGTCGAACCTGAAATCTTCTCTGCTTTTCACGTGTCTTCTCCTTCGCTGCTCTGGGGCTCGCTCTCGAACCTATCTAATGCGACAAGGTACCGTTATTCTCTTCTCCCTCCTCTCTCCACCATATAGGTCGAATCCCTCCGTCATCATGCCCATGTGTGCCTGACAGTCGGGACAAGCTTCCCGTGCAGGAGAAGAGACCGCTGTGGGCCCCGCCCTGGACCATGGTTCCACCTCACCGATGGCATCTTGCCTTCCTCCCTCTTGACGAGTGCGAGTGACATTGTTCTAATATACTCCATGCCTGTCGCGTCTTATTTTCTTGGGTGCAATCTGGTCACCGCCATCTCTGCTCGATCTCTCACATGCCATCATCGTCGCTGAGGACTGTTTTTTCCGGCCCTGTGTCATCCACCGGATCACGCAATTGAGACTACAGCACCCGCGAAAATGTTCCACGCATTGCAGAGGTGACACCGTCGCATCTTCCGTCTCGACTGGTGAGACAGAGCCCTGGAGTGGAACCCGATCAAAACTTTTTCGCTCCAGCTTTCACGAGTCGGTCTGCGCTGTAAAATCCTGTGTCATCGTGCCGATCACGCTCGTCTCAAGGAGGGAGTGCGGCAGTCCCAAAAGCCGTTGGGGACATTCGTCGTCAGCAAAAGTGGCGGTGTTACGGCGGCACTTGCTCGTACCTCGCCACACTACACTGTCATCTCGGAATACGACATAGACACGACATATAGATTGCTGTCCTTGTGTAGCATGACGATGCAGGGAATATAGTCCTGCAATCTGATGGGATGGGATGAAATGAGATGAGATGAGCTGCATGGTCACGCCTCTCTGTCACTCACTCCGTCCAGATTAGCGATTTCTCCAATACATCGTACCGAAACGGCGTTTCTGATGGATACGAAGGAAGAACAGAAACGCCCTATCCGATCTGTGCCTGATTCACGCCCGGAATCTGATGGTGATGATGCACGTACATCGCCAAGGTGGTGCCAAGCAGATCGTTCGGCGCTCGTGATGCCCAGCATTATATCATTATTGTATAGTATACCATCAGTGCAGACACAGCCATACACATCAGCCGCTGATAGCCCTCTCAGAGAAAAACAAATGTGTAAGAAAAACTAGAGCGGGACCCGACCAGACGGGCCTCGCCCATGATGTATGATATAGTAGTCATTAAGGCGAGTGATGGTGTGATGCACGACATCATCCAGAGGCCCAAAAGGGGACGGTTCGGTTTCCGGCCGTGGCGCGGCGTGGCGATATCGACCGGTGGAAACACAGGACGGACGAGGCTTTTCGGGGTCTGACCATCGTCGGCGGTGGTCCGGTTTCTTTTTCTTTTTATTGTGCTGGTTGGCAGGCCTGCCTAGGTACGTGCCTGAACAGACGTTTCCCGCTCCCGATTCTTTTCGTGATGGTTTCCCTCAACTTGGAAGTCATCGAAATCCCGTTGTCGGGTATCCGTAGCGAAGAGAAGGAAGGACACGAAATGGCACGAGCAACCATGGTTGTTGTTATTGTTTGCCCTCCTCTTGTTCGCAGCGCCCGCCACCGCACTGAAGGGATGAGTGAAATGGAAAATGGGGCTCAATGGTGAAAGATTGCGACGCGACGCATAGGTTCTGCACGATTGATTGCTGCACATGCGCAAAAGAAACGCCGTGGTTCACAGTACAATCATAATAGTGTGTGTTGCATACATGGCAGCAAAGCCAATAGGGAAGGAGATCGACTATGCAGCGAGAGGTTGTTTCTGCCCATGCATGATTAGTGCGGATGGCATTGGGAATTATTACTGTATGCCCCCAGGTGATGGGCGGAGTTCGGGGAGCCGTTAACTGTCTGCTGCGCGTGTGTGTGTGGATGGGTGGAGGGAATTGGCATGAACGACTGGGGGAAGTCGAGAGAAATTGCAGGTGGCCCGCGCATTTCGCTCTCTCCATTCTGTCGGGTCAGGCAGACAGGCCTGCCTCTGCGGGGCGGCGTGCGGGTCACTTCCCTCGTCCGCCAATATCTGTCTATTGCCCCGTCATTTAGATGAAGGTAATGACGGTCAGGTCAATCTATATGTTGTTCAAGGATGATGACATGCATAGTGGTTGGCAAGCGCGCGTTGTGATATAAACGAAGCTATCTATACTCCCGCCGTCCGGATAGGTATAGGCAGGTAGCCGATCAGATCGTCGTCCACCACCTGGCCAGGCAACATTTTCGACTGAGAGTCAGTCCACTTTGCTGCCCTGGTATTTCTTGTTCACTGGAGCGGGTGGAATGTAGGAATTTCTTCACATACAGCACCGCCCGTCTCTCCCTCCCTCCCTCTCCCTCCCTTGCTTTCTCCTTCTATGATAGGATGCTCTAAAACATCATATTCGTCAGAACAAACGAAGGATGCCAAAATGGTCGGGATGAACAGAATCCCCATGCTCGTGCCGGATTTGACTAGGAACTTCTGCAAAGTGGTGGCGTCCGGGGAGGAGGAAGGGGGCCAGTGCCCGATGGGTGGCGTACGTCGAGAAGGAAGGAAGAAAGAACGAATTGGAAGGTGACAGGCCAGACGACCCTGGTCCTGGTCCTGTCATAAATTACATGACCGAGAGCTGAAGGAATTCAATAGTGTGCGGGTCTTATGTCTGTTCTTGCGCCTCTTCCGCCGTTTGAGATGCTGCAGTTGTTCATAACTCGCGAGATACGTTCCAGGGCTTGCCATGACTCGCCGACTTTGTTATCATTCTGAAATGTGTGTTCATCTAGCTTATATGTATAGTGCGCCCCTGGGGAATCTCGCGATAGTGCTCATCAACAAGGCGTGCTCTCGTCCAGAGACTCGGATCCTCATTAATGTTTAACGGTTCCCAGAGATATGGATCATCAACGACGTTTGTTCGATATTGCGGGGCGGAGGCGTTGTCGCTCGCGTGCGCAAGGGAATCGTTCTCGACCCCAGGCGGCCTTGGAGGCGAGCGATATGCACCCACCACACACACCGTCAGCCTTGTGGGCAAAAAGCAAAAGAAGTAGAAACGGTCATGCCTTTTTGATGCGAACCGTTTTTCGATAGCTTGGGGTGTTGATTTTCATATCGTGATTATCGATGCTATAGAGCAGTTGTAGAAAATGCCTTTCTCAAATCTCACCCGATACAGTAATGACTCTCGGTTCTGATCCTCGTCGATATCAGGCTGAGAGACTTGCTCGGGAGATGGATTGACTCGTCGGCGTCGACATGCAGTCACTCTCTCGGCATCATAACCCTTACCTGGGGCACACGCATTCCCACTTTCTCTCCTTCTTCTCGGCCGAGGGCATTTGACGCGCGGGACGGGACCGTACTGTGCTGTGTGTCCATCACGCGATATATACATCTCGGCGGTACATCCCTCGATGCTCAACGACTTGCATGTGAAGGGCCGTCCTCTACACGCATTTCTTGCACGACCGAGGCGAACTGATCGTCACCTCATCATCACGACGACGAGGGAGAGAGGGAGCGGGGAGGCATAGATGATTGAGCATCGCAAATAGGCAGAAAATCCATCACCTCTCGTATGATGATAGAGCTGGGACGTGGCGGAGGGGAATCTTTGTCCCGCCGAAAAGATCTGATGAGCAGACTTGAATCCCCATCATGTTGACTGACCTACTGGAAACCTGACTCTGGAGAGGTAATGATACACAGGGAAAAGCTCCTCGACAGGCCCATGTCAGTTTTGTTACCCACGTTGCATCAAATAACAACAAGGAATGGCAACATCGCATCTTCATGACCCAAATTGATGAACCACCTGCATGAAACAAAGTCTCGTTTTGTTCCTTGATTGACTACTGTACAAGGCTTGTTCAGCTCTGGCCCTCCCTCTCTCATGGCATTCTCGTTCCATTTGCTGTTCGTCTTGCCGCTCTCATCGAGCCATCCCTTGGTCGGCGGTAAAACGCCCCAGATTCTGCCATCCATAGCCAAGCAAGGGGTTTGAGGAAGAGGCTGGCTCCATTCGCAGACTTTTCGGGAATGAGACGCAGATTCAAGAAAAGCTTTGGAACGCTCTAGGCTTTGTATACGAATTGTGCGATTCGCGATCGTCGAAGGTGGATGGGATGGGTCGACGATGATTCGTTTATCCACGGGCTGGCTTTGCTTGTAGAGGTGCCGTGGATCGATGAACTGTTGTTCAAGGGAGATGGGAAGAATACCCAGGTTCTGTCTTGTTGGAGGATAGTTCGAGCCAAAGTCCGATCTCTCCTTCCCTCTTTCTGTCTCTCTGTCTTTCAAATGATTTTGGGATATGGCATTTTCTTCGTGTGTGAGCGAGCGTGTGTATAATATTCTCTTGTTTTTTTCCAGAGTAAAGGTATCAAGAAATATCCGAAACAGATTTTCATAACTTCGTCCAAACAAGATGGCGGGAATGAGAAAGATTCTCCCTCGCGTAATGCTCCCGCCCATAAATGATATACCAACCTTCTTCCTTTCCCACTCTAATAACTCTGTTTGCCCAATACCCTATTAGACGGCAACAGCGCAGTAAATAGCACACAGCCCAACGTGACGCCTCCTGCCAGGTATAAGACGCGGTTAGCATCGCCAAACTGGCCCTTCTTAGGGACAAGCGACTGTCCGACAATCGGCGCGATGATCCCAAACAACCGGCCCCAGAAACTCGCCACGCCACAGGCGGTGCCACGGATAGGTCCGGGGAAAACCTCGGGGGTCCAGCCGTAGAGGACGGAGTTGAACATGCTCTGGAAGAAGTATTCCATGGCGTTCAGGCCGATGTTGGAGGCTTCGCTGTTGGCCGCGCTGAAGATGAAGATCGAGGCGCCCATGAGACCCGAGGAGATGACCATGGTCCACTTGCGGCCGACGGTCGGCACGCGGTACATCATCGTGCCGATCACCACGCCGACGATGCCCGGGGTGTAAATCGCCATGTAGCTGCGGTAGGTGAATTCCAGGGAGAGCTCCAACGCGCCGTTCTTGTACGCGATGATGGTCGGGAGGTAGGTGCCTGTTTGAACGATTAGTCGAGTGTGAGATTCGGGGAACGTTTGTCGCGGGAATGCTATTGCATGTCACTGAGCAGATTGACCCGACTTACCGGCAAGTGTGAAGCCCCAGAAATCGCAGATATACGTCAGCCAGATGAGAAGGGTCAGACGAGTCATCTGCCAGCCGTCAAAGAGCAGCCTGTATCGTATGAGTTCCTTCTTTACGCTGGCCCAGGTCGATGGCTGCGCGGCTCCGCTGCCGGCAATGATGATGGCCGTGCCCAGAACCTTCTTGGCAGCTTTTCCTCCAGTGCTGGTTCCGCCAGCGCCCCCGTTGGCAACCTCGTCCCGGTCCAGCGCTTCGAGATCCTCCTTTCGCAACTCGCACTTCCTTTTGTTGACGTGGGCGATGTGTTCGAGAACCTGAACGGCCTCGGCATCGCGGTTGCGGAACACGAGGAATTTGGGGGATTCCTTAAAGTTGAAGACGACGAATCGGACGAGAAAGACGCCCAGAGTGAGCGCGCCGATGGTGAACATGAGATACCTCCAACCCATGTTGTCTGCGCGGGAGCAGCAGGGCGCGCCCGCCGGAGCCGTATTGCAGGACTCGAGCGCGTTCTTCTGGCTGAAGTTGGGTGTGCACGAATAGTTGGGAATAAACCCGTAGGCAATCGCGGAAGTGATGACCACGCCGATCGGCTGGAAGATGGAAAGTAGCGCGAGGAGGAAGCGTCGATTCTGAGGGAGGAACTCAAGGCAGATGGTGGTATCGATTGGGATGTTGCCACCAATACCGAAGCCTACGAAGGCGGTGATGACGAGAAACGACGTATAGGTATTGCATCCGCCTAGGCCGAGTCCGAACGCTGCACTGATCAAGCAGGTCAAATTGAATGCCCACTTCCGGCCGATGATGTCGACAAGAATTCCCCAGAACGCGGCGCCCGCGGTCAGTCCAGCAGAGAAGGCAATCTGATGAGAGCATGTCAGCCGAGACCTTGCATTGTTAGCAGCCTTTCAACAATAAGAGTCAGACATACAGAAATGTTACCACTCTGGTCATTGCCGAATCCGAGCTCCTGTTGCAAAGGGCTCAGAACCAGACCAAAGGCCTGTGCCCACAGCAGATCGAGCAAGTATCCGAATCCACAGAGAAACCAGATGTACCACTGATAGCGGCCCATGCCATTCCTGTCCATCTCATGATTGATCAAGACGCACTTCTTCTCGTATAGGGACAGGCCGGTCAATTCTTCAGGCGCGACACTGAGATTGCGCGGAGTGTCGGAAGAGTTGGCTGCAGAATCATATGCGGGAGGAGTTGTTGTCTTCGAATCCGCGGCGCCGACGGACTCGCCGGTCACCGCAGCCGTAGGCTTGCTTCTCCTCCCGAACATTGTATCAGCAGCGGTGGTCCAGGAAGAGGATGCGGCGAGGAGCGGGACGGACTCAGTCTGGTCGGCTTGTTCGTCCTCGTCGTGGTCGTCTCCGTCGTAGGAATGTCGAGCGATGTCGGATGATAAGAGATGCTTGGGACGCTTCGAAGAAGAGGACTCGGGGTCCATCGACGGCGGGCCACAAAATGTCGTATGCGCCTTGACGGATGGCTAGGCGGGATTCGAACAGAGAAGATAACGCAGGGGAGCTCTCGGACGGTCACAGCTCCATCAATGAACGACAGGACAGATGTGGAATGGAGAATGTCCGCCGAGTGATGAGTTTGCGCCCACACACACGCGCGCGCGAGACAGCCAAAGCGGGACAAGAGAGGATGAGTGTGCAGTAGTAGCTACGGTTTGCGCGCCACCCGTGGAATTATCCTGGCCGTGATTTCTTCCAAGCAGGGCAGTGCATATTGGAGGAGACATGGAATCGTCGAATATCGTATGGTGCTGTCCTCCGCGAGGGACACAGTACAGCACATGCGCGTGCTTCGTGGATCTCTGCTCCAGTACGGTACGGTCGGTAGATGAGAGAGGGTACTGTAGTAGTAGATGTCATGATGGCAGGACGTGCGCTTGCGGCTAGACGAGCCAGTGCAGCACCACGACTTAACTAGGCATTATCACATACAGTAGTGGACAGATCCGCCGGTGAACTGTCGCTTCAAATCTACATGAGATCGACCACCACACGCGATCTACAGCACAGCATACAGCATACAGCATATATATACGGTATCATCATTGTCCATGTCGCCAATCACCGACGAGGCCGCGGTGGAGATATCACCCTTTGTCTGCCACAGAGAGAGAGAGAGAGAGAGAGGACACCGGATCGGCTGCAGCTCCCTCAGATGCACACGGCCCTCGCCGGTGGAAATGTCATCGTCACCAAGTCGGTTGGGACGAAGGATTCCTCACCAGCTGGAGATCATGGACCGTCGAAATGTATGGGTGCAGGTGGAGTGGAGTCATTGAATCATCATCACGTAGGGCTTATTGCTGTACTCCCGCCCAGCGCCCGCCCTCGCTGGCATATACACACCCACACACCTATGGGTACTCTACGCGGGACATGGCCGCAGCTCACGCGACGTGCCCTCGCCCTTTCTTTTCCCGCAAACCACACGCATGGCTGCAGCTACATCGAGAGGGATTGGCGACACCCACTCGAGCTCGACATTGGCTCTCGTCCAAGATGGACCCGCGATGAGTGGGACCAGAAAGAACGAAGACATGATTTCATGCGGCAATGCGTCAAAGCATTGACCTCGTGGCCGAAGCGGCCATCGAAAAGCTTGATCATGAGAGGAAAAGAGCCTGCGCCTCCAGGGCTGCAAAGTGAAGGACCGCCCGAAAGCAACGCATCACACGCTTTACGCTCTCCGGCTTAGACCCATCGAAGATCTCACAGCCATCCGCCATCCCGAGCGGGGTTTCTCCTCAGCCTCTGCCCGTCACTTCGTCACATCGTCCCTGTAGCAATGGCTGCGACTTGAATTCGGTGGATTGCTTCATCTGCAGCCGCTTCGATCCCATCTGACTCTGCTTCGCTCGTGGCAGACCACAATGCTGAAATCAGGGGCACCATTGCAATTCCGTCGCTGGGTGAGGTGCCCAAAGCATTGTGGCCAGCGCCATGCGAGACGAGGACGGTAGGAAGCGGCTCGAACGCGAGATTCCAAACAAAGTGATCCTATTGCGGATGATGACCGCAATTCTCATGAACACACCTGGAACAACGACGTGATGACTTGAGATTGAAAACGAAATAAATGCTAACACTATTCAGATCTCCAACTCGATCTCGAAAGTTCTATCGCCATCCGGAAACAATGCTTTTTCCCAGGAAATCATGAGGTATTCCATGAACCCAGCACTTTCATCAGTAGCATGCTGCAGTGGAACCCGTTTAGTTACCTTCACTTCTGCCTCTTTCCCTCTACGAAGTCTACCACATCGAAAATGCTCCTCCGGTAAACCCGCTCTTGGGTGGTGTGATTCAAGTACTGCAATCCGAACCCAGTGTTGAAAAACCCAAACTCCCAGTCGTCGACAAATGTCCAGACCAACGCACCCATGACGTCCACGCCGTCCTCCCAGATGGCTTTCAGCATCTCGTTCAGGTAGCTCAGGAGGTATTCGGTCTGGGGAACATTGTAGAGGTTGTCGGAGAGTTCGCCGCCCGGAGGAGGAGGTGGTGAGAGGCCGAACTCGGAGATGAGGATCGGTTTGCCGAATTTGGACCAGACGAGGTTGAGCTGTGTGCGGAGTGGGCCGGGGAGTAGGTAGCCTGTTGGCTTGCCGATTGGGTTCCAGCCTGCGTCCCAGCCTGTGGTGAGGATCTTAGTGCCGTTGACACAGATGGGGAAAGGTCGGTTGGCGGTGTGATCGCGGGCACAAGCGTCGAGATCTTGGCCGGCGTTGTAGACGAGAGGGGCCGAGTAGGCGTCGAGAGAGATGAAATCTATGTGCACAGGGTCAGAGTCGAAATCAGATCAGGCGGATGTCTCAGCATGAGGAACAATAAAGTGCTCATGAGAGATATGTGAAAGACTTACCCATAGTGCCATTAATCAGCTTCAACTCCTCCGAGGTGAGCGGGTTGGCACCTGGCAGCGCCTTGAGGAAGTTGTCGGGATATTGCTGGCCGAACACGGTAGGGTACAGGTACGGGAAAGTGTAAAGGTCGGAGAAGAACTTGGCAGCCTCCACGCTCGAAGGATTGGTGGCATCGAGCGGCACTGCTGGCGTGATACCCATCTTGATGGAAATCTTACCCTTGCCTTTGAGCACGTCGCGGTAGTAGCGATAGACGCGGGCGTGCGAACGGAGGACGTTGGTCACAGCGGTGGCATTCTCCGAGCCTATTTGGGGCTCATTGAATGTGATCCAGATCGGGACACGGTCGGCGAAATGCGCGAGCGCGATCTTGGCGTAGTTGACGTAGGCCTCCTCCAACCGAGAGCTGGTGTACGCGAAGCTAACCCCTCCCAAGCCGTATGAAGAGTTGGATGCGGCTTTGGCTACGGTGGCAAGGTAGCCCTTACCGCCACCATATAGAGCCAATGGAGTATCGAAATGGGCAAGTGTCACGATTGGGATCATGCCCTTGGAGAGCACATAGTCGATAACGTCGTTGTAGTGCTGAATAGCGTACGAGTTGACCGGGGTACCCGGGAAGGTGAAGGGCAGGATGCGACTCCAGGATAGCGAGAAGGAGAAGTGCTTCAATCCTGCGGCAGCCAGACGATCGATGTCCCGTTTGTAAAGATAATATCCCTCGGCAGACACCGCATTGCTGACGATCTGGCCCTCTGGTGTACCCAAGACTCCACCACCAATCGCGTTCTTGCCGGCGATGTTCAAGACATTGGCCAAGACGTCGAGAAAGTTGGGTGACTTGCCCTGGTCGGCTACTGCGCCTTCGACCTGACCCGCCGAGCAGGCTGTGCCGAAAATGAAATTCTTCGGGAATTTGTAACAGTTGGCCGGAGGCTGGAAGTAGAGCGGAGGTGGCTTGATCAAGGAAGACGACGGGATGGGAGTGGGCGAGGCCGTGGTGCTGTAGAGGCCGCGTGTGAAGCTTGCCGGGTTGGCGTCATTCCACAGCTGGCTCCATGCCGCAGTGTTGTACTGGTCAGCGCCGAACGTAGGAATAGCGAGTCCCAGCGGCGTCCAGTTCGGCCATGATGTTGTTGACTGGTTGGAGAACAGACTCGCGACCGCGGAATACGCGTCTGCATATGTGGGCGCTGGCGTGGCTTTGGCGACCGGTGTGGCGTACTGCGTGGTAACGGAGACCGGGAATGTGAAGCTTGTTTTGCGCGAGAAGACTGGACCGTAGTTGTTTGCAGGACAAGTGGACGCCGCAGCCGTCGTCGCCGCTGTCGATTGCGGGCTGGTCTTGTGAGGTGCTGCAAGCGCAGTGGCCGCGAGCGCCAGAGTTATGCAGTAAGCAAATGTCGCCGCCATTTCGTTGTTATTCGGATTTCACAACGATGGCAAGTAAGACCAGGACTGAAGCAAGGAAGCAGCCTCTCGCGATACATGACCGAAAGGAGACCAGCATCGTTCAGTGCCATCATGTTCGGAGGTCGTTTCTGACGCGAAATTTGAGTTTCGAGGTTTCGTCATAGTCGAATTGGCAGAGCACATACTTCCGTCACCCGGTGCCGTATGTGGTGTACAGTATGATCATGCACGGCCCACCGTTCTTGGTGCAGTAGAAATTCATGAGACAGGCTGTCAACAATGGTCTATGTTTGGGTGTGTTCGTCGATCATCGATGGCCCGAACGGTCCAATTCAGTCTACCGCCCGGTTCTGGCTTATTCCCGCAACGAAGAGCGTTGATGAGCAATTACTGCCCGTGTGTGAAAAGTCCAAGACATCCGGCGATGGCCTGCGTCGATCATCAATCTTAACAACGTCGACTCCGCTTATTATTATTGTAACAACAATCCGCTCTCCTGACTTCTTTGCTTGCTGTTTATGCGAAGTCGCATAATCTCGAAGAATTGTCGTTTGATACTGCAATTTGATGTTGACATTGATATCGATATTGGACTTGCTTGCTGTTGCACGCACAGAGGCGATGGATTCCCACGTCATGAACAGCTGTAGTCTCAGTTGAGCCTCGGCATTGGACAATTTCCAGCAATGGCTACGTCACACCCATAGAATTTAAGAACGCAACGCTAACGTCAACACCTGGGCGCTCATAATGATGATACCGTCAGTCATAGATCCTCGCGCTCTCTGCATTCCCGCAAGGCGAAAGACATTGCGGAAGCGCATGTAAAGTGTGCATTGGAATGCAATGTAACAGCAGACTCGCGAGATCGATCTATGCTAGGCATCGTGTCTGATGACCATTACAGAAGAGCTTGGCGCGCTTCGTGTTCGCTGTGATCTTGGAGCGCTGCGATAAAGGTAGATTTGAGCCCCACAACACGACATCATTGGCTATGAGAACACATTTTCTTCGCCCGGCCGGAGCTGTCGGATCATCGTCCTGCTGCTGCTGCGATTCCGAAGATCCCCCACGTGAGCCTCCCATCAGACGCTATCTCATCGGACTGTGCAACGTTTGCTTCCGTCTCAGGTCCTGCCATGTATTCTGACTGAGCGTTCGGGATGCCGGGACTCACACAAACCACGGGAAGGCAAACAGCGCAGAGCCGAGAGGCCGGAGCTCTACATATCTGCAAAGCCTGCTCTTTGCTTATGCCGGCGGGTCGTGGCACGGAGTTCGATGATGTCAAATCCCTGAGTAGGACATTGCAAGGACAACGTTCGTATCAAATCTGCGTCTTATTGTCTTTCAGGCAGGATCGATCAGCAGCGAGTTCGCTTTGGGCAACTCGGAGTTCAATCGCGAAGTCTACATAGGCAGGCATTCCCGATATATACAGTATCTGCTCAGACTCCCGGACCTTGTCGGATCAGTCTCCTGTCCTCATTGGGCGACCTGCTGTATATGCGGCCCGATTGACAGTTCCTTTGGCTTCTCGTGCCACGGACGAAGAGACCGATTCGTGCGTAAAATGCATAAGTAATTGGGGATCGAAGTGCTGCATCACAGAAGCCATATCATCAATGCTGGGCAATTCCTTCTATGGAATATCGAATTCAAAATCTCTCTGATTTAGGAGCAGTGCAGCGGCGGCATCAATTTCTCTATGTCATCCATCAATCGTGGCTGCTAAGAGCCTTCCGCCTCTATCATTATGCTGTGCAAACAGCGATCTTGAGTACTTGGCCGGCTCTGCGCAAGCAAGAATGAATTGCGCGGCGCGAGGAAGATCTGGAAGGTATGCCAACGAAGCTGTTCTCTGACCATTACTCGTTTAGAGACGCAGATATCCATCTGCTTTCATTTTGTGGCATCCTCGTCCGCAAAACCTCCTAGTCAACGGCAACCAGTCGGTGCGGCCCTCCAACTCTAGTGTTCAGCCTAGCTCTTATCGTAATTCAACCATCGCTGTCCTCCTCATCGTCATCGTCACCGTCGTTTTGATATTGCTTGAGCGCACCAGAGTAGCGCGCCGCTGCTGCTGACGAGGATAGCGATGATAGGGACTCCGCTTGCTGATCAGCAATATCCTGCGTCATTGAGGCAGCATTGTCAGACTCGTGCTGAAAATGATCGTGCGTGACTGCCGGCGGAGACGAGAAAATCGGCGACGATGGCTCCCAGTTGTGAATGGGCACATCTTCCGTCACAAAAGCAACAAGGCCGGGCCTTCGCCAAAAGAGGCGCAGCATTTTCTGGCCATCCACCTCGACGAATTCGTCTTGCGCTATTTGACAGTCTTCGGGAAGATGATTGGGATGCAGGCGTCCCGGATGGTGGAGCGCTCTCTCCTCCTCGGCCTTGATGACGCTCATGACGCGGAATCGGGCCATCTCTACCGTCCAAACTCCCTCTCGGCGAGGACACATCTCAAGGACCAGAAGTGCGCGCCGGCGAAGATAGAAATCTTTGCATCGCACTCCTACATTGTATAAGATGGAGATGAGACCCAGTCCAAGCGAGAAGGCATTAGGGGCATCTGCTGCCCATTTCGAGTCAAAGTGTCGGATCTGTGCGAGGGAGGTCTCACAGAGATCTACGACCCGTCGATACGTCTCGAGATCAACCTCTGCCGAAACTGATGCACGAGAAAGCTGGCGGTTAAGAATGACGGTGAGCAAGCTACGCGCAAGGACAATGCTGTGATGAGCTCTCTCCACAGACCCTTGCGGCAGTGACTCGACAACCTCCTCCGTCACGGCTTCCAAGGCCTCCCTTTTGGCCTCGATGCAGCGAGATCTTGTCAACACATCCCGAGGATCCGCTTGCGGCAGTGGGACACCGGAGCGTGCGACTAACGTCAAGCCGTCGAGTGCAGTAAGCATATCACTCACCAAGCTCTGCTCGACCACAGACATGTCGTCGACTGGAGGCCGCGCTGCCCACAGCGTCCGCAGAAGCTGTCGAGTGCGGATTGCCTTGTCCGTCAATGGGCTGGAGCTCATGGTCGACATGAGATACGTCTCGACGATCCTAGAGACATCATAGAGGAGCTCGCGTGTCTCGCTTTCAAGGTCTGTCTGTTGTAAAAGACGTATGCATGGCTCTAGGTGCAGTTCAATGTTTTGAAAAGAGCTCCGTAAAGATTCCAGCACCACGAGGAGTATACATGAGATGGCATGGACGGTCCGCCCGCCCGCATCTCGGTTTCCTAAGGATTGGCGTTGAGCTCGAATCGCTCCGCCATACGCGAGCGCTGCGGCTTCTTCATGAATCCTGGAGGAAACATTCTCGAGAGCTCGCTGCTGCTGGCCAATGGCGGCTGCTACCTGTCGGACCACAGGCCCTTCTTGGTGGAGCAGCTGTAGGACGTGGTTCCAGAGGGGTGACGTTTTGCTCTGGCGCATCAACGGAATGGCCTTGGTGATGAAGTAATCGAGCGCGACAGCCGAACCATCGTCGATTGTGAAGGAGGCTTTGGGCGTCTGCAATATCAAGGCCTTCGACTTGGGATTGCGAGCACGGGGCAGCGCCGCCTGGGCCTCAATGTCTTGGACGCATTCGCGTCCGCTGCGACGGCATCGTAGACATATTGGACGTTCTTCATCGCATTTCACGCGACGCTGCCTGATGCGAGCAAGTCAGCGGGAGGGCCTCAACAGTTGTTCGGCAACGACGTGAAGGAGCAGGTCCTCAGAGGGTGCACGTGCTACGCAGCAGTTGCAATCGCAATCCCACCAGCGCATGAACCTGAAGCCACGACGCTTCCACACCAATGATCACAGTGGAGAGATATCTCAGAACATACTTGCATGTCTTGCAACCCGCGCGGGACTTGCTGTGAAAGGTCCGAATACGGGGTTCGGCAGCGGTTTTCGAACTCAAAGGCATCGATGGTGAACGGCAGCGGTCAGGGAGGGCATTGTTGCTCCCACACACAGGCCGGAGACGGAATCAGACACTTATGTTGCGCGCGATCAAGTGTTGTTGCGGTTGCTACTGTATCTCACGTGTAGTCCCTTGGTCGTGAGAATGGTGAGAGAGTCATGGCAAGGAGTGACGACTTTCGGTGAGTGGCTTTCAATTGAATCATATATGCGAGATGAGACTTGTGCCCAGATCTGTAGTAGCGCGGAAAGACTGGGATGATCGTGGCACGCCTGTTCAGTATCTGTTCAAATGGTTCTAGTGCACAAATGGTGGTGATGAAGGTGTGGATGGTGGTGGTGGTCGTGATGTCCACTGGTGCATGTACTAAGATATGCTGCCGATGATATCTGGAAGCGTTCAGCACCTTCCTGACTCAACGGCCTGTTGGGTCCTTCTCTCGACATGTGAAGACGCTTAGACAAAATTGTTCAGACTTTGCCGTGGGTACATGTCTTTCTTCACCAAGGTAGCTACAGTACAGTACATAGTGGGTTCGAGACCGAGAGTCTCCCTCGGTTGTCAGAACGGTCTTGCTAACGCGGGGAACCCCAACGCGGTCCATACCCCAACGCGGTCCAAGGCATCAAAGAGCATAGCATTCAACAATTGATTGCTCTACCAATTATTGTTGAAATACCTTCAAATTGAAAAACATGGTAGATCAATACTAACTCTTATGATACACAGGTTCTTGCGTTATGGTCTGGACGGCCACACTTGCTACACTTTCTAATACGCTTCACGGGCCTCGGCATCTCCTCCTGGATTTGTGCTTCTACCTCCTCTTGTTCAACAACGTACTGCATTTCAGGAAAGGACAAGGCATTCTCTGTAGTGA